GGATGGTCAGACCACAACTACTACCTAGCTTTCCCGGGCTAGGAGCTCTACATTCGAGACTCGGTTTGGCCAATTACGAGCTCATTTTTTTTTGCAATTTTTTGCAACCTTTTTTTATTTGCCAATTTTTTTGCCCAGTGAGTTTATTTCTTGATCTGATTGCGCCTGTAGAGTACCGCGTCTTGTTTGTTGTCGATCAAGCAAGCACTCTTTTTCTTGCTCAGCAAAGATTCTATGCCGAGCAACACTGACTGATTGCAATCACAATCGACATCTCTTCAAGGTAACAAGGAAAAGGGAATTATAGCTGCCCATAAGTTCTTACGATGCTATCATTGTATTTATGGTTCGCGAAACGCTGCGTGGTAATCGCGTTTTCTTTTTGGGCGAAGCCAAATAGAGGTTTGAGCAATGCCACGCTTCAAGCAATATTGGCCCACACTACGGCCTGATTGCAGTAACACTAACGTTATAAGAAAGGTACTTGTATTGGTCGATATATCAAAAATTCTAGCGGGTGCAAAGGGCAGATACACGGAGTTGTTTACAGATCGGTGAAGCACTGTCTTAAAAAGCCTTCGAAACTGGCTGGACCTTGGATAGAAACACGAGAAGAAAAACATCAATTCCCAAAAACTGCTCTAATTATTTTTCTAGACTACTGAACGAACTGCTGGGGCATGGAAAGCGTCTAACGCTATCTGCACGGGTATAATCTCACTTCCTCCCTAAACCGGTACTCATGTTGATCAACCTTTTCGTTCAACTCTTTATCGTGCTTCCCCGCCGCTTCAGAACCCGAACTTGCTCTTCATAGCACCCATAACCATACCTCGCTTCTGTTTGTTGACATACTTGTTCACGTCATCTGCCCACGACGCCGAGTTCTGACTCAAGCTGTCCATGCTGTCGCCGACGATGTTGAGCTTCTCGGTCCGCTCGTTCAGTTGTCGAGACGCCCAGGCACCCCAGCCTTCGTTGTCGGGCGGCGGGCGGCCTGCAGATCCCGAGGCTGATGTTGATGCAGCTCGAGCATCGCGGCGGCGTTGCTCCTCATCGGCGCGCGCCTGTGAAAGCATCCTCTGGGAGGGAGGTCGTTGAGGTCCACCGACTAAGTCAAAAACAGTTAGTGAAGGTGCTAGTTGATGTGGGGGATAGACATACTTAGAAGATCCATATCTGCGGGCGTGACAATTTGGGTACCGGATATCCATTGCATGTTAGATATCAGAGGCCGTGGAGGAATAAGTAGCTCGAGATTCATGAGCGTATCCTTGGTTTGGTTCCTAGAGTTCGTTAATTTTGATGACTCTCTTACCCGTATCCGTCGCACTCTAGTATGGCTAACTTACCACTTCATGCCCGTGCCGAACACATTTACCAATGCTAGCTCGGCAGGGCCTTTCCAGCCTAGAATGTCTCCAGTGCTCGTGATGACCGCCTCACTGAATCTCTTCACGTCGATAAGATGGTCGACCTTCACGCTTCCGATCTCCTTAAGCGCAGGTATCGAGTAGCCCCTTGCACGGCCATCTCCGTACAGACCAAGTAGTGCATAGCCGAGATCCTCGTACCGGACAACGGCTGCCGAATCGCAAAGGAATTCGTCCCAGGTTTTATGGGCACCCTTACTAGTTGCAGGCTTGAAGATTCTCGCGCCGGACGCCGTGACAGCAAGCAGTACGCCATTGGTCTTCAGGCCACTACGTAGATTGGAGAGGGCCGATTGTGATGCGTAAGCTGGCTTACCGGTTTCCGCATGCATCGGGAAGACGTTGAGCACACGGTCATCGAGCGTGACCGCTCCCACGAATTGTACACTATATCGCCCGCTCGAGTCTGGTAGAAGTTTAAAAGTTGCGAGGTGGCCGAGACTGGTTCCGACATGGAGGAGAATGCTCGAATATTCCTCATGTTCAAGCGACATGACGCTGAACTCGAGGGTTGTTGGCCATTCAGGTCTCGTGGAGGGAGTGTTTGAACTGCGACGGAAGCTCCCACGCTTGTCGGATTTGATGAAGTCGGATATAGAGGAGTTGTAGATGATGGCTGGACCTCTGAGGTCAATGATCGCCAGACTTCCCCCTTCGAATCCAGCGGCTACAAAGCCAACATCAGAGTGTTTGAGGGCGGTGACTGGCCCATGACCCTGGTCCAACAGGGTGAAAGGAAGTAGGCCCTCCTTAAGCGTGGCTTCGGTGCGGTCCATTATGTTTGTGAGTCTTTGCTGTTCATTAGGCCCGGATGGAAGTTCTTCTCCTGGGTGTTTGTTGATGCCCCAGCGGAACACAACCAGCTCGCCTGACCTCAGTCCAACAGATAACTCTTGCGCAGCGCCGGCAAATGAAGTGCGAGTGACCTCAACGCTTTCCGGACGGCCTACTGCTCGGCCCACGTCGACTTGCAAGGCGGCATCGTTCTCAATCTCATCTGCATGGCCAGCATCCCATAGCTTTATCGTTCCATCTGCGTGAGCGGTTTGTACCACGTTCCGGTGTTCAAATCTCTTCAACGGATAATTTGCCTCGGCGCCACCAGTTAGAAAGAGCGGCCCGTGTTGGCGCTTCTCAGTCAATCCCAGCCATCTTGTTCGCTCGACAGGAGCGAGATTCACGTAGTTGACAAACGGATGGACTAGGGTCAAGGATAGGTGAAGTTGGTTTGTTGGGCATATGGGCATACCGCTGGGAAAGCTAAGCGTAATGAGTTCTCCTGATGCGAGTAGAGCGACAATAGCGAGAGGATCATGTGCACCAGCGAAGTGTGGGGAGGAACGTGGGATCAGACAAAGATCTATAACTTCTGTGCCCGGCGGACAAGGCAAAATTCTTTGGCGTTTAGGGTTTTCGAAGTGATTGGCGAGGACCTGCCAGGAGGAAGTGTTGTAAACCGGGGTACGGCCAAGTTCAAAGAAGGTGAGCGACTTTGTAGCTAAATTTGACGGTGCTCCTCCTGCAATCAGAATGCCGGTGTCATCTGGGTCTTGGTTCGCACACCAAGCGACCTTGAAGATAGGAGATTTGATGGCAAAGGTACCATCACCACCTCCAGGGCTGAAACTTCCAGGGCCAGGCTTGTCCACGTTCGTGTCCTGCAGAGTCCTAGCTTGTACTATTCTGCCATCTTTCGGGTCCCAGATGACGAGACTGCTATCTTCATGCCCTGTCAGGATAAAAGTTCCGGTAGGGTGCCAGACAGCTTGCGTCAAAGGTGGGCTCCGTTCTGTGAAGATGGAGGCAGGATCCGAGTCTCCTCCGGGGGCCCCTTTCGGTAACACATAATTCAAAAATTTGGTTGCTTTGTTTTGTTTGAAAGAGTAGAGAGCCACTCCAGCATTGTATCCGATCAGCAGTGTGCCGATATCTCGAGGGTGAAACGCAAGGGTTACAATAGAGGTCAGGCGGGATCGTGGATACTGCTCGCGCCAGAAGTTCGGAATCTTCAAAGGCGCAAGGTTTTCACGATCGAGGTCGAAGGCCAGGATCTCGCCGGTCTGCGTACCCAGAAGCGCATAGTCGAGCGTAGGGTCGCTGTGTATAGCGGTGATTTTCGCCGGTGGACTGAACGCACGCGAAAGCGATTTTGTCTCGAGCGAGAAGACGGAGAAGTCGTTTCTGCTATCCAAGCAAATCAACTTTTCCGCACAAAATTGGAGTATTTTCACGGAGCTGCGATGCTGCAATGAGAAGATGACCTCAACTCTCTTCTGCCCAAATACGTATATCTGACCGACGCCGAATTTACTCTCGTTGGTACCGACGGCGAAGAGATGCTGGACGGGATCATATGCGATTTGGCTGACAAGAGAATTCAATCCATAATTCCTGATCTTTATCTTGTATTAGTACAAAACTCTCTGCGAAAATGGTGATAGGACAAAACGGAACATAAGTAAGCGTACATGATCGAGAACAAAGAGGTCAGAACCTAGGCCAGCGGATAAATCATTGGGAATTCCAGCCTGCTTTCCTCTGAGGAGATGAGCCATAGTGGTGTCGTGAACTTCTCATGTCTGTGGCACATGTAGGAATTTCAGTAAGCCAAATGCCTTGGGGAACATTGGGAGGAGCTATCTGGCTTACGAGGTACCTGTGTGGGGTGGTGGGCGTATGTGTGCTGTCTCGGCGGCCCAGCTAGAAGAAATGACGTACCAAGGGCAGGCAATTATACGCGAGGACCCTGGGACTAGCCACTAACATCTAATCTATCAACATGGTGACTGGCTCAAGTCTTTACTAGGACATACAGATTGGTGCAAGCAAAGTTGTAGAGTTTGGGATATCTTCTTGTTCATATTACAATATTACACTGATACTACTTGAACAAGCAACAGCGCATTTTGTGCTCCACAAGCCTACCTCGTGAGGGAGGTGGAGTAGGGTATGGCCCTGCTATGCCACTTCGCGCTCGGATAGAGCGGAAACCAAGCACGCACAAAAGAAACCCCCATAACCTAAAGAAAGAAATGTTGTCCGATCATCCGCCCATCTTCATATCTGTTGGACCCGATCGGATTAAAGAATGCCCTTACTTGTCGAATTTCAATTTCCTCCCCCAGCCGTAACGCCTGCCACACTCTTGAGTTTTTGAGTTTGAGACAAAAGAGCGGAAGAAGATGCATTTCCTTGGAAAAAGCATGACATGGTCGTGCAGAATAAATTAAATAAAAACCCGTAGTTCAAACGCTACCTTAAGAGAAGTAGAGATAATTCTATGATACAACAGGAGTTCCATTGACTGGTGGTTGGCTGCCGTACTGTGTGCTCGGTGGCTGCGGGGTGCCGGAGCCCTGTCTGAACGAATTTTGTGCCGCCATTCGGGCCTGGGATTGGGCTGCTGTCTGCGCCTGCTGTTGTCTGTCGAGCATCATCTGTTGGCTGTATCCAGAGGGTGCAGCTGCAGTCGACGGAGTGGATGCTTGCGCCCCGCCATACTGCGGATTCTGCCCTTGTTGGTAATAGCCACCTCGAACCTGGCCGTTAGCCATGAACGTTGCACGATTACCATACCCAGACTGAGGAATAGACGGGGTTCCCTTCAGCGGCGACTCAGTACGTGCAAGGGGGTTGGGTGCAGCGCCATAGTTGAACGAGGGCATGTTTTGCGGCCGTGGGAAATAGCCGTTCTGTGGTGTTTGTGGCGGTTGCTGTTGTGTATATCGATTGTGCTGCTGAGTCGACGGTGTGTTCTGATAAAATTGGGAGCTGGGAGCAGTTGAGAAGCTCCCGGGCTGTCCTGGGCGCTGATTATAGTAAGACGAAGGTGCAGGTTGGTTGTATGATGCTCGAGGGGTCGGCTGTGTGTAGCCAGGGGTTGCTGCGTAGCCCTGTCGCGGAGTGCTGCTGCCGTAGGAAGCTCCCGGTTGGTAATGTTGCGGTGGACCCGATACCTGACGCTGGTAATGCACTGATGGTGACCTGTGTACTGACTGTGCTTGAGGATAGTATGTCTGAGCTGTCTGAGCAGGTCGAGCGGCAGTATGACTTGGCGTAGCTCGACTATATTGCGAACTTGAAGCCGGGTATTGTGTTGATCCAGTGGAAGCCATCCGTGTGAGGGAAGGCGTAGCGGCTGGATTTGCAACGCCCTTCGCAAGTCTTGAGAGCTGGTCCTCTTCCAAGACACCGGTAGCGTCGTCTGTTTCGATGAGAATGGTCTTGCTAATATTCAATTCTTCTAACTGATCGCCGTTCAGCTTAGCGACTGCGTAAGGAGGAAGTTGAGATATCATCAAGCTTAATTGGGATTTGAGCATCTGATAAACATCAATTTCCTCGGAGGAGGGTGTCGACGGACTTCCTGCCAATGTTGCAAGGGAGGAATTATGCATGACTGGCGTGCGGGGATTGGTGGCCAAAGATGCATTGCGGTTGCGCTGGTGAGAGGCCAGTGTCTCAATAAGCTCCGATATCTCCTGTAGCACCTCCTCGGTGTTCTTTTCCAACTTGGGCTTGTCTGAAGTTGGAAATGGGTCCTCTTCTACGGGAACAAAATTTTCCACTGCGTCTTTGAACTCGTCATTCTCCTTTGCAGCATCTTCCGGGCGGGACTCTCCTTTAGCGTCCAATTCAAGCAGTGCAGGATCCACGGGGAAAGTTTCATTGAAACGCTTCTCGCCGACTTTCTGCCACCAGATCATGTTCTTGGTCTCCTCAGGAACAATAGTGGTTGCGTCATCTCTGCTTGGGGCAAAGGTAGAGTATACGCTACGGAAAAGGGCGTCCTCTTTTGCCTGCTGCGCCGCAGCAATCGTTGCTTCAGAAGGTGGTAGCTGGGCTTCGCCTGTGCTCAGTGCTCGTTGCCTACTTTTTTGCTTTGCGGTAGGCGAAGTAGGATCCTTTGGTGTATCAACTCCACCATAGCCTAGCCAGTGGCCTGTTACAAGCTTCTGATTTGCGTAAGACTGGGAAGTTGCGCGAGATGGTTTCGGAAGTACGTCCACTGGTGCGAATGTGATCGTGTTGCCACGAGTGGTCATAGGCTTTGCGTGCTTTGGTGGGCTTAGCTGTGGCAGATGAGCAGGTGTTTTAGACACCTCCCCGATAGTTCTTGTCTTCTTCGACTCCACAGCGATATCTGCTTCTGAGGGTAGAATTTCGGTTGTAGAGATAATGTTGGGAAGATTCGCCTCGCGCAAGGGCAGCAGAATCTTTGGCGCCTCGCTAGGATTCACTTTGTCAGTACTGCGTATGTTTGGCACAGACGTGGGCTGTTGTAAGCTTGAGAAAAGCTGCTTCGGGCCCTGTGCACTTCCATACAAGGTCAAAACAGTGCGACCTGCGGTGGATTCATCTTCTTCTGGCTGCCCTTCCTGCTTGACTGGTACAGAATCGTCGATTTCATGTTCGCCGTCCTCATCTTCAGGGGTAGCTGCACTACGTTTCTCTGTTATCAGGGCAGCGCGCGCACGCTCTCGCGAAATCAATTCTGTTGCAACCTTCTCAAAAGCAAGTACATATGACTGCAATTTGATATCCTCGGCAGTAAGGTGTGGAATCGTCCGCTCATTCTTTTCAAAGGGTGCTAAGATATCCCGGCAAGCAAGCTCAATATCTTTCTGTAGAGATTCGAGGGATTCGTAGGCGCCACTTTCGATTCCACTGGCAATAGATGGGCCGCTCGTTTTCGCACGTTTAGAATCGGACTCTCCGGAGGGAGATCGGCTTTTCGCAGAAGATGTCGAGTGATTGAGGATCGAGGGCTGGGCGTCGTAACTACGTCAAGTCGTCTTAGTATTCTTGACCCTGCCTTTGTGATCTTGAGTCTGGGAAGAGAACGCCTACCTGGTAAGGACTGCGAAGACATCATTTATGGAGGCCGAAATAGATGTATTTGCATCACTTGCCGACGATTCTTTCGTCGTGGTCGACACACCATTGGGAAGTTTTGATTGCTGATTGCCGTCCCGTTTCCGTTTTGTTGGCGAGGGAGACGCAGTCGCCGGGATCTGCGGAGGTGGTGTCAGGGCACCGTTGGTGGTGGCCATCGTGAAGGTGGAGATGGGAGAAGTTCACCGCGCGATGCGGGAGTGATGGGGTTGATGTGCAACGCGCTCGAGGCCGTGGTCGGTTCGTGGGTTGGCGTCGCGATCCACGTCCTGAACAATTGTCGCGCACAGCGAGCACCACTGCAGATCTGATTGCGACTTGAAGCTAGATCAGTAGGATGGGTGACAAGGTAGAGCGTGAGTATGTGCGCGCAGGACGGGAGTGCGCGACGTGACGGAATGCGACTCTTTGGTGTGTGATGGTCTCGGTGGTCTCTTACTAGTAGGAAAGATGTTCAATGCAAGATACGCGATGTAATTTTGCCAAGCCCGTTCGCATCGTCTCGCAAAATGAACGGACCAGAGCCCTCACAGGCTGTAAATGGATGTACTCAATGATTCAAATAACCTGGGGATAGTGTTTACAGAGACTTTTCATTCATGATTTGCATCTATTGTACGTTCATTGTGCATTCCGCGTTTGTTGGTATGTTTCGCGGTGCAGAGTTGTATTAAATATATGACTAATACGTAACTTATTTCACCGCCTCTCATTGGACAGACGATTGCTGAAGAACTTCCCCAAATCTTTTGGCCTAATTCGCTTCCACAACATCATCGCAATTTGCATTCTCCAGTTCTCCGTATTCGCAACACAATTAATTCTTGTTCAGTTCTTCTTCCAGATCCCAGCTAATACCCCCATTGTCGATGAATGCCATTGCCTTCTTCCCTGGCTGCCCCAGGTAGCTCCCGTCGTACTTTCCTTTCGACGCAGCGAATACCCTTGATCCGTTTCTTCTTCACCAACGTATGTCTTCTCGAACGCTCTTCTTATCAGTGTAATCTAACATATACTTCAGCCATACTTTCTCCTAATACATCAATCACCCACGAAGACTTACACACCATGTCTACATCTCCCCCATCCCCGCTGCCTGACCACCGGCAACTCAAGTACCCGGCCTATACTGGGATCGTCAGTCTCCGATCGAATCCTCCTTGATCGCACACTTAGTCAATATCGACCAAGCAAAACCTCAATCCGTTTTCATTCAGATAGCGCAAGTGAGCCTTCTGCAATCTCCTCTCATGTTTCAAGATCCCCATTTCGCAAATGGTTGGAACACCCACCGCAAAAGGTGATCTCTCGTCGACGATTCAAACGAGAAAGGAAAAGTCGACCAGAGTTGGTAGTTGAATCTATTCGGTTCAATGTCCAGAATGGTGGTGAACCCAGGATATCTTATGAGAATTTGCGCAACAGCGAGGGCATCCTTGGCCAGCTCAGCCGAGATGAAGGTGAACTCCATGGGTTGGTAGGAGAAGATTGGGCTGGGAATGATTTAGAGGAGACTGGAAAGAGGATACAACCACTTCCGGCACCATTGGACATTGACTGGACTAGGGAATCCGTGTCTCTATACTCCGTTCTAGGGCGATACCTAAAGGCAGCAGCACCCGATAGTCCACAGCATCAGTTTGGATTACAAGAATTGGACTTGCTTGCCTCGCATGGGTTCACCGAACATGATGTCAAGTTATGGGCGGCAAGCGTCACCGAGCATAATCCTCGTATAGCTACAGCGACCCTGCACGAGAGCCAATCGCTACCACCCTATTTTCTCCTCCTGATTCTTCTTCGCCGTAAACATATTTCAGCGGTCGCCTTAGGCTCATTAATGCGACTCCTAGCAGGCAAACTGCAGATGGATCCTATTGAATGGTCGCCCCTCAAGGCTTTCCTTGTGCGTCTGATCCGCCATGCGCGACGTGTTTGGCCTGAGACCCTGCCTTGGATCGCATCTACTTTCAGGACAGAGGCCACCCGAATTCAAGGAGAAATGGACAGCAAAGAAAACACACGAGACAAGTTCACCACTGAACTTACGCAATTCTGTAACACTCTGATTTCACTCATTTCAGTACCGTTGAGCATACATCCGATCGCGCTGTCGAAGTATCAAGAAGTCGCCCAATTCGAAATCCTAGCATTTATGGCACAGACTGTACCGACAGTCACCGTCACTCGCTCTGGTTTTCGCGGTGTTGTCAGAGTTCAGCTTGCACGACCGAAGACTGCCGAGGAGCGTGAATGGGCAATGCTCAAAAGGCCGGCTTGGCCTCCATGGAAGCATGACCGGACGGCAATGGACGAAGACAAAGGTTTCGAGTTCGGTGCATCACGCGCAATGCAGATAATGTTTCGCATGTTCGAAGCAGGCTACACAACCGATGCTTGGACGGATCTTGCACAGATCTTTGCAGGATGGGACACTGACCTAAGTCCGACCATACAAACGCGAACTCTACTGCCTCACACCTCAAAATCCCTGAATGCCGCCCATACTCTCAAATCATCATTGTGGGGTGCCCGAATTAGGACGACCAGGACATTAAGAGAGGCATGGGCGGCGTTTCTTGCGTTCGAGGCATCCGAGTCTCCCGCAAATCCCGAAGTCTACCATGCGATGTTTGAAAAGCTGTACGCAGCCGATCATCCAGAGTCTTCTGAGGATTCTCTATCCAGTCAACACCTCCTTCCCGGTGATATGAAAGAGGTGCTACCAGATCCTCATTCTCCTCTTGGTCTTATACATATTGCTGAACCTATCCCGTCTTTCGAGCAGCTCTATCGTCGTATGTGCAAACATGGGGTCATTCCTCGAGGACGGTTTCTTGCATTCTTAATCCAGTCGCCATTACAATTCGAGACGATCCAAGAACTTTTGGATTCTTCTACGGCAGCATTCGAGGGTGGATTGGAGACTTTGGTAAACGGTTCGGTGCTCTATAAGAGATCTTCCAAGTTCCATGACCTCCCTGGCTATCTGATCCATGCCTTCATCAGATTTTTATGCCGATTTGGTGTGCGTCGTGACGTTCCCAGCCTTGCTCCCATCTCCCCCTCTATGGCGGAACACAAAGTCAGATTCAGCACTGATAGAGAGTATCTTCTCGACTACGCACATGCTCTGTTAATTCGCCGACGACCCCTTTACAGGCCAGCATGGACCGCTTATATGCACCATCTGATCTACGACCGATGGAAATTGCCCATCAAATTGGCCGGGAGCACGCGGGAGAGAAGAGAGATTCGGATTCTCTCACAATATCATACGATGAGCGACCTTCTCACGAAGATGCACAGCACCGGTGTTGAAGTTGATGAGGAGCAGGTGCGCTTTTTCGGCATAGTGTTGCGTGCTGCAGGGGATATAGCTTCCCAGGGCGCCTACAACCCGAAGTTAGTGCATGATATTACGCAGAAAGGTTCACGTCAGCTCCGAAAGCTATTCCATAATCTCATCGCTGGAGGCCTTGCTCTCGAGACTCACGCGCCGCATGTATTGCCAATTGAACCTACTCCGCCTTTGGTGCCTCGTGCGGCACTGCTACATGTCTACGTTCGCGCTCTCGGCGCCGTCCGCGACTACGAAGGCTTGTACTCCTTCTCCACGTGGGCGGTGAGCCATGCCGCACAAATCAGCGCTGCCATGGAAGCACATGTCTCTCCATCCAACTCCCTTGAGAGACTATGGCGCAGAACGCTCGTGGCATTGAGGTGTGCACTCGAGGGCAGGCTGTCGGGAGGGCAGCATAACGCTCCCGCTTCGACCGAGCTGATAGTATTGACAAAGGCACAGATTGACAGCATCGAGGATTGGGGTGGCTGGCCTTCAGACGAAGAAGTCGAGGAGTATGTACAAGTTCACCAGGGAGAGTGGAAGCGCTGGGGTTATGGCCAATGAAGGACATATCCTGATTAGGGCCAGCAGTGACATGAAGATGTTGTACTATAGATATCATAATAATACTCATTGCATGCATTCTTAGTACCATTTGCAAATATGTCGCTTACTCTGACGATCCTTTTTCTCTTCGTGACCTCGAAATTTTAATGGATGTGTGTGATCAAGTCTTTGGTCTGGTCCTTCATTCTGTTATAATTTGAAGACGGTACCTCTCAACCGAAGGGGGAAGCCGGCAATAGTGCTGGCCACCCCCTATTGTTACGATCACCATCTAAACACCTTTGTATCTAGTAAATTATATTACTTGATTTTTAAACATAACAGAATGTTGTAAAGACTTAAGAAGTTTTGTAGTTTATTTATTTACTCTGCCCTTTGTAATGTCTCTGTAGTCAGTTAAATAACATGACGAGCTTTCTCAGGACTATTTCTGGCTTCCCTCTTCGGCTGAAAGGGTACTACAAGACTAACCACTACTGCGTGGAATAAAAGGAGTGATTATGATATGCTGGACGAATTCTCCCCATAGTGTAGAATGCTATGATTACTTTGCCTAGTGTTTCATCATACAATTCTTGGGAGATCGAACCATTCGTCATTCAAATTCGTTGTATGCAAAGTTATACATATATGCAAGTATATCATAGCTACCGAACTCTGACTATCATCCAAAATTCCAAGTCCTTAGTCCTTATAACCGGATACAACACCCTTTACTTAAGTGGTAAGCCTGAAATGAGGATGATCATCACCGAGGTTATCGCTATCGGGCTCCGTCAGCCTCCAATCCCTCTCGCCCCTCTCCCTCTTCTTGTTCTCCCTCTTGGCCAGGAAGAACAGCGACGTGCACGCCGCGCCGCAGATCCACAGCAAGCCGAGTGAGACGCCGTAGCCGGTGCGGTAGGTCGGTGCTTCAGACTGCAGGAAGACATTCGACGCGACGATGCCACCGATGTTTCCGAAGCCGATCTGCATCGCGGACGAGACACTGCGCTTGTAGTGCCCCGACATGAGGTTCGACATCCAGGCCAGCGTCACGGGTTGCGTCATGTAGCCGCCTGGTACGATGAGGAACAGCGCGAAGTACTTGACGCCCGTACTGAGATTCTGCTGGTTAAGGAGCAGGATGTACCCGATGGACGCAACAACAAGGCCGGCCATGCAGAATGTGTAGCGGTGGCGCATGCGGTCCGTTAGCCAGGCAGTTGCTACGGCCGTGACGGTCGCGACGACGAAGATGGGGATGCTGCGGACTTGTGCCGCCGATGCGGTGTAGCCGAGTTCGGTGACGATGGTCGGGATGAAGAAGGAGCCTGCGTAGCCTGTGTTGACGATGCCGAAGTAGGCCAGGGTTCCGAGGTAGATCTTGGGGTCGCGGAAGATGCGCTTCGCGGCACGCTTGTCGAGGCGGTTCCTGGAGGAGACATCGTAGGTTAGTCGTGCGATCTTTCATTGGAAGGGGAGACATAGCGGGAGCGTTCAACTTACATTACTGCATCGCCACTGTCCGAGGAGAGACGGGCAACGAGCAAGGCTCGCTCATCCTCTGTAAGGAATTTGGCGGTCTCGGGCCAGTCTGGAACCCAGAACTTGGCCAGGACACCAATGACGAAGGTCATTAGACCTTCGATGATGAAGATCCTGAATATATGAGTAAATATACTAAAGGTACCGGACGTTGGGGTGGTTTAAAATGCTTACCAGCGCCAGCCATTATATCCCGCCGTACCAGCCATCTTTGCAATGGCGAAGGCCAGAAGCTGAATGAAGTCAGTCTTGATTCATCGGACCACTGGGAAAGGGAAACAAAGTACGCCACTGAAACCTCCTGCAATAATGCTAGCCGTGAAGAATAGAGTCATACGCCATTGGAGTTCGAATCTCTGCGGAATAGGTCAGCTTTCGTTCTCCCAATCTGCATTGATGGTCTAATCAGAGTGACGAACCTTGTAATACATGCTGATAAGATAGATGCAGCCTGGACCAAAGTTAGTGTGTGATCGTGTTGTCGGTACGACTGATGCTAACCAGGAAACAATCCAGCTTCGAAAAATCCAAGTAGGGCACGCATTGCCACAAGCCCCCCAAATGTATGTACCAAGCCCATGCCAATGGTCGAGATGCCTATGTATATTAGTCTAAGGCGGGAGGTATTCGGCTCGTGAGCTTGACATACCCCATAGGACCATGATTATGGAAAGCCAAGTCGATGGGGCTAGCTTCTTGATGATAAGATTCGATGGGACTTCGAAGAGAATGTATGGGATGAAGAACACGAATAGTGCTATATTGTAATCCTGTTTCTCCATTTTCAGGTCTTTTGTCATTCCCTGGATACGGGCATTTCCTATACTCGTCAGTGATGTCTTCTCTCAACGCGTCTGCAACACCGCCTTACCTATGTTCGTCCGGTCAAGGAACGCCATCAGGAAAAGAACGAACAACGGTGGTAGGACCCGAAGATCCAATTTCCGCAAAAGCTTCTTCTCCGCGACCGGATCGATGTTGGTGCCCCTAGTGTCATTGATGACCTCGATCTTCTCGTCCTGGAAATGCTCCTTCCTGTCTTCCATGATTGTGGCTGCCTCTCCCCCCGCAAGATCTCGTATGTATGCAAGATAAGACTGGGGCACCAAAAGAATGTTTGAGCTGTGATGGGATTTATCTCTGAGATCTGGTCTCAGATGGCCTGATAATCGTGTCACTAATCTATGGGTCGAGTGTAAAAGAGAGGCAGATGGAGCAGGCTTAATAGTTTAGCAACATGGGGAAAATCCTGGGGGACAAAGATAGCAGGGGATGGATACGAGGGACAGAGTTGTCACTTTGAAGCAAACTCAACAAAATATGCGGCATCCAACCGCAGTGGTTGTTGTCCCACGCCAATCAAAGCAGAGAAAATGCAGTGTCCACTGCCGTGTTAAGCTACCCCGGACTCCACTTGCTAGCCGTGTGCCAGCCAAGATGTGAGGGGAAACCCGTCTGGGGAAACGCCTCAGGAATTAATTCCGCCAGGGGTTCCGCGTCCCTGCGATTCTCAAATTGCATCCGCAGGATGACTGGCTCTACTATTTGTACTCTGTAAACGAAGATCCTTCCTTGGGATATCGGTAACCGGATGAGACGTGGGAGACGTGGGAGGCGCGGGAGGCTATACAGATTTGCTCATCTTGCATGCAGAAATTACCACGCAGATTGGCTTGGCCCAACTTCGACCGGGTGCGTATCCAACCTGAAAGCTGATTGTAGATTTCCGACTGGATAGATTCCGACCAATAATGACATATTGAGGATTTCCCATTCGTCTTCGCATCCCAGAGGAATGGATAAAGTATTACTTTTCGGATCGTCATCGCACCGGCCGCAATGCGCCTCTGTACTTTGCTGTGGACTCCGTCGATGATAACACTTCCTCAGTCCACGGGTTGGTTCCCTCATGCAGTGAGAATAAAAAGCATGGAACATGTGCACCGGAAATGAGAACGCGGATGCAATTGTAGAACGGCGAGCGATTGTTCTCTAACATCGCGCTGTCTAGAAGATACGGAACATTTAAAGATTACTGGCCAATGGCCAGCCAGCGCAATGTAATCCGTGCTGCTCATGAACCAACATAGCGAGAGCGGAATGAATTGTGCATCAACCATTATCTGCGCTGTTACGGTCAAGCTACAAGTTGCGACCCGTTTCGCCCACTCCCATATATTCAAAATGGAAGAGCCCATATGATTGCCACGCTCGATTGATGCGCAGCGGCTAAGACCAAAAGGTAGGTACTGGAGAGGTCTTTGATGCATGTTGGCTGAGCAGAAAGCGCGAGACGAGGCATCGTTTTGAGTTAGGTAGTCGTAGATATCGAGTCTGACGCCACTGCCTCGGGTTCCTTCACAATCCAGTATCAGCAACGGTTCTGTAGTATCAAACAAGTTTCATGTCACATAAAGCCAGAGAGGGATCTCCGGACACACCTCGAGAACGGGCCAGCGATATGATGCAAACGAGGCTTTCCCTCGGGCGATGGATATCAACAGAGAAAAGATGAAGTGAAACCGAAGGCTCCTCGAATTGTTTCTATGACAAATAAAACGATTAGATCTTGTTATGTAGAGAGTGTTTGTATCTGATAGATATTCATGATCAAGATACTTGAATTTCTCATGGTGATGGATTTCGTTCTGGTATGAGACAAGTAGATTGGCACGTGGTTGTTACTCGACGATACTAGTGAATGGATGTGAATGAGCGATGACGTAATCATGCATTCAGGCCAGAGAACTGTTAGAATCCACCATGAGAGAAGAGTGAGGCAAGGTGAAGGATTTACCCGGCAATTCTAGACGAATTCCAAGCGCAAGAGGATAGGACTTCACGTTTGCGACCAGCAGATACCTAGACATGATTCAGGCAGTCATGTGAACGGGCGAATCAAGTGAAGTGTCGAACCCTCCCAGTGAGGCGCGAATAAACGGCGCGAATGGTGGTGGGGTGATGGCTTTGACAGATATGAGTAAGATTCAGGGCGCGACCAAAGAGAAAGGATTAATTAATTAGATTCAGTATTATTAGATCGAGTAGTGAACTCGAAGGCATATGAAGATGGACAATCAATCGAATCTATGGGTGGCTGGAGGGAGTAGAGAAACCAGTAATAATCATTCACTATTATCTTCATTTCTTCATCAACATATGGACTCTGGAATAGCTGCTCATGATACTCGTAATTTCCCTCACTGTTTCGCTGATCGCATCTGCGTCTGGTGACCTACCCTTACTACCTCGTACTTTTATCCTTGCATCCATCCGCCATCATCATCATCATCATCATCATCATCATCCATTGTTCTCATCGTCCTCGACGTCCCAGTCAATCTCCCGGACTTACTACGTCACAGCCTCTTCCTTCTTTCCCCTGCCGTTCCCACCAACCAACAGCCAACCAACCAACTGCGGCCGCCGCCCTCGACCAAACCATTCCCCCCAACATCTTTCTTGTCACCACATCCCCTCGAATCACTTTCACAAACATCACTTCTTATCAAAACTCCAAGACTTCAACTCCAAAAGAATCAGCAGTTTGGATAACTTCATCATGACTGCTAACGCACCTACCCTCATCAACTTGCCTCCTCCGCCATCGGATTTCGGTACCCCAGATGCCCCGTAAGTTGTTGGACCCTGACCTTCGCGTACCTCACAGTATGCACAGGTGCATCACTGCTCATACTCTTGAACCACTCAACTAATCATCGTCACCGACATGCAGAGGCACCCCCAACTCCGCGACTACCTCCATGTCGGAGCTGTCCACTGTCGCAATCAAGGACGGTCACCGAGGCCACTTTCCCCACCACCAACACCCCGCCGAAGCTGAGCGCGCCGACCGCATCTCACGCTTGGCCGGCTTGGAACGAATCTCTGTCACCGGTCGCAACCCTCAGAATCTGACTCCAGGAGCGGCTGCCAACTATCCTCCTGCTGCGTATTTCGATGCGAACAATCAGCCTCAGATCTTTCGTGAGCGCAGCACCGTCGGCAGTGCGAGCGCAACAGGTAGTGTAGGTGGGCGCACGACATGGGCGAGTGAGAGTGACGTTTTCGATCGAGACAGGATGAGTGAGGACCAGAACATCGACGAGACATCCAGCATGGGTGGCTTCAGCGACGAAGCTGCCAGCCTGGTAGGCTTCGGCGAGGGTGCGAGGACACCTGCCAGACAACATAGCCAGATTGGAAGCCCGGCCATCAGCAAGGCGAATGCTGTGCCGCCATATCTACGTGAGCAGCAGCAACAGGCTCCAGCTAGCCCAATGACGGGTGTTTCTGCGACGGGAAGCTCTACAACAACGCAGACCAGTGCCAGCGCAGAGCAACAGAAAGAAGAGGCCAGAATGATTGACGGCATGACCTACGATGAGGACATTGTCGACACTGCAGACCGCACTCCACCTCTGACTGGGCAAGGTGCCGGATCGGCTGAGACCTCTGAGGAGGTTATTCGTCGTAGGCTGCGCCAACAACAGGCCCAAGGCGGCGCTGCTCCTTCACAAAACGCTCTGAACCATTAGAGGGACGCTCGATGAATAGGACGCAATAATTCAATACATCCACGTCTGTCTTTACCCTGAGTGGTTGACGACCTGAATGAGGCGTTATCGGATCTGATTGTTTGAAGGGGGTGGGAAAGGTCATTATTGCGCGTTTGTGCTTGTGATTAAAATTGCAGCTTTACACAGTAGGGCTGCTCAAATTGGCGTATTGAGATATCCGTTCACCTTTCCATCGATAGCAACCTGAATACAAATGGAAGCGTACATGATCGAAATTATTTCTGATGAATTGAATCGCATGGAAATGCATGCATGACACTAGATCGTTATTGTTCCTTCCAATATGATGTGGTAGAATCGCTCCCCCTGCAGAGTGGAAAAGTGATTTGGTGCTTGATGGTCGGCGCTAGTACGAATCCGGCATGGACCGGAAATTGGTTCGCTAACTCCCACAGTTGTAGCAGGCGAATTTCGAAGTCACAGCAACACCATCACCTGTCAAGTTCACCCTCCGTCAACTCGACTTCAATACCGTCGCCATGGCCAGTACGTCGCGAATCGCTTTCTACATTGCGAAAGCCAGCTAAGCTAACCTACAACAGAGTCAAAGAACTCGTCTCAGCACAACCAGTCGAAGAAGAACCACAAGAACGGGTACGAAATGCTCCCCAAATAAGCACAACGAGATTCGATCCGCCCTTTCCCACCCACGATCTATTTCGATCTGCACGCGCGTAACATTCATGTGATGGAACGGAAACTGATAAATGATGGCAACAGTATCAAGAAGCCTAAGACCAACCGATACCCTTCGCTCAAGGGAACCGACCCCAAGTTCCGAAGGAACCACAGACATGCTCTTCACGGAACCATGAAGGCATTGGTTCGTCGCCCCTGAAACGGACGATGGTCCACATATCGACAATATCGCTGACAATCTCTGCAGAAGGAGGTCAAGGAGGGCAAGCGCGACGCGGCATGAGGAACGAAAAAAGCATGAGCGTGAGCGAACCGACGGTGGCTTTCATTTCCCATGACGAGGACATTCTGGATGGCGTCAATGGCATATATGGGCTTTCTTTGACAGCCTCGGCTTCGAGCCGGTATCGGATACACCACCGTAGGCATGAGATGCGGCAATGAAAAAAGTCGAAAAGTCAGTGATGAGTCTTCACTACACTAACCATTTCCAACGAACAGCGTGCGGGCCAGACGGCCCATCAGGATTGCAGTTCTCCAGACGCATTCCGAACTCGAGTGATGATTATGAGATATGGTCTCAGGAGCAAGTACTATGTACTACTTCAAAACCATACGGCATTAGTGTGTACAGCAACTGAGCCTTACCCATGCTCGCACTGCTGAAGGAATTTTATCGTGCCAAGATCGAATACCCTATCATTACCAAACACTCTTCCTTTTTCCTCCATGAGGCACGGGTGCATGAAGATAGGGTTACATACTGTTTCCCAGGTCCGTATTCCCGGCCAGCGGGACCATCGGTGAGCTGCGCAGCTTCTCTGTGTGACACCAAAACTCAATATCAATCTGAATGTAGTCAGGCCCAATGTTTATTCGTTCATTTTCGATTGCGTGGATGTACATTGGGGCAAAAGGGGGTTTGCCGACTTGTCCGACATATAGCCTCTGGAATGGAATGCAATACCAATGATTTCCACCTCCTACTTCTTGTTCCTACTCGTATCTGTTCACTGACAATCGTACTGTTTCTCGGTCTTCTACTTGTCCCAGTCAATATGAAGCATTTCGGACTATGCACGATTCTCTCGTTGCTTGATTTTGCAGCGCTCGGAAGATGTCAAGGACGGGTTCCGTTCGTCGCGCCTGCACTGATACTTCCTACTAATTGGACCTACATTGGTTGTTACAGCGATTCTGCCTATGCGAGGACATTGCCAGGCGCATCTTTTGCGTCGAACGCCATGTCGGGTGAATATTGTATCAACCATTGCTCCTCCCGAGGATACCCATACGCAGGCACCGGTAGGCGATCAAAATTCTTCTCCCCGATTACGAAAATTTTGTCACTGAACTGCTCCCAGAATATAGTCGAGAATGCTTCTGCGGGCTGGGGCTAGGATCCGCCAAGTTCTCTCCTGATGAATGCATCATGCCATGTACTGGAAATGCGGTCCAGTCCTGTGGAGGACCCAACAGGCTGTCTATTTACGCCAACTATAATCAGCCTGCCCCTTCGACGAACCCTGGCCTCAATGGATTCACTTATCAGGGATGTTTCACCGACAACGTGTATAACCGCACGCTATCTCGTCTTTCATATGTCCAAGGGGGCAGTGCTTCGATGACCGTTGCAAAGTGCATAGCCTCGTGCTTCGATAGCTCTTTCACATATGCTGGCCTCGAGTTCTCTGGTGGTAAAATTTCGCCCCAATGTTGGACTCTTTGATATGATTGAATTCTAACATGGCCCATAACAGAATGCTGGTGCGGGACCGAGATATCGACTGGATCTGTCATGATTCCCGGAATTCCGCTGGCTACTGGATGTAACTCAATATGTCAAGGCAACATTTCAGAGTATTGTGGCGGACCGAACAGACTGGACATATACAGCTTCACTGATATCCAGTACATTGACAACGGTAATTTCGAATCAGGGCCATATCCCTGGGTGACCAAAGGAATCAATCCGTCATATGACCTGGGAACCTTGGTGGCCAACATTTCTCAGGCCGAAAACGAAGCGAAGAATTACTCATATGGCTCTGGATCATGGAACCTGTTCATTAGCGATACATCTACAAGAGAAGACCTAGATCCCATCGATCTCGCCCTCGCCAGTTCATCGACAAACTCGTCAATCTGCATTGGCCGAGTGATCAACCTCGACAAAGTCGGAAGTTACAACTTCTCTGCAGCCGTTGGCCGTAAGCCAGACGGCGGGACGGCATATGCGAACGATCTTCAATTCGAGGTAGTGCTGCGTCACTACACTCCGACCGGCCTGAAAGATTTCAGGACCAAACCCCCGCGGGAAGTGTGCACTCCCAATGACCCGGCTCACAACTGTACAGTGCCAGCAGCGAACGGCGAGTTGGTATACGAGTTGATTGACTTTCTGATTCCCATCGAGGCGGAAAGGGTCGGTTGGTATATTGGTTACTTCTGCGGTATATTCGCTGGCGAGTCTGCATCTTCGTTCACTATGTTGGCGGATAATCTAAGTATCAAGGGGCCGTTCTTCATCACCTAGCTATAACGCGTGTGATGTCGTGGGCAATACCAGAAGAAAGAGTTAGAGCTAGTTTGGCTAACGCCGCCTGTAAGGAACAAGGAAAGGTCGAGAAGGAACTTTCTTCAATCCTTGCATGGTTTAGAAGTGGGAAATGAACATTTTTATCTGACCTTCTCCGAGTACCGAGACGAGAGTTCATGCATCGATTCATTCCATAGTTCTCGGGGGACGTTAAGCCAGATCCGAACTAGCGCAATCTCTTAACCCCAAAAGCCGACCTCATCCATCGACATGACCACACCCCGCGCTAACAGCTCATCATCGAGGCGACGCCTCTCAACCGACTAATCTCAACCCAACTCTTTCCACTCTTTCTCTTTCCTGTTCTTTCCCCTCACCTTCTTACCTTTCAGTTCCGGTGGTGATACAAGAGCCCCCAGCTAAGCAATCAAACCCGACAATCCTCACTCAGCTCTTGTGACGCTCACCCCGGAAAGTAAAGGAAGACCAACATTCAACAGGAACAGCAAGCATATGAACCAACTGCCTGCCTGGGATTCTCCAGTACCTGCATCTGCAACTTAATTATATGACCAACCCTATCTCAAAGCCTTTGACCACCCAGGCAGAAATCTTTAAAGACACACGTGGCGCACTGCAACCTATATAACTACTACTCTCTTATTATCTCTTTCCAAATAAATACTTGCCGCAAGCTCTTGCGAGCTTATCGTTTGCACCGTACTCCGTACCTCATCATCATCTACCGGTCATCTTTGCTCCACCAGTGTACCAGCGTACCTTGAGTCCAGATCTGAAGGACTCTACCATGGCGACTCAAGCCCACTGTGCCTACTGCTTCGAGACACTCTCCGCTAGCTTAGAGAAGCGCAAACCGCTCTCCTTACCACAAGTCGTCGCGCTTTGGCAGCAGTTTAATGCCGACCCCACCGAAGCAGAAACAAACACCAACAATGTAGAACCATCGGACTCTGAGCAAGACGAAAACGACGCGACAGCAACTGCCGCTCCTTCGAGCACCGAGAACAACCGCCCAGCCGCGATATCCCGACTTCTCGTGCCCTCACCTTCAACGACAGCGAGTTCGTCGTCCGTCGCGAGCGTCAGCTCGACTCCCGCAGGCGGCGCCAGCGAGGCCAGTTCGGCAACAAGCAAGAGCTCGAGTATAAGCAGTTTCTTTTCACTCGGAAAGAGATCGCGAGCGCAGAGGGAATCCGACGAGATCGCGGACCACCCGTTGTTCGTCACATGGAACACGCTGCACAAAAGCGACAAGAGGCTGAGGGGATGCATTGGGACGTTTGAAGCGCAGCCGTTGGACGACGGGCTGCGGAGCTACGCTTTAACCTCGTAAGAACTCGCGTTATCCTTCCTCCAAATCTTCCAACAGAGCGAAATAGAGAAACACGCCAGGAACAAACATACAAACACGACATAGAACCTAAACTGACACAAGCACGCAGCGCCTTCGACGACACCCGCTTCAATCCGATCTCGATCCGCGAGCTGCCCCGCCTCGAATGCGGCGTCACGCTCCTGACGGACTTCGAGCCGGTGCCCTCGCCCATGGACTGGGAGCTCGGCAAGCACGGCCTCCGCATCTCCTTCACGTACCACGGCCGCCGCCACGGCTCAACGTACCTCCCCGACGTCGCCAAGGAGCAAGGCTGGACGAAGGAAGAAACGCTTATCAGCCTCATGCGCAAGGCCGGCTGGAGCGGCCGCAAGGAAGAGTGGACCAAGGTCGAGCTCAATGTCGTGAGGTACCAGGGCAAACAGGTCAGGCTCGGCTACACTGAGTGGAAGGAGTGGAGGGATTGGGCGGAGAGTCAGGTGGAGGCTTAGAAGGCTTCTATCGCTGATGAGGGGAAGGCGGATGTTGAGTGTGATCCTTAGCCCCAGCGGTATGACGACGGTATTGAGCGCGGCAGGCGCTTGCCATGAGGTTTTTTATATTCAAGGTTTCCCTCCTCATAGATGAGTCCAAGGCTGTGCGAGACAGCGAAGACGCCCAACATGATGGAGTTTCTCCCCATGCTCTTCTCTTTTTCGGTCTTGTATCTCGGCTCTGGGGATGGGGACGTCATCTCGAGGATGATGTGATGTCCCATGAGGAGGGAGATGATTCATCTTTAGCTTTTCCCCCTCTTAATATAGACGTAGGCCCCTCTATAGCAAGGGATCACAAGAATAAGAAGAAACCATACTCCTGAATCAAAAAGAACATCCCCAAATTGTGAAATAATGACGCACTGTCACACTGTTGTTGATACGATACGATACACACAGAACGATATTATATAGTATGGTATGGTATGATATGTCATGTCATGATACGATACATAACATGAGCCAAAATGCTGCACTCTCGACGATCTATACTGCTAGGGCGAAAAGGCGAAACCAGAAATTCTTGAACAAGAAGAGGAGTAAGTAAAAAAACGCCTCGCTATGCATACCAGCTATGCACTCTCCCGAAAAAAAAGCAAACGGAAAATGCACACAGCCACCATTATCCCCTCATCTTGTCTTTCAGTGCCTTTCCCAGGACTCAGGTTTAGAACGGATTCTTCTTAGGCCTCATGTCCACTACCTCGAGCGGCGCGTTGGGGAGCTCGACGACGTGACCCGGGCTCAGGGCCTCGGTGTAGATGTTGTCGATGCTGTGCGGGTGGAAGACGCCGCCCTGGTTGCAGTTGAGGATGGCTTGTTTGCCCGGCGGGTCGGTCAGGCGGAATATGCCCCAGCTGCCAGGTACTGCGTTAGCATATCATATAACGGGGGATGGTCGAATGGACGCCGTCGAAACTTACCTGGGTGATTTGCTCGGGGCGCAGACGATGGCGATGCTCTCCGGCATCATAACCTGGTACCCGGCGTGCGTGTGCAGGTCGCGACTGCTCATGAAGCAGGTCTGGGTCGGGTGCGTGTGGATCCAGCCGAGGATCATGAGCTCCTCCTTGTCGCAGTAGTCGAAGAGGTCCTGCTCGTTGACGGTCTCGCACGTGTCGGAGGTGGACGTCTGCTCGGGGATCACGAGGCGCGTTATGAAGAGGGCGTTGGACTTGAGGATCCCGCAGAGCATGCCGCAGGTCTCGAGGTTGAGGCGCGTGTTGCTGGAGGCGTAGCGGAGGAATTCGTGGCGGAGGGTCGGCGGGAGGAAGACGCTGCGGAGGGCGTTGCCGTTTTCGAGGTATGCGGAGGGCTTGAAGGTGAACTCGTCGAGGTCTGCGTCTGGGGCTGGCTCAGTGGAGACATGCTTCCCGGGGATAGGCGGTGGCTGGACAATGTCGACGGCGTATTTGCCGGGGATTGGTGGTGGGCGTGGATGCTCGAAAGGTGAATGGGTGGATATAGGAGGTTTTGGTGGCTTCGGCGGCAGTGCGGGTGGGTATGAAGGGGTATCTAATTGTCGATGAAGAGGTTCCTTTGGTGGGAGTGAGGGAACGTTAGACCACCGCTGCTGATTGCTCTTATGTGGAACGGTAGGATAATGGTATGGAGAGGTGCCTTGGATGGATGAAGGTCGCTGATATTGTTAGTTCAAGTCTCAGAGTGGCCTACACGATAAATTGTTTCCGTCCACTTACAGCGAAATTTTGACTTGCATGTCCGTTCTGTTCCTGCATTCTTGCAACCTCTTGAATCTGCCGTGATAGATCGTTGTCATCCACATCCCAAACGCCACCAGTCCTCCGTTCATGCTCTTGTTCTTCGGAGACACCCGCCTGTCTCACGCTTCTTCTTGCTGCATCTCTCCTCCTTATTTCCCTCTGCGCGAGCTTGGCTGCCAGCGTTCTGTTCTCTCCGGCATCTAACGTCGCCCTCTCGTATGACCGTCGCTTCTGTCCAGGCTGCAGCGACATGCCATCCAATTCATGTATGATATTCGGGCCATCTGCTGCTCTTCCTTCCAAGGCCTCGAGAGTCTTCAATTGCGCCTTTCTTCTCTCTTGATATTCCTTGTATCTCTTCTCGATCCTCGGCCGGAGTACCTCTAGTTTCTGAAGATCGACCAACACGGATTCTCTCGCGAGGCGCAACGCTTTCTTATTCTCGGGAAGACTTCTTTGGGGATGATTCGCGAGTTTGTCGAGGACGAGGTCTGCATGGCGGAGGAGTAGCACGAACACTTCCTGATCGTTGCGTTCGGCTTCGTAGATTTGCGCCTGGTGGCTGCGTAAGTAGTGGACATTGAAGCGGGAGTGGGATTTTGGCAATGTACCTGCTTCAGCATTGTATCTGCGGAACGAAGCCATTGTCGCAGAGGAATATGCTCGGCATATTCATAAGCTTTGGCTTGCTCCTGTGCCTGCTGGATACTTTTCGGGGCACCCAATGCATGCGCCATTGTAAACGTTCAGGTATGCGCGGCGGCGGTGGCTTCGTATCGTTGGGTTCTTCTGTTGATGCGGGGAGGACGCTTGAAGAAGCGGATGCTTTTATCAGCAAGATAGCGGCCGGTGATGTTTCATTTGCGCGGGAAGTATTGGTCGAAGGGCTTCTAGAGCTGTTGTCTCGCAAAAGAGTGGTTGCCTATGGACTGTGTATGTCTGTGATAAAGTTCCGGGTGCGTGTGTCACTTAGGTAGTTAATGGGTACCTCGCTGGTTAGTTGCTGCATCATCATACCCACCTCTACTGTCACCGACGCCACCGCCGCGGGGCCCAATCAGGCACGACCCAGATGGAAGACAACTCTCATCCCATCTTCTCTATGCCAACTGAGAAAAATACATATTTCTTTGCTACAATGATCATCTACTGGAATCACTCTACAAGACCGTGAAAGAATTAGATATTCCACATTCGATTTGCTCTTGCTTCACCTTCTACATCCAAGTATCGCCTGCTATCATCCAATTATGGCCGCGGGGAGCAACACAATGTCCATGTACACGGTAAAGTTTACTGACATGAACATTCATATATAAGTTGTACTCGTCACATCCAAGAAGAGGCCATTGCACAGACAGTGCTTCGAAACTTAAAATCAGGGTATCCTCACATCCTTCGACATTTCTCATACAACATTCAGGTACAGTCCAGTAGCTACTCCTCCCTCCCTTCATCTATCACCAGAGTCTTGAGACAGCTTCTCCCATTCAGAATCCGTACTCAACTCCCCAGTCGACTCAGCGAGATTCCTCTTCCTCACAGCATCATCTACCAACGGGGCAAGCCTAGTCGTCGCGCCCGAAGTACTCGCGCCCACAGGTCCAGAGCTGGTCTGCACAGGCGTTGAATCTCTTCCTCCATTGCTAGCCTCAGCAGCAGCGCCCTCCCTGGGCTTCTCCACGAAAACCGTGCTCTGCGTCTCTGGTCGCGGCGCCCGCTGCGACTGCGACGACTGTTGCTGCGAGCGCGTCGACCTCGCCTTCGTCGCTTTCGGTCTTCCCTGATACTTCTCCTCCACCTCCGTCTCCGTATCGTCACCGGAGTCCATGCCTCCTCCGACCTCGCCCCCGGCTCCCTTCCCGCCTCTGTCTTTCTCGCGCCGCGCCTCGCGGATCCGTTTCGCCTCCTCCTCTTTCTCCTGCGCGGCTCGGATCTCGCGCGCGAACCAATTTATTGCCCACCAGAGCCCACCGCAAAGGATGGACAGGATGACGAAGTGCACGCTGTAGGTCGCGATGAGGAGGGTGAATAGAAGTAGTTGGAGCGCGGCGAAGGTGGCATTCGTCGCGACGAGCAGGGTGGGCGTTGGACCGGGTTCGAAGATGGACTCCCAGAGCCTTTCCATGAAGGACGCCATTATCGCTGCTTTTTTTCTGTTGTAGGGTTGAGTCGGGGTGCTGGTAGGTATCAAGATTATGTTTATGGAGGAAGCTGGCTCTGAGAAGGTCGACCTTTTGCGTGTGGGAGTGTGTTCGCAGAACGTGTAGATAGTGGGAAAACGTGGAGCGCGGATCGTGGAGCGAGGGAGCTTGCGCTGTTGTGGTTGGTGACGTCTTACGTAGTACGAGTGCCCGTACCTCAAACCTTGATGGGTGCCTAGCAACGAGGACAGGTGTAAGAATCGCTATTTGTCGCAGCGATTACAGAAGTCTATGTACAAAAAGAACAGGCGTGGAATACTGGTATTTCTTTCCTAGATATCTTTGGTCTAACCAGAGGACAGAGGGCAAGCAGCGATAGAGGCAGATGTGGGGTGGAAGAGAGGGAAGACAGTCCCCTGCCACCAACTGCCACCTGCCACCTGCCACCTGCGTTTCTGCTTCTTGACGTGTCGGACCTTTTTTTCGCACGCGGGGCTGTCGCGGCAACCTTTCATTTCACGTACCTACACAGTAAGTTACCGGCCAGGGATCCTCTGCCTGATTGGTCGCTTTCCTACATATATTAGTTAGGGGGACAAGAATGGAAGAAGTCATTCCATATTATATTAATAGATTGTCACGTCTTTGCACTGCACACGAAAGCAACATCATTGAAGGAGTGAGTCAACAGCAGTTCGATGGGAGTGTGTTGCACGCTTGTGGGTGGAGGACAGCAAAAGAGACGGGAAAACATATATGTGTAGATTGGATCCTCTCTCTCCCCATCGCAGTTTCGTTATATTCGACAATGTCCACGCATGATCCCAATTTCTTAAAGAGCCCAGAGCTTCCTCGAAGATGTGACCCAGTTCTTGGTTTGCAATTCTTCCATAGTCACATAACCGTACATTTGCATCCACCACCGTAGTCCTCGCGAACCGTCTTGGTTGTTCGTTTATACCGCTGATTCCTCGGTCGCCCAAAGGCATCGTATCTGACAAGGTCGCCATGACAGTGTCCATGCTCGTGGTGAATCTGCACTCCATTCCCAACCATGCCTACAACCGCGCCCAGCATTCCATCGCCTCGACGTCCGATGATCTGAGTTGCAGCTGGATCTGCAGGGGAGCCGTTGCACACGGGGCAGCAATGTAAAGGCGCCATGCTTCGTGAAACGGGTTGCGGGTAAGGGCAGGTAATCAGGTTGGCGCCCAGATTGCAAGGTTGAACAAGAGACACCCATGAATGGATGCATGTGGGTGAATCGTATTCCGTGCAGAGGCACATCTTGGGCGCGAGAGGGTTTCAATCGAATCGATTGGCTTGTGCCCACTAGAGTAGACCCGATGGCCTTGATGGTGAAATTCGGCAATATACGAGCTTGCTGGAAACAAGGTTGGGAGAGTCCATAATCAAAGTAAAATAATCGAAATGTATAAAGGGTATCGTTTGAATGCTGAAGGTTGATTTACATGTTCGCTGGCATTGTTGCACATTCAACAAACGCGGTGAATGGGGCGTACACTGGAAGCCGGTATCTTCACATCCAGGTGAATTATCATTTAGACTCGTGTTCAGGGTCGTTTTCCTCTAACTCTCGCTCTCGAATAGCCTGCATCAATTCGTACAACTGCCCGATTTGCTGATCTATTACCATAGTCAGTGCCGGTATGGGAAACATTAAACGATAAAATCGCGGCAATTCACTTACCACTCATTTTGTCAATCTTTTGCTTGTCCATCTTTTCACCCTTCCAAGTATCGCCTTCAATTTGTTGGGCATACAATTGCCATTCCGTTAGAAATCCGATCTATTCAGCTATATTAATCGTGTAACCTCTACTAGCGGACCTCGCTCAACATACAATTTGAACTGGATTATCGATATCCTTGTGGGCTCTGAATTCTGCTTTAACATACAAATCCCCAAGCAGTCGTTCTTCTACTGGTAGTCTCTTTCGATGAGCACGCAGCAGACGTCGATACAGGGGAATTGGTGGTAGCAGTGCCATTGGAGCGGGTCTGAAGGGTTTCGCTGCCCCAGCGTCCGTGGCCATGGCCAAAAGCCTGCTGTGGACTCTCATGATTGCAACGAATAAAATATCACTTCAAGTACAAGGTGATTGCTGGTGACATGAACAAATGTAGTTGGAGGAAAGCGTAAACTAGTTAACTAACCTCGGTGATGACATAATGCACCGGAATAGTTAGTGCCACACATCGGCCCACCCTTTGCATCTTCTCTTGACGATCGACCGTAAAATATCCAGAGAAACAATGCTACCAACCCCTTCCACGTCCCACGTCTCTTTCGATCGCGTATATGAACCAGCCGAGGATTCATTCTTATTGCTGGACACGATCTCTTCATCAACAGAGGTCGCATTTCTAAAGGATCGTTTCTCCAATGCCACTACACATCCTCCACTAGTACTCGAGGTTGGCGTGGGTTCTGGAGTTGTATTAGCATTTGTCGCCGGCAATGCTGACAACATCTTTGGTCGACACGATGTGCTGACCCTTGGGACTGACATCAACAGGTTCGCCTGTCAAGCCGCTTCTCAGACCGTCCAAACTGCTATCGCGAGCTCCGCCCAACCCTCAGTTTTCCTAGACGTCGTGAATGGAGATCTAGCCTCTTCAATCAGACATCAATCAGTAGACGTTTTCATATTCAATCCTCCATATGTGCCTGCCGAGCTTCCCGATTTCTCTCGCCATGATTCGTACAACGCGCTCCCCGCTGGAAAGAAGGCTACGACCTTTGAACAAGACTCATACCTCCTAGAATTATCATACGCTGGCGGAGAGGATGGAATGGTAGTGACAAATCGAATGCTTGCACAGATACCGGAGATTCTAAGCCCCAATGGTATCGCTTACGTCCTGCTCTGCGCACAAAACAAGCCAGAGGACGTCAAGAAGAATATCAGAAGCTGGGGTCCCGGCTGGCTTGCTGAGACAGTAGGGTCAAGTGGGAAGAAGGCAGGATGGGAAAAGTTACAAATCGTAAGAATATGGAGGCAAACGAGTGGATGAAAGGATATCAATTTGCATAGTCGTCGTCTATATGAAAGAAGATGGACACGCCATTGCTACTTCATCAATGGCAACCCGGGTACCTGGATGTCAACTACCGTACTTCGGTTGCACGGGAGATGCTGCCATAGCAGGATGTGGGCTATCTAGGGGTGTCTACGGATACCTCACATGACCAGCATGCATCGATACTCGCCTCTGTTGCAGTTCGTCGTATGGTATGATCATCGGCAAGGCACATTCAACTCTTCGACTCGATGTGTTGATCCGATACAGGATCAAGGTTTCAGTCTGAAAACCTTAATTGGTTAAGGAACTGTGGCATCACAAGAAGTTGAGCACTATGAGTAATCATAGACAATATACAAAGAATATCATCTCTGAAACGGGACATAGGGTTTTGCCCAGATTCACTACCAGTTGGACAAACCGACCACATTGGCGGGGGACGTCATCCCAAAATTGTGTGAGCAAACTCTATTACCCAAAAGCATTTTGATGCTTTCAGCATAACAACAAATCATCTCTCCCAAGAGCTGGGTTCATAGATAACTCGCAAGATGGCGTAATCGCATACGGGTTCATGCTTTGGTTCAAGAAATGCCGAGCAGGCTGGGCTTCCAGTTGTCCGCCAACCGGAGTTCTACCTTAAACAACTCACCTATCTCGAAACCATCATTGATCTAGGATTGGTTGGTACTGTGTATGCAAAACGTACACAGTATAGAATCTAGATTCATCCACATACGAATGGCGGAGGAACGGCAAAACCCACTAATGAATGGTGTATCGTAGACAGATCTTCGAGGGCCCGATTGGGAAAACAGGCGGGAATAAGCAAAGATGACTCTGCCTCAATCCCATTATTATTTGAGTAGGTGGAAAGACTCGAGACCTAATTCAAGCAGTGCGCACACCATAGATCTGCATTTCTAGTTGATCTGATCGAGTACATGCGGTTGTGGCAGACAGTCGCAGGCATGACACGAGTAGATGCACTCTCGATTCGCACGATGCGCCTCAGATGGCCATGCCACGTTCTTCCCATGTTGCTCAGGAAGATCTGCAATTAGAGTTCGGCAGTTCCCATCAGTAAATGGCCAATCTACGAGTACTCGTGTGTCGATCCGATATCGACCTCGATCTGATCAAAAAGCCACCTGAATTAAGGTTCGTGATTTTGCGCAAGTTGTTTCCTTAGGCGTGCGGCACGATTCAACAAGAATTATCATTATGGATTCAATAATGTTGTGGCACTGGTGAACCTCAAAGGCGTACCAATCAATGGACTGGTGGCTTGAGCCAAACCGTATCTCTCAAACACTGTTTCCTTGCATACGTTCTCGAGTCGCCCGTGTCTGCACAAAGTATTGCAATCAAAGTTCCGGAGCTCAGCCGGACCACACAAGGGGTCGCACAAGAAGTAACCAATTCCCGTCTAGAGGTATAACATCGGTCAAGATCCGAAAGCATATGTACTTAGCTCCCCACGGGCGGGCCGTCGGATGCTGCCCATTTCAAACGCATTCTACACATGCTAGTCCTTAATGAAGGTGGTTCAATCCTTCGAGATCGCTGAGGGAGAGAAAAAGGCAACACATAATTACCCGATCCACCGATATAGGCATGGCAGTGCAGATAGTATCTTTGGTAAATCGATACGAGCACTACGAGGCACGAGGCATAAGGCGCTCGGTTCGTGTTGAACATCGCGGGTGTTCATGCCGTCTAGACAGCAAGTTCGAATGGTTCCCACGATTCAGCGTTGACGGCGTTGGAACTTCCCGTGCACCTAGATGAATCTCTCGATACTAGCGGACCCTGTGCCAGCGCCGTCTTGATTTAGGTGTAGATCTCCATCGCCATGCAGATGCCTTACCCTGGGTAGACTGTTCCAATCCGCACTCAATGATCTCACAATCCCGCTTCAACTGCCCTATTGGGAAACCCTATTGCCTTTTCCAGTTCTCCGCATTTGGTGCCCCAGATCCTCGTCGATATTGGGCACCCAGATTTGTCTCAAGTGGATATCGAGTCCATCCGTTTGGTGTCCATGTCCTCCACGTCCATCGTAACAAATCTAAAACCGTATCGTGGTGATCAAGCAATGATAGGAAATAATAAAACCTCATCCTCCTCCTGTATGCTAGATGGGGTTTCAAGATTGGGATGTTCGAAGCCCAAATTTGTCATTGCGTCTGATGGAAGTGGCGTCCAGCGGCCATACGCTGTCATCGGACCTTCTCCGCTGGATGGAAAGCTTCAGCCTTCACGCTACAGTTAGTCTATTTGGAACGCCCCCTCCTCAGCCGGAGATCTTGGTTTCAATCCGCATTGCGATTGCAGTCCACGCCTGTTCATTGGTTTTCGGTGTCAATACTCCATGTGGCCGCCAAATCCCCTTCCGACATGTCTCTATTTTATCATACCGGCCGGTCGCCCCCTCACAACCCTTGTTGCTCAAAAATCTCTCCTATCTGAGTCAAACCCTTGCTATACGCTGGTGAAGACTTTGCGATTCTTCCCAATGTTCGAGTCGATATGGCGCAGGAATTCGTGCCTGCAAAGGTTCCCTTAGCTGGGAATGTCTTCTCCGTCATACTATCTATGAGCACCTTTGCGGTCCTCGCAGTATGCCTAAGTAAGTTGCTCCCGTATACGAGTAGTACCAGGCTAACTAAAAGTGACAGCTCGACGAGTGCAAAACGTCAAAAAGTGGAGGCAGTTGCCGCTTGCGAGCATCTGTGAGAACCCCAGATGGGCTCCTCTTATACTGTCATAGACTAACACTGTATAGTACTCCTCGTCATCTACATTGATTCAACTTTATTCATCATCGCAACCTCAATCATCGCACGGGGCGTCGGCATCAATACATCTCCAGGCATTTGTGAAGGAGGAATTTTATTATGTGCGACACCCAGCTTCAATAACCCTTGGCTTTACTCATACTTGGACAGGTCTAGTCTGTTATATGACCACGAAGGTGTTAATATATTACTTTCTTGTTGAAAGAGCGGTATGCAAGACAATCTCTTGGAGGAGACGAACGTAGTTCATTGCTGACCTGCTGCAGTACATCATTCGAGGCAGCCGACTGTCTCGGCTGAAGGACAAATTGTATTGTTTCAATTGTTTTGGAATGCTGAGTGAGTAAACATCTTAGGTTTCGTTTAGCAGATTATACTAACCTGCTCAAGTACCCTATGTCATCGTCATTATCCTAAACTTTGTCTGGTTCGAACTCCATCTCCCCAGCGGATCGAAGAGGCTCTAACGATTGCTAGGCGCATCTCATATATTAATGATGATGGGGTTTGTATCATCGGCATGGAAAAACGAGCAATGATGCCGTTGATTATATTCGATGTCGTCCTAAATGTCAGTGGACAAACACCGTTGACAATATCTGTCGCTAATGTAATCTTTAGGTCTATCTTACCTGCCTTTTCATAGTTCCATTGAGGAGTAAGTTGAAGTTCCTTTTATGTGGACGACTCGAGCTTACAGTCATAGAACTCTACTCGTACCAACACGATAGGAACCATTCCCTCCGACGGATGGCTACGCGCAGTTTTATCGGCGCTGTAGCAACTTTGCTTTCATCAGTCGTCAACCTGACGGTCCTCATGGTTTTGAAGGGCGAACCAGGCTGGATATGTCTCATGTGCTGCAATGCCGACATTCTATTCTGCGTCCTAGTCCTCCACTGGCTCACGCAGAGCGACTCCTCACGGACGGGTTCTACAAATGGATCCAACCATGCCGCCGGCGACCAGGAAAACCCACACCCCAATTTCAGTAGATTTAGTATCCGTCAACCAACCAGACCAAGACCCGCATCTCTACCAGGATGGGCAGCGAGACGGTTGACAGAGCCGAGAAAGATTCTCTCGGGTACCATCACGACGGAGTGCAGGAGCGATCCGCAGCCGGAGGTCCGAAAGAGCGAAGACCCGAACTTCCTGGAGCTTCACGCGATAAGGGTGGACACAGAACAGACGCGGGAGATCGAGATGAACGAGGGCTCCACGGTCGAGATTTGCAACGGAGGTGAGAGCAGGAGCGAAACAGATGTCAACGAAGAAGTTGGCGGAACCGATCCTTCCAGAGTCAGCGTCGAAAAGATGGTATAGGGGAAAAGGCGTTATTGGCCATCACCATGTGGCCCGGAAAATCGAGAACTCGACATCATACTGAGATATCGATGCCCATGTTCACTTTATGATTTCATTACAATTCTGCCCCATCCCAAACTCCGATTTCTGGGAAGGCAAATGGGACTTGTGTATTACTATGCTTGATGCCCTCGTGGCACGAGGCGTTCGTGTTGGCTTAGATAGATATCCTAGAAGCTCACTGATCGATTCAATTAAAAGAAATTCATCAATCAACCTTTCGAAAGTTCGATATTAACTTTCCGAAATGCTATAGCAGATAAGTGCCATGCCGAATGAAATTTATTTTCTTCGTTGAGTGCACATTGCCTCCAAAAGCTTCCGTATCGGAATTCTAATCGATGGTACAGTACATAATATACCAGGGTACATACTATATCTACACATTATATTAACTCAAACCCGGCATATCGTGACAATCTTTCCCAACGTCCACCGTCATTCGCCTACGCCATGCTAAGCTTCTATAAACACATTACGCACATCCAGTTACCAGTTTTCCCTCTTGGCTGTTCCCGGTCGTCGTTCTTTCCCTTCGCCGCTCTAATCTATCGTTCGTCCACCACTCGCAATTCTTCCGGACCCTTGCCCGACGTATAAGTTCAATTCGACGAAGACCCCTCAATGCTATATGAATTCTAGAAGGTTGTGGAGTCGAAATTTGTGGGAGTATAAGCGTGGTATTTGTGGGGTCAGATCTTTGATCCTGGGTTTCAATCTGGAAGAAGGGAACATTTCTGCTTGGCTATGATGCTGTCATGATATGCTGCTCGATTTCACGAGCTTCTGGATAAGCTCGGCGCTTTTTGAGATAGGGCTTGCGGGGGTATATGGGTGGGAGGAGAAGAGGTCGTAGTCAAGTTTTTAAATGGGCAGCTTTCCAGTGATTTCGTCGTGCTCGGTATATCCTGCCACGAATTGAGCTAGGCCTTTTCAGCATGGTTGGTATACACTATTTTACCATGGCCATTGCGGCCTTGATTGTCCAGGTTTCTGCTCAGAATTGTGCGACTATCAATCCTGCGAATCCAGCGACTTTCGCATCCGGGTACTCTGGCAAGGTCCTTATGAATGGGCTTCGGCAGCCCCGTGGTCTCATCTTCGACAACGAAGGCAATATTCTGACTACCGAACAAGGTGGCTATGGAGTTCGATATATCAAATTGACGGACGGTGGAGGAACAGACGTCTGTGTGGCTTCCAACAAGCAATTAATCGCTGATTCACAGGTTAGTCATTTCTCTGAGCATATTTGGTCATCATGCGTTGATGTATGGTTTTAGTGATGTTATACTAAGATACTAAGATCAATCACGGAATTGCTCTCACTCCCGATGGAAAGACTCTTTTCGTATCCTCCCTTACGACCGTCTGGTCGTGGACCTACGATGGGGCAACCGGTACTGTATCCAATAAGAAGACCGTCATTCAAAACATGCGCAATGGAGGGTTCCATCTTTCGAGGACATTACTTGTTCCGAAGGCCAACCCGGACGTTCTCTTGGTTCAAAGAGGTTCTCAAGATAACATCGACACTGCAGCGGCCCAGGAGAGCACTGCGAGAAGCATGATCAAGATCTTCAAGATCAGTGAAATTCAGAACGCACCGGTTGATTATGACAAAGGGCAAACACTCGCTTGGGGCTTGAGGAACACTGTTGGCTTTGGAGAGCATCCTGATGGTGGCATCGTAGGTCTCTTCTCTTCACATGGGCAACAGAAGATACTAAGCTTTACTCGTAGTGGTCAGTCGACAATGGAGTGGACGATATGCAACGAGATGGTCGGGATATCCACCATACGAATCCCTGTGAGGAGATGAATTATCACGGTCGAATCAACGATGCAGCTTCTCCCGAACGTGGTGCCCACCATGGCTATCCGGAATGCCACGCTGTCTGGGATACATCTGTGATTCCCAACGCAGCACAGTTGAACCTCCAGGTCGGCACACCCTTCGCCCACGGTGTCAACAGTGGCGATGCGACCTGTCGAACTCGACAGGCGCCCAAGCTGTGCTTCCCCGCGCACACTGCCCCGTTGGATATCAAGTTCCATTCAAACGGAACCGCCGCATATATTCCATTCCATGGATCTTGGTCAGTGTTTAACATGTCACATTGTTTTGCGAGATCGTACTGATTCAATTTGTTAGGAACAAATCACCGCCAGATGGCTACCGCATCTCCCGCGTGGAATTCAATGCCGGAACTGGCCAGCCAATTGAGCCGTCCACTTCCACGACGGCGGCAACCAACATCATGTATAATGCGAACAATGCCCAATGCCCCAATCGCTGTTTCAGGCCTACGAACGTAGCATTTGGGCCAAAGGGCCAGCTGTTCATGACCAGTGATACCACGAATGAGATTTGGGTCATTGCAGGTGGTTTCGAGTAGATCCGTTGCTTCATGTATTTTGAGTACATATATGTACGTGCGAAGATGATTTACTGTAGTAGAAAGCTCCTCACATCTTTTCGAATGAAAATTGGCATATATAAGTTTGGCCATATGGGGTGAAAATGGGTATTTTGAGGCCTGTAGGCCTGTGGTCATTCTATCATGATCCTTTTATGCATGTACTGTGCATGCCGATACGTTAATGCCCCCAAAGCCTCTCCCAACGCCTTCAGCATTAATGTGCTGGACCGAACCAACGGATGCATTACTAACAAAAGCCCGTTCATGATATGATCATGCAGGTTGTTCGTAGGCCCTCTTAATAACCCTTGCGAACTCTTTGATGTTGTTAGCAAAATGAATTGCAGTTGATTGCGGTGAATCTTACGGTCAAACTTGACATTCTCTGTGACAATGGTACCCTTGGCCTCGTTCTCCTTGTTCAGGGGTACCTTGATCTTTGCGCCGTCGATGTTCCAGCCGCACACGCTTCCAACGAAATGATCAAACTCCTTATCCGAAAGGTTCAACCAAGATTCGAGGATGGACCTCTCGATCTCCCGTAGCGTCTGGCTGATAGTCACGGCAATGCGTACTCGCATGAGCTCCTCGAAACCAGAGACATCGGCTACAAGATCGGCATACAAATCGTCCGAGTCAAGTGTCGACCAGAAGGCGGCGTAGTCGGCACCACCAAGAAGGTTGTTGAGGACGTTGAGCTTCTGAACCGCCTCAGACAATGGTGCGTCGCCGGCAGCGGGCGCCTGTGTAGATGTAGAGAGCGGGGCAAGCACATGAGGAGGGAGAAGTGAAAGACCAAGGGAGAAGTCTGGCGAGGGGAATACGGTAAGCGACTTCACGAGAATGTTGGTGATGGTCTCATCGCGGGTGAGGTGAGGATTGAACTGGTATCTGTTGCATCGACAGCGTCAGCAGCGTAGCCAAAAAGACTTTCAAGCGTCAAATCCAATGAGAAAGATGATAGATCAGCTAGAGCTAATAATAAGGCTTCAATGGGCGGAGTGATTCAAGCTCCGGTGCCCTCGGTTAATAGGAAACGATTTTACGTTGTTCATCATTCGAAAATGGTAACGGCTCGGAAAAGAAAGGTACTTATACTCCACGTACAGCTTCAAGAGCGCCAGATTCGAGTAACAGTCGTATGTTTGGTTTTCACACTGCTGCATTACGTAGTCCTGGAAGACGGCCGTCGTCTCGGGGTTGTATCGGTCAAGACCATTGAGAATTTGGTCAATATGCTCCGGCCTGTCGGCGGCATAGTCGAAGGGTCGCGACATGGTGAGCTTGAACTGGGGTGGTGGGGATGTTCGCGACGAGGAGTTTGGTGGGATGAAGTTTCGAGGAATTTGGTGTGCGGCTTGGCGTGCATCAGCCACAAAAATAGTCTGCTCCACCTTGTGGCTGGTAATTACACTAATCAGTTTTCTCCGCATTCATGAATCTTTGACCATCTGAGCACGAAGGAAAGGGTAACTTGTTACACAGGTTTAATTCAGCCGCCCGGCGCTTCTACACCTTTCACATATTATAATGTTCACAATTTCATAAAACATCACCACAAAATGCTACTCATGCTTATTTTTAGCAATCGATAGAGAGATTGATGCTATCTACTCCTGGATTCAGCCATACCGCCGGGAATCCCCCTTCTCGAGGGCAGCGTAGGGTATCCATTCATCCAAGGAGCTGTATTCTGTGGTTCAGTCTCGTTCAAGCGCTTCCAAAGCTCTGAAATTCCAATTCTCTCTGCCGGTAGCATGCTGTATTGTAAACTGTACAGGTCACGACGATGGATTGGAGGAACAAATTGCCCAGAGCCAAGGCAGAGAAGTACGCTGGGTGACAGATAGTGCTTGCGGATTCGATCGCCCAGCTCAAAATACGAATGGAACATTGCGCGTAGTGAAAGCGGTATCGACTAATGAAGTAAGAATATGCGAGACATACAGAAGATGATATTTTAGAACATACCTTTAGTTTAACATACGAAGTTGGAGCACACTGTGAAGTGTCTTGGGCCAAGAAGGAGATCTTATTTGTATCTTGAAGCTGGAAACAAATACCACCTAGAAGACGACGTAAGCAGTTGAGGTGGAAAGTGTATCATGGTCGATCAAACATACCTGGCAACCGCCTGGAGTCCTTTACCCTCAACATAGCGGCGAATAGAGGGAAGTGGTTCAAACACGCCAACCCAATCTCCAAAGATGCCTTTAGCCCAATGACAGCTACTCGGGCACCCGCAAATGTCAAGTAGAAGACGAAGACCGTCGGCATTAGAAAGAAGAGTACCGTGAACAGTATCGTACCGAGGAGCAGCTGATCCAGGTCGTAATCACATGAATCGATGCGGTTCCGAAGAACATTTCTTTTCTTCCCGCGGAAAAGGTGAAAGAGGGAAATGATGATTGTGAGTTGCCAGTGGAAAATCCGAGCCGAGGCTATGTAGAACGAGTATATGTGCAGAGTCAACAAGGACAGAAGATCCGAGAAAAGCGATATGGGCATTGTAGCACCAGCGAAAGAGGAGAAGCCAATCAAGTGGATGATACTGGGAAGAAATGGACGAAGGAAGGATATGTAGCCTACCTTGATTAGTTGACGTCAAGCAGTTTAAGTAAAAAGACTTACCAGCCCAGTGATCGATGACCCAGAGGAAAAGGTCACCAAGAAATTCAGCAAGTTCTGTATTCAGCTTCAATCCACCGGGCCACCCCATAAGCCATGATATCATACGCCGTAGACCATCAATAGACCAAGTGCTGAATATTGTATCGACCTGAGATGCTACGAAGGCCGAGTTCTCGATGATATAAGAACCCAAGGCAATTCCGATTATTACGTCGTTGGCAACTAGCCAGAGACTATTGTAGAACCTGATGTACTCTGGGTGACTGCTTGTGATACTCTCCCAATTGCCCTTTCTCTTTCGCAAAGTCATATACTGTATTGGCCAATAGCAAAATTGTTGTAGGCGGATATCGATCTGCTGAGCTGTCGCTGAGATATCCTTCAACGCCGTTGACTCGGGCGAGCCCGTTCTCCAGTGGAGGACATGCAGTATTATTTCAGCAACGAACCGGTGCGCCATAAGTCCGAGTATGAATAGTTTCGCAATGATTGGATAGATCCAGAGCCACCATATGTAGCACAACGCGATGTAAATGTAATCCCAGAGGTCGTTCGCTGACTCGACCACCCGCTCGCTTACACTCAATGCTCGCTTGAGTCGTCTTCCAATTAGCCCGATATTCTTCTGCAGTACTGAATTGAGCTCGAATGAACAATTGATTTGATCGATAATCCTTGACAAGCTGAGCTCCTTCTGTGTCGGCATGTGTGATACAACGGTATGTAACTTTAGTTTCTCTACCAATTTCTCTTTCTGAAGCCGAGTCTTGACCTTCTCCTCTTGATCCGTCCCAAATCCAGGATTCCACTTGATGTTTTCCTTGTCCCCCAATGCCAGGGAGATAGGGCTAAGCGACAAGTATTGCATGCGCGTAGGATGAGGTCGATCGTATATGATGACTTGCATAGTCAATCCTGACTCAGAGGGGCAAAAGAACCGCGGAACGTGGGTGATATTATCTGTATACGCGGAAAGAAGCTGGGGATTGAAGCTATCGGGTGGTACCCTCGGATTGACAGATCCTAAGACTCGCAAAGAGGAATGCCCGCATTGCTTGAAGAGCTCGTGGATGTCGTGAGGCTTGTGGCGGAGAAGAGTACCCACCGCAAGGGCGTTCTCAACATGACGGAGCTGTTTATGATTAGCCTGAACTGATTCATAAGGAATGGTATTGCGTACCTCGACTTCTTGCAGGATGGAGACCACGAACACATCCAAATCAGAGTTTCGCCATCCTACGAGCACACCCGGCAAAAGACTAGTTGGCGCATCCGAAGGCCAGAATATGCGCATCAACCCATTGTGCGCAACCATGTCATCATACTGTGATTCCTCTAGAACGAGCCTCGACGTTTAAGTTGTTCCCGGGCAGATATGCCACCGCCGGCGGTTCGTGGATGGAGGTACGTCTCCTGTGTAGCGAGGTATTGTATGGGTAGGAACAAGAGGAAGAAAAATATTGACAAGACTGCGAAGCCTTTGGTTGCCCGCGTCTGATTAAAGTTAGAAAGCTGTCCTGAGGGGCAGTTGGCACAATGTTCTACACACCACAACGCCGTGATCCCAAGCAAAGATGGCTAACTCGTAAAGTCGAGTGACAAGGTCCCAGCGAGCGGTTGAGTATCCCGCGACAAAGATTCCAAGCGTAACAATTGAGAAGGCGTGCATTAAATTATGATAATGTGCTGAACGTCGTCATACCAAGCTGGATTCGAGTAGTAGGTGGAGCTTCAGACTGAACAGGATTGTGATGTCCCCTGGGAACTTAGTGGCCTTCGCCGAAGGAACGTCGGAGTTGAGGAGACTGCTTTTGAGGTATAAGGAGGGATCCGCACTGTTGACAGCCTGGCATGCTGTATCAAATCTGCTGAAGCGGCATGATATGTTGCGTATGTCGTCGAATTCAATTAGAATCAACACACGCTAGTGTTCCGAGTTTGGACTAGCGTTTTCGGAGGTGAACCTCACTTTTGTTGCCCTCCGCAGCTCCTCCACGTCTTCATCATCAAAGGTGCAACGATAATCCATTCACGATTAGCAATGAGGAAAACATTTCTTTTATAGCACTCAAATCTTTCTGAAATATCGCTGTTAAGCAGCCATTATGGCAATCTGCGCGTACTTCCAGCGCGGTAACTGCAGGTTCGGAAGTGAGTATCCCTGTCACGAGCTCACGTGTTCTAGCTAACATTACATACAGAGGATTGCCGCAACGAACATCCAGGAGCCCAAAACTCTAGTAGTGGCCCATTTGGAGGTTCAAATACGAATCGATTCGGTGCTTTTGCCAATGGCGGAGGCGGCGGCAGCGGCGATCGTTATCGACCTGGCCAGCAATCGGGTGGTGGGTTTGGTATGTCCTAACCTCTCCCTACCTTCAATATACCTTGGGGTTTTCTGCATTAGATATTGTACCTCTTCCGCTTCAACTAACAGTGTCTAGGACGAAATAACAACAGTCCTAAATTCGGCCTAACCAAGGATGATATACAGGCAGATCTTTCTAGCCAACGTCCGATTTACCCACTGTCCTGCTTCGGTCCAGGTCGAGAAGCTCCACGCCAATTGATCGAAGGACCTGTAGAGCTGAGCCCAGAAGAGTTGAGACATCGTTACTATTCTCTTCGAGCTTCGGGGAATGAAAATGGAGCTGTAAGTACTTCGCCGTTATTCGTGACCCCTAACATGCCTAACACACACTAGCAACAAGAGGAGACAAATCTGCATGGTCAGATGCAGAAGCAAGTAGAAAGTGTTCTCAAAGATCTTGACGGAGCTATCAAATACATCGAAGATGGCGAGGATGTCCATCCAAATAGAATCGATATTGCACAGGGTAAAGTCCCTGTTGGTGATCAAAAGCCCAGCGCTTCTGCTTTTGGAGGTGCATCACAACCCTCATCGACGTTTGGGCAGCCGTCGAACTCGGGATTTGCACAGCCAAAGCTGAGCGGATTTGGACAGGCCAGCACTTTAGGCGCCGGTAGTGGTGCATTCGGAAAACCCACTGCCCTTGGAGGAACGACGAGTGCCTTCGGGCAGCCGTCAACCATGGGCTCAGGTTCAGCCTTTGGGCAAGCATCATCGCTTGGAACATCTGGATCGGCCTTCGGCAACCCTTCAGCAATTGGAGGCGCATCTCCATTTGGCCAACCCAGCGCCTTGGGCCAAAAGCCTGCCTTTGGACAATCCACAGCCCCTGGGTCTACCTCTGCCTTTGGACAATCAAACACTCTGGGCCAGAACTCTGCCTTCGGAAAACCGTCGCCGTTCGGGCAACCTTCGCAACCTGGCGCAAGTGCTTTTGGCAAACCCTCGCAACCTGGCGCAAGTGCCTTCGGACAACCGTCACAGCCTGGAGCAAGCCCATTCGGCCAGGCGGCACAGACAGGCCCAAATGCCTTTGGTCAACCCTCGCAACCTGGAACGAATGCATTTGGCCAGCCATCTCAGTCAGGTGGAAGTGCATTTGGGAAGCCATCCCAACCAGGAACCAGCGCTTTTGGCCAGCCATCTCAAGCTGGCACGAGTGCTTTTGGCAAACCCTCTCAACCTGGCGCAAGTGCCTTCGGACAACCGTCCCAGCCTGGAGCTAACGCATTTGGACAACCCTCACAACCTACCGGTGCGTTTGGAAAGCCTTCACAACCTGGTGTCAGCGCATTTGGACAGCCTTCACAACCTACTACAGGTGCATTTGGAAAACCATCTCCTTTCGGACAACAAACTACGGGTGCATCTCCTTTTAGCCAGCAGTCGCAACAGACCCAGCCAGCAAATCCATCACCTTTTGGGCAACAAAATCAACCAACTCCTGCAGCCGCCTCGCCGTTCGGCCAGCAACAGGCGAAGCCGAACCCGTTCAGCACGTCAAACCCAACAACCGCTACACCAGCTGCGAGCGGACTTTTCGCAAAACCACAAGACTCGTCTACAGCAAGTCCATCACCATTGGGCCTTAATGCACAGACTGCTCCTGCACCATCCGGCCCAATAGATGCCAAAGATAGATACAAAGAGGGTAGGGCAGAGGAATATGCTGGTGCATATGGGCAACAGCTAGAGGAGATTTACAAGCGGGTCACTCAAATGGGAAGTTTCAATGATGATGAGGAAGCACCGATGACGCCTCCTAAATGCGAATGGATCGTTCCGGTGGCAGCGTTATAAGATCGCACCCGCAAACGAATATTGCGAGGGAAGGAAATCTGCGAAATTGAAGACTCAGTTCAATCAGGAGTTAACGGTGGAATGATTATGGTTTTTTTTTTTGGAAATTGGTAAGAGTGCAAAACAGCATGGCTTACTAGCGGAAAGGAAATTTGTGGCAGGCTTTTATTCGCCGTTTAAATTATGTACATGCTATGTAGTCTCCAGCCAAACGAGCATCGACTTATTGATTGGCAATTGATAGAAACGAAAGATATTTTTGTTGAACGATCACAAATGCGAAAGCGTTCATGACATATCACCAGATGAACAGGCATTCGATTTAAATCGTCAGTCATTATTCGTGAATCCGATATACAACTAATTACCTGGCCCAGTAAAGTTCCCAATGAATACAACTAGAATCGCACAGTAGGCCGCACTCGCAGCAAAGAGCTCATGTCGCAGCGCTCTCGTCAATAGACTCATCGCAGCTGAAAACACCAGCGTGAAGACTATCAGTACACCAACAGCCCTGAAAGTGCTGCGCTGGTACAGTTCTGCGACATTCTGCTGCTGTTCAGGATCCGATCCTGTGTAAAGATTTGTCGAGGTCAAGTGGTACATGATTACCACCGGGGCCACAAGAAGGAAGAAGATTACGAAAGTTATGAACACATTAGTGAGTTTGTCGATACGGGAGCTAGAGTAGTAGGAAACATGTGGACTCGATGTTTTGGCGCGCAGTTCTGGCGTTCGAAGCAAATTCTAACCAAATCCATTAGTATGCTTTAACAAGGAGCGCTGGAAGCATCATTGCTTACCTGTAAAGGAGGAGTCTTCAATCGAAATAATCTCTTTAGGAAACCATCGAATTGGCCGATCATTGTTTCCACTCCACCGTCAAATGACGCCCACTCGCGGCCACTTCCCAGCGAGACGGTGTCTTCCTTGCTCCTGATTGCATCCATCTCAGCATCCATGAGGGGCTTTTCGTTATGATGGTACCGCCTGACACTTCGGTAATTACGATCACTCGGCTTCTGGAAGCTCTCGAGCGTTCTCGCTTTGATAAGCACCTCATCATACTCCATTAGTCTTTCTCTAATCTCTCGTAAGATCACACGCCGGGTGCGTTTGTTGGGTTCATTAGCAGCCTGTGCGACATCGATTTCTCGACTGCGCAGGCGGTCTCGATCTTCATCGAAGTCATCCCAATCGATATCGTCGAGTTCCTTTTCAAGGCTAGTGATCTCGTCCTGGAGATCGAGCAGCAAGCGCGAATGAAGATAAGAGAATGACCTGTACAAAGCGAAATTTGCCTCAGACGATTGGAACGCAGCCAAACGTGGAAATCCATTGGGGGTTTCTTCAACTTTATTGATGTCAGTATGTGGAAATTGGGAGTCATATCAATATGTTGGTCTCACGTTTTCGGGTGTTTGTCTCGGTTATGTCAAGAGGATCTGGGGTTGGCCTGAAGGGCTTCGTTATCCGATGTAGGACAGTAAGTCGGTTCTTTTCCGTAGCTATAATAGTATAGTCAGTATGATACTTGTGGTTTGGAATCTTTGGATGTGGTATTCCAAGATGCGCTGTGGGGGCCGAAATGAGGGGGCAGGGAACTTACGAGGCTGAGTGTCGTGCTGAAGCGACGATGACCGTCTCGACCTCGAGGAGGACGTTCGCACTGTTGAATTACCATCGTCTTCGTTTCCCATTTCAATTATGGCGTCTCCTTGTAGAGTATTTCCAGAGCTGTCAGTATTTGTAGGAGATGCTGGAGTTTGAGAAGGATTCATTTCCTTCTCAGTGACAAAAGTGTCCCCAGTCATTGATCGAAGGGGAGTCATTGTCCACTGGTCCAAACGCCTACGGTCGAGCGAGCGAGCAAATACAGCAAAGCACAATGTTACAAAATCAACAAACAAAATGGCGACGAACAAAAGACACAAAATTGATGGTGCATCGGGGGTTAAAGCCCAAATCTTTGATGGAAGAGCCGCCGGCTGGGGATGGTAGCGAGCGAGTGAGGCGGCTGTCTAGAATGAACGAATATTATGCGAAATATATGAGGAGGATGAGAAACCCCGAACGCCATCCAATGAAATGATTCAATCCTCATGCTCTAGCCACGCCTCGTGCCACAGATTCACATCTTCATGGGGCACAGCCACGCGCCTCGCTCCGTTCCCGTCTCCTGAGCCACCCTCATCATCAGTCCTTCGTTCACCGGTGGCCCATCGTTTTCCGACTATTAACGCTTTTGGTCAACTTTGAGAACTTTCTCTCGGACCCATTCCCCCTTGTTGTATAACTGCTTTTGTGCATCAAGCAGTTGGTACTCGCAATATGCCTTCGAGGCGTGTAATCGGGCCTTGTGGATTGTATACGTGCCCTTGACACGGTCACCTTTGACGATTTGAGACATGTGCACTTTATCGCCCTTCTGAAATCGAGCAGAAGACTTCAATGACTTGTTAGTATGCGCAATTTTCGGATAACGAAATTTTGTCTTAAAATCTGGAGTAACTTACCTCTGTCGCAAATGGGTCTACACCCACACTGGACTTGTGTGTTGGGGTCGCGAATGGGTCTGCATTCACGCTGGACTGGAGCGTTGGGATCGCTTCTTCCGAAGGCGAAGGACTCGGGCTTGCCTCTTTCCGTTCCTGGAACTGTACGAAAGATGGTTCGTAAGTCTTGTGGCGATTACTGTGTAGAATGAGAGACACGACTCACAGGTTGACCCTGGTCAAGCTGAGATTGCAACTCAGTCGCCATCATTACGTTCGTGTGGACGATTGAAATGATAGGGCTGGAAAAGTAGCTTGTAATTTGTTAGCCTTGCGTGTGAAGGACGTCTTTGGAAAAAGGCACGGCTGGAGGAAGTAGATATAGAATGGATGAACTGCTACAGGCCTCTGGATTCCGCCCCATCAAATGCTGCCTGTTTTGCTGCACTATGACAGCCTCAACACCTGAGTAACGGGGACCTCCTACACAGCCGCAGTCGAGGTTAGTCACGCATGTTGTGTCTACAACACGATGTGCTATTCTACGCCGCAATGACAGAGTTCCAAGCACACATTCTGTTCGCTAATCACACGGTATCTATTTCTAGCATCACAGATGCCCCAAACGATGCAAGTTTACCGCAGAGTGTTACTGTTACTGTCAAGACGATAAATCATGTATGTACACATGCGGATTGCAATTGTCTTTTGGCCCCCACCCAGAGTATCAGATTGGACCTAGCGCCCAATCACGACGTATCTCCGACCTTCCACCAACCGCATGTGCCACAGGCTTACTCTCACATCTGTCACAGAGGATTATTGGGGGCCAGAGCGAACGGTGGACGTCGTTATGGCTGTTTCCTTCGAACGACCCTCGAACCTTAAAGCCTTACGACCACCTTAAACAATGGCTCTTTGGCCGAACCACGCGCAGCTGCTGGATACCATGGAGTCCGAGATCTCACCCATAGCTGCGAATCCGCTATCAAATACAGTGTTCCACGCTCGTGCGGATATCCGTATCGAATCTACATCAATAGACCCGCCAATAGAGTCTCAAGATTGGGGCAGTCAACAACTACTCGACCATGGCCGGCCGAATGGTGAGGAGGAGCATGCAATCCAGGAACGTGCCGCCGAGATGCAATCTTGGTGGGATGATGCCATTGCGAGGAACATGAATCTCCCAGATGGATATCAAGAGGCCGCTGTCTTGATCATCAAGTGGGATGATGAGCTGGATGAGCTCAAGACAAGAGATGAGGTGAGTTATTTCGCATGGTACCCACACCAACCGGCGCTAATCAATGATGTACGAACTAGGCCGAGGAACTTGATCGCGTTTTTCGTGAGGTCTTCAATTACGATACTGAGACCGTCGAACTTAACGTTTCCAAAAAGCCGCAGCACCAGATCAGCCGATTCATCAGCACGTTTATCGAGAAACACGATGGTCCAAATAACTTGATGATTGTATACTACACGGGACATGGCAGATATAGAGAGCATGAGAAATACCTCGAGCTATGCGCCAGTATCAATCCTGCACATTTAAGAGGATTCAACAACGAAGCAAGGGCGAACTGGAACAAGGTGGAGGATATCCTTGCGTCAGAAGATGTTGAGGGGGACATACTCACTATCCTGGATACGTGCTATTCGAGCAACCATGTCAAGTCGTCCAGAGAGGATACGCGTATATTTGAACTCCTGAGTGCCTGTGGTTTCGACCAGACCACAGCGTCACCAGGAGAGTATTCATTCACGAGAGCACTCATTGATGCACTCAAAGCGCTTGTAAAGGAATATCCAGGCCGATCGTTTACAACTTTCCATCTCAACCAGCGCATCGTATTTGACGAACGACGTCGCGATACCCCTTCGTTACTCATCTGTCGACGAAAGCGGGATGAACGACACATTAGTCTTGCCCCGTTGAAGTCTAGGAAAGAGAGAGCATGTCAACCAGCGCTCCCACATCCTCCTCAAGGTTATCTTACATTACGCTTCGCCCTTCGTGATGAATATTTGAATCGTGAACAGATCGAATTCCTGGCAAGAAACCTGTCAAAGGCATTCGGTAACAAATCGTTCGTTGGTCTTCGTCGAATGGATTATCTCGGCATGAAGCCCGCTCGTGCAACACCATTCGGTCGCGCCGCCTTAGCTCTCTATGCCATCACGCAGTGGAAGAAGGTTGTCCATAAAAGAAGAGCAGACAAAAGGGCGGCAGCACGAGCAGACCGGGGCATTGATGAGATCAAACTACCGACGTTTGATGGATCCGAGGAGCTTAAGAGTACTTTTACTTCGCCTACAAGAAAACGAAGGCGCGATACAGAGGCCGATGAAGGCCTTCCAGAGTTAAAGAAGGGGTTGCTAGAGCTACCTCATTACCGTAGTGATCCGCCATCGCCGCCGAGGTCGGATTCGTCGAGGGTTGAAGAAGGCGGGTAGCATGTACAAGGGACTGCATTTGTTAAAAGGATCTTTCTTTTCTTGCGGTACGGAGCATGCATGATAATATTTCTTGGATACCCTTAGTTCTTTATTTTAATATCGGATTGGAAAAGCATAATCGGGTAGGCAATACATACCTAGTACATACGCCACCAACTGCGAGTTTACGAATCTCTGATTACATTAAAAGACACTTTGGGAGGTTGTTAACTTGTTGATAGTTCGGCATTTCTATGGTGTTGTAAGCACGCCATTCAATGTCAGTATTGAGCTATGTACTAACTTCCTTATTCGACAAAGACGTTCGGGCAATGGTTGGCGTCAATTGTTACCCCTCTGACGTCTGGGATCAGCAGCTGCCCCTCATTTCGATCTCCCAATGTTATATCTATCAAGCGATAGTCGCAGGATCGTGTTATGATTGATCTCTCGTAGAAACAATTTCCATTCCACATCTGATCATAATGGCGGCCGCAGCTGTGTCAACCCCGCCCAGACAGCCCGATATTGCATATGCTCCTAACTACGACAAATACCTCGCACGGGTGCAACGTCGTCTTGCAAATGAAACGATATCCAAGTCATTGCCTGATGGATTTCCCAAAGAGTTGAAGTCCGATCTTGTCTGGACAAATGAAAATATTAGTCAGCGATTTGATTGGAATTTCCAATTGACCGCTGCTGATATTGAAGAGTTGGAGAACGCCTTGCAGCACTTTAAGCAACTGAACAAACCAAATGGCTTCATAAACCAGGACACTTTTCCTCTCCCAACTCTGCACGCTAGGCTTCGCGAGGTTTCGAATGAGGTGCACAATGGGTTCGGCTTCAAGGTCATACGCGGTGTCCCTGTCGATCGCCACACTCGGGAGGAAAACGTTATCATCTATGCCGGCCTCGCCTCACATGTTGGCCCGATTCGAGGCCGTCAGGATCATACCTTCGACGGGAAGCCAGCAGATGTTGTCATGAACCACATCAAAGATTTACGCACCGTCTACGATGCAAACCAAATAGGGGCTCCGGCTTACACCAATGACAAGCAAGTATTCCATACCGATGCCGGCGATATCATCGCCTTGTTCTGCCTGGAAGAAGCCGCCGAGGGGGGACAGAGTAAGCTCAGTAGTAGTTGGAATGTGTACAACGAGATTGCACGTACACGACCGGACTTGATCCGAACACTGGCGGAGCCATGGCCAGCTGAGCTGTGAGTACTACTCATTACAATCCAGCGATCTACTTCGTACATGTTTTCCGATTGCAACCGCAATGCTTACGTATACATTGTACAGCTTCGATGGCAAAGGCGAACCCTACGTGAGCAGGCCCTTGTTATACTACCAACCAGAGACCGAGACAAGTGCTGAACGTCTGATCATCCAATACGCACGTCGCAACTTCACAGGCTTCCAGGCGCTCCCAAGGTCGCCTGACATCCCGCCAATCACTGAGGCGCAGGCTGAAGCACTCGACACGCTACATTTCCTCGCAGAGAAACATGCAGTAGGACTTGACTTTAAGAAAGGCGACATCCAGTTTGCAAACAATCTTTCCATCTTCCACGCCCGTGATGGTTTCACCAACACAGCAGACAAGCAGAGGCATCTCGTGAGATTATGGCTGAGAGATGAAGAATTCGCCTGGGAAACTCCAGCGCAAATTCAGAATAGATGGGACGGCGTGTACAAAGATGTGGCCGAAGAGAACAGCATATTTCCTTTGGAACCGTATATTCGAAGCAGCTCCAAGGGAGGCAAGACGAATCAACTGAAGGAGGATGGAACGAGATCCTGATAGTCACCGCAGAGGAGATGTTCAACATAATGAATACAATTTCTGTCCAGAATGGCACCAATTTAATTCTGTGAAGCATGCGTGAAGATCCCTTGGGGTTCGGAGGTGCAGATCCGATAGATGTCTTGCGCGCCTGAATTATTCGTGATGTTTGACAACACATCGTACGCTACTTTATGCTGTTTCTTCACCTAAATATATCTACAATTGGTAATCTAAGACTCCTCTTGTACGCACATCACTTAATGTGGGAAATGAAATGGGTAAGTGTCAGAGCTGACAACAGCAAAGCGCGCTTAGGCCTAGTTTTCGTCCGCCTAATCTTGGGGCCTCCAATTACCAGCATCAACCCTTGATCTGGGGTATACGACCGTTGGCCAAGACATCTTTTCACTTCGGTAGTATTTGAGAGGCCCTAATCCAGGTATTTCCGCAGCGAGTTGTAGAAGAAGTGGCAGTGTGGCTGTCGGAGAATGATGTTTCCGTGGTATGGCGTCGATATCAGGACCTCCATGTGACACAAGTGTTTATCAGCAACGTGCACTAAACATATCATCATACTTCGGATGCCACAACATCCATCTTGGGATATTGGACGTCAAATCACTCGTATATTTTGTGGAGCCTTCGACTGTAGGTAGTATGCACACATGTGCTCTACATTGAGGCTGTATAACTCCTCACACCTGGCTAGTCCGCAAGGCAAATAATTACAATTACGAAAGATGTCATTACATAGTCAACGAATCGATATGAATGAAATGTCGCAGTCAGTGAGAGATATCTTGAAGGAAGGGTTGTCCCAGCGGCAAGAGCCTTGGAAAATAAATCCGTAGCTGCGCTACAGAGGTTGGGGTTGTACAGTTGGTGGATGTTTCATTTGAGTGCGCCTCATGCGCCGCCGAACAGCATACTTAGGGTTTCATCAAAGAGTACACCTTCTACACTCTCTCCGACCGGCACCCCTTCGGTGATATTGGGAGATTTGGGAATGTTCTTCTTTGTTCCCCGATCTCATGTACACATCATCGATGGGCTCAAACATGTCACCATCTGTCAGTGACAAGGTTGCAGTGCCTATGAATAGTGAACATCCCGTAGATCCATTTAAATCGATGGAACGGGTGAAGTAACTCTAAGCAGGGTACCCTCCTGTTCTATCTAAGACAGATGTGATGTGAGGCGGCAATACGGCAAGGTCAGTACAGCTTCCAGAAGGAATGGTATTGAAATAGACCTGGGACAGTGTCGATCGTCGCGCTGAAGCCTGCCTCAAAATAGAATACTCTATCCTCTCAAGCCTACGCATGGCACGAAAGGATAGTCAAGGAAGGCAAAGACATGGTCTTAATTCCCAATTGGCAGTGAACGGAGACGTACACCGATACCTGTCAAAACAAAATAATGACCGGGTGGTGGCTCCACAGTAACTTGCGGAGAGATTGGCACCCATCCTACCAGTAGATGAAGGCGCTATGGGGAGACCTAAGCTTTCTTTTCTACAGACCTTCTGACTACACCGGATGCGAAGCTGGGCCCATTTGCGTTGGAGTCTCCCATGCATTCCATAATCTCTAATCATAATCCGTATCGTATCCTACCAGACAACGAAGGAGCTGCTCCGCCTGATTTACAGAGCTACTCGCGTGAGAGAATGATCAAGGGCTGCTGGGAAGGAGCGATCGAGAGAACTCAATATCTGTTTACTGCCACTTCGAATGCCTCCCATTACAAGATGTCACGGTGGAGCGAATGGTCTTTCACTAGCTGCGTTACAAGCGACGCGAATGAATATGCACATCTTGCATGCTATAACTGTGTGATGTCGAGCAGACTGTATCTAGAAAACATTTTACTATTCAACGATCATAGCTAGGTTGTAGCATTCGGATCGGCTCTCTCCGTGATCAATATCTTCATGGAATACAGCGAAGCTGATTGGCGAAGTAGAAAGAAGAAAAAACCAAAATCCTAAAACCCCACTTAGTTTATTAGCTGGAACGGTGCAACAGCAAGGTTCATACAAATCTGCGTTGGTGGGGCGAGTGTGGTTTTACGAGATTTACGTGGTGGCTGGCACAGCTGGTTGAATCAGCAACCAAGTCAAGATCTATCTTTAGCGGAGAATTCATCGTCAGCAAAATAGCGGCACAAAGTAGGGACGAGATCCTGGGGACGTAAGGATTAGTTCCGAGCTGGGCCTCACCAGGTGTACTATTCGGGGATTTAGAGTAATCGCTCCTGCGCTCTCATTGGATGTAGCTTATACATCTAATCTCCTTCTGGCTAGCCTATCTACATTTCTGGTTGTGGAGGCTGAGCCAGTTGTGCCGTAAACGGTAATTTTGTACTCACTATAGCCACGCGGAACGGAGAACAACCGAGACTGTGGATATCGTCGTCAAGAAAATTCCTGTACTAATGTCAACATTGAATTCCATCTTGATAGGAAGATGAATATATAAGTTGGAAGGTCAGTCGCCTTGAAAAGCTCATCATCGCAACATCAACAACTCATCCATCCATCCTCACATCTCAACCTACTTCAAACATAACTCCAACAGCATTTCAGTACAATACTCCTGCTACAACTTTCAATACTTCATATCTCAAATCCAACCTCAGTCAAAATGATTGCCATCACATCCATCATCGCTGCTTCCGCCGCCATTATTGGCCTCACTTCCGCTGCTCCTGCGAACGCGCCAACCACAGGAGTTGTCCACAATATCTTCGCTGGCTCCACCACCGCTAATGGAGGCCTTCACTTCGAGCCAGAGAACGTGGTCGCCGAAGTTGGAGATCTTGTTACCTTCCACTTCCAAGCTAAGAATCATACGGTTGTGCAATCATCTTTCGACAAGCCATGCGAGCCTCTGGCTGGCGGCGCTGGCTTCTTCTCCGGCTTCAACTTCCCCACCCAGCCCAACACCGAGAACCTGAACGTCTTCACTATCCAGATCACCAACAAGGACCCCATCTGGTACTACTGCTCGCAGACCGTCGGCGACCACTGCCAGAAGGGCATGAGCGGTGTCATCAACCAGAACTTCGACGGCGACAAGACCCTGGCAAAGTACAAGGAGAACTCGGTCAACACGAAGACTGTTCAGCCCAGTGCCGACATCAAGGCCAGCCAGGGTGGTTGGATTCATGCCAACCCTTCTTGTGCTCAGGGCATCCAGTGCTCTTAAGCAGCACTGTTTGGATCGGATCAAATCACACACTTTAATGAGCTCAGCATAGCATAACATAGAGAAGCATGTCATGGCATAGCATAGCATTGCATAGCGCGGGCATTAGAACTCACTCAACTCTTTTGGGATTTGCATGGAGATGGTGTTTGCATTTTTTGGTTTCTAGCATAATTTGTAGTCTTGGAATTCCTTGACGATAGCAATAGTTCTTTAGTATTTAATGAGATAATCTTTAGTTTATCATTATTCTTCTCCCTAAAATTTTGAATGCTCGTCAGTGTTGTGTTTGACCAATGTCCGTTTAACACCTCTTGATTTAGGCGAACTAAATGAGACCATAAAGTAAAGCTTCTGTGCTGAATACATGTCGTTTTTTTGTATCATTCGCGTTCTGCTTGCATACTTCTTTACCACGAGGGGTGGCTTTTGTAAGTAACCATTCCGTCAATTATGTCCCTAGACGTAAGGCAACAGAAGAAATATCAGGTCTCTCATGGACGGCGAGATTTTGCTTGTTCCTGATCCATCATACCACTCTGCTGCCATCTTGTTCTTGCGGCTACATATTCGAGCTAACGGGGATAACACGCAAGTTACATATGTCATCTACGCCACTAACTCCATGTAAATAAACAACATATGTACCCGTACAGGGGGCGTGTTGAAGCATTTGCTAATAACTCCGTTTAGCTCCGAGCTTAACAATCGTCCTCGGCCCGTTCCGGAGAGACTTTGTACGAAGAATTGAAGGAACGATATGGGACGATGACTATTCGTAGAGTATATGCAGAGAACAGCGAGATAGGTGCCCTATCCGCCAGTGCCTGGACTAAGTAGCTGTATCGAGATGATCTCCACTTCAGATGGGAACAAGTGGATATTTGGCCTATTGTAGAAGCGGAGATGTCGGAGGGTAGATATGTGGGGCATGATAGGGCGCCGGGATGGTCGATCAGCCCAGATGCTTGAAACCCGTTGGAGGATATTCCATTCTTACTCAACTGGTGTAATTGGCGACAGGCCACAGATGTCGCAAAAGAAAGAAGCAGAAATTTAAGTGCAGAATCCATATTCGTGACAAGGGCATGCAACTTTGGTTAAGATCCAACTAACGCCTTGCGAAAATTTTGTCGACGCAACTTCAGCTGCTCTGTGATGGTGAAGGCCATTGTCAGAACTGAGGAAGCAAATACGAGAATCCCTCGAGTGACGTCAAGGTTCGGAACAGCGTGGAAGCATTCCCTTCGGTCTGCTGTTCAAGCTTCTCTTGCCAGTCTCGCTAATTGGCCGGGTGCATATAAGGGTCCTTACCAATCTATACACTATTACCAAGTCGGGTTAGAGATTGACTTAAATAATCCCGATATGCTTCAGGGACCCTTCCGACGATACATAGGGAACCAATCACACGCCTGCGCCCGCGACTTCAGGTGTTTGCAGAAGTTACGAGTACGAGGACGATTCCCCAGAGCCGTCTCTTCCATGCAGGGCCCGTGTTATTTTCGAACCAGGACGAAAGTTACCATTCAGTCTCAATCTGTATGTACATTTATAATCAAATATCGAGAAGGACGTATATATAGTAAGTGGCTCTTCACTTCTTGGACCAAACCCAGAATCATCACTTCAACAACTTTTCAACACCACTGAACCTCACTTCAACATCTGATCCTTTCGAACATCTCACCAAACACACTCCTGCAAGCAAAGACATCATGCCTTCAGGAACTGTTCTTGTGAGTTCTCTTCATGGCATCTCTACATCACCCAAGTACTAATTCCCTTCAGTTGACCGGAGCCTCTGGCTTCCTAGGATCACACATTGCCGAACAACTTGTCGTCGCAGGATACACCGTCCGCGCGACATTCAGAACTGAGGAAAAAAGCAAGCGATTCCGATCATTCTTCAAAGACGCCCCCGTCGAAACAGTCGTGGTACCCGACATCACCGCTCCCAACGCGTACAAAGATGCCTCGCAGGGCGTCGACTACGTGATCCACTCTGCGTCCCCTTTCACTTTCAAAATCCAGGACATCCAGAAAGATCTCATCGACCCCGCGTTGCAGGGCACAAGAGGTGTCCTAGATCTGGCCAAGGCATCTCCCACCCTGAAACGAGTCGTCATCACTTCGTCCTTCGCAGCCGTCATCGACCCCTTCCAGGCCCCACGAAAAGGATACATATATTCTGGTGAGTAGCCACCCAATCTTTCTCGACGAGCCATAATCTAACGGAAACCCCACAGAGAAGGACTTCAACCCCGTGACCCACGAGCAAGGCCTCACAAACAACTTCCTAGGCTACCAAGCCAGCAAGACGCTCGCCGAGCGAGCAGCATGGGACTTCATCCAGTCCCTTGAGATGAAAGACCGACAGACGTCCCTCGTCACCATCTGCCCTCCCATGATCTTTGGCCCGGCCCACCCCTCCTCCGGCATCTCCCGCGACTCCCCCAACGAGTCGTCTGCCCAGATCCTCAACGCCATCCAGGGCCCCGAGGCACCCCCCACCCGGATGCCCGCCTTTGTAGACGTGCGGGACGTAGCCGCCGCGCACGTCGCCGCCCTCGACGAGACCAAGGTCGCGAGCGGGCGCAGCGAGAGGTTCCTGGTGTGCGGAGGAAACTTCACATGGGACGCCGTGAGGAACATATACAACGGAAAGGACCCCAAGGACGCGAACTGGGACGACTCCACCAATTCGTATTCCGCGGACGTCAGCAAGGTGGAGACGGTATTGGGATCGAAGTGGACTTCGCTGGAGGATTGTATCAATGACAGTCTGGCGGCTCTTGGTGCCCAGAAGGCGTAGAGTCTGTGGAAGTTAACCATGTTGACGTTTAGTACGTGCTAACTTTCCTCTATGAATGTAGTCTAAATACTGTAAATCTATATAACAATTAACGACGCTCAATGGTCTTTTTTTAAGAAGTGGTGTATTTATTTGCTTCTCATGCTATTGCCATGGAACTCCTGACATCCCACTCTTGCTTTTTCAGGGGTATTATCATTGTTAGTTAGGTCAATTATAAATAATCTTTCCCCATCCCATTTCTAGCCCCTAAACACGCAACCTCCTTCAATCCCCACAACATCACCACGCTTAAAACGCCAGTAAAAATTACCAAATGGGTGGATATGTATATGCCCATAGCAGCAAGTATTTCATCGAGCTACACATCCCCCGGGGCGACCTGCGAGCAATCGTATATTCCGTAACTTTCATGTTTTTGTTTGTTGCGCGAACCGAACGGTGTATGTGGATGGTTAGTTAGTTGGTTGGATGGATAGATGTGCCATGTTTTGATTGGGTTCTTTGTGATACAAATATATAATGTATACAATGGAGGCTCGAAGGGTACTTTGTGGGGGAATTTTGGCCAAATGTTTTGACCTTCCTCACGGAAAGAAGTACATAGACACATGATATACAGGCACAACGAATGCCTCTAATAATTGATCACATAGTTGGCGCTCTGGGATAGGTTCTTGGATGCTCTCTCGATGCAATAAGTCCAATATCGACTCAGCAAAGGAGTGGTGATTCGAATGATGAAGTAAAAAAGTCATATCGTCAATGCGTCTGAACGCCAAAATAATGACACGTCTAGGTGTAAAAGAAAGCCTGACCCACCGGCCGGAGGATCACAAAAAAGACGAAACCCAGAGAGAATGAAATGAGAGCGTGTATATGTTGGACGACAAGAAGAGAGAAAACAAAAAATGAAGAAGAAGCCATTGAATGCTACGCTTTACCCGCATGTACATACTCCCCGTAACACGGAAAAAAGATGAATGACACCGTGTAGTAGTGAACGTGCAGCGGTAAATACAAGCCCCCATATACAAGAAACAAATGGACAGTGGTGAAAGAACAAGCCCATGTAGACTCCAGTGTTGTATGTCGAAACGCAGGAAAACATATGTCCTATACATCTTAGTTTCCATATCTCCATTCCTATTTCGCTTTGCGTTATTCGTTAAATCTGAGATCATGCGCCTAGTTCCTTGTTGGGAGCCAGCTCGTAGTTGTCTTCGTGGAGTCCTTTCAAGGCCTCCTCGCCGTCCGGTGTGAGATCTGGTTTGCCCACCGGGGTAAGAGCGCCAGTGAAGAAACGTGGCTGCCACTCTGTATTTGCAGCCTTTCGCTCGGCAGCCTTGCCTCTTTGGCGCTCTTCGATTTCCTGCTTGAGTGTTGTGGCGAGACCGTATTGCTTGCCGACAATGGCATTCGTGACGCCTTCCCAGAACTTGCGGGATTCGTTGGGAAGTTGTTGCTCGATGGGCGGGATGATCTTAGGGACGGGGTGAAGCGGGTTGAGGTCGATGAGGAGGATTTTCTCCTTCAGCACAAGTTAGTCAAATGACCCGGCTACTGTCTGCTGTGTGCGACTTACGGTTGCTTTGTTAAATGGCTGGCTCCCAAGGCTGTAGTAAACCTTGTCCTGCCAGCAGCCTTCTATTCTTGCCAAAATGTCCTTGTCGGGAACCTCCTTGATCTTGGTCTTGGTGTCATTTTCCGGGTCGTAGTTGAAGATGACACCCAGGACTTTGTTTTGCGATCTTCCTAGCCACCCCTCCTCGAGATATTCTAGAATGACCTTTATCTTCGTCTTCGCGCAGGTGACGTAGCAGGAATCGGCAACTGAGATGCTGAGCGAACCTACAGAAATGTCAATACGAAATCCTATGTTGAGTTTGGTTGATCCAACGAACCTCGGAGAAGTCCACCTAGGTAAGCTGCCGGATGCGTCAACTGGTATTCCTCGTTATCATGCTTCTGTAAGGTAATGAAAATGCCCAGATTGTGAGCACCAGCAATAACTCGAATGCTTGTTCCAGTGAACTTAGCGCTCAGCTGATCGAATCCTCGTGCGACGATGCCCTTCTCGGGACAATCGATGTAGAAAGCGGAGACTGGAGGATGGTGGGAGGTTTGTTCGGTAAGGTAGGAGATCTTGACGTTCCTTCCTACTACGCTGGCTGCGCTACTGGAAGGTTGCGAGTTTGGCTGGTGTTTTAGTGGTGGGGATGTGTCTTCAACCTCCCAATTACACTGACGGTGTAAGTCTAAGTCGCATTCTAGTGGTGTTGGAGTAACGTACTCTGAAAAACTCGCCGAGTGTTGAGTTGTAAGGTTTACAAGGCTTTCCCTTGACGTATTTCTGCCACCAAGTCAGAACCTGTAGTATCCATTTGTGAATCATGTGTACCGCGTACCAAATCTTTGGTGAACCAGAACCGTAGCGTCCCCAGCATGCGCCCTAGAGCCTCGTCTGAATCGCCAATGCTAAACAAAGTTAGCGATAGGAACATCAGAGCCCTGTACTTATTGTACCCACCTGATAAAGGTTTCAGGCCTATCCAAGTAATTCCAGTACTCTATACTCTTGTCAGATATTGTCCGAAATGTAACGCGGGGGAATTCGAAGCGGCGGTCGGAGGGCTACTGTATACGGCGGTGAACGTACCCAGATTCGGCGTGGGCTCCAACAGTTGGGCAGGAAGGGAGAATCGAACGGCGGCAAGATCAGCCACTCCTATGAATCTGTAGCACAATTGTGGTGTCAGTCTCGTGCGTGCTTTTGGTTGTAAAACGTGCAACGGAATGATAGCTTCGGAACAGGACGTAGCAGGTAGTGTTCACCTTCTCAGGACGCCCAGGAATGTTTTGAGCTTGGAACTATCGTCTGGAGGCTTCTCCACGACTGCATTTGCGGGTGTTGTAGCCCTAGAGGGGTCTGCTGAGTTGTTGGCAGAAGCCGAAGGAGAGGCGGTAGCAGCCGCCACCGGAGCGGGATTCGACGAGGCTTCCGCCATGTGGAGATAGGAGGATCTGGGGCTGTTGGTGAGTGTAAGGACAGTGTATGATAGAGATCGGAAAAGAAGGTTATGGTGACCGAGACAGTATATGGGGAGAGGGTCGAGGCGGTGTTGAGAAAAGTGTGGAGTTGTTGCGGGATGCGCTGCCGTCGGGCGGCTTGGCGTCTCTATGGAAGGGAAAAGCTCAAGTCTGACGTAGGTACGAGTAGTCTATGGTGGTGGATGGGGGAGTCGAGGGCATTCCGATAACAAGGTTCCTTATCGCGGTTTAGTGGCTACACAAGGAAGAAAAGAAGTCCCTGATTACTATTGTTATTATCTACTACAGTTACATGCGGGCAAAGGATGAGAATGACGACGGTGGTGAGAAGCTTATTATGTTTCCCATGCGAGGGGGGCAAATAATGTAGGGCCTTTTATCAATCCCATCGTTGCACTAGTGTTACTACGAGTACTCCGTACATGGAGTGAAGAGGCATGAGGGAAGGGAAGAATCCGAACCTTTTAGTTAAAACTACCACTGGATAGATGGCAGTTGTTGGATATGCACTCTCAAAGCAGATGAAAATAATACTACGAGTAGTACGGAGTATTTCCTGGCTGGTAACTATAATTATAAGTCCGAGTGACTGGGATGATCGAGAGCGGTGAAACTGTATCCAATCATCGAAACACGAACAGTCAGGGCCTCTCTTCATTGCCTACCAAGTAACTACCACATGTTACCTCGAATCTCAAAGTAGATTTAAATTCGTAACTCGTTCAGTCACTTGTACTTTCTTCGTAATGAATATTGAAACCTGTAGCTGTAGCTGTAGCTGTAGCTGTAGCTGTTGAAGCAAACATGGCTCTACTCCGTACTGAAACCCGATCTCTCCGTTTGGGTCCCCGCGTGGGATTGCGACATGTCGCCCATGTGGTTGCACCAACCAGTCACGTTGCCATCCACCAGTCCCATGGTATCATGGCATGTACCACCTAAAGACAGTCCTGACCCCATCTGCATCATGCGTGAGTATGTACTCCGTACAGTCTCCCCTCTATCAATGTAGATAGATAATGTGACAAAAGCCACTCGTCCACTAGGTACGTTCTCCGTAAGAAGATCCCGATAGGCATGATTGACCTCACCAAATTAAGCACGTTCGAGTCCTTGTCTCATTTGTCTCAAGCCATTTGGCACATGTTAATGCTATCAGTTGTGAGAAACACGCCATGTACCATGCATCTACCCGACAAATGTAAGAACAAGTGCAGAATGCCACATTTGTCTTAATCGTCCCACGCCTGCCAGCTGCCAATACGGCACGCGTTAGGCACGTCTGTCCATACTTTTACCTCGTACAACTCCTCCACCGGTCCGCTGGGTTTCGATAGTCGGTCTAGAACGAGCCAGAGATGCTTTCCATCCTGATCGTTGAGGCTGAGATCGAAACTCCCCGTACGAATAGTGAGCGAATCCGAGTGCTGTCCTCCTTCGCTCTGTACGACAATCCGTTTCTCGGGGCCGCGTCCCATTTCGACGCTCAGGAGCAACGGGCTCCGTGCCTGGAGGCCCAAGTCGTATGCTTGCGGGCTCCTGGCTCGTAAGAATTGAGCCACGATGCTGAACCTGGCAAGCCTATGGAGTTGTACCGGAGCGGCCAACCTGTCCATCTCAGGACCGAAGCAGGCCGGTTCGAGTCCATAATAGGGTATCAGGCCTGCGCCCTCCCGTGGTACTTGCTTCACCACTACTTCGCTGGTGCTATCGACTTGAAGAACAAATCCGCCACTCTTGCCGGCTTCAAAGAGCGAACAAATGATGGTATATACTCCTGGCTCAAGATCGCGTATCTCTGCAAATACTGCCTGGTCGCGATAACCGCCAGAGTCGGCAAGAATATCCCGAGTCTGTAGGCGGAAGAGTCGCTTCCCGTCGCCCATCGCAAGAGTGGCGTGCATTGGATGAGAATGGTCCACGCTTCGGAGAAGAATAGCGACAGAGCACCTACTTTTCACCTCGAGGGTATACTGTGGATTGTAGAAGTAGGTTGGTAGATCAACAGTCCCACCGACAGTTTGTTTGGTCCACTCGCCTTCGATCACCTTGCTGAAGCTATATCTCGAGATGACAGGTTCCAGAGATATCGCAGACCCGGAGAAGGCTGACAATGAAAACGAGTATGTCGAAGGCGGTAGCTCATCTTGCTCAACAACAACCGTGTAGGTTGAATTAGCATGGGCCCGCCATCGCAAGAGTGCCTGGGGTGTATTCACTTCCGGCGTGTGCTCCAGATACGACTCTTTCATGTATACTCGCTCGCCATTGCCGTCACAGACATACACGCTGATGTATCCTGGAAGCGGCTCATTGGTAGTATATTGCTGGGTTTGTAATTGATCGTCTCCCGCGGCCGCGTTCGAGTCAGGCTTGTTCTTTACGATGGCATCACGAACATGTCGCGACAACAGTAGCCAGACCTCATCTGTTTTCCTGACCGATACTGAGAATTGCGGGTTTCTAAACACGCAACGGCCGGACTTCCGTTGATGCTCAATGGGCCATTCGAAGTGAACATCTTGCCGATGAGAGAATAGGCCAGGGTTCCAGTTCAGATACAGACTCTCAAAGTGCCTGATAACATCGTGCAGGGATATCCAAAAGGTCGTAGGGTGCTTAGTTCCACTTGCGGTTTTGGTCCCGGCATCTGTCACCTGAGGCTGAAGTCCAGGAACTATTGAAGGAGCTCGGCCACGCCAGCCTTTGCCTTCGACCCACGGATTCTTCACAAGGAAAAATTGATCCTCTTCCGTTTCTTTCATATCGAGAATAGCGTAACTATGCTGACTTTCCAGCCCTAGATCTCGCTCTTGCCGTGAGGTGAGTTTGCCCGTCCCGGCCGTGACAAGCACGTCCCCGTACAGGAAGCCTTTGAACACTCGATTCCAGAGTTGATCAGGCACAGTGTCAGTCCTGAAGAAATGTTAGGGCAACTCACAGTACCGGCGTCCACACTTACTCCTGTAAATAGATCTGCTCAGGAATCCAGCCAGTAAGGGTCCACAGATCGTTACACGAATTGCTTCCTGGGAAGTCGTATCCGCCGCATACTTTAAGGTATGCCTTTTCTAACAATGCAGGCCAGGCAGTACTAGGGTTGTTCCGATCAATGACATGCAGTAAACGGTGCGAATTCGACAGTGGGAGACGGTCGTCTATCACCACTTTTCGCCAACATCCATTGACATTGAGGCGAAACATGTATTTGCCGTTCGGCGAATCAAGAGGCTCACCAGAGGCACTTGGCCAGATGATGTTAGCTAGCATCTGTATACGTCAGTCTAGTGATTTGAAATCAGAAAATAACGAACCTGGCTGTGGCCACGTGCATCTCGGGCGACAATAGCACACAAGCTAGCAACTACTGAACAATCTGTGGCAGCATCCTGTACCAGGTCGATAGAGGCTGAAGGCTCCGTCGAGTCAACGCCAATCCCGGCTGGACCGGTTGTAAACGATGGGGGTGGTAGTGCATCACGAGATCGTACCCACCCAGCAAAGAGCTCCTGCTGATGCGGTGAAAGATTCAGGGTGGGAGAATCGCTGCCGATGGTGTTAGCTGCATAAGGCAAGAAAAAGGACTTGAAAGTTACATAAATGGAGCTCCCGAATGAGCAAAGTCTGACGTGGCAGGCGGTTTTTCCCATGGAGGGAACTTAAAACCGTTCACGGCCGATGCTTGCCAGATAATTATAGTCTCTCGTTTTGATAGTTTCCGCGTTGATGCGGGAGCAGGTAACTGCTTGACGCGAAGCACCTTCGTGAGTGGGACATCCGTATTGTTTGGATAAGTCGTGAGCTGTGCTGTTTGGCTGGTAGAAGCTGGATCCATTCTTGACTGCGTATACCGTGATTGCTCATTACTTGTTCGTTGGTTTGTAGTGGTCGTTTTGGATGATCCTGATATATCCAGAGTTTGCATATTGTAGGTGGCAGAAGCAGTCAAATTAGTTATATTTCTGGATTCAGTAGAATTTTCGGCTCGATGCTTCTTGCTGGTTTCACTAAACGAGGCGATCTCCTGTCTTTCCTCTAGTTTTGATGCATTTCCTGGTGACGGGCGATTCTGAGCGGGCTGGGTGGTCGAAGTTGAGCAAGTAGCCTGTTGCGGTGCCCATTCCTCGGATTGTTTTACACGTTGGCCGAAATCCATGACTTCCCGGCATTGTTTCTTGAGATCTTGTCTCTCTGAATCTACCCTTGATACCTTCACGGCTTCCATGAGGCTCTCGGCTGCCTTGATTGCCCATTGGACTGCTTCATCGCGGGTTGTGGCAGTGTGCATCTGAGCCTGATATCTCTATGCGCGGTATGAGTAGGAGGTCTTGGAAAGGAATGAAAAGCAGACGTTCGACTACCATTCACGTCCAGGATTGGCATTGCTAGATAATACGTACGCTGGCAGCAGCTTTATGTGCTGCTAGCTCAAACTTCGCATCGGCCATGACTGCAGATGCTGTCCCCCGCCAGCGCGAGGAGATTCTTTGCGACCCTTTTCAATCAGAATGCGGCCAATTCAGAATTCAGATGTCACAGCTATTGAGCAGTACCGATAAAAATTGAAAGGTGAAAGTTGTTGATAATGAATTGATTCGATGTACTGTGCATCGTATTATCTCCTCTACTCCATTTCTGTTGGTCGATGTTGGTGGTGTATCTCTACCCCATTAGGCGGGGGAGGCTGAGCTCTGGTGAACACGTGCTTGGGCATAACCCTCAAGATGGAGAGGCTGTAGAAGATTATTGCTTCAATACATGCATGTACATTTTGATTGTTGATACGAATTATTCTGATCAGTGCCAATCAAGCGTGTGTTTCTTTATTCGAAGGGAGATTTTCAAATGTGAAAGATCGGTGTCGCATTTCGGCAGAGCTGAAAAGGGAAAAGGGCGATGGGATGACGTTTCCACGGACCTTCCGTGCTTGCTCTACGAACCTCGGGTGCTCGGCTACGTTCATCATATGGCTCTCTATTCTCCATCCTCCTTCGCGGAGAGAGAGCACGCTTGAGGCTTTCTGCCCGCTTTCCCACCCAGACTGATATTCTTCTTTTACTTTCTCTCGCTGTTCCTAACAATATCCTTTTCCCCGTTATCATCTCCAGTCATGAGATAGCGAGTCTCGGAGTTAATATATCCACCCAATAACCCCATACCACCTACCACCTCCGCTCCGCAATCGGTTCCTGATAATCCAAAGTCGTTCCTCCCACCGATCCCGATAGCCCGTACCTGTCGCGTGCTGTAATCATGGCCGGTCAATCCAAGGTGGATGCCCTACCTCCATGGGGTAGTGCGATTGCTGGCTCTGCTGGCGCTGTACTGGCGAATGCTTTGGTGTATCCATTGGACATGTAGGTCCTCCTTCGGCAGTTGCGCGTTACTCGGTAGCTTTTCCAAAGCTGCATAGACACCACAACACTGTACAGATTCTAACAAAAGTCACAGCGTCAAGACAAGGCTCCAAGTTCAAGTCAAGCGAGCGGCTTCTTCTGCCGACGGTAATCCTGCCGACGACGAACACTATACCTCAACCCTCGATGCGATTTCCAAGATAGTCAAGGCAGATGGTGTCCCGGGCCTTTATGCTGGCATGCCCGGAGCTCTTCTCGGTGTCGCCTCAACAAATTTTGCCTACTTCTATTGGTATACGGTTGTACGCACGCTCTACTTTGGCTATCGTAAATCTACTGCGCCCCCGGGCACCGCCATCGAGCTGTCCCTTGGAGCCGTTGCCGGAGCCGTCGCACAGCTGTTCACTATCCCTGTGGCAGTAGTAACCACTCGACAGCAGACGGTCAGCAAGCACGAGCGTAAGGGGTTGATCGAGACTGGCAAGGAGGTCGTAAACAGTGAGGATGGCTGGACAGGACTGTGGAGAGGACTTAAAGCCAGTCTTGTCCTTGTCGTGAATCCTGCGATCACATATGGTGCCTACCAGCGCCTGAGAGAAAATCTCTTCCCTGGCAAGAAGAACCTGAGGCCCGCCGAAGCGTTCCGTACGTCAGAAGCTATCCAAACAAGTTCTAATGCTAACGATATACAGTTCTCGGTGCTCTCTCCAAAGCTCTTGCGACTATTGCAACGCAGCCACTCATTGTAGCCAAGGTTGGCCTCCAATCGAAACCTCCGCCCGCGAGAAATGGAAAGCCATTTAAGACCTTCATCGAGGTTATGCAATATATCATTCAGCATGAAGGCCTTCTAGGCTTGTTCAAGGGAATTGGCCCTCAGATCTTGAAGGGCCTTTTGGTCCAAGGATTCTTGATGATGACCAAGGAGAGGTATGACTGATATTACTCCTCTTGAAACACAGCAGCTAACCACCGTGAACTAGGATGGAACTTGCATTTATCCTCCTTTTCCGATACTTCCGTCAAGTCCGCGCCGAACAGCTCAGGAAACTGGCTGATCTTGCTGCTGAGAAGGCTAAACAGGGCGGCCCGCTCCTTACCAAGTAAATGGTTCAGGAAACATCTATATCTGACTACTTATTGTACATTTTGCATTGCTTCTAGATACCTGTACACGATCTAGATTTCCGTTTCGATGTTACTGTATGGCGTTTTCACGACTGTTTACAGGAATCCGCGTCCACATAGGGGATTCTCTACATGAATAACATATCATCTCATTATCATGAGATGGATGGCTTTTTGGTTCACTATATGCCGAGCTTTTATCAACGTGACTTGGGTATTCTGTCTCTTGATCCATTGGCTCTAGAAGCGGTGAAATGATTCCGGTATTCTAGATGCAATAAGTCGGAAGTAGCTATCACACATGACAGCTGATTCATGTAGAGTTTGTATGTTGTGGCGTTTGTGAAGTGTGGCATTACTTTCAATGATAATTCGGAAACATATATACCTATCTGACGGTACATTTGGAAACATCAGGTCCAAACAACGTTTGCTAGCTACATGGTCTAATGCTTCTGATAAAGCACTGCGTTACCATTAGAGGCCATGGGCAATGTCACTCTAGTAACGATGGCTTTATTGCCCGGTAAGATACTGGGATAGTACTGACGTATTACTAGGATTGAAAGCTTTCGCTATGCGTATAGTCCATTAATTGAATTATTTACAGTAGTCCAAAGTCGAACTGTTCTGATCTTTTCATTCTGTTCAACCGAGCGCAAAATCCGTTCGGTAGATGATTGGCGTCGGTAGATCCGGCTAACCCCCGAAGCGTACTAGCGCCGCCCACCATGGCCCCCTCATCTTTTCGCGAATTTCACAATCGAACTTTTGTCTCTTCAACCTCATCTTCAATTGAGCAACGGGATCAGAAAAAGACTGACAACCTCCCGCGCTAGCCACGCGTGAGTATCGTCCTTCTGATCGGCTGCGTTCAGCCAGGCTAACGAATACTCCAGCAATTTACATATCACCGGGATAATCAGCTCCATCAACCGCCATGCCTCCCAAGATCGATCCCAACGAGGTCAAGGTCATCCACCTTGTACGACTTCTCCTCAAACCCGCGACTGCGAAAGAATCTGACTAACTGTTGAACAGCGTGCCACTGGTGGTGAAGTCGGTGCCTCCTCCGCACTCGCCCCCAAGATCGGTCCTCTTGGTCTCTCGCCCAAGAAGGTCGGTGAAGATATCGCCAAAGCCACCGGTGACTGGAAGGGTCTTCGCGTGACAGTGAAGCTCACCATCCAGAACCGTCAAGCCGCCGTCTCTGTCGTTCCCTCTGCCTCTTCCCTCGTCATCAAGGCCCTCAAGGAGCCCCCGCGTGACCGCAAGAAGGAGAAGAACATCAAGCACACCAAGAGCATCCCTCTTGATGAGATCATCAGCATTGCCCGCACCATGAGGTTCAAGTCCATGGCCAAGGACCTCAAGGGTACCGTCAAGGAGATCCTCGGAACTGCTTTCTCCACCGGCTGCCAGGTTGATGGCCGCTCGCCCAAGGCCGTCTCTGACGACATTGACTCTGGCGAGATCGAGAGTAAGCGGGAACCCAGATTCATAGAGAGATTACGAGCTAACGATTAATCCAGTCCCCGAGGAGTAAAATTTTCGATTGGGAAACGATGTATGAAGGCATATGACGGGCAATCCATGATATAGAGTACTATGTAGCTCAATGCGGAACATGTACTCAAATCCAAGGCGCATATTTCAGTGCATTGGTAGGATAGGCACCGCTTCGGCGTTGGGGGCTTTCGATACCACAAAAAGTATCTGGATTTTGACTTTGCATAAAGCAATGAACGCTCCGTGCCATGCTATCTTTGTGTGCTACCGTGAATGATAAATTGTTCACCGTGAAGTTACTGTGATTTTCGTTCGACCTATTAGCACGTGACCCATACGGAGCTCGTACTTCCGAGACCAAAGCTCCGCCTCCTAGAACAATTACGCATGCAACATCGATCACCATGGATCCATAACATATAATTTTTTTCCGACGATACCATGCGTCGGAAACATTCAGAAGAACTTCCACGGTTTGTGCCGGCTACGAGATCGCTAGCAACCCAATTCCGACGTCGTCACCTCATCTACATTCTCGTCGGATTGCTCTTCGTATACTGGCTGCTCCCCTCTAGACAGCCCTCCCAAGTCCACGATGACAATCGACCACCGCCTGTCAATTGGCACCGTTACGCCTACAGCCTCTACGCAACGGACAGCGCAACGCTATGCCACGCCGTTCTGATTTTCGACGCGCTCGCCAAGTTTGGAAGTAAAGCAGACCGTATACTTTTCTACCCCAAGCAATGGGACACAATAGTGTCGGGCCCGCGCGACCGCGACAGCCAGCTGCTCGTCATGGCGAGGGACGTCTACAAGGTCAAACTCGAACCGGTTGATCTTCTCACCGTTGAGGGTCGAGTCAAAGGTGTGTGCCATTGCATATCTCCAACCCTGCCCTTGCGTCGTGGCCGTTGAGGATTCTACCTACCGAAGCTAACCATTGGTGTTGTAATTCGCCTTACAGATTCATGGTCTGGAACCTGGGACAAGTCGGTCACTAAGTTCATGGCCTTTTCCCTTACCTACTACGATCGGGTGATCGCCCTTGATTCGGACCTCACGCTGCTGCAGTCCATCGACGAACTGTTCCTCCTCCCACCGACGCCGATGGCCATGCCGCGCGCATACTGGCAGGAAAAACCGGCGCCCCTGACGTCCTTCCTCATGGTTGTCAAGCCCGACCTGGCTGAGTTCGAACGCTTCAAGCGGACGATAACGAGCGGTGGGAAGCAGGCTGTGGTCGAGGCGCACAGGTTCGATATGGAGATTGCGAATGAGCGGTTCGAAGACAGCGCGATGGTGCTGCCGCACCGACCGTACGGCCTGCTCACGGGAGAGTTCCGCAGCATGAACCACAGCGCGTATCTGGGAGACCCGGACGAGGTGTGGGACGCAGAGAAGATCCGCAGCGAGGCGAAGCTCGTCCACTTCAGCGACTGGCCGCTCCCCAAGCCGTGGATCATGTGGCCACTCGAGGGTCTCGCAGAGGTGCAGCCGGACTGCGGCGGCAGCCACGAGGGGAGCTGTCCGGAGAGGAAGATCTGGAAGCACTTCTATGAGGACTTTCGCCATAGGCGTAAGGAAATTTGCAAATTGCTCAGCGTGCCTGCGCCGGACTGGTACAAGATCAAGGATGGATACCATCGTCCGAATGCCACAGCGGCGACGGAGGAGGGCACGACGCATGCAGCGTCAATTGAGGCTCAGGGAGAGGTCCGGGGCGAGAGCGAGGCAAAGGCCAGTGTAGAAGTGGCTTCGCACGATACTTGAATCACATATAACAGCATATAAACATAGAAATAAACATACGAAGATAGACTTCGACCCATGGATTAGCATCCGGCACGATTGACGCCGCGGACCACCACACCAGTTCTCTCTCACCTTCTCTTCGCTCACCGAGCCTCTATGGCGCAGAAATCCAGACTGGCTTGTCCCTCTCACCCTCTCTCAAGAAACATGAAACAGCTAACCACGGCGTTCAATGATGCAAACTTATTTTAGCAATCGTACACTCACCCTAAAGATCCAAGATCAGTTAGCCAAGCAGGCAGGCAGTCAGCCATTCCATTCGGCATTTTCCGCCATTGAAGGCGACGACGGTAAAAGATGGGTGCACATACCGCCCCCGAAAATACTGTTACAGATTGTAGATTGTAGATACCATCGTCGCAGGGGAAAAGGGACAGATTCTTGATATATAGGGGGAGGAGAATCCATGATTGCATAGAGGTGACGACGACAATGATGATGATGATTACTATGTATATGTATATCGATCATTGCATTGCTCGCTCTTTACGCCCCGTGCTCCTTACGTACGAAATGTGAGGTTCAATGGGTAGAGCGAAGGGTGGCGGTTCCGTGCAAGAGGAGCAAGATGACATGAGTGGGAACGAGTGGCTGACGATATTACGAGGTAGTTACCGCGTTTGTATGTGTCTTGTACATACACAAATATACACAAATACGTACCTAGGTTGCTGCTGGATGTGACAATAGGGCGGTGGTAGCTAACGGAACTAGACCGTTGGGCAATTGCAATAAGTATGTCTTTGGAGGTACCCACAGGCCGAACAAGCGCCCGGAGACTTTGAAAAAGGTACGATGTTTGTACATAGCGCGAAACGTTACCAAGTTGTTGTCTCCATAATTTTGTGGCGGGTGGGCGCGTATAGTGATATCCGACGGTGTTCTACATGACGAGTTTGGTGATGGATATTTGCATAGTGTTTAGGTTCTAGGGCCCTAGGTAGAGGTTGGAATAGACTAGGTTTGGGGGCTTGAAGCCTGCAGGTGGGCGTTTCCTGTGCCCCGTGGCAAAGCGTCGTCGATGAGGAACGAGGGCCCCGATCCCTGAGGGCGAAGGCCCCGGCAAGGGCTTGGGTGGCGTATAGCTTGTTGGTTATGGTATGTTCTTGACGCCGTTGGACTTTTTGGAAGAAGAAGAGTTACGAGGACCGATCGAATTGTAATAGGTAATTAGAGACAATAATGTGATAGTGGAGTCATTGAAGGGTTTCAAAGTCAACGATCCACGAGCAGTCTCTCTTTGCCTCAGGGGATTGAAGCTCTCTTCACTATTATTGGATCGTAAGTCCATTCCATTTCCAATAATGGTTGCGGAGGCCTGACCGGACATTGATCTCCAGTCGACTGGAAACCTGGACTGCAGAAACCGTTTGCTACGAGTAGATTTCAATCATTTATTTCTCTTTGCTTTCTCGCTTTCGAATGCGAGCCGAGGCGAAATGAAGCCATTTGTCGTCAGGTGGACTATGTCCTCCCTGCGAACATGCAGGCAGGCGAGCGGGCAAGCAAACAAGCAAGAAATTCGAAGACGCACTATCAGTCCGTGGGAGCGCCCGAGATGTACGGAGTATGCGAAGAGCAAAAGTTATCTAGCTACTATTTACTCCACAGATACAACTTGATCGTAGCTGTCACTCTTCTGCAGGCTGCGTGTAACCTTCGCGCAACCCATGGCGGCACGACAACCGTCAAGGTCTTGGGTGACAGCCGTTTGTCTTAGCATCTAACCGGGCTGACCTGCAGATGACCTACCACCTGGGTGCCGTAGATTCTTATAGCCCTTCCGTTTAGATCTAAGTAGTCAAGATGATGTATGATGCATGCTTGTAGATACGTATGCAAGTCTGCGGCCTTGTTTCTTCCCGGAAGCTGCGGAGGCCAACTTGAGGGTACGTAGTGTTGTAAGGTGGTCAGGTATGTAGCAAGCATCGCGCCCCGGCCGCATGTCCCGTTCATGCGCACCCTCGCACATAATGTGTAGATATAGATCGCACGAGACCATTCATCGTGGCCCGATGTAGGAGGTGGGCAGAGCGGACAGTGTTCTTGCTCATAGTGTTGAGGGGGTTACATTCCACCCTTCGCGATGAGATGGGAGAGTTGGGGAGTGTGGGAGTGTAGAGACAGTGGCATCCGTATTGCATCGAGTGGCGGCTATTGGGCGGGGTGTTGCATCTATACAGCCACCAGGCATGCGGACGACGGCATCATACAGACAAGACACGGCGAATCTGGGTAAATGTATGAAGTTATGAGGCTTCTGATAATCGTTACGATACGGCTTGCTTGGGGATGGTTGCAGTGCAGTGCAGTGCGGTGTGGTGCGGTGCGAACACTAAATCATAGCACAGCACGGCACGGCACAGTACTCGTACAGCAATCAAGTACTCCGTTACAACGAAAGGAACGACCAACAAAGCCTCCGATGAACCTTCATTTCCCCCACCTCACTCCCCCATCCCGGAGTCTTCATCTTAGTTCGTTCATCTTCATGCGGCTTACAACAACGTAGATCAAAAGGTGGGTGGTGGGTCTCGCAGCAAGGCTGAGTTCGTGTTCATTAGTGTCAGGGGGGCCAAGACTGACTTAGACTGTACCTCGAACTACCAGTAGGGTCACTACCTACACTTTGTATGTTGGATGTACCCATATGTCGGGGTTAGGCCAATTGCAAATCGCACTTCCATTGAAACATCTGAAACAATCCATGGATGTAACTAATGGGCCCCCCCCCTGTCGGGATAAAAGAAGATTCCCGGGCGGCGCGTGGCTTGATCATCCTCTGCAAGTCGCAGTAGCGCGTATGTACATGCGTTGTGATGCCCAGTGCAAGGTTTACCAATGTCACAAAATCGATAATTAGCATAGTGGCTAGTAACTTGCCTTGGGGGAGAGAACACTGTGTACGGTGGACTCTGCCTGGTGTATACTCGGCGTAATTTGCTCGGTGTCCTTCATTCGGGCGACTATGTTCGGTGTATGTAGCATGGGTGCAAAGGTTGGTCCCAGAGTCTGTCAATCTGTCTGTTTGTCAGTAGAAGTTATCAAACGTGATAGAAATGAGTGAGTATGGTTTGTTAGGTGAAATACCTACGAGGTATTGTTACTAAAATGATGCATGCTGGATTGAGCAATGCTCCTATCCAATAATGATGAGGTTATGGTGTTGATCTCTTCTCCCTTTGGGCCCCATGAAATGTCATTATTTTAAAAAAAGGTCCGGCTCCACTCCAACAATTACTTCATCAACGACGACAACAATAACACCCTGGCAAGTCCAAATCCTGCCCTGTCCTGTCCCTGTCCTGCATTGACATTCAACATCCTGGTAGTTAGGCACAGTGGCTAACTACTTGTACATATGTACATGATCTCCATACGTACCTCTGGTCTGTCTCTGTTCTGTCCCCGGTAACGTTCACTCGCCGTCACTCCATTACCAGGAACGGACACACTTCAAATATCACTTTTGCCCTGCCCCCTCCTCACCTCAATCCCTTCCACTCACTTCCGAAGTTGACTCTTCCTCCCTCCACCTCTTAACCTCTTCCTCCCCTCCTTCTCTTCCTCTCTTCTACTCTGTTCCACTCTCTCACCGGCTCTTCAACAAGACACTTGAGGACCATCACGCTCTTTTATTTCCTATCTACCGACGGCTCTTCATCCTCTATCACTGTATTCCAAATCCAATATACGCCATTAATCCGAAAGGAATCATTCAACTACAATGCGCACCTACATTCCGGCCATAGTGGCCACTGTGACAACTTTGTTTGCTGAGCAAGCTCTCGCCGTCAGTGTCAACCCTCTACCAAAACCTGCAAATATCACTTGGGGTACTTCGGGTCCTATTGCCATCAAGGGTCTCACCCTCGACGGCCCCGAGAATGACTTGTTGAACGGAGCCTTGAAACGAGCTTCAGATGCTATATTCGACTTGAAATGGGTTCCTGCTGCGATCGAGGCGCCTATTCGTTCCTTCGACCCCTTCCCTACCCCTTCTGCAACTGGAAAACCTTCTCGCAGGAGAAAAAGGCAGACTTATGGCAACACCACAACTTCGATCTCCAAGGTCAAGGTGGACATCGACAATCTACATGCCTTCCTTACTCATGGGGTAGATGAGTCCTACACTCTAGACATCGCTGCTGATACTCAAGAAATCGCAATCACCGCCAAAACCGTCTATGGTGCCTTGCATGCTCTCACCACTCTTCAGCAGATCGTCATCAGCGACAATGCCGGTGGCCTTATCGTTGAGCAACCCGTCTCCATCACGGACCGTCCCTTGTACCCTGTCCGTGGCATCATGGTCGATACCGGCCGTAACTACATCTCCAAGGAAAAGCTCTTTGAACAGATCGATGGCATGGCCCTCTCCAAGCTCAACATTCTGCATTGGCATATCGTCGACTCCCAATCCTGGCCTCTTGAAGTGAAGGCCTACCCCGACATGGTGAAAGGCGCGTATTCACCGCGCGAAGTCTACACTCATGCCGTCCTCAAAGAGGTGATTGCCTATGCGTCTGCACGCGGTATTCGAATCATCCCAGAGATAGATATGCCAGGCCACGCTAACATGGGCTGGCGTGAGGTCGACGAGAATATACTGGCTTGTCAGGACTCATGGTGGAGTAATGATGATTGGCCACTCCACACTGCGGTCGAGCCTAACCCTGGCCAGCTCGATCCTTTCAACAACAAGACCTACGAGGTCACAGGAAAAGTCTACAAGGAGATGGCTAACATTTTCCCCGACACCTGGTTCCACATTGGCGGTGACGAAATCCACTTGAACTGCTACAATTTCTCCGCTCCGGCACGTGAGTTCTTTGCTTCCGGGAAATCCATGCATGACCTATATCAAGTATGGGTCGACCGGGCGATCCCCAACTTCATCGCCCAAGCCAACCGCACCTTCGTCATGTGGGAGGATGTTATCATCTCGGAAACCAGCGCCGCCACTGGCCCTGTCCCCAAGGACATTGTCATCCAGGCCTGGAACAACGGCCTCGTGCATATCAAGAATCTGACCTCTCTCGGACATCGTGTTATCGTCTCCTCATCCGACTTCCTTTACCTCGATTGTGGCTTTGGAGGCTTCGTCCCTAACGATCACCGGTACAACGTCATGACCAACCCTAGCAACGACTCAACACCAAATTTCAACTGGGGAGGTGACGGTGGTTCTTGGTGCGCCCCGTACAAGACGTGGCAGCGCATCTACAACTACGACTTCACCAAGGGCTTGACCAAGGAAGAAGCCGCCCTGGTCCAGGGTGCCATTGCCCCCCTCTGGAGTGAGCAAGTCGATGATGTCGTCATCTCTAGCAAGCTCTGGCCTCGTGCTGCAGCACTTGCCGAGCTGGTCTGGTCCGGAAACCGCGACGAAAAGGGCCAGAAGAGGACGACGGAACTCACCCAAAGAATCCTGAACTTCAGGGAGTACCTCGTCGCGAACAAAGTCATGGCCTCTCCACTAGTACCCAAGTTCTGCCTTCAGCATCCCCACGAGTGTGACCTGAATTTGAACCAGACTATCATTCAGGACGAGAATGCGCCTCCCCCTGCTGCGTAAAAAGCAGCCAGTCCGAGTTCATGTTTGGAGCGATTTTTCCCTCGTCATACGACCATAAGCATCAGCATCATATCATATCATACAGGCTATGACTTCACTTATTTCCCATGTCTTTTCTACTTTTTTTCTTTTTCCTTCCTCGATTTCTTCGATGTCAATATTTGTATACCCAGATGAACCTTTTTACTTTTTGAAATGAAAATATTTGATCCTTCCATATGGAAAAGCATCTCACTTGCCTTATTGCTTGACCTTGATGTTCGGGATAAACATGTGATAAGCAATCACCTACTGAATTTGAATACCTTCCTGCATCTACTCTCCTGTGTGTGAGCAATTTCTTATTACGTGAGATCAGTGCACATCAATAATGTGAACTTCGGTAAAGATTCGACCCTACCCCTCGAGACCAAGTAATCGACTAGACACGTTTACGACCCATTATCGTCGCCACGAAAATTGAGCTTGTATTAGAACTGCTCAACATTCAAGTTCTCTTGTAGACCAAGTACCATGCTATGGCGGTTCATCCTTTACACACCCTCCCCTCTTCCATATGCACACACTCATATTGTAGTCTTTGTCGCCGCAGTCATGTTCATCGCGCTTGTCTGCGTAGGCTGTCGGTTTGTCGTTTTCGAAATCTGTGATAGCGGCGTGATGAATTCTCATCCTCGGTATATATTCGTAGTCAAGGAAGGAATCTGTAACTGACAGGAACGGATACGGTAGGAATTGGTTAGGAGAGAGGGAGGGTTGTGGGTACTGTCTAAGTTTGTCTACAGGTTGTTCATGTCGCCATCCTCGTCGTCGTTGACGTCGTTGTATTTGCAGAGCTTTCTTCCCGTATAGCCATAGACATGGCATTGCTAACAACATAGATGTGATGAATGAAGATTTGTAGCCAGGCGTATTCAAAAGTATGAATGCGTATAGGTACACCTACGGTTCATCTTTTCATGTCGTTTTTCATACCGACCGGTTGTTTCAATTCCCTTTCTACAATTCCTTCCGGCAATTAGGTCTTCAGAAGCGTAGAAATGCCCAGTCTCTTGTCTCTAGTGTTGCCGATGCTATGCGAAGCTGCATGCAAAAACATAGATATGTACCTGATAGATTCATGTTGAAGTGAGAGCCTGGCAGAAGTCGAGACTGTCTCCGTGGCGTTTGTATATGTATCCCCTATCCGTGGGTCTAGACATGAATGAAACCACACAAGTAACTAACAAGCAACTAAAAAGTACCGACATTGCTAAGTTTCGTCATTGTGAAGAGGGCGCATTAGTGCATTCCTCCTTCCCCAGACCTACGAGTACCTAGACCACATCACCACGATAATGCCAGATCCAGGCACCCCTAGATCCCTGTGCTTTGACATCGTCAACAATAGACCACCTGAATGCCCTAGTTTCCCGCCGTCAATACGTTTACCCTGCCCCCTCGCGGAATTATGACCGCACTGCACTACTGCACGGCATACCTACGCGCGTACGGGAACGAGCGAGCGAAGCGGAGCGGAGCGGAGCAGTTTAGAGTCAATGAATAGGGATGTTGGGATCGAAACGGACGAAAATAAACATCATCGTCGGATTGAAGACGAAATGTGGTGTTTCACGTGACGAGTTACCGTCGCAGGTCCGAGGTTCTCACCCTCAACTTGAGGTTCTTCAGGGATGCCCGGGGGATAACCCGGCGGGAAATGATTTAACAAAAACAATATGCAGGGAACAACAGCAATAGAGTTTAACTGATGCTAATGCATGAATCACCATGGACACGGAGAGGAGAATATTGGAAAGGTCCGATGAAGGTGAGGCATTTGAAAACATACAATTTGAGGAAGGCAATGGCATGCGAGGCGGTTTGTGCATCTTGCGCGGCGTCTGATGCCACGTGGAACGGATAATTGTTGTCGTCTGGAGAGATAACATAACCATGGGACTGAATGAGAGATACGAGTGCTTGGTATGCAGTGCTGTGGTGTAATCCACAGCTCAATACGGGGTTCGATGTAAACACAACTTCTTCATTCGAAGTTGCGATTATGCTCTGCGATTTGACTCTTGAGGCTAAAGGAAATGTTGGAATGGATATGTATTGACACTTTCTGGATTCCATTGATCCGACCTCCAAGGTGCTCTATCCTGCCCAGGTATGGATATTACTCGTAGGGCTTTGTAGCCGCAAGTACAGCGGAGGGGGTGGGGGTGAATGTCCCGCGTACAGTACAATACATCAAGCGTCCATACAGGCCACCAAGCGGATGTGGGGTCAACAGCGGAAGGTCGTCGATGGACGTGAGAAAGGGCCCCGCAAGCATAACCGTCCTTCCCGATTCCGCGCTGACTGCGCTTGTTACCTGTTGTGCAATACCAATCCAGACCGCCTCTACACATACCATCCTAGCATCTGACATACACAGTACTGTAGAGGCAATCAGATACTGATAAAAGAACCAACAGAAGTATCGGCTGGGATTGAACGGGCGGTATCTGACATGAGCCTCGCCGCAGATGACATGCAGGGCCCAATCCAGCCGCGAAGGACAGTCCGTCTATGGATGAGTTGTCGCCTACGCCGCAATAAAAACATAGATAGCAAGCTGCAGTCCACATCCTCCGCAATCCGCCAGCAATGTACGAATCCAAAGCGGCGTCTATCCGATAAACGACCAGGACGGATTAGGGATGACAACAGTGTGAAGAGGCGCTTCGGACGGTTGTCATTGGGTCTGGGTGGGAGGCCCGGCGTAAGCACGCACGCTTCCCCCGTAATTCAGAGAGGAGCCGTCTTTGCGGCGCCTGCCGTGTGACTGCAGACTGGGGGTGGAGAACCTTTTATCCACAGTCTGGGGTCGTGATATTGGACTTCCTCGTCTATTAGAAGGACGAGGGGAGGAGAGTCTTCTGGGTAAACGTGAACCAGATTACGCCCGCCACTTGGCCGAAGAACCCTGAAGCATAGTCGCTGGAGGGAGCAGAGAGTGGTGGACGAACGTAGTTGAATTTAAAATGGTAATATCATTCATGTCTCTGGAATCCTTTCGCTACACAGAACAAGAGGTGTCATAAGTTGGCAAAGAGAATAATGGCAGTCGTCAGTTCGACGACAATAGTGAATGACTACCTACACAGTAGATCGATGAACGATCTGCCGACAAACGTGGCTGGGACGGCGTGTCTCTCGTCCCGTCATTGCCAAGGAGGTGGCGCTGATCTCTCGAGTCCTCGTTGCAAATGTTAGTGGATGTATTGGTAGTGTGCTACGAAGTTTATAGGGGAGTGTATGAGTAGGTGAGAAAATACATGGAGTCTCTCTCCTATTCACTAGCAAAATCCCTGCCTGCCAAGGGGCAAGTGACCCCGCCCGTTGACCATCCGCTCACTCCAACTCTTCCATCTCCATTCCAATCATCCAACCACAACCCACGAAACTTACCACAAACTCAAACTCGCCTCGCACTTACAGTCAATGCCCCAGTCCAAACTCCCTAGGACTCTCCATCCCATCCCAATATGCACCGCACACGAAAAAACCCTTGCACCCCCTTCCAAAGGACCATGTCAGGCCCAGGCGTTATCCTCATTAAGTTAAGTGGAGTAGAATGCAATGCTTGTGGCGCTTTTCCTTAAATGCAGAAGCTCCGTTCTTCGAAATCTTTTTTCTGCCCTCGTACAACTGCCGACCTTTCTTCCCAGCCCAGAGAAAGGACCGAACCTGTTTTCCGTGGTATTGGTTGAGTCCAATACTGCCAATTGCTGACGATCTGTGCCTCAATCCCTTGACAGGCAGTTCGTAACGGCACACCTTTTTTACCTTATATGTGGAGTTGCCCTTCCCCAGATTCGTTCTCGTAATACCCCAGATTCACGAGCTTGCTTGTATATCAAGACACGTTCGCGATATCCTCTTGCTCTGCAAAGGAAGGGTGCTTCCCATTTCGAACTACGAACTTCGAATCTTCAATCATAGGACTCATCTGACATTGGACTGAGCATCATGTCTGAGCAAGTCTTTGCGTCGAATGAGAAGAGCGAACAGGCTCTATGTTGGTAACCTGAGCATCCATTCATCATGTCGTGCACTAATGTTCCTAGACGAGTCAAATTCGGTGCCTGGCGAGGGTAGCGACCAGGCCTCCGATGGCTTTACCTGGACCGATGAAGAGGAAAAGGCAGTCCGATTAAAGTTGGACAAGTACATTATACCTTTGACGACCTTCCTCTATCTGCTATGTTTCCTCGACCGGTACGCAGTACCATGCCTACGCCAACTTTCGTCACATCAAGCTAACATTTACAAGTGCCAATGTTGGCAATGCTCGTATCCAGGGTATGGCTGATGAGCTCAAGCTTGTGGGATACCGCTTCAACTGGGTCACCTCCATCTTTTACATTGTCTACATGTTTGTTGAAGTACCAAGCAATATCCTGCTCAAGATTATTGGGCCGAAGTATTATCTACCGCTACTTGTCGTTGGCTTCGGTTTTGTGTCGCTTTGCTCCGCCTTCGTAACAAGCTACGGCGGGCTTTTGACGGCTCGAGCATTCTTGGGCGTCTTCGAAGGAGGCGTCATGCCGTAAGTGTTTAAGCAGTTTTTAATTCCCGGACTCTGCTGACATTGATATGAAGGGGAATCGCTTTCTTCATCACTTGCTTCTATAAGCGAGAGGAGCTTTTGCTCCGTGTAGGTATTTACGTTTCCGCTGCATCTCTCGCAGGTGCTTTTGGAGGCCTGTTGGCGACCGGGTACGTAACATTCAGCTCGCCGATCTTGATATGAACTAATGAGGATTGTCAGTCTCGCACGCATTCCGGAATGGGGCGTGGCAAGCATGCGAATCCACACCTGGCGCAATATTTTCTTCTTCGAAGGCCTCTTCACGGTGCTTGTTGGCCTGGGAGCACCTTTCCTCATGCCCACTCATCCTGCGGATACCTGGTTCCTCAACGAACGCGAACGCAGAATTGCGGCCGAGAGGCTGATCATGAAGAATGCGGGGTTGGAGAACGAAAAGGTTGAGTTACACCACATCAGCAGGTCTTTCTTCAACATCAACAACTACATCTGTGCCTTGGGTTTCTTTGCCATCAATATCACTGTACAAGGCATTTCGCTATTCATGGTAAGGTACTCCATAAGAAATCTCTGGACAGTTTCATTAACATCTGTAAAGCCCACTATTCTCAGGGATCTCGGCTGGACTGCTACCAAGGCCCAGCTTTACTCCGTCCCTCCCTACGTATGCGCTTGCTTGGTAGCCATCGCTGTCGCCTTCGTTTCCGACAAGACGAATCGTCGTGGTATTTATCTCGCTTGCTTCACATTCCTCGCTATCACCGGCTTTGCCATCATGAGGTGGGCAACCAACCCCAACATTCGATATATGGGCGTCTTCTTTATTACTCTTGGCGCTTTCCCCGGAGGCCCAGGGTTTTTATCTTGGGCTATGAACAACGCAAGTGGGCCAGCTGTTCGGGCTGTTTCCAGCGCTTATGTCGTCACTTTGGGCACAGCTGGAGGAATTGTAGCCACCTGGTAAGTTCTACACATCAATCAAATCAGTTGAGCATTTAACTCATCATCTTCATCTAGGACATACACGTTGAAAGATGCACCCAAATACCCGACGGGACACACTATCAACCTCGCTGGACAAATATTCGTCTGTCTACTTGCTACAGGAGGCATCCTATACTGCAAGTGGGAGAACAAGCAGCGCGACCTCGGCAGGCGTGATCATCGCCTCAATGGCTTGAATGAGGCACAGATCAAGGACTTGGGTTACAGGCACCCTCTTTTCCGCTACATCACTTAGGACTATACTCCCTTTGGTTTGTTATGTAGTCAGCTATCTTGGGATTTTCTTTCGAGCAAAAGCTAAGCTATTATGATACATCACCGCCAGTTTCCAAATTCAACATTGGTTATTCATATGATCTTGTTGCTATTTACATTTGTGATGTGTGATTTCAGCATATATGTGATCCAATGGTTACAATGTTCAATTAACCAATTTTCCGCCCTAGAAGCCAATGTTCCAATCAGAATCTACAGTAACAAACTAATCCGATTTATCGACCCAAGAAATGGGAGGACTAGGTAAGGTCAAAGTCCCTATAATAGACAGTTTCTCAGAGAACAATGGAAGTCATTGGTCAATTGACAACTTAGCTACTCCAATTCGTCCAATAAGCAGGATCCAAAGGACTAGTCCTGTCCTTCAAGTACCTGCGTAAACCGTTACCGCTGTCCAATCGCACCATTTTTTGGACTCACAGCCTCGCTGTCCAACTCCCGACAATTTCTTCATTGCAAGGCATCCGGGTACCTTACCTTCATCTAACTTGTACAACATGAAGCCTCTCTACGCATTCCAGAATACCGTCTTGGCGCATGCAAACGACATAGTTCTCTGCAGCGGTTCATTGTGGCCGGATAATTCCCAGAGTGTCAATTGGTGGGATGCGCCTACGTTTGGAGATGATCGGCGGGGGAGATTTTATATTTTAGATTGGAGATTCGATGGCGGCTCTAAGCGAGTGAAGGACTACGAAATAGGACGTGTTGTGAGTGATGGGATCTGAGATTCCAATTGCCTGATGGTGTAGCCATTGGAAAGAACGCACTGGTAGGTATTGTTCGAGTCAAAACATATGCGATCAAGTGCACCTTTTCATGTTAATTGGCTGCTGTCATTCACTGTAGTTTGTCCTAACGCCATACACAGATATCAACTCAAGCGCACTTGCACGTCAGTCTGTCAAACTTCACGCAATCCCGAATTCGGCCAACATCTCATGCATGAATGACGATCTCCCATTGCATATCATGTAGCTCCACGGAGAACCCATGCACGTCCTCGTTCTATCCAGCCTCAACGATCAAATGCATCCATATAGACCTGCATGCCTTCATATATCACCGCTTCATTAACCAGCAACCCATCCAAACCAATGGCATTTCGACAAAATCCCATGCCAACGCAATTTCCACATCGAACGACATAATCGGCTTCGTGTCGCCGACCGAAAAGGTTGCGCCGCTGATGTAGACTAGACGTCAAAGCCCGGTTCGAGAGGCTTCTGGAGCCGATGGACACGAGCAAGCAGTATGGGGGTAATGTACATCGTCATATAAACTCGCGAACCAGGCCTAGACGGCAGAACAGTTATACTTGGCGACCTAAACAATCCCAATGATGCGAGGTGAAGTTGTGGGTATAAAGCGGACGCAGCTGTGTGCCGGAGTAGCAGTGCAGGACTGAAAGGAATCTTCCTATTTCACCCCCATATCCGGCCAACTGGATCGGGACAGGAACGGCGAGGAAATAGAAGATGCTGTTTGAGATAACCGTCGCTGCTGCTTTGGGTTTTGCCCTTGGAGTCGACGCGCAGGAAGTGTCCCAGACTTTCGTGCTACCGCCAGGTATCCCTACTCCTTCGCAGTCCGTTGGTGTATCATTGAACCCTTCCATTGTGCCTTCGATCTCTTTTGGAATACCATCGCTTTCGGCGTCCGGTTCCAGCGTGGTCCCCAGTCTTAGCATCCCTGTGGTATCGTCCGCTGGTCCAACTCTTACAGTTCCCATTGTCTCCACACCACCGGCATCGATAGGCTTCTCTATAGTTCCCTCGCTGCCAACTAATCTACCGACACCCTCGATATGGTCGTCCTTCTCTCAAGCCCCAGGACTTTCTTCGTCAGTGTCACCACCTAGCATTGGGTTTCCAACTGTCATCCCGTCGACGCCATTGCTCCCGCCAACGTACACATTCCCCCCTTTCCCGACTAACATCTCGATTCCTATCCCGACCAGCGCGGTTTCGACCCCGATCTCATCTGTCTTGGTTCCAGTACCTTCAAGCGGAGTCCCATCAGTTGGACCAGGTATCTCGTCAGTCAGTGGATCACTGTCGTTCACCGACATTGTTGTACCCCCAATTCCGTCGACCATTATTTCAAGGTCAATTGGATTCCCGTCCATTAGTGCAACGCTGTCATTACCCTCGATTCCGGTACCGTCTCCATCTAGCGTGTTGTCTTCGGTTGTCCCTGGAATCCCTTCAGTTAGTGCAACATTGTCGTTTCCCTCAGTACCTGTACCTTCCTCGTCCAGCGTGCGGTCTTCGATCATTCCTGGGATCCCGTCAGTGAATATCTCGAGATCTATCACGGTCCCAACGGTCAGTGCGTCGGTTCCAATTACGTCGGTGTTGATTCCATCCTCGTCGAGGGTGTCTTCGATTGTACCGCCATTCCCATCCGTCAACATAACCATCCCTGGGCAATTTCCATCCGTCAGCGCTACTCTGGTGTTCCCATCACTATCAGTTTCATCGTCTTCGAGGTTATCGTCCATTGTGCCACCTTTCCCATCCGTAAACATTTCCATCCCTGGACCATTCCCGTCCATCAGCGCTACACTGAGTTTCCCATCAGTATCACTTTCATCGTCAACAAGGTTATCATCTATTGTACCGCCTTTCCCATCACTCAATCTTTCGCGCACGATTAGTGTTCCATCCATCACCGCTACCTTGCCCCTCCCCTCTGCTACATCTCTGGTCTCTACAGGTCCACCTATCATTACAATAAGCGTGCCTACGACCATTCCTTGGAATTCTTCGCTCTCTCTGACGCCAATTCCTCTTCCAACAGCCTTTCCTACTTGGTCTGTCCCGGTTCCAAGTCTATCTACGTCGCTGAATGTCACAGTCGCTCCCCCAAGTTCCCCTTCGCGTACGCCGACTTTCATTACAGGGTCTTTTCCAACGGGGGGTTGGAACACTTCCGTATCCCTGACTCCAGTGCCCTTCCCTACTTCTAGCTGGTCCTGGCCATCTCTTTCACCCCCAGTGCTACCCACGCGATCACTCAACATTTCTATCATACCTACTAGACGCCCATCAACTAGTCGTATCTCAGTTCCATTAACAAGACCAACCTCATTCTCCATCCCAGCATCCTCATTCAATGTCTCGATTCCATGGAGGCCATCAACACGCAACCCCGGGCCAACATCGAGAAGTTCATGGAGTAGGCCATCACTCTCTGCAACAGTACCTTCATGGAACTCAACGACCCTCCGACCACCGACCTCGAGGCCAATTCCTCCTCGTCCGAGTTCGTCGTCTAGGGTGACGAGAAGCTCATGGAGCAGGCCGACGATTTCGGCAACAGTGCCCTCGTGGAACTCAACGACTATTCGACCACCGACCTCGAGGCCGATTCCGCCTCGTTCGAGTTCGTCGTCTAGAGTGACGACTCGCACGCCGCCTGCTCCTCCAACTTCAAGACCGGTTCCTCCGCGGCCAAGTTCCTCCTCCCGAGTGACTACCCATACACCACCTACACCACCAACCTCTAGGCCAACTCCCACGCCTCGCCCCAGTTCAACGTCCAGAGTAACAAGCCGTACACCGCCTGCACCCCCAACTTCCAGGCCAACGCTCCCACCTCTCCCAACTACTCGTCTTCCATCACCGCCTTCAACCTTGACAACCATCCCGTCCCGCACAACAAGCCGCTTTCCTCCATCGCCATCGCCAACCGATGATGACGATGACTGGGAAGATTGCGACCCAGATGAGGACGAAGACTGCGAATGGGACGACGACGAGGACGACTGGGAGTGGGACTGGCGCGACTGGCTATGGTGGCGCCTCAGGGGCAAACGCCCCCATCACCACATCCCAGGTCACAAGCACCACGGCCATCGTCGCAAAGGATGGCAGGGACATTGGAAGAGAGCCGATGTGACTGCGAGACCCGTGGAGGGAATCCCAATTGATGGACGACCTGTTGGCGGACGGCCTGTAACAGAAAGACCGGTTGCTGGGAGGCCAATTACAGAGAGACCTGTTGGTGGAAGGCCCGGTGTGACTGCGAGGCCTATTGGGGGTTGGTGAGCTGTAGCGAGTGGGGAAGTAAATTGTAGTTAATCGTGAAGAAACATAATATATAGTACATCCTGATTATTCCTCCGTACAGGTCCTGCTAAATAATGAATGTATCGATTTATCGATATCACGGCCACTGTGTGAGGTGAATTTTGCGTTCTAGTTATCTCAATGAATGAATGGCACTTTGATTTAGCTTTCAAATCCCACGTTCATGCGAACATTGTTTACTGAATACGCTCCATTCGTGTAAATATAGCCAAATCAAACAGAGCACACCTTCGACCACGACAACCATTCCAAATGGCACAGTCTTAGCCTCCACCCAACTAATGCAGCGACCGTCATATAATTCCTGAAACAATAGGTCCCGCCGTCGCCGGCGGAAATAACCGACGTGCACGATGGCATCTTGGCGGTAAGCCTTGACGATAAAAGTCTTCCTTATTTGGGAATGACGTGGATACTGAATACTAGATGGTATAGGACTATCAACTATTGCGACCCACATATAAATCTTAGAAGTCATTTGGGTGGGGAAATGGGTGAATAAGGTTATTTTCCACTCGGTTCTCTTATTCAGAACTGCAATTAGGTCCAGTGTTGAACTTGTTCATCACTGTCTTTGTCTTTGTTTTACGAACATAAAGCGTGGGATCAAGGTTCTGGGGGAAGACCAGATTTGTATTGTCATGTCATAAACAAGCCAGCAGGGCCAGTAAAACTTCGTAATGAAGTAGAGTCGAAGTATGTAGTGTGTCAAGTAAGAATATTCACAGGTAAGAATGTAAACCCCCTTTCCCCAACGAACTCCCAGCAAGATACCGCAGAAAGATGAATGAGCTCCCATGCTTCAACCTTTCTGCTCTTTCTTGTCCGGTGTGATAAATTAACCAGAGCAGACACCAGACTTGGTGGGCTCGCAGCCGCCGGCGCAGCCATTGTACATCTGGCACTTGACCTTTGCGTCCGCGCAGACATTCTTAAGGGTAGCGGTATCGCCGTAGTTGCTGTTGATGCCGGCGAGCTCACCGCCATTCTTTGCGGTGACGCCCTCGATGTAGACGTTGCGCTTGCACTGGCTGCTGCACTGTTTTGGACATGTTGGTCAGAATATCCGGATACCTGAACCGGGCAGTAGGATTCAAACTTACGTTTCCGCAAGAGCGGTAGAGCTTGCCGTAGTCCTCAACGTAGTAGTTGATGATGTTGACAGTTCCACAGCCGTTGTGCTGGACGACCTTGTCGGAGGCGTGGTAGGCACCGCCGCCAATGATCCAGGAGTGAGCACCGGCCTTATCATTCTTGATGCTGATGGCATCCTCACAGACGTCTTCGAACCACACAAACTCAAGCGTGCAGTGGCCGTCGCAGTGGACGCCCTCGGCCTGGTTCTTTCCGATGATGACGTTCTTCAGAGTGGCGCCGGCCTTGAGCAAGAAAACCGCATCGGCGGAGCCTGGAATCGGTTAGGATCGAGTGAAATCCAGTGGAATTCCTGTCAACATGTTCTTACCTCCCTCTGATTGATCCTTGCAAGCGCCCGAACCACGATCATACCTGGCCCATCCGCCGTCAAAGGTCTCTCCAGCATTGACTGTAATCACTTTGCTGTTGGACTTGGTCGAAGTGGCCTTGGGAACGCCACCGGTGTATCCGTTGCAGGCAAGGGCTACAGGAAGAAGAGCCAAAAGGCTAGCAGCTGCGGCGAACTTCATACTGAAGATGTGCTTTTGAGTTCAGGTAGAGGATAGAGCGAGTATCAAGTAGTAGTAGGCTCGTTAGTGAAGGCGATGGTCAAAAGACTGGTCCTTTCAAAACGAAGACTATCCTCGAGGTTTATATATTTTCTTCATCACCCGACGATGCCTCTAATTTGAGACCCGCTCTGCAAAGACATGGCATTCCTGAAAGGAGATGACGGTACCCCAAAGGGACAACATGGCCCACCGCAAGCTTTGATAGGAGGATTAAGTGGAATGATTCTGCTCTTGGCGATGTCTTTTTGCTTCTGCACTGTCAGTCTGTCAGTACGACGGACAATTGTTCTTATGCACGATTTAATATACTTCACAGGGGGGCACATGGAAATACGACGGAAGGACTTCAGGAAAGCATTTAGATATTCTATTTGTTTACTGAGCATCGTCGGCCAGTGTGTATCGTGTGGCACGTGGTTTATGTACCCCGTTGTACACATGTTTCGACTAACATCTTGGGGCCTTGGCCGTGGGAGGACTAATCTTTCCACCAGTGAATTACTCGCTTCATACGCCCTGCTAGGCAACGTTCGATAAAAGTAGGGCTGAGATTAGATTAATTGGGAGCTGTGAGAGGCCTCATGCGTATCTATTTGATCCATTCATTTGGTATGAATTATGGAAGGCTGAAGACCTTGGCTGATTTGTATATTATTACTCTCGGGGCAACTTAGGAGCGAGGTGGGTATAATTTTCCGCCGAAGTAAGGAAAGGAAGGAGAGATCGTATGTTGTTGCTGTGCTGTGAAAGATGTAATCTTGATAGGCATGCTAGGAATGAGATTCGCGATTGGGTTGAATATCGAAAACATGAGAGAGAGGCTGTGGTGCAAGTGGTAAGTCCGAAATAGGTATGATAAAATCGGCTCCACAGACGCCACCAAACAAACATGCCGTAACCCCACAAGAACTGTGGAACCACACTCTATGTAAGTAACAGCGCGCACATCTAAAAGCAAGCCTTTCAATGTCAAAGGACCCTCCAGTCTCCGGATACACCTCTTCATTCCATGTCTTTATTGATGAGAATTAAAGACTTCTAACTAACTACAGCCACAGCTGGCGCGATAGATCTTCAACCTTTTCCTTTACGTCTTTTTACGCCTTTCGTACAACATCGATGACGACTCTCTTGGCATGACGCGCACATATGTTCTTCATATCCACCATCACGCAGAATGGCGTTGTCTCACTCAAAGATAAGTAGTATCAATGCTTTCATATTCACGTCACTACATCCAATCCACCTCGCTCTCCGGCATGGTCGGGTTCCGTCTGTTGTTGTATTTATAGGGAACGGATTCTGAACAATATGAGCACCATGTCTATCTCAACATTGTTTCGTATCAATTGTACTTCAAATCCGTACAAACACTTTGCCCTAAGATCATTTGCTTTAAATTACAATCGATCCTTTTCTATTTCCTCTACTATCAAAATGCCCGAACAACTTACCAAGGATGAAGTCAACTCTCAGACTGATCCTTCGGTTTCAAAACAATACGATTCCAAAACTTCTACCGATGAGCAGATCAAAGAGTTCTTCAAGTTTATTGATAGCAAAAAAGTTGGTCTTCTAAATACGTACCGCAACGGAGTCGGTAGGTTCCCCTTTTTTTCATCCGCATAGTTTGTTCAATCTCAAAATGCTGAGTATAATACTGTTAGGCCCCGTTGGACGCTCGATGGCGATTGCCAAACGAACAGGACCTGACTTCCTATTCCTCGCAAATCAACATTCTCAAAAGTTCTCAGATCTCTCTTCTAATAAAGAGGTACAACTCACTTTCCAGGATTCCAAGACTCAGGACTGGGCTTCCATCTCCGGCACTGCGACGACAGTATCAAATAATGATCCTCGCATCAAAGATGTCTGGAGCAGTGGCGTCAAGGCCTGGTTTGGAGACTTGGGGGATGGAGTTCACACCGGAGGGCCGGAGGATCCAAGGATGGCCCTCATTGAAGTGAAAGCGAAGTACATTACCTATTGGCTACATGAAGTTGGCACCTTAGGCTTCGTCAAGGAGGTTGCTGGTGCTGCGCTCACTGGCAATGTTGCCAACACTGGAGTACTAAGGGAGTTGAAAGAGGCCGAGATTGAGCAGGCACGGAAGCAAGGTTGAATGCCGAGATTATATGCTCTCCGTTGAGTGCTCAACTTAATTGCATTGATCTAAGCAACGTCAGGAACTGTTCTATCAATCAATTATTCGATTTATACATTATTTGAAGGAAATGATCGTTCTTCTCGGAAGGGTTATATTGACTCGAGATGCTCAAGTGTAATATGAAATCAACGCTGCACAATCTTCCGGCCTTTGGTTTTCCATTTTACGTCTTCCAGATACTAATGAGACCGTCAAAAATCCAGCCCAAGTATGATATAAGGAAACATACCCGCCTCTGTACCATTAATCAAAAGTCAAGATATGTAGTGGGTGAGGCCTCGATGGTAGGATCTAACTTGGTTTCCAATGGTGTCTTAGTGCTAACCTTGCGGATAGCTTACCGCTTCTGGCAGGTCAACTTTACAACGAAACCTAAACTGCATTTTGTTTCTCGTTCTGTGCATCCCCAAGTAGATCCACAGCTCAATCATGAGTCAGCCCTGCATGGGCACCCACCGTGTTTGATGCTTCAATTCTTATAACTCTTGAAGTTCCAGTACCGAACATACCCGTTGTATCCTCCTTCTACATGGTATATTTGCTTATTCTCCTCTTCAGTCTGCGTCCAGGAGTACCAAATTAAACATGGATTCTCTAGATCATGAGCGCATGGAAATCACTCCAGGCCGCAGAGCCACGGTAGACGACTCTGCAACTTCAAAAAAGGACACTCAATTCAATCAACTGTCGATAGAAGAACCCGAATCTGGGAATTCACGCACTCAGCTTCGGACATTTGCCATTATGACCGGCCTTTGTGTAAGCACCCAGACATATACAATTGGGACACTTACGGAAGATTGGAAATTATACTGAGCCAATACAGGCCACTGTCTTCCTTGCTGCCCTCAATCAAACAAGCGTCGCCACCGCGATTCCAACAATAACCCGAGAATTGAATTCTGCATCAGGGTATGCCTGGATAAGTGCAGCGTATTTCCTTGCCAACGCCGCCGCTGCACCCATCTGGTCAAAATTATCGGACATCTGGGGACGAAAGCTCATCCTGCTCACGGCAGTTGCGCTGTACTTTGTGTTCTCGATCATTTGCGCCACAGCGATAACAATGCAGATGCTGATAATTGGTCGTGCCCTCCAAGGTGTTGCTGGTGGCGGTCTTCTGCAGATTGTCTACGCGACGATATCTGATATATTCAGCATGCGGGCGCGGACGTTCTACCTAGGACTGTTGCAATTAATGTGGGCCACTGCAGGTGGGCTTGGTCCACTTGTTGGGGGTATATTCGCCCAGTATGTGACCTGGCGATGGATCTTCTGGATCAACCTTCCCATCGCCTTTATTGTGTTCGTCGTGCTATGGATTTTCTTGGACGTCCATGATCCTAAGACTGGCATCATACCTGGCCTGCAGGCTATCGACTGGTTTGGTATCTTCTCGCTGCTGGCGTGCATGGTGACCTTCCTGCTGGGCTTGAACTTTGGACGGAACAATGCAGCGTGGAGTTCACCGTTGGTCATATGTCTCTTGGTGACTGGTGTGGCTATGGCAACCGTCTTTGTCTTCTTCGAGAAGAAAGCACGCTCTCCTATTATACCAATGGAGCTCTTTGGGAACATGTCAAATGTTGGTACTATGGTGATTGGATTCACACACGATTGGGTAAGCACTGAAAACTGTTTATGCTCTCCTTCATCAAGAAGTCAAGATAGTCTTCGATACTTACTCCCTCCCCTCAGGCTGTCTTCTCCATTGAGTTCTACCTCCCACTATTCTTCCAAGCCGTGAAGAGCGCAACACCACTCAGCTCTGGAATCCGAATCCTACCGATCACCCTGACCCAGTCTCTGGTCGGTGTAGCTGCTGGCATCATCGTCCACAGATCAGGCCGATACCTCGAGCTCATCTGGGTGGGCGTGGCTCTACTGGCCCTGGGCAACGGCCTCTACATCAACCTGGACGTCTCGACCGCCTTAGGTCCGATCATAGCGTTCCAGGTTGTGGCCTCGACGGGCGCGGGTCTACTGTTCCAACCACCTCTGATAGCTCTTCAGGCACTCGTGCCGCCGCACAAGACGGCGTCTGCCACGGCGACACTGGGCCTGGTCCGCATTCTGTCCATCAGTATCGCGATAGTGGCAGGCCACGTGATCTTCGCGAGCGGGATGAATTCGCACAATTCGGAACTGATAGCACAGGGCTTGCCTCGAGACTTGGCGGAGAGCTTTGCGGGAGCGGCGGCAGCAGCGAACGTGGAGCTCATCGGTGCGGTGGAGGACCTCGGTCTCCGGCATGCTGTTCAAGAGGCGTTTGCGGATTCTCTGAGATACATCTGGATTCTGTGCACTTGCACGTCTGTCTGCGCGGTGGTTGCAAGTGCGTTTGTTTCGAGACAGGTGTTGAGTAGAGAACATGTGGAGTACAGAACAGGCCTCAGCAATGAATAGAACGAGGAGGGGAGTTAAATTACCCAAGGCCAGGATAGGAAATACGTGAAAGAGTTTAAGCCACGATGGTATCCATGTAGCTGATATAGTCACAAACATGCTCTGTATGGATGAGCTAGAACAGAAGAAAGGAATCATCCTTAGCTCACACTACTGCACAGCTGAAAGAAGCACTGTTTAAAAGTGGGATGTCTAAACATCGTTAAGAGGTTTGTAGTTTCTCCTTACAAGTCTATGCATCGAGGTCTAGAACACATCCAAAAGCTACAGGTACCCCAGCCGTCCAAGAAGCGAAGCTCAAAGGCCCTGCGCTAGGGCGTCTTGAGGTTAATATATCGAAAAGCTTGAGTGGAAATGAACTAGGTCGAGGTGACCTATGATTAACTTCGGGGCAGGGTGTTCTTCGCTACACAGCTCGCTGAGTAGGGCTATCAACTTATTGACAGCCAAGGATGTCCGACAAGCTGTGGCTCTAGAAGGTTAATCCCAAAGAAGCTCATAGGGTTCCCAGGGCCTTGACGAAGCTTGGGCACGACATATTTGGAAGGCCAGAGCGCTTGTTGTTGGTTCATCCAGTAGAGATGGATAAACCCTATGAATCACTGACTGGACCTGCTACAGAAATCAGGAGCATGCTCGTATAGATAGATTACATTAGGGACTTGCAAGTCTCTAACGTGCGGAACGAGGTGCGGGTCAACGGACGTGAGGGAACTTGGAAGTGTTGGTGTTGGTGTGCGGCGATTGACCGGGTATCGATACAGTCTCGGGCAATTGTTCTACCCCACGGCGGGTGTAAAAAGGGGCACTGCCTATGTCGTACAAGACACAGTCCGATTGGCGTTCAAAGTCTACACAGTGCATCGATTTCCAATTTTGGAACCCACCCTCAACGATCCGATACCTATCTGCCTCGGTCCTGAACTTTGTGTTGTACGGAAGCCTTATACAGAAAACTACTTAGGTAGGTTCATAGTGAATGTTCATAGTAATTAATGTTGGTATCAGCACGTGCTTCATCGGAAATTCAGTTGATCTACCTTTGAGAACTTTTGATCACATCGGCTGTCATGCTAATTGGAGCGGTAATTACCTACATCGTAATGTGAAAAGTCTTTTTTCTTGCATGTTGAAATTTCCATGTTCTCCACATCTGCAATGCCCAAAACCGATAAGATCTTCTTCCTCATTGCGCGTCCGTCAGTCCATCAGTCTCAAATTGAAGTACTATGTCATTTTTGCCGAGAATATGATACCAGCATCTACTTGGATTCATTCTAATTAGCAGACCGAGCCGTTCGTGCCTTGATTTTCTTTGACAGTCGTCGTTAATATATCGCACCTTTGAGAGTATTGTAGAGTTGAGTCCAGACTGTCCGCCCCCAAGTTCCAACCCCAAAATCCAGAACCAGCGCTATCCGGCAAGGCGAGAAATTCAGTTCCTAATCTAGTGTACAGTGTACCAAGTATTTGAGCGCGCGAGTCAACAATTTCTCGCGTAAAGCGATACCAGCAAACAAGGGCAGTTAAATGTAGAAATTATGTTGAAGGCCAGCGAATAAGAAAATGGAGGCGCGGGTGCTAGGGCATCCAGTGAACGGCGCAACCCCACTGCTGAGAGACATGGATGCATTTTGATAGGGTGAAGCTAGGATACAGTCGCCTAATCCCCCAAATCGATCAACGTACGAGGTAACAATCAATTAATTAATGGTTAATGCAGTATTTTCAGGTGCGCCTTCAGTGTTGTATTTTGCGCCTCGTATCATGAAGCGTAGCACTCGTGATCGTGGGCTTTCGGCGCGCAATCCCACAATCCCACTTCCGCATGAAGTTGTGAGTGAGTGAGGTACCCCTGAGCCGATCCAGACCCCTTAACCACGTTACAATACACGCCATATTACTGTGTGTACTGCTACTAACACAAACACAGTACGTAGAGGAGAGAGTCCGAGAGATTCCTCACTTCTTATCGTATGATAAAATATTAGCGTATCCAATATACCCCCAGGCCCCAGGTCTCTCCGAACTCCCCTTCTCCATTCATAATGATGAGACATGAAACATTCCTTAGAGGGCACGCCCATGCTGATCAACGTCAGATCTCTACACTTTATGCCCATGATTGCGAGATAGCCCCTCCTCGGACCGTCTTCACTCCTGCAAAAACAAATAACGAACACCCAACGCGACAGCCACAAACCCTCCCCTAAAGGGCCGAATGGTCAAGGGTCAAGCTAATCAAGCTCCTGCGCTAAGCCGATCTGCATCTCTGAAATTGCATGGCGGTTGCTTGATTGTCCTCCTCTCGCTCTCGATTCACCCGTGCCACCTACAGTTGTCCCTTTCAGCCCTCCATCAGATCAAAGGCAGATGCAGCAGATGGGTGAACATCGTGGGGGAGGGGGCGTCACCTTATCAATCGAATATTGTCGGTTACAGCGTATCGAGTACCCCTCTCACCCCCCCCCCCCCCCCAGCTCGAAAGGGCCTATTGTGTTTTACGATTTGTAGTAGGAAGACAAGGGGGTGGGTGGGAGGCACGATCAGCCGAGGCGTCCTAAAGCCTAGCATGAGCAAAATCCTGCCATAGCAATGCAAGCTCAGTCAGCGCGTCTAGCTGCCTCTAAAGGATGGACTCAGTGCTCCTAGGCCATCGGCTGCGCAGTGCCATCCAACACTACTAACGGATTTGGCTCGGTTCCCCTTGTGGCCCACGGAGCAATCGGCAGACAAGTGTCGATTACAGCTACTCCAGCTGCAGATAAGGCACATGGGCGTACTCTTGGCCAGTCGACTTTGGCCTCGCGCGAGCTGCAATTCACCAGGGGCAATCGCCAGAGACGGAATAGTTTCGTCAAGCATCTACCGTTCAGGGAGGTCACTCTGAGCCATCCCAGGCGCTGGGAAAGGCTTACTTTATGTCGAAGCTCGCCCTGGCCCGACCCCAAGGGTCTTCGCATCCGTCTCTTGACATTCTTATCCTGCTGCATCCCATTTTCTTCCCCAAGTCGTGTTCCTCTATGCTTCATTGCCTCCTCCTCCTCCTCCTTGCCTGAGGCTTTGGATGCTATAGTTGCTTTTCTTCTCTTTCGGTGCGCCTCTCACCCAAGTCTATCGCTTACTTTTAATCAACATAATGTCGGTCATGATGTTCAAGGGGATGCGGATTTCGGTCTGTCAACTGATCTTTTACATTGCTTCCTTTATTATCGGCTTGCAATTGTGGGCGTTATGGAAGCAATCTTCACATCCACATTTCCCTCACCATGGTCCTGATTCATGGCAATTCAACGCTGACAAGGATGCAAATGTGCACTCCTTCAGCAACGAGCAATGCGATATTGCTTTCCCCAAATTATATTACAGCCTGGAACAAGCTGCAAAGCGGAGGAATGGAAAGAAGATCCAGCGACACGAGATCGAGATCGAGGAGGGACGCTGCATGCTTCGGCTCATGATCTTTGAAGGCGAGGTGAGTAGTCCCCGCAACATGAAAATCGCGGATTCCTCCTACTTGATTTTCCACATGCTGACATTTATCTCCAGCTTTTTGTCATCGACTCCGGCCTTCCAGAAAGATGTTATGTTGCAAACGGCAATGAGCGTGAGCGTATCCTCGGCACCCTTGCCCAGATCGACCGTGCCATCGCTACCTCCCCATATTCTGACCCTGCCATCCCGAACATCGAATTCTCCATGTCACTTGATGATCTTCCTCTCCGCTCCACGAGAAAGGGATCTTTCTTGGGCTACACCCGCCAAGATCACGCCAACTACACCGACATCTGGCTCATGCCCAACTACGCCTACTGGAGCTGGAACTACACCCACGCACCAAGCTGGAACAGCATCAGGAAGGAAATCAACGACGTCGAGCAGGGAAGGACGTGGGCAGACAAAGATCCAAGAGTCGTATGGAGGGGCAAGATCAAGATGGCGAAGTTGAGGGAGGAGCTCGTCAGTGTCAGTGCAGGAAAAGACTGGAGTGACATCAAGCCGGTCGTTATCAACAATCCCAAAGATAAGAACACCAAGGATGTGATGAACCTGAGGGATTTCTGCGGGTAAGTTTGCTCAACAATATCCGTTCTGCTGAAATCCAATGAATCTAACATTACCGGAACAGATACAAATACACAGTTCAGACCGAAGGAACTTCATATTCCGGCCGCCTCAAATACCTTCAACTCTGCCGATCTGCACTTATTACGCATCCGCTCGAGTGGCAGGAATTCCACACCCATCTCATGCAACTATCCGGACCGGAAACCAACTTCATCGAAGCATCGGAGAACTTTGGGAACTTGGAGGCCGCAATGGAGTATTTCAAACAGCACGACAACGAAGCCGAAGAGATTGCACGAAATAGTTACGAAACGTTTGCCCGACGATATCTCACACCCGCGGCCGTCACATGCTACTGGCGACGACTATTCTGGACCTGGTATTCTGTCCAAGAGGTTGAGCCTCCCCTGTATCAAATAGGCCTAGATGGCAAGAAGGTCATAAGAGGAACGCCCTGGACTGCCTTTGCGGCAAATTGGCCACACGATCCTTCCATCATTCCTTAGAGTGGTGGTTCCGTTTTCGTTTGCTTGTTCCATTTTTACACACATATCATGTTTCGACAAAGGTCGAAACCAAATCTTGCATAGCGCCATGATACCCTAATGAATATAACATAATATATTAAAAAAATATGATAATCTTCAATTTTACCAATGCGAATCCCCAAATCATGGTGACTTTCTGATTTGCGAACATCTAGTTGGTGTCTCTCTATAAGTTTAGAGTCTGAGACAGAGGTCGGTCGTCCTTCTATCTACGCCACATACAATTGCAGGGCATCCAGGTTTATACATACACCGGCACCTCTGCTGTCAGCATCTTAAATTGTGGAGCTGCAAAGCTAGGTTCTGAAAGGGACTTGCTTGAATTAGCATATCTGGATATATTGCATGTAGTTAACTATGCTTGACAGCTTAAGTAAACCCTGCTCGCCACTCTAGCTTGCCTCCATGCTACCGCACATCTCAAGCATCCCAACCTCACGCACTCGAGTTATTTCAATATGTACCACAAGGATATATAACTTGAATTCTCATGTACAGTAGTATATGCATCGCTACTACCAATTTCAAATATTTACAAAGAAAGTCGTTCCGTGCTGCTACAGCGCTGTGATGCAGCCGAAATCCGCAACACAACATAATCACTGACCAAACGTAAAGCTCGGAATGTTAATAGTCGTAACAGTCCACGTCTTTCCCCCATCGCTCGTGCTCATATCCCCAGTAACGCCCTGACCCTTCCCATTAGTCCTGTAATAGTTCGGGTCCGCGGAATTCAAGATGATCTTGGTATCAGTCCACGAGTGAGCACCAACCGTGCCGCAATTGTTCTCTGCGCACTCGACCGCGCTGCCCCAGCCCTCTGCATGGCCGGACGACGTGGACAGCTCCGCGACCTGTTTCCCGTTGATTGAGACGAGCTGTGTGTAGTTGCCGCTGGCGTCGTCGAACTTGTAGTGCATCGTGATCTTGTTGCCTGCTACGGCGGGAGTGCCGGGGGTTTGGACCGGCATTTGTGAGTTATCTACAGAACGCATTAAAACCAGCTCTTTCATCCTTTCTGCGTACCTCTCGAGTACTTACCACCAGTCTTGACGAGGGTGTACGCGAAGATGTCCCACTTAGTCGATTGCCAGTTGTCGGCGATGGACTGGATCAAGTCACCATTCGATGTTCCCATTCCCACCCAGAGAGATGTGATTCCGTTTCCAGAGCCTCCATTTGGTACAGCGGGGAGAACGAGTGTAGAGGTCGCCTCGCGAATCCAAGAACCTGAGCCAACAGGTCCCGTGCTGAAGGCTGGGCCCATGGCAGCTTCGACGGAGGTCATTGATAGAGCCGCGAGGGCGGGTAGGATATGACGGTAGGAAGGTGACATTGTGTGGATTGGACTTTGGCAGATGTATGGATTGTTACGGTGTAGTTAGTGTTATACTGTGTTTAAGTATCAAGATAGATGCTGGGAGCTTGGCTTTTATATTCCAGAATGCCAGTGGAGTCATGTCTATAGATCAGGTACTCAACGAGCACCGACATCACCCTTGAAGGTTAATTAGTTGCAAGCATTGTCTTTTGAGGTAGATGAGAAGGAGGGATTCCTAATTAAGCTCATCGATCATTGCTGTCCTGAGAAGTAAGCTATTCTCGGCGAGGTTAGCCATCCCTGCGAGTAATTCCAAGGCGGTCCTAATTGTCGGAATTGGCTTTGTCCGCTGTCTAACGTTCTACAACGTTGTATAAAGATCAGGCGGGGGGTTCGGCTGTTTTTCTTATTTGAAAAATCGTCTCCGTTGAAATGCCATTTGTTTGAAACGTCCTCGGCCAAAATGAATCCACTACTAGCAACGCTAGCTCAGGAGTATGACATAGTGAAACTCCCTGTTGCATCTGCTTGTCAATATAACACCACCTTGAGCCTTGTTTCTATTGCGTAACCAGATTGACTTGATTGATAGTAGATAATTCTGGTGTATTGTATGTAAATCCAGCACCGCATGGTGGTGTCAGTGTGTACAGACCAAGGATGCCCTTGCTCCGATGCAACCTGTTGTCGCATGAAGTATGGACTTGAATTTTATGGGATTGTCATGTTGCTATGCGCCATCTACAGCGTTGATCGAGTGATCCTTAAATCGCGGAACCGATTCTCGCAAAGGGTCCATTGTCGTTTGGTGGTTTGGTTTGCTGTCTCACAGCTGACCTAACTTGGTCCTCAAGTGACTCGACCCTTGGGTTTCCGATCTTCTCATTATCCCGTTCATCATACAGCGTGCCTCCCTCCGTCCAAATCCTCCTCAGTGTGAACACAGTTGCAAAAGGGACCTTCCTCTCCCAAGCTTGCTCTTCCAATTCCTTCAGCTTGTCCAGAGACGTGTAGCTCACTTCCCACTCAGCTCCTGTCTGCTTCTCATATTCGGCAAGAATCTCCTTTGGTGTTGTCGTGAAGGAGTTGACCTTGAGGATACGCTCGGAATTGCTCGTTGGGGTCAAAAGCGCTGCAACAAGCAAGCGTCCCACATCCTCCATTGTGGTCAGCGAAACCTTCTCCTCTCCTGTGCCTAGCAGTACGGCCTTCTTCGCCTGCACGTCAAAGCTTCCCGCAGCGTTGGTCTCGCCGCCCATCTTTCCAATATAGAGGTCGGAGTATGGCCCGGTGACCAGGTACGTCACTTTGAGCTTCTTCACATTGTCGCGAATGTACTTGCGCACTTGCAGCTTGAGCTGGTTCGGCTTTTCTGTGGCGGAAGAAGGTCCATACTCGATGTCTGTGCCGAATTCGGAGGGGTAGAAGGTGTGAATAGTCGAAGAGGCTTCGGCGAGCGCAATCAATTGTATCTGCGTGAGGATCACATTGCGCCCGAGCGCGGAGACGACTGTATCGTAGCCTGATCAAAAGTAAGTACAGCCGTTTGGAAGTAACATTGCGCATGCGCAACTTGAGTTGCTGTCGGCAACGTGGTTGCGCGTGGTCGTGAGGATGAAAATGCGGGATGCAATAGCGCGAGGTGTGAGGTCATCGGCTAAACCTACCTTCATATGCCCGTTTAATGTCACGTTCTGAATTTACATCTCCAACATGAACTCGAACGCCTGAATTCTTCCATTCTCCAATCAGAGTGCCTTTTTTCTGGAGTGTGCTGGGCGAAGTGAATATGCCAACTTCGTCAAAGGATGCTATCGCATTGGCGAGAGCCTCAGTGATATGCTGGCCAATGACGCCTGTTGCGCCAATGATAAGGACCTTCTTCGAGTCCGGTCCATCGTTCGCCATGTTGAAGATTCTGGGAATAGTGTACTGTTTGTCTGGATCCAGGAGTAAGGGACGGGATCAACCTTAGAAGCGCACAAGAAGAATATGATGTAGGAAGAATGTACAATTGTCACCGAAGGGCGCGTTAGGTAGTATCTCGGCAGCTTTCTCCGCCTAGTGGACCCGATCAAGAAGGCAAAGAACCTCGTAAAAGCCGATCAAATCTTGGGATGCCGGAAGCAGCACAACACAATGAGTACGATAGGAAAGAAGAGAAATCACAATGCCGATATCAAGTGGGAAAAGTAACTACAAGTCAAGATTGTGAGGATAAAAAGTGTATTATATCACTACTGCAGTCTAGTGAGGACGTATCGAATTCTGAGTTGCACCAAAATCAACCAGTATTTCGTCATCGGCAATTTGATCCAACTCGATTACTTAATTATAGCTGCCTTTATTCGTTGTTATCATCTGCCTACTTGTAGCAGTATGCGACTACGGACTACTATGCCAGTAGATACATAAATTGAAATAAGGGCATGCAATAGATATCTGTTCATCATCCCCAGGCAAGCCACAGCAGACGAACCTGACGATATTTTGACTAAGACCCAATTTTTGACTTGTTTTTTTTTGGTCATATATGCTACATCAGTAACATTGCATCGTACACTTCCAAGCATGTTTTACTCCCAATTTTGTTTACTTCTATTTTGGTTAGTCCTCATATCCGATTACTTTTCATGACTTATGTTCGAGTCACCCTCAAAAGAAGACCGTATACCGTATTGCTATGACTCGCTTCTATTCCCTATTTACCGGCGCTCCCGCAACTACGGTCCTTCATACAATGATGGCTCCAAGTGGAAGCGGAGCAAATACCGCCAAATATGGCCCTCGTGTCGTGTCGAGACGGAGAAATTCCAGGAAACAAACCCCATGCGCACTGGCGATCTGCTCCGTTCATGGGGCACTGGACGCACGCACCCTCCCAATGCGACCATTTAGTTTCATCATCTTGAAACATCTAACCTGACATGTCTAGCAGATTGTTCCATGGACGGAATTGCAACGCCCCTCGTCCCCATCATGAATTTCGTTTACCATCTGACAGGTAGCTAGCTTCTGTCTAAGCTGCTTCTATCGTGATCTGGATCGGGGCGCTTTCCTAGGGAAGGGTTGAGACCTGACAGGTGGGACTATGCACGAGTCTGTTCCGTTCGAATAATATAATAGACATGTTCCCATCTCTTTGACTGTTATTGACTCTCTAACATTTACCTTCTTTTATCCATTTTCTTCCCATTCATTCGTTTTCAAGTCACTCGTTCTCTTCTTCAACATGGTCAAGATCAATTCTCTTCTCGCCCTCGCGGCAATTGGAACGGGTGCGCTGGCACATCCTACCATCAAAAAGATTGACCGACGCTTCTGCTCTTTGGAGGAGCGCAGCGTCTTCGCCCGTGACGACTTGACATCTCGTGCGGTGATCCCCAAGGCTACTACATGGAACCCTCCCTCCAACATGGTCACCGCACTCGACCAGGTCTGGGCACGAACTCTCCAGGAGAACCCTCAGGGACTTCAGGACAAGAACTGGATCACCGATCAACTCATGGCCAATAACGGCAGCATCAACTACTGCGTCCGCTGGAACCACAACGGAAAGAGCACTGCGGCTGCTCGTGCCAAAACCGTCACAGCTCTGCAGCGCAATCTCCAGAAGTGGTTCGACGTCCTCGTTGGATTCGAAGGATTCCCTCTGACCAAGCTGAACGTCAAGGTCGTCGGCTACGCAGTCAAGAACAAGAACCTGCTCGAGGGTGATACCTCTGGCCTTGACATCTACACCACCACTGATCCCGACGGCGTTCCCGAGTGCGACGTCCGCTGCTACCGCGCTGCACACCTTGATGGCAACTTGAGCCAGTGCCCCGGCGGTGCCGACAGCCGCTACGACATCAGCCTTTGGCTCGACCAGAGCCTCGAGGGCAAAATGGGTGGCTTCGGGTACAACTGGGGACAGGAGCTCGGTCCGGATTACTTCTTGAACAACATCGATAGTGAGAACATTCATATCCTCGAGCACGAAATGGGCCATGGCTTTGGACTCCTTGGTACAGTACCCTCGCGAATTTTGTATCCTGCATCTTATCTAATGTTTGTATAGACTTCTATGACTGGACCCCACAGGGCCAGACTAACTTCATCATGATGGCCGGCAGCGCCATGGAGGTTACCGAGTTTGATGCTTGGATGCTCCGTGATTGGTACAGGAAGTTGAAGGCTGTTCGTGGCTGGTAGAAAAATCATCAGCACGATGTCAAGGGGGCGAACCCACGACGAAAATAAAAAACTCTGGACCCAAGGGTTCTTCCATTTGAATGTTGCCGAGAGAGACTGGCGATCGAGTTCCATGTACATATCTTCATCCTGTAAATATTATTGCAAAAGCTTAAATACAACCATCTTAACAGAGCCTTGGTAAAGGCGCAGCAAAACCGTTATTTTCGTGGTGCTACGTATATGTGTTGACATCAAACGGGTGCTGTTCTCTGAGATTATAGCACAAAAACGCAGTTCGTCGTATGATCTCGCCGCGGGTACTGAATTGCGTACCGGCCCGTCCATCAACAACCACCGTTTGGTTTTCCTCTTCTTCAACTGGGACACGGCATTCGTTGATCGACAGCAGATCGTTGTGTTAGCATGTAGTACAATGCCAAAGTTCCTAGATTGGTGGATCCAAAGTGAAATATGAATTGGTATAAGTCGACATACGAAACCCATTGAACCACCTGATATTCCTTGTTTTCGCACATTTTCTGCTATTTTCTGGGAAGGTCGCTCCAAGCAATGTCATGTCTCAGACTGTCCGCTCGCTGTTCAGAATACATTTCATCCAATAATCCGCTTACTTCCTCTTCGCGTCAACCTTCTCCTCGAGTGTCTTGACGTATGCTTCTATCCTTTGGACCGCGGATTGAAGAGCCTGGTGTTGTCAGTTATGCTTCGCTAATATTTCCTGACCATTGATGTTCCGGAAAGTAAATGGGATAGCGCGCCACGTACGTAGATATCCTCGGTCAAAAGCTCGTTTGAAACTCTGTATTCGTCGACAACGTAGTAGTACATGCCTGCGCCAGATGTGGTCGCACCGAGAAGGAACCCAAAGAGCCTATCTCAGGTTTGTCAGTCTTTGTTCCAAATTTATACCGCCATGAAAGTCCACGCCATGCTCAAATTCCATATGATGATAACCAGCCCGCAATATCTGCAGTTTTGGCCTATCCCATAGGCGACCATGTTTTCCTCCTGCAATGGAGTAGGTACTCACCCTCCACGGAAAGCGCCAACCGGTTTCCTGACAGGTGCAACTTCGCTCCTCAAAGCCTGGCTGGTCTGGAAGCTCCTTCGAGGGACAGCATTGGTAAAGGTGCGGGAAGCTGTTCGGACAGCCGGAAGGAATGCGCGGGAGGCCATTGGTGCCAATGGTCCGTAGACACTGTTATTAGGCTCAGTCAGAAGTAGGAGGTGATTTATACTGAGATCGTGGACTTCGGTGGCGGACGGATGATGTGCGGAGGTGAGTGACGTTTGGTGGTGGTTGCTTCTGTTGCACGAGAGCTATTAGAGCTTGGGCGCGGAGAAACGGTGTTTAGTCTTGGCAAAACCATGAGCATTTGGTCTAACGCGATTTGGATGACCATTCATCCAAAGAGGATCATAGCATCAATAGTAATCTAGCTCTGGTACATGCGCTTTCTGATGCATTGTTACAACATTCCGGATCAAAGATCTTTTTCTTCTGTATGACTTCGTATTTTTTTTGGGTCTATTCATTCACTGGAATATCAGAGAATGGCTAGAGCTTCTCTTCTCCCCGGGTGAAGGATCGCTGTGCTCTTTCATCACTGCATTCGTCTTGTTATACTACATTGTGCTGTGGTCTGAGCAATCGGCGTTCTAAGAACCGTATTGATTCGTATAAAGTTAAAAAAAAAAACAAGGGGTATCATTAGAAGCAGCAGACGCAGAATGCATTAGGAATCCCTTCTCGAGCTGCCACACAATCCGCAAATACCGGCGTCTCCTGAGTTGATATATTTGGTATTGCATGATTGTTGTGCGCAATTCCAATGATCTGGTGCTAGGTGTAGGTTGAGGACGTGAGAACAAACAGCACAAATTAACGTTCCAGGCTCGTTGACCAGTGAGCAGATAGAACATTCCTGTGTACTTGCGACAGAGCTCCGGGCGTTTGCTTTTGCATCAGTTGCGTTCGAGGATGCCGGTCGATTTTTATGTGATTCGTTTCGATGAAAAGTATCATTAGAAGGCAGTTCCTCCTTCATTTGTGTAACAGGCTTCTTTGAAATTGACTTCACCCCTGGGGGCTGTTGCTTCGAGCGAAGAGGTGGTTCTAACTTTGTTGGCCTTTCATGGATCAGGTCAATTTCTTGAATTTCCTCCATTTCCCTCTTGGCTTCTCCATCGTTTTCATTGTCATCTTCACAAATCTTGACCAAAGCACGCCCTTTGTTGTCGACCAACTTCGTCCCATCGATATCGAAAGCAGCGTCTGCTTCGTCTACATCCTCGTAATCATCATCGGTGTCCGAGTCTAACTCTTCCTCTTTGATGGTGACTTCTTCCTTCTTAGAGGTGTCAAATCTTGCCAATGCTGCAGCAGCTCTGAGTTCCCTGCCTCTAGCACTGCCAGCAACTCTTGGTTTCCCTTTCTTTGCCACGCCACCTTCCAGCTTGACCTTCGTAGCTTCATCTTCGCCCAACGCTTGGCCTCCAGCACCAAACTTCTTTAGTATACGGCGCTGCTTTCTTTCTGCATAGCTCATATTCTCTTTTGTCTTTCTGCCCCTCTTTCGTTTGCTTCGTCGTCCATACGTTCCGCCGCATAGATGCTCTGGAACATCGCCCACGTCGGTACTTCCAGACTGCATACGCCCCGAATCAAGATTCCGACCTCTTCCCCACAGCCCTTCACCCGTATATCCCTTTTGCCATAAATCTTTCAAGTCCTCTGCGTATTCATTCCGCACCTTCCAGAATGCCTTGGAGTGATTCATTTGCTTGCAGTGCGCGAGTTCATGTACCATGACCATCATGACCCATCGTTCGGGTAGCCATTGTCCCTGTCGATTTCGTAGGACCAGTTGTATGACCTCCCCGGCATTGAAGTTGCGGCCAACGAACTCGTTGTTGTACGGGAACTCTTCGAGAGCTTGGACGAGTACCATGTGTTTTTTCATGAACGGATAGCATATGGCAGCGACGCGATTGAGAATCTTTTCAGCAGTGGGGGCGGTCTGCCCTGGGAGTGGGCGAATGAAGTTGATCAACGCATTCGGGCGCTGAGAGCGCTCGTTGAGACGTTCGAAACCTAAGGGCATCACGACGGTAACGGCATGGGATGTGAAGCTGGGTTCGAGTGATAGAAACAAAATACGGCGTATACGATGTGCACATTTGCGCAGTTGTAGTCGGTCGCAAAAACCCAAGGCGATAATGCCAAAACGACCGTGATCAGGTTGTGGTTGTGGAAGCACCCATACAAAGTCTTGGTGGTGGTTGCCTCCATCTTATCGATAAGACGCGTCCATGACGCGCAGTCATCCTTGTCAAAGAACCGATCTAACGAATTCAAATACCCCGTCCAACATATGGAAGTGCAACCAGATCAAATAACATCTCTCGGATGCTTAGTTATACGATAATTCTTCACGCTGTGGAAACACCTTGGGTCACTCAACATTGGGGCAGAGTCGTCTCAAGACTAGCTTCAATTTACGACTTTAGTTTGTCTGCCTTACATGCATTCCTGGAAAAGGATGTTTTTGTGTAATAAAGATATTGACATATGAAACCTACTCGCTATATGATTCTTCCATTCCGAGTTCCGGTTGGATGACATCCTTCAAGAACGTTCAGTCACACGCTTCTTCCGCATTCTCCTTCACAGACTTCTAGTATCGGGCCCGTAAAAGCAGGAACGTGTTGAGCAATGAGCGCCCCCTTATGCATGCCATTTTCATCGCTCCGAATTGTCGTTCTGTCGACCTTCTGTGTGGCCATTCCTTGCCCTTTGATCGGCACGCCGTGCCCGCTGAAGAGATGCCCTAACAGCCAGCATCCTGTTCGCTTCTTTGAGCAAGGCCTGGTCAATATTGTTTTTCGCAGTCTCCAGATCGACCTTGAGACGTGCTAGCTGGAAACCTGGAGGTGGTTGCCCGTGGATATCGTTTCTCCGCGTTAGGCCATACTGTGCCAGAACTACATCAATGATATGGTTTTCAGCAGCACAGAGATTACGATTATACTGTGAAACGGTTTTAACTGACCCCCGCACGGGCGGTATATCAGCCGGTAGGTAGACGTGTGAATTTCTCCCGGGGGTGCGTACAAGTGATGCCCTCATAGGAAGATCAGCAGGCCTAGCACATCCGTTCCCTTGTCCAATGTTTGATTGAGCTTGTGGTGGACAAGCCCTCGTTTTCTCTTTACCACCATCTGTCGGTGTTGTGCCCTCTCGTGAGAGCTTCAAGAGGGCTACGGCGGCTTCAATATCTTCTGGACTGAAAGATCTAAGGGTCTCGACGGTTTCGAGCTCCTCGGGAGTATACGTGTTAGACGAGTCCATACTGAACGACAAGATCCTGGAATCTCAAGCGGGGTCGTTTATGGTCTTAAGGTGGGGTTGTAGTAGGCTTGAGTTGTGCCAGTGTGAAGTTAGAAAAGATCCTGAAGTTGATGGTTTCAGAAATATGTAATGTTATGGGAAAGGAGCTTATATAGCAGGTGTGGTAGGACGTTAAATTATACAGAGGGTGATATGAATGTGGACGGTGTCTGTAGTATTGCACTGTGTATAGATAATGGCTGCCTAGGTGAGTGAATCATCCTTGATTCACCGTGCTGGGGAGTTGGAGTTGCAGTCGATTGATAACAAGCTACAGTGAACAAATAGTACAATCAATCATATGGAGCGGCATCCTAGTCCTAGACAAGAACCTATTGGCCCAAACAAATATTCCGAAACTGCCGCTCTCTAGATCTTTGATCTCTGCTCTAGCCCACATTGTATCCAGATAATGTCTCCTTGCGTAGGCTTGATCTAATCTCGGTGTGCATTGTGTAGAACTGACAATGCCTTATACTTTTCTTGAATCCATAATCACTGCAACTCCATAATCTTTATCGAGCAAGATGTATCCGTGAGCGGCTTGTTCGTCATGAACAATTCTACCTGCCTTCTTCAATGCGGCTATCTTCAATGTGCAAGATGCGGAAGAACGATAGGGAAAGGATTCAGTACTAATCCGGTGATATGTGAATCCCTGTACCCATCGTTCAAATAAAATACTAATCTCGTCTTCTGTCCAGAGTGTCCTTCCATGCCAGTTTCGCTTGTGTCTCTGAGGATCGGCCTCTTGGGAAGGTTCGGCCCATGATTCTTTTTTGGGGTTTACCGGCGTAGGATATGCTGGAACTTGAGTATAGTCGAAATGAGTTGGAAGCATTGACCAATTCATTGTGAGATCCGGGGCTGTTGTTGTATTGGTCGTTAGCAGTACAGCATGATGACCTTGCGCGGTGTTGATTAAAGGGCGGCTTTCCCTTGCTAGCAGCATTAGAGCCTCCGCAGCTTTCATTCTTTCCTGATCCACTGAAAACCCCATAGTAGGTTCGTGCATGTTGTCGTTGTCCGTCGTTGGTGGTAGTTTAGGTGATATGGAGCGCGCTTTTCCAAGCGATGGTATTGTATATCTCTTGTCAACATATGATCAGTCAACGTTGACATGTACAGTCAAGTTCATAAATATGTTCCTGAACTGGGTAATTGTTGTTGAATCTGTGCCGCCGGGGTTGGGGGTACAATGTTCGCTGGTGAAAGTGGCGTGCTTTGTGGGAAAGGTTGCAGAACGCCAGGTGAAAGTGAAATCGCCCCAACATTGTCAGTGAGAGATTAAGGCATGGAGTTGCCTCACAACCCAGTCATTACTTCCTGTGATACAAACATAATCTCTTATGAATCTGGATATTGCCTTGAATCAATTTGAACATCAGTCAAAAGACTTTTAAAGCTTCGTATTCGGAAGCCCAAGTCTTACATTCATGCTGTCACCGGCCTCCGTTCGAGGAAGCAACTACTAATAACATTTCGCACACTTATTAAGCACCCAAAAAGTCAAATGAAAGCGTCAAGAAATGATCATCTAAGGGACGCGCTCGTATTGATGAAAGACCGTCCAAATTAATTTAAACAGACGCATGGTAAACTACCTTACCTAGGCATATACACTAAGAGATTGCAAAATGATCTCAGGTGCCTTTTACATACGAATGAAGTGAAGTTCACTTGGCATATAGAGGCCAAAAATAGCTGTATCGTCTTTTCTCATTCTGGCTGCAGTATAATGAAAGCTCGTAAAGTTGATTCACCTGTCGAATGCAGCAATCATTAGTGACCTTTTCTGTGGACAGTGAATTTCCCAATATCTATATATATAATTTCGAGATAGAGAGACTACATGTCGTATATTTCAAATGCACGATGGAATTGATTGCTTCTTCTAGGTTCATATCACATGGAGGTAGTCATATTTCATCGCGAAGTCTATTCATTTCGCTAAAGTCTGCAAACCCTGAGGAGTCATTTTTGTATCACCTTTCAGTCGCACGATGAACCCAATGAGCGTCACAACAAAGGCATATATTATCGCGTATATACGCCTCTGTAGTAGGGAGCATCACAGGCACGACCCGCAATCGGTGAATAGGTAGGAAAAGTAGATATTTTCCTCTGTCGATAGGTCTCCCGAGGTAGGTGGATGATGCCTCGATCTCTCTCGGCAGCCCTGATCGATCTATCTATGCACTGCCTAGTGTCCTTCCTCATACACGTGATCCCTAAACAGCCTCATCTATCCTTCTACACCACAATATGATTATGTACTCCAGGCTCTTGTTACTTTCACATCTCGTAGGCCTCACTATGAAGTGATATGGACCGCTCCACACCTTGAAGAGTACAGCATATCACCCACTTGCATTGTGCATTGTTTCGTACGCTTAGTTAGTCTATCAGTCGCTTTCAGAATGTACCTACCTTAACAAGGTATTCATGCCATTCATTGATTGTAAGATAATGTCATTGACTACTTTCTGCTAGAGTCATACAATGTTCTCTAGTACGGCGCCACACTTTTCATCTCGCGGCCGCTCAAAATCAATTCCTACTCGCTGATGATCCCAATGTCACCCTAGTTCCATGAAAGGCAAATGACCGATTTTGTCAACGTCAGAAGCGCGCTTATCGCTACAGTGAGGGACTCGGTACCTTCGCTTATGCCCTATGATACATCGCTTGCCATGGGCGCAGGGTTTGTTGGACTTTGTTCCCATCACGTACCGTGCAAAGCACCCGCTTAATTGTGACGAGGGACCTGCTGCCGGGTCATGGTAAGCCCGTTTTTGACATGCTGAAGCGAGAAACAAGTTAGGTGAGAATCCTCCTGCGCAAAGCAACCGTTCGCGCAAAGGGGCCCGCTTGCGCCTGCTGCTACAGCGCTCGGTTTGAGTGACTGGCCAAGGTTATTAGTTTTGTAGTATCGTGTACTCCGTACATGTACATCTTAACAAAGACATTTGAACTTCACGAAATTTCCGTACTTGTTCTTGGTGATTTCGCTCACAAAGAAAGAAGGCTTGCGAGACAAGCTGAGCATGGACTCCATATCTCTGCTAGTACTTTGACCAGATGGACTTTAGCTACTCGGTGTGCTCTACAAAACTTTCTAAATATACATCGATTGCGTTGCCCGGCTGCAAGATATACACGCTGACTCTTCCGCAGAAGGAAGATCCATCACACAGACTCTCCGGTGTCCTGCCCACCACTACCGAGGTTCGTCATTTTCTGAATCTTCGCCGTGTACCTGAATCCTGCGACAAATCGTCTGGGGTACAGCCACGCAACTAATGGACCAATTGGCTGTTTGATGGCCAGCTTACTGTACCACCAATCATGGGCTGATATTTTGTAGCACGTAGTCCGATCTTTGGCATTCAGTCTTATGTGTTGACTCCCAGAACACTACTCGCCCTTAAACGTACTCAGAATGAATCCACGTTTCGTCTAATCTCAGATGAATGAATGGTTACCGTGGGTTTTAAATATGTTGGACATGTATCAGATCCTGCATTCTACTCATACCATTTCAAATACATAGGTTTCCATAGGCACATGCGACCATTTTAACAGCATTGCACCTCTGATTGGTCACGTTTGGTGACAGCATCGTCATAGTTGCTCAGCCACACAAATGGGAGCTCTAAGTTTACCTTATTTGGACCCGACCAAGGCAGAAGCAGCCTCAAGCGAGTGCTCACAGAGTATTTCTTTACGCATTGGCAGAGGCCGGCGTCGAATCCCAATTCCTATTTCGCTGCCTTGTTTCTGAGTCACTTGACTTGGGTATTCACATATCGAAAATTACATTCATCGCTGCGCTATCAATACAGAAATATGCTACGTCCTCGCCTAGACAGCTTAGCCACGCGGTGTATTAGGCATGGCGAGCCACCAACACTCCAGAACAGGGGAACTGTTCACTCGAACCACGGTGGTAGCCTCTTCGAGTGCGCTAGGGATCCACCCCGTGTTTATTTTCCGGATGAGAATGACCAAAGCGGTAACGTTACTTCCACTTCCAGATGGGTTCCATTCCTTGATCGAGCTTCAAATGGAATTATCCGACCTTTTTCTCGTGGGCGAAGGTTAGGCATCAGAAAAAGAATCCCCGTGATGCACATTACAATGTGAGACAGTTTGGGGTAGGGCTGAGTTGCTCGCGTTCGGTTCCTCAATCTAAGGATAGCGTAGGAATATCACAATGTGACAACAGTGTTGTAGAATGAGAGCGAGAGGCCTCTTCGAATGACACACCTTCCGGTGAACGATCTGTAGGAACACTCCAGTCGAGGGAACTAACTATATAAGAGATCGTGAAGCAAGCAGATCACCGTCACCATCATCTCCATCACTTACTTCCAATTCCATTACGAGCATATAAAAACCAGACTATTGACGGATAGCTCCCGCACACAGTGCTCCTAGCCTTCAAACATATATATTGCCGAATTCCCTGAACAACATCGACACAATACCATTCAAATGGCGGATCAACGACAGAACAACCAGCAGTACGGCCAGCAGTACGGTCAACAGTACGGCCAACAATACAACCAACAGTCCTCTCAAGGGGGTCAAGCACAGAACTACCAGCAACAACAGTTCACTTCCGGCCAGGGCCGCAGCCAATCTACGCACTTCAATTCCGCGTCTCCTCCAGCCATGCAAACCCAGTTCCATCACTATCAGCCGAATCCTCAACGTCAGAGCGCTCCAGTTGCGCGGAACCAGATCACAGGTCCATTCCAAATCCCCCGTGTACCACACCCATGGCCCTACGGCCGGGCACAGGACGGAAGTACCAGTGGTGGGTCAGGCCATGGAGCCATACCCATCGACCCACAACTCTTAGGGCAAGGACAACAAGGTGGTAACAACACCAACAACAACAACAATGGGCAAACGCAAGGTCAATGGCATCATCATTCTGGAGGCAACGGCAACAGAGGATAGGTTGCATTCGTTGTGATAGATGAAGACCTGAGCACAAACAAGATCTCAACAGCCAACGAACTTCCCCTTCCTCGCCTTCGCTACCCCCGGCAAAGGTACGAGATTACCATGAACATGCCGGCCATGTAGACAATGCGTGTCTTATTCCGAAGAAATGCAGTACCGAATCAGGTGGATGGATTTATGGACCCCATGGTCAGGACCGACGGGATGCTCCGCCAGAGCATGGGCCAGACCTGGGCTCAACGCATCCTTGATTCACGGTACCTGGTGTTTGGTGTTTGGTGTTCAATACTTCTTCCTATCTACAACCATGGAGAGCAGGCACCACAGCAAACGCGTAGGTTGGCTTCGTGAGATGCCACCTGACATGGGGGACAATGTCGCGGACACTTGTGTCGTTTTGGACAGAGGGACGTACATGCTGGGAAGTACACAAATTGCAATTGTCATTTTCATAGAGTCGTTCCTTTTGGCTGTTTTTGTCTTGTTCTGCTTTTTGCCATGTTTTGCTTTGTTTTGTTTTGTTTTGTTGTGTTCCGCTTTGTTTAGTTTACCTCAGTACTAATAACCAATCGAACACTCATTTTATCGCTTGACACATTCTTCGGTCCTTTTTGTCATAGTCCACGCAATCGCAATTTATTCTTTCAAGCCGTGTCCTTGAAGTGACAACCGCTGTTGCCCCGTAGCTTCCCGTTTGGCATAACGGTTTCGTCGAACGTAGTTTAGCATATCCGATGAAGTCCCATAGTAGGAGAGACTAAGCAAGACTTGGACGTTGACGTTGACCATAATCATCTGCCTAACAATCTGCAAGGCTGTCCATGCTTGCTTACCTACCGAAACTTGTCTTAGATTTTGATTTGTTGATTAGTCCGTAAACAAGAGACTTCTACCTAAATACGCCCGACAAGCCTGATAAGCAAGGCACATTTTTGCCCGCCTGCGGTTGAACGTGATGTCATGAATCCTCTTTACGTACACACATACAAAGCTACGCGGCCGCCAACTCATGTAATGTTCACAATGCTCTACAATGGCTCTTGACCTATCTATAAGTCCTGACTGTTTCGTTGATTTAATGTTTCGATCGGATGTAGTGGACTTTTCCGCGCGCAAGGGCTAATTTACGAATGAGGCGGAGATCGATTGCTCCACTTAACTTAGTCAAGCCATGCAAGGAATGTACGAGCACGAGTAAATTTGAGGCTGGGGGACCCCAATAATGCAAGAAATTGCAATGCGAACGAAACGGCGCAGAACTCGTTTTGTATGAATCATTGCTTTTTCCATGGCCCACAGGCCACGTGGGATGCGTAGTCGCATGCGTCAGATACTCAGAGCGGGTGTTGCTGGTGGCCCAAAATGGAGACGAGCTATGTATGCGGCTGAGAACACTGAGTTTCAATCGATATATCGGAGAAACCCTGCTGCATTCACGATCCTGAGAAGTCATACATTTTGAACACTCTATATTGAAGTTGTGGCCGCAGCAAAGAAATGATGACGACAATGGGGTGCCGTCAAATCAATTTGCGAAATGAACACCCTTCATGCAATGCAACTAACCAGCCGTCAGGTCGAATGTAGTTATACATCCGGGGCACCAGTACACTCTCATGACTCAGCCCAGTATCAATTCCAGTCGCAGTGCTTGCTTTTTACGGACCCAACTCTAGATCGGATTTATTTCACGATAGACAAAGTAGGACGATGGACTTGAACAAATTTGATAGTCGTTCGCTACAAAATGCATACCGATTAGGTATGATGAATACGTCCTGCCGCTCGAACCGCCAAAAAATAGAACCTTTTGCGCCGCAAATAATGTACCCAAGCCGATTCATGCAAAGCCACGATAGACAAGTTCTGACTCCGATTTTCCAATCATTCATCCCAGTTACCATGGGCTCTATCTGCCCCCATGCGCTTTCTCGCTCCTCCTGGTTCTATGCATAGCCTCCAGCTTCTGTGCAAGCTGCGCGTGCACTTTGCGTTGACCAGCCCATTCGCGACTCATCTTCTGCATTCTAATCGCAGCCACTACTGCAAGTCCTGCCGACTTCAAAGATCGTCTACGATTGCCTTGGTGGTAAGTGATATCTGGCGTAATGCCCATTTCTTCGATGAGCTTGAGGTCTTGACGATTACTGTATGAGATGTTAGCATTTGACAATGTCTACGGCATAGCTTGAACCTACCATTCATTGTATACTTCAATCATCATCAAACAAAACTTCTTTTGGTATCCTAAGCTCTCACGAAAGCCTGCCTCACGGGCACAACGCGCCCTCAAATATTGAATTTGTTTCGCAAGGCCTTGAATTTCCTTGACATGGCGCCTGTCTTTGTCGCTTTCGCTGGCGAGGCCTGACCGTGCAGCTCTCTGTGTTGCGTCAAGCTCAGATTGCATAATCCGAAGTTTCTTCTCTTTCTCCCGGAGGGTATTCTTTGTCTGAATAGTGAGATCCCGGATTCGTATATCGCGATCTTCAATCTGTTGTTGCAAGTCCTCAACATCAAGGGCCTTGTTTCGCAGATTTTCTTTGAGGTCTCGGATTTCATTTTGATATTGGCGTAGAGTCCGATCATGAGTTCCAGGACTGATACGTCGGCTTGCAGTCCCCTGGAGGGCTTCAAGCTCACCTGTCTTTTCGGACACTTGAAGTTGCAAAGACTCCAAATCTGCAGCGGCGGACCGTAACTTAGATTCGCGGTCGCGAATGTCCGACCGAAGGCGGCGTTCGAGATCATCACGTTCGCTTTCGAGCTCCGTAACGCGAATGGAGAGATCCTCCGCCTCAAGCTTACTTTTACGGAGCAAATCGTGCAACTCATTGCGCTCTTTCGATGCCATGGAATTAGAACCAGAATTGAGCGAGCGGGTGTTTTGCAGTTCTGCGGTAATCTTGTCCAAGCGAAGACGCAGGTCATCGCGGTCTTGATCTGCGACCTTTAGATCTAACTGTAAATTCTCCACGCGTGATCGAAGCTGGGCCTTCTCCCGCTCAACTCTGCGGAGATCGCTTTCAAGGTCTGATGACTTGGTCTGTATCTCGTATGAGGCTTGGACTTCCTGTTCAAGTACACGAATCTTGTCTTCCAAGGACGACTTTTCGTCACTCGCTTCGTCGACAGCCTCTTGTAATACTTCGATTTCATCCTCAAGATCCTGCTTTTCTTGCTTCATTTCCTCCTTGAATGACTCAAGAGCGTCCAGCCTTTGCTTAGCAAGTTGCTGTAGTGAATCCATACTGCCTTTGTGTTGATTGATTTGTTCACGTAATGCTTCCAATTCATCGTCGCGTTTGCGTACAAGGCCTTGCATTACATCTAATTGTGTTCCGGGCTCATCGGCGTGGTTTCTCAAAGCATCAAGCTCCGCATCGCGCTCTGCAATAGCCTTGCGTGCATTTTCAACCTCACGAAGTCGATCCGCCAGGTCGGTCTTGACTTTTGAGAGTTCCATCAAGGCACTGTCGTGATTGTCTAGCTTCTTTTGCAGATTTGTTAGGTCGCGTTCGCGAGTCTGCGTGGAGGCCCGGAGACTCCCCAGTTCTGCGGACAGAGTATCCCGCTCGCGAGTGATTCTTTGGAGGGCTTCAATCTGGTGGTCTTTGTTGGACATTGTTGATCGCATGCTTTGGATCTGTTGTGTAGCATCGTCACGCTCATGGCGAATGTTCTTAAACTCTTCGATCTCGCGGTCCTTGAGCGTTATGGTATAGCGCATTTGGTTGACTTGTTGCTCGTACGATGCAGTGTCCCTTTGCAAGCGCGTAACTTGATGCTGCAAATCTGACATCTGCTTTCGGTAGTTGTCCAGCTCGTCCACCTGCGCTTCTGCCGTGTCCACTCTCGCTTGGAGAAGTTCCAGCTCGACATCCTTCTCACGGGTAACGTCGATCACCTTCTGACGCGCGTCATTGGCAGCTTGTTGGGCAAGCTGTAACTGGTTATCTCCTTGAGACTCGGCAAGTTGTAAACGTTCTTTCAAAGCGTCCATCTCTTGCAGCTTCTCTCTCTCTGATGAATCCACTTGGCGTTGCAGGGCTTTGATCTCCACGTCCCTCTCACGCTCAAACATTCTTAGGCGTTCTTCAAGCGCGTTTATCTCGTCTTGCTTCTGTTCCTCCACCTCGCTGAGCTGTCTCTCAACATTATCCAGCTGCTCTTTTAGAGCTCGCACGTGCTGATCATTATCGCCAGAAGCAGAGTCCAATTTTTCCTGAAGTTCGTTGATTTCGGCGTCCTTCTCCCGCTCCATGGAGCGAAGTTGGTCTTCCAAATCCTCGATCTTTTCCTTCTGTTCGGCAACACGCTGCTCTTGGCTTTCAAGATCCGCTTCCTGAGAGCCTTGAGCAGCTTGCAATTTCCGTTCTAAATTTTCGATCTGTTCTTCGTGCTCGTCGAGTAAGTCGTCCCTTCGTTTTAGCTCAGTGTTGGCCTTCTCGAGCTCTTCATTCAGTTTCTCAAGCTCATCCTCCGCGCCCTGCGCCTCGTCAAGCTTAGCTTCCAGTTGCTCGATTTCAGCTACGCGTTCTTCTGCAAGTTTACGCAACTCATCCATCTCTTCTCGCATTCCTTCGTCGGCATGCCGCCTTTTCACCTTCTCGGCATAGTCTCTTAGTTGTTGCCTGTATGTATCCAGCTCCTTCTCCGCGTTCTTAAGGCTCTTGGAATATTTTTGAATATCCCGCGCCATCGTGACCTTCTCGGTTTTTAGGGAAACGTTCTCGGCGAGTGCAGCGGCGTTGAACTCAGGGCCGGTTTTCTTAAGATTCTCCTCGAGGAAATGGATCTTGAGCTTCAGACCGAAATTTTCTTTGTCGATCTGTTCCAAGCGCTATTATGGAGTTAGGTAATCGAACTTAGAACAGAGCATTGTTGCATCGCTGGGGTTGAGACTTACTGCTTCCTGTTCGCGTAGTGTTATCACATTGCCGTTTCCCTCCAGCGCACCTTCCCCTCTCCTTGGCAGTGCCATTGGTGTGCTCATCGCACTTGAGCTGATCGCATCTGGTACCGGTGTGCGTCCATCCACCCCCGAATCGCTCATCATACTCGAGTTTGTCGCGTCGTATGTGCTGGCCTCCGGCAAGGGCGAATTGCTAAGCTGGAAGCCCGGCTTCATTGCAGCAGGTGTCGCGATTCCTCCCTTCGGTAAGCCGTTGATTTGCCTCATCCTGTTCGCTGTTGCGCTCTTCATAAGTGGAGTGAACTCTGATTTCGCGTTCGGATTTCGTAGTGTCGCCAATGGGTTTCGAGGTGTTGATGTGACGTTGTTGCGCGCTCCACGCATTTGTTTGAATAAATTGTCGCGACCTTCTGGAGCTCGGAAGCTGGCCTCCATGCTGAAATCGAGGGCGGCCTCTGTGTTGTCAACGCGTGTGAAATCGCCGCCCTCAGTCCGGGGCGAGTCTACGTAGTGATGTGCCATTATTCGTAAAGGTGGTCGTAATCGCTGAAATGCATGAGCGAAAGAAAAAATAGCTAAACAGCAATGTAAAGGTTACGTTCAAATGATACAGAAGAGTGCAGTCATTTGTTTACTTTGTCGAGTGAATAAACAACAAGGCGCGGTGGGGACCACGCTAGCTCAACATAGACAAGCGGCAATTGCGGTGGCACGTGTGCCGCCACCCGCGGAACATGAACTTTTATATCCGCCCTCGACCCTCATTCTTTGACAGAGAAAGTGAGCAAGACGGCCAAAATCATTTTCGAGGCGCCAACGTTATTGATATCTCCTGACTTCACATGGTAGATCAGCCTGGATCTTGAAACACGTGGTTTGCACAAAATCCAATTGTTATTACCTAATCATGGAGGACATCCCCAAAGACGACTTCAAATGGTTTGGTGAAGGATTTGACGGATTTCCAAAGAAATTGCCAGAGGATGTGGTCGAATACATGATCTATATCATCGATACCAGGCTATCAGATGTACAAACAAGAGAACGCTTGCAGTCCTTTCAGCGCTCACTGAATTCATTAGAGAAGAAATTTCTGAAAGAGTACATCTGGCAGCGGGAGCCAATCAAGCTCGAGCTCGTTCGTGAAGAGGGCCGATGGTTGTTGAAGGGATCTACCAATTACGGGGATAGTGTGGCAGATGAGTGGTTGATAGTATGGTTGTTACGCGAATTGAGTAAGGAATTTAAGGATGCATGGATACGCATATACGATACCGACGGAGAGTTCCTGCTCATCGAGGCTGCGAATGCATTACCGACCTGGCTCAATCCAGAAGTTTCCGAGAATCGAGTTTGGATAAACAACCATCGGATGCTAATTATACCACTTTCGAAGGTGCAAAACCCGGGCCCCTTGAAACTAAAAGATTCGCTATCGATCATCACGGAGACACCTGCAAAACCGCAACACTTTCCAAAGGTGGAGAAAGAAGCATTCCATCGTCTCAAAGACTACCCGGCAAGCATTTCTGAGAATCAACATCATGCGACTCTACCGTTACCAAGAAAGGTCGCACACATACTGCACATCAACCCTTCCTACATTGCGCCAATAGTGGAAGCTTTCTATCTTCGAGATCCCATAGCCCTTCGCCTACTGCAACCGGACAAATCCAAAACCTCCCTTATATTCTCACCGGAAGACTTTGTCACAGTGAGCGCTCGTTTCACGAAAGTTCTGTACGCGCAATTACTCGGGCAAACATGGGGCCCCCCAAAACCATGGGATGCCGCATTGGATGCCCTGGTCAACAAGAATGGAGATGCATTTCGCGACAAGGCTGAATTGGGTATCAAAGTTGCCGCAGGACTGGAAATGCTGATCCAGCACAGCATATACGCTGATAAGAAACCCGTTCGCGAAATTAAGCTTCTGCTTGAGGATTTGGAAACTGGGGACGACAGCCTCCCGAGTGACAAAGATATTGCACAATGGCCAGTACGTAATGATGATGAGGGCTGGCTTGATATCGATTTTGCAGAGTTCGAGCGCGAACTTGCTGGACGGGGAGGTGCGCCAGGAACTGGTGGTTTCGGTGACAAGCATGCCCAAGACAACCTCCGGAAAATGGTCGAGCGGTTTAATGACTTCATGAACGATGAAGATGCGGGAGTGGATGGTGCAGGTGGACTAGACCCAATGGACGTCGATAACGATTCCGACGAACCGCGAGGGTGGGACGATCCAGAAGACAGTGATTCGCCCAGCGAGGAAAAGGGAAACAAAAACGATAGTGATGACGATGATGACGAAGAAGAGGATGACTATGCTGAAAAAGAGTTTAAAGAATACGAAGAAGCTCTAGAGAAGTTCATGGCTCTTTCTTCGGCGGAGAAGTCCGCACTGACAGACGATGCACGCGAACTTGCCCGTGCTGAAGAAGCCGAGCAAGAAGAAGACGAGGAAATCCGCAAACTATCAGAGATGATGGAGGCAGAATTATTCAGTCACGGAGCATTAAAACTTGATGATGGAATCGCGAAAGCAGACAAGTCTGCAAAGAAAATACTCAGCGTCTCGGACCAGAAGGGTAAAGGCAAAGCAAAAGTTGAGAGCGTTCCGGAAGGCCATGAAGACGAAGAAGACGAGGATGGGGAATACCTGGATGAAGATTACAATCTTGCCGATAATATGCTGAAAGCATTCAAAGGACAGGCCGGTATGGCAGGCCCGGCTGGCAACCTGATGGGCATGATGGGTATACAATTTCCTCCTGATTTGGATGACCAAACAAAGGCGAACAATTCAGGAAGGGCTTAGGACCAACGAGGTAGCACCTCTTCTTCGTTCACTGGCTTGAAATAGAATCCTCGATCTAGCTTATTATGTGGTGATAGAATAATTGGCCGATGATTAGCTCACTTCAAATCTAATGCATACTACACTTTGATGAGAATTGGCCCATTCTTTAGGTAGACCAAAAATGCCGGATAGGAAGTAATCCTTCTTCGTACTCTGAATAATTGCAATATATTCGTGAAAGGGCGCGCTTCGGAATTTCAGACCATTATGCATCTATAAGGTAGTGTTCAGAAGTTAGAATATAGTCCATTTTCCAGACCTCGAGATCATGCACGTAAAATCATTGTCAGTTGCATGCACCATTGGATGCATACCTACATAAGATGACTATCAGGTTGAAGATCACCACCGGTTTATGGCGTGCAACCAAGTGACTGCTTACCCGACAACCCAACGAAAGCTTGGGTCACAATAGACGGTGAATCTGCTCTGTCCTACGGGTCACCTAGACTTGCTTCGTTGCATTTCTCAGGGGCAGTGATCAGTTGTACAAGGATCGAACTATTGCATAGGGCCGAAGGGACAAAACTCAGAATTCCGAGTTCGAAGCCGGCCTTTCCTTTGGGCGGTGGTTTGCCCTCCAACCTCCCATGGGACAAATGCATTTGCTGTAATACCTATACCCATCAAGTGCGGTTGGGCTATACAGCTGTTGAAGCGGTATTGCACGCTAGGTTGTCAGCTTGCCGTATTGCCGTCAGTCTCGCTTGGTGCCCTGGTGATGCATCGCATCTCAGCCTCAATGGTCAGGTCGCATGGAGCTTCTTCAAGGAGGCCATGGAAGGTTACCTCATATTAATGGGTGGAAAGCTATTTTAATTCGCCGGGTTGACCGACGATCGAATTGGCGAATTAGAGGACGGTAGATTTACGTAGCCACCTCCACATGGTTTCACAATGACTGCGGCCCCGCTAAGTGGACGTAGCCGCGCCCCATTTCCAGAAACGTCAAATTCTCCTTACTTGGATACATGGGAGTCTATTGAGTGGCGACAAGTATGGGCATGTGGTCTGCGGAAGAGATGCTAACATCGTCAGGGCTGGGGCTAGCACCTCTCGCAGACAGATCGACATTACTTCTGGATCGCTAACGGAGGGATTGGTGACCTATGAATGGTCAGCTCTCCATGACACTCGGTGAGAGGTCGGTCAGTCGGAGGAATCGGTATGCTCTGTGCAACATTGGACCCACGGCGAATGCAAGATGATGAATTTATAGAATGACTTCATATTGGAACTTCATGTCTGGAGCTTCGAGTTGCCAATTAGGGAAATGAACTCAAGTATAAAACTTCAACACTCCGCACTTGAACGGATAACCACACCACCTTCAATCAAACAATCTCAAGCCTACGATCTATAGTTTCATATCCAATCTCAACTTTTCCCAAATCACCAACGAAACATACAATCAGACTACATCCAAGATGCTCTTCACAACTGCTGTGTTGACCTCCTTTGTTGCTGCGACGGCATTCGCGCACCCAAGCCCCGAATACAAAACCACCAAAGCCGAAGCACCAAAGACCTTTGGCCTGATCACCATTCGCTCGGGCTCAGGCGTCCAGAATTCTGGTGTTCAAGCCAGTCGTGGCAGCCTTCTCGTCAACCTCCAATCGCAAAACGCCACCTGCGAGAAGGAATCCAACTTTGCGACCTTTTTCATCGAGAACGAAGAGTTGAAACTTTATGCCGCATGGGCCAAACCCCAGACCGTCTATGTCGATCGATCAGGAATGGGCCAGGGCAAGATTGGCTACTCTAGCTGTGCGGAAGTGTCATTGCCCAGGAATGCAGAGACAAAGGGCTGGAAGATCACAGACGGTGGTCTGACCTTCGGAGACAATGGTGTGCAGGCGTGTCCCGGAGCATTGGACGGCGGATGGAGCTTGTGGCTCACGGGTGTCGCCAAACCGGGCGGCCTCGAGAACTGTGTCGGTGTGAATGCAAAGGTTATTGATACAACCACTCCAGTCGGATGCCGTTATACGGAATCTTAAGGGGAATGGTTAGGAATAGAGACCACAACTAATGACGAGATTTTGAGGAGACACGACGCTTGTTGATTTTACATTTACATCTTTGTACATACACACATTCCTTTTAGACATGACAATTAGCCTAATCAAATTTATATTAATTGCGCGAAACCAATCATTGTCATCTTCAGATGGTTACTACTGACAAGCCAACAATTGTTGAACAGAATTCGCATTTCAGGTTTGAGTTGAGATTCAAGAGGTCGTGAATCTGCTTAGAGAAATCATATATAATACCCTCGCCTACCAAATCCTATCTCAACGTGAGAACCCTTTTAGGAAATAGAAATTGAATGGCTCCAAACATTTTGGATCTATAATGATTGCGATACCAAGATTTAAACAGAACTAAATGCCAAATCCCCTCAAATGATTATGCTTTCATGCCCTCATTGGCAATAAATGAAATGTAATCATTGAGCTGCTGGTACTTTGAATACGCTTTCGATATAGTCGCATGAGCGTCGACATTAAATTCGCTCACGAATTCATGTCATCAACAACATTACCTAGTACTTTGAACATCGAGCTCTCACCGTGGTGTTGCATTGGAAATCTTGGTATGACGCAGGGAACATTGATTTATATGTCTAGCGGGCTCTAACTGTTCATAGTTGGTGCATATCTGGAGGTCCTAACGTGTCTTGCCAAAAATAACCACTTAGTGCTATGACTTCACATGAAGCTAAATAGGCAGATCATCCCAGAGTGATAAACACCAATATTTACTAAATATGGGAAGCGGAACCGCGTGGTATTGTTTACTCTCTGCTCTCCGTTGCAACCCAAAAGCACCTCTCGACATCTTCGCGAGTCGCACTTATTCCCCAAGCAACCTCACGCCCAAATGAAAGATCGCACCGGAGCTCTTCCAAGCATTTGTCTCGTTTCGCACGTTCTGAGTCCGATGTGACCGTGACAAGATCTTCCTTCAGCAACGGGGGGGATCCCAACCGCAAAAGAACCCTCGCCGCATCTTCGCTCCCACAATCGACCGCGAGAAGTATCGGGAATCGCGGACGGCTGGCGCTACAATCATAGCCGGATCCCTCAGCGCTGATTTTGAGTTCTTCGACAAGCCACCGGATAATATCTACACGGTTTCGAACGATCGCTCGAAGCAGTGCAAAGTAACGAATACGCTGTGTGACCATCGCTCTTTTCCGGCGACCGGCACCAGCCTTGGCCGGCCTGTCGAACCTATGTTCAACAGCGTACTTTGCCATCTCAAGATGTCCAGTATCGGCAGCGATGACAAGTACGCTGAGAATATCTACGCCCTTTCGAGTTCCGAATTCCTGAAGTAGTCTCATGATGTCTAGTCTCCCGCCTCTCGCCGCGTATCTCCACAGAGACATCTGCCAACCCCAAGGGTCGTTCTCTAGGGCTTGGTTCTCGAGCAGTAAGCGGACCGTACTCACATGTCCACGAAGAGTTGCTTCATGCAGTGGGCCTTTCTTTCCGTAGAGTTGCATATCCATTTGTGTAGGTCGGTCTACAATCTTCTGGAGTAGATCATCATATCCACATCGGCAGGCCAGCGATACAAGCTGTGGCGCATGGGAAGATTCCGGCCAGGGAAAGAATTCATTCAACACTTTGCAGGCTGTTTCCCAACGCTCCTGATTGGCGAATTTCTCGACCACTTCTATAACCTCTTTGAGGCGGTATGAATGGCGAGCAACTCTATAGTGTAGAGTAAGGAAGATGGCGTGAAGGTTCTCTTCCTCGGCCCATTCAGCGATGTCTAAGAAGTTGGAAGCAAAGAAGAACCAGCGATATGGCCTCTCCCATGAGGGACCGTTATTCAGAAGCATGACTGTCCTGGTCGGATCCTTCAATTGGAGTGAGATGTCGATTGCTCGGAGGTAGTATTCGCGTTCTTCCTTGCGCAAGATACCGGCATCGCCCTGTTCCAGCATTTTTACCACCAGAGTTCGGTACCCAAGATAGAAAGCAAGATTGAAAGATACTAGCTGTATCAGGGTTGTGTATCGAATTTCTTTTGGACCAAGTCTATGGCCTTCATCTCCAGCCCAACCGACACACCGGTTATGAATCAGGACCTCGCAGATCTTGTCCAGGAGACCTTGATACGTTGAAGACCTCTCCTCTTCTTCGCTGTTTTTCATAATGTAATCGACGACAGCATGTATTTCCATAGCGAAGAGCGTCTTGATGTGTTCTCTGTCCCCAATGTGTGCTTTGAGAAGCCGCCGCCGGAATGAAGCTGGGGCTAGTTCCAGCTGGTAAGGATGAGGCCATGGTACACTCTTTTTTATTTCTGTTTTGCTGCATAGTCTGATTATCTCGTTATCGAAAAATGCTACGCGGTGAGTGTGAGTCATGTATGGTCAACGGGGAGATGATGGCAAGCCTTACAATTGACGAGCCTTAATCGAAGTATGCCTCCTATATTTCTCTGTGCCAAAACTGCTTGTAATATTATGTCCTGTGCGATGACGAGAGGCAGTTCCGTGAATATCATGTTGGTGACGATGCGTGCCAGTACTGGTATGCTCTATCAAGATGGGTGGAAGTAGAACAGAACGGTCAGGCTCATCGGCCGTGGGAGGGTTCTACTGTAACTATCCTATTGTTCGCTAAGGATCACGGAGAAGGATGACGCTTCAAATTAATGATAGACAGACCGCAAGGCTGACTCCCCTATCGTCGTGATTCGCCGCAAGCAAAGGCATTCTATTTTTTTGGAATGTATGATGAGAGTCTATGTGACAAGATACACTCAAAATAAACGATGCGCATATAGCGGTGTAGAAATTTGTCCATGGCAGCGCAGCCCTACAAATGTGTACTTGTATTATATTATTTTGTATATTAATTAGGCTAGCAGCCAGACAATTGTGCAAAAAAGAAGGAGGAAGCTATTCCTAGCCTTGTCAGTGTCGTTTGTCGTCCTCGTCACCCACGCAAATGTCTCAACACCACCACATCCTAAACAACCAACGAAATGGCGAAAAAAAGGCAAAAATTAATGACTCTCCGACGGGGAATCGAACCCCGGTCTCCCGCGCTTGTTACTTCCGAAGAGGAACTTGACAAGCGGAAATCATGACCACTAGACCATCGAAGATGTTCACGCTGAGGCGTGAGATGGTTGTTTGATGAGAGGTAAACAAATTATACATACTATATTGCAAAACACAACATGATCTTAGAAGTAAGACTGTCTTTGAAAAGAACCAGAGAGGCGAACGAATGTCTCAAGAGATAGTGGGGCTGACGGAATGCCCGGAGCCCTGGGTGGCGTTCGGTTGAATTGGACGGGTGAACGGTGACATACGCTATTGTTAGCGCTATCACCACTACCACTCAGAACGAACAATCCAGAGACAGACATATCTAACCTATTCAGGGGCGTCTTAAACCATTATCTAGATTGGAATGCCCAAAAATATCAGACTTGGTAACCCGTCCCAGATCGTCGGTTCTCTAGGTACATCTGTGGTGCGCAAGTGTTGGCTCTGGTAGTAGTACACGGCGCGTAGGTGTAGTTTGTATGCTCTGGAGTGGGATATAAGCGCGCGCAAACATGACAGATCTGTAACACCAGAAACAAGATACCAAGAAGCCATAAACAAACATCCCACATCACAAACACCCAACGAAACTTCGCTGCGATGATCCGTATACTCGCATATATCAAGACTTCTCATACTCGAAGAATCTACGAATTCAATATTCAAGCTACGTCAGGGCATAAGAACAATACTTTCACAATTAAAAGATAGAACTCCCCATAGATCCTTCAAGACAAACACCCTCTCAACCTCAACACCATTCCCACCCACGCTCAAAACTCCAAAACACCTCCGTTTCACCACCAAACAACCCTCTCCCCTCCTCCAACCAAATTCTTCCCCACCAATCGATCCCATTCCCAAGCGCCCTGTCCTCAAAGGGGCTCAAAAAAGCTTGAATGTGCTTGTCTTCCACCTTAACCGACGATTGAGCGTCGCTGGTCCAAACATCGTGTCCGCCCTCTGCCTTCGTGGTACCGTTTGCCGGGCCGTGAAACTGTCTGCGCGCGCTGCTGTAGGTACTAGGAGAAGCGACATGTTTCGTTTTGGTGAGATGAAAGGGCGGTCCTGTGCCTGGTGGCTATAGGTAGGTAGGTGGGGTGTTCGCATAGGACGGGGGAATATATAGATATAAAGTACAAAGATGTGATATCAGAAGTGTCACGAAGAAGAAGAGCCTCATAAGTCCCCCGCCCCTTCCCCTATCTTTTCTCTTCCCTGTCTCTCTGTGTCTATTCTTTCTTTTTCATCTCTGTCTTTTCCCCATTCTTTTCCAAACGCGCGCGATAGATTCGCAGCCCTTCAACCACCATTATGCACATCCCCACTACCATTCCGCTCCTCCTCTTCACCCTCGCACCCTACGTCACAGCCCATGGCAAAGTGACGCACCTGACCGGCTCCGCAGGCGGGAACACGACCGCGCTCGGCATAATCGGCGGCATCGTTCCCAACACGGGGCCCAACTCCGAGACCGAGGTCGACACGACGGTATTCAAGGGGGGCATCAAGAGCGACGGGCTGGGGAAGACGGAAGGGGGAGGGGAGAACAGGGTGGAGGATCTGTGGATCGCGAGGGGGTTGAGTGATGGGGGAAATGGGGGAGTCGCGTTGGTGGGGAAGGAGGACGGATGGGTGGAGGGGGTTTGGCATGTTGTTGTTACGGTGTGTTTGCGTTCTCCATTCATCTAGATCTTTCCCGTGATGGTAGTTGCGGTTGGAGGGTTTCGAACTGTGCTGATGTAGAACTTGCATACAGGACGGCGCAGGACCGCTGAAAGCCGTAATCGACACCACAGCCTCAGGATCCTTCTCCAACGGAACGGAAGCTGAGATCCTACTGGGTACGTTCACCCCCATCTCTCTACCTCTTCAAAATCTCACAGTTATCAACAGACATCCCCGGGAAAAACGGAAATCTGAACCCAGACGCATCGATCCCGCGCTCCTTGTCGCTGGCAGCACTGTCTACTCGCACCAATCACCTCCTGAGGCGCGGCGCGAAGACGGTGAATAGGGACTATACGTTCCGTGTTGCGGTGGCGGGGGACACCAAGTGTGAGGGAAAGGTTGCGGGATTGGATGGCGTTTGCTTTATGAAGATTGCTAATGGTGAGTTTATCGTGATGCCCTGAAATGCCAGGCTTGTGGATGGCTAACGGCGAAGTGATGGTGCAGAAAACGCGGCCGGTCCGTTTGGCGGCGTTGTGGCATTCCAGATGGTAGATGGAGGCACTGTCAACAATGGGACTAGGGTCGTTAATGGCGAGAGGGTCAAGTGTGGGAATGAGACGATGCTTGTCGGACAGAAACGAGCGGTTGGGAAGACATTCAGTGCTTAGGGATCGAGGGAGTGTTGAACTTCAGTTGAGGCCGGCGGCTTAAGGCATATCTCAGCTGTCGAAAGTCCATGTTGACGGGAGGCAAAGATATCCACAAGAGCCAGAAACCTATTATAAACATCCTAAACAGCAGTCACTGCTCCCCGTGTTATCATTCCCTCGAATCCGAGAACACATTCGATGCAACTATTCAGATAAGAATGGTCGGCAATCTAGGATTGAAATGACCTGGCGTCATCAATGGATTAGTTCGACAAGGGCTCGCACGTGAGAAAGCAAGAGTATTTATTTTTAGGATTTATTGTTTTCATTTCAGTAAATTATATGCATAGAAAGCTGGAGCGGTATCACAAACGAAGAAACAAGGCGCAAAAAGAGGCCTACTGTCATGAGGAAATAAGAAATTAATCAGAGTGTTGCAATACTCTTGATTGTATAAATGTACATGCGGTGCGGATCTAATCCGTAATTAAATAACCCAAAAAACTCGCTTATTCACAACCATCCTTCCCTTCTTTTCCTTTGAAAGAGTTTAATAGGTCTCGGCATACAGGAAATTGCCGGCCTCATCAATGTACTCGATCGTCTGCTTGGTAATGCAGTATCCGTGCTCCTGCTCGGGGGCAATGGGCCAGGGGTAGACACCAGTGGGGTAGGAGATTGGCTGGGTACCAGAAGGAAGAACAGGAGGAAGAGAAGGAGAGGGCTCGCCCTCACCAGGGTACAAAGGCTGGCCAGGTGCAGTTGGGTAGTTGGGGCCGTTCTCCTCGCCAGGGGTGACATAGTCGAGAGGGTTGGGGATGTACTCGAAGGGCTTGCCACCGATGAGGTGCTTGGTGGCCTCGGTCAGCTTGGTGTACTCGCCGAGGACGGGGAGTTCATCATCAGATGGGGCAGGGGTGACTTCACAGCTCTTTACAGAGAGATGGAGGTCGGGAACCTGCTCAGGCTCGAGCTCGACGTTTCCAGGTCCATAAACCTTGCAGTGGAGGTTCTTAGCCAGGTAGGGCTCAACATCCTCGGGGTGGAGAGACTTGAGCTCGCCGGTCTCCTCCTTGCCCTGAAGTGCGGTTGTCAAAGGCAAGCAGCCCTCAGTCATGACTGGGTAGCTGTCGCTGCCGCTTGCGTGCGAACCTCCCATGACGGAGTATTGACCAACATAGTTGGGATCCTGAGTGAAATCATCATAGGTGGAGTTGTACGAAGGCTGGGTGGAGTTGTGACCAATCGGGTAGGGAGCAGTGGTGTTGTGTCCAGGAAGAGTAGAGTTGTAGCCGGGAGCGGTCGAGTTGGAGCCACTGTTGCCGATGAAGCAGTGAAGGACCATGGAGCCATCGAGAGCGTACTTGTTGGCAATAACGGAGAGAACAGTCTGGTAGTCGCCCTCACGGAACTTGCGGCCAGGGTACGGCTCCGTGGTGGAGCGCTTGCGAAGGGAGTTAGCGCCAGGAGCATACATCCTGTTCACGGTACTGCGAACAGAGTTGGCGGAAGAGCCGGGGCCAGTCTCTGGGTAGTAGTAGTTGAAGAGAGAAGTCTCCCTGACGTCCATGCTGGTCCAGTAGTTACCGGCCGTGTCCTTGGTGAAGGGCTTCAATGGGGTGTAAGCGTTCTTGGACTCTCCGGCGTTCCACTGGGCCATGGGGCGTTGGATGTTGCCGTTTGCGACATAGGTGTCCGGGGAAACCTTTTGGTACATGGCAAGAATACGGTCAACATTGGTGTGGTGGAGCCAGAAGAAGGGGTCGAAAGCAGAGAAGTCAAGGTAGTACATGTGGCCACCAGACTCACCACCAGCTGTGGTATGAACAGCGTCGTGGATGGCCTCAACACTGTCAGGGTTGTTGCCGTTCTGAGCGGTACGAACACCAATGGCGGAGGTGCTGACGAAACCCCAGGAGGCACCGGACATGAAGATACCGTAGACACGGTTGGCAAGGGACTGGCGAAGGCTGGTGAAACGTGCGTTCATCTCGTTGTTGTTGCTACGAGTGGGGTTGGTGACCGGGCGGCGCAGAGTAGTGGCGAAGTTGCCGAATGGACCACCACCCATCTCCGAAGGGAGAGAGTCGCCCCAGCTGTAAGAGTAGAGCGGGTTCTTGATGGAGACTTGACCTTGAGGCTTGGTGACGGTGACGAACTGATCACGGATGGAAGTGGGCACGGCAGGACCGTTTCCGGGATGTCTAGCCCAGTCATAGTACGGCATGCGGAGGTCGCGGGCAGCGGCCCTCAGGCGCCCTTGCTGGCTGGATGGGAAGGTGTTGATAACCTCCTGAACGTTCTGGTAAAGAGACTGCTCGAAGAGGGCGAGGTAAGGCCTGTGCCAGGAACCGAAGAGGGTTTGAGCATGGGGGCAGAAACCGGCGTTGTTCAGGATAGGTCCAAAGTTGTTCCACGAGATGAAGGGACGGCCGTGAACACCAGCGATCTGGTAGTAACTCTCACGGTCATTCTTGGGCTTGGCCATGAAGCGTTCCATACCCAAGAGGTAGAGATTCCACTGGTCGGAGTTACTCTGGAGATCGCGGATCTCCAGACGCGGAGCAAGAGGTGACTGGACACCACGGATGGCAATGTTGTTGGCACGCTTGTTAAGTACGTCTTCCGTCTCTTCAAGGTGAGCACCGTGGGAGCGGTGGGCATGGTGGTGAGCGCCATGGAGAGCGAGAGTGGCCTGCACGAAGACGATGAGAGCGAAAAGAACGGGCAAGAAGCCTTGAGGCTTGCTGTAGGCGACCATATTGAGCGAAGCAAGAAGATTTACGTGGGTAAAGACAGGACGGAGCGAAAGTCGAATATGATGATGCTGTACCAAATTCAAATCAATTGCCTGGTAAACGAATGGATATGTCGATTAAAACGAAATGTCGAGATAAAGAATGTGGCGACTTCAGATTAGATCTTCAGTCTTTTGGAGTTCGACAATTAACGACGACAACGGCGGCGTCCCAACGACAGCAGCACAACGTCGAAAAGGAAAGGTGGTGATGAATTAGGAGGGAGGGTTGGTATCAAACACAGGACGGGAGGACGACAGGGTCATATAGGTGGGCAGTGGCACAGGCTGGAAGGAGAAAGTACCTTCTGGGGAGTGCATGGACATGCAACATGATGCCGTTTTTGTCCATGAGTCTGCGTGTGGGTGGGTGTGGATGCGTGTGGATGCTGGGATGTTTTGGAGGACGGTGCTTCTCGCGGGTCCTGTACTACGCAAGAGTAGGAAATGTATCTGCGGTGTTGGGATTGTCATTGGTGGGACAGCGAGGAGAAAGAGACGAGCACATAGGAGAGTCTGCCGTGTAAGAGTTGAGAGCAGAGGGGAGCGGTGGAAAAGGGCCTGGGGTCCCCTGTCAAGTCGAAACAAGCAAACGGCTCTGATCTGCAGCCAGCGGGTTCCCCTGATTTAACCTCCATTTGGCGCTGGAAGCCTCGCGGTCCTCACTGCTTGATGCCCTCATCACTGGGTGTTATCCCGCGTGTGGGCCAGGTCGAGCTGCTGATTCGGGCTGTAGTAGACGCCGCTCGAACCCACTGCCAGCCCGATTCGGTGAGGCTGTCGTGGAGATTCGTAGTCGTGTCGTCTCTTCCTCACGCCAGCCGACGATGAATGGATAACCCGTGGAGATTAGAGACGCCTAAAGAGAGAGTGCAGGATGAGTTGAGGGTCCTCGTATTATGTATCAATCATCCACTACTCGTAACTCACCCGCTCAACATCGATTGTCCATGTATACCTACAGGTAGGAAGTGGCTTCCACACTCGATTGTCAATCCAGAATAAGAAGATTTCACATCAGCACGAATGTCTTTCCCGAAGTGTTCACTCCTTTCTTTCTAGGGGTTCCATGACTCAATGCGTTCGCGGACGTGTATACCATTTCGCCATGAGCAGTAGGGAACCGAGACTCGAGAGTGATAGACGGTGTAACCGTGTGACCCTTGGAGCGAAGGTGGAGGTGTGTAGGGATGGAATGTAGTGTACGATAGTGTACGGTAGTGTAAGAGTGTATGATGGAAGGGTTGTGGAAGAGTTGTGTGGACTGTGGAGTGGAGGAGGCATTTTAATTTGAGTGGCAGCGGCGGCTCGAAACGGACTGGCTAATCGTACCTTCCCTTCCGCACCAGCCACAGCCACAGTACGTACCTTCCTACTGTGTACTGTGTAAGTTGTGTTATGTTATGTTATCCCCTCAATTCATAATTAATGTCAATCGTCTTGTTTCTCTCTCTACACAGTATGTTCTCTCTGTGTCTCATCTCTCGATGGGAAACTACTGTGTATTCACATGAACACACAGTGGAGGAAAGTGACAATACCTTCTTAGTTCCCGCCGTATGGTAACTACGAGTACGGAATAATACGTCGATGCTACCCTCAACCGCCAACGCCAACACAAAGAAGTAATTAGAACGAGCTACATACCATCCCAATTCTACCATCGCAATCAAGCAAGCAAGCGAACTGTTGCTTATTGCAGCTTCTCCTCCGACTATCGCAATTACCCATGATGAAAGCAGTCTGCATCGGTAGGCCGTGTGTGTTGACCATCTCCCACCTCTCAGCCAATCAACGCACCCATGGCATCCACCCTTAATCGTACACATACGAAAAGCTCGGACGTCGCCCATTCACCCCGGCTGTTTCATAAATTTGGATCGTTCCCTCCACCATCGACTGGCGTCTTTGACTGGTGGCGGCCTGCCTCGGCATCACGTTGCTCTTTACGACTTGGATTCTTACAGAGAGAGGCTTTGCTCTTGTACCTACAATACAGATGGGATCCTTGACCACCAATTCTTACAAGTTACGGCACATGCGCAATTGTCTGTTCAGATCTGCAGATCCGTCAAGCAACAACCCGACAGTGCCGCGAGAGTGAGGTAATACAATTAATGCACTGCACTCAACCCACGTCCATGCCTTCTCGCCTTCTTTAAATAGCCGGCCGACCCTACTAGCCCCAGTGATGATGATGAAGAGACCGATTGTCGCTGTTGATGATAGTCACGGTCTCGGTAGAAAGGGGGAACGCAAACGCGCTTCTTCAATATGCTGTACACGATTGCTGTACGGTAGGAATACAGATCTCACCTCACCCTATCTACCCGTTCAACAAGTCTCACAGCTCACCAGGAGCATCGAGTACTGTGGGTCGTATACGGTAAGCTTGTATGTGCATACAAAGCTTGTCGCAGCTCATAAGATCTTCAATGTTGTCGTAAACCTTACAAACAACTGGTCAGGATCGAGTCGTATTGCCATGCTCATGGCCCAGTTGGTCGACAAATGCTACACCGTACCACTGGCATGATCTTGATCCATTACAATCAAGCAACAACGGCAGCACCTCAATTGAACTCAATAACATTGAATCGCCCCACCCATTGTCATGAAACAAAACGAACCAAATGCTTCCACTCCCCCAACATGATAAATCTCCGGATACGGCGTCTCTCCTCATCACTTCGTATATTGACCCGCGTTTGCAACCTACTTATAACGATCAGTAAACAAACGAGGATGTTTCGATCACAAGAAATGCAAAAAAAAAAAAATGAAAAGTCTCTGTGTGGTTCCTGTATAATAATTAACCTGCATGTTCATGGATTTGATCAAACCCAACACATGCCAATATAAACATAGCACAATCATACTCTCTCGCTCAACCTCGAGTAGCATAACTACTACCAATCAAACCCAGAACCACAAAAACAAAACCACTAAACCACCACGGTAAGGAAGCGGGAAACAAAAAAAGGAAAGTGAGGAGGCGCAGCACTCGGATCGAAACTCTCATTTCGATGCCCCTCCTATTTGCGCCACTACTGCTGCGCCTGTTCACTTCTGTTCCGCTCGCCATTGCTTGCCCGGGATAAGGTCGAGTTTTGTTATGTTCGTTACGCTGCGATACATAGGTGAAGCAGGCTCGCGGGTGATACTTATATAGGTAGGTATACTCTTAACTTGTATACATCGTGAACGAATGGACGCATGCGTGCAGTTATCCCGCACCTCGCTTCGCTCGCTGCTCTCGAAAAGGGGACGCGAATGCGATGCGTCCATCCCAATACAGAAGACTAAAGCCATGACATGGGAGGAGCGATGATGATCTACAGCGCTTTTCAAGTCTGCCAAGAGCGGGAGAAGAGGATGGCGGATGCGGCGATGCGATGTTTGTTTGTGGAGTAAAGGTGAATACCAAAGGGGAGGTATACATAAGGGGAGGGAGACTTGGCTCTTCTGCTTTTTTGATGCTGAATTTGATTGACACCTACTGTCCAGTGACGAGCCAATGGGATTTGACGTTATGTTTTATTTTTATGGAGATGGACCTGTGGACGGGCATGATTCGAGAGCAAGAATGCATTGCTATGAGTAGGTAAAGAGACGTAAAAATTGCCGTAACTAATATCTCTTGTGCTTTGTTTGACTTGGCTAACAGAAAGTTCATGTAGATATGAATGTATTGTTTTTGATAGTCTAGTATGCGAAGTTTCTTGTCCGAAGCCCCGTGGGAAGTATCATCAAATATTTACCTCTAAAGATTATCCAATCCCCATGAAAGACGAACATCCACATCCACATCCATCCATCTTTATCTGTTTGATCATGTAGTTCGTTCCTTTCGTCAATCCCCCCCTCGCAATCTATCAATCTAATCTTTTCTAGCCAATCCGAAAGTAAACAAGAAGAAAAACATTAGTAACCCCAACCCGTAGCCTGCTAATTCAAAAACACCTAAATAAGAATGTAAGACAAAGAAGACGCAATCTACGAGACCTCAGCGTTCCTCTTCGCGGCGCTCTGCGCCGTCTCGATGAGCGCCTTTGGCGCATCATCCCACGGCATGACCAACTCGACGAACCGCAACCTCGTCGTCTCTGCGCTCGCAAACTCCTTATCCGCAAACAACTGCTCAACCTCCTGCTTCGAGCTGACGCGGTACGTCAGGACCTCTCCCTTCTCGGCGCCGAACGCCGCAGGCAGGTCCTTGTACTTCCAGTCCTGGATGTCGTTGTACGCGTCCTCCCAGCCGTGGATGAAGCGCTCGATCGTGTACCCGTTGTTGCAGATGATGAAGATGATCGGGTTGAGCTTGTTGCGGATCATCGTCGAGAGTTCCTGCGCGGTGAGCTGGAACGACCCGTCGCCCGTGAAGAGGATCGTGCGGCGCGAGGTCAGCTGTCCGAGGTCCTTCGCTGCGAGTGCGGCACCCTGGCATGCGCCTGTCGCGTACCCGATGCTGCCCCAGAGGACCTGGGAGATGGCGGTCACGTTGGCAGGGAAGCGGGTCTCCCAGATGCCGAAGTTGGCGGTGCCCGTCTCCGTGATGACGATGTCGTCCTTCTGGAGCCACTGGCCGAGGCGGGGCCAGAACCAGGCTTGCGTGATGGTGGGTTCTGGGGACTTGATCTCGGCCTCTGGGATGACGTTGTTGGGGTTGGGTCCGGATTCGATGTTGAGCTGGCCGAGGCGGGCGGTGATCTTGCTGAGGACGGTGTTCATGCGGACGCCTGGGTACTCTGAGTAGCGGACCTTGATGCCGTAGGAATGGAAGTCGATAGTGTTGAGCTGAGACACGCGGTATGTGAAGCCCGCGGTGTTGAAGTCGGATTTGATGGCGCCGATGCTGAGGACGAGGTCGGAGGATTCGACGCGCTCGCGAACGCCTGCGTTGCTGCCGTCACCAGCGTACACGCCGCCGTAGTTGGGGAGGGTCTCGTCGACTGCGCCCTTGCCCATTGGCGCGACGAAGACGGGGATACCGGACTTCTCGATGAAGGCGTGCGTCTCTTCGAGGGCACGGTGGCGGATGGAGCATGCGTCGACGAGGATCACGGGGTTGCGGGCGGCTTGGAGGTACTTGAGGACGACTTCCACGACGTAATCTTCCCGCTCTTCCTCGTTCGGTGGGTAGCTTAGGTCCAAGGGGGTCTTGAGTCGGTCACCGTCAACCTTCTTCTGTACAATGTCGGTGGGAAGGGCGATGTAGACTGGTCGTGACTTGAGAATGCATTCGCTGATGGTGTGGTCGATGAGAGTGGCAGCTTCGTAGGGGTCGTCGAGCATGGCGACGGCGCAGGAGATCTCCTTGGACATCTTCGCAAAGACGTTGAAGTCGCCATTGCCGAGCGTGTGGTGCAGGAGCATGCCATTCTTCTGGGCTGCCGTTGTGGGCGTTCCGACAATGTGCACAATGGGGACGTATTCTGAGTAGGCGCCTGCAATGGCGTTGACAGCGGAGAGCTCTCCGACACCGAAAGTAGTCACGATGGCGGAGATGCCCTTCACACGGGCGTATCCATCGGCGGCGTAACCTGGACAAAGGGAGTTTAAGTTAGTGATGACATCTTAGAAGCTGTGTGGTGGTGGTGGAGAGGCTAAATTGGGGCATTTCCGAAGCTCCCGAATTTATGTGACGAAAGAGGAGGGGTATTCAAATCCAATACTCTAGGTCTAACTTACCAGCGTTCAATTCATTGCAATTGCCAACCCAATGAAGACCGACTTTGGGAATGTAGTCGAGGGCGACGAGGTTGTAATCTCCAGGCAAGCCGTGGATTGATCGGACGCCGACTTCGTGTAGACGTCGGAAGAGGTACTATTGTGATTGGGGAGCTATGGTTAGTGGAGAGCCAAGCATGTGGGGTGGGACAACTCACTTCTGCGACGTCAATTGGGTTCTTGATTCCCTGTGTTCGAATGTCTGAAGTCATGCTGTCAGATCACTATGGAGGGGATGTATAGGAAGAATGGTAGGTCGGTAGGGATCGAGGAGAGTGGATGTTGGTAGGGTTGTAGGCCTTTGATGCCAGTGAATGATGAAGTCCTTGAGATGCGACGGGCATTTTATTTATTTATGGATGATGAATAGATACCCAGATAGAGACCAAAACGGATTTCTACGGCTATGACGCTATGTAACGAGACTTGCATGCGTTAGTATGATTTGTTAGCCATCACCTCACATGAATATTCGCGGTGGCCTGACATCGAAAATAGGACAACATCAACGTCTCGGCCGCTATCAGAGGAAAATGTTGGGACAGGAGCCATTGATGGCCGTTGATCACTGGAGACTTGTTGGACACTTGCAGCAACTCGGCCGGATCCTCGCGCAGATGTTCCGCTATTTTGTTCTTTGCCTTCTCTCCTACTGCCATTTCAATAGTAGTAGGGAAAATATGATCGGGATCTGGATCAATTGAGTGGGCGGTGTAGGGTGATTCGAGACTGTGTTTTTCTTGCTCCGGCCGGCATCCACCATCTAGACAACGTGACGGCGTGGGCAATGTATAATTTAACGTACTATTATGTGGACTCATTTCTTGAGGCAATTACTGGAACTGGTTTTGATGATAGACCATGATGGCGATGGTGGTGGAGCTGGTAGAGTAACGGCCAAAGCTACTTGCGGCCAGCTCGGACCGACTAGCACTATCAAACTGGGTGGGATCGACAGAGCCTCATCGACGCGTGACGGTCGAAAGCTCTCAGGCCATGGTCGCGACTTCAGTAGTTGATGACAGATATATGTGGTTTCAGTCTTATCGCGATGGTCATCATTAGGGGTTGCACTTCTGCTGACGTGGTAAAAAGTACTGGAAGATATTGGTACGATGCAGCAGTTGGACTGCACTTGGAGTTGGCATTCGAGAGTATATTCCAAACAACAATTTTTGATATTTTTACTAAGATATTAAAGTGGCCGTCCACATGTTCCTTACTGTGTACACAGTACAGTCTTAAAGAAACAAGGCTTGAACGCTCTCTATCCTATGAAGACCCACACAGCGACCGAACAAATTAAAGGGCCGAAGGAAACCACAGGAGAAACGTCGTTCAATCCCTTGCGCCACCACTGCCACATTTGATTTATATCCTACCTCGTGCTCGAGAAGACGAAATGTGCGGGTCAGGTTTTCTCCGACTGTTGGGTTGCTGGGCTCTTCAACGTGGTGGTTAACTTGTAACCATTTATTGCCCGCATCGGGTACCGTGTTTTCACAGGGCCTGTGCTACGGACTCGGACTCGGCGATGTTTGTTATTATTGACCGGCAATGTTGAGATATGGTTGGCCATTTTCCAATATTATTTTTTGTTCATTTCCCTTTCCGGGTCTAGATATTCTGAGATTATCCCTATACCTTGCATTATATGGACTGGAGATACAAGGAGAGGATGAAAGAGGAAAATGATTAGGAGGGTATGTAACTGCTACCGGACAGAGTCCGTAATGATGAGACGGAAAGACCAATTGATCTCTAAGCTGCTCTTTTCTGTATAATGAAATGTCAGGACGAGATTGGCAAGCTGTTTCGACTCCGTTAGACTCATTTTGGCGGACACAGAGGTACCAGTACAGCGCTCACCTAGAGGGTACAAGCCAGTACATGCTCCGTACTTGAGGTAAGAAAGCATATTGAAAGCCACCGCGGTGCCAAACTGGTAGCCACGAGAAGGTAGATAGACCACAGATATTGGATCTTTGACACTACTAGTTATAGGTGCACGTTTGGGAGCTGAAGTTTGTTCGAGTGATGCGAGTGACAAGCACACAGTAAGGACTAATGAACGACGTGACAACCCACCGGTCAGAAGTAGTGTGCGCCTCTAACCAGATACTGCAAACGGGAGACCAACCAAGCCTACACAGTAGTAGTACATGTGTCAGAGAGTATGGCAAAGTTCGATTCGCCCGTTCTATTTGCTGGAGGTATTTGGTGATTTTATATCGGTAATTCTAGATAGTCTGACAACATTCGTGATTCTATTGTGTACACAAAACAAATGCCGAGTGCAGAGGGTATCAGCTTAAGAGGTATGTTTGGTTAGGTACCTACGTACGCATGTCTCTCATTGGTACTTGTAATCATATGCCCGGGTACCTAATTTCAAGTACATAACTACGAGTACCATAGGTAGGTATATAAATACTCGGTATCCTGTGCCGACAGTTACGGAGGCCGGTTGCGCGTCCTCTTCCAGCAATAGCTCATCCTAGATATGCACATAGACATGTGGAGTGCTTTGTAGTAGGTACTTACTGTGTGAGTAGGTACCTACCTAATTATGTCCATAAGAGAGGATTAGCTGGGATTGAATGGATGAGACAAGACAAGACAAGGCAAGGTACGACGCCTCAGGCAAGAATCTGCCTTTTCTCTCCTGCTCTTCTTTGCCTTTCCTTTCCTCGTCCTCGTATAATATCCATCCATTCACATCACACCCCACGGTTACTATGTAGCCCGCCGTCCCCTCACACTCACCCTTGCCCTCCTCCCACGTTCGCTGCACCTGAACCATTTGATATACTCCTTTCGTTGCGTATATGCGCGTGCTCTCATCGCGTCGCTGTTTAAGTAACGAGAGAAAACGTATAAGTATTTACTTGTTAGATACTATTTAATTGCCTGTACCCACCTTCTGTCGCGGACGGCTGCCAAGTAACCTCATGTCTGCGCAAGCGCCCACTCGCATCATCTTACGTTGTACTGCACGGCGCTGCACTGGAACTGCAGCTTTTCTGCGACGCCGGCTAACCGATCCTCTTAAGTTCTGACCCATCATTAGAAACCTGCGCCCTTTGGTGTGTGTGTGTTGTTGCGCCCCCTTCCTGAATCCAACCATTCATCCAATTAACATTTCATCCTATTGAGGGTGCGACGAGTGTCTACCATAGGGAGGCACGAGGTTACCTGCCCAAGTACACAATACTTTCCGAAAGGTACTCGGACCTGCCAGCATAGTACAAGCATATACGATAGATACCTGATACTCATCAGTACTCCGTAGACAATACACAGTAGTTACAAGCATCTATACGCAAGGCAGGACAGGATACGATAGACAGAAAGAGGGCGTGCCGTGCCGTGCCGCTAAGCTCTGCCTCGTGTCTGCCATTTCCTATTCTACCTTGTTACTTACATACCTGGTGGATCTTTTCAAAGAATCATTTGCTCTTGTACTCTGTAGAGCAGAGTAGAACAGAGCAATATAGTGCTCGAGATAGAGAGAGTGTGTATGTGGAGGGAGTAACCTGAATGCGCCCACCTGCCTTCCTCTGCAGGGTCTACATACAGTGTACTGTGTATGTACCCTCGTCCCCTCGTGCCTTCCCTGCGAACACCCAACCCCATCCCATCCATCCAACAACGACAACCACCATCAGCTCGGATCAAACTCCGCTTCTTCTACTCGTCGTACCTGCTCTACCTCTCTACCTCTCTACCTCTCTCTACCTCTCTCTACCTCTCTCTACCTCTCTCTACCTCTCGCTTTCTCTACCCTCGTAACTACCTAACTCTCATCCTCACCTCCCCCTCTACCTCTACCTCCACCTCCACCCTCTTCGCTCGCTACCTTCGCTTCTTTCTTGTCTTCTTCTTTTCATCCGAAACAAAACATCTACCTCGCACATCTACTGCCACCACCGCCTCCACCACCGTCCCATACCACTCTGCGCCCCCCCCCCCCCCCCCCCCCCCCCCCCCCCCCCCCCCCCCCCCCCCCCCCCCCCCCCCCCCCCAGCGACCCATTCTCTACAACCCTCATGTCGTGATGCTCTCGCAACGTCCTTCGCACCCAGAGAGTCACTCCCAAGCGCCAGCCTTTCACTAAGTGCTGTCGCTGAATATGACAATTGAGTCGCGACAACGTTCTTCATCGAATATATCCAGTTCGTCCGATCGACCCTCACGACGCCGTCCCCCGACCCCCCTCTCTGCGAATCGTTTCAATCTCGGTGCGCCCGGTGACCTACACGATCTATCCTCCTCCGCAGCCCTTTCCTCTCAATCGCACCTCAGTCCAGCCAGTGGGACAGCTTCGCCATATCAGCTCCTGTCGCCAGGAGGTCCGCCCTACAACACCAGCCCGCGAGGGCGGGCCCATACTGTCGCAGACCCCAACCTCGTCCAGCGCCATAATAGCTATCGCAAGAAGCCCAATATGCATCCATACCTTCCACCTCCACCGCCCCAACCAACCTCCACTCCCGGCAGCCATACCCTCAATCTTCCTCCTCCACCTCCTAGACCCGCTGCGACACTGGGTACGCTGAACATCCCCCCTCCGCCGCAGAACTATGGTTGGGCGAGACCGCAGCAATACTTGAACAATCCTCAGTCGCAAACATATAACCCCAGTGCGTACCAGCAGCAGTCGTACGGCGGTAACATCCCCCCTCCTCCCAGTGCGCCGCCTCCACACCAGCCCGAAGCTCCACTTACGTCCGCGACCTACATACCTGGAGGAGAATCATTTGGGCCTGGAGTAGGAATCCCACCCTTGCACACCTCACGGCAGCCTTACTCGGAATCTTCATACTACAGAGACGAACCTCAAACATATTCTGCCAATACAGACACCTCCAACAGTGCCTTTTCGACGCTTCGAGACAATGGAGGCTACGGGAATAACACGGGGTACAATTCTTCTCCGGCCCCTAATCAGCGCCATCTCAACATACCAGCCGAGCAAAGCCAAAACTATGACTCGCCTGGACCACCGACAGCCACTCTCCAGAACCCGCACGGCCTGAGCCATGGTAGTGTTTATCATCGATCGGATAGCTCTGGGACGACGCCCGTCTCACCACAAGACGCTGCTCTGCAGTGGCCCCCGGACCGTGTGCAGATATGGTTGGCGAGCAATGGCTTCTCAAGAGATTGGCAAGAGACTTTCAAAACGTTGGATCTCTATGGGTCCAGGTTTCTTGAGATTGGCCGAGGACATGGAGGGAATGGAAATGTCGGTATGATGCATCAGGTCATCTTCCCACAGTTGGCCAAGCAGTGCACAGTAAGTGGTGTCGGGTGGGATCAAGCAAGAGAGAGGGACGAAGGGCGCAAGTTGCGCAGGCTTGTTCGCGCCATCGTCGAGACTGGGAGGTCAAATACTGCCCGCATCCCGCCTCGTTCTGATACTGGAATGACGCTGCCTAGCGCAGGGACCGACGGGACCGTGGAGAACTCTCCCTACCTCGGAATGAAGGAATACAGCTCTACCCCAACCACAGCTGGAGGCGGGGAAGACAGTCCAGGCCGTCAGATGCCCATACACTCGCCCAATACCACCAGCATACCATCGAGAAGAATATCCACACCAAGAAACTTCACTGTACCAGTTTTAGGAGCACCACCAGATTATGAATCGCACCGTAGCTCCTTTTCAAAAGAAGTCCTTCAATCGCTTGAAGCAAAGACTAAGAAGCACAGCCCGAGTGCGTCCGGCGAGTTTGGGCCTTCTTCATTCGGCAACTATCGTGAGGCCATGGCATCAGCAAGCCCACAGCAGAGTCCTGGCCTTCAGCCTGCTCGACTTGCCGCGGCGAACAATGGGCAAGGAGGCGGTAACATGGGCCCACCAAGCAATAGATATTACCACCAACACACCCCAAGCTCGGAATCCAATGGCTCCACGTTCGCCACAGCCGGCTCCGCAACGGGAGGATCAGGACCTCCCTCCGGACGCCCCTTTGAGTCCCATTCCGAATCGCGACTAGACCATCGCAGAAATGGCCACGAAGGCTCGCGACCAGGTACTGGTGCATCTAGGCACGATAGTGCAGAAATTACAGCCAGCGCAAAGGAGCACAAGGGCTTCTTACCCAAGTTCATGCACCGCAACAAGAAGCACCATGAAAATCACCCTTCGCCCGATGATACAAGCATAGAATCGCCCACCAGCCCCGCAAGCCATCGCCATCCAGCATCTGGTTCCTTCTTCGGAAAGACCAGTTTGAACTCGAGTGACATATCAATCAATATTGACCGACCCCCCTCCAGGCGCTCCGCTCAGACCGATTCAGACAGTAAAGCTACGAGCCTTGGAACCTCTGCCACAAGGGATGGTGATAGGAAATATGCATTTGTCACACCTGACGGTTGGAATTATCGATTGGTTGACATAACGAATGCTTCCAGTGCACTCTCTCTTCGGGAAACCATCTGTGAAGGACTCGGTCTAACTCATGTACCTGGCATCGAGCTGCACCTTACATTTCCTGGGCAGCTAGAGCATGAGGAAGCCCTCACCGATTCGAAGCTAATGAAAGCTAGATCGCAATGGGGCAACAAATTCGGAGATCTCAAATTCTACCTCGCTGGCCCTCCGTCCATGCCTCCATCTGCGGGACTGGGTGTTTCGTTCCCCGTCCCTTCCGCTCGTCCCATTGACGAGCTAACCTATGCACGACTTATTGCAGACTCACAGATAGATTCCCCCGTCGTGAAATCAGAAGAGTCTACTTTGGTCCCAGATAAGAGCCAGGCGCTGCGAAAGCAGGCAGAAAAGGAGGGTCTTAGCCCAGAAGCTGTTCCGGATCGTCTCAACCCCAACTCTGGCCGTCCATCAGAGCCTTCATGGGCTGCGGGAGATGATCTTCCAGAAAGCGAGCGGCAGAGGATACTCGAGGCAGCTTCGGTAGAGTATCAGCGTCAGAATAAGTTGAAGCAACAGGCGTACACTGCTTCGCGTCAGAAATTGGCAAAAGAGTCAGTAGATCCATCGTCTGCTACCTCTAACAACTTTGGCTTCAGAAGCCCAGGTATCATTGATTTTGACGAACCTCGCAGCTCCCCGTATGAAGAGAGGAAACCGCCGTTCGACGATCGGAAAGCGATGGTTCCTCTACGCGTTGCACCCCCCGTGCCGAAGGAGGATACCAGCACGTTGATAAAGGCTAACTCACTTTCAAAGAGCAAGAAGGACCGCACATCCTGGCCTGAATCGGAGGAATACGAGAACAAGAGACGTTCGACTGAAGCGGACTCATCCAAGAGGAAGGCTATACCTCAAGGTCCCACAGCTGGTTCTAGCATTGCTGCCGCAATCATTGGAGCAGGAACCCTTGGCGGCTTCATTGGAGCAGCCAATAAGGCAGGACCCAGAGTGCCTCCTAAAGACCCTTCAGCAGACAAAACGCGGGCATCACAAAAGGTCCTCCAGGAGAACAATTTCGGGCAATCTTCGGGATCGGGAAGGAACAGTCCAGGTGGGTCACCTCGCAGATCCGGTTCTTTGACTATGAGCAAAGGCAATGTACCGTTCAAAATACCTGACTATGAGGAAGATGACTCCGAGATGTTCTCAATGGAAAGGCCAAATCTCACGCTCAGAATGCCGAGTGCGCCGAACCCCGTCATTTCCAAGATAATAGATGAGCAGACCACCAGGTCGCAGTCACCAAACGTCAGTCCCCATACACCACATCCGCCCGAGTCCACCTTGTCGCGCGAGTCATCCAGGATTTCCATGTACGGGCCAAGGCATGTCTTTGAAGAGACCCGAGTCTCGTTCCATTCCAAATCTCCAATGGTCGAAGCGAACTCTGATTCGGACGACGATTCCGAAGACGGCCTCTTCCAACAACCTCTGGCGCGGGCTGGCCCTGTTACGCCAGTAGAAGATTCGGCAGGCATAGCAGATGATGATGCTCGTAGCAGGCGACCAGCGTTGACGTTGGAGACTCCACGGTCGAAGAATTCCTCCGAGAAAGGAAAAGAACAAAATGGACAAGTTGACGAATCGCGTGGAAATGACTTCCATCCCGAATCGGCACACTCGCAAACGTGGACCGACTCACCCGATGACGGTCATCGATTCATGAATCGTCCAGAATCCTTTGCTAGTGATCTATGGGCAAATCGTCCTCCTGCCGAAGCGCTTGTTGAACATCTCGACGAGTTTTTCCCGAACGTAAATCTTGATCAGCCTGTGGTCGAAGAAGATTCCAACGACACAGACGCCTCGGAAGCGACCAGCGAGGCCTCGGCCTCACTATCGGCCTCCAAAGACAGCCGCTCTGTGACCCCCATGTCTTCATTCGAGGACATGAACCCCAAGCCCATCAACCTCAGTCGAGGATCGACCGGAATGCAGTCAATCGCCCAGCGAAACTTGAGGAAGTCAGGCGTGGGTCTCGGGCGCACCAAGTCCATTCGTGAGGTGGTGAAGTCGCAATATCAACCCCTAGAAAAGAAGCCACTTCCGAGTCCAAACACCGCCGGTCCATCTCGTATTTCTACACTCAGCAACAGTACCACTATCATGCGCAGGAAGTCGACAAAGATGTTTCACGCCAAGATTGAGCAGGTCAAGCCACCGCGTGGATCGCGCTTGATCCAACTCGAGACAATTCCCCAAGATCACCTCCCATTACCACAGCGACAGCCAACTTTCAAATGGATGAAGGGTCAGCTAATCGGTAAGGGTACTTTCGGCCGTGTCTACCTTGGTATGAATATCACAACTGGAGAGCTTATTGCGGTCAAGCAAGTCGAGGTGAACCCAAAGGCTGCAGGATCAGACAAGGAGAAGATCAAGGAGTTGGTCAAAAGTTTAGATCAGGAGATCGACACCATGCAGCATTTGGATCATCCCAATATTGTCCAGTACCTTGGATGTGAACGCAAAGAGTACAGCATCTCCATTTTCTTGGAGTACATCAGTGGTGGTTCAGTCGGCTCTTGTCTCCGTAAACACGGAAAGTTCGAGGAGTCTGTCGTCAGCTCTTTGACCCGGCAGACTCTGGGAGGGCTGGCCTATCTTCACCGTGAAGGAATCTTGCATCGCGATCTCAAAGCGGACAACATCCTCCTCGATCTTGATGGAACTTGCAAAATTTCTGATTTCGGCATTTCTAAGAAGTCAGATAACATCTACGGCAATGATGCGACGAACAGCATGCAAGGTTCCGTTTTCTGGATGGCTCCAGAAGTCATCCGATCCCAAGGCCAGGGCTACTCCGCCAAGGTCGACATCTGGTCACTTGGCTGTGTCGTTCTCGAGATGTTCGCTGGTCGTCGCCCTTGGGCGAAGGAGGAAGCCATCGGGGCAATCTATAAGCTCGGCTCTCTCAATCAAGCACCGCCTATTCCTGAAGATGTTTCAAGAGTGATTGGTGTCGAAGGCTTGAGCTTCATGTGGGATTGCTTCACAATCGATCCTGCGGAACGACCGACGGCGGATACATTACTCAGGGCGCCATTCTGCTTCTCCGACCCCAACTACAACTTCTTGGATACAGAGCTCTATGCCAAGATCCGTGGTGCCTTCCAGTGATCCCCACCCGCTTGCCTTTCAACTTCCATTCTCCTTTATCGTTATTATTTGAAAACACGTATGAGCTGCAATTTACTGCTATCGTGTTCGCAGCGAAAGCAATGCAAATATACCCCGCTTCGTTTCTCTTCGGTTGTTTTTCCATTTTTTTCCAGTTTACCTTTCAGCTGTCAGTCGCGTGGCGTGACCGTTTGTCCATGGATTAGTTCTCGATCGATAATGGGTTTCTTCTTTGGGTTGGAACCATGTCGCACGCGTCTCCTTTTGTTGATTGTCACGGCCGCTCCTACCTTTCTTACGAATCTGGCTCACAAGGTCCTGCTGCAGGCAGGAAGGGGGGAAGGTGGCATGCAGACTACCTTAGGTAGCGAGCACGGAATGGAAAAGGGTGTGTTATTTACTGTATGTTTCTGTTTCGCACTTGATATATGCACAATGAATGGGTCTTCTGGGCCTGTGCCCTAGACGGGTGGATGATGAGTGAAGTGAGTAGGCCAGGTTTTAGGGGGGTTCGCAAGGGAAGCAAGTTATGGAACCCTGTGGGGGACAGTTAAGTGATCGTTTATCATGCGCAAACGAGTAGAAGAAGTGGATTAGAGGGAGGTTGGTCATGATGAAAGGAGGAAAGAGGGGAGCAGTTGTTGTATGTATGTACGTGCCTACCTAGGTCCCTACGGTATCTGTATAGAAATGTAGAAGACCTTCGGAAAGATTCACATACCAAATGATTCCCTTTTGTTACTCTTCGTGACCAGAAAAATTGAAAGTGAAGAAGTGATAGGACGAAAGACTTTCGTGATTGTTGTTGTCCTTCTTTTCTTCTGTCTTGTTTTTGAATTGGATTTAAAACATGTCATTTTTTTTTTGACTCAAACTCGTCAATTTCTTTTGGAGGGTTGGGGGAGGCAACGGGCATATGCATTTGATTTGTACAGAGTGTCCTTATTCTCTATTCTCGTGTATGAACTTGTCATGAATTTTGACAGTAGGTAGGTAGGTAGGTACGAAGGCAACTAGATCTTCACTATTCGACCTATCCCTCCGGCCACCTATCTACCTATCTACCGAACGTCTATCTATCTGGATTCGAAAGGAACACAATCAAAATGTTCTTCTGGTTGGGAGAGTCACTTGATGATTCCAAACCTTTCGATTTGAGTGGCTCAGAGAAACAACTACTTTATGAATTGTTGTCCCATCTATCTCGGCCCGTCAATCCTTCCTCACTCTCTTCTCTTCTGGACTTGGCCGAAGGGAAGAGAGGTGACGGGGAATTGAGGAGAGGGTATATACAATCCAACGTCTTCCATATGCGTATGTAATCAACGCCGCAGCCGTTGTGGGTTTATCCATCTGCTCTCCTTGCATCTTTAATTCACAGGGAGATGGAGAGGAGGAGAGAAACCTAACAGGAATTTACAAAGGATCTAGTCGTTTGACCCTCATTTCTTTTTCTTGCCCTTTCCCGCAGCTTTCTTCCCTCCTCCCGCTCCTCCGGCCGCCGCGGAGGCACCTTTGACGGCAGAAGGCGGCGCGGCGTGCTTTGGATTCTTCTTCAGGTGGTCGAACAGTTGGGTTTTGGACGGGAACGCCGCGTCGCATGAGGCGCACTTGTGTCCTGACGACGCGGCATCTGGGGCGGTCTCGGCGGCGGCTTTTGCGGCCTTCTTTTGCCGTTTCAGGGCGGCTTTTCCGAGTTTGGGCTGCGATGGTGCTGCGGTTGTGGATTCGTCATCTTTGTCGTCGTTGTTGTCATCTTCGTTCTCTGGAGAGGGTTTTGTTGTTGATGACGAGGCTGATTTCGCGAAGGGTGCGAGACGCGCTTCGACAGCAGCACGAGAGGCGTATTCGTCGTCTTCTGATGAGTCTTCTTCTGCTTCGGAGGATGTAGAGGGTGTTTGTGCGGATGGGTTTGGTCTGGATTGAGGTGCTGTGTCGTCGTCTTCCGAAGTACCTGCATCTTCTTCGTCTGTGGCGTCCTCGACTTTGGCGTTTTTGACGTCCTTTGCGAGGTCGTCAACCGAGTCATCGAGGTCATTCAATCCCTCTGATGCATTGCCGTTCGCATCCTCCACAGGCGTGATGACCCCGCTGCTGGGGATGTCCTCGTCGAGGTTTAGGTTCGCATTGTCCTTGCGCATCTGCTTCTTCAGCGCGAAGACTGCTTTCTGGTGTTTCTTGCTCTTCTCGTGTGCCTCCCATTGGCGTTCGCTCTTGAATGTCTTCCTGCAAGCAACGCACTCGAAATGATCCTGCTCGCTCTCTTCTTCTGTCTCCTCCTCCTCTTCGTCGTCGAAGTCTCTCCTCGTTGCCCATTCCGGTACGGCTTCGTCCATCTTCGCGGCGTGTGCTGCCCTTGCCCTAGCGGCCTGCGCCTGGGTGGCTTGTCTTTGTGCTTTTGCTCGCTCGTCCTCCGTCTGCCTGTTCGGGGTATATCTCGGGTCTCTTTTCCTCACGAATTGCACCAATGTCCTTACGGCCTCGTTGAACTCTCTTATGCCATCATCTCTACATTTCTTGTTCTCCTTTTCAATCAGTCTTCTGACCCTCCGATCGGGCGCCTCGGACACTCTGTATTTATCCTTCCACGCGAAGGATTTCCTCGTCGCAAAGCCCGCCCACGCGGAGTAGAATCCCTTCACAACGTCGTCGTACGCATCGTCCTTGTGACCGAACGACGGATACTCTGCGACATCGCCACCGTCCCAGCTGGACGCATACTCTTCCTCTTTCGCTAACGTAGCAAAAACTTCGTTCAGGTATCCATAGAACCCACTCGGCGAGTCGTCGAACTTGACATTGCCTCTGAACCGGCCCATCATGCGCGATATCTCATCTGCAGTCGTGACCTTCATGTTACCCTCGTACTTGGGGCCCGAGTCTCCACCCGCACCGTCGCCGCCATCACCGGAGCCATCGTTGCCGCGGAGGATGTCGTACTCGTGGGCATCGTACCAGGCGCGTTCTTGGGGGTCAGAGAGGACTTGGTATGCGGATTGGATCTCGGCGAAGAGGGCGGTCGTGCGTTCGACGTCGCCGTAGTTGCGGTCTGGATGGAGTTCGAGGGCTTTGCGGCGATATGCCTTCTTGATTCTGTGATTGGAGATTTAATTAAATGTTCTAAAGACTGTTTTTGGAAGAAGTGGGGTGTGTTTTGTTCAAACGGAATGAGGAAAAGGAAAGAACTGGGGATAGTAAGATTACTCACTCTTCTTCCGAAGCGTTACGTTCTATGGAAAGCAGCTCGTAGTAACTTGTCTTGACTTCGGCATTGTTGGACGCATCATCGCCGCCGCCTGTGGATTGCGATGCGCCCATGGTGGTACGGTTATGATGAAATGTTTTGGCGGGGCAGGTGTTGCTATTGATACTCGATCAGTTATGACCCTGGAAAAGGAATGGACGCCCGCACAAGCGAGCCAATCACGTCGTGGTGAGCAAGGAAATCCGCGAAAAGAGGTCCAGAATCCAGACAATGCGATATAAAATTTCAGGGTATTTTAGGGGGGAATCGATGATTGCGATTGTCGTCAGCCTTCTGACGCCAGCTGTAGTCCGGTTTTTTGGACGAAGGCGAACGGCAGAGAGAGAAATGATAGAGTGGCGGCGTATGCCGTTCTGATTGGCCAGTGATCGACGGGAACTAGATGGGTAAGAATGAAAGAAGAACTCATTAACACTCATTAATGAGTATCGAACCTAGACAGACAAGGAACAAGGAAGAACCACGAATGTTCTAGTCGTGTTATTGCAGACTAACTTTGAAACGATTTCATTCCTGTTCGCAGCAACTTCTGAGTAGTTCAGGTCCAGTTCGTGCAATGTCGGCCGGGTGTGGAGTACAAATGGGAGGATCCCCCGCGTTTCCCTTTGCTTCTTTTGAACTCTTGGCCTTCACGCAACTCATAATCAATATTTTTTTATCATTATGAATCATTCGTCTGCCTGCTCAATCGATTTTTCTCCTCACGCTGGGTCGCCTCGCTGCTGAGTTGGGGAGGGCGGAAGAAGACTCCACTGTTGGTTCGATACAACTTGCACACCATTTTATATTACCTTTCTTCCCTTCGTATCGGCATCACATCAGAGTACACAGTAGATGGTGTTGCCACGATCCGATCCCAAGGCAACTACAATACAAGTCATTATTTCGGAACTGGAACTGGAACTGGAGCTGGACGGAACCCCGGGATCGGAACTGGCACGCGACCAACGTCACCTCACGTGCATACACTGGTTCTTCCAATTGCAATTGCCATACCCAATCAGGACTAAAGCTCGTCATTTACATCGGCTTGATTGGCCTGGCCAGTCGGATTCACTCATTCTTACGAGTAGAACAGTTATTATTCATCCCAATTCACCAAAAGAGGCAACGGTTGTGTCTCTCCTTGCTCGTTCTCGACCACTGAAGGCCCCTCAACCGCCCACGTGCGAAAATTTGCAACTTCAACAGGCACATCCACCCGCTCATCTCCTCCACCATATCAACACTACACTGTTACTGCACCGCTGCCGTACCTTACCGTACGATTCTCACCATCTCGAGAACCTATCGTATCTGTGCCAACGCCGTTCATCTAAATCTCACTCCCCAGAGGGAAACTCCACATATCCTGGGTTTAGGGGCCCCCTAGTCACCGAGCACAGCCACTCCGTTCATCAGCCCTACGAGGGTAGATCCAACCATCCGGAGCTGGGCTCCCAAGACCGTTCATCTCCACCTAGGGCCGACCATATCTGTGGACCATAATAGTAATCCCCTTTAAGAAAAATCCAAGATGAAATTCGGCCAAACCTTTAAGGAAGCCCTCAAGACCGAGGGGTTTCCACCCGACTGGGTCGAATCTGCCATCTCCTACTCTCAACTCAAGAAATGCATCAACCGTCTTACCAGTGAATTGGCCCAAGTTGGACTTGACCCTCAGACTCTTGGCAGTCTCCTTAAGAAGGTCGAGGACTACAACAAAGCCACCGAGAATGACGATGTGGAGTCGAGGCCTTTCGAGTATTTGCTGAATGACGACGACAGCGAAGAGGAACCGATTGATGGCAATGACAATGCAGCAAACGGAACGACCGCCAGCAACGGCTCATCAAAGAAGAAGAGACCATTCCATCCCAAGTTACTATTCTATGTGGATGAGAAAACGGGTGATCTTCATAGTGCTGGTTTAGACGAAAAGACGAAGAGGAAGCTCCAAATGTTCGCTGTCCAGACCGGCCTCTCCGACATAAGAGTACACGAGGAGTCACCTCGAGAGTCTATTGCATCTACAGACCTACCATCCCCACCAATCAATGGACACATCTCAAAGAGACGGCCTGGGTATCGGACAGTCGAAGTACCATTGACCTCGGACTCGGAATTCTTCTCCATGCTGGCCAGCGAATTGTCGGGACTTGAACGTCTGCAAGAGAGGGAAGAAAAGAGGATGCATGACGAGATTGCCAATCTGGGCATGCAAGTCGCCAAACTGACGAATCCGGATCGCAGGGCCAACCGCAAGCTGATCGCCGTCTGGAGACAGATCTTCCAGATCTACCTCGAGAGCGACATATTCTTTGGCACTACTGAGAGCGACCACTCCGAGCACGACGCTGCAAAAGCAGCTGAGCGATTCCAGCTCTTCTCCCAACGGATCGCAGAGGCAGGCCTGGTAGAGAAGTTCAAAAAACCCGAGAACCTGAAAGCACTCAACACCTTCATGCATATCAACCAGGAGATCCTCCAATCATTACGATTCGGCGAGATCAACCAAACCGCCATGAACAAAATCCTCAAGAGTAAGCCCTCCTCCTCGCCAGCAAACCTCCAATAACTAACACATCTCCCCCTAGAATTCGACAAACAAACCGCCCTCGACGTGAAAGCCACATTCCCTAAACAAATCGCGTACCCAGACTTCTCGACGCACCTCGCCAAGCAAGTCTGCCGGACCATCTCCACGGACCTCATCTGCACGATCCCGCAGCTCGACGACTACTCGTGCCCCATGTGCATGGACCTCCAGTGGCGGCCCGTCCGCCTCCGCTGCAACCACGTCTTCTGCATCCGCTGCCTCATCGTCATGCAGACCAACAAGCAGCACCTGTGCCCTCTCTGCCGCGAGAAGACGGTCATCGACGCCTGCAGCGACAATCTCGACATCGAGCTCGCGGCTTATCTTAAGAAATGGTTTCCCGACGAGGTCAAGGCGAAGCAGAAGTACAATGAGCTCATGGCTGGCGTTGATGAGTATGGTGAGGTGTATAAGGAGAAGTGCTCAGTCATGTGATCGAATCTACGACCGCCCACTCCTGTCATATTTTACTCCGGCCTTCACTCCGTTGTTACATGCGCTCAGAGAAGGGGAGAAGGAGAGCTTCAGGAGAGAGACTCCCTGTGACATGTGTATATAGGACGAGCATATGAGCGTTTCGCCTTTCCTTTCCTTTTGTCAGAGATACCCCAACTTCTTGCACATTTAGCATAATTATAGCCCTCATCCATTACTTCCACAATGATCAATCAGTCGTACAAACAAAATGGGACGCTTCCCGTCTGCGAAGTTCAGTAGCGGTGCAAGACATCTATGCAGGCTAATGCCGTTATGCCGGCGAATTGTGAACGTGTCGTCACGTCCGTGCAGACACTCAGATAAGAAGCAATTCTCCAGCGAGCTTCGGACTGTTCTAGACGACAAACAATTCCAAAGCACACTTCAACGAGACACCGAGAGCACGAGTCGCAATAATGTTATTACTTCTAGGAAGATACTCGTACAATATTATCGCGGGACCGTTCCGTGCTGCTATCTCGGCGGTACGAAACATAGATAAAGCCCGACGCCGCCCCAAAAGATAAACGACCCAACTAACGATAGGAAATGCGGAGGTAGAGGCAGTTATCGGCTGCTGATGCGCGTCCCGTGGCCAGGGCAAACCCAGGATGCAGCCAATAAAGGAGGTCGGATTGCGGGTTAGTCGATGCGCGGGCTTGTGTATACACAGTACAGCCGTGACAGCTTATCGTACCTAGTCCTGTTCGTAACTGACTAACTAGCTGAACGGTAGATAACTTGTAAAGGTAAGGGTAAGGAAAAGGGAAAGGCAGGGCAGGGGTATTTCAGGAGGGCGATACTGTGTAGATGAGATAGATGAGATAGCTGCGCCTCTCATCATCTCTATTGGTCCCTTTCTGTGCATTCATCGCCAATCTGCGTATGAATTCCCCCGAACGGGACTGGGTTGAGCCGTGAAGCCATGAACCCCCTCACAACGTGTTTCACTGAATTCCGCTTCACCCCGGAATTGATCCGTCCCCCGCACAACTCGCCCTGTACTATCAACCAACTAGACCACATCACTATCACAGTAGAAGATGCATCCTCGATATAAGTCGTCGTGTAGGTGCTCGTATTGCGACAATGGAGATGCAGCTTGCCAAGAATCTATTCTGCCTCACCACATAATACAACAATAATGGCAGATTCCAAGATTGAACGGCTCGATACCACGCAGAGTGATGATGAGCGCCTGGCACAGATCGGCCATGTGCAGGAGCTGCGACGAGGTTTCTCCTTGTGGTCGTTGGGGAGTTTGTGTCTATGTTTGATGGCAACATGGGAAGCTCTATCAACTGTCATTGCCACCGCGTTGAGTTCTGGTGGAGCCCCGTGTCTGTTCTTTAACTTGTAAGTTCGCTTCGAGTACCTGCTCAGGGACATTGTCTAATTGTTAATAGCCTGCTGTCCATCATCTGTACAGTTGCAATTGCACTGTCTTTGGGAGAAATTGCTTCCATCTATCCCACTGCTGGAGGTTCGACAAAACAAACCAGATATGCACATCGGCACAAAACTGATCTGTTACAGGACAATACCACTGGGTTGCAGCTCTATCCCCACCATCCACTCGTTCGGTCGCAGCTTGGTTCTCAGGTTGGATTAATATCGGTGGTCAGATCGTTCTCACTGCTTCTGCCGCCTTCGCTGCTGGCCTTCAGATTCAGGCATTGATCATCTTGAATGACGATAGTTACATCCCGCAGAGATGGCAAGGACTATTACTCTACTGGGCAGTGCTTCTCTACGCTGCGGCTTTGAATATCTGGGGGGCTAGACTGCTGCCGACGACGAACCTGCTAGCTGGTAAGTTATCAGATGTCTTTTCAGGGACGAAATATCGTATTTGGTACTTAAAGTACTGACATACATACAGGAGTCCTCCACTTGACAGGCTTGGTCGTCATTATGGTCGTCCTTGGTGTCATGGCACCCAAGAACAACGCCTCATTCGTCTTCACCGAGATCACCAACCGTAGCGGATGGTCCAACGATGGTGTCTCGTGGCTGGTCGGGCTTCTCTCAGCAGTGTACCCGGTCCTGGGATACGACGCGGCTTGCCATCTTGCAGAAGAACTTCCCCATGCTGCCCGCAACGTCCCACTCGCCATGATTGGATCCGTGGTTGTCAACGGAGTCTTGGGCCTTGGATACTGCGTCTTGCTTCTCTTCTCAGCCGGCCCCTTAGAGACCCTCCTCGCAACACCCACCGGCTTCCCATTCATGCAAATCTTCCTCGACGCAACACGGTCCCACGCCGCCGCCACCGTCTTCACCATCGTAATAGATATCATCGCTATCGCGGCTGCGGTCGCCGGCATAACCTCCACCTCCCGCACATTCTGGGCCTTCGCGCGTGACAAAGCCACCCCCTTCCACCACTTCTTCTCGCACGTCAACCGCAGCTCGCAGATCCCCGTCCGCGCCGTGGTTCTCGTGACAGCCCTCCAAATGGCCCTGGGCTTCATCTACCTCGGCAACTCCACTGCCTTCAACGCCGTGCTTTCCATGGCCATCCTCGGCCTCTACACCTCCTACCTCATCCCCATCGTCTACTGGCTTGTTTTCGGCCGCCCTCGCTTCCAGTCCCACCAGTTTGGTCCGTTCCGGATGTGGAAGCCGCTGGGTGTCGCAGTGAACTTGCTTGCTTGCGCGTGGTTGGTGCTGGCGATCGTGTATGGTACCTTCCCGGGCATGATGCCCGTCACAGCCGAGACGATGAATTATTCTATCGTCGTCATCGCCGGGTGGGCGCTTTTCGGAGCTGTGTATTATCTTGTCTGGGGCAGGAAGCAGTTTGAGGTGCCGAATGTCGGGCATGATGCACGAGGGTTCTGATGTTTTGCTCGCGTTTAATGGCATGCATGTCTTCTTGATGATGTGATGGTGGATTGGAGGAATCGCCTGATCAATTTGAGCGTTTGCTTTTCTGATATATTACCATATTTGGTAGCGAGGAAGATGAAATGGGAATTCTTATCTCATTGCCTACATGTTTCATAATAATGCACCACCCGCCAGTGACACGAGAAACTCTTGTACATCTCTCCCTTACCTTCTCAGATCCAGTGCCCTCAAACCATCTCGCAAGCCGCACATAGCAATACGAAACGAGTAAGAAGAGGTACAACGCATCCGTAGCCTCTACGCCGAATGGTCCGTTATTAGTCCTAAATCTGAGGGAACTGCCCTGATACAGTTAAACATGTCTAAGGGAATCCCAATGAGTATCAATGGCTTTGATCTGGCCAGAAACCATTCCAGCAAATGACTTTCTTGCGGAGCGCTCCGCTGACTGATCCATCCATCCGCCCACCGACCTCAAGCCATCAACCACTATTCACTATTTCAGCCGTGGCTGAGGCGCATATCGCAAGCCAAAATAAGAAAGACGGAATATACCATCTCCATCCTCCATGCCGAGCGTTCTGTGCTTGACCCCAATTGCCCCGAGAACTTGAAGGATAATATGATATGAGACTCTTGGATGATGTCTTGACTTTGATTCTTTTGTATTGTTCATGCCAGCGTGTAGAAAACCCTCATTGATGGTGGCACTTAGTAATAGCCTAGTAGGTGGCGCCAGCTATGTTCCCCGCGCAAGTAGTAGGTATCTAGTGTACCTGATACGCATATTCAGCTGAAAAAGGGAATCAAAATATAAAGCTTACTATATGGACACATATTCTACCATAACCTGTATCGCAATTCCTCGCGGAAGAAGAAAGATTCCATAATTAGATGTGATTTCAAGAATTGTGACCACGATCATGTATCAAAGCGACTACACACGACAGCAGCAGCCGTTTCTGGCTCCACCGCCGCCCATGTCGGCTCTGTATCAGGGTCGAGGGTATCATGACCAGTCGATAGCATATGAACCGGTATATCCACCTTCGAGTACGGGGAACCAAGTAACATCAATGTCGGCGCCATACTGGGGTCAAGACTATCGCACGCAGTCGACATCACATGCCCCGCTCCACCATTCTCCTACCAGCATTGAAGATCCAATGTTCCTAGACGACGTCGTTGACTTGAAGATAGCCCAGAAGGAAGACAAGGTGAGCGAGCTTATCTTCAACTTCAAAACCCATCGTTACTCACCGAAACCCTCCAGCATCTGAAATCCAACATCCGGCGCCTCCGTCTCATCTCCCGCCTCATCGCCCTCTTCCTCTCCATAGCAACCCTAGTCCCCCTCACCATGACGCTCATCAAGTTCCTCAGTACTAAGCACGTCTTCCGGGACATCGTCCTCCCAGATGGCACCACCAAACACCGCACCGCCTGGTCCAAAGACCCCAAAACCTGGCCAACATGGACGTACTTCCTCGTGGCTGCTGCCTCCGCGCTCATCAACGTCCTCACCCTCATCTGCTACTGCATCTGCGGCGTCAAAGAGGCGAACAGGACGGCGCTGGTTTCCGCGGTCGTCACGTGGGGGTCGCTGGTCGGGCAATTGGTCGTTTGGATCGTGGCCGCCGCGATGTATCGCGCGGAGAAGAGTAAAGGCGGGAAGAGCAATGATCTTTGGGGGTGGACTTGTGCGCCGGCTGCGAAGGCGATCCAGAAGGAGTTTGTAGGGGTGGTTGACTTTAATTATTATTGTAATGTGCAGGTATACATCCCCTAGGAGAGCACCCTATCATTCTTTTTCTAGTGGTTGCTGACTTAGGGTGTTGGATAGACTGCTTCCTGGTACACGGGTCTGATTCAGTGCGCGGCAGCCCTATTCTCGCTCGTCATCTACATCTTCGTGCTGAAGAGGCAGAAGAGCAAGAAGGAGGTCAAGAGGATGTCTTTGGTCATGGGCGTCGAATCCAAATGATTCGTTGGGGAAAGAAAATGGCCTACGAATGTTTGATCCTTGCATTGCAGTAAAGTTTCGATCCCTCCGACGTACATACATACCTACCTACCTAGGTACAGACTTTAGTCTACCTGAAGATTGAACATACACTGACATGCGGGAGGGTGGGCAAGCCACAATCTCGGTGCGAAGGGTGGGGCAGCGTTATCATTTAATTCCTCCCGAGCATCTTCGAAAGAGCGAGGAGACGGAAGACCCTCGAGCGTTTTCCCCTTTGAAACCATCACGCCGAGAATTGTACATCGGTTTCGTGACCGCAGGCCTTTTCTCACGCCATGCCACATGCCATATGATGGGAAGGATGAATAAACCTCGCTTGCGGCTGAAAGTACCGCTCGTTTGTCTCGAGATCGCCATCCTTCTCCCCCCCCCCCCCCCCCCCCCCACTACACCCCAAATCCGGGAATATTCGCAAAGGTCCCGCTCATTTGGGCCGACCATCAAACAACGACAAACAAAGAGACTTCGGATATAAACAACGACACACACATAAGTATGTACTCTGTACCTTGCTGCATGTGCCTATCCTACATACACTACAGCAAGCGAAGCCAAGCTGGCTGCATGTGCCGTTTCTTTGTGGACGGATGGCTTGTCGGCATCAACGTGTTGAATCTGCACGACGAGCGGTGGCTTGCCTGACGGCAACTATACGTGGACGTTTTGGCAAAAATAAAATCCAAAAATCTTTCCGTGCCGCCTCAAACGCATTACAATATCATGTACATACATGTACTATAGATAGCAAGCATGGCATTGGGGGAAAGAGGACGGCAAGAAGAGTGGAGTAGCAAAACATGTCGTTCGTGACGAAACAACGCATCAATGTATTGCCGGGCATTTCCTCAAAGGAGACATGTATCGCATATCGCATCTCGCACAATACCACATCCCTTACTGTGTTTTACCCTTTACGGAGTACATATACATACATACATGGAGGTAGTCGTTTCTTCCATTCATGCAGCAGTAGCGGTAGCAGCGCACCGGAATTGTGTCGTTATGATTGATTAGATTGAATAGCCACACGCCCAATCTCACGGCCGCCTTAGCGGCGGGTAATCAGCATTGCCCGGATTGGGATAACACAAACACGGGTGGTGAGCAGCATCATCACGATGGACTGGCTACGCCATGGAGCTGTTGCTTGTCTCTTGATGTCTAACCTTTCGGAAACGGGAAAAGATGCACACCCCTTGCTTGCTTTGCGTCCTGGGCAGCCGCGGGAAACTTATTAGTCTCTAGAGATTGTTCGGAGGCTATATGTTTTCTGTTCTATGACATCTCGCCTGACACCTGATGTCTTTGGTAGGTGGGAGAATGGGAGAATTTGGTGGCGCGGCTTTGGCGGGGATAAATAGATCAAGTTTTCAACAACCCAGGAAATAAAAAGCATAGACGGACGGATAGCAAGTTTCTTCCGTCCTAACTGGTTGCTTTCCAAGATAAAAGGTCTTGGAGAATTTCGATCCTCGGTGCTGCATGGTGTGATCTGCTGGCTAGCAACGACAGCTTCGCTGCAAGTTTAAAAAGACCTCTGTGTTCCGATATCAAGTCGTACAGGACTAAAGAGGAAAGTGCCGGTGTACTTGGTGAGGACATTGCAATATCTACAAAAGGCCGTGGGAAAACCAGGACAATTGGGTGGAGAGAGACGTATATTTCAAGTCGAAGGAACAACAATGTCTTTTGTTCAGTTCTCGGAGGACTTTGCGGCTCTCAGAGACCAGGTCGTGGTGCTCACTGGTAATGCTTTTATATGTTTCCTAATATCGATGGTGTCTCGTCTAATACTATTCAGGTGGAGCAAGAGGAATCGGTGCTTCTGTAGTGGAAGTGGCAGCTGCAAGTGGAGCCCATGTTGTATTCGGCGACCGCAACGAACAGCTAGGACAAGAGGTGGCCGAGAAGACAGGCGCAACTTTTGTGAAAGCAGATGTCACACAATATGCGGACGTCCTCAAGATTTTCCAGGTCGCGTTCGAGAAGTATGGGAAGATTGATCATGCGGTTGCAAATGCAGCCGTTTACGAACCTGATCTCGACATCTTCGATCCCAACTTGAGCATTGCGCAGATTGAGCAGGTACTGATCGTGCCTTTTTGTATTTCTATTTTGGACATTTAGATCTGACTGACGTGTTTTACCAGGCTCCTCCGACTCTTGCATTCGACATAAACATCACAGGAACGCTGTACTTTAGCCGGATCGCTGCCGTGTACCTTCGCCAGAACAACACTGCCGAATCGAAGAGATCGTTGACGTTGGTTTCGTCTGTTGCCGCCTTCATGACGCCGCCAGACACGCCTGTCTATAATGTAAGGGATCAATTTCTTTGTCGGTGTTTGCGTAGAACAGAACACCTCGGTGACGATATTATCCATAGGTCACCAAAGCTGGAATTGTTAGTTTAGCAAGATCACTAGCACAGCGATGTCCTTCATCACACAACATCAGAGTCAACTGTGTGTGTCCATCTGTTACTCGAACACCGCTCGCAGCGACAAGCGCCATTCAGCCATTGTGGGAAGGGGCAGGTCTCCCTACCAACGAACCCGTCCAGGTTGCCAATGTGATCTTGGGTGTAGGCTGCGATGCTTCTTCTAATCGGAAAGTGCTGTGGGTGGAGGGAGGCCAGTCCTGGGATATCGAGGTCAAGCTACTCGAGTTACTGCCCCAATGGATTGGCGACGGGCCTGCCAAAACACTAGAGAGAGTCCAGGAACTGGTAAAGAATCTCATGTGATGCGTGGAAGATTCGCTATAGATGGTGCATTCATGACGGAGGATACCTGCTTATTCTAGTTGGGGCCTATTCATCGGACGAGGATACAGACGAGCATTTTCGGATATAGTGGTATGGTGTTTTATGCATTTGAGTATTATGAAGCGTTGAAGCTGCTCTACAAGTATTGCATTGAGACGATGATCGAGACGGCTGAATGCGGAGGTGGGTTTGCTTATCTGAGAAGAATTGTTGCAGTTCAAATGAATCGATATTATACTCCACCCTGGCTCATTTCCTGGCTTTGCCAGGAAACAACCTCGCCGCCTACGAGAATAACGAAGGTATTGAATCCAAGTTGTTCGTAATCTTGCAAGATCCGAACCTGTTTGATCATTAATGTCGTCAGGAACGACTTTGTTGAATCGTTCTACGCTTGGTATTCTTGTGTGACTGTAGCCCATGGGGCTTGTGGTTGATCCTCTGTCAAGGAGCTTATATATCCTTCCAGACAGATATCCTTGCCAGATATGGATGACTTCATCGATGGACCGAGTACTAACAGGATTGCGTCGAGCAATGTGCATCCGCACGTCTGTCACCTTTCCTAGATTTACGCTATCGAGGCGTACTATGAAGCACGCGCGGACAGGGCAAGCAGCAGAGAGTCCATCATATCGGGCGCACTGCCTATGTGCAATCAATTAACGTCGTTTCCATGTTTGCTCAACCCGTCATACTCGTGTCGCCGTCCTCTGCTTTGCCATTAGGTTGCCCTAGGCCCTGCAGAACGGTCTTTAGGCGGGCAATGCGCTCCTCGAGGTCTTGGATCTCTTCCTCCTGATCCTCAGTGGTGCGATCGATATCAGGCAGGGCCATGACGGCACGTTGTGCTCTATATATCTTGCTCCTCAACTTCTGGGCTTCGTTGGTGAGGTTCTTTGGGTCGAGAGGACCATCTTCATCGGCGGGCTGGCTCGGGGTAGGTGTTGGAGCTGGCGGTTGCGCAGCGGTGTTCATAAGCCGAGTGAGCAGCTTATGGAGGTCAGGAAGGATATCGAAGGTAGCTGGAGGAGGGAGAGCAGATGCCGGGGGTTGGGGTGGTAAGGCGGGTGTCGCAGAGCCCGTAGGAGGTAGAGATGTGCGCGCAGAGGTGGGCGCGAGCGGAGTCACCGGACCGGACATGATCAACAACGTGACGGTGAGTAGAAAGAAGAAGGAAGCGCGTAATTGTCGCAGTACGGGCTTTGAAGAAGAAGAAGAAGGGATGGGGTGTTGATAGTGATGGTAGTGGCGGCGGCGGTGGTGGTGGTGAGGTCAGTTGGGTGTGGTTTGTTATGTCGTACGCGATGGAGCTCTCCGATTCGCTCTGACCCGAAGGGGGCGACGGGGGTGGGCAGTTGGTGGGAGGAATGTGGGATGATCCAGGACGATAATAATTGACTATCGGGAAACGTGGAACATCGGCTTGTTTTTGTTTGTTGAGCAAAGTAGTGTATGTAACCTTGAAATTAATCGATCGATTCAATTTTTTATTTATTCTTTTCAATTGTTTTTGGTAAGGGGAGGGAGAGAAAAGAGAAAAAGGCTGAGGTTGAAGTCGGCGGGATCGGACATGGCATACGAGTAGTAATCCCCCACTACTGTCACCATTACTGCGTGATGACATGAATCAATTGCCCCTCCAACAACTTTCTTATTCCGATAACACTAACTAACTACCCTTTACCCTCTATCCTAAACTAATTTACTTACTACACTACAACAAACTACCATCACCTACATCTCTTCTTCTTCTTCATCTTCTTCTTTCCTACTTCACTCCATACCCTTCGCTCCCATTCGAGCTAATTGACTTTCTCTTCCCTAGTCCCTACCCTCCCAATTGGACTACCTCAACACGACATGGTGAACGTCGACCAAAAGGCAGTCCTCATCGTTATCGATGGCTGGGGTGTTGCCAGCGAGAAGTCCCGCAAGGATGGCGACGCAATTCTCGCTGCTGACACTCCTACCATGGACGGCTTCGCTGCAGACGGCTCCAAGACTGCCCAGGGCTATACCGAGCTCGAGGCTTCGTCCCTCGCCGTCGGCCTTCCGGAAGGCCTCATGGGCAACAGCGAGGTCGGACATTTGAACATCGGCGCAGGCAGGGTCGTCTGGCAGGACGTTGTTCGCATTGACCAGACCATCAAAACCGAAAAGCTGAAGGACGTCAAGACCATCCAGGAATCCTTTGGCCGCGCTAAGAATGGAAACGGTAGGCTCCATCTTTGCGGTCTCGTTTCTGACGGCGGTGTCCACTCCCACATCAACCACTTGGTCGCCCTTCTCAAGGTTGCAAAGGACACTGGAGTCCCCAATGTCTTCATCCACTTCTTCGGTGATGGCCGAGACACCGACCCCAAGTCTTCTGCGCGTTACATGGAGGACTTGCTCAAGGCGACCAAGGAGATCGGACTTGGCGAAATCGCAACCGTCGTTGGACGATACTTCATCATGGACCGTGACAAGAGGTGGGATCGCGTTGAGATCGGTCTCAAGGGATTGGTCGTGGGAGAGGGCGAGGACAGCAGCGATCCCGTCGCTACTATCAAGGAACGTTATGAGAAGGGAGAGACCGATGAGTTTTTGAAGCCTATTATTGTAGGTGGAAAGGACCGAAGAATCCAGGGTAAATTGTACTATTTGAGCACCTAAATGTCCCTTGACTAACCGCAACGCATATAGATGGAGACACTGTCTTCACCTTCAACTACCGTTCCGACCGTGTTCGCGAGTTCACCCAGCTCTTGGGCGGTTTCGACCGATCCCCCAAACCCGACTTCCCATACCCCAAGGACATCTCGCTGACGACGATGACCCAATACAATGTCCAATTCCCATACCCAATTGCCTTCCCTCCCCAGCGCATGAACGATGTCCTCGCGGAGTGGCTCGCCAAGCAGGGCGTCAAACAATGTCACGTTGCCGAGACGGAGAAGTACGCACACGTTACTTTCTTCTTCAACGGCGGTGTTGAGAAGCAGTTCGACAACGAGGAACGTGAGATGGTTCCATCGCCCAAGGTTGCCACCTACGACCTCCAGCCCAAGATGAGCGCCATGGCCGTAGCAGAGAAGCTGTGTGAGAGAATCAAGGAGGGCAAGTTCGAATTCTTGATGAACAACTTCGCACCCCCAGACATGGTCGGACACACTGGAGTCTACAAGGCCGCCATTGAGGGCGTGTCTGAGACTGACAAGGCTATCAAGCTTGTCTACGAGCAGTGCAAGGAGAGCGGCTACGTTCTGTTTGTCACAGCCGATCATGGGTACGTTTCCATGACTCATTGTGAGAACTGACAGGAGGCTAATGATATATGCAGCAACGCTGAAGAGATGCTCAACGAGGAGGGCAAGCCCAAGACCTCACACACTACCAACAAGGTCCCCTTCGTTATGGCCAATGCTCCTGAGTCTTGGAACCTGAAGAAGACTGACGGTGTTCTCGGCGATGTCGCCCCTACGATCCTTGCAACCATGGGTCTCCCGCAGCCCGAAGATATGGACGGTCACAGCTTGTTGGTCAAGTCTTAGAGCTCGTAGATCGCGTAGATCAGATAGATCGAGTAGATCTAACTGCCTATTCTTGTGTTTTATTTCCTAGTTCCGCAGTTTAGCTCTTTCATAATACATCGAGAGCGATCATGATATGATGTAGGTATAGAAAAGTTGTATAGAAAAGAAATGATGAGATATGTATCTGCAGAGGCAGTAATGAACGACGTTGATCACACAATGTCAGCACTGGTGTTTGCATATTATAAAATATAAAGGAAAACGATGTGATTTGGATGGGAGCGAGTTTGCTCAGGGGTCCCATTCCCACTTACTTCCTCCACCCCCGCGCTGGTTATGAGACGGCAACTGCGCTACTCACAAAGCTACTCTCCCGTCCAACCCCACCAACACCACGGTTCAACTCCCCCGTTCACTACTGAGCTGCCTCTCTGCCCTCATTTTCTCTTTGGCTATCATTACCCCAGTCATCTAGTATAACTATCGTTCGCAGATCAAGATCTTCGTTCCCCCGCCCTCTGCCTTCGCCTCTGTACAGCATCTGACGCCGGCGTCTCACGGGCCTCACCAAGTGCGGGGCTGTCTTATCGTATCCATCAGCTCTCCATCTCAAACATTCACGTCCCGCCTCCCCGAGACCAAGCATCTACACCCACCTACACCAATCAGTCTAGACCACGGGAAGTCTTTGATATAGCGCACTTCGCCGCTCTCGAAAATTCTATTTACACCAACTACCATCATCACCACCAAAGCAGATACCAAGCGTCTTCGCCCCCAAACCGCACAGCTCTCCGTAGATCGTTCAATCGCTGCCGCTGCCTCAAAGCACCTTCCTCCACCCTTCAAACGCATACGCTGAGCAGCATATTTCACGAGCCGTATTTCCATTGGCGAATAGGGGTCGAAGATGGCATCCAACGGAGGATCTGGTACACAAACCCCCCAGACCCAAGCACAAGTTCAGCCATGCCGATACAAGACGGGAAAGACCTTGGGCGCGGGCAGCTACTCGGTGGTGAAGGAGTGTGTTCATATTGACACCGGGAGATACTATGCCGCAAAAGTGATCAACAAGAGGCTGATGGCTGGGCGGGAGCACATGGTATGCCATTTCCCCAGGCTGTGGCGGGCTCTGAGGACAAGGCTGACAAATTGCAGGTCAGGAACGAGATTGCAGTGCTGAAGCGCGTCTCTATGGGCCACAGGAACATCTTGACGTTGGTGGACTACTTTGAGACGATGAACAATCGTAAGAACAGATTCACACCGGCATGCTGTATTTTCATTCTAACGCTGCTTAGTATACCTGGTGACCGATCTGGCTCTTGGTGGTGAACTATTTGATCGAATTTGTCGAAAGGGAAATTATTACGAGTCCGACGCAGCGGATCTGATTCGCGCTACACTCTCTGCCGTCGCATATCTCCACGACCATGGAATCGTTCACCGTGATCTCAAGCCCGAAAACTTGCTGTTCAGGACACCCGAGGATAATGCTGATCTTCTCATCGCCGATTTTGGTCTATCGAGAATCATGGATGAGGAGCAGTTCCATGTTTTGACAACCACCTGTGGAACTCCTGGTTATATGGCACCGGAGATCTTCAGGAAGACCGGCCATGGAAAGCCTGTGTAGGTGGCCATCATTACCTTTCCTAGAACTGCGTACTGACAATCTACTAGTGATGTCTGGGCCATTGGTGTGATCACATACTTCCTCCTCTGTGGATATACTCCATTCGATCGCGATTCAAACCTCGAGGAAATGCAGGCCATTCTCGTCGCCGACTACTCCTTCACTCCCCTCGAATACTGGCGCGGAGTATCCCTCACTGCCCGCGAATTCATCCGTCGCTGTTTGACCGTCGAGCCGTCCGCGCGAATGACCGCCCACGAAGCACTTTCGCACCCTTGGATCGCCGACCTGGGCAAGACCTCCGCCGAAGGCGAAGAGGATCTCCTCCCGACGGTCAAGAAGAACTTCAACGCTAGGAGAACGTTGCACGCTGCGATCGACACTATCCGCGCCATCAACCAGCTGCGCGCAGGTGGTGCTGCGGGCATGATGGACGGTGTCAAGTCCGGCGAACCTCGACGCGGCGCGCCGGCCTTCAACGTCCCGCAACCCGCGGAGGAGGAAGACCCCATGGAGATTGACAGCAGAGGTAACGGCCACGGCCAGACGGAGGAGATGATCCGCGAACAAGAGCGGAGGATCCGCGAGACGCAACAGGGCATGTGGAGTAAACGGTAAAGGGTCGGCGACTCGCCGTGCTGTACAAACAATGATGCCTGGAAGCATCACGCACAATTCTCTTGGAAACACATATTTCTTTCGCGAGAGTGGAACTATTTTCCTTCACTTCTTTTATTGAAGACAAATCTCAATTGGATTGTCAGAGGACTCTGTCCACAATCTTTGTCTCACCTGTCTATCTCTTCACGCCTTCAACTCCTGAGGAACGAGCCCAAAGTGACATAGATTTTAACGATATCTATTATGACCTATCAAATCTCATTTTACGAGTAAAATCATCTATGTGCCTTATGGAATACTAACTGGAACATTTGGAAAGAAAAAAAAGGAACATGGTGAAAAAGTGCTTGCTTGCTCGCTCGCTTCAAGAAATGTCTTCAAAAAATCAACCAAGAACCAATATGCTGAATATGCCTCACTGATACAACTTGGCCTTGTCGGCAGCATTTCGCGCCACCAACCCAATTTTCCCCACGGCATTTCCTGGATCCATATCGCCAACAAGTCCAGGTATGTCGCCCAATGCCGAACAAGCTACAATATCCTGTGCACTGCTGAACTGCTGAACTGCATCGCGGTCGCTCTGTGGCAAATCGACACCTAGTCTGAACAGAGTGTGTCCGTCGAGAACTTCGCTCCAGCGCCTTCGGAACCCGTACATGACGCAGAGTGTTGTACTCATCACCGCCCACATCGCAAACAGCGCGACCGGGAGGCCAGCAGGCATCGTACCTTTCTTGATAACGGGACTGGAGACGAAGGACGTGATGTTAGGATTGAGGGACGTAACGTGGCTTCCGTCGCGGGCTGTGAATCCCTGGCCTCCGTTGTACATCACTTGGACTGCGTAGGCGGCGTAGGCTCGCAGCATGCTTTGTCTGAGCTGCGAGGCTTGCAGGTAGCTAAGCTGCACCATGTAACCGGTTCCTGCGTCAACGTCGTCCGGGTCGTCTGTATAGGACGCATAGAAAAGTGGTGGAGCGGCGACCGACGAGAAAAGGTCGGATAGCCATTCTTTGTTCGAATATGGTGCCACGAGGTATTCAAGCGTTTCTGCACCAAAACGCGAGGCGCATCGCGAGCGCTGGACGTTGATAGGAGTGTCGGTGCGCACGAAGTTGGAATAGGTTGAGCGTACTCCGTCAATATCTGCAGTTCCTACGCTACTACTTGATTTGCATTTGACTCCAACCGCAGTCATTGGAAAACGAGGGTAGTTCGCGGATGCATTGGGGGGGTTTTTGTAATTGAAATCCGCGTAGCTGTAGGCGCCATGGAGCTCGGTGATGTTATGGTCGATTGTAAAATTGTAGGTTGGAGGAGATCCGGTACCATACGAACTATTGAACATTTGCTGCCACAGTATAATCTCGAAAACTCTCTCCTGATTAATACCGGGGTAGTCACCAGTTATACTTTCATTCTTGTTGTAGTAGCATTGTGCTCCCTCTGTGAAGATTGCGTTAGGGCCACTCGACTGCAGGCGGTCCATCGCGGATTTGTTGGGCCAAATTTGATATGCAGTTTCGAGGACCGCATACATATTCTGTGCCCACCGGGGTTCGCTTGAGTAAGTGTCTGTGTAATTGCGTACTGTTACAGACGATTGGTTGCCCTGTACACTATAGCTTCTAAACCCAAGAGTTGAATTGAGAATGCCATTGTCTGATGCAGATTGGCGATCCTTTAGGATTTCCAAGTCTGATGTTTTCTCAACTATGCTGCAGTTGTATTGCAACAGCAGTCCCCAAGCGTTGCCCTCAATAGGAACTTCAGCTTGAGCAGTGAGGAACAGCTTCTGAATACCCTCATTTTTGGGTAGAACAACTGGAACACTCCTCAAGAAGCTCTGTTGCGATCGGTCAAAATCTGGAGCCGAATACACAGCGCCGTGTCCAGGGATTCGGGCGTCCAGGGCGTACTTCCATGTCACACCAGCAGCGCTATACGCATCGTCGGTATTCCGCTCATTGAAGTTGGCGTATGAAAAGCCAGTGACATTTGCACCATCCCCTCTTGTACCGTGAACATAGCCTTCTGTCATCTCTAGACATAGACCAGACAACGGCCAAGCGATGAATACAAGTACACTCGGAAGCGCAAGTATAAACCAAAGTCGGCTTGGGAGTATGCTCTGATTGTTGGTCGTTCTCATTTGCACAGTCTGCTTTAGCACCTTCATCCAGCCTCCCGGGCCAGACCATGTCTTGTCAGCGTGGAGCATCAAACGCCTTGCATTACCGACGTTCCATGCTGGCTCCATCAGCATGGATATCTCAACGCCCGCCAGACCATAAAGGCTAAGATTCAGTCCAATAACACCGGCAACGAACCAACTGTAAAAGATCCAGTTTGCACCTGCTGGGCCGAACGCTACGGTGGTGTTTGTGTTGAGGGAAGCTAGGTAGACACGCCAGATTGTGATGAAATAGACAGACACGGCAATAGGTCCAACGACTCCCACTATCGAACGGAAGTAGAAACGACGAAGGGGATATCCTGCTCCATTGTTGTTGATGCCCTTGCTTGCGATAATGTTATCGCTGTTGCCTTGTTTGGGGACAAGGCTGGCGGTGGAAGCTTCTCTGTCAAGGATCGGCCTTTGATGCTATTGTTAAAGAATGTCTCAAAATGACGAAAGAGGGAATTACCTATGATGGGTCACATATTCTTCAAGCTGCCACACATTACTATTGTTGGCAGTATCGACTGTCTGGTAGCGATGCATGTTGCCCGACGTGCCTAAGTGGGTAAAGCGGGGTCGAGCCGGGCGAGAATTAGATGAAAGCTACCTTGTCATGCTCGTACATTCGAATCCCAACTCTTGATCAAGGATTATTAGCGAACGACACCCCCGGCCAGAGTGACTAAGCGCAGAGGAAATGAACATAACTAGCAAAGATGGTACTTATGTATAAATCTAGTCGTAGGCTTTGTTTCAGTTGTTCTGTATAGATGGCAATAATTAATCGTCCATGTCTCGACATCTGAAAAATTAGAAGACATCCAGACTCCCAAATATGTTGTGGATGGCTTACATCGTTGCAATAAAATACATCGGTGAGCTCACGAACAACGTGTTCTTCTTCTTTTTCATTCCAAGTTTATATTTCCACATACCAATATGCATTTGAAATTGAAGAGAACTAAACAAAACATTGCGTCTTATGTACGACAACACCGGCGTGCAATATACCAAAACGACATGGTGGCATGCAGAAAGTACCTATATACTTGAGATCCTCAATGGCAAACTTGGGGCAATTTCTCCTTTACACTGATCATGCAAAGTTGAAATCCGTGCTTGCGCTCACGTTCTCAACTTCATCTTGATTCGGAAGCTTCACGCCCTGCAAGCTATCGACACAACCCTTGACTCTTCGACTTTCGACCAGGGCCTTGATGAGTGCGATGGCGACTTCTCTCCCAACATCAAGAGCCACCTCACTAGAGCTCAGGTCCGGGACATGCAGGAATGCAACTGGACGCTCATCCTCTTTGATGTCGAAGTAATGTGCGAGTGAATTGTAGTATATAAAGCCGCACAGGAAGTTGCCAGCATCGGGAGTAAGACGAACATCGGGAACACGCTTCGGGGGGATGTGGCTGCTGGATCGAGCGTCCGAGGTGGGATGGATATCCGTCAGATTGGCCTTCCAGCGGGAGAGAACGTCGGAAGTGTCGAATGAAGTTTTCAATACGGGGGGAAAGCTGGATCGAGGGAACGCTTCTTCGGATTCTTGATCGGTGAATCGTTCGCCGTCGACATCCGGGATTGCGCCGTAGCCTCGACCATGGGAGCCATTCTCTAGGGTGTAGAAGTCTCGGCCCGCTGCGAGGCCAATGTGAAGGATGATTGATGGGACAGGGGTGATTGGGTTCTCGGGTGGAAGAAGCTTAGGGATAAGAGAGCGAACAGAGTTGTAGGCGACGCGGATGGGGGCATGATGCACATGGATATGAATTGGGGTTGGGTTGTCCGAGGTCGCTGGTAGAAGAGCCGGAAGGGTAGAGGCAATTTCCCAGGAGGTGTTCTTTGGGAATCTTTCGAGGAACGGCTATATCATCATGTTAGATATCAAGTATCTACAACCAAATGAAGAGTACTCAGAGACATCTACAGGAATGCTAAAGACGCAATGGGATAAATGAATCAAGTGAGCATCACTGCAAAGACATAATGTGTGTAACATCAGCCAGACAACCAAGTTACAGTAGACGAATTAAGATGCCCTGGCAGTTCGGGAGAGACCAAAGCATGAAGGCACTGATGGAGTAATTTATGACATACCCCGAAACCAGTGACTAGAACTGTCACTGGATCTTCCCTCTTCTCAGCCGGAGGTTGCCGCTGGGCAGTTGCCCAAGCTCGAGGCATGGCGGCTGGTCCTGCCGGTGCAGGTTATTGATTCAATCGAGGAATGATTTCTGGGTTTGGATCTATAATGTATTAGCAATAACTGGGAGTTTGGTGAGCGGGTTTCAAGGCGAACAGATGATATTTGAATCATGCCATCCATCCCATTCTATCTACGACGACATAACATTGGGAAGTGAGTATTCAACATACCCAGATGACTTGATCGATGATCTCAAGAAGATTCCCGATCATTAACGACAAAAATATTAATACGCAAGGGAAACGACGCCAATGTCAGGAGATCCGGCCTGCGGGAAGCGTAGCAGGTGTCGTGCCGGTTGAGCGTAGACAAATCGCCATGATAGGTGTCAGTCCCGCGCTAAACTTGATTTAGACGGCTTTTACTCGTGACGTCTACCCCAGACCGGGATGAGCACGGGCCATGTGCGATCCTCGTGGGAGCATCGGAACTCTGCAACCCCTCATCCGAACTTTGAAGCCAGCTCACTTGCTCACTGCCGCCCCATGTACCTTCGGATCGGAACGTGCATTCTTCAGACTACGCAGAACGTGTAATTAGACCCTCTTTTCTCTTCTTATATATTATGTCTTCTCGATTAAACCGAAGCCAATTGGTAGAATTGGTCATTGGAAGTGTCCAGCCTACCATGCCCGGGGGTTGACGGACCGTAATCAACATAAGAGGTGAGCAGTTCGCCCATTGTTCGAACCAAAACTTCCCCTCTCATACTATAGAATAGATCTCAGCTCAAACTATTCGCGATTGGAACACTGATTTGAATCATTGCATCTAGTATCTTCTCCATTCTACTTCTCACTTGATCCGTGATCCCACCCACACCACCATGGGCTCAGACTTCAACGTCGCCATTGTTGGCGGTGGAATATCTGGATTGACCCTTGCGATCGCCCTCATCGATGCTGGCGTAAACACCACAATCTACGAAGCCGCGCCCAAGTTCGGTGAAATCGGAGCTGGAGTAGCTTTCGGTCCAAATGCTGCTCGAGCAATGGAACTCATCTCACCAAAAGTATATGATGCCTTCATCGCATGCAAGACAGACAACATATGGGAGAGCAAGCAAAACACATGGTTTACCATTCGTGTTGGCGACGCTAGGAAGGGGGATAAGGACGGCTATGCTAAGCCAGGCCTGAAAGTCGGAGACGCGTGGTTCGATGTGAACTTCACAAATGACTACAGCCGAGGCGGTGTCTATCGTGCACATTTCTTGGACGCATTAGTCAAGCATGTACCCGAGAGCGCAGCCAAGTTTGGAAAGAAATTGGTGGATGTGGAACAGGCAACGGACGGGTCAGGCGATGTAGTGCTGCGGTTTGATGACGGCACAACTGCCCAACACAACGCTGTCATCGGCTGCGATGGAATCAAGTCGAAGACAAGAGAAATCGTTCTAGGCGCCGAAGACCCTGCTTCTCGTGCCGTCTTCTCCGGAAAGTACGCATACCGAGGCCTTATCCCAATGGACAAGGCTGTGGAATTACTCGGCGCAGAAGTTGCGCAGAACAGTAACATGTTCTTCGGATATCATGGCCACTTGCTTACATTCCCCATTGAAAAGGGTAGAACTTTCAATGGTAAGTACCTGCGGCTCCACACTGGTATGCTCATTCACTAAGTAATACAGTGGTTGCTTTCGCATCTCGCGAGACATGGGAAAAGCCTAATTGGGTGGTGACTACATCGAAAGAAGAGATGGTAGCAGATTTCGAAGGTTGGGGCAAGACTGTCCAGGACATCGTCGGAGCCATGGAGAAACCCGACATTTGGGCGTTATTCATGCACCCTCCCGCCAAGACGTACTATAAAGGTCGTGTATGCCTCCTCGGCGACGCTGCACATGCAACGACGCCTCACCAAGGTGCCGGTGCTGGAATGTGTATTGAAGATTCCCTTGTTTTGGGCAGCTTACTCAAGGACGCGAAGAATGTAGCCGATGTCGAGAGAGCCTTTAGTGCTTACGACGAGGTCAGGAGACCCCGAAGCTTGAAGAATGTTGTCACAAGTAAAGAGGCAGGGCAACTGTATGATTTCGAGCTTGAGGGTGATGATCTCGATAAGGTGGAGCAGAACATGAAGCACAGGATGGAATGGGTTTGGAACGAGGATTTGCCAGCGCAAATCGAGAAGGCACGGAAGATATACCAAGGCGCGAGGGCTAACATTTGATACCACCATCTGTTAGTATCTTGAAACTCATTAGATAGAACACGAGTCGAACAAATAAATTCAACCCAAGATCTAATCGATCACGTCGTCCCGCAGCGCCCAGATGTTCTTGACTACTTCGTCCATTTTGCTCCTGATCGCGTCATGGTACATGACATTTGTCACAAACGGTCTACAGCCCTTGATCTTTCCTGCAGTCTCCATACTGAGGTCAAAGTCCACATACATGTCGTCCAGATAGACAGCCGCATATACAGGAACTTCGTTCTTCCTCAATTGGGACCAATCGTACAACTCGGGCCATGTCGAGTCGTTCGCTAGTAATTGCGCCACTGGCGCCAGCTTCTTCAACTCTGAGTAACTCTCCAGCATGAATGGAAACACCATTTCTCCAGTGAAGTATACTGGTCGATCGGCATCTTCTTCCTCGGAGGAAAGCATGAATTCAGGGTACGACTTCATGACGCGCTCCGCAGACCAATTGGATGCTGTGCCAGAGCAATACAGAGGCTCGTGTAATAACGTGTAGATAACGTTCGAATCCCAGGATTCCGCAGCCTCAATGGCGAGAACTGTTGGTCTTGTCAAGTGGCCGAACTGTGTTAGGTCCGTGTCCGCTTTTAACACAAGCTGGTGCACGTCGTCAAATCCACCATGCTTTCCAAAGAAGATTCCTAGTTGCTGGAATCGCCTTGCGCTTAGATATCCTTCCCCACCCTGTACTCTGACAGTAGTATCTCCAAATCTTGAGAGCAAGTTCACGATGCGTCTCACCCTCTCGACGTCCTCCGGATACTTGGCATAATATTTCTCGTTCCTGTCCCTCACCCGGCGATACAACCGAGTGTACACATCATCGGGTCCCCGCCTAGCAGGCGGCAGCCCACCGAACAAGAATGCTTCCTTGATGCCCTCGGGATAGAAACTTAGGTACGTGACAGTGCAGAATCCGCCGAAACTCTGGCCCATGACGCTCCATTTCTTCTTTTCCTCTGGATAGTCGACTGTCAATGCTTTGCGAATGGCCTCGCAGTCTCTTACGATCGAGTCTGCACGGAAAGACTTCATGTACTCGGCCTGCACTGCCTCGTCTCCACGGAGTTGGAGACTAGACTGCGAGATGGCATTGGATAGACCCGTGCCTCGTTGGTCAAGTAGCAGAACTTGATATCCCTTGTCCAAAAGGGTCTGAGTCCAAGCGACATTTTGCGGGGAGCTGCATTGGAAGCCGGGACCACCTTGAAGGTATATAAGCCAGGGAAGTTGAGACTTTTTGATCTCGTCGGGATTGGATTTCTCTGCAGGGCTCGGGTTATAGTCTGCTGGTTTCTCTGCCTTCCTAGCCGAGCGAGCAAAGAGTTGAATGGTGCCTAGGGATTCGTTGGAATGATCGCGAGGCACTTGGAAGAAATGCTCGGTTATTCTCATCTTGCCTGTGATTTGATGTTAGTCGTTGCCGAGCCACGATGGCAAGGACTGGGTAGACAGACCAGGAACAAGATGACTCCTCTGTGAGAGGATCTTCGCAGCTTTGATAGGGATTGCCATTTTGTATTGTTGATATCTGAGTCCTGATACGCTTAAAGTCGAACAGTATGCTTCTACATGTACTGTTTCTTCTTGTGGATCAGCCTAAAGGGTAATTATGAATTACAAGACCGTCTATGAAAGGTCGATAATAGGAACTGCTTTGGAATGGAAATGATCGGTACGATTTTGTCAATACTCTACCGGTCCAATGTTCCACCGAGATTGTTGATTGTTGGGTTTACGAGAGATGTCGGTGTGGACGTAGATCGCACGGCCGCTCCAAAAGAAAACACCGGCCTTGCCTGCTCCCAATTAGCGGGGTCGCATAATGCATAAAAATGCACAAGCGAAGTTTAAGTCTTGAAGGGAAACCCCAAAACATCCTCCACGATCTCGGACGACGATATAATTGGCTTCTAAAGAACAGAGTTCGAGTGATTAGCTCTATTTTTCGAGCATTGATTGGGCTGAAATAACGTGCATTGAGAGTTACGGCATTGATTGTTGAGGTACTTGGTAACAGGCGCAGTCTCGTGACTTTCTGCGAATTTCTAAAGTTCGAAACAAGTTGAAGGATCAAAAAAAGAACACATCTAGTCATGGCTAAAGACAAGAAAAAGAAGGGCGATAAGGCAGCTGTGAAAGCCGCCAAAGCAGCAAAGAATGAAAAGAAGGCAGGGAAGAAAGAGAAGAAAGTGACGAGCAAAGCCCAAGAGATGGATTCAGACGACGATTCTATGGACCTTGATGCCGTACTAGCACAATATGCTAAGGAGCAAGAACAATACCATGCCATTACAGAGATTACCTGCGAACCTCCATCGGCCAGGACATCGTCGACAATCATCGCAAATCCCGCGAACGAGAATGAATTGCTCTTCTACGGCGGCGAATACTTCAATGGAGCGACGGCCCAATTCTATAACGATCTTTTCGTATACAACATCAAGCAGGATTCCTGGAAAAAGGTGACGAGTCCAAATTCACCCCTTCCGCGATCAGGCCATGCGTGGTGTCGAGCGGCAAACACCAAGGACATATACCTATTCGGCGGCGAGTTTAGTTCGCCTAAACAAGGCACATTTTATCACTACAATGACTTCTGGCGTTTGGATCCAACGAGTCGTGAGTGGACGCGTGTAGAAACTAAGGGCAAGGCAGCCGGACCTCCTGCCCGCAGTGGGCACCGAATGGTTGCTTTCAAACAATATATCATCCTGTTCGGCGGCTTCCAGGACACCTCTGCAACGACCAAATATCTGAATGATGTCTGGATTTATGATTGCACAAACTTTGCGTGGCACACTCCGAAATTGCAGTCGGCGCGAGCCGTGCCAGATGCGCGATCCAGCTTCACATTCTTGCCACATGATCAAGGTGCGGTGTTGTATGGTGGATATTCCCGAGTAAAGGCAGCGGCAGCCATGAACAAACAACAACAGGTAAAGGGGAAGAAGTCGAGCGGAGGCGGAGGTTCCTCACGCACCGTTCTCAAACCAAAGGTCCACGAAGACACATGGTTCTTCCGCCTCACACCCCCACCAAGCGACGCGCCTGCAGCCACTCTTCCAACAGTCTCATGGGAGCGCAGGAAGCGGCCCGCGAATCCCCCTAATCCTCCTCGAGCTGGGGCTACAATGGCGTACCACAAAGGCCGTGGAATTATGTTTGGCGGCGTTCACGATGTGGAAGAGAGTGAAGAAGGAATTGATTCGGAGTTCTTCAATCAACTATTCGTGTGGAACATTGAGCGGAATCGATACATGCCACTTACTATCCGTCGGCCTAAAGCCAATGCCGCCAAACGAGCAGCACAACAAGCCAACGTGTCCCGGAGAGGTCGAGGAAAGGCCGATGAAGAGGAATTGCTTGCAAATCTCAAAGCACTCGAGATGAAGGCTGGGGGGAATGCGGCGGATGATTCAGATGAGGAGGCGAAGAAGGATGAAGATGACGAAGAACCAGAAGAAGCTCGCCCTGAAAAGCCACGCCATTTTGAATTTCCACACCCTCGTTTCAATGCAGCTCTCACAGTCCAAGCCGACACATTGTACATCTATGGTGGAACATTCGAAAAAGGCGATCGCGAGTTCACCTTTGACGAGCTTTTCGCGATCAACCTCAACCATCTCGATGGGGTGACTGAGGTCTTCAAACGTGAATTGGAAGACTGGCAAGGTAGCGATGATGAGGCAGACTCAGAAGAAGAGGAGGAGGATGAGGAGGACTCTGATGACGAGGATGAAGACAAAAGCGAAATCTCTACGGCTCCGACTAGTGTTGCATCGCCGGCTACACCTGCAAAAGAAATGCCTGACGAGGATATTGGCACCACAGAAGAGATCTCTGCACTCACCGATACGCTACCACATCCGCGACCTTTCGAGTCTTTGCGCGATTTCTACGCAAGAAGTTCGGACCAGTGGCAAAACATTGTCATCGAGGAGCTTACGAAGTCTGTTAAAGGAATTGAGAAAACGCCAAAGGAAATCAAGAAAGCGGCATTCGACCAGGCAGAAGAAAAATGGTGGGACTGCAGGGAAGAAATCCGTGCGTTGGAGGATGAACAGGAAGCAGCAGGTATCGGAGAGGTTGTTAGTCTGGCTGACAAGGTCGAGAGTGCTGGGGTTGGAGCAAGGAGGCGATAAACATGATAGCCACTTCCTCTGCCTTATCGTCAATGCAAAACATCCCAGATTGAAGAAATACTTTTGTCATCCTCTGTGAATATATCAACAACTTCATGTTCAGGGTATACTGCTTCTATATACTATAAATCACATGATGCTTTCCACGACTTCCGTAATCCAATCAAGCTGTACTGCAGACACGCCTCTTGCCCATGCCTTGCCTGTGAACACAAACTCGGTGAATACGATGCCTTCTGTCTTTCTTCCGAAGATGACGGAACTTGGATGGATAGAGACAGTCTGATTTCCCATCAATGTTCGGTAACTGCTATCTGGCATAAGCCGTGCAGTGTTCGATATGAACCCCTTCAACAGACAATGCAGTATGGCTTTGGTATGTGCGTCTGAAGGCGGAGGCCTTTCTTCAGAGACCGAAAGCCCAAGTCTCTTGCATTGTTCATGCAACTGTTTTCGAATGTTCTATGCGATTTGTTAGTCGGTTACAGAGAAAGTAGTGACAGAAACGTCTCACCATGACATTTTGCATTGCTCGATGCGACACAAAATGCTTCTGGCACCACAGCTTCCGATCTGCGTGCTCCTCGGCATACTGTTGCACAGTGACGAGCAATGTCATATGATCACCTTCGCGGCGGAACAATTCACGTCTAGCCTCCTCCGCTTCTTCTTTTCGTTCCTCGGTGACCAGATTGAGAAATATGTTCTCGACACTGAGGGCTGAGACAATATCAATGGCGTCACCCAAGCAATCTTGTTCCACTGCTTCAACCAAAACTCGGCCCAAGGTAGGTGTGAGTGGTAGCTTCGCTATCCGCGATCCAGATTCTGTGATGCTGCCAGTATCTGTCAAGGCGCCGAGGTGTAACAATTGCAAGAGTGCCTTCTCCAATGCTTCTCTCGGTGGGCGATCCAAAAATGGGAAACTGAGGACATCGTCTATACCTCTAGCTTTCATAGTCAGAATTGCATGACTCAGATCACATCTCAGTATCTCAGGTGTAGTTCTCTCCTCCATCTCTGCATAACCTTCTTCGGTATACAGGCGGTAACATTGACCGGGGGCCTCACGACCTGCTCGGCCCTTTCGCTGAATGGCTGCGGATTTGGAAATAGGTTTGACAAGGAGTGACTCTAGTCCAAGTCGATTGCGGAACTGCTTGATCTTGGATTTACCACAATCAATGACGAAACGGACACCTGGTACTGTGACGGATGTCTCAGCAATGTTAGTAGCAAGGATCACCTTGCGTGTTCGATTCGGTGTTGGTTCGAAAATTCGCTGCTGCGCATGCTGTGGTAACGCAGCGAAGAGTGGCAATGCTAAGAGCTATGATACCTTGATTAGTATGGATAAATAATTGGGAGTATGAGTAGGTATATTTACCTTCGGAACATCCTTATCCATACCCTCTGCGTAGTCGTTGACAAGCTTTTCCAGACTTTCTATTGTATCTTGTCCAGTAAGAAATACGAGAATATCTCCAGGCAATGGTTCCTTGTAGTGAATCTGAAAAATCAGCTTCAGCGCAGATTCTACCCAATCTTGTGTCGGATTCGGCAAATAAGTCATTTTCACGGGATACTGGCGACCTTCCACGAAGCATTTAGACACAGATTTAGAATCGACCGGCTCGGTTGCCGCACTGTTGTCTGCAGAATTTGCGCTACTTCCAGTGTTTGAGTCGGCATTTTGATCGAAGAAATTGACGAGTGCATCCACATCAGCGGTAGCACTCATGATCACCACCTTCAGTGGGTGCTTCCTCTTCCCCATGCCTCGCGCAACAAGCTCTTTCAGAAATCCAAGGATCAAATCCACATTGACACTTCGTTCGTGAACTTCGTCAACAACTATCGCGCTGTACTGTTCGAGGTTGGCGTCTCGGAGCATTTCTTGCAGCAGCATACCCTCTGTAAGAAATTTGACGCGGGTGTTCGGCCCACTTGCGTTATCAAAACGAACGCTATAGCCAACTTTGGCTGCTGGACTTTGGTTCCCCATTAAGCTTCCCATCTCTTCTGCTACACGTCGTGCAAGCGAAATCGCAGCCACTCGACGAGGCTGAGTTATCGCAATACATTTTGTGCACCATGGCTCCGATGTCAAAAATTGAGGGACTTGTGTCGACTTTCCGGAACCCGTCTCACCCGTCAGGACAAGTACATTGTTCTTCCGTAGTGCAGAACGAATGCTTTCAGCATGGGGCCATATAGGAAGCGATTTCCGTCCAGGGAGAAGTGCATCGCGTCGCTTCACAAGCTGAATGGATGGATTTGGCGCATTGTGTTTCGTCTCGTTATGAGTATTGGATGGGAACTTTCCTTTGGACTCGTGGTGCCGCTGCGTCTTCCTTTCAAACTTTTCTGCACCTTCTGACCTATGGTAGTTCCGCGGGGGCTTCGATGCAACCTTAGAAGGTGGTTGAAGGGATGCAGATGATGATGAAGATGCACCTGTCGGTTTACCATTCTGAGTTATCGCTATGGGCTCTTGAGATACTTCGTTTGCGTCGTCGTCATCAAACTTCGTCAGTCTTCCAGCGCCCTTGCGGATGGGTATGTCTTGACTCTTGTTCTTCTTCCGTCCTCCTGAGGTGCTGTTCTGGACAGCTTCATCTTCAAACTTGCGTTTAGTCCCGGTACCCTTGCACGTAAGATTAAGATTATTGGCCGACTCCGCATCCCCGGTGTGGCCCTGCTTCCGTTTTCTCGACATTGTTGACGCTAGGTTGATGATGTTGTCGTCGATGGCTAGGAACTTTTTTTCAATGCCTTATCGATAACCACACGCTAATACAGAGTGGGTTAGTAACCACTGGTAACTAGCGGCTACTCATTTCCACTCTCCGCATCGTTACAAGTCCTCACCAAAAACTTGCTGTCGTGCATTATTAAACAACACGATGTCTTGTAACCCATTTCGGCAATGAACCTCACGACGACTAGTTCTTTACGAACTTTAGTGTTCCCGTCTACTGAATTCAGATAATGTTCGGTATGCTTTATACCGGCCAACTGAGCCTACCCCGTGTAGATCCCCCAACCCCGCGAACGCTTGACTTGACCTGGAGAACTGGGCCCGTTCAACAGCCGGCAATTTATCCATCAATGTAATCTTCATCGTTGCGTGCGTCCGACCCGGGACAAGAGCTGCAGCTAGTATAAACTAAACGAACTATAAAATGATAGAAGATGTCTACGAGAGTTCTGCAGGTACTCTGCAATGTTTCGCTCTTCGTGCTGGGGAGCAGTGCTGCTCTTTGTAGCTGCAGTTCCAATTGCAGAAGGGAAAATCGATCGCAAACCTATTGTCAGGCAATTCAATTTGCACTTGAATGAGTCGCATGTTTACAGCCCCATTCAAGTCGGCAACGGTGATTTTGCCTTTGGAGTGGACGTCACAGGCCTTCAGACATTCGTTCCCCACAACACGCTCTCCTCATGGGGTTGGCATAATTCATCGTTGCCCACCACACCAGGCCAGACTTCGCCTGAAGACTTCACTGGTCTTGACTGGTGGACACACGATCGATTGATCAACTATGCCCAACCTAACCCGGCCCAAAAGGACATCAGCCAATGGATGATTGCAAATCCCCATAAGATCAATCTTGGGCGGATTGGGCTCTCATTCGGAGGGCTCAATGTCTCCGAGGACGACTTGCAAGAAAAGTCACAGACCCTGGATCTTTGGAATGGGCTGGTTACGTCCTCATTCCAATACAAAGGCAAGCGTGTTGAGGTTGAAACGGTCGCTTGCCACGACTCTGACACCGTCGCTGTCCGCATTAAATCAGATCTTGTGCGAGCAGGCCAATTGGGAGTCTTTTTTGACTATCCCTATGCGAGTGGAAAGAATAAGTTTGATGCGCCTTTTGTTGGGGTCTGGAATCAGACGAACAGCCACCAAACCGAGTTGAAACAGAGCTCGCATGCAGCTACTATCGTGCATACTCTCGATGCAACACGATATCTCACAGAGATTGAATGGGAGGGAGCTGCTGAGATCAGAGAGCCTAAGGATGGATCACACCGGTATACGTTCAAAGGTGACGGGCATGCCGATACACTGTCATTTACTGTAACGTTTGCCCCGGAACCTGTTAAAAAGGCCGGAGGTTTCCACACCATCAAAGCTGGATCCGAGAGCTGGTGGAATGGGTACTGGAACTCTGGCGCCTTTGTATCGTTACCCTCTGGTACGAACTCGTCTGCAAAGGAACTTCAACGTCGCATCATCCTGTCTCAATACCTCCTCGCTGTCAATGGTGCAGGTCGGGATCCTGCTCAAGAGTCTGGCCTGGTCAACAACGGTTGGTATGGCAAGTTCCATATGGAAATGGTGTTCTGGCACCTCGCACACTGGACACTCTGGAACAAGTGGAATCTGTACGACCGCAGCATAGGCGTTTACGAACGTTTCTTGCCGACTAGCATTGAGCGTGCGAGAGATCAGGGTTGTGATGGCGCTCGCATCGGAAAAATGAGTGATCCTACTGGACGTTCAGCGCCGGGTCAGATCAATAGTGTCCTAATCTGGCAACAACCGCATCCGATGTACTTTGCTGAGATGGAGTATCGCAGTTTCCCCACGCAGGCGACACTAAAGAAATGGGACAACGTCCTTTCTTCCGCAGCAGACTTTATGGTTAGCTATGCTTGGTACAATGAGACCACAAAGGTTTACGATCTTGGTCCACCCATGTACCCTGTGTCCGAGAACACTAATCCAAACGAGACCATCAATCCCACCTTCGAACTCGCATACTGGCGATTCGGACTGGACGTAGCGGAGAAGTGGAAGCAACGACAGAACCAGTCGATTCCATCCAAATGGGTGACAGTCAGAGAAAATCTTGCCTCATTCCCAGTGGAAAATGATGTCTACGTCTTATACGAAGGCGTGAAAGACATGTGGACTACACCCGAGCTTTCAGAAGATCACCCTGGACTCCTAGGTATCTACGGATGGCTACCACCGGACTCACAATTGAACCTTACAATATTTAACCAGACAGTAGACAAGGTATACCAGTCTTGGAACTTCACTTACTCATATGGCTGGGATTTCCCACTTCTAGCGATGACGGCCGCGAGAATGGGCGACGCTGAAACAGCTGTGAATTGGCTGCTCGATGAGAACAATCAATTCGATGAGGTTGGTATGCCAGTTGGCGGCACTCGAGTTCCAACTCCCTATTTCCCGGCCAGTGCTGGGCTGATGTTGGCTGTGGGAATGATGGCTGGTGGATGGGATGGACTCGAGGGACCTATATTTCCTGAAGATTGGGACGTTAAAGTTGAGAACTTTGCAACGGCCATGTGAATTAGTGCTTCATGTATTTTGTACGACTTCAATAAAGTTTTGTTAGAACCAAGCAAATGCATAATAAATAAACCAACTGGTTACAATATATTATTACTAAAGTACCTACTGTAACGGGGTACCCTCAAGAGCACTAGCCTCAAGCTGCGCCACAGGTGTACTTTTTTCCTAATCGATAAGGGCATCTATTATCTCAAAAATGTTTTCGATACCCCCGCCGCCCACTTCCCCACTACGATTCTAAACAACCAACCATGCCTCCTTACGACAGTGACTCCTCAGACGAGGGAGAAGACTACACAGAGACGAATGTACTGCTCGGCTATGCCACACAAGAAGAGACCGGCGACACCATCTCACATCTCGGCGGCAGACCTGTGGGTTGTCCTTGGCTTGCACGAGTACTTCCGTGCAATTGCTAACGTCAATACATTGTAGGGCTGGATAGATGAAAAGACTGCACCGTCGGGTGCATTAGCCAAATGCAAAGTCTGCAACGATCCTCTCACCCTACTCCTCGAGCTGAACGGCGACCTCCCTAAGAACTTCCCCAGCCACGAGCGACGTTTGTACATTTTCAGTTGTAGACGGAAGGCATGCAGACGGAAAGAGGGCAGTGTGCGCGGAATTCGAGGTGTTAGGGTGGCCAAAGGTACAGCTGAAAAGGCGGCTGCAAAGAAGACCGAGAAGACCGCCCCAGTTCGAGAAGAGAGCAAACCGCAACCCAACATTGGGGGATCTCTATTTGGCGTAAAAAACGAATCGAGCGGAATTGCACCCGCGAACCCATTCTCGAATCCTTTTTCATCCGGCGCGAGCAACGCGGCACCTTCGAACCCTTTCTCTTCGTCTGGAGGCGCGCCGAATCCATTCGCTCCTCCGACCCCCGCAGTCAAGATCACCCCCGAAGATGCAAAAGAAGACGCAGAAACGACGCTACCCGAAACATTCGCCTCGAAGGTCCGCCTCAACACACCAGCACCAGAGCCTCAAGCCCCAAGACCGCACGAACCTTGGCCAGCGGAATCATCCTTCCCAGCTCCTTACCCACTATACCACCTCGACGCCGAGTACGAGACTTTGGAGGGGCCTTCCGTCCCCGAGATACCAGAAAACACGCGCATGGAAATAGACACAGAAGGATCAAGCAGCAGTGTCGGCGGCAAGGAAGACAAGGAGGTCTTCGAAAGTACACTCGACAAGACGTTCCAGAAGTTCGCGGACCGTGTGGGCCAAAACCCAGAACAGGTGCTGCGCTACGAGTTCAAGGGGAAGCCACTGCTATACAGCGACAACGACGCAATTGGGAAAGCCCTCGCCGCGCATTCTGAGAATGGAGCTTCTTCAAACGCAAAGGTCACGACGACAGCAAGAGGAGGAGCAGGGATGCCGCGATGCCGCAACTGCGGCGCTGATCGAGTCTTTGAGGTTCAGCTTGCGCCACATGCCATCACCGAGCTTGAAGCGGAGGAATTGAGCATCGAAGGAATGGAGTGGGGTACTATCATATTAGGAGTGTGTAGCAAGGATTGCAAGCCGGAGGATATTCCTGAAGGTGAGGTTGGTTACGTGGAGGAATGGACAGGAGTGCAGTGGGAAGAATTAGCCTCCAAGCGATAAACAAGTCGCTGTAGACATCCTGCGCATAATGTCGAAGCTGATATACCCTAATTGAGATTGCACCCATTTCACACACACATGAACAGTTATCGTACATGATCAGCTCCAAGAGTCAAACTCAAAAACGCTCGGAAAAGAAAGCAGAGTCTCGGTATTTAGTTCTTGTGTATCCATCTCCTGACCATCGAAGGAGAACGACTGAGGCGCTGTGAACGGCAATTGAAACATCATATCTGAAGACGGGGTCTGTTGAACCATTTGATTCGGCATAGGTGGGTATGGACCTGACGCCAACTCAGACTGAGGTTGGGGTGGCGTTCCTTGCGATATGTTATCGTTCCCAGCCCTCGTGCGAGGAAAGTCTTCCGAAATCATTTCTTCGATCATCCGCATGATGGAGCGGTGAACGATCAACGCGCGGACTTGATTGAGTTTGCTGCGGATGGCTTCAATAGTCTTTTCTGACACGCGGGTTGGTGGTCGGCTTGGGCGATCAACGAGGGGTATTTCACGGGCTAGGAGTTCAAAAACATCTCTAAGGCAGTCTGCCTTCGCCCAGCGATCGGCCATGATTGCTACAATGTTGGAACATGCTCTGAGTGCGTCTGGAACATCTAAGGAGTCATAGTTCTCCGTTCGATGCTCTGGAGGGGTCGCCCAAAAGCAGTACAGTAACGTTATTCCTGCTTGGAATTGAACTACAAGCTAGGGGATGATTAGAAGTCGTCAAACGAAGTGGTTAATTACACTTACACCTAGCCATGGCTGAGCAATTTGACGATCCATCTGGGTCTTGCGAAACATCAAGCACGCCTGAGTGCTTGCTTGGACCGACCAGTCTCCCGCTGGCCCGAGAACGCTCTGTTTAGTTGGACGATAGAGCATCAACAGAGTATAATGGTAGATCATTGCTAGCCATCGTTGAGATGTGTAACCCTTGGACTGCGGGTCGGAATACTTTTGGACTCTAGCTTTATAATTTTCAAGCTCAGCTAGAATCCTAATGCGCCATTCCGGGGCGTGTTCGTATTGAGTGAGATAGTCAGCTCTGAGATTAATCGCCAATATCTCAGATTGAATGCGACGGCATTGTAGGATATGTAGTGACGATGAGACGCTAGTATAGTATGGGGAGTCGACGAGTTCGACATCAGCTGAAGTACTTGCAGCGCTTTGCAACAGAGTTCTGTCGTCCAGATTAGCATAGGGCCGTACCGTAATCATGTTGTCCGGTATTGATGGTGGTAAATCGAAGGATGTCATGACAAGTCGATCTAGTTTGTAAGCGCACCAAAAGCATCGTCGACGGAGCTGAATTGATAGATGTCCTGAAAATGCGTGGGGTTCGGCCTCCCACTCTGTAAGATGAAGTTGGTGCTGGACGCATGCTCGCATGGTAGTCGAAGTAAGAGAAATTATGCGTTCAGTCGAGCTCTGATGTAATGCATTCATGGCAAGTAGGAGATAGGCCTGAACGTGAAGAATCTTGTTAGGCTTTTCCAGAACTGAAGGAAGTAAGGAGATGCCATTGCGATAAAACGACCTGGCATCCGCGCGGCCAACATGGGCTCTACGTAGGAGCAGCAGCGAGGTGGCATAGACGAGATTAGTGAAGAAGCCTTGCCATGCTCTATCCCGAAGCTCATTTCGAGGGCAACTCTTCCAGTCTGCATGCCACGACAAGAACGAGTCCCATAAGAAGAAAGGGTACTGTGCTTGTGCTCGATCCCGGTACGCCTCTAACAAGAGTCTCTCAACTTCCATGGGCACATTAATCACTTGCGAAAGCGGAGGGTAATCTTGGTCTGGATGGAAAGCAGGGCTCGTGGCTGGCGATGTATCTAGAACTGGGAGACTTAGGTCGGCACAAGGGGCCGAGGGCGAAGCTACCAACCCAAGAATGAGATGATCTTGATGGGTGTCCTCGTCCTCTCCATCAGTGAAAGCATTGCTGAGCGAGGACTCGGTCATTGTCCCTGAAGGCCTTCGTTGGGTCATTGTCCCTGAAGGCCTTCGATGGGCCATTATTCCTGAAGGCCTCTGATTGGTGGCCATTGTCCCTGAGGACCTTCGATGAGTTGTGGTCCCTGAAGGTCTTCGATGAGAGGGCTCCAGGCCGGTCACGTGAAGCTCGTGTACATTCCCATTCGAATGGGAACCTATCGGCGAACGATCTACAACGATCTGCTGGCGTTCATGGTCTTCTGCAGGCCTCTCGTTCTGCAACGCTTGGGGAGGAATATGATCTAGACTTTGTTGTGGATCAAGGGATTCGAGCTCGGCTATGCGTTCTTCGAGCACGCGAACATACTCGCTCTCTACCGCACTGGATTTCGGGGCAGGCGCAGTAGGTAGGCAATCGTATCCTCCTTTGGTGCAATTGGAACAAGGCCTGCTCTCCTCGCATTTCTGCTTCCTCTGGCGGCACCGTCTACAAGCAAGGGTTCTTGTTCGTTGTCGTTTGGCTGGAGGCTGCTGGAGTTCACCAGGGGAACCTGCGTCATTCTCCATTGCTGATCCGTTTTCGGACATCGAGGCCGGTAACAATGACTTGTTTCAGTACTACCATGCTTTTGGTGCTATTGTCAGTCGGAGAAGGGCTGCCAGAAGGCGAGGATCGGAGATGGGCGACCGAAGATATCAGTCCAACATGCTCGACATACGCAACGATGGTTTATGCACCTATTTTACCCTGCTTGATATGGTGATGAATGGGGTATGAGCGACAAGATAGGCGAGCGAACTCCGTAGCGAATGCGGCTGCGGGTGAAAACAATATGAGATGAGTGTGTAGGTGGTTGGGATGTGACAGCTGATTTTGGGAACGGACTACTAGTATCTCCTTAGGGAGGTAGGCACTATAGGGTAGGTACCTTGGGTACGGTATTTGGTTACGGTATCTACCGAGCCCGAACGAGAGAACTTGGAAGGAACGTGGGAGATACGATAACGATAACGGCCGACATTCAATGATAATGATGGCTGGACGGTGTGGGGAAGGAACTATCCTACAACAGGCTAGCATCGTGAATTGCGGAGAAACATCGAGTCAAGTCACGTCGCGTCACGTCACCTTTGGTCTCCTGGAATCAGATCCTCTACAATCATCTCAATCCTCAAACCCATTATTCTCAAGATCCAATTGAACCCGGATACCTCGGCAGGCAACAGCAAATCAAGTCGCTTTCCGTTAGCTGTTCGACCCATGACCTCTCGAGACACTCTTCCTTGAATTTCCCAAGTGATATCTGTCCAGATTCAGACCACCAGGAATGTTTTCCTTGAATCGCTTACATGATCATGGCTGGTGTTGCTGGCAAAGATTAGAACCATGTCCGAATTTGCATCATAGATGTACTGTCGGACAGCCGGGCTATATTGAATTGATGTCGCTCTGTTCAATCTGATCTACTGGATTCGTATCCACTGTTATACCTGTACAGCTATTCTAGAATGTTGAGGAGAAAATAACCCCAAAAGCTTCAATGCCTTTGGAAGTTCAGAGCCTTGCCCTTCTCTACAATCGTCTCTCCAGCGACAGTTTCGAAAAATGCGTCAGCCAGATAACCGCCACAGTAACTCAGTTTCTCAAAACCATCAGTCATCGGCTTCGTGCTCAAAGCAGGACCTTGTACAGTTCGCAAGTATCCAGCAATACCTTCTTCTTGCCAGAGTTTAGCAAACTGTTCTGTGACTAGGTTCAACCCTTGCAAACTCCAGATGGGCTGCACCTGCCACACAATTCCCATCTTGGCGAGATCCCACGGAAGAGTCTTCACTTGTTCGTCGGAAAAGCCAGCCTTTCCAAAATCATAATCGCCCGTGTAACCGAAGGCAAAAAGCCTGTCAGGGAAGACCTTTCGGATCTCGGTATGGAATTCGACGATATCTTTCCACACGGGCGAGTCCATTCGAGCCCAAGTAACATCGCCGAGCGTAGCAGCTGCAAGGGCACGCTCCACAACAGCTTTGACCGAGGACTTGAACATGTACTGGCCCATTGATGACCTCGGAAGTTCCCAGTCAAATACCACCTCTTGCTTCACTATCTTCTGGGCAATCTTTCGACGCGTGGACAGTGATCTGAACTTCTCCTGGAGTATCTCGGACTTGTAAGACTCCAATTCCTCCTTGGTCGCTACAGCTTCCACTGCTTCATCGAATGTTTTCAGGCTAGCTCGTTTCTTCCAGTCCTCTCGTGCAGCCTTAAGGTCTTTTGACTCAGCCTGGGCTTGTGCAAGACACTTTTGTAAAGGTTCGACGTCTTTTGTGGCACCCAGAACATACTCATGGTCCCGTTCGTCAGCGACACTTGTGATAAACTCAGAATGATCTGTGTCACATCGGCAGAGCAACAGAGTCTCAGTACCCATGATATCGAACTGCATGCGGACCGCCGTCAATCGGTCCAAGTACTCGCTTGTAGGAACCACGGTCCTGCCCTGACCGATGGTAAATTTCTTCATACCAATGGCCAGGTCATCAATATGGATCATGGCGACGCCGGCCTCGACAAATTCCTTAGCCATCTTCATGGTACTCGTGAGGCTACCGAAACCCATGTCGCCATCTGCAACGATAGGCGCAAGGTAGTCCCAATTCTCGAGTCCGTCTCGCTCCTCCACGGGGTGTCGCAGCCGGAATTGCTTTTGCCGCTGGTCGTGCCAAAGTTGTGATTTGAAGATCTTTGCTACGACTTTAGGTACCGTGTCCCAAGGATAGTCTGCGTGATCCATGCCCGGTATGGCTACTTCAGAGAAGCCGCACAATGCTCCAGAGACATAGACCGTTTGTTGGTGCTTGGCCATCTGGGAAACGGCCACAGGGTCGGTCGTTCCGAACGTAAGCTCAGTGGTGCCATTCTTGTTGTGTTCCTGTAATTGGTTCCATAGCTTCACGGCTTGAGTCGAGGACGATGAGGATTGTGCTGGGATGGTGTTTCGGAGTGCAGCAATTGTTTGAGCATCATATGGTCTTGAATCGGTCAGTACTTGAGTTGTGAGGGAGGGGCAAAAATGCTTCGAATGATTCTCACCTTTTCAGATGCGATTGCCTTGAAGAGGACCATTGCTTCTCAATTGTAGCGACCTCGGCCTCGAACGCCTTTTGCTCATCCTGAGCCGAAACTTGCAATTTAGGCATGACGGAAGTATTGCTTAATATCGCAAAAGAGAAAATGCAAGAAAATCTACATTGGCAGTAAAAGAGACAACGTCACTCATTTATTACCAGAAGCTCGGTGGAGCTCCGGATAACCCAATTGAGCTTCCATGTCGGTCTCCACAGGACCATAGGGGGCGTGATTGCGGAGCGGCGTGCGGGAGACCGCATTGCGCAGTTTCGCACTCTGAAAGTCCGATAATCGTGTAATCGCTTTCGTTACCGGAGCCTTTGTCCGTTAGCGACAGTATCGGTGATCCTTCCCCACACTTTCGAACCTGGGGTAATCGTCGCCCGCTGCTTGAAGATACTGGCAGGGTGCTAGACGATGGGCTCGTTCTGGGCCGCCTAATACAAGGCGGTAATTGGTACCCGACTTGTCTTATGATTGAAAGGTGTGAAAGACCCTAACTTGGAGAAAGCCTGGGGCGTCGCGCATCGCATGCAATCGAACACTCGTGGCAAATAGATCAAGGATTCATGTTTTTCAATGGACCTTTGATACATTTGATCAGATTTGTGGCAGGCATGTGGTAAATGCTGTAATCTATACCTTGAACACACAGCCTCTCATACTGTCGAACAAGTGATGTGTTGGTAGATAGTCAATTAAAGTATTTTACTCTAGATTGAACTTTGGCGTGGACATGATATCGGACCATAAAACAACGTTCTTTCAATGAATATGTCCGCGGAACTGCTTCCATAATAAATTCACAATACGACGAAACACTTATCCATCCAACACGAAGACTAAATAATTACAATGATTGCGCTATGCGCAAGATGAGAACCGAAGACGACAAACTTAGAACACATAGCGGAAATGAATGTTCTCCTTATCAGTCAGATCACGGAAATCGGTATCATGATGAACCCTATTCCCCTTCGCCGAGTCCACAGCATCCCTCTTCCTGTTCTCATTCCAGCAGTAGGTAGCGTAGAGGCCGATCGTGATCATGGCAAGAACGTAGCTTCCAAGAATTGCACCCATGCCGAGCGGATACAGAGGCGCCTGGTGGGTCTTGAAGAACTGTGGAGCGATGATGTTGGAAACACAGTAGGCGATGAAGATCAAGGCATTGGTGGTGACCTTCTTCGTGTGTCCGGCTGTGTTTGCGGTGTTGATGCCCAAGCTGACGATATACGGTCCGAGATAGAAGTACGACATGTACAATGCGGCGAGGCGACCGTTGTAGTTATTTAGTGGTAGGGTGTATAAAAATACGGATGAGATCATGCCGACGATGATTCCGAATAAGACCCACGCCGTGCGTAGCTGGCGCTGTGGGAGATATTTCGCGCACAGGAACACGCCGCCATTGCAGAGATAAGACGATATTGTCTGAATGATACCCGTGGGCATTGTCAACAGTGTTGATCGTTGTGATGAGTATCCCAAACCCTTGATGATCAAAGGTGCGAAGTTGGTCAAGCCCCCGTTTGGAATTGAAATCCAGATATGAAAGAAGAACATGAGCCAAGTCTTTGGATCGAGGAATGTCTCGATCATTTGCTCCTTTTTAAATGTTTTGTTTTCGACTCCTGTCTGATCAGCGCGCAGTCTGTCAATGACAATTGCCTTCTGACGGTCGTTGATGAATTTCGCCTTCACAGGGTTGTCCGGTAGGAAGAGGCCGATCACACATGCCCAGACGATGGTCATGCCTCCCGTAATCCAGAACATGGAGCGCCATTGGTGTTCTCCAACCATGAATCCGATCCCCCAACCTATCGGTCCTGTGAAGCAAACCGACAGACCGGTGTACATAAGACCTGTCCTGAGAGGTTGTTCGCGTCGAGTATACCACATTCCCAGGACAAGGAAGTTTCCTGGAACTATAGGGGCCTCCAAAGCTCCAAGCAGCACGCGAAGGGCGATCAATGTAGGGAAGTTGTTGGCAAATCCCGTTCCAATCAAGATGAGGCCCCAGAGTATCTGGACAACGAACATCAACTTCGCGATGGGGAATTTCTGAAGAAGAGATCCACTTGGTAGACACCATGCGAGATAACCAAACTATAAGATGTCAATAAGGCGTACTTCGACAGTGACATGATGAAGGACTTACATAGAATGCACTTCCGACCCAACTGTAACGATCCCCAGTTAAATCAGTGTCTGCGCGAAATCCATATAGCGCGGCCGTCGCCGTTGTCACTTTGTCCATTGCTCCAAGAGTCACGTTGAACCAGAGCAATGGTACCAATCGCAAATCTAGTTTCCATCGCAGGCGGGTCCACTCCTTTGTTGTGTAGGCATTCTCTCCAGATAATTGATTAGCATAGGCAGCTGCGACATCGCCATTGCCAGAAATGGACTTCTCGACGGGATAGGACGATGCTACTTCAACGTCCCCGACGGAGGCTGGCGAAACAATGGCGTCCTTCGTATCAGACATTGAAACGAATCGTTGATGATGTAAAATTTTCAAATCTGAATGAGTTGGAACTTCAATGGTGGAGATGAACCGATGTTCGCTGGTTTTATACAAGTGGCCGTATCTCCAGCATCCTTATTCAGCTATGCGGAGTACTTGTAAGTAATGGCTTGGGCAATGAAGGATGTATGAGCTCAACGGCGATAAGCGTAGACATTGGCGCTGGGAAGACTATCATCGTTTCTCCCTAGTCTTGGGCATTAGAGTGATAGTATGAGTCGTGTTGTGGTGAGAGTAGGAAACCAGACTCCGACGTCTCGGGACCCACAGTCCGCTTTGCCATCGCAAATATACTCCGCATTTGGACACGTCTGAACAGTACTGGCGGTATGGTAATTACAATCATTCTACGAGCTACACTAGTCATGGTCGGGCTTTTGGTGCGTATGCTAATCGTGCACCCTGCGATACGTGATAGCGTTATCGGCATCGCGAATGAATCTAACATGAACACCCACACTTCCTGTCGTTATCATCCCCGCATTCTGTGTACCTAGGTATAGATGAATACTTGAGATCTTAGGCGAACCTTTCATTGCCACTGTGGATGTGCAAAGTACCTGGATCGGCCTCCAAACACCATCCCACGAATTCTCGGACACGTCTCCATCCAGCGCCTTTGGACTACAGATCGCTAGCGTTGTGCTTATCCGGTGCGTTTACAGGCGATATCAATTCACTCCTGGGCGCATACGTTCCCGTCTTGTGGCTTCTATCTCAGCTTGGAGGGTCCTGCTTAATTCTTTGTCGTCGTTGCCAACACTACGATACCTGACATGGCGCAACCTATCCAAATTGCAATGCTCAATGCGGATGTTCCTGTCCCTGTTGTTCGTACGAAATACGAAACCTATGGAGACATATTCCACGAACTTTTGACAGCCGCATTATCACGCACACAGGCCTCCACCAAGATCCATTCCGTTAACTACGATGTTCGAAAAGGAGAATATCCCGAGTCCCTCGCGAGCGTGGACGCTGTAATCATTACTGGCTCTGCGTCGTCTGCATATGACCAAGATCCCTGGATCCCGCAATTAGACAAATACGTTCAGCATATATACTACAACCACCCACATATCAAGATCTTTGGATCTTGTTTCGGTCACCAGCTTCTCTGCCAAAGCTTGTTGGGTGTTTATGGCATCAAGGTGGAAAAGGATCCCAATGGATGGGAGCTAGGAGTGCAAGAGATCCAGCTCTCAGACGAGTTCCGCGACGCATTAGCGAAGACTGCCGGGCCTCTTCTCGATGGCCAAACTTTGACATATATACCGAAAACGCTGCAACTACAATTCGTCCACGCTGATCATGTTAAAATACCTCCTGGTGCTCTTCCCCAGTCATGGATGACGATAGGGCATACTCAGCATTGCGCAGTGCAGGGTGTTTATCAACCCGGCCGTGTTCTTACCTATCAGGGTCACTTTGAGTTTGATAGGTTCGTAAACACCGAGGTCTTGAAGGTATTCGGCGCGAAGTGGCCGTATGCAGAACTGAATCAGGCACTGGTTGAGATCGATCGAGATGATGATTCGGGGATCGCAGCAGAGATGGCTTTACAGTTTTTACTGGATGGACAAGTCTACACTCAGGAGACAGGAAAGGGGCTTCTTACACCACCTTTGGAGAAATAGTCGGTCATTCTCATCAACTTCTGCTTAGTCGTTACAAGCTCTGTTCATATCGCAGCGTTTTGCATTCAGTAGTCCTTAATCTCTTCCTTAGACTATTTCATTGGCATGTACCCATTTTAGCGTACTTGAATGATCATTATACCTTTTTATAACACCAAGCTCCACTATCGGCATCCTCTTATCGTCAACAATACGGTTTCTGCAGCAAAAGCAAAAGAAGGTTCAAGGACTAGAGCCAAAAACTCCTTGGAGATTAGAGCTTTAATTGAAAATATCTAGCTTCTGATCAATTGAATGAGACCTGCAATCCTTTGTATGCCCTCAACAATCTCGTCTTCCGGATGCCACGCCCAACAAAGCCTTATGCCCTTTCCATACCCTTCCTTCCCTCTCTCGATAGAGCCGTCGTCGCCATTGACTTGCATCATATCGCCATAAGCGAACCTCAGGTGGAGATTCGACAATGCGATCGCAGCTAGCTCCGCGCCCCTCGATGAGACGTCATCTGGTAACGTCAGGTATGTGAAATATCCACCAGCTACGGCAATGGATTTGGTGTGACCATTGGCATCGCCATTCGTATAGCCGTTCGTATGACCGTTTGTATATCCATTAGTTCCGCCCTTGTACGTTAGCAAAGATTCCTCATACGCTCTACCAACCGAGATCGCAAAACCCAAGGGAATAAGATACTCTCCAATAGCTTTCATCATGGCATGGTATCTTGTCCGATACGTAGGAATTATGAGATCTGTAAGATGGTTTTCTAATGTCCCAGTTTCGAGCAGCTCGTGAACAAAACTTGCGGTCAATTGGGTCGGGCAACCACCTGAACGGTTCGAGCCGAGCGTGGAAAGAGCAAGTGTGAGCGCAGGCGATGCTTCTGCCCACCCTACTCTCACGCCAGGCGCGATAATCTTGGAGAAAGAACCGTTACTCATGGCATTACCCCACTCATCCTTTGGCCCACGATCGAGTGTTCTATCAAGATCAACAATGCGTGGCGGGGGAGTCCCCAGATGTGCGGAACTTGTGTGCTCATCTGCTGGCCATCGGAGCACGTCGTAAACATCATCGGTGATAACCAAGGCATCGTATTCGCGAGCAAGGCGGACGAGCGCCTCACGTCTCCGGAGAGACATAGTCTTTCCACTTGGGTTGGAAAAGGTGGGTGTGCCATAAATGATGTGCTTGTACATCTTCGCGTATCTGTCACCCGTCTTGATATTCGGTGACTGTTGGGAGGCTTCCTTCTCTGAAGCCTCGAGGCTTCTCCTAAGATACTCGATATCCAATCCCTCCTCATCTTCTGGAACTCCCTTGAGCAGTCCCTGAAATCCGTGGTCCATGAAAATGGGACAGGCAAGAAAGTAACACGGCTCGATCATCCAGATGTTTCGTGTGTAACCAGGCTCTGTGAATCGTGCAAGAACATTTCCCAGGTTTGCAGAAGCACCATTGGTTACGCAAATTCGTTCAGATGATATGCCGCCTGAAGGTAGATAAAATGATCCGAGCCACTTCGCAATGCTTTCTCGAAGAGGATCATATCCGGCGTCAGGGCCGTAAACGAGGGCTGCAGCAGTCTTTTTGGAAGAATTTAGAACATTGGAAGCCCCATCTAGCAGATGTGATGACGGGAACAACGAGGGCGAAGGCCACCCTAACTGTAAATTGATATTTTTCGACATGATGTTCAAGTGGCGTATTTTGGGCTCTTTGGTCTAAAAGGATGAAAGCATATGTCAACTTGAATTACAGCTCTTATTAGCTTTTATTAAGTTGTGTCATCAACTTGAAATGGAATCATTGTTTGGAGAATACATTACCGGAATGGGCTTATCCGCTGATTTGCGAAGGCGGAGTCAGGTTTGCCGAACCCATCGGACATCTTTACCGATGATACGGAAACCCAAAACGGCTTATGCGGCTGGAGCTCATAGCCTTACATCATGAAACATAAAATGAACGCACTTGATGCCTATGGAAAACATCATTATAGTTTCTTTTCTCTATTCTTCTTGATCCTATTGTATTGTGGGTTAGGACAGACCTTTCGTCATGCCACACGTTGAATCACCACCCCCAAGTCACGGTATTCGCATTGCGATAGACCGCGGTGGCACGTTCACAGATTGTTTAGCCATTGTACCGGGGAAGGAAGATATTGTGATCAAATTGCTCTCTAATGATCCAACAAACTATGCGGACGCGCCCACAGAGGGTATTAGAAGAATTCTGGAGCAAGCTACCGGAGAGTCTATCCCCCGAGGCCAACAGATCGATACAAGCAACATCGAATCGATAAAAATGGGAACTACAGTAGCGACAAATGCTCTTCTTGAGCGTTCATCAACGCGATGCGCTTTGGTGGTGACAGAGGGTTTTAAAGACCTCCTTCGCATTGGGGACCAAACACGCCCGAAATTATTCGACCTCAATATTCGGCGTCCTGAGACTCTATTTGATGATGTGCTTGAGATTCAAGAGCGAGTAACACTTCATGACTCAACGGAAGACAAGGGTAGTCTCAGAGATCCCCAACGGAGCTCTTTCAATCTCAAAATTGGAATCGGAGGCGAGGCAGTTCGAATCATAAAGCCCCTAAGTTCGTATACACCCATGAAATGTAGATATCGTCGACGCTGACCTGCATGTAGACATAGACAGTGCGCGTGAAGGACTTCAGACACTCTTCAATAAAGGAGTCCGATCTCTCGCGATTACGTTGCTTCATTCCTACACTTTTCCAGACCATGAACTGCAAGTGGCTGAGCTTGCTAGCAAAATTGGCTTTACTCAAATTTCCATCTCGTCTCAGATCTTTCCCATGATCAAAGCTATATCACGTGGCTATTCGGCAACTGCAGATGCATATCTCACCCCTTTGACAAAAGCTTACATCGACGGCTTTCGAAAAGGCTTCCGGGGTCATCTGGAGGATAAGGATGGCGCTCGTTGCGAGTTTATGCAAAGCGACGGCGGCTTAGTCGGTTGGCAAAACTTCAGTGGTCTGAAAGCAATTCTCTCAGGACCTGCCGGTGGCGTGGTGGGTTTCAGCAAAACATGCTTTGACGTCACACGGAAGAGGCCAGTTATTGGGTTTGACATGGGCGGCACAAGCACAGATGTCTCCCGGTATGCAGGATCCTTGGAGCACACATTCGAGTCAATCACTGCTGGTATTACGATCCAATCACCTCAGCTCGAAATTGATACTGTTGCAGCAGGTAAGCTCATTCTGGAACTTTAACCATCAGTATACTGAATCACTCCAGGTGGTGGAAGCATTCTGTCTTACCGTAATGGGCTCTTCCTCGCTGGGCCCTCGTCTGCGAGTGCTCATCCAGGGCCCGCTGCATATAGAAAGGGTGGCCCATTGACTGTCACTGATGCAAATCTTGTGCTTGGTCGCCTCCAAGCTGAGTATTTCCCCAAAATTTTCGGAAAGTCCGAGAAGGAGCCGCTCGATTACGAGGGATCCAAAGCAGCTTTTGAGAAGCTACTGCAACAGGTTAACAAGGACCTGATAGCCGCGGGTGGAAAACCCAAGACTGTTGAGGAACTGGCACTGGGTTTCTTAGACGTTGCGAATGAGACTATGTGTCGGCCTATTCGATCATTGACTGAAGCAAAGGGATACCGAACATCCGAGCATGATCTTGCCGTGTTTGGAGGAGCTGGAGGACAGCATGCTTGTGTGAGTAGCGGAAGCGGTGGGAGTTGACATTTACTAATTCAACCCAGGCAATCGCAGCAAATCTTGGAATCGATCGGATCTTCATTCATCGCTACTCTTCGATCCTTTCCGCCTACGGAATGGCTCTCGCACACGTAGTTCGAGATCTTCAAGAACCTTGTTCGATGACGCTCTCTACGTCGCTGGAAGAGTTGGACAATCGTCTTGCTGATCTCGAGAAGGCAGGTGCAGTGGAACTTGCCAAAGAAGGTTTCAATGGAAACTTATCGTTTGAACATTTCCTCAATTTGCGATACGATGGATCAGACACGACTTTCATGGTGCCTCGACCTGAATCTGGAGGTTGGGAAGAAGCATTCATTGCTGAACACAAGCGACAATTTTCATTCATAATGCCTGGCCGCGCGATTCTTGTGGAAAACGTGCGCGTTCGTGCAACGGCCCAGGGGTCATCCACTGAGCCGGAATTGGATCTCGATAAGCAGCTTTCGGATACTCCACCTGTCCCAGTTTCGATCAAGAAGGCGTCCAATGAAGTAAAGATTTTCTTCGAAGACGGTTGGACCAGGGCCTCGCTCTTCTATCTTTCATCTCTCAACACAGGTGACTCGATCCAAGGCCCTGCGATAATTCTAGACGACACTCAAACTATTGTTGTTCCGCCAAAGGCCAAGGCCTTCATACTGGACCGTCATGTAGTCCTGGAGCTTGAGAGCAACATCGCAGCCAGCGAGAAGAAGAAGGAGTCTGTACCTCAAGCTGTTGATCCCGTGGAACTCACGGTCATGGCACATCGCTTCATGAGCATTGCTGAACAAATGGGACATGCTCTGCAGAAAACAAGTGTATCTGTTAATATTAAGGAGCGTTTGGATTTCAGCTGTGCACTGTTTAGCCCAGACGGTAGACTAGTTGCGAACGCGCCGCATGTTCCAGTGCATCTTGGCAGTATGGAGCAAGCTGTTATGTACCAACACAAACGGTACGAAGGTCAACTAAGACCTGGGGACGTGATTGTAGCGAACCATCCTATATCAGGAGGCACTCACCTCCCCGATATCACCTGCGTAACCCCGGTTTTCGACAAAGACGGCAAGAACATTATTTTCTACACCGCATCTAGAGGCCATCATCAAGAAATTGGTGGTATCCTGCCGGGATCTATGCCTGCCGGAAGCGTGGAGCTTTTCGAAGAAGGAGCAATGATAGTTTCCGACTTTCTCGTTCGAAATGGGACCTTCGACGAGAAATTGATTACCCGACTTTTGCTGGAGGAACCCGCCAAGTTTCCAGGCTGTTCAGGCACTAGGAAACTGGCTGATAATATTAATGACTTGAAGGCACAGGTCTCTGCAAATGCCAAAGGCGCTATGCTTCTGTCTGATCTGATTGAAGAGCGAGGACTTGCCTCTGTTCATCTTAACATGCACGCGATCACCTCAAATGCTGAGGCGTGTGTTCGGAAGTTTATGAAGAAAACGTATGAACAGCATGGTGGCAAGCCCTTGGTCGCGCTCGATCATATGGATGACGGCACACCAATCAAGCTTGAAATCACTATCAACCCCAACAATGGCTCCGCTCACTTCGACTTCACCGGCACGGGAGAGGAAGGCTTCCACTCCTTTAACGCCCCGCAAGCAATCGCCCGCAGCGCCACTCTTTATGTCCTGCGCTGTCTCATCAATGAAGACATTCCGTTGAATGAAGGGTGTCTGCGTCCGCTAGACTTCACAATTCCTGAAGGAAGTATATTGAATCCCTCTCCTCAAGCGGCCGTATGCGCAGGTAACCCTATCACTTCACAACGTGTTACCGACGTAGTAATCAAAGCCTTCGACGCATGCGCTGCAAGCCAAGGTGACTGTAACGTGTTTTCCTTTGGCATTAACACAGATTATGATGTCGACGGTAATGCCATCCCGGATTCTGGATTCGGGTTTGGAGAGACAATCTGCGGAGGGTCTGGCGCGGGTCCAGGATGGAATGGTACGAGTGGAGTACATATTCACATGACCAACACCCGAATTACCGACCCTGAAATGCTCGAGAAACGCTACCCAGTTATTCTCCAAGAGTTTAGCATTCGTGAAGGCTCCGGGGGTAAAGGACAGTGGAATGGCGGTAACGGAATCCGTCGTGTCTATGAATTTGAGAGAGACGTGGGGGCTTCTATTGTCAGCGAACGTCGTGTCACTAGACCGTACGGTATGCATGGTGGCGAGGATGGAAAGTCGGGTGTCAACTACATCGTGAAAAAGCATGGTGGAAGGTGGTGTCGGCTCGGTGGCAGGAAAGACTTTAGGGCATCGAAGGGAGACCGTGTCGTTATTGACACCCCTGGGGGTGGAGCTTGGGGAACAGGCCAACTAGGCGTATCTGAAGCTGTTATTTCGAGCAATACTGGGGCTGAGAGGAGATTTGTTAGTCAATTTCAGCTTGCTCAAGAAGCGAGTAACTAGTGTAGTGCAGTTACGATCTAATGAAAGAAATCAACAGTATTTCAATGTCTTAGAGGCTGGGTAGATAGGATAAGCTATTCAAATGGATTGTGCTGCATTTGCGTATTCCAAGCTCTATATTGTTATACTAGAAATCACCATACTGTTCGGCATCCAGCTTTGAATGGGCAAGGAAGAATAATGCTACAAGGCCATAAACCTTTCTGTTGGGGATGGTCGGCGACGAACATTGCCCATTGAAGTGGACGCTAATATGCGTCAGATACGAAGGAAGCAATTGCAGTTCCCTTTAGCCGTTCCACGGTGCGATCGTGTTTTCAGCCTTTATAATTTCCTCACACCTATCGAAGAGTTGGAGGGTGTTTTCATCTATCCGAAGGATGGCTTTGGGTGACGCAGGTGGTGGTGAACCTCCTCCACCATTGATCCCTTGACTCCAAGTTTGGCTTCGACGCCTAGGTTGCGATTGTGTCACAGGTTTCTGCGGACTTCTCGTCGTCTGAAAGGCCATGTCCTGAAACATTATCTTCTTTGGAGTGACTCGAGATCGGTTATCATCGTGGGATGATGAACCCCGAGCCCCACGAACTCTCCCTTTTGGATCTGACCGACTCCAGGAGCCGCCGCCTCTGCACGATCTCCTATCAACAGAGGAATTAGGCCTCGATGAGCTCATGCGGCGATCGTGCTTCCACGAATGTCTGAGGGAACGAGAGCTTGACCTGGACCGGCTCTTGTAACTATCTTGTCTGCGCGACTCCCTGCGACGAGGAATCGACCTAGACCGGCTCCTATAGGATCTGTCTCTCCGTGAGTACCTATGAGAACGGAAATCCGGCCTTGATCGGCTCCTGTAACGATCGTGTCTCCGCGACTCCCTGCGATGTGACGTAGATCTTGTCCGGCATCTACAGCGATCGTGTTTCTGCGAATGCTTGCAACATTGGGAAATGGACCTTGACCGGCTTCTGCAGCAATCATGTTTCCGCGACTCCCTGCGACGTGAAATGCATCTTGACCGGCTCCTATAGCGATCGCGTTTCCGCGAATGCTTGCAACACCGGGAAATGGACCTTGATCGGCTCCTGTAGGACCTATCTTTCCGCGAAGGTCTACAGCTATGGGAAACCGACCTTGACCGGCTTCTAGAGCGATCATGTCTTCGCGAATGCCTGTGAGAACTTCTTCGACTCCTATAGGAATCATGTCTGCCCGCATCATCACGGCTACGATAAGAGTCCATGCGGGAATCTTCACGAATCTCGTAATGAAAACGGGAACGTGGCGATCGCGACCGCCTACGACTAATAGATCGCCTTCTAGAAGCAGGCTCAGGTGGCGACTGAGACCTACGGCGACTTCGCTCATCCCAGCGAGAACTCCTAGGCACGTAACGATCCGTAACAGCGTTGCGTTGACGCATTCGGAGCCACTCACGCTCGAAATCGTTTTCTGGCTGGCCTCCAGCTTTCATCGCATCCCGTCTACGCTTGTTGGGATTCGGATGTCGAGACTTTGGGCCTTGTCCTCCCGAAGGGTTGTCTGGCCCATGGGGTCCCATGAGGGAAGAGGGGTTTTGATATGAAGACATATCAAAGCGTTCACACAAAATGTGTTTGAGGAGGAGAAAAAAAAAAGGGCAGCTTCACAAATGTGTCCCTGCCCAAGGAGTGACACTGTATCCCGAAGGTCTACAGTGGATCTTTATTCTCCGTATTCCCTAAGGTCTACAGAGATGCCTTTTTGAATAGAGGCAAACTATGACCACTCGTGCAATTTCTTGACTCGTGGGATCTTTAGCCTCCGTGTAACTAAAGGTACACAGAGGTGCTTCTTCAACGGGAAGCAACCTAGGCTGATCCACAGGGTTCAATCTTCAGAGCGAGCGTGCGCAAGCCATTGGAGACATTCCGCATGGAGATGAGGAGAAGAAAGGAAAGAAATTCACGATGCGGAGAAATGCTTCACTGACAGATGTGGGTTGAAATCACGTGGTTGATGGGATGGGAAGGAGCGCAGGGAAAGCGGACCCTCTTTTCTCCGGGGACGACAACCGGTTGTAAGAAGAGAAGATCAAAATCAGCGTGAGGTAAGAATCCGATACTATTCGGTAGATAAATTGATCTTTACATAGATGAATCGGGTATCCTCTAGAAGCAGGTTTTGTAGCACCTGGCACTATCACCTTAGACGTTTGCGGGGTCGGCAGCAGCAGCGACGATAGCTTTGTTGGGCTGTATATTGCTTGTGTCGATAGATGAATCGTCTTCTTCCAATTTTCGAAGATCGACTGGTCGTTCGGGGACCAACCAAGTAGCGGCAAATGTTGCAGGAATAGAGATACCGAACATGACAAAGGCGACAATCAAATTGACCATTGGTGGCACCTTTGCTGCTCCGATACCGAAGGATAGACAGGAACCGACCGATTCAAATGATCGCATCAATCCAACAGCGAGCGTCAGTGTCTCGATGTCATCGAAAAAGGTACCAAGAATCCAGTAAACAAACATGTAATGAGACTCGTTCATGAACCTAAAGACAGTTAATATTGAGAAACCTGGAAGCGCCATGAATAATGCTTACCTGAAAAGCACATTAACAGCAAATGCACGGCCAAATCCGGGGTTGCTCCAGTCCAATGTCACCTTTGGAACCGTTGACGCGTACAGCTTCTCATTCGCGACCTGCCACGCGAACAGACTCAACATGATTACCGAAAAGACGGACCATGTGACTTTGGCTAAGGTGGGTCGACTGACGACCTTCAAATCATATACCCAGCCCCAAATGATATTCGCTGCGGTCGCTGCGAGACCAGAGCTAAGTGCGCCCAGGGTCCTAGCTCGGACGGAGAAGTACTTGGTCAGGTAGATTCCCTGGTAGGTACCGTTCCAGTTGAAGCCAACAAGAATGGGAATCAGCAAATAGAATTCTTTCTTCCTAAGCAGTGCCCACCACTTGTGCACCTCCTTCATTACAGCCTTGTTCTTCGTAGGATCCGGTACTTTGCGCCCATCACGATGAATGATCTTCTGGGGCGGCGAAATCAACAACGCAAGAGGCAGGCCCAAACATTGTAGGGCGATAAGGATAAGGTATGTGTTATATCCAACTTTGCCTCGGGCACCACTTTTCGCATTCAGCGACAGCTGGATAGAGGATCCAATGAGTTGACCAAGCTCACGTAGACCGAGCCAGATTCCAGTGAACTTTCCGCGATCTTTGACATCCGCGTACCCAAGGGCGATGGCACCTTCCGATGCCCACAATGCAGATGCGGCGATTCCACACGTGGCTCCTCCGAACAAGACAAACCACTCGGTGCCATAGCGATTGTTGACGTAGAGGGATGCCGAGTAGGGTGCATAACCAAGAGTTCCGAGGATCAAGATTCGCCTGAGACCGTATTTGTTTGCTAGAATGGAGAAGATCGAGCACCCGAACACCATGATGCCAAAGGTCAGAGAGTTGGCTCCATTAACAAGATAGGGTTCCTGTTGACCACCAGCGCCGGTGTCTTCGTTCAATTAGCAATTAGTGTTGCATTGGTTTTGGAATGTAGAGAGCTTACTATTCAACGCATTCCAGATTCCTGGTTGCGTGAATGAAATTAATCCGACAATGATGACATTGAACAATGGACTTCGATACCAACGAGTGAATCGCGAGACTGGTTTCGAAGTGACACTGCCATTGTCGGCCTCCGTGTCTTTCGCAAGTTCTGACATCTTCAACAACAGGACCCTACGGGATTGAGCACAATGATCTTCATTTTAGTTGAGGAATTTTGTTCTCTTTAAATGGATTGACTCCTATGTTTCCTACTATTTCCGCATTTTCATGAACTGAATCGACTGACGATCCAGACCGATTACACGGTGCGATTGCATTGGTTCGGGCGTACAAGTTTTCTCGTGCCGGCCTTGGCTGCTCGCTCGTCATACGAACTGTTGATGAGGCGATGGCTGTCAAGAACCACCAATTGATAACCGAGCACCAAGTACCAACCTTAATCAGACCTTGATCCCCTAAAATCGGCACCCACAAGCCTCGTGGCGACCTCTAGTCTGGCCCATAGGATCGTCGCTAATGGTGGTTCAGCTTCGCCTAAGGGGGAGACTAGCATCTCGTGCTTGCATGGTCAGATTGTGCCATCTCCAAACGCGGTAACCTGTAACCACGAGTATGTGAAAGTGAATCGGTATCGAACTATTCACAAGATGCAAATGTAAATACTGCTCTCCCTTCCCGATGATACACTGCTATACTTTCCTTCAGAAGATCTCCTGCATACACGCACAAACCTACTATTACTACTACTATGGGTTCAATACCAGCGCCACAAGTCTTCGCAGAGGCCGAATACAAGCCAACGGTCTTTCTTCCTAGCCCTTACCCAAAGGGTACAGTCTTCCCCTTTACACTCGCCCCAGTCCAATCAAAAACGCCCCTGCACGATGTTATCGCCGAAATCCAGGATTTATCAAAGACAGGGAAGATTAGGTCACTGCTGAATACGCACGGAGCGATATTCTTTAAGGACCTGAAAATCGAAAATGCAGAGCAATTTTCACAATTCGCACATTCATTTGGATACGTCCCTCATGAAGACATTGGAAATCCTGTGCGACGAACCATCCTGGCAAAAAATGTTGCCACCGCAAACGAGGGACCCAACACACAGCCTGTGTATCCACACAATGAATTCGGACTGAGTCCTCACTTTCCTGCCTATGTGTTTTTCTACTGCTTTTCTGCGCCCGACACAGGCGGCGAAACTCCCATCAATAATTCAATCATTCTGTATCAGCAATTGAAAGAAAAGCATCCAGAGTTCATCAAAGAAATCGAAGAGAAGGGGGTCAAGTACCAACTGTTCTACGTCAACTCATCAAGGGATCAGACCACATCTCCCGGAAATTCGGTGCTGCAAGCATATGGCGAACATGTGAACGACACAGACGACACTGAAACTGCGCGACAAAAGATTGAGAAGGAGATTCAGCGTCTCCCAACTGCAAGGTGGATCTGGGAGAATCAAAGCGAGAGCAACCCCCTAGGAGACCTTCGAGTGTGGCAGCATCTCCCCGCAGTCAGGAAACATCCGCATACAGGCCAGACCACATTTTTCAACAATACAGTTTCAAGATTCTTAAATGCCATCGACGCTGAAACATTACAGCCTCCACACATCAACAAGGATGGACGTTACCAGCCACCGGCCTTTTATGGCGACGATTCCTTGATACCTCGTGAATACTATGATACGGCTGTGGAAATCATCAAGAGTACAAGGTCATTAGTGACGTGGAACAAGGGAGATGTGATACTACTCGACAACCACGCGGTGCAACACGCAAGAGAACCATGGACTGGCGAGCGAAAATTACTAGCCAGTCTTTGGGACGAACCGTGAGAATTGGCGTAATTGCATACATACGGCAGCGTTTAGATTAGGTACAGTCTTATCTAGGAACGAATGAACAGAGAACAAATAAAAATTCAAGAATCCCATCGATTGAGAAGCGACTGAGTACCCTAAATTCGACCAAAGGCCTAGATGGGCTTGTAGCCTGGGAGTGCGTCCATCCCTATGACGGTTAATATTAGTGTTGGACCTGACAAGAAATCTTTTTATTTGATGACTTACATCCATCAAGATTCTCAGTTACGCGCTTCTTAGCCTGGCATTTATTCATTTCAGCGACCGATTGTGACTTGAGAGGCTTCCCGTTCTCGCAAGCATTGAACATGCAGCTTGAATCCATAGCCCTTTGCAGAGAATCGCCCTTCCATCCGAACAAGTAGTCGGCATGCGTGCCGTAACCCTTTTGATCGCCAAAGCTCAACACAAATGGGTTAGAACCGTCAGCTGGCCACATATCCTTGAATTGAGCAGTGTCCCAAAGCGTTTCATAGGCTACCTGAGGCATCTTTACGGGATGAGAGGCTGGGCATGGTCCGGCGGGCTGGAAGGCCTCCTTTCCTGTGTTGAACATGTGGGACTAATTTGTATTTAGCATGGCTATCGGAAAGGCCTTGTCTCGGACATTTACCTGGTGGTCTGGAGAGTCAAGATTCTTGCCGTCCCAGCATCTGCTAAACTTTAGTCGCGCCATAACCAATATGGGACTGGCTTCACTCACGAGGGGAAGTGGTGTACAGTCATGATGCCTCCCTTGCAGGGCTTTGGTGGGAAATCTGGAAGTTCGGGAAATCTAGTGTTTTTATCATTCAAGCAAACATATCGTAGGCCGACATTCTTCTTGGCTGCATCAAGAGTAGGCGTCGTTGGAGAACCGACAGTCATCCGAAATCCCTAGCAGAGTTTAGAGAAGCACTGCAAAGGACTGAAGTCATTTACGAACAGGCTTGAAGGAAGTAATCTTGTCCTTCCCGTTGCCGTTGAAGTCGTGCTGGGTGTAGTATATAGTCATGCCGCCGTTGATTCCATTAGGCAATGCTGCATTCTGCATGATGGGCACGCGCTTGTACGACCCATTCGTATGCTTGAAGAACATGACTGCAGTCCAGTCTATGGTGGAATCGTCAGTATGGTTTGATATAAGAGTTGCTCGCGATGACTGATATAATAATCTTACTATGCGATGTCAGTGTTTGTGTTACTTGATCAGTGGACGATGCTTACCAGTTTGAAAAGTCTTCAGAGAAGGTGCAGGTTGTGCATGTCGCTTGCTCGCCGATATCACCTTCCATGGTCGCATTGAAAGCATTTCCACCGACAATCTGATGAACATGCGCTGATGGCGTATTCCCAGGCTCGACTAAAGGATCAAGGCGCTGGATGCTCACTGTAGAGCATCCGAATCGAAGAGCCGCCTGTGAAGGCGCGATAAGACTTAGGACTATTGCGTTGAGTCTCATTTTGTTAACGATATTCAATGGTAGGGGAGCATTGAAAAGCGCGTCCGCTGGGGCTACATCAACCGTTTATCAAGTTTCGATCCCGAGTTTCCCTTTATCATGCGTTGATCAGGGATACTGCCATGTGCAGGGACCATATGTTTATCCCTCGTTTATCCAAATTCGTGACAGTATCCACCACATTGGTTTTCCCCGCATTATCCTAGCTCTTCATATTGAAGACGACGATCGTGCGCTTTCTAATATGCCATTGCTGGTCGCTCTGGCGTTGCATTTTGCACGGATAAGCTCAACTAACCAATCCCTCACCGAGCGCTTGGGGGTCTACGAGAGTCGCCCTAGGTCATTCGTTGTTCGATGATATACCACGACGTCAAGCTGGGTGATTTATGTAGCGCAATTTATTATTTGACATCGCAGAATCCAATGGTGAAAGTGCCGAATCACTTCCTAGTACAGATATTCTGCTTCGGGCAAGGGGCTTTGCTTACCTTTCACGCCCTAGACTTGGATACTTCATCCAGTTTCAAAAGGCATGATTCTAGGTGATATGGGTTGATCAGCAAACTTTGTGACCTTTCAGTTGTAGCACTAGCAGCGTTCAGTAGTCATATACAATACCCATACCTCCCATGTCCCATGGTTGTCATGGTTGTGGCAGACGATGATGTTCGTTGCCGTTATCTAAACGCCGCAACATCTGCAACTACCGTCCGTCCTTACCGGATGACTGACAGCCAAGCATGACTATCGTCTTCCTTTCGTCCATAACCTTTTGTGGGTCTGTAGATAACTTTAGCAAGAATCCACGTTCTATCACAGTGTTCTGTGGCATAGATCTTCCCAAAAGGATGTGGTCTCTCAATATTCCTCGAATTTGCTGTGAGTGGTACTACCATTCTTTTAGCTGTGTAGGTAAAGCGACGACGATAGTCGTATAGTTTCGGACGAAGAACTTGGTCGAGTAGGACACAAGTAGTTCACAAGGATCACTATCGACGCGATCGTAAGAGAAACATTCCACTCCTCCAATAACTGGAAAACTTCTTGCAACATCTGGTGCTAGTCATTAGGGGGTCTCTCATAACAAAGTAAGACTTGGTCTATACTCGTGATCAAGGACTGTCTGATATCCTGATGGAACAAAACAATACATATTCACCATTACACAAAGACGCCTGCCAGGTTAAGAACGACGTAAGCATGGCCCAAAATGGGTGGAGAGACATGGGTGGGTAGCAAGTCATCTTGTTGATTCCAGCTAGGAGGTTGGTGAATGGGGCCCCATGACCCATTCTAAGGTATTCATCTGAAATACACTAGTGTTCGTCTATCACGTGGCCTCCGAGTGACCTTCCAACCTACCTACCTACCTAGATACCATACCGCAATAGCTTAGATGGAGAACGGCGAGTTGATGAGAGTGGAAATTGAGTTGATCATCAAAACCCACGTGGCGGTGTGGTATCAATGACGCCCCGTGCGCTCCCTAGCTTGACGTCAGGATTCACTAATATGAATGTTATGTGGGTGACGGTTGAAAATTACATTTTAGTTTCCGGAATTGTTGAACACTATTCTGTTATTCCTTTTGTGGCTCTTGACAGTTTCAGACACGTTACATTTCACGGTAGGCAACGACAACCAATCAAAGAAGCAACAGCAGCGTCTTCCATTCTTCTAAGAGGATAGCACACAATGGCGATAGTCTCCTAGATCCAGTGCGCTGAGGAAATAAGTCATTCGAAGAAGAGAACCATATAAATCTCGTGCACTAGACTATTGAAAAACAGGATGATCTACATTCTAACGAAAACAAAGCAAACGCCTATTGTACCCTGGTATCAACTATTACTCCTATCGATCGCTTCTAAGATCAATCATATGAACCTTTAACTCATATTGTGAAATTATCTGCTGTAAATTCTTGTTCGGTATTAGAAACACATGATGAATATGGCTAGCCTTTGGATAGACTTACCATCGGTATATATTTCGCTGGGAGCCCGCACACCACCGTCGTTCCTCAATTGATGAATTGTCATCATGAACATGGCGCTGCTGAACCGCTCTTATCGTACTACCCGTTCAGACTAGAATTGACGGACACCAATAATCTGTTTTGCACGTGTATGGCTGTTCGCTCCAATCGTCGGTTACAGAAAACGCTATCTGTCCGTCTTTGAAGCAGACGAAATCCTCGTTGTCTAAAACCGCCGTTCCCGATATGGATCCTTTCTGCGCTTTTGCGGCATCTGCATCGATGCGTGAGCTAAACGCACTCGTCTTTCCCAGTTTGGCCACCTTCAGCGTCCCTTCCCAGGGTTGTGCGGGTCGATCGACAGTCCCTATTTGGGTCAGACTTTGACTGAGTTCTATCGGACCGTTTGCGAAATATGCGACAGCTGTGTATCTCGACAATGGGTAATCCGCATCGCTGGAAGTTGTGCAAGTAACCAGGTAGAGATTGTGTTTCGATCCCATTAGACTTGCCAGAGGTATGGCCAGTACGTGAGTTGCAGTGAGAGCGACACTAGCTACCCGTAGGAAGTGCATGTTTGAATGACAGCATTGATGGAGGCCTCTTCAGTCTTGTTGTTGTAGTGGTTTATATACAACTGGATACTTGTCCGAGGTTCGATTCGTGCTGCAAAGGAGCACGTATAGATTACTTTCTAAAATTAGCGAAGACATCCAATACTTAGTTATATGAACTTATATGAATCGTGCACTTCTAGATTAGGTCGTCAGCAGTAGTATTCGGCTCCGAGTGATCAAGCACTATAAAAGTCAATGTATCCCCCCTCTACCAAAGCCGTGTCTATTCCTGCCTGGCCTACCATTCCACACCCAAGGACCTTCGGTTATGTGCATCGGAGCTTGTGGGCAGCCTCGCTACCTCAAAACCACATCGCTTCAGCTTGTTGAAGGCGCCACATCATATTACGCTTCGTATTCTGTTGGTTTATGCGTGAAAGCCCAATCCCGTCTCCACATGTAGTTTATGTGGATGTCTTGGTTGTCATATTATTCTCGCACTGATACGTCTCATCCTGCTCACCAATAATTGCACGCCACCAACAGGCACTATTATCGTTTAAGTAGGCACAAGGTGTTGTTTATCTGATTGCAAGATTAGTGATTTATTGACTACACTCGTGTTTCTCTTCGAATATTCACTAAACAGCACTTATGTTCGCATGGTTTTCAATTTTATGTTTGTACTATGATGTTAGGATCATATTTCTCGAGCTAGTTTAAGAGAATCTACTTTTATTGATACAGACTATAGAGTGGGGGTGATTTGTCGGAAAGATGCTTTTCCTTTCCGATATGTTCTAACATTGTAAGAGGGAGGATGGAAGAAGTGTCTGACAGTGCACTATATGTTACCAAGAATACCTTTCGGTGTGGCAGCTTTGGCCCCAAGCGCTGCTATTCCTCCAACCAGGCTCATGATACCACTGAAGATTGTTACCTCCAGGAATCCCCCGTACTTATGGACGATAGCGCCATTTACCGGAGGTCCCATCAGGGCAGCCAAAGAAGCAACACCCATCCCCATTCCCATGTACGTGCCCATTTTGCGAATATCCTTGACGGTGACCGAAAATGCGGCTGAAGCTCCGGAGATGATCGCACCAGAAGTAAAACCAAATATAATAGCATAAACAACAAGTCCAGGTGTGCTCCTAGCAGCAGTCATGCAGAGAACCACAATTCCTGTGCTGAGACCGGCGAAAGCAAACATGTTCAGTCGGCCATAAACATCCGCGAGAACTCCTGGTATGATGCGTCCAAAGGTCGAGGCACCGTTCAGGATAGCAAGCAGATATGACGCCAATGTTGGATCGATCCCTCTCGAGACAGCGTATGTTGGAATGAAGAACAGGGGAGTGAACATGCCGAGGAACATGAAAAACATGGATACGATGAGGAGGGTATACGCCTTGTCCTTGAACGCTCCGCCAATGAAGAAGTTTGTCCGACGTGGTGGAAGGCGAGGCTTCACAGCGAAGCAAGAAAATAAGAGGAAGGGCATTATAAGGAATCCGATGATTCTAACGGACCATGCGAATCCCAAAGATGAGCCGTTGAGCATCTTGGACAAAGCAATCGGGACGACAACACCACCAAGAGAAGAGCCTGCCACTACTACACCAAGTGCTGCGGCTCTCTTCTTGTCAAACCAGTGAGACACGGCCGTCATGGCCGGGAACTGGAGTAGACCAGAGCAGATACCCGGTAGAATCCCCTGAGCAAGCATAAAATGCCAGTACTTTGTACACAGACTTGTCATCATGACAGCAAGAATGTATAGAACAGCGGCTGGTCGCATCATCTATCACGATGTGTTAAAGAATAATCAGATAAGGAGGAGGATAAAACGAACCCAGGCGCCATATCGATCGAACAGTGGGCCACCGATCGCTCCGACTAGAAAGGTCAAGAACAGAGACAATGACCCTATCCAAGCAATCTGGTCTTCTGATCGCTCACTGAGTTGATGTGACTTGTAATACTGTTGGAAAGTTCCGAATGCATTGGCAAACCCCAAACAGGAGAAGAAAATACTCGAACCACCAGCTGCAACCAGCCATGCCTGAACTCCACCATCTGGGGCAGTATCGAAATCCGCAATTGTGTCACTGGTGGCTACAGATGGTTCTTGGCATTTCTCTAGACGTTTGCTCAAACTTGAGTTATTCCGCATTGGTTCCAAAGTGGTGGCATTCATTGTGTAGGGTGTGCTAGAATTAATGAACAATGTGCTGCTTGGGGGATGACCACCGATAACGAAGAAAAGCTTGTATTTGAAGCATGACTGTTTGGCATCGAACACCTTATATTGTATGATCCATATATTCGGAAAGTACTGATGATCCGACAATTGATGTATTTCGGTGTCGGGTGTCCGGAGATACTTGAGCGTCGGAAGGGAAATGGTGGGCGCTATGAGCCATAAGTGCAGAAAGAAATCCAATCAGCCACCTCCTTGGCGTCTTCACGGACCCACTAGGACTCGGGCATACAAAAAGATTGGTCGGAATAAGGGACGACAGAAGCACCATTTTCACATTCCCATCAATACAAACATACATGCCTTAGATTTCTCCGTCTCACATCACCAACTCTTGGACAACCCGGCTTAAATCCGTCAAGCTTTGTGCGCAGGAAAAATGACAGAACCTGAGCGCCGGCGCCGGCGACCTGCGGTGTATGTATGGCTCCACTGTTCAAAATACACCAAATGCTGAACTCGGCAATGCAGATCATGTACGAGTTGCAGGAAGCGTAAGGTTCGATGCAACAGAGAACAGCCATGCAATCACTGTACCAAATCAAAGACCGATTGCAGATACGAAGGCCACCCAGCACTAGCACAACGCCAATCCACGCTATCAAGCGATACCTCCCTTCCCACTACTGCCATTGCTGGAGTATCAAATGCTTCTACGCCATTGATGCGCAGTAGTTCGGGGGCTTCAAGTGATCAAGTTTCTATACTCGAACTTCAATCCCTGAAGGAGAAGATCAAACAGCTTGAACAACAGATTTCTCGAGGTTCCTCGGCAGTGGCCCCGTCTCCAGCTCCTAGCTCATCCCACGCAGAAATACTAGATATTGGACCTATTGGATGTTTCACAGTGCATGGAAGCTCTGTCTTCGGACATCCTCAATGGCTTCCTCGTAGTATTACACATAAGACGCGTCTCTATGGGCAAAGTCACTGGATCCATACGGCCGCTTTAGTGAGTTCCATTGTACACGCTCTGCGCACTACTTAATTTAACTTTACTTAGTTCAAGGATGTACTCGAAAGATTTGAGCCGGCCACGCGCGATGAATCTTCTAAAGGGATATCCGGATTGCGAAAGTGCAAGTCGTTGGCCACAGTCATCAAAGCACAGAGAACTCCGCCATGGCCGTTGCCGCCCACGACTACCCTACCAACAAAGGAGGTTGCCGATGAGTTGATCGAATCCTATCTCCGTACGATAGAAAGGGTTTACCGGATTCTTCACATTCCTCTATTCCGCGCTGATTATGAAAAGCTCTGGGTTCCTGATACCCAGTATGATATCGCTTTCCTTGTCCAAGTAAAGTTGGTACTGGCTCTGGGCGCAATATTCTACGATGATACATTCTCATTACGCGAAACGGCACTACGGTGGATATACGAGGCGCAAACTTGGCTCTCAGAGCCGGAGTTCAAATCAAGACTTGGCCTTCAATACTTGCAAACACATTTGCTACATTTACTCGCGCGGGAATTCGTTAACGTTGGGGGAGACTACACATGGGTTTCTGCTGGTTCCGTGCTCAGAATTGCCACCTATATGGGCTTGAACCGTGACCCTGCCCAGATACCGAGTAGGACGAGACTTTGTTGTGAGATGCGCCGAAGGTTGTGGAACACAATCCTTGAGTTGGCGTTGCAATCAAGTCTGATGCTCGGAGCGCCACCCTTGATTACCACAAATGACTTCGATACTCAACCTCCGGGTAATTTTGATGACGAGGATCTGCTGGAATCTGAGAAACCAGCACCAAAGTCGGAGACAGAGTACACCCAAACCTCTATGGCTATTGCATTGAGAAAATCTTTCCAGACAAGACTGTCCATAGCCAAATTCTTGAACGACTTGAACCCGAATCCCACATACCAGGAAGCTCTTCGGCTGCATTCAGAGCTTCACCAAGAACTGAAAGATCTACGACGCACGCTGTCAAAGTATAAGCCGGGTTCCACTTCGAAACAATCGATATTTGAGGTCAATACAGTCGACTACCTGATGAATCGTTATCTCTCATCTGTACATACTCCATACTTAGGCTATGCAATGCAGGAGGCGAGCTATGCGTTCTCGAGAAAAGCTGCGGTCGAGTCAGCACTCAGGATACTTTACGCGGGAGGGTCAATAACGCAGAGTGCGTCCCAAACAGCCAACTACCACCAACAAAAGCCCGAGCTGAATGATCTACCGCGGTTAATTTGTCGCGGTTCTGGTTTCTTCCGCACCATCACGATTCAAGCACTATTAGTAATCGTGGTCGAAGTACGAGCTCAATTGCAGGAGGAAGAAGGTTTAGGTTCAATGCCAATTCGACCAGATCTGATTTCAGCCGTGGAAGAACTACGAGTGTGGAACCTCAAATCCATTAAAGCTGGAGAAACAAACATCAAAGGACATCTTTTTGCAAACATGATTGTGGCTCAAATTGACGGGCTTAGGCAAAGGTTGGACGAGAATGAGATGACACAACTGATCATAGCAAAAGCTGAAGAATCGATTGATACTTGCTTGTCGATATTAGAGGAACTAGCTGCGCAGGGCAGCCCGCAGAAGTCCTCAAGCACAGTAAGCTCATGGGGAAATACGAACCCAATGGATGATTGGGATCTCATGGTATGCTTCCCAGCCAGTACGTGGAACCTAAACATTTTCTAACGTGTCATACAGACATTAGACGGCCCTTTACCTTTTGATCTCGAAGACCCAATGAACTGGTCAATAGATGATACTATCATGGAGAAAGCACCGTTCTGGTAAACTTGGAGGAGCCAAAACAGTTGCTAATTCAAAATGGCCAATCTTTGAGCTTCACAATAAATGAATGTAATCATCGCATCCCATTGTTCATTTAACAATAATACATCAACGACTAATACATGAATTGGCACGACACGAGCATTTCCTATCGGTTGAGCCCTTCCTAAAAAGGAATGACTTGACAATAATGCGTTGGGAAAACCCCCATCAGATATCTCTATGTGCAGCCCTTCATTGTGGATTATACGAAATAATTGCCAACCCCAACAATGGGGCTTTCTACAAAACATTGAATTATCAGTACAGATTACAAATACCAAAGTACAGGTCCTTCAGATTCTATCGAAGACATTACTAATTCATATCGTCACGTGAGCGTTGGAGGCGAATAGTGGGGACAATTGTTGGAGAGAGTAGTTGGAGTCCAAATTGGAGACTGTATATAGTTTCGGATGACCTACTACCACACTGCACAGCATCAAGTCCAGCGCAAAACAACCAGTATGTCTTCATCTCTCAAACCTCTTGTTCTCCACGCCCACTCTACGGGGCCCAATCCTTTCAAAATCGCCATTGCTTTGGAGCTACTCTCCGTTCCATATGACGTCAAGCTATGGGATTTTGGAGACGACCCAGCCAAGGGCCTCAAAGGCGCGACGTTCTTGAAAATCAACGAGAACGGTCGCGTCCCTGCACTCGAGGATCCCAACAATGGCGTCGTCAGTTGGGAGAGCGGCGCATGTTTGAACTACGTCAGGAGACGGTATGATCCCGACGGTCAAAAGCTGGGACCGAGAAGCGCCAGCGGTGGAAAGCCCAGTGAGCAGGATATTGTCGATTTCGAGAAATGGGAGTATTTCCTGTTGACGACATTGGGCCCAATGACAGGGCAGACAAACTGGTTCAGGTATGTCTGTTAGCAGCGTTGCGAGGCTCTTCCCTGGTCTCTTTCTAAGCATGAACCTAGGCATTACAACGCCACCAAGAACGAAGATGCCCTAAATCGATATGTAGAGCAGACCGACAGATGCTACTCAGTCTTGGAAGGCCAATTGAAAAGGACGAATGGTGAGAGTGTTCTACCGGGTGGAATTTCAGCGGTCGACATTCATTTCGAGCCTTGGGTACGCCAGCATGCATTTGCACAGGTGCCGCTCGATAAGTATCCCAACATTCAAAAGTGGCTCAAGAAGGTACAGGATCTACCTGAGCTGCAGCGAGCCTACAAGAAGGTCCAAGAGGCGCCTCATGTTTAGATGTCTTACTTGGTCGATGACATGGGCGTGGTGTCCGGATTAGTTTGCGATAAAAGTTGGTATTAAGAGAAGAACGACTGATTGCTTCAACACTTATCCTACATCATGAATGTGTGTATGGTGGTACCCATCCGATCTGTTCGATAGGCCATCGTATGTATATCCTATACTCTTCGTCCAATAAAAAGTAAATTCTCTTAATTAGATGTTTGCCCCACCCCTTCGCCCACCAGTACTTTTCAAAGTCTTGAATAAGAACTGAGAAGAAAGCGAATATGCACAAGGAGTCGCTGTCGAGGTTTTTGAGCAAGGTTAAGTACTCATCACTTATCTCAAAAAGAAAGGTGTAAAAACCCCGTATCCTCGCTTCGTCCCCAAGTCTGTGGAGAAAGGTGTAACTCCGTCTCATCTTCTGAGTAGTATCTATAAGAACCTTTTGTTTGGCTTCGTCATTCTGGGTACGGATTCGGATACCTGCCTCGAGATCATCGAGGTTCAGATCTTCGGCTGGGGTGTGGCTAAACCAGAATTGGTAACTGCTTTCCGTGGCTCGATATATGAGGGATACTGAAGATGAGACCAGAGCTTCTTCATAAGGTTCCACGATTGGATTGATACCGCGAAGAAGGAACAGCCACTGTGGCATTTTGTCACTTTCAAGCACGAGCATGTCTTCTTCCCGTCTTGGGCTCGCCAGGTTGATGTATAATACCAATACTGAGAAGAGGAACAACTTATCGCAATTGCTTTTATTGACGCTTGGGATCAGAGGCAAGGCTTCTTTCAGTGATGCATTGAGGTGTACGTTTGCCTGCGAGAGAAGAAGATCGCGTCGTTTGATGTCGGATCTTGCCATGTGCAGAGCTGATAAAGACAGTATACAGTCCATTATGTATCGAGTACCAAATCCGATCTGAGGTACAGCTACACGCCACATGTCCCGAGTCTGGGTCTCGGTGCTGAGGGTTGCCGCCGTTGCGACCGTGAAATTATGCAAAAGTTCCAGTTCTAGGTTCTGCGATCCTGATATAGATAACGGTACTGGGGGTTCGGAATCAAGGAAGTCGCATTTCGTTGCTCGTTTCAGACAATTGCGACAAGAAGGTCGATGTTCATCACACTTTGTTGAGTTGTTAGATGCCAGAACAACGAATGATGATGATGCAAAGTTTGGGCATTCGATGCTGCCCGAACTAATGGTTCGCATGAACTCACCTTGACTTTCCTGGATTTGCACCCCTGGCAGCCAGTCCTCGACTTGCTATGCCATCTCCGAGATGAGCGAACTGCAGACATTATTGGTCAAATCCCGACGTAGAACAATATTTGATCAGACCAAGAAGTCTTACCAAATCACACTGGTGACAGGTTCCTTCTGCAGGAGTTATGTGGAGTCGGACAGGCTGCCTTTAAACGAAGATCCGAGGGATCCGATGCGAAGCGAGAACGCGTAACTAGGAGAACGACAGCCGCCTCTATTTAATCAATGAAACACCACCCGCAATCCTTGGAACGAACACAGCCCCAGGATTCTTTCGCATCGAAACCTGTATACGGAAGAGCATTGTCGCACTGATAAAGTCAGTCTTGATGTTTGGCATGCTATCATAGAGGCTGGCTTCTCTGGTGGATGCGACGAGCTTGCTAAGTTTCGTGGTTTCCTAAAGCGTCATATCTTGCGAGGTTCTCTTACACGAAGCGAAGAGCTACTACGTTCTTGTAGCATCAAGCGAATTTATGTGGGGACTTTGAACGTGGACGTCAGCATTGTACAGCATATGCGAAATGTCCGACGATCCGAGCAAACCGAGGGGCTACGCGTGGAATGGTGGAGTCTAGTGCTAGGCGTCTTCTTCACAACAGACGAGAGAACTTGCCTGTCCAAACGCCCTAGGTGGGTACTGGTTGCCGCAAAATTGGAGCCTCAAGCCTCAAATGCGGGAAGGCTTGGTTAGGCTCTGACTTAGGCCATCATATGTCATTGAGAATGATTCACTCTATGCTCCCAATAAAGGTTGATCGGCCCTCAGAGTGCAAGGCAAACACTTCTCCAGGATTCGAATTGAATTTGCATCAACAATGGACGCCCTCCCCTATGGGCTCATATCATTTGGGCCAGACGCCAACTGTACCCTGGAAATCTGCCCCATCGAAGCCAGTCTGCTGGGTTATCGACCTTCTCTAGCCGCCAGTGGGACATTTATTGGCATATTTTCGACTGCCCTTATTGTGCACGCAATTCAAGGATGGTGGACATGGACTCTGGGTTTTATGGCCAGTATAGTCTGCGGATGCATTCTCGAGATTGCTGGTTACGTGGGACGCATTCTCATCTATAACAATCCTTTCGACTTCAATGGATTCATCATGCAGATCGGTAAGTCAAGGATACAGAGGCCTCGTCTCATACGCAGAGGTTAACATGTGGTGAACAGTTTGTATAACAATAGCCCCGCTGTTCTTTTGTGCTGCTATCTATGTGCTGCTGTCTCAAGTGTGGGTATTCTTTCTTCAACGCTGATAGTAAAATCACTACCTAACGCCATGATAGAATTGTTCAAGTCGACGAGACCAAATCCCGCTTCAAGCCCAAACTGTACTACTGGATCTTTATTCCCTGCGACGTCGTTTCCTTGGTACTACAAGCTGTCGGTGGTGCAATGTCTTGCTTAGCTTCCAATAAGGACGACGTACAAGTTGGCGTGGATATATCTTTGGCTGGCCTGGTCTTCCAGGTAGTCACCATTACCTGTTTTTGTGCCTTGTTTGCAGATTACTTGGTTTCTTGCAAACGCTCTGGCATTTGGACGACCATAGACCGGAGGATGAAATTCTTCCTCATTTTCCTCTTCCTCTCTATCCTATTCATTTTAGTGAGATGCGTTTATCGAATCGTCGAACTTCGAGAAGGATACTTCAGCGAAATGTTCCGGGAACAACCATTGTTCATTGCACTTGAGTCGGCGTAAGTGTCCGCTATGGATCGCAATATAAGGAGTCAATGTTAACGAACTACATACAGAATCACCAGCGTTGCCGTTGTCTGTCTCACCATTGGTCACCCAGGATACGCACTGCACAATAAAAGACGACGTACTCTGGACAATGAGAAGATGCGGACAGATTCTCCGTCTGTGTTGACTCAACAATGAACAGACGACCAAAACAAGCAGCAACCTTCGAAACGAATACTCCGAAAGATATCATTTCACTATAGAATAGATTCAAAATCAAAGGCTTCAGTGGGAAGGGAGGTTGGAGTCATAATATCACACCACTAGATCATATAATAGGTATACATCTAAGTACAAAATAAATCATTAATCTGACGGTTAAACATTACAGTTCTAGCGTTGATACTCCATCGCTATACCACATGCGATAACCAATTACAAAATGTCTAACTTTCCGATCCGATGAGGCTGTTAAGAGGCACGGGAGCACGGGAGGTAATCAGCCGCAGAGAGGATCAGGTAATCAACGATGAGCGAGATGGATAGATCCCTGGCAACCAACCAACCAACATACTTTCCTTCTCACTACTACAGCGATAGAAACAATACCGCCTACACACTATATTGTTTCCACACCATAATCAACAGAGGCAACTAGGCATCCTTGGTTCGGGAAGCGGAAAACGCCAGGGTGAGGGCCCCACGTTCAGGTACCCACCAATTCACTTTGCCTTCTTGCTGCGACTTGATCGTTCCCGCCAATCTTCCTCACGCCACAACATATGGTTCCAGCGCGTATTGCAGATAATATGAAAGCTCCGGCTGGTAGTTGGCCACCGGTCGCAAGCTCGAAATATTCCTCGAGCGACATCCTGCTTCGACTTTCACACCCATGAACCTGTCCTCGATCCAGTCAAGCCACAATTGCTGTACGGCATAGAGTGCCGGAACATGTGTTGCACCCTCGACAATTGCGTACTCAATCTGGCTCTCGGGGTATAATGAGCAAGTGTCTTGGACTACTCTCGAAGTCACTGTATGGTTAACAGCCTGGTCCTGAGTACCTTGAAATACAAGCATGGGTCCGGAAATTGGTTGTCGGCCCACGGATGTCAGATTGACATACGCGCCCAGGTACCAGCTCTCGGCAAAATCGGGGCGCAGCCATTGCGTTGGGTCAGAATATAGTTGATAATCCGCGCTGTTGCAACCTTGAATTTCCTTGGCTAGGCTATTGAGTGCGACTCCCGCTTCCGTGAGCCATTCCTTATCAGTGAAAGTTTTGTATATTGACTGCAATCCGCGCGACAAAAGGCCGACGATGGCTACATTGGCCGGATTGATTGCAATCAATTCGGCAGCATTGGTGACTGGGCTACCAGCGACGGTACCTAGATAATTCGTCACAGGGCGCGAGTGTTGTCGTTGGGCGGCTCCCCAAGAAGCTCCTCCGCCTTGGGAGTGTCCCATCGTAACAAACTGTTTCGATAATTCTGGAAAGGCATTTTGTGCGGCCTCGACTGCGTAGAAAACGTCGTTGGCTGCCGCAGGGTTGTTGAGATAGGCGTGAAGGATGTCTTCGCCTTCGGACGTTCGGTTCACTCCCAATCCCGCATAGTCCGGCGCTACAACGGCGTAGCCTTGAAGAGCGAGAGTGTATGGCGCTGAATATTGATACCAAAGATTCCGGATATGGCTCGGAGCGCATTCGCCAAAAACACCGCTTGTGCCATGGGCAAATCCTACGACGGGCACACCAGAGACATTGAGGGACGAGTACTCGCTGCGGAAAGCTTTTGGTTGGAATGGCCACAACACATAGGCTGAGGCTGGGATAGCTGTGCCGTTTAGAGTTTCTGTAACATACAGAATGCGAGAAAGTGACAATCCTGGCGGCAGGGTATACACCGTTGTGTCTGTGAATTCTTCGACCGCCAGAACGGTGCCAGGAGGCGTTGAATTGGTCACTGGCGGCGGTCGGTAGAAGGGATCCTGCGCGACGGACCCGGTCGCCCAATTAGTACGTTCAAAGTTCACGGCGATTTCTGTGTTTTCGACGACAAGCGCGGAAATGTTTGCATTTTCAATCTGAATGGGAGAAAGGTTGAATGATGAGTTGAAGGTGTTGTTTTGGACATGGATCGGCTGGAGTTGAGCTCTGACCGCGCCAACCCAAAGGAAAAGCAAGGAGAGCAACTGATGCGGAGGAAATCTCATGATAAATGCGGAGAATTTCTCTTTGGATAGGAATTTGTTTCCTCGCCTCGATCTTTAAGACCATTAAGTAGTAGGACGGTTACTGGGTGGATTGTCTTTTCATGGATCCTACGTGCTCTGAAAATAGCCCAGGCAGTAAGCTGAGACAAGTACATACATTTGTACGTACCTAATGTATGTCCATGCACAGCACATACGTACACAGTATGTACGCCTTGCGCCGCCTTCTCCAGGAAAGGTACATGAATGACGCAGGATGCATGCCGAGCCTTCCAAATTTTACCCATAACAAACCAATTTTCGAGACATCATCCACCATAACACCAAGTACGCTAACAAGTGAGGGAGATTGATTTGCCTAACTACTTGATGCGCAGTCAGGGCACAGGGGGCGAGAGATGTCGGTGAATCAATTTCTCCTTCAGCCGACGGCATGGCTGATACCGTACACAGTAGATATTGCTCCCACCCAGAATGATTGGGTGTCAGGCTGTGCCCGCCCGCCTGTTACGCCGCTGTACACACTGCACAGTGCACACAGCCCACCAGTTCCTGGAGAAATCACCCAGCACGCGACCTGAAAGCTAGACTTCATGTCATTAAGACCAGAGGAGAGAAAAGAAAAAAGTGGATGGAAAGAAAAAAGGTGGTTGGGGTCAACAAGAACCCTTCCCCACCAAAAATAGTTCTCTGCAGTCCCTAAGGTCTGCAGTGCCTACGCAAGTTAGGCCTGAACGTTTTACTTCTACGACCCTGAGGTACGCAGAAGGCTGTCTTTATCGGGACGGCAACCGAACAGCGAGCAACCAGTCTTGTCTCAAGGCGCACTCTTGCAAGTGCGCGACAGAGCTTCGAAAGGCTACCTGCGCACGACTTCCAGGCTTAGAACAACCTAAGGATCGACCTTGTGGTGGAATAAGTGTACGTGTTGTGCGGTAGAGAAGAGAAGAAGAGAGAGGGAGAGAGGGAAGGCGTGACAAGTAAAGTTGGGGATCACGGGATTAGGCGAACTACGCCAAGACCTTTAGTGCCCCGCTCACTGTTAGTACCAAACAGGATGCCCCCATCACGATATTACCGAACCTTATTGGATTCATGGGACACGAAACAATACTGGAAGGATGTACTCAAAGCGTCTAGATCCATTAACACTGGGAGGAATGTTCTGTCATGAATGCTCGCCTCATGGCAGATGCTAGTCTAGTTATCACATGACGTACTAATTCGCGAGTATCCGGTTGCATCGCAGTAGAGTTCATCGATGAGATATTCAACCACAGAATTGCAAACCCATAGACTCATTCCCGTTGATGCGCATCCTATACCGTGGTTTCAGTTTAACTGTTTGCCTGTGAACTCTTCTTGTCACACAATCCCGTAGACTTCCGAGATATTTACCGTCTCGGAACATTCAAGAAACCCGTTCAACAAGTCGTACATGGGTGTCAATATTCACGCATAGACTTTTCAAAAAGATCAAACATAGTTCAGGGCAGAGAAAATCACCAGTAACACGCGCTATCAACTTTTCATAGAATGAAGGAAGTTTTGCTTTTGATGATAGCTCTGTGGTGGTTTCTCGTTCTCTTTGACTGTTCTAGGTTGTGTATGCTATCTATCCTGGGTTTCATTCTCAGTGACCGCGTTACCTTGACCTGGTGCAACACAATATAATGATTATTGTTTCTTCTCATTGCAAGGCTGAAGTGCCAAAAACAAATTCTGTTGAGTATGATCTTGAGTTCGGGTCACCGTTTTTCTTGATTGATCGTGGTCCGATATGCGGATCTTGATGCGGGCAAGATATACACTCCTATGAGTTCATGGGTGCAATAGCACTTGTAAAAATCACCGACTATGTGGGTACCGGTGAGTGCAGCCTTCCAACAACACCGATCTTGCTTAATCAGGTCTCAGCGAACCACAACCCTGGCACTGTTCTGGTACCATCTTTTGCTGGATCATGTGTTCAACCGAAAGCGTCACTCAAAGGTAAAGTGATACATTCGATAACAACTTACCACTGGGTCACACGGGGCCAACAATTCTCTCAGCGATTAATACATTTTCTCAACCAATATATGATATTTTCTTTCCTCAACAACTCTCAGTAGGGAAAATTGCAATAGACGTAGTTACCATGAATGGGATTAGTGTTCGAAGAAGGTTTGATAGATCCTTCCTCGCCAACATATATAAACCACCGTTTCCTCTCCAAGATTTCTCTCTCAGCTTCACGTCAGATGTAACTTCCTTCTTGTTGTGTGGGTGATGCACGCAGTGCGGCTCACTAGTCATCACAAGGACCCACAGTATGTTGCATTCACTATTAGCCCCCAATATGCTTGAGCCGTTTAGCTCAAGCATAAATCCTCTACCATCATCGGTTTCGCTTCGATACACAAAGCTATTCACGTGTCTTAGCTGGTTTCTCGTTCTTGTCCTCTTCACATTCCAAGCCGAAGCCCAGGTACATGGGGTTGACATTGGAAGGTTGGGACATGAGACATCAGGACAGCACGACGACTCCTCCAAAACAGCCCAGGACCACGAGCGAAAGGTTGCAGACGCAATAGCTCAGGAACTTTTCTTTCATCCCACGGAAATGAACTTCTATGAATCCAGATGGGTCGACTTTCTCGAGGAGTGGTCGCAACAATCATTTGATCGGTACCTCGAGACTCTGAAGGTAACGTCTTGGCCTTTCTTCTAATCCTAAGAGAAAAACGCATTTACTGAAATCTCTAAAAGACACGTCCGGGTATGTCTCAGATTCAGTTCTTTGCATTGGACTTGCTGAATTGGGACAACATGACTTGCAGCCTCTCAACCCCGGGGTACTGCACCAATATGCCATCGAACGCCTACATTCGAGCATACTGGCCAGACCAACGTCATACCGCTCGTCGAATCATCTATACTCTCGAGGCAATACGCAAGGCTTATGCAGAAACGGACCAATTCATCAAGGCGATCGAAGTTGCAAAGCGAAAACTCCAAGCGGTTTGCGGTGAAATTGGCGAAATCTTCTTCCACTCTCCAACGAGTGAGAAGGGGCAACTTTGTAGCAACGACATCTTGAACATTGTTCTAAGTATCTTGGGTACGATCATCACCGTCGTCACCCTGGGGGACGGTTTCGTAGCAATGGCCCCTGTCTTCGAAGCAATCTCTGTTGTCTCTGCGGCCGAGATGGGGACGCTCGCCACTATGCAAGCATACGGCTCAGCTGCCATACACACTATCAAGGCCTCCTTGATTGGTACCTTTCAGAGCGTTGGAACGAAGATCGCCATGGGAGTCGAAAAGCTCGCTGAAGGGGGAAGCCTCTTGGGCATCAAAACGGCGGAGTGGGCTGCTGGAAGGATTTCCAGCAAAATGATTAACTTGGTCACGAAACCGGTCAGTAAACTGGTGGGCAAAATGGGAATGGTAAAAAGTCGCATCCCATTTCTTCAGTCCAAAGGTTTCCGCCCCCCCAAGATTCACAAGGGACCTCCCAATTCGTTGGCTAATTCGGCATCTTCCTCTGGCGAGAATCTCCCCCTGTTGTCCCCTCTCGATTCTGCGTCCTCTTCCGGAGATGGGGTCTGGAGGCCCTCTCTTTCTACCATTTGGGAAAGGTCTTTGCCCGCCAAAGGAAGCAAAAGCTCTCTTGTAACTGGTGTCTTTGGAATCCATGAGGCATTCACAATTGCCGACCAGACAGATGCAGTATCTGATGAACACAGCCTCTACGCTCGTACCAACATCAGCCACACCCCTTGGTTCGTTGAAGTCTACAATCCCGCCATGGACCTGCAGGCGTCTCTTAATGACACCCGACAGCATGTTGTAGATCGCACCTCGGTACTGTTTAGGATCGATGGAGAGAAACGCACAACGGCTTTCGAGAGAGGTCAACCGGCAACAAACCGTTCTGTGCCATTCGTGCTAGGCGCGGAGGAACGGCGTGAGCAGACCTCTCACGCCAGCGATGCACAGGACTTTTGGGAGCTCGGTGGCAAGCTAATTCCACACTTCCGTCATCAAGATGGAAAGCCCCTCCGGATTGAGGCACTGGTAAAGCTTCTCGAAAGCCACGAAAATGGTATCGTCCATCGTTGGCAGAATTTACGCAAGCCTGAGAATCAGTTCCCTACGGCAGATATCAAGCCGCAGAATCTTTCTGGCGTAATGAACATAGACTACGTGCTTTCTACGGCACTGGACCATCTTTCATGGCGCGACATCCTTGGTGGTGTCAAATTCGATGGGATCAACAAGCGCGGCCTCGATGGTACCTCCGACAGCCATAAGTTCCAATGGAAGGTGGGCACCCCACAGGCCTCGATCGAGGAATCCTCGACGGGCTATCACAAAAGGGACACCCAGAAACGTGGTGCAGATCTAGAGTTGAAGTCTAATATTGCTGCTACCCATGATCTGCTTGGATTTGTCGACACTCTGCAAGCGTTTGGTCTCTCGGAACCAGTCAAAACGATGAAGCGATCTCTCAACGATGCCTGGTCATACAGCGAGTTTCCCACCAGTAACATGTTCTCATGGGAAGCGAATGAACCCTACTTTACAAGTGAGATAAAGCAAAGGAAATGTGGGCCCGGAACGTACGGAAAGAGCACAGAGGGTGGGGGTCAGTGCTACCTTTACATCCAAAATGCTGTCGATCATGTCAAAGACAAGCTGGTGAAGACTATGGTGAGGCTTAATACTCCTCCCGACCTTAATGCCGAAACCTGGGAGCCGCCTCTGGTTACTCACCTGAAGCTCCGGTATTCCACCTACGCCAATTTCATCGCCCTTCGCAAGCTAGAGATCTTCCTAGAGGCCTCGGAAGCCGTTTCTGATCAGGTTTTGAACAAAATGAAAAACAATCTCATCTCCAAAATCTACACAGATCAGCAATGCTATGTCAAGTGCACATCTGCCGACGCAGTCGGCAGGGAGGCCAAAGAAAGCCGCCCTGGTGATGTTCATTACTATGGAGATACCGCATGCCTCTCGGGTTGTTACGAGCCTGTCCATCAGCAGCACGAGGAGCTATACGGCCTCAACTACGGGGGCGTAAGGAATATCCGGGCAAGCTTAGATCCCTATAATATCAGTGAGGTGGCGCTGGTTAATGCTTCCTACGACACTTACAACAAGGGCTTGGTGGACGGCTTCCTGAGCGGAGAGTTCAACCTCGATCCGTACCAACAAGATCTCAAGGACACCACGCCCATGCTGCCGGTTTGCAAGAGCGACTACCTCCGACTCAGTAGATCCCATTCCGCGTCGTCAGGGACATGGCCATGCACCTGCGGTGACAAATACGGAAGCCAGTCGGAATTGTTCTGGGCTTCGTCTGTGTGGCTGGCTAGGCATTGGGAGTACGAAGACGACGTTATCGAGGATTGTCGCGAGGGACCGCTCTCCGTGCTCAAGAAGACAAACCCCGCTGCCTATCTCATCAACATGTGTAACGTCTTCTACAAGGGTGTCATGAAACCTGGAGCAGGTTCGCATCAGGAGAGTAAAGACAAAGGCGACTATTATCACAACTACGAGGCGTGCAGGGTCTATTGGAAGTACTACGAGGAGCATAAGGACACCGCCAACGACGCAGAGCTTGACGTCGGCATGTGTAAGCTCTGGAGTCGATTCTCCAAGAACTGGGACAAAGGTGGCGACGGGCGGGACGACTTCAGCTACGTCAACGACGATCTTGAAGATAATGGGTGCAAGCCGTACAAGAAGTTTTGGAGGAAAAAATGTCATCGGAGGATGGATGCACAGTGCGACATGCCCTGGGTCGACCTCGACAATCCCGACTTCTGGTACTAGTTCACGTCATGGCCTACCCATGGAATTGGGAAGGAAGTACTTTGGATAAAATGATTCCTCTTGTTTCTCTTGTGATAGATTCAAAGGTACTGGACGAAACGCTGGTCAGATTTCTCTTTGTTCCTGGTTAACAATATTTCATTAATGGTTTGTATGAGATACCCATCTTTAACTCCAAGGGGAGATGTTCTTCAATACTTAAACAGGTCATGAAAATAGAACTTCAAAATTGATATTTTCCTCCCTTTTCTTCGTGTGGTCAAGCGACTCCTTCTTCTTCTACGTGCTAGAAGGCAGAGAGGAGGGTGAGTAGCATCCTAGAGCCAGATCTTCGGAGCTTTGGGGTTTCTCATCAACTGCTGTCCGACAGTGAATGAAGAGGGAATTCAATAAAAGTCAAGGATCACAAGAAGGAGTGTAGACCAATCAAGTAAATACAAGTTTCGGATTATGATGAGGATTGAACTATTGGTCTATCATTAATTAATTTAGCTGACAATGCGGTGGAGATACATGATTCAGTTATTGAGGATTATGGAAGGTGGCATGTGGTTGGGGAGCCGGTGGCGGCGACGCACTTCCTGCTTGTTTGACGTGCATCTCGGCGGCTATCTCTTGACAGACCTGATTGACCGCCTGCCGGAGGGCACTCGCTCTTGCCACAAGAGCTGGCGACTGGTTCCGATCCAAGCGTTGTAGATCAGGCTGGTTGAGTACACCTGGCTTGTACGATTCGGCACAGAATGATGTTAACAACTTATCTAGGTGCTGCGGTTCGAGGAGGGATTCCTGGAAAAGGTACTTGTACCACCCTGCTCGATTGAGGGCGGGCATGTAAGTTGGGTATGGGGTGCCATTGAGTGCAGACGGCACAGCCATTTCTTGGGAATGGGTCTGCTGTTGGAAATTGAAGGATGGCATCAATGAGGGTTGGCAGGGCACGAGTATATGCGGAATGTTTCTCAAGCTCCAGATCCGTGAAAATGCGCTGTACGTGTTATACTCGAATAGTTCTGCAGGACAGGTCAATAAATTGAATTTACCGATTTCGTCAAATGGAAAGGCTTACGAGCTGCAGCATCGACGATTTCCCCTTGCATCCTCCAGCTTTGCAGGATCTTGCTCGCCTCCAACAAACCCGTGCCCTGGGGTTCGAACTTTCTGTCTAGGACATCGAAGACAACGTCTGCAATGATGTAAAATTCCCGAGTTGGCAGTTCTGTGGCTGTATCGGCTACCCTCCATGGATCTGCCAGTGGTAAGCTACTAGTGCTAACCGCTCGCCTGGGGACACTGAATCTGTTGGCAGGCGAGCTGCTCTGGCGGCCGTTTGATGATGGGGGCTGGTAGGCTTGGTAGGACGGTGATTGGGGTTTTGCGTTCTCCAGAAGGCTAAGGTTGCCGAGGTCAGCAGGTAGTTCCGCGACAAACTCTGTGGGTGGTCGATCGGTCACAGGTTTATGTGCATTGTCCGTTGGCGGTGCCGGAGATTGGCCAGTAGTCTGCGGTGGAGGAGTCATTGGAGGCACACTCTGACTGGGAGTATGAGAATGGGGTGCTACGGGAGGTGTAGCTTCCCATGGCTGCTGATGTTGCTCGGGGGGACGCTGGTCTTGGGTTGGTGGCTGCTGTTGTAAAGCTTGCTGCGTTTCCTGGTGATACGTTTGGTCTGGATTGGAACTTGGGAGTCCATACTGATGTGATTGATTGGGTTGCTGCTGCGGATATTGTTGGGATTGAGGTTGTTGTTGCTGTATCTGTGGCTGTGGCTGATGATCAATAGTCTGGACAGCAGCACTGCCCGTTCCTCCATATTGTGGAGGTGGAGGTGTAGGATTAAAGGCTTGCACTTGGGATACGGTCGGCGAAGACACTGTGCCGTCGAATGATGCACCTCCCACAGTTGGCGCCTGGGGGTTCCATTGGTGCTGCGGGTTCGGCACACTAGGCTGTCCAAAGCTCTGGGGTAGATTTGCCTGGGATGCAGGTGGAGGAGGCGAACTGATTGGGGACATCGAGGTTCCCACCACACCGCTCTGCTGGTCGGGACTTGGGGCATACTGGGGTGGATTTTGTTGGAACTGAGCCTGGCCCTGTGTCTGACCCTGTGGTTGACTTTGTGCTTGGTTGTATTGTCCGTCATAGCCAGTTCCTTGCGCTTGTTGTCCAGGTATATTTCCAACACTCTCTTGCGTATACTGAGTTGGATTATAGCCCGATTCGGTCGGCTGCGATTGCGGCTGCGGTACCTGCTGATTCATGGGTTGATTCGTCTGGGGAAAATAATTGCTCTGGCCCGAGTTTGCCGATGCAGGCGTTCCGTAATTTGACGCTGGATACGGCGATTGCTGAGGGGTCCCATAGGTACTTTGAGGGGTCTGCTGACCCCATTGCTGCTGTTGTGGCTGCTGGGTTTGGGCGCCGAATGTCTGGGACTGTTGCGGGTTCTGCTGCTGCTGATGATTTTGATAGTTTTGATAGTTCTGCAGATGCTGCGGAGTGCCTTGACCCATTGGTTTATTGCCCAACTTGGAACTTATCGTCTTCCCAAACTTGTTAAACATCGGCTTCCCGGATGCAACGGCCTGGTCGAACATCTTCCCGAATGCCGCCGTGGAGCTCTGCTTCTGCGTTGTATTCTGGTACCCGTAGTTCGGTGTGTTTGTGGGATTCATCGCATTCGGCTGGTAAGTTGAGGGCGACATTTGCTGTTGCTGTTGCTGCGAGTACTGCGGCTGTTGGTCGTTGGGCGGCACATACGCTCCCGGAGGAGGAGCCTGCGGAAAATGCGACATTCTAGGGCCGCGAGCTTATCGCACAGGACGAAATGAAGAACGGATTAAAGAATCAAAGACGAAGAACGGTGGTTGTCTAAACTGGGCGTGAAGAACAAGAGTGCGCTTGGGCGACATTGACACCCCGCAGACGCGAGCTGCCTGCTTGAAGTCGAGTGAGGCTGAGAACAGCCGCATTGGATACGGGACTTGGCATTGTGGCTTGATGGGCGGAGTCGAAGCGGAATTGAAGAATTTAGTGGATATCGCGAAAACAAGAAACATAGAACAGGGAGCGAGATACTCGAGACAAAGATGGCGTCTGCTATATCACGGAATAGAGAAGAGACAGGTTGAGTAAGAAATCCAGGCAGGCCAAGGGATGGTGGAGGAAACAATCTGGGGAAGAAAGGAATTTGGGGGTTCGCTGATGTTGCTTTAGTCCAGTGAACGGCCAATCAGAGGGCCAGGAACAAAGCTTGATGGCCGATCTCCCGATGAATACGGACCAACTATCGCTATCTACTATGACTACCTATACAACAGGATGTCCACTCCTATAAGCCTAGGTGCCGAAACATTTGGCTATAGCTTGACAATATACAATGATCATTTCATCACCTTAGCATCGATCGATGTCACTGTAAGCTTCCATGCCCCATCGTAAATCTATTGCTTCGTATCGTGTTTCTCAACGTCCCATAATCCCTCCCGTTTCAAACTGGTTGCTGCGGCTTCTTTTGACTATCGAAGGAATGCATCCCTTTAGAAGCTCACATGGTTCACTTGAAACAGAGAAAACGGGGACCCTCTTGTTTCCTCTACGATAGATGTGCGTTGCACAAACTTCGTAAGGCCTGCATTCATTGTCAGTCATCAATCAACCCATTTCTCAAACGCCCCAACCCCAGAAGATATGAGCCTTCGCAAAGAATGAAAGACCTGACTAAGCTACGGAGTAAATGACCCCGAAAACACTATTATTCTAGACTATATATTGTGAGAAGATGGATGGGATGCAACAGTGGTGGCTGGGGGGTACGCGAAAGGATAGAGAGCGTTGGTGGGACAGCGCAATGCAATGCAGCCTTACGATGCACCAACCTCGCGGAACTCCAATCGGAATACTCCCTACAGCCTCATCTTTTTCTAAATCAACAGCTTTAGTTGGCAGTCGTGGACAGAATTCTTCGGACCACGGATTCGACGGTGTGGAGTATGTGATTTCGCATTATAATCACACAATTGTATAGAGAGATATGCCCGGTTCCCCAATCTCATCCTGTGACCCAGTGAACTCGTTGATGAAGTTGGCGAACGAGGACCTCAGTCAGGCTCAGTGATGATGTCACCGGGCAGCTTGGTTACCGGGTCGGGCATCTGGGCATGTAAGAATGGAGTTCTAGAGGCTACTGCCACGGGGGAAATTCCACGTTGTTGGATAGAGGGTGAGGAATTCCACATCTCCCGGCCACCGCCGACACCTCTGAACAAGACTGTCAAAAAAGAAATCTTAGGTCACGAAACAGTATGATCACTGCGAAGGTGTAGCGATAATCCGGTTCGAATATCCAGCTTCTTAAAAGAATTCCCAGAAGGTGGCGTTTCGTTTTAATGAATTTCGATGTATTCCCGTTACAACTTTCAGGTTTCGCATGCTATCAACCAGGGACACGCAATATTCAATTGGCCATGTATTTTAGAGAAGGGTCACGCCGATAATGTATATCCAAACAGGCTAAACTGGTTGGAGAAATCGATCGCCAGGCACGCGATGGATCGGTTGCTGTGGGTGAATATCCTTGCTGGCTGTGTTCCGCAACAATTATTACTGCGTACGGAGTGTGGAGTACAGAGCACAGTGATCCGTACATACTACGGAGTACACAGTAGTTACCTGGTGTACAGTAGCACTGAGTAGAAAGGCGTAGATACAAAGTACAGAATACTCGTTCGGTGGCGGGTCGGATTGGTAGTACAGTCCCTGAGTGCATGAGTACCTGCCCATCCAAGGTACGTGGTCCGTTACACCAAACTCATCACATAAACCAACCTCCTACGCCCTCACATTTCTTCTCGCCTCCTCACCTCCACGCCCTCCTCGATCTTCTATCTCTCATTTACTCTATATTATATCTCTACCCTTCTTTATTTCCCTCGCCGCTGACCCATTCAATTCTTGCTCCCACTCTTCACAGCTATCTTCTCTCACCTTCACAAGCACCACCAGAGCTGCTTCACCGAACACTCGCTCCCAAAACCATTCAAAGATAAAACGCCATATCACATCGCTTTACTCTTCGCAAATTCTTCCCATTCATCATGCATACCTCACTCTGCCTCATCCTACTGTCTTGCGTACCTAGCATTCTCGCGCAGGCAGTGGAAGAAGGCATTGCCCCGTCCGCTCCACCGCCTCCTGGCTGTGAGCAGACTATCGAAAGCAACTTCACCATTGGCATTGCTACCCAATTAGGCTCTCATGGCCGTCGTGATTCTACATCAGCGGTATGTCTAAACCCACAGATTCATCAACGTAGCCTTAGAGGTCATCTAGGCTTGCTCTCTGAAGTCCACCCACTAACTGATATATAGTTGACTGCAGGAGCACTTGAAGTCTCGTTAAAAGACGGCATACTTCGCGATCCAATCGGCCGCATCGGTGCCATCGTTGCCAATCGCCAATTTCAATTCGATGGTCCTCCTCAGGCGGGTACAATCTACACTGGCGGATTTTCAGTTTGCGAGAATAGCTCCCTTGCTCTGGGCGGCTCGACCGTATGGTATCGCTGTATGAGTGGAGCTTTTGGCAATCTCTACGACCAGAGCATTGGGGACCAATGCCACCAGGTTAGCATCGTTGCATCACTGCTCAACCCGCCAGCGCCTTTGAGTTCTTCGATCGCTTCCACCAGCATTGTCAGCACCGCCTCCTCCACCACTGCAAGTCCATCTTCGACTACACCCCTAACGAAACATTCATTCGAGCCAAGCACTCTTTCAATGTCAATCTCTGCCTCATCCAGCAGCTCAAAGAATGGAACGATCTCCACTGCTACCTTACCTGCTTCGACTTCCACCTTCACCGCATCGACGGCCTCTACCCAAGACGTTCCCAAGCCAAGCTCCATCGGAGAAACCTCACCGTCGGTGCCTACAGAATCTTCTGGAGGCGCACAATCAGTTGCATTGCCGAAGATGATCAGTGCACTTATCGGGATACTCGGCGCAGCCGTTTTCCTATGAGCATCCCTCCCCACACCGCGCAACTTCCCTTGTACGATATTGCACAACTCTTGGTTTCGATGATAGATCACCGACGATCAGCAGGAGATTGGATATGTGAGCATCCACTGGATGACGCTCACAAGTAGTAAAAAAGCATACGGCCCTTTGTTCTTTAGTTCGGGCGTGCACAGTACAGTACACATGTCAGCGATTATTTGGTTTGAATACCCATGAAACACTTTTTCGGCGCTTTAGTGCTTGACGCACAGTATTGGGAGGAATTGAGAGACGACGAACAGCGTGTAATGTAATATAGTAGAAACAAGTCGTCGAATAGACAACGACTTCAGACACCTAGGTAGTAATAGTAACTTTAATGTAGACAAACACCACTTATTTCACGGCTACAATCCCTAATGAGATATGATGCTCGCTCTATCAAGGTTTCAAACAACTGTAAAACTACTCGTAACTGGTCGCCTTACTCTACAACAATTGGGCGTCTCCCTGTGAACCCGACAACGGATGCAAGGTCCGGTCACGTGTTGCACCCTAGGCTTGACTTTCCTACTAGTTGCCATTCAACATTAATCAGTGTCATGAATGCATCACTTCACACTTAGTGTTCAACGTGAATTTTGATAGCAGGACAGAATGATACCAAACATGCCATCGTAACATATCTACCAACTATGACGATCATGCACGTCGTCCCACCGCCAAGCCGAGGCATGACGATGACGCATAAGCCACTGCATACCTGCATCGATGGCATTAACGATTAGGCAACGTTTACTTGATATAACTATCCCATGTGACTACCTGATTCCATAATTTCTGCTCGGAAAACACCAACGCTACATACACGATGAATTCTTTCACTTCAAAATCCAAGCCAAAAACCGACGATCAAACGCATCGAACATTGCCAAACCTGTTATCGAAAGTCAATCCCGTAGGGAAATTATTGCAAGGCAAAAAATTATGGAAAAGAGATCATGAGGGGAATGGCGGATATACTACGAAACAGCCCGTAATAGAAGCGAGGGACTCTCTGGAACGTGCTTTCAAGTTGGATGTGCAATCGCTAGATCGAGGACGGCATCTAACCGACACATCTAAATGGAACTACAGCACGGATATTGGTGTCGAAGCAGCCACTGGGGAAGGAAAACCAAGTAACTTCAGCCAACAACCTCTGTCACCTCTCTTCTCGCGCCTCCCTACCGAAATCAGGGAGGTCATCTGGGATCTCGTGTTGTGCTCGAACGAGCGAATTGACTTCTTCCTCCGGAAGACAGAAAGCGGATCCATCGATCTTCGGGGAATGGCGTGCAAGGACCCTGAGAACGGCTCTCCATACCATAAATGCACGCGCGAGGAGAGAACGGAGTCATCGCAAGTTGCGTTTAATGCCGTCCTTCGCTGTTGCAAACTTGCGTTCGTGTTGCCCCTCCGCCGATGAAGCGTCATCACTGTTACTAATGTTTCCGTGCAGGTATATAGAGACAAGTTCGATCCTGTATTACCGCAACCATTTCGCTTTCGACGACAAAGAGACTTTCCACGTCTTCTTTGAAATTGTGCCGCCGCAGCTCTATTCGCAGATACAGCATCTCACGCTACACAACACATATAGTCGACAGGCCCAACTCAATAAAGAACTCTATCTGTCAAGAAACAGGCGGGAACTCGAGCTTGTCAAGACGATGGAAAGGCTGAAGTACCTTTGCATAATAGTCGATATAAGTGACGATTGGAACGAATTATGCAGGTTTTGGGATGATGATCCCTATGCCACTGAGAACATGGGATTGAACGTGGACAACTGGACGAACATGAACAAGGTGCTGCCTCAGGAATGTAAGGTATACCGTGAAGCCATTCCAGAGAGTTGTCGTTTGGTGGCTTATGTCGAGTGCGGATTCAAGCCGCCGTTTGAGATTTACGAGATTAAGGCCGATAATACAGTGGAAAGGCTGGGGAGTCAACCGTTGCCTGAGGGTGCATGATGCACAGCGCGCACATTTTGGTCGTATTTTGTCGAAGGGGCGCGCGGATAACACCTCGTACGAAGCCTCGGCATGACTGCATCACATATCTTGATCCGGTGCAATGGATCATTGCAGGTAGAGTTCGGAAGGTCGGTTTGCTCGTTACAAAAATTGAGCTCGTAAATGTTGTACTGGTTGAAAAAGTTTGTTGTTCAGATGTGAAGATATATCCTGTGCGCACTCAGCCTGGCGATGAGACGAGGCCAAGCCGGATGTGACCTCCTGCGTGCACTCAAATATCGTCGGCATCGTCAAAGGCATCATCGGGTAGCTGAAGCACATCCACCGCATTTCTCGTAATCTCAAGGATCTGATCCAAGGTTCTCCTCTGATTTTTCCACATCTCTCTCCTTTGCTCTTCTCTTCTCCTAGTCTTATCGCTCCAAGCAATTGGGTTTGTGGGTAATTTGGTAAATTTTCTGGTCTTCAATCCCGTCGTGACTCTTAATGCTCTTTCTCCGGGATCAATGGGCGATGGATCATATAGGAAGTCTTTCCAGACAGCCACTGATCTGTCAAGCTCTTGCATATCTTTGAAGATGGCTTCCCGGTCCTTCGCGAGCTGCATTAGATACTCGCGTTCGCGAGGACCCACCGCTGCATCCCTCCGGAGAAATAGCAGCATCTTCATGCTGTCGTCTTCATGATCGATGATGGGGTTCTTTGGCCTGTTGTATCCCGGCGCTTGGAAGAGTGGCCGAAGGTGGGTGTTCATGGTCCACTTCAATCGTCTTCCCTCCGGAACACTAAGGTCGATGAACGTATGTTGTCGCTCCCGGCATACGGCTCGGACGCAATCGTCCTGATGTCCCGAAGTATATCTTAACCCTTTCGTCTGAGCTGAGAGTCAGTGACGTTTCGATGTCAATTGCTGCCATATCGCGCACGCTGCAGGTCTCCGCCTACGGTGAGCGAAGATGGAACACCGGTTGAGGACATGCCTGGATACAGCAAATGGACGAGGGCAAACGCGACAGAGTGGCCAATACACGAAAGTAACGTTCTGCTCTGTACTTACCGAATCCAACTTTCTCTTCACCTTAGCTTCAGCAATAGCAAATTCCATCACCATATTCTTCCAGTCCAATTCAATCATACGAGTCCTGACTTCACTGCTCAGAAACATCGACGAATCTAGTGGCAGAACGGCATCGTCAATCTTAGCAAACCATCGCATACCATAGTATTCTATAGGACGTTTGGTCATGAATTGCCAGCAGAATGTTGCCCACAGCGCCGTGTTGGGATTGTAAACATCTCCAGACGTTGGCCTCCAAAGCTGCTCTATTCTGTTCATGTACGCCTCATCTAGCTTGAAGATAGCCCGATTACCGCCCCATTTGGCCCTGCTGTCTTCCTCAAACCTCTCCACATGCGAGAAACATGCGCAGAACGTGCTTATCTTGTCGTAGGCGGGGAGTATCCAGTCAGGTCCGTATAGGATTCGCGGTCCCACGTAGCCGATAATTTCGGTCCTCAACAAGTAGGAGTAGAATACGTGGGTGTCAATGTACTGTTTGAAAGCACGGCACACAAGTCGAAATCCCAGGATGCAATCAATCCGGACAAAGTCAAGGATGAGGAACAAGATCTCCGCCGGTAAGTGTGGCCGTCTGGTGACCCCATGTTCTTCATCGATGGAATCTATCAATGCTACGATGTCGTCCGAGTCAAATCCCAAGTCGACATATCGAGCAAGATATCGGGGCAATGTGGATTGTTGAGACGATGCTTGAGAAGCCTTGGAATTCATCAGGGAATTTTCCTGCAATGGAAGCGCACTCATGTCGATTGTACACGTAGGTTGAATGCTGTCGAATGAAAATCGCCACCCCAGCACGATGAATCAGTCGATTGTTGGGAGGGGAAGTCCACGGATCCGGGTGTAAACACAGTCCCGTGATTGACATTCTTGGAATAGCTGATGTGTCACGTGATAGGTAGCGCCATAGACAACTTCAAGATGGACAGCAAGGCGATCTCAAGGGAGCCTAGCTGTCATCTTAATTTCCAAGATGAATTGAAGATTAGCGTCCAAGATTAAAATTTAATCGATGGAGAAACATAGTCCAGTTTCGATCAGACAAAGCCAACAATTGTACTTGGATGACATCATGCATCATCCATTACTTGTTCAAGAATCGCAGAGACGGGAAGTTAAAAAGCGTCGCCACCAACCTCGAACAACATGTTCATAATACCCATATCTCAGCATATATTATCCCATTATATTATTTAAAATTCACAATGGGCATACCGTACTCCCGCGAGATAAACGCCGCCTTTGACCAAGTGACGCCGCTCGTCGCTGCCGGCTTCAAAGTACTCAAAACCACCAAGAACATTTCCATCGTCCTTGCCATCATACAAGTCCTTACAGTAATATGTCTTGCAATGATACTTGCTGTTCTACTCGCCATATTGTATTCTGTCAACCCTGACCTCGAGCAAGAGAGGAGAGAATTGGTGACACCAACTCTGCAGCGGCTTGCGAAGGTTTCGGTACTTGGAATCTTAGAGACCACTGTGGCGGTGGCTGTTGGGTTTGGGGGATTTTTCTGCATGGGCTTGGTTTTTGTATGGGGTAGGGGGGAAAATAATCTTGAGATGGAGGGCAATGATGATGCGGATAAGGCGTTGGAGGAGCTCGACGATGACGAACCACAAGAGGTTAAAGAGGCAAGGAAGAAAAACAGGAAGGCTAAGAAAAAGAATAAGAAACCTGAGGGAGAGGTTGCGGAATGAGTGGCCCCGGTCCCGACTCAAAGAAGTCCAGTACGATATTTACGATTTAGCAACGATATGATGACCAGTGAGTATACCCGACATTCATATCGACAACTTGGCTAATGTTGATTTAGTATATCCACCTCACTTAAGAAACAAAGTTTTAACCGACCAGTGGCTTTATTATTCTCAATGATAGATCCGGAAACGGACTAATTCTGGTACAATTTTTGTAATTGCAAGAAATCGCTACATAATGTCATACAAAGTTTTATAAGCGCAGTTTATAGCACACCCCTCTTGACGAACTCAACCGGTATATCAACAGTCTTCGCCCTCAGATACTCCAAACAGTTCTTGCCCAAGGTATCGTATGTTGAGCAAGCATCGTAACCACGGTCCAAGTGGTCGTGCAGGAGGAAGTGGACTGCAAAAATGTTCGGCATCTCGAATCGATCGATCGGCTTGCCCTTGTACTCTTCAGGGCCAAGCAGTTCCTTAATCTTGTCGATGGTGAGAAGGCTGCGTAGCCACTCCCACTCGTCTGCATGGCGGACAAAGAATCCAACGTTGCAGTCTGAGCACTTGTCTCCAGAGCGACCAAGTACGATAGATCCAAGAGGTAGGCGAACAATCGGGCCAAATGATTCGAGGGGAACGGGGTTGGTAGTCTCATAAGAGGGCTGTTGTCGGTCGTACTCGCGGAACTCGGGAGCGAGAGGGATGTCGATGACTTTCTTGCCGTCTACGGCGCCTTCTGCATCCCACAAGCAGTGTGCTCGCTGCTTGAGCGCGGCCTGTGGGAGAAGGGATGGGTGATACTCGTAGTAAGGCTTTCCCTCTGCTAGGCGGAAATCGTTGCCGAGAGAAGCTCCTGGGCAGGACTGCAAGAAGGTAACCATTGAGACTCGAAAGAAGCCTTTGGGATTTCGCATGTTGAGTAGCTCGCGGTCCTTCGATTGAGCAAAAATACGGAAGTCCACGGTAGCTACATCCTGATTTCGGGCGTCGATAGGAGATGCGCCGTTCTGCATAAACTTTAGGGTAGTGAACTTCTTCAGTGTCTCCTCGCCGAGCTCATATTTGATTTGTTCCTCAGTGAACTTGCACTTCTCCTCGATGTGGAGACCGCATAGATAAACATGGTATTCTGCTTGCCATCCTGCAAATCCAGTGAGGCCGACCTTGGTCGTTGGTGGTGGAGGGAGGCCTCGAACGCCAGATACCTTGACTTGGTCTTCGCCTACTTGCTCGATCTTTATATTCTCAAGCTGTGCCGTGACATCGCAGTTGTAGTATTGTGGCCCTTGAATCTCATAAAGAAGTTGGGAGGTCACTGAGTTGACTGTCATGTTACCACCTGTATTCTTCTCTTTGTACATGATACCATGACCCTTATGATCAATGGCACAGATGGGGAAACCCATGTTAATGTGCTTTCCGGACTTCAAGAGCGAGCGGAAATCGGCACAGTAACCGCCAGAGACGTACGCTGAGCACTCAAGGAGGTGGCCTGGCAATGTTAGTACTAGGCGCGCTGTCAGTATTCAAGGTCCATACCGATAATGAGAGATCCGGCCAACTCGTCAAACATGTCGTTCGTCCATTCGTGCCACCAACTGTTCAAATTAGCCAAGATTTTTCATGAGAGTGGGTGGACATACGCTGCAGCTCCAATGATAGGAGAAGCATCAGAGACTCGACCGCAAATAACAACATCAGCTCCCTCGGTCAGGGCTCTTGCGATGCCCATGCCACCAAGATAGCACTGTGCGCAAACAGGGTCCAGTCCCCACTCCTCAACTGAGCGGTTGTGCATCAAACTACGGAATCCCTCGCCCTTGTTAAGCATTCCCTGGACGGCCCCTGTGACGTCGTCGCCCTCGATCCAGGCGACCTTAAGGTTGTAACCTGCCTCCTTGACCTTCTTATCAACGAGCTGTGCAAGCAACTCTGTGTCTGAAGCACCAGCATTGACGGCAAGCTTGATTCCCTTCTCTGCAAGAGCAGGAACAGCAGGCATGAAGCAATCAAGGAAGTTCTCAGCGAACATGGCGTATTCGAGCTTCTCCTCGAAGCTCTGCGCTTGTGACATATTCTCCTTGTTTCTGATCTTTGCAGTTCCATGCATGGTCATTGTCATCTCGGAGAGCCAGTCTCCGACGATTACGTCCACCTCTTCATTGTTTGCAAGTGAAGAAATCGCGCGAACACGGTCTGAAAACCCGCCGGAGGCGCCGGCGACGCGAACAGCTCGACGAGCAGCTGGAGCCATGCTTGTTGTGTTAAAAGGTCACTAGGGTATCTTTAAAAGGGGAAGACAGGAGAAAGAGGAGTGGTTGCTAGACCATTTCAAAAAGCAAAAGACAACAGAGAGCATGATATAGATATATGGCTCCTCTGGCGGGGACGCCTCCCGGTGAAGGCCTGCCATTGGAAATGCAAATGCCATAGAGCGTGTCACTGACGGTTGAGCATTTCCGCTAGACGTCGGACTTAATTAGACGAAAGCTCTGGAGATAGCCCTACCCCACAATACTCCATGGGGTGAAGCTAGCCTAGTCAAGAATAGTGAATGGGAGTGACGAATCGCGCCGAACATACCCGGCGAGCGCGAGGGGTTTCGATCACGTGTTTCTCCGTAAATTCACTTGTCAAGGTTCGCGGAGTCTCGGTTTATCCATCGGCAGGTCGGAGAGCGCAGTCTCGAGCGGATTCTTTATTCCGCCTTGTTTAACGTCACCTTCCGTAGCATCGGCCGAAGAATGCTTGACTCGCTAGTTGGCTATAACCGCTACATGATTGTCAATTCGCGAGTCAGTCGATTCCTGATTCAATGCACACTAAACCCCGTCCAGGTTGTTCCTGTGACAGATGCGTGTACCGATATAGGACATAGGAATGCTAACAGAATACCTCTAGCCAATAGTTGTATAATTCGTTATTTCTAGCTGCTCCTATTACGGCCATTGAAGAAGCCAGCATCTTTGATCGTCTTTCCAATCCAGAAAGTGATCAATTATCCAGGCCGTCCTTCTCTACTAGTCGTCTTACACAATCCACTACTTCTCTATCCATATCGTCCATGTCTTTTCCCGGTTCTCTAACCTTCTTGTCAAGCACTGCGTCCAACATACCCCTCAGCCTGCTGACGAGAACTCCAATTCTAGCCCAGCCTCGAAGACGTATCCATTCATCAACAACAAGACCACGTCCTAGCGTATCAACTGAAATCGAGCCAGCGAACATGAGCAAGGAGTAAGCGTTGAAAGGAGTAATATCGCGAATAAATATCTTGGACGTTGCCATCTTATTGAAGTATGCGATAAATGCTGCATTCGACGGGAATGTTTGTGCATCGAAAATGATGGAACTTGGATGCACGAACACACGACCGTTCTCTTGATTGAAGTATTTTATAGTTCGAGCTTCAGGATCCAGCTCGACAGCGCCAGCGATGCCTGCCGCGAACTTTTTGTCTGGCATCTGGATGCGGGCAATCTGTGGATTGAAGGAACCAGCTATGAGTGCACGCAGGAGTGCATCATTAGCGTTATGCTTGTTGTAGGCGCCATACGTGTTTGTGTTGTTGGACGAATATGATGTCGGTATGAGTGATATCTCTTTCAGAGATGATAAATACTGCGAGCGATTGCTAGCAACATCGAACAACGTCTGTGACGAAAGTCGGTTATCTTGACACCATCGTCGCAATTCCCAGTTGGGGACTCCCTTGGCTCGCATGCCAGACCATTGCTCGTATGCACGAAGATCAATCAAAAGGTCGCCTTGGTTCTGGGAGAATGATGATCGTACACGACTAAACTCGTCGCGGGTTTCTTGGTCACGCTCCCTTGGAGAGAGGAACGGAGACCGAGTTGTGAGTACTGATGCAATAGTGAGTGTTGCTTCGAGACATCCAAAAGTGGCTCCAAAGACAAGAAGTTTACTGCAACGAAGATCGGCTGGAATCATGGAGAGGTGTCGTCCGAGTGCAGTGAGCTGATCATCATCAATTGCTCCAATCTGACCGAGCAGCTTGATAGCCCCCTCAACTGCGGTACTCTCTGGGGGAGTCAGGGCACTAGCCAAGAAGCCGGACACATCTTGCACGCCCATAGCTTTGATGGACAAGCAAAGTTGCTCCAGAGGCACGCGTCGAATCTCAGGGTCGGGACGCTCCATCATCTTGGCCTCGGCGTTGCGCGTGTAAAGTTTGTAGCACTGTCCGGCGCGCACACGTCCTGCACGGCCACGACGTTGCTTACAGGCAGCGCGTGAAGCCCAAGTCTCTGCTAATCGAACCATGTTGTTTTGCGGATCAAAGCTGGTTTCTTTGACCTTTCCGGTGTCTATGACTGCAACGATATCCTCAATAGTGATAGATGTTTCCGCGACATTTGTCGCTGCGATGACCTTTCGTTTTCCTGCTGGAGCACGAGGGAATACTCGCTTCTGCTCTGCTGGTAGCAACGAGGCATGCAGAGGTAAAGCGTGGAAATTGGGAAATTGCCGTAGTGCTTGCAGAGTTCGATCAATTTCCATTGTACCAGGAAGGAAAATCAAGACGCCCCCGTCCTTGTCTCCGAGCTGTTGATCGATGTATCGAACCGTCTCTGCGATCAGATCATAGTTGATACCAAAGCCAATACTGCGGAGGTTTGCAGACAGTGACTTTGTGTCTGGGGTATCATCAAAGTCTTCGTTCCTGCCGCCACGAAAGTTGGTGAAGTGAACAATGTCATCGACGTAATAATCATCCACTGGATATGTTCTCCCTTGGATCTCTACGCGGCCTACGGGGCCGACATCGTGGAAATACGCCTCGAAAACATCTGCATCAAGAGTAGCACTCATCAAAATGACTTTGAGATCTTTTCGCTTTCGGAGAATGTCTCTCAAAAGAACCAGGAGAAAGTCAGTGTCAAGACTACGCTCGTGCACTTCATCAACCACTACGTGGCTGACGTCGGCCAGAGCGGCGACGACATCGTCCGCACTACCGCCTGATGTCTGTAGACGCCGAAGCAGAACACCAGTAGTCACAAATGTGATCTTGGTAGTACCTGGCTTCTGTTTCGACTCTCCGCGAATAGCATAGCCGATTTCTTCCCCAACCTGGGCACATCGTTCGTCCGCTACGCGATCTGCAAGTCCTAGAGCTGAAATTCTGCGAGGCTGAGTACAGATAATGTTCGCCACACCACCGAGTTGTCTTTGTATCAAGTCGTCCAAGACGAACTGTACACTCTGTGTCGATTTTCCGGACCCGGTCTCTCCAGAGATGATGCAAACTTGGCTATCATTGACTGCTCTCACGATTTCTTCGCGCAATTTCCAGGCAGGTAAACCTTGCCGGGCGGTCATCATCTTCTTCTGAGCTTCTGTGCCTTGCTTGATCTGCCAGTCCGAAAGTATCTTTCGGCTAATCTGCGAGCCTATGTCCCATCTGATAGGCTGTCTGGCACGACTCTTGCGGCCCTTCTTGTGCGCTTGTTCTTCAAGATGTTGACGCTCTTTGACGGAAGCTCCTGACGATACATCTGTCAGCCGTCCAGGATCCTTGAAGATGGCACCTGCGTTTTGCTGAACCCAATCCACGATGTCGAATATCATGGGTGCGCCGATGAAGCTAGTTTCGGCGTGTAGGAGAGCCTGTCGTATGATACTGAGCCGAATATATGAAGGAATACCTGCTTCAAACGTAATGATTGGCAAAACAGATGGGTAAGGACCAACTGGTTTCCTCGCTTGAAGAACCAGGCGTTTCCCTTGCTGCTTAATGTCGAGCTGAATGCGACATACTGTAGGCGATGGCCTTTCGTAAAGGTCGCCGTAAATTGCTTCAAGGGACATTTGCTCTTCCTCCCAAGCATCCCCTCCTTCAGGGTCATCGTTACTAATAGTCAGGGAAGCTAATTCTTGAGCGACATCCTTTTCATCCTCTGTTGGCCGTAGTAGTCGGGCTTGGAGATATGCAGCAGCCTTGCCTTCATCTCTACATTGATTGTCGAATGCTTCTTCGCATAGTTCGCTTGCATAACCAGCTGCTGCGAGGCGTTTGATGGCACCTTCTCTCTTGAGATCAGAACTAGCCATGCTGATACCAGCAACGTAACCCTCCGGAAGACTCCAAGAAGGCAAATCGTCCTCCGGGACGTGAATGAGAAGCCACTCGATTACTTCCTCTCTGTCTTTGCATACATTGATTGCCTCTTCAACGTGACTGCGTCGAAAGCCCAAGTCTGTAACTTCGTCAAGAATTCGACTGCGCTGGCGAGGGTCCATCGGAACATCATGAGGATTCCACAGTGCATCCCTGCGAATCAACCTCTCAGCTTCCTTTCTCGTCTTCTCGCCCAGCTCAATTTTGGGCACTCTTTCCCAGCCTTTCAGGAGGTTGTTACGTCCAGGGGACGGTCCCCGCGAATTAGGCAGAGACATGCCCGGTTGGAGGTTCTGTGTCTTTTTCGCATCCTCCCTCTCTTTCTGCTTCTTCTCGCGTTCTTTTGCTGCCGCGGCCTCGGCTTTCTGTCGCTCCTGGTATGCGAAGAATGGATCCGGCTCATACATCCAAGCTTTTCCGTTCCTTTCATCTGCTTTCTTCATATCCGTGAAGATGCCTTTCCACAGGTCGCGATAAGATGGAGGCATCATCATATGCATGTTTTTAGCACTTGCAACCCGGAACAGAGCGTATGCTGCGGCGAAGTTACGTGCTTCGACGGCGGTTGGGTGACGTGCCTCGCTCTCAAGTTCCTTTGGTATCTCAATTGGTGGAAGTGTGGTAGTCTCCTGAGTCTTTGGGTTCACCTTCGACAACACCACAGATTGGGCCAAGTGCTTCTCCCCTTGTCGACGCAACCGATAGTCTGGCTTCGCCCATTTCTGCTTCTGGAAATGTTCTGAAAGTAGATTCACAGGAAGCTTTCCGGTCCAGGAGGCGCCGCCTATCAAAGTCCGGGTGTCTGGTCGTTTCGGTCCTTCTTCAGATGGACCCGCGGCCGTCTTCCCCTTTGCGTTGCTCTTGTCGTCTGCAGGCTTCGAGGAAGCATCTGCTTTTTTGGACTTCTTTTCCTTGCCGTTCCCAAATACAATGAAGCTTGTGTCTTCCTCTGGGGGAACCGATTTTGGCTTTTTCGTTTGGCCACCCCTTGGTGGATGTGCGTTTTTCGGCATGATGGAATAGTTCGAATGATTAGGAAATAGAAATACTTTTTGAGATAATTTGCGTCTAAAGTAACAAAACGCTGCTCTATACCGATGCCGACCAGGTGCTGAAGTTGGAATCTATGAACAACAAACGCTCCGACGTCTCCATCTAGATAAGTCGAATCCTGAGGTATTGTGCTGTTGGTATTTTCAACTGCCGAGCGTAGGACTCAGAATGCATCAGACTGCACAAAAATATGTGATCCCCTCAACAATACATTGAGGTACAGCTTTTGGATTAGGGATGATCTAGCGGGGAGACGATGTCCAAATTATTCCCCGAAGTATGTAGAGATGATAAGGTCAGCTATAGGTCTGTAGAATCAAACCATATAGAATGTCCAAAGGCAGCTGGCGGGCTTTGAAAGCTGACTGCTGAAAATCGAGAATTATGGTCGAGACCACCAAATGGTGTCTTATCGATAAGCGGAATATCTATCTTGGCGACCGTCACTTTCCGTCATTCCCAATCGCGTTCCCCTCTAATGTCATCAACTTTTGTTGTCTCACAAACATGTGCGATACGCCGACAATCCCTTCCATATATCCACGACTCTGTACCATAGAGTGAGACTGTTCTTTCAAGACTTCCTATTTTTCATTGTCTACCAGCATGGGTTCTCCAGCGGAGAACAACACAAAACACGATGCCATCCCAGCTGAGGACATCGAAGCTCCTGCTACACCTCAAGCTGCCCCAGATCCACAACCTGCCAAAAGGGCGAATGCCTGTACGTTCGCAATCGCTCCCCGCCTATCTATATAAACACCCAAAAATCCTTAACTCACCGCCAGTCACAGAGCTCATGACGGCCGCGAAGAAGCCCAAGCCCGCAGCACCCGTCGCCGCGCAGGCACCACCCAAACGCCATGCATTCGACCCCCGACACGGCCTGGGCGTTTACATCGAGCACCCGGAGAAGAATCCAGAGGGGTTAGTGGTGGAATACGACGACGATTGGGTTGTGATACGCGACAAGTATCCGAAAGCGAGGTACGCTCTGCAAGATGTTTGATTTGCAATGAAGTGCAATTGGCATACCAACACTCCTAACATAGTGTACACCTCCTCCTCATCCCCCGCGACCCCGAAATCTACAGCGAACACCCTCTTCACGCGCTGTCCAAACGTCCCGAACTCCTCGCCGATGCCCACAAACGCGTAGACCGCCTCAAGCGCTTCGTCGCGAGCGACCTCCGCCGAATGTACGGCAAGACCTCCGCGGCAGACCAGCCGTACCAGACAGCATTGGAGGAGCTCATGACAAGCGACAAGACGCCGCCTCCGGCCAGCGAGCGCAGCGAGCGCGACGAGCAGCTCCCCGCAGGTCGGGACTGGATGTCGGAGGTGGTTGCGGGTGTGCACACGCACCCGTCGATGAATCATATGCATATCCACATTCTGTCACGGGAGAGCCACTCTCCGTGCTTGAAGCATAAGAAGCATTATCTCAGCTTTCATTCGAGTTTCTTTGTGGGGTTAGACGAGTTGCCGTTGGATGAGGAGAGGGATAGGAAGAGGTTTCATCCGGGGGACTGGCCGCAGTGGGATATGCTGTGCTGGCGGTGTGGAAAGAACTTTGGGCAGAAGTTCGCGGCGCTGAAGAGGCATATAGAGGAGGAGTTCGAGGAGTGGAAACGAGAGTGACTTACAACGTGAGTGGGTTGCCATGATTACGAGCTGTTGTCAGTGATACCGTTAGCTACTAATTTAGAACGGAGACGACACTATTGGAGCTGAAATGGCAGACGGGATTCCTCCCAGCTATACCAAAGCAGATATATTAATGTGAACCTATCGACTCCAATGGTACACTTGATCCCCCTAGTTATACATAACCGGCAAACTTTTCGGGTGTCATTATAGAGTACATTGTGTTTCGGCCGTCAACTCCTCTCGGAAGCGCGCAAGACTGCATTTCCAGCAATCCAACTACGCTTTCAACGCCCTGATGCATACTATCCAGGTCGATTGCCAAAATTGCTTAAACATATGCGCGTTGCCAAAACCCAATCACTAGATCCATGCAATCCCGCAAGAAAAAACAAGCACTCGTGGCTCTCCACCATGCACCAAATCCCCAATGTTGTGGATCGCTTAGGTCTTGACGACCTTGGTCTTGGGGGTACCGCTCCTGACGCGCTTGGCCTCAGGGCGCTGAAGGTGAGCAGCGGGGATCCAGCTCTCATCATAAGCCTTGGAGCTAGTAGTGACGGCGGGACCATCAGCACCAACAACAGCGACTTGCTCGGTAGGGTCGACCTTCTTGGTACCGGCGGAGGAGCGCTTGGCACGCTCACCACCCTTGCCTCCGCGCTTCTTCTGGGGGAAGAAGGTGGTGATCCAGGTACTGTAGATGAAGTAGACGGTTCCGGCGAAGGCAGCGAGGAGAACGGAGTAGAGGAAGAGGCTGCGGGCAGAAATTAGCAACTGGTCACGCCATAGTAGATGAGAAGGCACTCACATCTGGGGGTCGAAGAAGCTGGTGGGTGCCTCAACCACGCTGACAGTCTCATTGTAGGCCGGGACGGTGTAGAATGAGTTCTTGGAATCCTTCAAGACAGCCATGAGCTGGAGACGAACGTTCTGGGGGTGCATCTCGGTGCTGAAGCTGTAGGTGACGGTCTCGGACTCGCCAGCAGGAATCTCAACCTGGTAGCGGGTGGCAGTCAAGTTGCGAAGGATCTGAGGCTCAGGGGTACCGTCCTGGAGCAGAGATCCGCCGACGATGGCGACACTGATGGGCTCAGGCTCATCGTTGGAGAAGGAAAGTTGTGCCTGGGTCGGGTGGCCGTTGATGAGCTTGACACCGAAGATCTCGGATTGGGGGAAGCTGGCAGAGACGGAGACCTTGAGGGCGGCGCTCTGAGGCTCTTCTACGACCTCCTTGGCGGGGTCGACCTGCAATTGGGGATGTTAATATACTGAGCTCAGATTGATGTCATGGATGCGGAGAAGGAAGCGCATACCTCGAGTTCATCCTTGGCGAAGGCATTGAGAGCGCCCAAGGAGAGGAGGAGCAGAGAAGAGAGCTTCCAGGAAACCATTGTGGAGAGAAGACCGCGGAGGGAGGGTGGAGGGAGGATGGGATGGGATTGGGGATGAGGGGGATGAGGATGGGCAGAGGTGGTGGAGGAGGGAGAATGGAGGAGAATGGAAGGGACAGATGTTACGTGTAGAGTAGAGTAGAGTAGTAATAACTAAGCGTGTGGTTCACTCCTAGTAACTAGTGACTGTGGAGTAGCTACAGACGGTACAGGGCCATACAGGCAGTACGAGGTACGCCGTACGGTAGAGTGTAGGTGGCTTCTTACCAGGCCAGGCCAGCCGGAATACCTGTCTACTCTCTATTCGGACTAGCACAGGACGGTGACAGAAGAACGGCACGTGAACGGGTAGAGACAATAAGAGAGGCCCAGAAGACCCAGAAGGAGCCAATGGAAGAGACAAACAGAATTGGCCAATGGGAAGACGATCGCTTTTGCGTCCCTCGCCAAGACTTTCCGCCCACCCTTGCATTGTCTGTTAGTCCTAATGAGGTAAGGTGCCGATCACACGATGGGGGAATTTCCCAAAACTTTCCAGATCTTTCCTCATTCAAATTGAAAGTTTCTATTATTCTATTGAGTATCATACTCTATTACACACAGTACACAATATATACCTACACCGTTACCAGCCAAGTATCAACTAATAGTTCCCATCCCCATCATCGGTACCTACGTTATCACACAAAGGTACCAACATAAGCATCCACCATTACCTCTTCCTCAATACATCCATCCTCAAACCCTTCTTCACTCTGCCTATCTACAAGGCAGACAAGACAGGTAGATAAGATACGCCACCTTCAAACCCTCCTCTCTCTCTCTCTCTCTCTCTCGGCGCTTATTTCTCTCTATTCCGCTTCACATCGCGCCGGGACTCTCTTTCAGTTTGCGCGCCAATAGGCACATACACCGCCGCTCGCTCCTGCAGGCATCCCGGCTGCCAATCAACCTTCCGCGCCTACCTGCATGGTTGGTGATAATCTCCGTCTTTTTTTTCTAAACAAAGACTTCCCGTCACCACCACCGTCATCATCAATATAATCCTCTCCCCCCTCCCTCCGTTCTTTAAATCCTTCCATTGAAACATCATCCTCCGCCTGGATCATTCAACCGCACTTGTCTGGGTCGCAATTTCCAACCATCTTCGCAAATAAATACGGAAGCCCGGCAAACCAACCTCTGCCTCCATTCTCGGGGTGACCAGTCGCCAAACTATCGCCGTTCACTCCCACCACCACCATCTTCGCCTCTAATCACTTTTTTTTTGAACCGGTCCGACCCTCTTTGTAACAGACAGATCATTTACCATCTGCGCGTCATTTCACCTGTTACCAACCGGCACTTGTTCTCAAGTCACCATCAATTTTCTTTTTGACCAAACCTACCATGGCGCCTAGCACTCCATATTCGAATGGCACCTCGCCTGAAAGCAAGGCCTTCACCCCGAGCAGGGTCAGAACGCCTTCAGAGCAGCAAGACGACACATCAGTCTGGTCCCGTGCGCAGCAGCTTCTGAAACTTGATCAAGCAAAGAGCGACTTCATAAATGTACGTCCATTTCGGTCACATTTTGCCCGCGCACACATTATCTCTCTTGACGGGTGTCGGTCAGACTTCGGCCACAACCACAATTTTGACACTGCGTCTTCCATACAATAATATATCTTTGCTAATGCCGTGCAGGAATTGGTCGCTAGATACGAATATCTCAAGCAATCCTACGAGAGCGAGATCAAACGGAACGAGGAGTGTACCCAAGCTTGGCAATTCGAGAAGCTCCAGTATGAAACACATTTGAAAAGCTTTAAAATTGCTCTGGTAAGTCCGCTCAACATTAAGATCCCTTTTGATCTAATGATGTTCTCACCAAGACAAGCATTCTAACGAGTAACAGGACCGTGATCCGTTTGTAACTGTCTTGATCGATGGAGATGGTATGATTTTCAAGGACGAACTGGTGCGCCAAGGAGAGCCCGGTGGTCGCAAGGCTGCTGCTCAACTCCATGCTGCCATCCTCAATTATGTCCAACATGAAACCGAAACCATTCCTACGAATGTGCAGATTATCTGTCGTGTCTATGCCAATGTGCGTGGGCTAGCCGAAGTTCTCGTTCGCACTGGTGTTGTTGAGGACATTGAAACTGTCGAACAATTTACTCGCGGTTTCACCCGTGGGAACTCACTGTTCGACTTTGTCGACGTCGGCCCTGGTAAAGATAGGGCTGATACCAAGATCATAGGTATGTCTCTCAAGCCCCCAAAGGACGGAACAAGGTTTGGCGTAAAAGGAACTCATCACTAACCCGGACCGTCAGAAACCTTTAAACTTTACCTAGGTGATTTCCATTGTCGTCAAATCTTCTTCGGTTGCTCCCACGATAACGGATATGCTCGAACCCTCGAAGCGCATGCGAGCGACCCCGTCGCTGTTCCAAGAGTTACCCTCCTGGAGGGTGTGCCTTTCGAGAAGGAGCTTGTGGATCTTCCGTACAAGACCAAGAAATTCTCAGACCTATTCCGCGATACCAAGCTCTCGACCGCGTGGGGTGCGTCGTCTTCTGGGTACAATAGCATCCCCAATTCCCCTGCTCCAGTGAAGAATTACAACGTCATCGGTGGGCTACCAACCCGGTTTCCGCCTCCGCAACGTCAAACAAGCAATAGCAACTCATTGTTAGATAGCCCCAACATGGCGCATGTTGTTCCAACCCTACCCAGGACGCCCTCCACATCCACCCTGGCGAGTACCGATGGCATTTCATCAGCAAAGCCGGTTGGCATGAACTGGGCTGCGAAAGCTGCTGCCCCAGCCCCGCCAACAACAGCAGATTCACCAGGTATGTTAACCCTACTACATATACTCACCTCTAGTTAAGCTTACGTCTTGAGCAGTTTATCGGCCAGTCAGTCGTGGCGAAATCATCGCTCGCAATCGTGCAGGTCAACGTGTAGATCCACCAAGCCGTGACTATGATAAGGTCGAGGTGGACCGTATCAAGCGGATCAAGATGTGCAATGTCCACTTTCTCCGAGATGAATGTCCCTTCGGCGATAATTGTACTCATCTTCATGCGTATAAACCGACCCCCTCGGAAATTTCGACCCTCCGCCTCGTTGCTCGTATGGCCCCTTGCTCCAACGGAAGCGGTTGCGAAGACATCAAGTGCATTTACGGTCACCGCTGCCCTGCCCCTACTGGCAAGACTGCCACCTCTGGCAAAACGTGCATATTTGGGGAAAATTGCAAGTTTCCTCCAGAATTGCACAATGTCGATTGCAACATTGTCAAAACATTGGTCATTCGCTAGTCCTCGTAACGTCTGGTGATCAAATTGCGCATCTGGTAAGGTAGAAATTCCGAGATCTTATCAAGATCTGCGTCAAATGTCAAGGTTTCAGATCGGCTAGACGGTCTGTTGTATTGCGGGCTTGCATGACTGCCCGTCAATACATTTTTAGCACTTGTGTTATTCTACCGTGTTCTCTGAGGGTATGCGCAATTATGTGGCGGCATTTTGGTATTTCACAAGGGCAACGGCGGCGATCTAATCACACGAATGGAGTTATGGTAAAGTGCTTACGGATGATACCTCGATATGGCTGGTAGGCGTTCATAATTGCTTTAAGAAATCATATGATTTAGACATGCAGCAAATCACGGCTATCCTACATTGTGTCTGCATTATTCAACTCATTTTTGCTGTGAACAAAACTTCATGAACGGTGCATTACTGGGGAGATGGGCTTCCAGTAATTCTACCAAAACATTTCCCTCCATTCACTTATCATGAACATTGCATAGGAGAGTGGGATATTGATTTATCAGCGCACACCTCTCGTGAGGCGGCTCAGACACAGGACGTAGACACTAAGTGAATTGCGAACTACGTCTTCATTGTCCACAAAGTTTGTCTCACACTTCACAATGTATGTATCAAGCATCATCAAGCTTCCTTATAAACCAACATTCACGCTCACTTTATATATGCTCAACCTTCTGCCAGCACTTCCGTGCATTGTGCACAGATCAGGAGGAGCACTGTTCCATAAGATGAATTTTCGACGCATGTGAATTCATAACGGCGGCCGTGGTGGCATCGGAGGGGGTATATAAACTCCACTTAAACTTATCCTATATCCGGTCAAATCAAACAACACACACAGCAAGCTTTCGAACCCAAAGCACAACTTCATTACTACATTACACCATTACAACTTATTTTTCCACTCGAACATAAGAAACATGTCCTCCAAAATCAACAGTACACGTCAAGACGCTCAAATCAGGCAGCGACCAGTCCAACAAGGAAAAATAACCTCAGTGTCCGTCATAGAGGTGATGGCGAACCAACACCACAGGAACATCAGTCCTCCTCCCTGCGCCGTGGAGCAGCCTCTCAGAAGATTGACCCGCGATATAGACCAAGAGGACTCGTGCGTCAGTCCTCCTCTTTCTCACGAGCATCCTCAGAGTCATCACGTCACCGAAATCGTGGCACCAAGACCCACTCGTCGCGTTACCTTCTTGGACCGGGTGAAGATAATTGAGGAGCCGCAATGGAATGTGTCCTCGTCCACGGATGCGCTCTGTGAGTCACCGGAACAGATGCCTAGGGTGGTGGATGATGGGTATTTTGGTGTCCATCGGGCTGATAAAGAAGTTTTGACAATATCACAGTATGGATTCCATCCTGTGGCATGTCAAGCTGAGTTTTGCTCCTCAATGGATCTTGATGATCTTGTCAGAGGCGCAATAGCAAAATCAGAGACGTCACGAGAGCGACACCAACCACGACAGGTGACTAGGCGTAGTACAACACTCGGTCGTTCGAACGCGGTCCGGGGACGTCCAGCAGCACGGATGCCCACCATCCCCTTGAGAAAAGCCATCGAGAACAGATTGATCGAGGCAAGATCGGGGGTGTTGGCAAGAGCGAGCACGTGGCTGTAGGGGTCGGTGCCCATGTTGGATAGGGGCGATAAGGGGAGTACCATCTAATAGGACCAGATCTCTATGTGAAAGGGGTTTATCTAGAATGGAGTTTGGGTAAATGGTCATACAACGGTACGATACATGATAGATCATGAGAATGAGGAGTCATGTTTCCCAGAATAGTAGACGATTTAGAACGATGGTATGATAGACAATGAGAATGACGAGCAATGCTCCTTCCAGAAAATAAGTTTTACTTGATTCGTGACGTTTAGCTAGATAGCAAGCTACAAATTGAAATCCACATCCGGATTTGCGCCATTCACATGATTAGGATTGACCAAATCCGGTCGGAAGTACTTATAATACCCGTCCGCCTGCTTCAACTGCTTCACACCTTTCGGTTTGTCCATCCTCTCTTTGTACTTCTCCATGTCGATCGTATTTTCCAACCTCCACTTCGTCAGCGCGTCAAAGTCTACACACTTCCTATTCAAACTCATGTCCGGGAACGGATACGGCTCCCTCTCCACCCAATGCAGCGTGATGAGATTCGCGTTCCCACTGCACTGAAGCGCCTGCAGGAGAAGATCCACGCAGTGCTCCATGTGGATCTCGAACATGGCTTTCGGATCCGCGCTGTGCTGCCATTGCGGTTTGTTGTAGTAGTCCGGATAGACCAGCTTGCGCAGGGAGTTGAGGCAGTGGACTTGGTGGTAGACGTCTAGGATCGTGGCGTAGGCGTCATCTCCTAGGCCCCAGATCTCGTCTTCGAGCTTCGTGGCGGTGGAGGGATCTTTACCCATAGCTCTGATTTGGGCCGCTGTCACAGGGAAGACACGGGTAAGTTCCCTGCAGATAGTTGTTAGAAAGACAGGTACGTTGGAAGGAACTTGGTAGTGGTAGCTTTAGGGACTTCACGTACCATTCTTCCCACAATGCATCAACTTCCGGGCTGGGCTTCAGACGAGCCAGTGGAGGGTCGACTTTTGGAGCATACAGTGTGCCATTTATCTTGGTCTTTCGCATCGGTATGTCGAACATGTCCAAAATTGGGCCTTGAGCCATGAGCTTGTATTCCAAACGAGAAATAAGAGGTCTTACTGTAGGTGGAAACACGCCTTAGATCTGGGTTCTTCCTGATATGTGTCTCGAAGAACCAAGTCGAGAAGAGGGTAAGGGAGGCTATGAACAGTATGATATTGCCAATTGTAATGGCCTTCGAAAGCGCCTTTCGCCTTTCTTGATCGTACTGCTTCATTTCGCCATCGTGGAGAAACGCAGCACGCTCGTCATCCATTGCTGGTAATGACATTGACTACGAAATTGAATGTACACAATGGCCAGAAGTAGCTTGTGGTACTTTCGCAGTTAGATTTTGGTTTTATGTGGTGTAAGTGGGTATGTCTACTCAGCCATCACCCTTCTTTGCTATGTCGCAAGGGCCATTGCGTAATATGCATTGTTTCTACACCATAACATCAACCATTCCACTCTTACGGACGCAACGGCGTCGAATCTGCGCCTCTAGATCCTCGCCCAACAATATACACCCAACATCCGCTGCGCATTCATCAGCCAATCGCTCGTTTCATCTGCAAGCTATCTACTTGGCGCCTTAGCGACCTTCCCGCTGGGGAAACCAGAACGTACGCGGTCGGTGAAATAGGATCTTCCCGGAGTTGTACAAGATCTAGAGGAGGCAAACCTGTACTATTATAGATTCATATATGACATGCAACTTCGCGGCCTTGGGGTAATCCTGAAGGATCTATTGCCTTGAGATATACTCCATTGCCACCGTTGCCTTGAGCATCTGACCAAACATCAAGAATGTTCGTCATGTTGCGAATGCTTGGTATGCATAACTACCTTCTCGTCATGGAATCAAATCGTCGTTGTTGAAGAGCGAGAATAGATTTGGGATCAACTTGCTGGCTGCGCCGAGACGGAAATGCGATCTCGACCAACTGAATCCTTATTGAGGCCGAAGCAAAGCGAGGTTCTCAACGGATTCGCCATTCAAATCTCGACGAAGGAAGTGCCCATATGCTACAATCCCGACAATATAAAAGAGACGTGCTGGTTGTTTTCAAGTAGACATCAGCCATCACTTTCTCATCAAGCTACCTACAGACAAGACAAAACACTAACTCGATCAGCTACGAAAATGAAGTGCTTCGTGGCTATTGCTATTGCAGGCCTCAGTGCCATTGTAACAGCTGCTCCAACGGTATGTTCGACCCATTTATAACCCGCAAAAACATTAAATTCAACGTCTAATCCGTGTTCATGTCAAAGCCCGCGGCCCCTGCAGGTCTAAAGAGGACTGCCAGCGGAGACATTGTGGCAACCTATAACGAGGAGCATCTGGCAGGCTGGAAGCGAGATGAGGATGGCGACGTTGTGGTTCCAACTTACATTCGCATACATCTGGGTGGCAAGGCCAAGAGGAACGCTGATGATGACGATGTCACTGCGACATATATCAGGGCTCATTTGGGTGGAAAGGCAAAGAGGGATGCCGATGATGATGATGTAACAGCAACTTACATCAGGGCCCATCTTGGTGGCAAGACGAAGAGGGAGGTCGATGATGATGGTGCCAGTCCAACTTATATTAGGGCTCATCTTGGGGGCAAGGCGAAGAGAGAGGCCGATGATGGCGATGCCACTGCAAGTTATATCAGGGCTCATCTTGGTGGTTAAATTTCAGATAGGGATGATATACAGATGACAGAGGCACTGATGGCTTTAAAGAAATTCACACACTCGCTCAAACAAATTAATTGCAAGTCTTCCCTCCAGGAGAGTTTCAAAGAACAGAGCAGCTAGCCTAGGCTCTCGGTATGTGTGAATTGTTTGTTATAAATACGAAATGGGAAATGCAAGGCTATCATGCCGGATTAAGAACGATAAACATAGCACTTAGTTATTTTTGGTAAGTCACTAAATCGAGTTCCAAGTCGGTCCTTCGTTCAGTCTTTCTGAGGTTAAATTCAGGGACCTTCACAGCCTCCTGTCCAATCAGGGTCCCCTCAAATCCCTCCAGCCCTTGTCCTAACTACGAAGACAGTCGACCTTGGGCAAACACAACACCAGCAATTAATGCGCTTCCTCTTCATGTGCAAGTATCATAGGATTACCTAGGTAACTAGTTAACATGTCAATCAGTCGCTGGCCAATCGGTAGATCCATCGGGAATCAATCGAGCAATTCCTCTCCACCAGAGCGCCCTAACCTCGGTGCACTAGATGTATCTCTACGCACCGTTGATCGCACAAAGTTTGATACGATGGTCGTATTCGATACGTCTCCGCTTCTGCCAAGGAATATACCCCAGAAAACAACAGGTTCCCCGCGATTTAGACGTCAACATTAAGCTCATCAAGAACCTCGCGAGACTTTTACCCGAACCGCCCGTTGACGATCGATGGGGCTAGCAGGGGGAACAGGGATACGATCGCGATATCTCTCACCGAGTATCTAACTGTTGCATCCAATATAAATAAACAGAGTGGCAATGTATTCAGAGACATTTATCCACGGACAAACGCCTCTTGTTCAGCAGACGAGCCAGTGCGCCAGCATGTCGGTCTCAATTGCATCGCTTTCTTTTGAACACCACCGCCCCGCGTTTGGTATTGCGGAGACAGAGCCTCGCATCTCTTGGAGATTCGAAGGGACCGCCACCAACTGGGAGCAAACAAGCTATGACGTCGAAATATCTCGTGGAGCAGACGGCGTCCCAAACGTTTTCAATGTCAATAGCACAGACTCGATATTAGTCCCATGGCCGGATAAGCCCTTGGGCAGCGCAGAATCTGCGACCGTCAGAGCTAGAGCCCATGGAGGTCAAGGCCAGGAATCAACAGAATGGTCAGACGTCTTCACAGTGGAGACGGGACTTCTAAACCCTGAAGATTGGGCGGGTGCGAAACCTATTGCCGCAGATCGAGAGACAGAAATCGACGCACCTAAGCAACCCGTCCTCTTCCGGAAAGCCTTTCAAGTCAATTCCGAAATCACATCTGCACGTCTCTACATCACAGCACTTGGCTTGTACGAGGCCGAGATAAATGGCCAACGTGTCGGCGATCATGTTTTGGCTCCAGGCTATATGTCGTATCATCACAGGCATGTATACGATACATACGATGTAACTGAACTCGTCAAACCTGGTGAGAACGCAATAGGTGCAACAGTTGGAGAGGGCTGGTACGCAGGCCGCATAGGCCTACAGAAAAGGAGGAATCTCTATGGAGATACCCTTGGATTGATTTCCTTGCTCGTTGTGACCAATGCTGACGGGAGCAAACAAACGATCCCAAGCGACCCAACCTGGCGTGCAGCTACCGGACCTATCGTAACCTCGGAGATATATAATGGCGAATTCTATAACGCCACGAATGAGATCGAAGGATGGTCGTTGCCAGACTTTGACAGTACTTCCTGGCTGGATACAAAGGAATTATCTCCTCCCGTGGGAAAGATTGTCGCTCCAGACGGTCCACCAATTCGTAAACTTGAGTCTGTGAAACCTCAGAAGATTTTCCTTTCCGACTCTGGGAAAACAGTCATTGACTTTGGCCAAAATCTTGTTGGATGGCTGAAGTTGAAGGTCGATGGGCCTGAGGGTACCAATATTACTCTAGTGCATACTGAAGTAATGGAGAATGGCGAAGTTGCGACGCGACCGCTGCGGACGGCAAAGGCTACAGACACCATCATACTTTCCGGCAAGGGCCCATTGAACTGGGAGCCCAAATTCACCTTCCACGGATTTCGCTATGTGCAAGTTACTGGGTGGCCGAATGCCACAAAGCTGGATGGCGATTCCATCTCTGCTGTTGTTGTACACTCCGACATGGAGCGGGTCGGATATTTCGAATGCTCTCACGAACTTCTCAATAAGTTCCACAATAATGTCATCTGGAGCTTGAAAGGCAATTTCCTTAGTGTCCCGACAGATTGCCCACAGAGAGACGAACGATTAGGATGGACTGGGGATGCGCACGCATTTATGCCAACTTCGAATTACTTATATGAGACGGCTGGGTTCTGGCGTGGTTGGCTCAAAGATGCCTGGTCCGAGCAAGCTGATAGCCCCACATTCATTCCTCCTATTTACATTCCGGATGAGAATGTCAATGATACATCATCCCGAATGCCTACATCTGTTTGGGGCGACGTCGTCGTCGGCAACCCTTGGGCACTGTACAAGACGACCGGGGACAAGAACATGCTACAGGAACAGTACGCTGGAGCACAGTCTTGGATAGACAAAGGTATTCCCCGGAACGAGGCAGGTCTATGGAACAGATCTACATTTCAATTCGCAGACTGGCTGGATCCAAAGGCTCCTGCTGACAAGCCTGGTGATGCCACCACTGACACGCACCTGGTATCCGATGCGTACCTTATCGAAATGACTAGGCTTCTTTCCAACATCAGTGCAGCGCTTGGTAAAACAGAGGAAGCGGAGAAATATGCTTCTCAGAGAACCGATCTCATTTCTGCTTTCAAGAGCGCCTGGGTCGAGCCCTATGACAGTATCATTGCTAACGTGACGCAAACCGCGCTTACGCTTGGAATTGGTTTTGGCATCTTTGATACTGAAGCCCTGCGGACCGAGGCTGCTTCCACTCTTCGAAAAGTCATCGCCGACAACGACTTCCTAGTCGGCACAGGATTTGCGGGTACCCAACAACTTGGATTTACCCTGTCGTCTATAGATGCGACCACAGATTTCTATAAAATGCTTCTCCAGACGAAGGTACCGTCATGGTTATATCAGGTCGTGATGGGCGGCACAACGACCTGGGAGCGATGGGATTCTCTCCTATCAAATGGCTCGGTGAATCCAGGGGAAATGACGAGCTTCAATCATTATGCTTTCGGAAGTGTTGCGGATTGGATACATCAAAAGATTGGTGGGCTAGCTCCAGCAGAGCCCGGATGGAAGAAGGTTTTGGTTGCACCGGAGCCCGGAGGAGATATCACCCAGGCAAATTCCAGCTATTTGAGTGCATATGGTTGGACTAAAGCTAGCTGGAACGTTGGCGAGGATGGGTTTCATCTAAGCGTCAGTGTGCCGCCAAATGCGCGCGCAGAGGTCAAATTGCCTGGCGCAAACGGCACGGTGACGGAAGTAGGAAGTGGCACTCATCAGTTTACCGTCGAAGGTTTCAAAGTTCTGGGGTAATGGTTTATTCTCGGGGTGGACTTTTCTTCGTAAATTTATGGTAATTCATAGGTAGCTTTCGACAATACTTGTCATGGACAGATAATCGACAGGCCTGCTCCAGATCTGACACCCAATCAGCCTGTCTCAATCGTCCTGTTCATTCTTGATATGGTGAAGGCAATAATTCCTCTTACTTGTAATTACGAGTACGATGTAGTGTAGAAGTCGAGGGAATATCCACAAGGAATCCAAATGAGGCAATCCGGCTCCTCACGCATACTTCCCGATTAGTTCCGTGAGGTCACCCCACCCCCGCAAAGCTTGATGAGACGCCATCCATATTCCCATCCTATCGTCCGTACGCCAGCGATACGTCTTTTTCGGCCAAATGGCTTGCCATACCCCTTCAGCTCTAGGCCCAGCCCCGATGACACCTCCCTGACTATGTCGTCGTCATGCGCCTGGGACCGTTCGCTGGCAAACAGTTTCCAGTAGGACAAGGTTGCAGTCCTAGAGCTAGAGCATCTGGGCATTTTCGGAGCCGCCGTCGGAAATGGACGCTTGGAGAGCGCCTTTGACGCAACATTATTGCCTTCTCCCCGGCTTCTTGGAAGGTAGAGACATACATTAGAAGTGTGACAGTAGCACCGGTCCCCTTCTTGATAGACCTTGGCCAAGGTGGACAGATACATAGAGAGACCAGACCCACTTCTGCACCTCGCATTCTTCATCGCTCAACACGGTTCGGATATTCTTTGTACGGCTATCCGAAGTTTTTGGACCAATACATAAGAGAAGGGTCTACAACGGATCATGTCTCTCGAGACTGCATTCCTAAACAGCGTCCTTGTCGGCGAAATCGAAAACGAGAACACCAAGGGACAACTCGGACAGAGAGAAATTCACGGACAACAATATTATTCTTTACACCAACGACCATGCGTGCGGCAAGATTCTATGGGAAAGAAGATATCCGCGTGGAAGATGTGGAGAAGGCCAGTTGCGGGGTGGGGCAAGTGAGGGTATGTATAGTACGGACAACTAGTCCGATCACTCCACACCCGTCTTTGAGTTCCTTCATCCTCGAACAGTAACAACGCAATGGAGAATCGAAATGCTAATAAGCCTACCAGATCGCCCCCGCCTACGTCGGGATATGTGGTACCGACCTTCATGAATACCTCGGAGGCCCCAACTTCGCCCCAGTCCCAGACAAACCGCATCCCATAACAGGAGACGCCGTGCCTATAACCCTAGGCCACGAATTCAGCGGCACCATCACCGAACTCGGACCGAATCTCACCTTCCCACAATCTATTCCCCTGAAGATCGGCCAGCGCGTCGCCATCCAACCAACTCTGTACTGCGGGGAATGCAGCGCCTGCACCGCAGGCGTGGAAAACGTCTGTTACAACGGCGGATTCGTAGGCTTGAGCGGCGGCGGAGGGGGATTGAGCGATTCCGTTGTCGTGCCTGAGCATTGTGTGTTACCCTTGCCGGACAACGTTCCCCTGGATATTGGCGCTCTCGTGGAGCCATTGAGCGTGGCATGGCATGCGATCTCCGCAGCGCCTCTTACTCCTGATTCCGTCGTGCTGGTTCTCGGTGGTGGGCCGATTGGTCTTGCCATCGTGCAATGCCTGAAGGCGCTCAAGACTAGGAAGATCATCATGAGCGAAGTTTCTAAAGCGAGACAGAGGTTCGCGAGAGAGTTTGGTGCGCACCACGTGCTCGATCCGAAGACTTATGATCTGATTTCCATAAGTAAGGAGTTGAGTGGGAGTGATGGCCCGGATGTCGTATTCGATTGTGCGGGTGTACCGGCGAGTCTGAAGACAGCGTGTCTGGCGGTCAAGGCGCGAGGGACAGTGGTGAATGTTGCAATTTGGGAAAAGGAGGTCCCCTTCCAGCCGAATATGCTGGTTTTTAGGGAAGCCAAGTACACAGCTGTGCTGGGATATCAGAGGAAGGATGTACAAGCTGTGATAGATCATTTGGCAGATGGTAAGTATTCCCACAATTAGGAGTCACGGGCAATTGACAGATCGAGAGGCTAAAATCTACGGTCCAGGCACTCTTCAACCCGCAAACATGATAACTAGTAAGATACAACTGGAGAACATCGTCGAGGATGGTATCAAAGCTTTGATAAAGGATAAGGAGAGTCATGTCAAAATCTTAGTAGAGGTAGGAGGTGGTATATAGATTTTTCTTCAACATCAAAATATCGCAAAACTGCCCTATCACTGAATGTCATGTAAAACCATTCTTCTCAATATTTGTTGATAATATTCATATAGAGAACTAAACTATTGATGTTGTCCTATCCTCAGGGTCCGGTTCATTTGGAAGAGAATCTCATCATGAGGTTATGCTAAGTGAAGTCCAAAAGTGGATTCAATCAACTCTTCGATGCTAGGATGTCATAAAATCGTATGTCGCCGAGAGTTTTTGGCCGTTCGAACAGCTATGATGATGCATCGGGCGCTACGAATCCCTTGTGCTCACGGTGCGCCTTGTACCAGTAAGAGTCTTGCGGCTTAATATCATCGCTGAGTTTCTCAATGATAGCTGCGAGTAGCTTTTCCCTGCCGGCCTCGTTATCGGCGTCGCGGTTCCAGACGGCGATCTGAACGGCGTTCCATCGAACCGAGTATGAAATACCACAGATGTCGTCATTGAAAGCTATATTCATTAGTGATGAAGACAGACATTTTGCAAATGATAGCAGTGCTCACCATCTCGCTTGGTTTCCACTGCACTCTGAAGCACATCGCCAACTGCCAATAGGCAGATCTCGTGCCAGAATTTTGCGGCAAGCTCCTTCTTCACACGGAAATAGAATGCTCCACCGCGGAGGTTCCGTCGATCCTCCCACACCGGCGTGATCCCAACGTGGAAGAGATGGATGCTGTCACGCATCTTCAGCTGGTCGGTGGGAATGTTGTTGAAGTGCTGATAAAACTCCTTAATGCTGATGATCTGCTCGCCGAGGTGTTTCGGGCGTGACGCAAAATCTTCAGACGCTTGCTGGTCACTGCTCGTAGCTGGCGCTTGCTGTCCCTTTTCTGCCCAGAACTGCCACCTGAAACGGAACTCGGGTACCCGGACAGATTTGAAGATTGAATTCAGCATAGCAGTTCCACGTGCGGGTGAGGCGGTCGCAGAAGCCTCCTGTGGCGATGCTGATGGGAGATCAGAGGTGGAGAGGGCTGGAATTCGGCCGGCCATGTTGACGGACTCTGATAAAAACTTCGAGATAGACGATGAGGTGTGGGAATCAATGCCAGGAGTGAAGAAGGGTCTTTTGCTGTCGAAAAAGACCTCTCACGACTACTGCAGCCCGCCGTTTGCGTTGCTTGATGAAACTTTGAAAGCAATGTGTTGGAGGTACTAGACGTGACTCCTAGAGGGTAGAGAGATTGACTTCTCAAATATCGAGTTCTGCAACAAATTAATTAGTTACGTCATTCAAAATATCAATAGAAAAGGCGTTTCGAATTTGGGGTGGCTGGTAATGACAATAGTAAGGTACTGTTTCAGTGAAGATCAATAAACTCGTTACACAGAAATACTAGACAGAAAAAGGTAGAGCAAAAAACCGCAATCATAGAAATACAAGCAGTATTTAGATGTTCCACAGGAAGCAGTCACTATCGTTTATTCTCCGCGGTTGAAAAAGAAAAGAAAACCATGAGGGAACATTGTATTCGGCAATGCGTGTCCCGTCCCATACTAGCTGTAGTGGAGGGAACTCTGAAGACAGAGAATGGAACAGAACAGCCACAACAGAGAATCAAAGGCGTCTCGTCTGTGATTTCTCGTATATAGGTGTATAATATTACATACCTAGATATCGTGCACTCTCAACTCTACTAGTATTGCTGATCCTGTCGTAGATTTGATACGGAAGATGAAATCGCCCGCTAAGATGCCGCTGAAATACCACAATGCTAACGCTTACGTCGTGACGCAATAGAGGGAATACTAAGGCGAGAGAAAGCGATGTTCCAACGAGTACGCGTAACTTTCACAAGAGACAAGAAGTACAGGTTGCAGGTTGCAGGTAGTAAGAAAGACGTCGAGGGGTCCGGGGGCCGGTCCTTTTATGGCTCAAGCGACATGCGACGGCGCACCAGGCCGTGCAAGCGTCCGTCAGCAGCGCAGGACCACAAGCTACAACCCACCATGACTTTGTGTGCCAGTTACAGCCGCCCGTTGGGAGTATTGTTTCATAGCCCCGTTTCAAGACCCTGGGACACAGCTGGTCTGAGACTCTGTTTGGCTTATCCAGTCACTGTGTACGTTTTGGCCTGGGGCTTCCATCTCAAGAACCCCTTGGCGGTAGCATTGGCATACTTCACCTGCCAATAGTAATTATAGGCCGACTATGCGTGCAATTCTCTCCTCCGTTCTACTTGAGGATAAAACGTCATGCCGCCATCAGAATTCGATTTGCTGCTGTCGACTCTCGAGTTGCCAGATATCCAAAGGACCCCTTCCCCTCCACTCTCTGCCTCTGACTTAGTAGTTGTGGCGTTTTAGAACTCCGCGACGTACCAGCCAATCACGAGATTCCTAGACCGACCTAGGTACGTGCCGATCGTGTTGGGACCATGCTCGCAACTTTTCCACGACAACGCCGCTCAAACCACGAAGCCAAGCCACCCTTTGCAATCTCCTATTGATAAACCCTGTGGTATAACAAGACAGGAGAGGGCATCTTCGCGTACTATCGTAGCGAGTCGACTATCAATGGCCGCCGCACAGGAACTTCCGAATCGCAAGCACCCTCGTGACGCAATCGCAGAAGAGCAAACCGACCGCTCAACACGCACTAAACTTTCCTCCCCAGTCGACAACATCACCCCGGATGAATCGGCGGAGCTAAGAGACAACGATAGCGAGACGTCCAGCATACTGTCTGAGTCAAGTTCAGATCCAAGCTCGGAAAGCTCAGATGAATCCTCAAGCGACGGCGAAAGCACCCTCTCGGACGAGGAGGACGAGGAAGGCATAGTCAATCTCAGGGCAAACAGAGGCAAGAAGCCACGCATGAAACTGCGAAAACAGGATTTAGGCTCAGATATACGACCCTTTCTAAAGGACTTCTTGCCAAAGTTGAAAGCTGCGAACGAGGAACTCGAGGCTGAAAGGCTAGCGGGAACATTAAAGTACAGAGAAATTGATGCTCACCTGAACGGCGCTTCGGATGGTACAGATAAGCCAGAGGAAGAGGAAGGGGAAGGACAGTATGTTGAAATGGTGAGAACATTGCAGGCTCATTTGGAAAGCCTTTTCTAACTTGTAACAGAACCTTGGACTTGGTGTTCTCGAGGAGCAGAATCCGAACGCAAGCGACGATAGTAGTAGCGACGAAGGCGAATCACATGGCGAGATGGACAGTACGGTTGAGGAAAAAGAGAAAGATTTCATGGGGAAGCTTATGGGTCAAGAAAGACATGCTGCTGGAATACAAATTGTTGATGACGCGCAGGAGACTTGAAGGAAGCTCGACTCACCCGAACGTCACTCCCACTTTACATGGAACGAAGGGAAGGAACAGGTCACTTCGATTGCATCAACCACGCATCAGGCGCATACACGAGCCTCATTCATTGCCCTTCCACGTTGCATCAGCATTCTTGTGGATACTCGGCTCCTCAATATGCTGCCTAGCCTCCTTCTTCCTCCGCCAATCTGACCCAAACTTCGCGTCTCTTTCGCCAACTAGCTTCTCGAAACCGGGCTCTGGCATCTGTTTTGCATTCGTATAGCTCGTCATCAACTTCGGCTCCCCCAATGGCAGCACATCACCCCGATCTACTTGCCAGAGGTGATACACTTTTCCGTAAAGCTGGACGACTTCCTCCATCTCCTTGTTCTCCGCTATCTCCCAAACGGCATCTGGAACTGTAGCAGGTTTTGGCATGATCAACATCCCAGATTTGACCTCGAAGACGTGAGAGTGCCAGAGTTTCTGTTCTTCGACATCGAGAGTCGAGAACAGACGCGGGGTGATCATATACTCGATCCCAATGATACGGGCTGGAAGAGTTGGAGAATCATACAAGATGCACTGTCGTACTTCATCGTTTAAATGACTGCAATAATGATTCGCCTCAACACAGCGACCTGGTTCGTCGACGTATGCGTGGAAAGCATTGAGGTGTGCACAAATTCGTTGTACTGGGGCGAAGTTTTGTACTGCCGCCGCGCCTGTTTCAAGAGTCTTGTTTTTCAGGGATTCTGGGGCTCCAGCAGCCTTGTTTGTAGTTTGTTCTGTCGACATTGATGGAATACTTTGCTTCGTTTGATTTGGACCTATATCGCTAGAATGAAGACGAGCACAAACGACTGAAGTAGGCGAGCATATGGTGCTACGAGTATGAGGGTCTTTTGACGTCATTGTGATGATTCATTCAAGATACAATTTAGATACCTCAGCATCCACACAGACAGATGGGCGCAACAGGTTACATTCCCGATACATGCAGTTTTCCATTCATGTTACAATACTGTTGCAAGTGATACTAAAGCTCCCTCGTTCGTACCATTTTCGGAACGTTCCGAAGAACCCCACGATGCACGTACATACCGGTTTCTAGCGTGAGGTCCAATCCTGCCATGAAGTAATGTCATCAGTATAATTGAAATATTTTCCTACCAGGTATTATTATGCTAGACAGTCTATAAGCATCTCGTGGAATCGAACACGAAAATGAATCTATTGTGCAGAAAAAGTGCATTTATAATAACCAGATCCCATTATTCTACTAGAAGCGACGGTAGCATTTCAATTCGATCATATTCCATATAATTATTTCCCGGAAAGTATATCGTACTCCAATATTTGTTCTCTCGTTCTTCATTTCCCCTACAGTTCTTGGTTCCGCTAACTTGTAAGCATTGCTAGATTCGCAGATATGCGCAGTGTCAGCTTCTGAGAACATAATGGAGGCACAGTTCTCGTGTATTTGAATCTTTACATTTGTTTTTCATGTCTATTCCCATGCTTACTGATTTCTCATAGAATGCAGCATTTTGTACATCGACAGCCATTATGCCTCCTGCTAGCGGCCCCAAATTGGCGCGCGTGTAGGCGGCAAGTCTAAGCGACCACCTTATCGGGACCTGAACTTTTTCGCGACGCTCATCTTCAATGACATCGACAATGGCCTCGAACACAGAACGCAACCGCTGGTACTCAATTCCGGCACCGGTCAGGACTCTTTTCAACAAATTTCCCCTCGTCACATATCCCGAGAACGACCTACCGCTCCCTCGACGCAATCGCGAGAATGTCCTCTATGTCTTCGGCGAAAGCCCACTATCCTACAATCCATCGTGCCTCAAATGGCAAGCATACCTCCGATTCAGTGGCATCAATTATAGTGCAATAGCCTCAAGCAATCATGCGTCACCAAGCGGGGCTCTTCCTTTTCTGCTACCCTCCACAGCCGACACCAAACCATCGAAGCCTGTGCCATCCAGTAGACTACAAAGATGGGCAATGAACAACAGTGCAGCAGCCATAGAGGAGTCTTCAGACACGCGATATGAGGCGTATCTATCTCTGCTTGAGCACAAGATACGAAGAGCATGGGTAAGTCGAATTAGTACAATGGGTCTCGGAGAGTTGGAACTAACAGTCCACAGCTCTACAGTGTCTACCTGTCTGCGAACTCTACATCTATCGCCGAGCCTTTATACGTTCTTCCAACCTCTCGCAACTCCTTCGTTCGCCTCACAATTGCTCGAGATCTGCGGTGCGCAGCTGAAAATGAGCTCTTGAAATTTTCGGCCATAATAGATGCAGATCTACTACATTCGGAAGCGGAAGAGGCTTTCAATTCGTTAGAAAGCCTACTAGGGGAAGACACTTGGTTTTTCGACAACCAGATGCCAGGGCTTTTTGACGCCAGCGTCTTTGCATATACACATCTGCTGCTAGACGATAATTTAGGCAGCGGCTGGGCGGACACAAGATTGAGAGATACGATAGTGCAGAAGAAGCGGCTAGTCGCGCATCGGAACAGAATCTTGGATCAATTCTTCGCCAGCGCATAGGCCTACCCAGTAACTGCTGCGTTAGCGTTATTCCGATGCGTAGGACATGTTCTACTGCCAACAACCGCTAATGTCTGGGTACGATTTTGATCTGAATTGTGTAATCACTGTGCTCCCGTCATGGTTGAGTCTGCTGGGCAGGCACATTCTAATTTGATACCACACTTTAATGAGGGACACTGTGGCTTGATTGGTCAAGTGACCAGGCGACGCGGACGCGGACTGGAAATGCACGTCTGAGTCAAAGCTCGGGCCGGGAACGAACATGATAGGCCGCAACCACAGAACCAAAGAAAAGGGATCCTGAAGGGCGTGAGGCACATGGAAGACTCATCGAACCATTATATAGTTCGTTCAGGCATCAACTTGTCTCCATCAGGACCTTGCCTTATCTTTCTTTCTGATCGGCTTTTTGACGAACCCTTCCAACCGGACATCACATCCTTTCACAATTTCGGCTTCGCCATTGACAGAAAGCTACTCAACGATATTCTTGGCTCCTAGCCAATATGACACAGCCGACCTCTGTCAACATGACCTTCGATACGTCTCTTGTGGACGTTTCTGTCAATCACTCCTTCTCGACCACTGAATCCGACCCTTCAGAGGCCGGCTGGCCTCCACAACAGCAATTGGACCCCCAAACGCCCATACTGAATCAGGGTGAGATCAGTCAGACTACACCAAAGCCATCGCAAGCTACAATCACCGGCCAAGCCTTTCAGTCCTCAACCCCGGTTCAGCACATACCGACCCAAGAGGCGTATGATCAATGGGCTCATGTGTACGACACTGATGGCAACATGTTGCAATCCATTGATGATTCTGAACTAAACGATCTCCTCCCATCTTTACTCGGCCGTGTTTGTTCGTCCCATGACAACACTAACATGGCCCTCAATCTTCTCGACCTTGGCTGTGGCACAGGCCGTAACACTTCAAAACTTCTGTCCTACAGCTGGCCATCAAGTCGCAATAATGCCAGGATCAACATCATTGGTCTAGATTTCTCCAAGGGCATGCTTGACGTTGCAGCCCACAAACTCACCTCTATGACTCGCGACGCAGAGAAAGTGATCCTGAGATTAGAGGAAGCCGACTGCTTCCCTACAGTGCACAATCCTAGTACTTCACCAAAGCCAAACGTAGCAAACCTGCCACCAATTGATGGCCTCATCAGCACGCTTGTTCTCGAACACATTCCCTTGCGGGATTTCTTTGCGACACTTGCGGCCCTAGTTACAAAGGGCGGCTTCGCACTTGTCACTAACATGCACAACGAAATGGGCAACATGTCGCAAGCTGGATTCGTAAATGCCGAAGGTGTCAAGGTTAGGGGAGACAGTTATGTATACTCCGTCGAAGAGACTATCGATGAGGCCCGAAGAGCTGGCTTTGAAGTCGTGAACGTCAAGGAGAGGAGCGTCGAGGAGAATGATATGAGAAATGGTGTAGTCGGAGAGCGAGGATGGAAATGGGTTGGAATCAGAGTCTGGTATGGTGTAATTTTGAAGAAGACTGCATGAAGGAACGAAATGACGGAAAATCAATGTTCGTCTTTATACGAGAACGTTTTGCGGGCCCTCATCCATTCTGTTGTCATGAGTAACGCAAAGGGTAGAACTAAGGCCTTTTTTTTTTCAAAAATCACCGTTTTATCATATTCAGAAACAGAATTGACCATTATATTTTGCTGAAAAGCATCTTATGTATTTAGTGAAGCTATGACCATATGATATGTGCACGTGATCGTATGAGCTTACCCAATGAGGCATTGAATGGAACGTCAACTTTTCGAGATCGTTGCCATCATTACCCGCACCACCGCAAACCCAACCACTTCCGCCGTCCCCGCAAACCCCCACGATGGCCTTCCCACAATCGCTCTTCCGCTGGGTCGTCCCAGGTGCAATCGCTGCCGGTATTGCGCAAGCTTCGCTTTACGATGTCAAGGGTGGAACTCGTGCGGTCATCTTCGACCGACTGTCTGGTGTGAAAGAGAACGTTGTGAATGAGGGAACACATTTTCTGGTGCCGTGGCTACAGAGGAGCATCATCTTCGATGTGAGGACAAGACCGAGGAATATTTCAACGACCACCGGAAGTAAGGATCTGCAAATGGTTACCCTCACATTGAGGGTGCTGCACAGGCCGGAAGTGAAGCAGTTGCCAAAGATCTATCAGGTACGGAATTCAGATATGATTCTCATGTTTTACTTGCGGAGCTTCTTAGGAAAATTCATGGGTGTAGCTAATTTTTGTCTCATAGAACCTCGGTCTTGACTACGATGAGCGTGTCCTCCCCTCCATCGGTAACGAAGTCCTCAAAGCCATTGTCGCCCAGTTCGATGCCGCAGAGCTCATCACCCAGCGAGAGCAAGTCTCGAACCGTATCAGGACCGACCTTCTCAAGCGCGCCCAGGAGTTTAACATCCAACTCGAGGACGTATCCATCACCCACATGACTTTCGGAAAGGAATTCACCAAGGCCGTTGAGGAGAAGCAGATCGCACAGCAGGAGGCCGAGCGCGCGAGATTCGTGGTCGAGAAGGCCGAGCAGGAGCGACAGGCCAACGTTATCAGGGCTGAGGGTGAAGCCGAGGCTGCCGACACTATCAGCAAGGCCGTGGCAAAGAGTGGTGACGGTCTGATCTTGATCCGTAGAATCGAGACACAGAAGGACATTGCACAGATGCTATCAAAGAACCCTAACGTCTCATATCTCCCCAATGGAGGCGGCGCGGGAGAGGGTGGAAAAGGTGGAGGCAACTTCCTCTTGGGCCTGCGGGGTTGAAGAAGGTACGAAGAGATGTGATGTGAAAGAAATGGAAACATGAAACAAGTTTCGGAGCGTGCACTGTCGGCGAATTCCCGACGTACGAATGTATCATATGGAAAATCTTCTCTGTATCGTTAGGGAATTAAAACTCCTCTTTTCCCATTCCAGCAACTGAAGTATATCTAATGAAGTACGGGTACCAAAATGAAGACAGCGAAGCTCTGAAATAACATGTATGGCATATACCTTCTCATGCGGTCTTTATCTACCTTACTTGCTTTGTAACAACTTACCTCGCCCTGGTTTGATATTTTGTACTATGGCATACGTGCTGGCACAAAGATCAGCTCCTTCCTCCAGAGCACGCAGATGCTCGGACAACTAGCTAATGTTCACCACTACCACCCATCACCAAGCTCTGTATCCTTCTCATTCAGAGATTCACTAGCGCAAAACCCCATGTCTACCTTCTTCTCATCATGTTTGCACAAAATGCAGCACCCTTGATATGTCCCAAACTCGAGAAAGAGAAAAGATAGTAAGTAAAAGCTCACCAACGATCTGTCAACTTTAAGAGTCCGATTTGGAAAGTATAATGGGTTTTGTCTTCCTCTTGATATGCACTCATTGAGCGATGTTAATGCCAGGTGAATATACATACGAGAATAAAAGCTGCACATACATCAGGCCGTGTTCAGAACTCTTCGACGCTGCTTGCCCCCATGTCTATGAGTCTGCTCCATTCAGAAAAACTGTCCGCTGCGCTTATCATTAGTAGCCTAAAAAAGGAGAGTCAAATAGGCTCCTCTGGCGTCAAGCAGGGAGGATTCATCACAAGTAGTGTCCTTCGAAGTACAATATGACCCTCTATCTGTCCGTTTGGAAACCCTTACTCTTCAGGGAGACGTATGGCATGAATTTGCAAGAATCTTACTCGCCTAGCTGAATGGGGGCGTCTAGAGTTTCTCGAAACGATGACTACTTCTTTTGATCAAAGTCAATGCAAGAGCTTTTGCTCCGTGATGCCATTCTACGAGAGTTTGATTACCGAAAGGTGAGCACTGAGACGCTAGGGTTTACATTGGATACTGGGATAAAATCGTATAGGTAAGGCAACCAGAAGCCTTTCCGTATTTCTATACGAAGACATTTAGCCTACCTAGACCCCATTATCATACAAAGTAGCAGAATGTGCTTTTAGTCTGAGTGAAGCGGTGTACGGCATACTCCATACAGAAAGTGCAGTTCGGAGAGCGAGATTGACAGGGTGTAAGTGATTGCGCGGGGTTGCCACCGATCTGGTACCGTTGACTCCTAGCATATCAACAGGATGTTCTCAATGCTGATGTTGAGTCACGTACGAAGTTCAGCTCAAGTGTGATGTATATTCCATGCCGGGGTGGAAGTAATCATCGTTAATAGTTCAACACCAGAATGTCAGACATCTGATGCGTACTACCCGAAGCCGACAATGCTGAAGCTTCATGACCAGATGAAGATATGATAGCCAATGGATCGTAGATCTCCAGTTAGATTACAAACCTATCATATGTCACAAAGCTTAACCATCCTCAGCAGGCACTATTGCCTGTGCAGTGTACTCCTGCGGGACGGAAGAGTCTTCAGTATGTTGGACCCGCAGTGTATCTATCATACAAGTTGCCTTTTAAGTGAGATTTGACAACGTTGGGAGATTGGACGTGAGAATTCGACACAGTGTTGATATACAGTTTCGACCACAACGCTACGTGCATTTGCTAGGCAACCAGAACATTGCCTTGTTATAGTCCCACGGATCTTTCATAGGGTGCAGAGGCCTGCAAATCCTTGTCGTGTAATGAAATCGATCGAGATGCAGCTCCCATCAGCACGGGAATGCTGACCCATGGTTCCACAAGTTACAGAACTGAGAATCCAAAGGGTGGTCGATTGGTGTATGAGTCAGTTTATCCTGTTTCGAAGGTTCTATGCAGTAAGATGCCCAATGGAAGAGGAGCACCAAATCGAAGTATGGTAGAAATAGACGAATGACGTTGCTTCGACGATGAATAGTAGCCTTGTTAAGATGGCGAGTCTCGGATCCATGCATCGAAAGCGTCCAGGTTCTGCAGAGCATATTTCTGCCTGAGCTGCCGTGCCATAACAGGCATGACAATCAGGCACCAGGTGGAAAGCCAATGAACTGTTAAACAGCAGAGACAAATAGTCGCTTCCGACGCCGTGGAAACCAGGAAAGACGAGCCACAGCCTCGTGAACGTGTGGGCGCAGCATCAGCCTCGGCTGCTCACTCGCCAGGCCTGGACATGTTCTACGCCACTTCCAGGCATCCACGCATGCATAACAGAGATTTGCTACTACAGACACATATAGTCGTACCTTGTAATAATGACCTTGATTCGATTATGGTTCTTCTACGCAGGACACGACGCACAGCCCCGCCGCGTGACCCCACGCCACAAATGTTAATCCAACGACGCTCCTCTGTTCCGTTCGCTTCCAGCCTATCATGACTCGATGTCTTGCATTTTTGGAAGGTACCTCTAAGCGACGTAGAAGGGCGAGAGGAACGATGCGCTAATGGCGATCGATGAGTGTGAGATGCGAAGTGGAGTGTACTTGTCATGGAGAATGGTGCTGTTGATTACTCGTACGAGGTAATTGTTACTGTACATGTACATGTACAAGTGGTTGAGCCGTGTCTCGCCACGCGTGCCTGCTGAGTGGTCCCACAAACACGTACACACGACATCACATGCTCAATTCCCTAGCCAATCAAAATGCTCCCTTAGCCCGTCTCTAAACTCCATGTAGCATTACAAATACTCCAAGTATGTAAAGGTATGACTCCGTTGGCCATCATTTCTTGTCGACCTCACCGTCCGTCCCAACAATGCAATGACAAGATGTAATTACTATTCCACCTTTCCAAAGGAGTCAGTATGCGCACACGGGAAGCCTTGATCGCCTTTCCGTCGGTTCTTCCTTTCGGCAAAGGGCGGCGAAAAGGCTGACGCAAGGCGAAGGCGAAGGCGGATACGGCAAACATTGCATCGGGTTGCTGCGGGACTTGCGTTTCCTGATTCTGCCACGCGCATGAACGGTTTGACCCACAAGAGGTTGCGATATTGTATTTTGCACTTTACGTTCGCACATGCACGAAGACACAAACGTAAGCCCGGAGTTAGCGGGTGCCCGTCGCGGTGGGAAGACCGGACGAATGGTTATTGTATATGCCTTGCTGTAAATTAGGCTTGGTACGGTGTGGGCTTTCCATGGCTACGTATCGCTATTTTCACGGTATTTTTCTCGTAGACATATCCAAGGTTTCCGCGGTTTCCATGACTGGGACAATCCCTGATACAGACGTGGCGATTCTTCGTTGGTAAGAGTCATAGCGATGAAGTCTCCAGATTGTCGTTTGACTGTCTGCTGAGGTTGACAATGATGAGACTCCTCTTGAATAATATGCCCTGAATAATCAGGTTGTTCATACAGGTAGACAGATGCTCGTTGCGTGGGCTATTGGTGGCATAGGTCTCAGATATCGCTCCGTTCCCCCTTCGGGCAAGACATATCGTTACGGCATCCATCATGCACAACCCGCATAGCACATCCGACTCAGCCGTCGTTCTCATGCATCTCTTCATTTTGGTTTGATTGGGGGTGTCCGAGAAATGAATGGCCTGTGGCGTTCCGTCCATTCAGATTCAAGCACTTCCTCCGATGTAGATGTATGCCTCAACCCACTATCCTCCAGGCACCAACATCTTAACTAATCTCAACTTCCACCACCTTTCCGGCCCCCAACAACTACACCAACCGGTAGATCCATCATCGCGTGTATAGAAGCAAGTCTCCATAAATTTAGCGTTCAAGAAGCATGTAAGACATTCCCTAGCGGGCCCCGAATGCGGCCGCAGCTTCATCGCAATCTCGCGATGCTAGCCTATAACACCCGCTACTACTGACCCGCACTGTAAGCGATATGTGTTTCTATGGCGTATAACAGCCATTTAGGCTAGGCTACACCAGGCTGCGTCTGTCGTGACCTTATACGCGGGTACGAAGGTCAGTACTGTGCATCAATGCCTGCCTGGCGCCCTTTTGGTAGGCGTCCCAGCAGCCGCCCGTTCAACGCACAGCGTTCATGCGAACTAGCAAGACACGGCGACATCGACGATGGCAGCAGATGGGCGGGTACCTAGCCTGGTCCACACGCCGGAATAAGTGAATGGGAGCGAGCGAGCCGTCTGAGGTGGATGCCACAAGGGCTGAGATATTCTTAAGCGTACCTAGGATATTGTGAAATTGTATGTACATGTGATATGTGATTACCTAGGTAACGACCGGAATCTCACAGTATGTATCATTTCGTTTTTCGTGCAATTTCCCCGTTCGGCGACAGTTAAGTACCTAGGCTAGGCTGTGCAACAATAGTACGGTTGCTCGCATATTCTTGCCCGTAAGAGGATATATTGATATCGTATTTCCGTCTTCCCCGCTTCAAGGAAATCAGGCATCAAAGGCGGCCGCCGCAGTACCGAGGGATGGGGCTGGGGGAGCGCCAGGCAACATGTTCACCCGAATCTGAGCTTATTCTGACATCTGATCTGAGGGCTTTTGTGCAAGTCTTTCGTGCAGGTTTGATGTCGGCCGTCGGAATTTGGGTAATGCTGGAGTTGAGATTTTGGTCTATTTTGTTGATCGGTCTTGTATGATAGAGAATTGATTTCATGGTAGTTCGCACTGAAGTTGAGTTGCATAAGGAGCAAAGATATTTCAAGTCTAGTTATGGAGATATAATTTCTTCTACAACAAAAGGGGCAGAAACCAGACCCTCAAGCAAGTATCTACAGCGAGTGTCTTTTTCTGCCAGAGAAAGGGGTGGTATCTTGCATCTGTGATCATAAAACAAAAAAAAGCCAACCCAGAGAAAAACAAAGAAATTAGTTCCATCCCGCAGTGCATCCGTTTAGAGAGTAGTACATTTGTCCGATTTCCCACCCATGCTAGAGTAGAGCCTCCGGTAGTCGATATTATTGAATACATTGATAACAAAAAGTAGGGTGAGGATATATGGGTTCATACTGTCGTTAAAGAGGTCGCCGCTCTAGTGTAAAAGAAAACGCCTTCCGTTTCCGTTTCCGCGTCCACTCCGTCCCATGAATGTTACCTTCGAGCTTGTTGCTGGAGAGCATCTATGGCCTCTCGGAGATCGGCAACCGTTCGGTCTCTGGCCTCGATAAGGCTACGCAGACGCTTCACTTCGGACCGGAGATCAGGCTCATCACCTGCTTCAGAGATCCCCGCCTCAGAGAATCTCTTACGCTTGAGACTGTAATCGTCGTCTCCGTCGAGCGATCGAGGATATGACATCTCAGGGGAGAGACGGCTTTCCGAGGCATCGTCTCTAAGAGTGTCTGAGCGACGAATGATCAAGTTCCCAAGGTCCGAAGACATGCTCGTACGACGATGTACGCGACGAACATGCTCAGCGAGGTTCTCCTTGCGCGTGAAGCCGGCGCCAGTGCTGCGTTTGCAGTCGGCGAAGGGGCAGTAGAGCGACTTCTTGGTGCCGCCGTGCATCTTGTGAACTTCGCGCTCGTGGCGCAAGAGGCCTCCACTGTAGGTGAAACCCTGGAGCTTCTCGCAGCCCTTTGCAGTACATTTGTAGGGTCTGTCGTGTTTGTCCATATGTTTACTGTAGAACTACGTTAGCTTTCAAGGGCTGCAAAGTGAATGGTTGGAAGAACGGGAAGATAACTCACCTCCACTCGCATTTGCGATCGAAGATTAGGGTTGAACAATCAGGATGTTTGCATATCATCTTGCCCTCAGCATTCTTAGTAGGCTCTTCGGAGCGCTTGAAGGGACTATTCCTCCTAGGCGAAATGTCTCCGTCACGATCGACGTCTCCTCCATCTTCCGACACGGATGGATGTCTTGATGTGACATGTCCATGAGAACTGGTGATGGAAGGTCGGCGTGGCCCACCTACAGGCGAAAGCAGAGGAGAACGGGTCTCGGCGATGCTGATTGGAGTTGGCATGTTGGAAATAGAATTCACAGAATCGTTGCGCTCGTGGCCTCCCATATCGTTGGCGGCAGGGAAGGATACTTGAGGATCGTAAGAAAAGTCGGTGTGAATATGCGGTGGTTGCGCCTGAGGTTGGAGGTGTTGACGATGATATACAGGTGTGTTGGTGTAGGCCGCGAAATTTAGTGGCGCAGCAGGAAACCCTTGGTTTTCCGCGCTATGGTTGACTCTAACAGTGGGCACGGATACGGACGTATTCAGGTGACGACTGTGACTGTGCTGTTCGAGAGGTGGCAATGCGGGTTGCGTCAACTGGTTAGACCACGCCTGGTATGCGTCGTGGTCGTCTTGGTTGACGTTGACGTTTACAGCGAATGGCTGGTCGGGTTGAGTAAAAGCGAAAATGCAAGTATCCTGTACTTGTGAATCACTATTACGGTGATGGGGATGATTCGTGGCAATGCTGCTTGAGCTTGCAGGGTCCAGTAATAAATCAGATGCTTGGACTTGGATTTGGACTTGATCTTGAAAGGGCCGGGACACGAGGGAATGAGGTGGATAAGTAGTAGTTGAGGCGTATTGGGCGCCTAGACCTGGATGGCAATTAGTGGGATTCAGAAGGCTAGGTACCAGTTCCTCGAAGGAGTGGCGATCCAGGGCAGGATTTCGGCCATGAGGAGTTTCACGGTTTTAGGTAGGGTAGTAGGTAGTAGGATTGGAATCAGGTAGAAACCGTAATAGTTGGTGATGGTGGTGGAGGAGGTAGGAGGATGGATGACCCGTGACTCGGCTCATTGGCCCCAAAAAGAACAGCAATTCACTGCAAACGAGAGATGTTGACTCACCAAAGTGATCTTCGACCAGGGTCTCCCCACTAGCGTGCCCAGGCCTACCGGGTCCATGACTGTCATGACTAACGTCGTCGCCAAGACCCCCGGCCTGGGATTCATCGGCAAGTCCAACCTCCGACTGCCTGAGGAGAGCTTGGTTTTGCAATCCCCAATTCAGATCTGTTTCGTTGCCTGATTTAGCATCATTCTTCTCTCACACAAAACAGCTCACTACCCACCCCTCCCTCAGGAAAAGAAACCTTAAAACAAAAACCATGAACTTTAAACCAAACTTACAGTCGTTCTGAGCCGGCACATTCCAGCTCTGCAACCACTCGTCTGCCAGAAACCTGTCTCGCCGCACACGCTCGCTAGATGATGCCTCATCGCTACTGGCCCCTTTGTCGTTTCGTTGCTCGGGGTAGTAGAACATCCAGCACACTCCCTGGACTCGGAATCAGTTTCTTCCATTTACCATCCCACTATGGTCTGCTACAATACACGTGCAGATGGGGGGGGGGGGGCGGGGGATAGAGCACTACAGGACAGGGATGGAGACTTACCCAGAGCACAGCGAGAGATGGTTTCAAAGACCATGGCCATGTCGTGCTGAGCAGATGACTGTCCAATGGATGCTGCGCCGATGAAAGGAGCCAATTCAGAAGCCTCCGTTGCCGCTTGTCAATGTCATTCTCGATCAGAGTCTCGACAACTTTGCGCGCAAGCGTCTCTAGCAACATTGCCTGCAGCGACAGTAAGATGTGCGAATAATTGGCAATGAACTTCTCGTCAATGTCCAATCCAAAATCTTCGCCTTTCGCAATGAGCAACTCATCATCATGTGTCGATCGCACTGCATTCAAAACTTCAATAGCGTTGTACACCAAAATTAGATTTTGGATCGTTTCGTTCATGGAGCACCCCTCGAACGACGCTTCGTTTTGTTTGAGGAGGAAGAGCTTGTCGTTTGAGCAAGTTGCTGTGGTCAATGCAGGACTGACCTTTCCGTCTAGGAGGTTGAACACGCTATTCCGAAAGCTTAGCCATGAAACAAAAACAACTACAAGCAACCGAGGCTACTCATGAACGTACTGTTGCATCTTATCGCTAGTGGCGTTTGGATCCACGGGATCATCCCGACCCGAGGTCTCCAGCCTTAACGTTGGCCTGGTCCCCCGGCGACTCTTGCACACTCGGTTCGAAGACTGACGGAGCTGCTTCGTGCTCTGTGGGCTAACCCGTGACAGACTCTTTTCGATCTTCCTCAAAGCATCCATCTCTAGTCGGTGGCAATGAGTCCCGCCAAGACCTGACATTCTGCTCGAGAAGCTCGACACGGTCGGCCTCGCATGCCTACGAAGCTGTTTGATGGCTTGGATGACTTTCAACGTAAGGTAGAGGCTCGCCGCTGGTTGCTTGCGCGGTCGCATCGTCATCGCTGCGCAACGAGCGATGTATTTTTGGAACACAGAAACTGGAATAGGACCGCAATCTCGAAGTCGAGGAGCATATTCCTTTGCTTAATACTGTAATGAACCACGGTAAGGCTGGGGGGGGAGCCTCGCTCTACGCCTACGCATCACCCTAAACCATCAATGACGTGCAAGCCACATCATATGATTGGTTGAACGTGTGGCTTAGTCGCGCAACTCAGCCACAATTTATCGATGCTTCACCGTATTCTCACTGCCCCAGGCACAACCACAGCACCAATTAGCACGATGCATATGCTGTGCGTAGAGGCGCAGCTGTGCAGGTGTTCATATTGAGGAATATTACACCCCGATTTCCGACCTCAACATTCCCAACTGAGCTAACATGGCGCCTTTCTGGTTTTCTCGCTGCCTGGAGATATTGCCTTTTCGTCCCAGATTCAGTCTGGTTTTCATGCATTTCAGCCCTTGGGCTGTTCATTTCAGTCAGCCTATCCTCCGAACTTCCGGTAGCAACACCCTTCTCTGACGACATTTACAAGCCTTTCCCTCGTTATCGTGCGCTTTGCTTGCACTTGCTGCCGAAACAACCTGGAACATGGGCGATGTTCTTGTGTCTCACGTCCACTAGGGCCGCAACATCATCGGAGGTCGGCACTTAGATCCTCATCAGATATCTCAATCAACCACGATCAAACCACATTCTGAAGTTCCGTTGTAGTGGTGAGGCACAAAGGGCAATAGGCTGTGTATGAGATTGTCATTTTAGTAAGAGCATGAAGCGGCGGTACCGGATTACTATCGAGCAGGAATTCAGTCCCGAGGTGTCTCGAGCGCTGATTCACATTCAGAGATTATCTTCTCTGGAAGGCTACCGGTCGAGTAGAAGACAATCTGGCGTCGGCGCATGTTGAAGAAGAGTATTCGTCTCGCATAGCCACATGTCAAGTTGCCAACATGGGGCAATGCCCCATCAGTTGTGAGTGGCTTCACAGGCATGCTATACCGGCACAGAAACAAAATGGCACAGCTGAGCATCAAGCGCTTTAGCTGCAACTTGCCATCACCATTGCGCTGCAATCGTCCTGCAGGTCTCTTAACAAGAAACTGCACCATTAGAACTGTACTCTTCGGGCGGCGTAGCTCTAATCCACTTCCATGATTAGGGTTGAGTTCTTCTCCTTTACACATAGGCATGTATGTTGAAAACTTCAACAAAACAATTAGACAGCCAGGCAGTAGGGCAAGTTCGGCCGATATCCTTCCCGCCTTCTTGTTCAAGCACTCATTCCATCACTACAACAGACTATAATCACCACAATTCCTACAGCAGTGTCTCGAATCCCCTGCCATGTAATCAAGCACTCCAATCAAAATGAAGCAGCTTATCGAGCGAGCCAAACGTTTGAAAGGTAGGATAAACACTCAGATGCCTAGCCACACAAGCAATGGATGCATCTTACCGCCAAACCCAAGCTCGCCTACCCCAGACCCTGCAACGGCACGGCTCGACGGGCGTGTGAGGCGGTGCACCGGCCCAGCGTCCCAACCACTACTTCTCGACAATGTCATCAACAATCGTGGATCATTGCGACGCACATAAACAACTCAACAAACTCGCAGCCACATACTGACGTTATTCTTTCGGTCCAGACTATACCGTGTCCACCGCATGCATCACTCCATCGGCCCGACTATGAATATTCGCACCCTACATACCCTGAAACACCGTTCACGCATCATACGCCTGTGATGAGGGGTGGGGGACGCATCAGCCTAACAGAAACAGAAACAAAGCAGACTACCTGTTCCAAAACGAGCCAGCAACTTTCTTTCTATTCTTGGATTTACCATATTCGGGAGCAGGAAATGCAATTCACATGTTTCTCCATCGCCACAGACCCGCTTGGTTTCCTGCTGGCAAGTTGTTTGTTGAATTCGGAATCACAACTGTCCGAATGCGGAGAGTTTGTGGCTGGATGTTGTTTAGTGTTTTGAAGATTGTTCGGGTGAATGAGGATCCGGTGAGTGGTAGGCGCATGAGTGGTAGGCACATATGCCTCAGGCTGCAAAGCAGGAAGGAAACGTCAGGTCTGAATGAACTGTGTTTGTGCTGCTGACAACGGACTAATTCGCAAAGTATTCGGGAAAAGGCGAATGCCAATTAGCGAAAATTGCTTCGCGCTCTTCTCACACACTGCAATTGTCTTCCATCTATATCGATTGAGGCAAATCTTAAGGCAGCAAGAATGAGTAGATCTGCGGTTTGATTCACTGTGCAAGAACTACCCGTGGATCAGAACACGTACTGCCGATCGTCACTCTAAACGAGATGTACATTCCATCAAATTTGTGTGACAGTAACAGACTTGATATTGTTGTGCCAATATCTTTCAAACCTCATGCTTCCCATTCCACCACACATCCATTCCACAACCCCAACGACATATATATTCATCTTCACGACAGTCGAAGAAATCTACGTACGACCAAGCAATGCATTTAGATTATGTTCATGATGGGTTTGCCTTCAAAGTCAATGCTCGATTGTTCATACTGGATTAGTTCATGCCATCTTGTTGTGTCTTTTGGTCTTAACATGACGGTCTCGATGGGATCAAAAGATCATGGCAATTTATGGGTTTCCACACAATTGCATCTTGTTTCTTCGTCGCAAATACCTGTACCGTGATTTTTGTTATAAGAAACAATAATGATATACAAGTATGATAGCAGGGTATCATACCTTTTTGGAGTATAGATTCAAAGACCTATACTTCAGCTCAAGAAGATTAAATACACCACACATTATATATACTTTCCCGCATCATTCTCGTCTTTGTCTCCAAATGTGATGAACACGGGAGGGGCCGTGCATCAAGATTTTGATGAGCCAGAAAAGCAGAAGTGTAACCACACATTTGTATATCAATATTGTGCCCTTCTGTTCATTGTGGAGCTGATGATTCACTTCTTCCTCCGCATAGGTGCAAGTCGAATGGTCCAAGTTTGCAGGTGAATCAATTCAGAGGCACGTTCAAGCACTTCTTAAGCACTTTTGAATGGCTTTATAAGCGTGCTCCTTCCTCTCATTACAGCCATCATATCTTGTCACAACCGACGCGAATATATACAACCTTTTGGGTTCCACAAGCCGACATAAATCATTGCGAACATGAATACCCGAGTTGGACACCGATTCCTGCGAGCCTGGCACAACATGCTGGGTATGGAGCGCATCAATTGCCCTCAGTGGCACCGCGACCGTCTCCGAGAAGAACTTGAAGAGGTCCGCACTGCTCCTACGCCAATTTTACGACTCAGCGAAACATCAGATGTTTTCTTCTCAATTAGACGGGCCTGTTACGACGGCCATCCGACTCAGGAGTTACCGCCTTGCTCGAGCTTCACAAACATCGGGGTCTATGCCTACATGATTGGCAAGTTCACGCTGCGATGGGGCTTTTACCGAATGGCATCATGTTTATGCCGTGCTCCGAATTGGCGGTCAGTGGGGGAGGTGGTGAATCCAGGCAAGGATGCGAAGATTAGAGGAGTTGCTGCTCGTCACAATCTCGACCAAGACAAGTTCCTGCGGGTTGCCCGTAGATTGCGGCGGGTATGGCCTCTGCTGCCGTAGGCACGCATGGGCTCTTAGTCACTTCTTTGTCTAGGTGCATGCTCTGGTGAGGGAGAGTTGGTGGGGTTGCATGCATGACAAACAAATTTGGGTTTTAGACAATTGTTTGCGATTTTGGAAGATACCGTCTACCCGAACGTTGTTCCTGAAGACTCTATGTACACAAACCATGACGGGAATTAGATAGATACTAACCAAACTGCGACTTATAACTGAACTCTCTTGCCCTCGCTCTCTTGACATTCACATCATTTTTGATCATTCTTCGGTCATCATCGCTTCTTGAAATAATATTTCTCAAACATTGAATCATTTCAAGATGACCTCTTCCCTTCCAGTTTCCGGTTCGGACCATCCGATCGCCAGCGAAACAGTTGCTCCCAACGCAATGGGCAAAGCAGCGAAAGTCATTGGTACTTATGGAATACCAGGGACCGGCAAGACATTTCTCCTCAATCAGTTGAAAGCTGAACTGAACGGAGAGCACTTTCTCTTCATAGAGGGATCGGAGTTGATCGATTCACTTGTTCCCGGCGGTCTTCAGGGATTCAAGGATTCCGATGGAGATACGAAAACCCACTGGCGACGTCGTGCAACCGAGACGATCAAGCAACGCAGTGTCGACAGCGGGAAAGTCGCCATCGTAACGGGCCATCTGGCATTTTGGACAGAAGATAAAGACGACTACGAGGTGGTTTTCACGGACACGGACGGGTCGACTTACACCCACATCATCTATCTGGACTTCGACCCGGAGCTCATCGAGCATCACCGCACTGGCGATACGACGAGGAACCGGCCAAAGTCGAGCAGTGATCATCTTGCCGAGTGGCAAATCAGAGAGATTTCGGACCTGCAGACCCTCTGCCGCGAACATGGCATTCTCTTCCATTGTCTCGACACCTCGGGCTTGCAAGACTCGCCACACGTTCTTCCGAACGTTTGCAGGTTGGTAGAGGACTTCCGAGTGCATGACGTGCAGCACAACCACAGCAGAGTCCTATCAGTGTTGGATAACATCTTCGTGCCTCAACAGGGTACCCTGAAAACGGTACTAGTCTTCGACGCCGACAAGACTCTGGCTGCAGAGGATACGGGGACCCTGTATTGGGATTCCTTGCAAAACATGCGGAAGTCCCTGAGAGACGAGAGGCGCGTTGGTGGCACATCCACTCTGCCCCTCCTTTTTGGAGGTCCGCTCGGGTATTCGTATGAAGCCTTTCGACAGGCAGTCCTGCTGTACGAGGAATCTGCCGGTGATTCCTCGTTTGAATCGCTTTGTCAACTCCTTGCATCTAACGTGAAGATGCATCCGGAAGTACTCGATATGTTACAGGCAGCAGCCCGTCAGGATCACATTGGTACAGTAGTTGTCAGCTGTGGCATTGGTCGTGTGTGGGAAATCGTGTTGGAAAGGCGAGGCCTAGGTGACAATGTCAAGGTCATTGCTGGTGGTCGGATCGCGGATGGTTATGTGGTGACTCCAGCGAACAAAGCGGCGATTGTTTCCCACTTGAGAAATCACCACCAGCTTTTTGTGTGGGCTTTTGGAGATAGCCCGCTGGATATCGGCATGATGAAGGCAGCTCATCGAGCAGTTGTCGTGGTGGGTGAAAAAGATCTCAGGAGCAAGAGCATGGATATGGTGCTGATGAAAGCCATCGACGAGGAAGGCTTGCAAGCAGTGCAAGTGAGGTTACCCAGAACTGCGCTCCATCGACTGAATACTACCAGGCTTCCGATAGTAACCCTTGATGAGTTAGACTTCAAGGATTCTCATCTTCATCTCCAAAGTCTTCCGGCATCGACACTGCCGATTTGGCTCGCAACCAGCAAGCGCGCAGCCCAATTGCTCGCAACGGCGACACGGGATGCTTCCATCGCAGGACCGGCCCTCAGGCAAGCCCATCAACGCGTCGGTTGGTATCTTGCAACTGAATACATATCCCAAGTGATTGGGCTCAAAGAGTGCGACATCCAGCATGTCCTGGGTAGTGCCAGCAGTGGACATCGACTCCAATACGAGAAGGAAACGACGATCATCGCATTGATGCGAGCCGGAGAGCCAATGGCACTCGGCGTGAGCGAGGCATTTCCCCTTGCCATGTTCGTCCAAGCTGAGTGCCAGGACAACATCAGGCACCACCATCTCGAGAGCCAGAAACAGGTTCTGCTCGTTGACTCAGTTATCAACAGTGGCAAAACGATCGTGGAATTTGTCGAAGCTATCCGGAAGGTCAAGGCAGACATCAAGATCGTTATTGTCTCGGGTGTAGTGCAGGCACAGTGTCTTCAGAGCGATAGTAACTTGTACAAGGCGCTCGTTGGCCACAGAAACATCTCCCTCGTAGCTCTGAGACATTCCGACACCAAGTTCACCGGTAGCGGAGCTACAGACACAGGCAACCGCCTCTTCAATACCACTCATATTCGACGATTGTCCGCATCACTCGTATAGGCGAGTCCTATCAGTCTACTGGGGCAGATGCACTAACTCAAGGTCATGATCTGTTGATGATAATTTGTTGTTTGATGCTCCGTCTCATAGCTAGTTTTCTATCTACTCATACAAAATAGATCTCCTTTCTACCTCCATCTGCTCTTTATTTTTTACATGCCATGCCATATGCGCCTATTGAACATTATGACTACCTCTACCTCCCTATTAAAACCCTTGTCTCGACCCACAACGATCTCAATTCATTCTCCCGCATCAAGAGAAGACAGAAGAAAAGCAGGAAGTACTACTCATAACCACCACCTATCTATTCACAATCTACATTCACTTAATGACCATTAATGGTCCATTTCACGAATACAACCAAAGCTCCTGCGATACATTTGAATCTTTCTTTCTTTGCATATGGTACTATAGACATTAATTAGGTAGTATTAGGGTAGGTAGTTTACAGTATTGGGGTAAAAGTAGTGATTGTTAGAGCGGTGGGGACATTCAAATCGGATACTTCGTGCGATGCGAGCGCTGGAAAAGAGATAAAATATGAATGGGGATTTGATGCTAGGCAATGTGCCGGCACCACCATCAACCCAAAAAGGGTAAGGGCGGAAGGACAAGGGAAAGAATGTATCTGGCGGCCTTGATAATGGAGCCATTTAAGAAGGGAGACAGAAAGAAGGGTTGGGTATAATGTCTCTAGACGAATCCAAAAAAGGGAACACCCTAACAAATGTCGGGACCAACGCGTTCGTTCGGTCCCAGTCTTCGTTATTCGATCCCAAAAAGAAAACGATTTTTAGGGTCTCGTACAACGAGAAGCCAAGAATGAATTTACCTCCTTAAGAGTTGTGGTTTTGACAAAAGCAAACCGGGGTATAATAAGAAAAATTGGGTACAAGGTAATGCACGCCAAAAGTGAAGGTATTGGGGTATAAAACAACCGACAAAAAAGGGTGGCTCTTTGCCACCAACAAGAGGTAACAAGATAACTTAAACAAAACGCTAAACCAATGCAGAAGGAGTGTTAACACGATGGGAGAGAGAAGATGACAGGTAACGTGACAGAAACAAAGACGCGGACGGGCCGTCCTCCTACATCATCATGAGTCTGGTCCGGCGTTTCTGCATGTTTCTGGACGGATTCTCTCCAGGGAAGAGGCCGTGATTGCTCCTTTGAGCGGCGAAAGCATGCCGCTCGCAGTATGCTCTCCCGCCGACTTCGAAGTAGTCGTCGCGGAGAATGACCCGGCATGTTAGACATGTGAAGCATCGAGGGTGAAACTTCAGGCGCGCATCCGTCTCCAAGTACTGGCCTTCAATACCTCGGTTGCAGGTCTTGCAGAGCGAGCCGTTTAGCTGGTGATAGTGATGTTCGCAGTATGGAAAGTTATTGAAAACGTAGAAGTCCGCGGTTGGAAATGGGCTTCTGCAGGTCCTGCAAGAAAAGCACTCCTTATGATACCGGCCTGTCAGACGGCCGGATGAGTCCTTGATCGATTTGCCGATGATGGGATTGGAGCATCCGCGGCAGTTGCCCTTGCTCGCTGCTGTTGGGCGCCGTGTGGGAGGGGCTCTCGACTCGGGCTGAGGGACGGGTGGTGGGGGAGGGAGCATCAGTTCATCGTCACCTCTGCTCATCATTCGTGTTGGCGATGGCCGGCGACTGTAGTCCAATCCTCGCTGAATAGCTGGGTCCATGGGGGACTCAGGGGGGTTGAAGAAAGATGGTTGGGGTGGTAATAGGGACTCTGATATTCCTGGTCGATCGAAACCTGCGGGTTCGTTACGCCTAAGTGGTTTGGGAGGAGTGCGAGGATCGAGAAAGGATTCCGGACTGTCTGCTCTAGGAATATCCTCTTGCTCCCTTCCGTAATCAACTCGAGCAACCTTGGAAGTGTTCCGGGAATGTGAAGGTTCAGAAGTCGGAGGGCTTGATCGTGAACTTGCGACACTGGCAAAGCCTGCGCTAGAATAAGAATCATCTGACTGGCCTGAGTCAGACGGCGTATGAAGGGGATTTGTTGGTAATGGAGGAAGCAAAGGCTGCTGTGTATCTAGGCGTGCGGGTAATTTTGAGCCTCCGCGACTAGTGCTTCGGACAGGAAATTCGTTGTTAGGCCGTGGAGCTGATGTATCGAATACTGGAAGACGTGGCAATGCCCTGTCGATGTCTTCGGGCCGTATTGGGCGGGGAGGTGACCCATTGGTGTTTCTACTTGCGTTCCGGGAATGCGATGTCCTTGGTCGGTCGCCGGCCCCCATGGTCTCCTTCTGAAGCCTGTCAAGGAAGGCATCAATGCCTTCCGTCTTTTCAACTACAGGTGGCGGTGGTGGAGGAGGAAGTTCCGGGACTCCATCCCTCCCTGGCCTGGGCCGAGATGGTAATCCGTTAGTGGTCGAAGAGTATGCTGAAGTTCGTGATGCAGTAGAGGCCAGCGACGTTCGTGTGTTAGCGCTCCTCCCGATGCTCTTCACACTACCTTGCGTAGCGGTACGTCTGTGACCGAATTCCATGTTTTGCGGAGCTCCCCTCTCGTCAGCCGTGCTGGGTCTGCGATCGCTTCCGTCAAAGGGACCAGGCGCAATGCTGTCCATTCGTTTCGCAATAGCGGCACCCCCATTGAAGCGAGGACTCAGTGGCGCATACTGTGGGCTTGCTTCTGCATATTGATGTCTATACGATGGCTTCGATCTTTCGCTATATTGAGTTCTGCTGCTCATGGGCGTGCCTGTTCGAGCGCTTGGGAAGGGAGGAAAGGCGGAGTCCATGTTTGAAGACATGTTGGGAGGAGGAGGTCCTCTCTGTTGTGGCACAGGGCTAGTCGCACTTCTGTTCATACTAGGTCGTGATCCTGGAGAAACTGGAGACAAGGAGCGAGGGTCGTTGTAAGGGTTGTTTGGAGAAAGTTGCTTCTGGGGGTAGAAAGGTTTGTCTATTGATGTTAGGAGCGGCGAATTGAAGTCCACAGATGAATACTCACTGGCAGCAGCAGAGTCAATCATAGGAGGAGGTTTCGTTCGTCCACCACGTGGTTGGTCTTGTGTGCTATTGAACGACATCGTAGGCGAACCGAAGGTCGCCGCGCGATTAAGTGCAGGCGAAGCAAGGGAATCATCTTGTCCTGTAGAAGATCAGACGATACTCGAGTCTGGAGGCTTTATTCTTGTGAGGAATACATACGTGTGGAGGCCGAAGCTGGAGCACAAATATGATCTGCCAGTTGCGCAATGTCGATGTCCACCCCACAGGTGGAACACTTTATCTTCAAGCCGTCGGCCATGGTTGTATATTAGAATCAGAGGTCGTGACCATCAATGGTATTGTAGTAGATGGTCAATTATCGGAGGAAAACGTAGGCGTGGTTTTCATATCCAGCGATAAAAGGTATAGGTGTGTTTCGACGTGTGTGACATGGAAGACGGATGGATTCGTGGAGGACGGATGGATGTGAGGATGTTAGGATGTGTGGATTGGAGGAGACAGGAAGAGAGAGTGTGTGTGTAACTAGTCCGGAGGAACGCACGGGTGAATGCGTCTGGCGAAAGAATCCCTGATGTTCCAAGAGAAGCGATGGAGCAGCGTGGACGGTGCAACCTGCTGTTCCTGGAGGAGTAGGCGGGAGATATGCTGAAATGGGAGAGAGATCTGAGGGCTGGCGGGCAGGATAAAGGTAAGTAGCGTAGGGACCTGTTACAACAGAAGATCAAAGTCCGCGAGTACGGACCGGTTTTGGGTGGATATTAGCCCCACAGGCGCGACTGGTAATGTTGGATATTCTGCGAATAGAGTGATGGAATACATGTATATGAAAAGCAGATTGAAGAATTGAGGACAGCCATACAGAGGATGAATGTACAGCGTGGAAGACACGAGGCGATCATAAACGATCAGAGACGATCAGGGCAATCAAAGAGGCAGAGCAAAGATGACCAAAGAGATGCAATAGAGGAGCAAGAGGCAGATATCGACCCTGCACGTAACCCGCACTTGTCCCTGAATGTGGCGTCCCCTGGCGTCGTATGGTGGTCGTTTGGCGGACAGGTGGACTGGGCGACACTGGGCGGGCGGCTCTTGATTCGACTGATACAACTGCACTCGTACTGGGTGTGTAGGAGACACAGAAAGACGAGAGGGAGGAGGCATGGATCATGGGTATGTATGCACATACACAGTACGCACAGGGCGAGGGCTCGCTGGGACGTGCCATCCATGTTCCAATGACCAAGTCCATATCTGCACAGCAGACTATCCATGTAGGTACTTGTTGTAGATACTGTGCAGTGTACCATGTATGGATGGATGGAGTCGGTTCACTCTCCGTCAGTCAATCAACCGCCCATTATCTTGTTTTAGTGTGTTTGTCTGTGCTAGTCACCGCCGGATGGAGAGTAGAGACATGATGGAAGACATGATGAAACACGACTGATTCCGCCGGATTGTCTCGTGTAGGCGTCACGGTCGCAGTCGCAAGGCTATATGCCATGATGACGCCAGTGAACGCATCGTATAACGTATGGAGCAGGATCGCATTTTCCAGTTCGAGGCAGAATGAATGGCATTGTTGCTGTTTACCTGAGGTACATAGATGTTGAGGGATAATTTGATAGAATCTTGATTGATTGATTGATTGATTGATTGATATTGATTGAAAGATGATGATGATGATGATGATGGAGAAAGACCCGCCAGGGGGAAAGGAAAGGTGGCCCACCCACACTCCACCTACGTACCTGCCCACGACGATGCGCCATTGGTCCATCTCAACGTCCCCCATCGAAATAGCTAATAAAATAACCAACGTACGAGCTCTCAGAACAGCGCGTTTACCGTAGCGACTAGTACTCGTACTGTGTAGTTGCAAACAAATAGATCAATGGGCAAGCGATACTACCTCGTACGTTCCGAACAGAGTGCTAAGCATCTACACCGTTTACGTCGGCGAGGATCACATCAAGAGCCCTGCCGTGCCTTTCTATCCCACGCTCTGCCATGAACAGCTAGGCGACGGCCAGGAACGGTAACAGACAGAGCAACCAGGCCTCCGCCATGGTCTACTTTCGATGCTCAGGAGAATTGGATGTTATCGAAAGAGGTTAATAGCCTCGAGATATTGAGGCTGTTGTCAGGGTTTCCTACTGGCTCGTGCGCTCGATAACACGGCACATGAACGAACCCCTGAGACGAACATGTCGCACTACCTGATCAACTCCCAAAACAGAAAATCGACTGCCTATCTCTCTTGACTTTATTGCGCGAGCAATCGACAATGGATTGCGATGTGCGAACGATGAACCCGTCTGTTCGCTGTGGGTGTGGAGCAACGGGCTGGGGGAAGGGAGGGGGACTTGCGATGTAGGATGTTGCACCTCGAAAGGTCTCGAAAGGTCTCGGATGGCGCCACAGGGCATGGCGGTCAACGTTTCGGAGGAGGATCACTTGCTAGTAAGAGGACAGGTTTGTCGTGCAAAACCACCACCTCATACAGTATGCTACTTACTCATGGACCTTGGCGACTGCTAACAGAAACATGTCCACGGCTGACGTCCGGCCATCTGTAACTCTAGTGCGTGATTTGTATCGGGGACTACCTAAGTGCTCTGCGGGTCGGAGATATTCTAATTTCTAGGGAGAGTCGCAGGTGTCACACACAACATTAGTACTGAGAGACTTTAGTATGGCAGACAACGCTACTTGTAGACGCTACAATGTAAATGAGCCGTCTTGTTGGCATTCTCCCTCAGCGGAATGATATGCATCCAGTAGCGTTCCGAATCTGGTTCAACCCCCAAGTTACGGTGTAGGATAACTACGGTAGCCTACGATGACCCTATCAGGATGCAAGAGGATTAAGGAGGAGCCCAGGGGAATAGTCGAAAGGATGAGGCTAGTGTCTAATTTCACAATAACGTATCCAGATTCCAGACATGACCGGCCTTCCCTTATGCTGTTCTTCCTCCTTCCTGATGCCTGCTACGTAAGTAAGAACTGCGAATAGTTAAAGGAATCAAGATACACATTCCTCTTCCATTGTTGCTAGGGCTTAGCACGTGCCGCGTTAGCCATGGACCCTGCGTGGGATTTTGTTTGTGCCGTCTGATAGTTCCCTCGTGTTCCTTACGGCTGTTCCTTGTGCTAGAAAACCGATAGTTGCGGACTAATTATAATTATAATTATTTATTCCCATCCGATCCATCCATCCATGCATTCATCCTTACTTACGAGTTACAGGATCATCATTACCATCATCATCATCCCTCTTTGGTACCTCGTGAGCTACTCGATTCATATGCGATAAATGCAAGTACACTGTTATAGGCCACCCTCGCCGGTGATTGAATACTCTCATAATTGATTAGAGATATAAAAGGGTTTGAGCAAGCCCAGCCACGTTGCCTACGCCAGAGATCTCTAGCCCAGCAACCACCAGTGCCTCGGCGATGTTGTAAGACACCAAGCAGGCCAGTCTAAAACTAATCGTGTAGCCAACCCTTCGTGTCATCGAAACCAAACAGGACACCTGCGATGAATGAGTGAATGGCGCGCGCCAGATCATGATGGCGACGACGCGCCACTGCGATTCATGTGTGTCGATCTCTTGATCGCACTATAACAATCTACGAACGCCATCTCATCTCTTCTTGTGGCGGTCGCAATGGTCGCAGAGCGCAAACGTGTCTGAAGCTGGGAAGGTCTCACGATTCACGAAGTTTCTAGTGTCGCGTGACGGCATTGTCGAAATTCGAAACACCCTCGTTTCTGAATCAAAGCTTCAGGAAGCGCCGGGGCACAACACACTGGAGCGTCACGCCCTGGGGACTCGACATGTTTCGGCCAAACAGTAAGTATTGGCTTACAAGTCAAGCATTCGCGCGCATGCTGTCATGCCTGAATAGGAAGCAGTGTTATTATGTCTTCTAAGGTGGGAAAATGAATTTCGCCATTGTTCGCATATGACCAAGTCGATCTGTATATGCATTATGAGTATCCACAGTTATGAGTTGTACCATATGGGAGAAACCCTGAATATACATGTGTATGTATAATGCAATGTACAGTACATGTGTGATTGCTGCAACAGGTTGCACTTGATGTCTATTCTATCAACGTTGGTGATGGACAAATCGCGGGGCAGAACGACTTCGGCGTGTCCTGCATCTTCTCCCTTTATCCCTCCATCTAGGTATGTGATCATCATTGATTCAACGCAATGAAAGAAGGGATGCACTAACAGTCCACCGTATGCAGTACATTGACATACGGTATACGACCTCAAATCAGTCCATCAACTGCTATCTGATGCTGTATCTGTATATGTAGAGACAACTCAACTCCTTTGCCCCACCATCGTGCATCTCCCGCGTCAACTTGTGCTTTTACGTTATCGGCTTGTCCGCTCCGTCATTCCCCTCGTTGAGTGATTGAGTGACTTAGTTGCATTTGGAGACCCCGTGGGACTTGTTGTAACTTGCTCGCTTCGACTCCCAAGAGGGTCCATTGCTGCAGTCTTTCATATGCATTTCTGTTACTTGTATGTACTTGTACTAGAATGTAGGAAATTGCGAGCTGTTAGCGATCGCGCCCTTTTTTCTCCTTTTCTCTCTCTCTCTCCCTTCTTTCTCGCCCGCCGGCGCTGCGCTAAATCCCCAAGCCTCCCCGCGATAGACATCAGCCCGCCTGTATAGGCAGACTTCATTGGTTTGGCCTCGGCTCCGGCGGATTCTCGCAGACTTTGTTCTGCATGTCCACGGCTCTAAAAAGTGGATGCTCCAATATCGGTTTGCAAGTTGCAGAGGAGCGGTGGGCAGAATGAACAACGCTTGCAGTAGGTGATGAACTGTAGTTGGCTATTCGTTTGCTTGTCGTTCGCTGTCGTCCATTGTCCTCCACTTATCGTCCGCCGCGAGCTGTAATTGTGTTGCCTGGCCGGCTGGTACCGGGTACGTAATACTGGGCCGGCTTGTGAGTGATATTGCTCAATGTCATCTGGTCTGGCCTTGCCTTGCCTTGCCTATGCCGTGCTTGTCCATATTCACTCTCATAATCTTTCTTTACACTGCAGTGCAGACAGTCTATCTCCTCTCGTTGGCCAATCAATAAGCGAGAAGGAAGACGGAATACGATCCACGCCATATTCTTCCAAGCGCGATAGAAAGCGACGACCTCAACCTCATATAAATATTACACTCTCCCCTCAACAACAATCTCTTCTCTTCTTTCTTCTGTCCCGTACCACAATACACTCTGATCGTGCACAACTACATTCAAAGCCCACAGCAAACAATTTCCTCTCAAACAACCACATCCAAAACATTCCTAGGGCCATTGCCCAGATAGTCAAGACGTTTTCCAATCTTCTCAACTCGTACGTACCCCACCATACCCCATACCGTGATAACCCACAGTACACCACCAACCTACTCCCGACCTCGAACCACTCTACACTCAGCATACATTCATGGCCATCTACGGCAACAATAGAAAGAAAATTAGCAGTACACTAACATGTATCTACAGCGTCCACCACCCATTCGCAGGCCGACGCACCGCACCTTCGGGAGCAGCATCGGACTTAGACTACCGCAGATAAATTCAATTCTGCGGTCCAGCCAATCAAAGCTTCGTATCAATCAATCAACATGGCTCCTCACGCAGATGAAAGCAACGGCACTGTGAATGGGGGTGTAGAGACGGTCAATCCCACCCAACCCCAGGAACTCTTCACTGTCAACTCCCCCAATGTCAAGTATTCCGACTCCACTATCGAAACCAAGTACACCTACCGCACGACCGAGGTGACCAAGAACGCCAACGGCAAGTATGTGGCAGCCCCCAAGGAAACCCTCTATGACTTCAAGCTCGAACGCAAGGTCCCCAAGACCGGCGTCATGCTCGTAGGCTGGGGAGGTAATAACGGCACCACTGTCACCGCCGGTATCCTCGCCAACCGCCGCAATCTCGTCTGGGAGACCAAGACGGGCAAACGCGAGGCAAACTACTATGGCTCCGTAATCATGGGCTCGACCACCAAGCTCGGCGTCGACAACACTGGCAAGGAGATCAACATCCCCTTCCACGACCTCCTCCCCATGGTCCACCCCAATGACCTCGTCATTGGTGGTTGGGACATCAGCGGCATGAACCTCGCCGACGCCATGGACCGGGCCAAGGTCCTCGAGCCCTCCCTCAAGTCCCTCGTCCGCAAGGAGCTCGCCACGATGGTTCCTCTCCCCAGTATCTACTACCCTGACTTCATCGCCGCCAACCAGGAGGAGCGCGCCGACAACGTGATCCCTGGTACCAAGGCATCCTGGGACCACGTTGAGCGCATCCGCAAGGACATCCAGGACTTCAAGGCTGCCAACAACCTCGACAAGGTGATCGTGCAATGGACCGCCAACACGGAACGTTACGCCGACATCATCGAGGGCGTCAACGACACGGCCGACAACCTCCTCGCATCCATTCAGTCTGGACACGAGGAGGTCTCCCCCTCGACCGTCTTCGCCGTAGCCTGCATCCTCGATAGCGTTCCCTTCATCAACGGCTCGCCCCAAAACACCTTCGTCCCTGGTGCCATCCAGCTCGCTGAGAAGCACAACGCCTTCATCGGCGGCGACGACTTCAAGTCCGGGCAGACTAAGATGAAGTCTGCGCTTGTTGACTTCCTCATCAGCGCGGGTATCAAGCTCACTTCCATCGCCAGCTACAACCACCTCGGCAACAACGACGGCATGAACTTGTCCTCGCAGAAGCAGTTCCGGTCTAAGGAGATCTCCAAGTCCAACGTCGTGGACGACATGGTCGCCGCCAACACCGTCCTATACAAGGAGGGCGAGCACCCGGACCACACCGTCGTCATCAAGTACATGCCCGCCGTCGGCGACGACAAGCGCGCCCTCGACGAGTACTACGCAGAGATCTTCCTCGGCGGCCACCAGACCATCAGCATCTTCAACGTCTGCGAGGACTCCCTTTTGGCCTCCCCGCTCATCATCGATCTCGTCCTCGTCGCCGAGATCATGACCCGCATCCAGTGGAAGGCTAGCTCCGCCGACGCAAACTACGCTGGCTTCCACAGCGTGCTTAGCATCCTCAGCTACATGCTCAAGGTACGTCACTTACTCGTCTTTTATGTTATCCTTGCTCTTTCCCTTCCCCCTTACCCCGCTTTCTTCTTTCCATCCAAATAAGCGAGACACATAAGGAACTAGAAGTACTGACTGTATCCCTCTAGGCACCCCTCACTCCCCCAGGAACGCCCGTCATCAACGCCCTCGCCAAGCAGCGCGCCGCCCTGACAAACATCTTCCGCGCCTGCGTCGGTCTCGAGCCCGAGAACGACATGACGCTCGAGCACAAGCTCTTCTAAGAAGGAAAGAGACAATCGCCCTTCCCCTGAAATCTCATCGCCATCGTTCCCTTTCTGTCTTTCTACAATGACGCTTCGTCGTACTGACCAGGTTCTTTGGGAGCGGAAGGTCCATTGGTGGATGAATGGATAGGAAGATAGGGGAGAGAGTTCATTTCAACTAAATTGGATATGATCATTTTTCTTTCGTTTTGGATTTATGGCAGACCAACTCTACACTATCATTAAAGTAAATCAACGTACAATGAATGAAGAAAACCTTGGAACGAAATTTCCAATGAAGTTTCCAGATAAGAATCAACAATGATATGGCCCAAGTCTATACAATTGTAAAATTCTTGTCCTGAGAAGAAAAGTGCTGATGATATGCGTTGACATCAAGTGAGCTAAAGTAAGATCTCCGTAACAAATTATTTATCCAACACGTAGCCGCCGATTTTCCCACTGAATCTTTGCCATGACATCGAATCTATGAATTTTTATGTATCCAATCCTCTCACATCCGATTCGCTTTTCATTGTCAAGTGTCCGATTTCGTTCCAGAACTAGTAAGTAAATGAGTCCGGAATCAGTTCCAAGTAGAACAGCCGTCAGAGAATCATGATGCCCTTTTTCTCCATCGGAAATTTCTCCTTCGAGCACGCAGTGTGGAGACATCGGGTTACCGCCTGCATAGAAGCCGATTTCATCGGACAGGACCAGCCATTCGCCACCATCTACCGCCCTTAGATACCAGAGCCGGTGCTCGTCCTGCCGTGAACACTTCAGCTGGGAAGTTTTACCCTCAAGAAGAAGGTACGGCGCGAGTCGGTTTTTAGTGCACAACTCCGGCGGCCATCCTTGAACCTCATTGCCGTCTCTTGTCTCTGCGCCGATCCTCAGATCATGATCTGTTTCTGTATCCTGCTTGTCGTGAAATTCTGAAAGCACACTCCCAGACCACCCTAACCACGACCAGCTAGGGAACGTCCGCCTCCTCTTCCAAGATCCTAGGATATACCAACACAATGATGAAATTGGGTTCTCGATCAAGTCAGAGCGGTTCGCCCATGGCCGATATGGCACTCCCCAGAAATGATAAATCGGCACTGGCGATGATTGAAACACCTTGAATAGACCGAGCATCGCGTTTAACGCATCAGATTCATACGACATAGCCCGGCCGGTATAGTTGTAGATTGAATCCCATACGTGCCGGGTTGACGCGCTATGTTCTGTTGCAAAGTAGCAAGCAGGGAAAAAGGATTTCCATGGCCGAGCCTCTTCTGCGAGAAAATAGGCCTGCGATGTAGACATGGTCTCATGTGCTTGCGTTTTAGCACATTCGAAAATCACTTGGGATTGAGTGAAGAATAGCCTTCGTCGAGAAAGACAGTACTCTTGATAACACCACGCCCTGCTTGCCCATTTGGAGTTTCCGATGACAGCACCCCCGTGCGGTAGCGTATGTCTAAGTACGCCTTTGTCCAAGGTTATCTGTGGTTGCCGTTGCCTGCAACGTGTTGATACACCAGGTAGTCCATCAGAAGGGATTTGTGCTGATTCGGCAATGATGGTAGCATGTGCGGAGCAATAGACTAAGTCCATCTCCGATATCTGCTGGTGCTTTTGAGCAGAATCTGTGGAAATGCAATATCGATCTACCCAAAGATACTGATATCCCAGAGCAATGGTTACAGCCATGGCATCTTTGATTACCAAGGGTATATTACGTGGCAGAACATTCCAAGCCTTATCCTCCTCACTCTCTGTCGCCTCTTCTGGGGGTGAGGGTCCCCAGACATAAGACAAAGCAATAAACTTTTCGCCAGAAGGTAATTGGGAAAGCTGTTCCCTTTTGCAGTCAATCACGGAGAAAAGATGCGGCAGACTGGTTGTCCCAGCATTACAGGGTCCTGTGTGGTGATGATCACATGTATCCAGCCATTCCTTCAGAATCCCAAAATCAATGGACTCTGGATCTAGCGATCGGGCCCGACACTGACCTTCGTTCTCAGGTCCCGTCGACTCGTCGTCTAGCACGAGGCATCCATACTCCAATGCTTCACAACATTGCGATAAAACCCACCATCTCTCGTCTAGAAAGCAATGTTGTATTTTGTCTGGCCACATGTTGTAGCAGTATACCTCGTCATAGTAATTATGTAAGGCAGACACAGCCCATAATACCAACGGTTTTGCCTGGTCTTTGGAAGTACAGCAGGAAGACAAGAACCTGCACATCTCGCATGTGTTTTCGAAAGAATCGGTAGTTATCCTAAGAAGGTATTCATAATCCTCGGGAGGTGGTGCGCGAGATTCAAACAGCGGAACAACGTGTTCCATACATCGACTGCAAAAGCGCTCGCTACCGTAGATCGTAGTTGAAACTGATGGGCTAGCTTCTTGGTCGTGTGCGGTCCCTCTCAGAGGCTTCGATATCTCCATTGCGGTGTGGCCCGGTGCCGTTTTCGTCTTCCTTGTAATATTGACAATAGTGTATTATGAAGACCTCCAGCTCATCAGGCTGCGAAGCGGGGATTTTTATCCTCCACATACCCAGGTCGTCTAGACGGAAACACAGCCGAACGTGGCGCAGTGACATGGGTGAAGCATTGCAGCAAACATCCAGGTTCGACATCCCGGATTGGTGAGCGGTGCAGACGAAGAATATTTGGAGAAGAGAACATGAGTGAGGCTTTCTCTTGCTTGGATGAACGATTTGCGTATTTATTGCCACCTAATCCAAGTTCCTGATGGGGAAGTTGGCAATCTGGCAGTTCAACCAAAAAAACAAGAAGTCGCACACGCGGATGCGCCTTTCCACCAAGCAACACGGGACTCTAGGTAGGTAGTTACACATCACCACACCGCACCGCACCACTCAAACCATGCTTACAAGGCGCATGAGACCCCAAACAAGCCTCAGTGTGACTTTTGGAAAGAAGAACCCAGAATGGGGGAAAAATGAATTTGTTCAAGAGAGAGAAAGGGGGATATAAAACTCCGCATATATAACATTCTTCCCAGTTGCATCGTTAGAACGGGGTCCTGATCGAATCACTTGTTGTCTTTCTGAAGCACTGTGATTTCGACATGTAATAAGAAACAAGAAGAAGAAACGCTACTTCTTCAATTATCATTCATTAAGTACGCCAGACAGACTTCGCAGGACGTCGCCCACGCCAATTCCCTCGCTGCCAACCTTCTCTTTCACAGCCTTGTCCCGCTCTTCAAGACGTGTGGCTGCGGTTCCGAGTACTCGGTCAGCTACTCGCTCGGCGGTGTTGCGGTACTGTTCGATTTTGTGGACGCCGTCTGCGAAGATGTCGATGTTGGGCTCGAGGGAAATAGCGAGGGCGGAAAGATGTGATTGTAGGGCAGTAGGGGTGGTGAATTTGAATGCTGTCGATCCTGATGTTGATGCTGAGGGTCTCTGTTCATCGGTGTCGTCGGTGGTAGATGAGGGTGGATTCATGGATGATTGGAGTGTGGCGAGTATGGAGGCTTGTGATGGGTCGAGTAATGAGGTGTCTATGTCGGCGAGTGATGGTACAGGTTGGTCTGTTGTTACAGGTGTCGGTTGTATTGATTTGGAAGCGGCAGATATGGCGTCCCAGGCGGCTTTTTCTTCCTCTAGACTGATGGTCTATTAGCAAGGCATTACGGACATCTACGACGCAATACATACCGCTTAACTTCTTCTTCCATCTCTTTTAGTAATGTCTGGTTCCTTTCGTTCACTGGGTTCGGTTTCAAGATTACCGTTTTTGGAGGCGTAGTATCTTCCTGTTGATCCCATTAGTGCGGTCTACAAGCAAGCCATCATTCCCAACATACTCTGCTGAACCAGTCTGATAATTCTGGCTTACTGGCGAAATCGTCAATGAGCTCTTGCTGTATAGCACGTGCTACATCCAGTCAGTTCCACATTCATGAATCCAGAGTTTCGGATCATCCATACCTGCCATAATCGCATTTGCATCCTTGACGCTTCCTGACGGCTTCGCTGGCAGCGCTCTTGAACCACACCAGGTCAGAAGCTGCTTCATCCGCCTGGGCTCCGGTAAACTCTGCTCAATGTACTTGTAGAATTCGCGGACTTCCACCTCGGAATGCGGTAAAGCTGTATGCACCGTCAGATTCCAAGCCACGTCAACATGGAGTCCTGGGGGCAATTCCAACTGACCATTTGACAATCCGCTGTCTATCAACGAGCTCGCCCTCCTCCCTCTCAGCCCCGAGCTACTCCTTCTGTGCCCATCTTTGCTCGCCTTCCGCATTTCTTTATTCCTCGTAATCACAGGCGTATCCGCAAATGGAAGCATGATCTTTGTAGCAGCACCGTCGCGTTTCTTAGCCACATGGAGCTCGTTCTGGTTCGGGGTCTTCACAATCGGTTGCGCTCTTGCACTTCTGTCTTCCACAGCTGTCTCCGGCGCCGGGGTAGTCTGTTTCTTGCTCTTCGCCTTCTCCCTCTCCCTCTCTTTCTCCACGGGGGGCGCGACTGACTTCCTCACACGCTTCGGTGCCGGTTTCTGTGCGCCCTGCTGGATTTCAATCTGCTCCTGATCCGCCGACAAGCGCGTCGACCGCCGTCGCTTCGGTGCAACGTCGTTCTGCTCGGGAATTGGCGCACTCGGGGCAGCAGCCGGAGTCTTCTTCCGGCGCGCGGGCGCGGGTGCAGGTTTCGCGGGTTCTTCGGGAATTGTCTCGGTCGCGGGTTGTTGCTGGGCCTTCGCGGCGCTCTTCCTCGTCGTCCGGCGCGTGAATTGAAAGCCATCGTCGTCCTCGTCGTATGCTATTAACTCAATTAGCCTTCCTATTCTTTCCCGCAAAGTTGTCGCTCAATTTGCGACCCTCATTCCACCGCAAATCGACGCGCACAATGCGCCAAATCCTCATTGTACGGCAAAAGACTCACCGGTAGTACTCCTTGAACTCTTCTTCGCTGCGCCCTTCCTCCCTGTTCCAGAACCATTCGATCCGCCGCCGACAGCGCCGCCATTCGTCGCCACAGCTGTCGTCTTTGCCCTTTTCGCGACCGGTGCTCCCCCGTCATCCTCCTCATGCCTCGCGCTCTTCCGTCGCGTTGTAGGGCGATTCATTGCCGTAGGTAGCGATTGTAGAGGTGATCTCGCGAGTATGGCTGTCATCAGTCCGGCTTAGGTAACTCGATTTCGTGCGCGCGCGAGAGTCCTTTTCCGGAACCGTGGCGGCTCTCGACGTGTGTCGGTCGCCTTCGTCGTTTGGTTGTGTTTGTTGGTAGTTGCTACGGAGGGTTTGGCGCGTGCTGCATTGAGAGAATCCTTGGCGTTACTGGTAACTCACGCGAATTGGAAATCCGGGCGGGAAGGGGGATAATTATATTTGTTTGGCTATTTTGAAAGGTTCGTGAAGTCTCGTGAATGGGCGAGACGGTCTCTCTAACGCGAATATGTCGTGGGTTCCTGAGGGTCGTGAATGTTTGGTCCGCGGTGGGGGCGCAGAGAGGTGAACGGATGCCCGTGCTAGGATCCGGAGAGAAATCAAAACAAATGACTAAGCGGCTGCACATGACCTCACCACCAATGAACATGGAATAAATTCCCAAGCAATGGTAGAGCATCATATTCGGCTACACCCTTCAAAATACTGTATGACATTCTTAACAACCTATCATTATGTGTAATTTGAATGGCTGTGGTCTTCGATGTCAACATCACTCACACATACTAAATTACATCTTATGATGATAGGAATATTCAAGAATTGGAGTGAATAGCAATGGACTCAGATATGTGTACATCTAAAAACTACCCAAATAGAACTCCCAGGGTTTCCAAATATAAGGATAAAGCGTTGAACCCGTGATGCTGTCGTTTACCGTCGTTGATGCTATGTTTTCTCTCGCTATGTTTTGTACCATGCATTTGCACTATGCGATCCATCGATCTTCTGCCCCGAGAAGGCTCCAGACATAGATCCCAAGATTGCAACCCGAAAAAATAAATAAAGAACCAACCCTTTCCAATGTGTACCCTTTTTATCTTGATGGTGATTGTGTCGTGCTTTATACGTGACATGACGGCCGATACATGCCAATGATCGAAGATCCCCGACCATGAAACCTTCGATCACCTACACATTACAATCGTAAGTGTATATGAAATGTAGATCTAGTCGCGGTCTAGTCAACTACATCCCTGCGCCAGGCATAGGCCCACGAACCCCCTCAGGGGCAAGACTGCCTTCGATGCGGCGTTTGGCTTGCTGCTTCTCTTCGTGGGATGGGTTTTCCTTGCGCATATCGGGCATGTAGGCACCTCTGTTTGGACTATGGCCGACGGACATACCAACACGGACCTGATCTCTCGTTAGTAATGTGACTTAGACAGAAAGAGATGGGATACCTACCAAAGTCTCTAGAGCGCCACGAGAGTTCTCGTGTAAATCATCGTCATACTGCATCTGGCCGGGCTCGAACAGTAGTAGAAGTGTGCTGCCGCCGAACTTGAAGTAGCCCAGCTCCTCGGCTCGCTTGACCTCTTCGCCGCCCTTGCGGGTAATAACTGTGCTACCGACCATCATGGCACCCACGCAGATAACCATGACCCGCCCGTGGGCTACCGAATCGATGGGCACAATGACACGCACATTTTCGCCGTAAACGTCCAGAGCTGATCTGATCGCCATGGGATTCACAGTGTAGTATTCACCCTCAATTGTCTTGGGCTCACCCATGATACCATCAACAGGGATGTGGAAGCGATGGTAGTCCTGTGGAGCCAGACGGAAGATACCCAGAGATCCTCCAACATAGCGCTTTGCGTCCTCAGGATAGGCATCGCCAAGGAGACGTGACACGGTGAACTCGCGGCCTTTGACCCATATAGATTGCGCCTGGTCGAGTGTGTTAAAGACGACCGTGCGGCAGTCCGCTGGAGACACAATGACTCTCGGGTCATCAGGCGCGGAGCAAGGACGAGCATCCGGTTTCAATGCACGATAGAAGAACTCGTTGAAGTTCTTGAACTCGGAAGTAGGCAGTAGGACCTCAGACATATCCAATTGATGGAAGTTGATGAAACCGGCGATCTCTGCTGCAGACGCAGGATCATCGTACTTCTTTCCCTGTTTGACGCTGAGGGACCGAAGCAATTTTCGGACTGCATCTACGTTAGTGTAATGTTCCATATTTGTGGGTCGGGAACTTACTTCGTTTCTTCTCCATGTTATTCGTCTTCAAGCCTTTGTACAGTAGACGGATGCCCAAGCGAACATAAACACTCATTCGCTCCTCGTTGATCTGGCCCGTGATACGATCCTGCACCAAGATATTCGCAGAATTGGCGCCTAATTTGTATCCTCCGTATGAGATCTTAGTAATGACCTTGGAATACCACTTGCGTTGGGCCTGGCTAGCAGTGACAAAACCTGCCATGACCAAGTTGTTAACTTGTCTCCAGTCCTGGCTGGCGCAGGTGGCTACGTGGGTGATGATGTCGGCATCTGATTTCTTGTTGAGCCTCGGTTGATGGCAGATAGGACATTCGCGAATTTCAATAACATGTTCCTCGCCCTTCTCATCTCCAAGATCATCGGGCTCGATGATGTCACCTTCTTCACCCTCCGGACCAAGCGTATCAGTCTGAAGAGCTGGTATAGATGTCTGTGAGGGATGTACATTCAATGGCGTCTGAGTGCCGGAATCCAGGGAGGGGGTAAGTGTTCCAGGTGTGGAAAGATCCGTTGCAGATGCTGTCAGATGGCTTCTCCAAGATTTGGCAAGGTCACGCTCTTGAGTGCTCTGCAATTGGTCCTCTAGCACGATGACAGTCTGATCGAAGGTCAGGACCTCCTCGCCGTTGTTCTCTTTCAAGAATCGTTTGAAGAATCCGTCGATAGTAGACTCATGCAGCGTAGAGCCCAAGGTATCCAACATGGTAGTCAATTCGACCTTGTCGATGAGGCCGCTATCATCGGCATCGTACTGCTTGAGCATCGCTCTCCAGAACTGCTGCCTCAGTGCTTTGTAGGGCAGGTACTTGGCGCGAATGTAGAGAGTAGGGCTATGCTTCGCCTCCCATCTCTCCTTGTTCTTCATCTCGAGGGGCAATATATAGAGCTTGAGATCCTGGTCGTCGACTGTGGAAGGGTCAACATTGATAGCTGGGACTGGCGGTGCCAAGTTTCCACTGGAGTCAATTCCTGGAGTCTGGGGTGCGGATCCTGCGAGGGTGGACACATTTGTTTGGGAGCTCAATGAACTCTGAGAGTTCTCTTTCTTTAGTGATGGTCGGGCCAAGCGGGAAAGACTATGAGCGGATGATGATCGGGACATCGGGAGACGGAATCTCGATCTCCTAGCCTCAGGAATGCCCGGGGAGTCTGAAGGCTCTGGAAGTTTGTAAAGCCCTGTTACGGGGTCGGCTTCGGGCGCAACAGCAACTGCCTTTTCAACAGGGAAGTTGACAGCTCCAACGTAGTCATTTCCAGAGAACTTGTCACGATCGATGACCGTAAAGTTCATGGCATAGTTCGTCTCATGCCTCAGAACTTGGAAGACAAGCTTCTCTTCGTATACCGGATTGAGATTGTGTCGGACGACCTGCGTACGGTAGGTCTTCTTTCCAAGTGAAGTGACCACGAAAGGATCCATGTCAAAGGACGTGCGAGTAACTGTTGCACATGTTAGAGATCAATGTAAAGCAGATAAAAGTTACTCCACCTACCGTTGCGCTCAGGCGGTAGATCGGTGATCTTCACGATCTCCAAAAACAACACGCCAGCGACCTCAGTCTTGTCAGAGAACTCGTATGCATGCAGTGTAGCCTTCTTCTTCAATTTTGCCAGCCGGAGCCTCTTCCGCCGCCTCTCTCTCTTCTCAGCCTTCTTCGACTCGTCATTGACGTCATCGGAGCTCTCATCCTCCTCATCGATGTCGTCGTTCTCTCCACTGTCAAGACGTAACAAAGCTTCGTCTTCCTCCTCGTCAGGGCTACTAGAGGAGGTGTAACTCATGAATCGGGACACGACTTGCTCGGGGGTGGCGGATGGGTTGCTTGTGTCTGCGAGGGAGAACTGCAATAGGATTTCTCCTGTAACCACGGCCTTCTTCTTCCCGGTGCGTCTGCTCTCCAAGGGATACCACTTCGGCTCCTGGCTAGTCGCACCCTGTTGAAAGACATCCTCGAGCAGGACATCGAATTCGCCCATGTAATCCTTCCCGAAGCGGTCCTTATCCCAGCATATCACCTCGAGAAGCAGGCTCTGGGGGCCTACAATCGGGAGTTCGAGCGCACAGTTCCATTCAGGATTCAATGTTTTATTGATCGTAGGGGTAGCTTGCTTTGCGTCGCCTAAGGAGAGAACGAGGTACTGGAGGAGGGCCAACTGTCAGCGCATGTTTCAAGACGCAATCAGGAATTCAAAGTAGCAGCAACGAATAGCAAGATGTTAAATTCACGTACTGGATCAGAGGTCCCGCTTCTGTCCTTTGCGGCCAGGTTCCTGCCCTACGAGTAGTTAGCTTCAGCTGTAGATGGATGGCGTAGTAGCGGGGTATGGTCTAGCTGTTCGGCCGGTGGGCAGACGAGCAGACGGCAGGAACGCACCTTGATCACATTGGCCTTCAAGACGAGTCCCGGCTTTGAGGAATCAGACATTGTGCGCAGGGGACTCGTGCGACGACTCGTGGGGACGCTGGCGGGATTGGAAGTGGGCGCGTTGGTATTGTTATGGTTGTTCTTCAGGCGGGAGGGGAGGGAGAGTTTGGAGGACAAGGTCGGGCGCGGCATGCTGGGCTGGTTGGCGGAGATGGCGGTGCATACATGCACCGCACCAACAACTTGGACAATGACGACGCACCCACGACACTCCCACACAACACAGGCACAGCTGGAAACGTTGCCTCTGCTAGGCGGGCTGGTTGGCTGGTTGGCAGGTTGGCAGCGGGTATTCGACTATGTATGCCAATCGGCCAAGCGAATCTTGTTCGTTTGGTGTGGTCGCTCGCCTGGGTGCTTGTGGATCGATCGCTCGCTGGACGCCGGAATGGTCGCCTTCTTCTCAATCCGTACGCAACGTCGACGCTGAAAGAGGAAGACGACGGTAGGCGAAACGGAGGACCCGAGGGAGAAGAAGGAGAAGAAGAAGAAGAGAAGGAATGCAAGTCAACAAGACCACCCCTCCCCGATTAAGATGCTCCGCAAGGAGGAGGGTTTCTCCGCTGAACGAGCGAGCTGGCCTGGATTTGGGTGCGGCTTTTGGACGGGCTGGCTCTCTATTACTGGCTTGCAGTTGATAACGAGGTAATTATTATTAGGCGGGCTGGCTGGCCTGCGAGTAACACACTGCTACCCCCTTAGCGGTAGCAAGCTGCGGAGACGACGGACGAGGGAGTGATGGGATGGGACAATAAGGCCTAGGCTAGCCTTAGGCAGCAAATCCTAAAGATCAACTTTCGTCCTCTTGCGCGAATGGAGAAGGTGAGATCGTGTATGCAGGACACTCGTAGGTTGATAAAGAATAACCAGATAGTAGGATTCGGAATCGCGGAGCGGCGTAGAGACAGGAGAGGAGTAGGAACAAGAACAAGAACAAGGGCCAACGGGGGCAATTGTAGTGTTGATGAATTAATAGGGAGTAGTTGTACTGGTCGTCAACCGGGTCGACCTGAAGGTTTGGGGGTCGAATTTGGGCTTGACGCCAGTTCAGGTCAGATCAAATCAGATGCCGTGCGTTTGATCGTTCTTCCTTGAAGCAAAGCAAGCGACGACCCAGCTCGATACGGACAGATATTGTTATAATAGGTATTAGGCATGAGCACGCAACGACCACCACCAGGGGAGTAGGGGGGGGGGGATCGGGTTGATTATAAAAAGGAGATGGTAACTCAATAAGTGAGTTGTGCATCTGATGACGATATCATCTCCTTTGACGTCCGATTGATTCCTATTCTCCGGTCCAGAGTTTAGGATTGTCTGTAAGACCTGCCCTGTTCTAGTCCATTACTAGATACTGGATACTCGATAGATGCTACACTACTACATCACGGCGGGCGTGGGCGGAAGCTGCGGGAGCACCAAAGGTGACGTTTAATGTGTAATAATAATGGAGCCAACCTGAGTGGACTTCCTACGGATGGGCTGGTGCTTGTTCATGATGGATCCTACTTGACAATAGACTACCAATTAGATACTCAATTATGGTCTATTCGATCCTAACGGAGTACAGCAAGTGCTTCCATCCTCCCTTTCATCGCGATCAGTGATCAAGTGCAAGTCCTCCGTACAGCAAAGACAGTGCCTCCTCCGAACTCTCCACACAGCCAATACGAAGGGCCCCAATTCCCACCATCGTCCCCCATCCCCATCCATGATTCCATATTTAGCAATCCAGCCGGCCACTGCCCCGGTTTTGGCAGCTTCAGCTACTGCTTCGCCTACTGTGTACGGTCAACCGAATTCTGGTACTGCCTGTGACACTCCGGAGTTTCTTCTATTGCCTATGCTATGCTCTGTGCCTCTTCCTCCTCAAATTTCTCGGCTACTTAGTTACAACTTACTACACTCAACCATTATCAACAAATCCATCGCCAATTAACCATTGAAGGCTATTGGAGGCTGCCTGATTAGAATTGCCTGACGCTTGGGACACGATGCAGTAACAGCAGCCGCCGCCAGCGCCGCCCACGCCAACCGCATTGATCACAACGATGTCAAACCCCTAAAACATCATCACCCTATAGCCAGAGGATAGGATGATTGGCAAGGCAGACCGGAATTTTTTTAAATTTGCCTCAAAGGAGAAGAAGACACAGTGACACGCACATACGAGGACGACGAATCTGGTTCCCAATTCTCCGTAACCTTATGCATGCATGTGGTTTGGGGGCCGTAAGACACTCATACATTCACCCATACATGCATCCACATTAACAATCCCATGAAGCATCTGTCTCATAAGACAATACTTACTCTACTGTGCACTGTACAGAACACTAAATACACACTGCCCCATTCAATGTGTAGTACGCATTCCCGTCTCTCTCAATCGATATAGGGAGCTGGCCATCTACCGACACTATCATTACCTACCTAGGCACCTAATGCAATGTGAAGACATACAAGCACTGCACCAACACACGCCTAGATATACGCGAAGCGCATCGCATCGCATCGCTTGCATCGCATGCATGTATGCAAGCAATCAGTAGGATCGCCCGACGAGAAAAAGAGTGGGAAAGGGGAACCACAGAAAATGCCGCATTGGGAACCTCTTTTCCCTTCGCACTTTGCTATCCCCCTCCCCTTCCGGTTCCGCCCCAGCAATATAAGGGAGTTTGCATGGTAATTTAGTTTTAGAGTAAACACCTATGTCTGATTAATTGTCGCTGGATGAAGTTCTTTGGTGTTCATTTTCTACCATTCTTCTCTGAAAATAACTGCTCGTAGGTACTGTTTCTGTTCTCAGGCGAAGGCTCGTTAAATCCGATATCCCCGGATGTCCACCCAGCACATTCTCCCTGCGCTTTTCCCCTCCCCCACGTCCCAAGTAGGAACATATCGAATTTACTTGATTTCGTGTTTAGTTACCTGTCCAGTGGTAGTTATGGAGTACAGCAGCAGGCAAGCGAATACGTCCTCGTGAGCTTAACATCGTAATAGCCCCGCATGCCTACCCGTATTCGAAGAGGAAGAGAGATATTTGGAATTCTATCCGATTTCTCGTCACTGTTGTATTTGTTGTCGTCAAAGAATAAACTGCTAATCCATATAAATCTTTATTTTATCTATATGCAAGAATTCTAGATCTTGTTCTATTAACTACGGGTACGAATTGCATTAATGCTGGTATTCTTCCTCGCGGCCGCCCCGCCAAATCGCCCTCGGCCTGTTGCTATCCGACAGATACGACGACGGGTTGATGATGGATGGAAAATATGGAAACGCCCAGAAGTAATCCCAAAGCCCTCGTTATGATGATAAATATAAACCATTGGCATGAAACTCTATCAATGGAGGATAGAAAGAACAAAACCCATATCCAACGCCTGCCCAGGGAAGAAACGTCATGAAAAAGGACACCGCGGGGCCCGACGGCGGCGGCGGTCCGGATCGATCAAGTGCCGTCAGCCGGGAGGTGGAGACCGAGAAGAGGAGGCAAAGAAAGGAAGATGCGTGCCGGCGAAGTCGTTATCGATGGCGATGAAATGTTTAGTCGGAGGTGTGGGTTTGGTAAACGCTATCGGCTGTTTTACCCCACCAACTGACCCATTAAAAGCGCACGAGTTCCGCACCAAAAGCTCGGAGATCGAGAGGGAGAAGTATCCACGTATTCAGGTGATTTGGCGCCGATAAGAAAGGAAAATAAAAGGGCCCGGGGAATGCAATGTAATAGTGTTACGCAAAAGGGAAATGCTTGCAAGTGGAGAGAGACAGAGATAGGAAACTAAATCATGCAGCCGGTGCAGCAGTGACCGATGACTCCAGCTCTGTCGTCGTCTCGGCCGGAGCCTTCAACTGAGTGAAGGTGTCTGGCCAGGTGAACATCTTCTCCTCCTTGGGGGTCATGGCGGCGAAGAGTGGGACGTTCTTCTTGCTGCTGGCACGGCGCCACATGTTTGCGCGAGGGTTGAAGTTCGAAGGAAGGCCTTGACCCTTGGTCTTCTCCTCATCGATCTTAGCGATCTTGATGACCTCGCGCTGGATGTCGGCGAAGGTGTCGAAGGGAATGTAGGGGAGGTTGTTCTCGATGCAGTACTCCTCGAGACGGAGGCCACGGCGGGCGAAGAGAACATCGGCTTCGCGGGCAGCAGGGAGATCGGAGACACCGTCACCGATGAAGACGATCATGGGGATGGTACCGTCGTCGCTCTCGAGCCTAGCCTGGTCCTTGTAGTCGTTGATCGACTTCGCCTTGTCGTGACCGAGCTCGGTGTCGTGGAGCCAGACGGGCTTCCACTGGCTACCGTCGGAAGAGATGGTGGCATCGTTGGCGACGATATCGATGTGCTTCGAGTTCTCCTCTCCGAGGAAGTGGTCCAAGACCTTTCGGAGGACAGGCTTGAGGCCAGCAGAGATGACATTGAAGGGAATGCCGTTGTTGATGCAGAATTTGTGGAAGGTCTCGAAGTCGCAATCGATCTCAAGCGCCTTCTTCATCACCTCGAACCCGTCGTCGAAGGGGACATCGAGCGAGCCCCACATCTCCTCAGAGACATCGCGGAAAGAGCGCTCGCCACTGTGGATCTGCTCGTCGAGCATTTGTCGTCGTTCGGTACCGCATCCAAAATTGTTGAAGAGGATGTGGCCAGTATCTTGCATGAAGATGGTTCCATCGAAGTCTGGACCAGGGTTAGCAGATCGTCCAGTTGGTGATCGACAAGGCCAGGGGCAAGACAATTCGCAACGTACCTGAGAAGCAGATGATCTTGCGCTTAGTGCCAATGTTGGAGGAATCGACAGGAGAGGATTTTGAGACCTCAATGGTGGGCTGTGATTTGGCCTCTACGGCGGGAGGGGTGAGTGCAATGGGAGCCATGGCGATGGTTTGTGGGAGTGAAATCGAGGAAGGGCGGAAAAGGAATCAATCGATGAATCAGAAGCAAAAGTGTTTGCTGTTGTATTAATGCTTTTACCAGGGAAATATCTCGAAGACAAAAAAATACGGGCAACAAGTCTTTATAGCAAGAGCTGACTTAGGGGATAAGTTCAGAAAAAGAAGCGGGACCTTGCTTAGAGGTTCTTCGCCGCCATTATGACAACATCGTGAACGGGCAACACCAAGGAAAACACACTCGTACTCAACAACTTTCACGATAGCAACGGCACCTCGACGCCAAAACCCACGCTATGCGGCCGCGGATAGTGCAAAGGCGGTACGTGGGAGTAGGTACCTGGAGGCATGGTGGTCGCGGTGCGAGGTGTGATTGGTGTGCGATCCCACGATAGCGCATCTGGACGCGCCTCGACGTCACTGATGGAAGTCTTCAGAAGACGATTTTGCAAGGTCGACCGCACATGAAAGTGAAAATGGCTTTGGTTTAGTGGGGCTCTGTCATCGAAAGTATCGGCGGTTGTTCAGTTTGGTACGTCTCTACAGGTAATACTACCACCTATGATGTTCCTGTTTGGCTCGGGCCATGATTCCTCCTTCTTCATCCTTGCTACCTTGTACCGGTCCAGACTGGATTCTTGGAGGGGCACCAACACCCACTCCGAGGGACAGTGGTCGGAGTGCAGTGGTCATGTTGTTGCATCCGTATTTTTCCTTTTCCCATCTTGCCTTCTCTTTCTCCCTCGTCGTCGATCTCTCGACCCAGACCTCGATCTCAGTGTGTCGGAGAGTAGCGGCGAAAAAAATTGTTGTGGAGCAGAGCCTCACGATGAATCTCGATTGCACACCCTAGACACCACACACACACATTGTGGCATAATAATCAGTGCCATGCCAGGCCATGGCAGAACCGCGGCTGAACAGTAAGCCGATTGCAGTTCAGACCTGACCGAATAAACATGTAGCGCGAAACATTGCGAATTGTTGAAGTTAGCGTAGTATTGTCCGTCGACGATGGTGAGTGAGAGTGTTCTGGCTGCGAGTCCAGTCCAGTTCAGCCTCTTGTCAGGGTCTGTTGATCGACACTCGCTTAACCCCTCGCGGAACTGCACTATACTATTTTCGGCTGTATATGGTGATTGGACAGCTTACGCAGTATGATGTATTTCTTGTAAACACAATATCCGAATGCACTGCAACAGCCTGACCTGAAGGAGCAATTGGATTATCATCTCACAATATGACTACACGTGATAAATAACACTATCGACCTACATGGCATGTCTCATCTCAGGGGAACGGAAAGGTAATGAACGTACATTACAAGTACCATACACGGAGTGCAGCACAGTCAGCCTCTCTGTCCCTAAGCGAACCACAGGATTCGAGGCCATGCACAAGTACGTCAGACTAAGTGACAGGCTGCCCATGGCTTGCATGACGGCAGTAATCAACGTTGTAGCAGGATTGATTATTCTACCAACGTCAGAAATACGGTCTGGTAATTGAAGTGAGTTATGGGAATGTTGAGATTGACGTCGTGGGAATTGGTCGTCGTTCAATTGTTGTGTTCAGTACTCGTGTTGCTGGAATCCGCCATATACAACAGTATACAAGCGATTGCGGAGTACTTCCCCAGAGTCACTAGCCAACAAACAGATCATGCGTAGTAATCTTCGGTAATGGGTAATGATGGGTCTGTGAAGAAGGATTCTATGGGTCATGGCATTCAGATAGGCATGTGGAGAATATTAAAGTTGAATGGCGCCGTTTTGACCATACTCTATTCATCCCGCGACGATACCCAACCCCACACAATCATATCAACACTGTCATTGAAGACCAGCCTCTTTCCCCCATATACCCTCCCTCTTCTAGTACTGTAATACTGTGATATATCAGTAATCACCTTGGCAAAATCACGCATGAAGCCTACGACGCAGACCCTGACATTACCGATGTACATCTCCGTCGAATAGTTAACTACCTTGGGTAGCCATGCACTTACTCTTGGGGATATATTTCGATGTATACTTGGGTGCTTTATGCACTTCTTCTATGAGTTTTATTCTCGTTTTGAGGCATGAAGTGATCCTGTGAATCTTTGGCTTATATTTTTTATATAGAAAAACACTGTTATACACCATGATTCGGTGTAAGCTAAGATCATGTTTTAAGTATCACGAAATAATCCATTTTCTACAATCTTGCCTTGATGTTGTGTAATTCCTATCTACATTGAACACCTAGGTCCAAATACATTGGTAATAAAAGAATTTCACCACTGGAAACAAGTACTATCCAATTGCCCTCGATATCACCACTCAACTTCGGCCCAAAAACCATAGCCAAATCAAATCAATCACATCACTCAAACATAACCCATAGAAGACATCAAACCCCAAGATGAAAATATCACGACCTAGTCCTCCTATCAATTGTGAACTCCATAAATAGTACCCCGTACCATCTTTCTCCTTTTCTCAGTGTATTTCGTACCACCAAACTACGCCCTTCCCCTCCTCATCCTCCTCATCCATCCTCTTCCGTCCATATCCTCCTTCCCTTTCAAGTGAATATAGTAACCATGAAACGCACACATCCCCAAACCCAAAACCCAAAACCCACGATGTACAAACCCGCAGCTCAACTCCGTCCGTCCGTCCATCCGCTTATCTCACACATCAGTGTGCACACACCCAGTCCCGGGGCAATAAATCTCACCCATTCTCACGCTCACTCATCATCGCCATCATCCCTCCCGTTAGTTACCCTTCTTCATTTCTTTTTTGAACATCGACGCACAAGAAGACTGTGGCATGACATGTCGTTCTTCAACCAGTCGCCCAGATGAAGACGCGAAGGGAAAGACGAAAGAAGTGACCCACGTACTTACGCCGTACATCCGCGGAACTTCAAAATCCCCGACGTGCATACACGCCTTTCCAAAGCAAGCAAGGGGACAGTGCGTAAGTGGTGGTGGTGATGGTGGCGGTGGTGATACGAAACGGAGTTCTATCGCTCGTTTCTTTCCCCTCCCCCCCCTTGCGTCCTGGTATCCCTGAGCGTGGTGTTTGAAGATACGTATGTATGTACCGAGTACGGGGTGGTTACTCTGTACATAAGATAACTTAATGCGCTGCATACGGAGGACATGAGATCTTACGAGTCACAGCCATGAAGCTTGATCGTCTTTGCATTAGGAAAAGGAAGTGATGGAGAAGGGAAGGGTGACATCTAAAGATACGAAGTAGAAAGTGTGACATTGTAATTTCAAAGGCAAAGTTTACATTGACATTTTCACTAAGGATGATAGAATTGTTATTTTCTCTGATTATACAGGGCATTTTATGTTGCCTTTATCCTCCGTTGGAGAGGTGAGTGGGTGATGTGGAGGAAGGTACGGTTGGGCGTACTCATGTACGGACTAAGAACTATCGAATGTCGAAATTTTGGGTCGATGCAATCCATAGTTGCTATGAGATGGAGAAAGTGGGAGAGTGAGTCTGCCATGAATTGAGCCTACCCTTCGACCTGCTGCCTAGAATAGATACGAGTAGACAGATGCACTGCATATACGGGCATGGTTGCTCGACGTTTGATCCCTCCGAGATGATCAACAGGCCTATCCGCTCCGTCCTGGAGCCCTGTCGATGGTTTCGCAAAGCCGGTGCGAACCACCCCCGGAGGGTTTATATCGTTCGACATGGTTGGCTAAGGTTCCGATGGAGTGGACACGTCAGAGAAGATTACACTCGTGTCACCGAATTGTGCACCACCCCGTCACATGATGTAGAAGCAGGAGGGGCAAGAAGCCACAGAAGCTGCGTATTTGAGACAAGAATCATTTCACTACATATCTCAGCCTCGAGTGGTACACACAAGGACTGGGAGGGAGAAAAAGTACAGAGGGAGAGGGAGGAGAAAGAAGAGGAAAAACAGCCACGCCAAGTTACAGTAGATACGAGAGTTATTAGAGAGGAAAAAAAGGAGGCATCCCACTTGATCATCGCCAAAAGATTTGGTGGTAGTAGTAAGAATCCAGGAAGGAGGATGGTGTATGTTGTTGCGGTGTGCTTTGATGCACCTCTCCCCGGCTGCGGGAGGCGCCGATTCCCGTTAATACAAAAATAAAAAGGTAAGGAAAATGTCTTGTAAGAAGGGCGGCTTAAGTACCGCCTGCGATAGAAGAGGTGTTTTGAAGGTGAAAGCCCCAGCCCACAGCAGGGTATCAAAGAAGACTTTGGGCTTCGGTGCAGCCACTCAGCAGAACGCAGAAATATGGCGAAAGCAGGAAATAAAAGGGAAAACATTTTCACAACGCCGTGTATGAACATGGCGAAGATGCCGTCGTCAAAGACATGACATGCAACCCGTGACTCAATAACCCTTTGGTACGGTTCTTTGTCGTCCAAGCTCGGTTCTCCTTTTATATCAGACCGCACAGACGAAGGTTCTCTTGGATGATGATATCTGCAAACAATTAGTTCCAGTCGCTCGACAAGGGGAGGATGAGGATGGCGTACCGTTAACAGCAGCCATGACGAATCGAATTTGCATGGTATCTGTGGCGCATGTGAAATGAGTGTAGATCTGCTTGGTCTCATGTTGGTTGAGCGAGACGAATCGGTTGAGGATGTAGTCGCAAGCGGCTGCGTAGTCTGGGCCACCTATTTATTTTGGTTAGCAATCATCGCAGAAAAGTGAGAGGGAATGCGCGATACGTACCCTCGTAGTCGGGGAAGTAGTTCTTCATGGGGCTCACGGGAAGCTTCTCCTTAAACCTATCGATCTTGTTCAAAAACAGGATGATGGATGTCTTGACGAACCACCTGGAGTTGCAGATGGAGTCGAACAAGGTCAAGGCCTCCTGCATACGGTTGACGGTCTCATCTTCGAAGAGGAGCTGGTCGTACTCCGAGATGGCGACAAGGAAAAGGATGGTGGTGACGTTCTCGAAGCAGTGTATCCACTTCTTACGTTCTGATCGCTGGCCACCGACATCGAACATGCGATATGTGAGGTCTCCGATGATGAAAGTGGTCTCGGTGATACCGGTGGTCTTCACACGCGAGCGGAGGACATCCTGATCGTTGGGGATGTAGTCGGGTGCGGCAATGCGGTCAATGGAGTCGAAGTAGCTGTGTGGGTGTTAGTATTTGTAATCACGCGGGAACCGCAGCGACGCAGAGAAACACGGGAGAGGATCGAAGGGAGCGACATACTATTTGGCGGAGTCGTTAAGCTGGTACTCGCGCGATCGCTGGAAACACTGCTGGACACCGGCATCCTTCCACAGGACGGAGATGGCGTTGCCAACCTCCGGGGGTAGGCTGTCGCCCTCAATCTGGGCAGGCTGCATGAAGATGGTCTGGACGTGGTACTCGGCGCGCTGGTCGTCGAGAGGGAGCTCGAGCGACTCCATGGCCTCGAGGATGACGCGCATCGACTGGACGGTGTTGCTGAAGATGATCTCCTTGAACGACTCCCTCTCGTCGCGTGAGTAGCCACCCTCGTGGATGAGCTTCATCTGCTTGAGAATGGTGGACTTTCCAGATTCACCAGCACCTGCATCGCATTAGAAATGTTCTCATTGTGCGGCGTGTATGTCAACACAGAAGAAAGTAGTGTTACTGACCGAGAAGCAACATCTTGATCTCATTGCGCTGAAGCATCTTGTCGCGCTTGAGCTGATTCTCGATCTCCTCATTTCTTTGCTTTCCCTCCTTCTCCTCTGTGCTCATTCCGCAACCCATGATGACGGTAGGGGACGAATCCGACGATTAAGGCGAGGTATATGTGTATGTGATGAGGATGCGTTCAACCAGAATTGATGTGGTTGAAGGATTGACGGGACTGCTCGGGGGTGAACAGGCGTTAGGGGTAATAGACTAGGGAAGTTTAGGGTAAGTGGAGATTCCCGTCGAAAGGCCTGCCAACACGGAAATCTGCTGCACGGGAAATGTCAGTGATTACTCGCAGGGCGTGATTGTATTATGATGAGCGAATCAGTGAGTGAGCGAGCGATCGCGTGAGGATGTTGACGGTGGTGGAGGACGAAGAAGAGGAGGAGGAGGGTTATGGTGGAGAGTGAGGAGGTAGAGAAGTTCGGCAAGCAGTGGAAGAAAGAGCGAGGCTGGTGGCGCGCTTTTACCAATCCGAACCCGGGATTACTGCGGTGCTAAAGTGAAGGGGAGAGAGAGAGAGAGAGAGAGAGAGAGAGAGAGAGGAGGCGAGACGAAATGAGAAGCAGGAGAACGCCGCGAGGAATTGTCTAGTGTAAGAAGAAGTGATGAAGGGTAAAACTTACCAGGTATTAATTACAATATCCGTGAAGCAACAAAAGATGCAGGTGAAGGTGATAGGTAGGTGGGAGAGTGAGTGAGAGCGAGAGACGGAGTGATGAGGGTGAGGGTGAGGTAGAGGTAGAGAGTGAGAGGAGGGATGGTGAATGGTTGATGAAGGGGGGGACCGAAGGACTGTAAGGGTTGGGTTAGGGTAGGAGTAGGAGTAGGGGAGTAGGGGGGAGGAGGAGAGAGGAGAGTAAATTAGAGTAGGTAAGTAGGGGAATAGTATGAGAGTGGGAAAGTATACTAAACGTAGGCGTGTGCGTGCTAGGCAGGAAAAGGAAGAGGGAGAAGGATTTTGGGGATTTTGATTGATTGATTTGATTGAATTGATGGAGAGGGTGCGCAAAAGGTTACGAGGGTGTGTACCTCGTAGGGGGGCGGATACGACGAGGATACTGCTTCTAGTTCTGATGCGCCTGCTGGTGCTGCTGATGCACAAGCGGGTGTGGGTGGGTTCAAGGGCCCTTTGGCTGCTTCTGCTGCTGCTGCCGGCCGGTGCTGCAAGGTTTGGGGCATGAGATGGAACAGGACAGGTCAGGAAAGGAAAGGGTTTGGTGTTTGGCCTGGTCTGGGTGAACGGACGATTGTGGAGACTGAGGAGCCTAGGTTGACTGTAGACTGTAGGTAGGACATGATAGTGGACAGTGGAAGATGAGGATCAAGCGACCAAGCCGAAAGTTGTAACCATCTCCCATCTAGTGCCATCAAGTGTGAAAGTGGTGGACTTGCGGGCGTGGCGGCTGGAGGCTTGTGGGTTCAACATGGCGTTCTCGACGAGACCTAGAAACAACCAGAAACAGAGTCGCACAACAGCTATACTGTGTAGGTAGTATTATCACCTATCTATCGTGTATCAAACACCAGGAGCAGTGAGAAGAGTATCCATCAACTCTTTGAAAGACATCATCTTACATTATTATCATTCCTTCTAAGGATCAATAATGACCGGAAATAGAAGATGGAAAACCTGGTGATGATACTTTCTACTGTGTCAGGGTTTGGAGGGGGATGTGATGGAACGAAAGGGGAGAGATTATACGCTAATCCGAATCCATCTACCTGGGTGAAGCACTTGCAGGCTTGGGAGGGGGGGATCGAAGCGGAACTAACAGACTAGAAGAAAGAGACGACATGGAGATGCCTGGAAAGGAACGCAAAGACTTCCACGATGCTGAGGTACTATTGGGGGATGATTAAAGTTATGTACCTAGATTGAGCATTCACTTTGTGACGATGAATTTATTAATTGTACTTCGTAGAGCATAGAGATCCTTCAGCTGTACGTAGTACCAGGTACTGTGTATAGATAAAGCATAGAGTACGAGACAAACCGTAGCATGACCTGGGTACGGAGTAGAGTAGTTATTATCGTTATTGTCATGAATCGCAGTATGTATCACCTTCTATATTCCGTACTAACCAGATCATTATCATTTTTTGGTCGACATGTAGTTGCCATACGAGCAGCGACTTGTATCTACTTCTACTTCTATTGTATGTACATGTACATGCATACGCCATCTTTCGTACATACAAAGAGATGATTGAGCCCTGACTGTGGATGAATCCCAAGTCCATGGACGCCGTCTCTCCCCAGTACCGACTTCCCACAGACTACAAGTACAAGTACAAGTACAATTGACAACTCCTGGGTATTCCCAAGATGTCTAACTACCTAACTGGGTAGTTGGTTAGTCGGGATACTTATTCAAACTAGCCTCAACCCGGACTCTCCGCTAGCTACTCGTAACCTGCTGCTACTCCAAAATAGCGTTGCCATATCCGTGCCACTCGTCTCTCCTGCTCTTCTGTTCTCCTCTGTTTCGTCTCGCTTTCGCTCTTCATTAATCAACCATCATTATTGTTGGCAGCCAATTGTTCATGCGTAAAGAAAGCTAGCGAAGCATGACAAGAGACAGCACCTATCATACTTCATCGTATGACACAGACAGGGCAGGCCCCTGGAGCACATCGCTCTGTGTCTCTCTTGTCTCTGAGTACCGAGTACAATACCATATCACGACATCAGGACCTGAGTTTACAGTCCGCCATGATGCTACTGCCAATAAGTCTACGTACCTACGGAGTATTGATCTATTTATTACCCACTCTACTCCGTATTTACGGGAATACAATCTATACATCTCACTATCTAGTCCACCGCGGTCGTATCTTCCATCTATTTAGTTCCTCATCTACGAACATCATCACTGCCATTATTATTCTTGTCAAGGCATGCGCCATTATCAATTACTTACCAATACACTGACATCTCAGGTCTGAACTGAATTCTCCGCCTCAACTTCAATATCAGTTCGGCTTTTCTCTTTTTGCCCTACGGAGTCCATTCTTCCCTACTCTCCGTCATCAGTTCCTGTTCCTGGCCGGGTGACATGCTTCTCCTGCTGCAATCACGGCGGGACCCGCCTGTTCGCGCTGCGACTAGCTGTTCCTGATGTTCGTCTAACTGCATACCCAAGCCATTCCTTCGCTCACCGTAACCTGCACTCGCTTGCTTTGATTGCCGCCAATGGCTCAACTTTTCCAGGGCGATCATTACGTCTGCCCATCGGTCGTGAATTCCCCTTTCAACTCCCGCCCATAATTGTGCATCTCCATATTTCAACTTCCAACGTTGATCCTCCGTGTCTACCGGTGTTGTACTCGTACAGCGCAGGTATCTACGACACCGCTTCTTCTTCTTCTTCTTCTTCTTCTTCTTCTTCTTCTTCTTCTTCTTCTTCTTCTTCTCTCCTCAACCCACCTCCAGTGTCCATCTTCCACCGCCAGTCGCTCCAGCAAACCGTCAAAGACACTGTTGCACCTGTCTCTAGACTCTGACACGGCAGCTACCCTTCTGTCCTACTGTCTGACTGTCCCACCGTACACCCCCCACCCGGCCCATCACTTCTGGGTGCTCATCCGGCCCTTTTAGCCCTGACTAGCAATTCTCTTCTAGAACTCCTGTAGAAAGAAAATAAAATAGGGGGCCGCATCGAATAGAGAGCCTGAGCGTTGGGGCCATGGGCCACGGCCTGTCCAACTGGCCTATTGCACCGTACCCTGCCCTGCTCGGCTTTGGGATAGGGGGCCCATGGCCAGATTGAAACGCACTCACGCTGTGTTTCCATATGGGTTTGATGATCGCGGGTTGTGGCCACGCCATGTCCATCATTGAGGTGACCGGCAGGCCACACCCCGGAGTAACACGTAATATCCATCGCTACTCCTGCTGTTCAACCTCCCAACGCCCATCACCCCACAAGCACTTCGGTTTCAGCAGAACCTCAACGCCCTGCAGCCGCTACAGAAGCCGCCACTCGTTGTCTCTCCGCCAACCGCACGGCGGCCCTCAACCGAAGAAAGGGAGGGATCACCTGCATACCGCATCCGGCTTCTTCTCCTTTAGGACTAGCTCAGTAGGCCGGTCTGTGATCCATCAAAGTCTCTAACAATCGCCTCTTCATCTCCCCGACTCGCCATGCGTTGCGCTTTACCAGTAGGGATCCAATCATCGCCACCGTCGGCTCATGCATTTCAGTAAAGAAAAATTGTTCATCCCTTAGTTATCGTTCCCCTGACGATAGCAACAATCCGATGAACTGTTTCGTGGAACGATCCAATACCAATACGTCTCTCACTTCAATATCAGTGTCTTCACGATATCGCTCATTAATTATTGGGAAGGTTGATTGCAGTACGGAGTACTCATGGCCTTTTCCCCACCCAAAGGTCGAACGCAGGGTCCGAACACGCCAAAAGAAATTATGCAATACCAATAATGCGAAAAGAAAAATTACATGCCCGTAATAGCTCAAAAAGGCCCGGATAGGATGCCCATTTTCCCACGTCGTCTCGGCCGCCAAACATTCCCATTTCCATCCGCGTCGTGCTTCCGAGCAGAGATTGCAGCCCCTTTCGAAGACGCTGCCACTCCTGCCATGAGAGTAAGGTCCAGATCCACATCGTCACTTGGTCGAGTCAGGCCCTACGGCACGATCGACGCCTCCAGCACGTGGAAGGTGGATCTCGCCGCAGGTTCCTAAAATGCCTCCGCTCCCTAGGCACGCTTGCTGCCATGATCACCAACTATCACAATAATCATGCTCTTCCTTCACGAGCTACTGAAGCTATTACAAGTAGAACAATTCGTATTCTTAGCTGGAGGTCGAGCCTTCATGCCTGTAGGCTGTCTGTATCCCGCAGTTCTCCTATCCGGATCTGCAATGCGCCATTTCGATCGTGAACATCATTTGGAGGTCGCAATTTGCCCCTGTCTATGGGGTCTTGTCATCAATAGCGTTTGGATGGACGGCCTTATATCAGCTTGAGGGGTTCTTGAGTAGTTAGCTTAAGCTGTGGGATTGCTTTTTCAGGAATACTAGAAAACGCAGCGTTTTCCTTGTCTACTGAGATAGCCGGACAATTTCCACCATCCACTATTGTCAAGCCTGCGCCCATATGCGACAACGTTGGCAACAGACGTTGTACCAAACAATGTCTGAACGTTATTGAAAGAGCCTCACACAATACTCCGTACTTCGTACCTATGAACAGAACTTCCATATCCAAGTTCCCGTACCTAGTTTGTATACGCTAAACACGATTCTTTCTACGGCACAGTGCCATCATGAAGACCCTCAATGGCCGGGAATTTCATTTTCGTCCATAGATTGCAATTGTTGAATGAATTGGCATTGTCCATTCTCGACTTCCGTAGCACAGCACACATGTACCCTGTACATACGAAAATGCTGAAAAGTCTCGGACTTGGCCCATGCGCCGCATCTACGCCATCCGCCATGTCCATGTACAGCGATAATTTGACATCCTTCTAGACCATTGCACTGGAAGATTGCGCACAGTAGTGTCCAACCTAAAGATACGGATGGGATCATTGTACAACTACGGAGCAGTATGTGCTTGAATGGCGCAATGGTTTTGACTAATCTCTCTCCACAGTACTTCGTACTCTCGGAATTTTAGATGAGCTTCCTCTCTTTCCCACTACAAAGTATACTGCTCGCGCATTGCATGTCCGTGGCGTCTGCGGAGAGTTTTGCTGTTCTATTTTGTTTTGTTTATCTCCACAGGGCGAAGTAGTTCCCAGCGCCATCCATCTCACTTGCCTACGCTGCGTGGCCGCATCTGTTAATCGATCAAGCAACGACGGGTACGGAGTCGTCCCGCTCCATCCCACTAAGCCTCTTCGGACCTTTTCGAGCGACTCGATTGGGACAGTCGGCCAAGTGGCTGACCAGATTCACCAGAGGTGGATTTATTCCGAGTGCATCATTGGAGCGAGATGCGAACCTTTCGGTTGTTCGAATGGAGGATCTCGGTTGAAATCTCACTTTATTGTTTCTAAACTTGAGATCTGGGTAACCCTGGGCAATGCGGGTGTGGGAGGGCTGAGCAATCGATAAGCTCCCGTTTGGGTCGCATGGTGCATGTCAGCCGCATATGTGTGCAGGATGGGTCGACGGGTAAACTGAAGGTTCTCACGCCCAAACGGACAGTCCCGCCCGCGCCTCTTGTATGAACGATCAGTTTGTAGTTTGAGTATGAGGCACCGTGGCGTGAGAGAGAGCATGATTACTCTACTTGAGATTGGGCTTCCATATCTTCAGGCAATGCTCCATCAGGCTACGGAGAAGAACACGGCGGTGCTACGAGAACGAGAAGCAGGACGAAGACAGAGAATGACACTGGATGGTACGAGAACGGTATCGCACGACAGCACGATAATGATAGGTTCAGATTGCAACGGGGCAACGTACAGAACGTAGGCCAAGGTGCGTGAGGTGCCTGGACGACAGTCAATTGATGCTCGCGTGTTGGTGGGAAACAATAATAGGTCGGTTGAGTGGTCGGCGCTTAGGTACGTGTCCCAATCGCGGATAGCGCCTATTGTCTGCCAGCGCCTACAACCACACTCTTGCATCACCAACACCATACAGCGCTCGAGATTTTGGCGACGCGCTCCAAACCACTCTCCGAGCGCTAACATCTCATGCCAATGGCTTCGAGAGTATTCGCGAGGCGACGCCTCGGCGCGTGCCCGAGCATACCTCTGACGATACCCAAAGGACTGTGTCCTGGTACATATGGCCCAGCAACCATCCACTTTGTTCAACCCCATCAAAACAATCATATGAGCGCCTACGGCTTTACGAATTTCCTTTGAATTCCGTCCTTCAATTTCCTTTCCTATCTGCGTCACGCTGCTGTTGATCGGGAGCGCATTTCCTTTTCCTGATTTACTTTCCTAGATGATGCATTCATAGATTTCCAATCTGTCAGTCACTTCATTCCATTTCCATAGCATCCGTCGCAGGCTTCATCGCCATCCGGAGTATGCTGCTTACTATCTGCAAAGTTCCTGTACAAATATGCTTCTCAGCCACTTCAAACGGCTATGCACATTATTTCCTACTCTAATAGCATCAACCACGCCGCAATCTTCCGTTCTAAACACATCTTCTCCGTCCCCGCTTCCGAGTCCCATCCAGCGTGCCGTGCCTGCATGTGCACAGCCATGCGTTCAGGCCTCACTTTTGGCACGCTTCCCTCTGGCATGTACCTCACCATTCAACCTCAACTGTCTGTGCTCGCGTTATAGTATTGCCGGAGAAGCACTCGGCGAGGTAGCCCTCGGATGCATATACTCCTCTTGCCCTACCGTCGATAGCCAGGCTGCCTCAGCATATGCCATCTGTCTTGGACAAAAGGACGCCGTCGTACCTACTCAAAGTGCATTGACTATTGTTGCAACAAGCACTATCCCATCTACCTCTTCGATCACAGGTCTACCTACTACTATTGCTACACAAACCCTCTCGACGCCTACCACTCGTCCTTCCTCCATCCCTCCCTCTGGCGTCGTGGACACTGACTCAGTATCTTCCATGCCACCCGCATCATCTCCCACTCAGACGGCAGCAGAAAGCCAAGTACAAAGCCAGTCTCCAAGGACGATGAAGCCAGCTCAGATTGCTGGCCTTGCCGTGGCTGCCGCCGCCGTCTTCATCCTTGCCATCGGTCTCATGGCTTTGAGCATCTTCCTAAGGAGACGAAGGGAGCGGAAGAACGATGGAGATGGCTTGGAAAAGGGCAGTGGGCAATCTGAAGGTGGTCCAAGTCCGTTCGCTGGTTACGTACCTCACACTCCAGCACCCATCCAGTCAAGTTACCCTCCAAGGTCAATGCCTCAAGACAATCGAAGACCATGGACAAACCCAAGGAAGAACCAGAGGACGCACCAGGAAGGATTCACCAATGCCAATCCGTCACGGCCTAGGCCTCAGCGGAAGAATGCAGACCAGAACCTCCAACTTTACGCCATGCAGACACTCCCCAACACTGACCGAAGGCCTCCTACGAAGCCGAGCTTGAACAAGCCATTTCCTAAAATTAACACCAACCACAACTTTTCGTCGAACAGGGTGGATTCACCCCAATCTCTTTCATCTGCAGCCCCCATTGGGGTCGCCATAAGTGCCGAGTTGCCGGCCGACTCGGTATTTTCTAATTCTAGCAGGGCAAGGCAGGAACCGGCGAGCGGTCAAGCAGTGTCGACTCTGAAGGCTCCGGAGGTTGCTAGTCGACGCCCTGACAGTACACTCACGCAGCACACTGTCTTCGAAGAAGATGAAGAAGCAATCCGCCGAAGATCCTCGATACTGCTACCGACGCCTCCCATGCCTGTCCCGCCCATACGCTCTTTACAACCCTCACGGCCTCATGTTAGCCCAGCCAGCTCTTCTTCCTCCAGACAGCCGGGCCTTTCCTTAAACATTCCCGTCCGGCACTCGATCTCGAACATCGAGCGAATAGTACCGGCGAAGATAAAGTCTAATACACATCTCCCATCACCACCGCCTGCGATCATACCACTTGCCCCTCCCATCCGTCTTTCTCCCGTCCGCGACCGTTCCGTATCTGGGACCACGGGTCGATCGACACGAAGCAACAGCAGCAACAACGACGTCCCGGACTACTACTTCGGAGACGTCTCGCCGAGGCGTGCGACGCCGAACGCAAGTCCAGCACCAAGCACCATCAGCCGAGGCAAGCAGCCAGTCAAGACATCTTCAAACCTCCGACCCAAGACATCCATGAGCACTGTGTCTCGAGCGACATCGCGAGCCTCACTCAGCCACCGGGACTCCATGTCTTCGCAGACGTCCTTCGAGTCGATTGATGGAAACGATCCAACCCCAGAAGAAGACGACGAGGATGACAACTACAACAAGCAACTCGCGTCCGACAGCAAACTCTCCCCCGTCGCCGAGTCCCCAATCTCCAACCTCCGGTACCCAAAGGTACCACGCGCCTCGAACCAGCTCGTCCCCCGCAGCCCTCGCAGTCCCAAGAGCCCCCACAGCCTGCAAAGCCTAGACAGTCCCCGACGCTCAACTCCCCTCGTCCTGAACAGCGTCGGCAGCGGTAACAACCCATCCACCGCTACTACCATCATCAAGGAGCCCTCCGCCCTCCTCGTCAAGCGCCGCGGCGAAGGCGAAGCCCTAAACCTGGGCCGTCAGCTCCAAATGGACAGTCCCAAGCGCACCGAAGTCCGAAACTACATGCGCGGCTACCGGCGCCAACTCCGCAACTCAAGTGTGCAAGAGAGCTGGAGCGCCGCGTCCAAAGCCATCGACGACGACGACCTTCATCCGAGAGGCAGGACAGCGGCACGCGTGCAGAGCGGACAATGGCCAAAAAGTCCCGCAATGTACGACGCCGATGCCGTCCAGCCCTTCCATGCAAACCGCGCGCGGGATCAGAACTACCCTCGACAACACGCACACGCGGCGGCGGTGGCGGACGCGGCGACAGCGGCGCTCAAGAGTCCGCTATGGGTTCCGAGGCTCACGCCCACGCGCAAGGGCGACGACTTGTTTATCGCTGTGTCGTACTCTAAGAAGGCTGGCGATGGTGCCTCTCAGCAACCGTCGCAGCAGCAGTAGAAAGCGGTGGAGGTGACTTGGTAGGAGCCGTGGTACTATGTTTTTGTTTCATTCCTTTACAGATACCCCATGTTCGCACTCATTTATATACACATATACATACATATATGTTCATGTATACACTTACACATATCTCTCCTTTTTTGGGATAAAAGAACTCTCTCAGTCTTTCACGGCCTACATGTCATATATCTCATAACTTTCCTTCCTCCCTATATCTTTATCTTAACCTTCTTGTCATTACATTCCCTTTATTATATTTTACAATCTTTCCGTCTCATCTTTATTCCATTTAACTTGACTTCACACGTCTATCTGTTCATCAAATTGCCTCTGTCTCTTTTCTTTCCCAAGAAGATACCCCAGACATTTTCCTTTTTCCTCAGTGCATAAGTATCTGATACTCGCATCAACGCTTTTCATATTGTTATCTTGTATTTGCCTTTCTTTTTTTGCAAAGGAGATGTGTATGATACGATACGAAACGCATAGGGGATGAGGTGCATCGATTGACGGATTGGGTGGGATAAAATTGATTGATAGTATGTATCGATACGAGAGACAGATGGCGATGAAATATCAAAGAAATGCATAAATTCATATAACGATGCCAATCTGATTTTGTGGTGAATTAATTGCTCGGTTGATAGATTTGATATTTATGACGATTACAATACGAAAAAGGGAAGTAAAAGTATAAAAATTGATTGAGAAGCAAAGAATTGAGCAAACTGCACGAGGACCGTTGATTTATAAACTGACTGATGGATAGAACTTATTAATATTATTTATTTTTCTACTTCTTACTGATACTAAGTATTCTTATGAGATATTTCTTTCCAATATGGGGAGAATTGGTAAGGCCATTCACAATTACTTGATTGGGTAAGAAATTGTACATTTCCCATCGAACGCAGCGTGTCACGGATCAATAATTGAGCGGTGCCCGAGGGAGGCAGTCGGTGTTACAGACAGGTCTGAGCCTCTTCGTTGAGGGTTGGTACTCGAATGGTGTGCTGGGCTTGGCGATCGGACCCTTGATTACTTAGGTATGCTTTTCTTTCCCTTTTCTTCTGGACCCGCTCGTTCGGCAATCAAGACCCTCGAGGCGGCGGAAAAATACAATCCCCTAACCTAACAGCGTGGTGGGAGGGCAGGCCAGGCCAGGGCAGATGGTTACCCGGTGGGACATTTGGCGTGCGTTGCGTTATCTACCAAGGCGACGGGAAGCTTTTTTTTTGCCTCCTCCGGGCGATTGAGCTCCGCCCGGTATCGCGGGGCAGAGAGGAAAAGTTTGTTGAGTGTTTTTTTTTTCTTCTCTTTACTTTCTTTTATGACCGCATCTATCTATTCAATCATATATGGGTTTTTGTTCAAATTGACCTACCGTTACCAAGTAATTGCCTGCCTGGTAATATCTATTGTTCGCATGAATGGTAAATTCGCTTTGTCCAAACAAACATGTTGTTGCGACGGCCGTGGAGATAGACGGATAATCCTCTGCGGCCCCACGTGGCGGCGGATTTTGCCCTCTGTCGTCCTGAAGGAGGAAGTGGAAGATTGTTCTAGTCGTCTGATGGGGGTTTCGCAGGTATCCGGTGGTTGAGAATCACCCTACCCGCGCTAGCCAACTGCTATCATCGGTGGAACAAGTCGACGAGACACGCGAGAGTTGAGGGCGCGCCAGGTAAACAGCAAATCCGTTACGTCGTTGTTGGCGGAGTCCTTCTCCGTCCCGGCCGAGAAGACCGTTGCTGAGGAGAAGAAGCAAAGAAGAGGAAAAGGAAGAAGAAGAGAAAAGGCGAGGAGAGATTAACGATCGCTCCGCTCAAGTAGTAGAGGGAACATTCGTCATGATCAATGAATTGGATAAATGACGCTGGCTTCTCTCCATGTCCACGACGTAATTAGTCGAAAAGAGGAAGTCATCTTGAAGGTAACATAGGCGATTCTGAGTAAGAGACAGTCAGGCTCGACCAAGCAGTACTACTGCGCGGGGTTACAAGATGACGGGCAGAAAGTAGCGCGTATTGTTATACACAGTAATCAGAGCAATGCCCTAAAAAGAAGAGCGACACCTGGGGGCGTCGGCGTCGGCGCGGAAGGTTGACGGCTGCGTTGCGTTGCGCTGTCGATTGAATGTGTCTAATGGCCGTGTAGTAAGCGGAAGATGAGGCTTATTCATACAGCGATTGGTCAGGTACCCCAGCGGGATTCGCTACTATCTTGGACCGGTCGTCTTGAAGGATTAGTCGCGATGATGTGAAACTTTCGTTAGAGGGTGCAACATGTACTGAAGAGAATCCTCGAGGGGGTGAAATTGCCCGCAAATGCAAAGAAGGATACTGGTGTATCCGCGTGTGCGTGTGGAAGTATTCAGTCAATTGTGGCGAACTGTTGAGTACTGCGTATATGTCAAGTTCAGAGCCAAGATACGAATGAATACTCGTAGCTTCGCATATTGGAACGGCAATCAGTTGTTCATTATTGTGTATGCCTTCAAGTTGCTAGATGTAGCGTTGCTATGGTAGCTGCCGAGATGATACTCGTACATGCCGGTAGTAATCATCATGCTCGTCCTCCTTGGCCATTTGACCCCTTATGTAAAGGTGCCGAGTGGATTGAGTGATACGTATTCATTAGTAATGCTGGGTGAAGATAGTTTAATGATGGAAGAGGAAGGGGTTTTTCTGTTTTGATGGGGAGCTTGTGCGGACGGACTGCAGTTAATGGGCGGGGATTACGCCACGCCACGACAGAGAACAGCAAAGGCCGCGGCGTTAGATGCTGATAGAGAAAAGTAATGGGGGTGGGAGAAGGTGCTTGTGCCTTGTTCATAGGCGGGTAACGTGTAAGGGTGTGTTTAGAGTGGAGAGAGTTACGGAGCTGGCGGTACTCGTAACAATAATGGAGGAGGGGACATGACGAAAGAGTAGCAAGGGTGGGGAGGGTTGGAGAGGCACCAGAGGCTCACTCAGTCGTAGAGAGCGAACATCTAAGCAAGTGAAAGCAACTAAGCAACCCAAATTGGATAGAAGAGGTACGTGAACAGGTCTGGAAGTAGTCGTAATGAGGTGTAGATGTAGATGTAAGCTGTAAGTGTAGTGGTAGAGAGTAGAGTGTATGTACTGTGTAGAGTGAGGTAGAGAGTGTATGGTTACCCCACCATGCACCCAATCCCATAGTAGAGTACCCATTAATTTGTTCCGCCCTAAGAAAACATCCCACCCTCTCTCCGTCTGCCTCTCCTTCCTCTGTTACAGCCTCCGTTTCTCTACAAAACCCAATTCCTCCTCCCACCTCTTCCTCTTTTTTCCTTCCTCTCTTCTCCCTTCAATTCACTCTTCCCACTTCACATCTGCCCATCATGCCTTACGGAAAGATTGATGAGCTCGCCATTGCCACCATCCGAACCCTCGCGGTATGTCTTCTCCCTCCCACCTTCCCATTACTTTCCCATGTCTGTCTGTCGGCTTCTGCCCCGCCCACCGCCGCAATCGGCAGCAAGCAACGATGGCGACAGGACAGGCAGAAGGCAGTAGATCAGACCAGCAGTGGCATACAGCTTCAATTTACAGTCTCTTCACAACTGTGATCACCTCTGCCCACCTCAATCGCTGACGTTATAACTCCTACAGGTCGATGCTGTCTCTAAGGCTAACTCTGGCCACCCTGGTGCGCCCATGGGCATGGCTCCCGTCTCTCACGTTCTTTTCAACAAGTTCATGACCTTCAACCCAAAGAACCCCAACTGGGTTAACCGCGATCGTTTCGTTCTCTCGTACGTTGTCACTTTTCCTCTCCTCACCTTTCTATTGTCCTGTTTCTACATTCGCCGCTGTATTCCATCCCTCACATTGTACGCAATGCAATGACGAGTGCGGACCGCGGTGGGCTACGTAACAATCTTGAAACGTTATCCGCGGGGAATCTTCGCGGCAATAGGACAAATCTGCTCTGCACAATTTTCTAGCTCTCCCAGGACCCTGATGTCATGGGAGTGACTTTTTGTGGACCTGGCCCGCAATTCTGTACTTTCTGCCTCCCTGCGGCTCAACTTGTCTTTCTGCAATATCGGCGTAGAGGTTTGCTATGGATTTTGCTAACTTTCACATAGCAACGGTCACGGATGCATGCTCCAATATGTGCTCCTCCACCTTTTCGGCTATGACTTGAGCATGGACGACTTGAAGAGCTTCCGAGTACGTTTCAGCCGCCTCCTCGCAGTATTTTTTGAGTGACATTTGCTAATTGCCTCACAGCAAGTCGACTCCAAGACTCCCGGTCACCCCGAGGCCCACGACACCCCCGGAATCGAGGTCACCACTGGTCCTCTCGGTCAGGGTATCGCCAACGCCGTCGGTCTTGCCATTGCCCAGAAGCACACCGCTGGTGTCTTCAACAAGCCCGGCTACGACCTCATCAACAACTACACATACTGCTTCTTCGGTGATGGCTGCGCCATGGAGGGTGTTGCCAGCGAGGCTGCGTCCACTGCCGGTCACTTGCAGCTCGGCAACTTGATTGCCATCTACGATGACAACCACATCTCCATTGGTTAGTATTGACCCGGTTACACGTCGGCTTTTGAAACGAACAATAGACTGACCCTAATTTTGCAGACGGTGACACCAACGTCGCATTCACTGAGGATGTCCTCAAGCGATTCGAGGCCTACGGCTGGCACACTCTCCACGTCGAGAAGGGTGACGACGACCTCGAGGCCATCGAGGCCGCCATTGCAGAGGCCAAGAAGGTCACTGACAAGCCCACCGTCATCAAGCTCACCACCACTATTGGTTACGGATCCAAGCTCCAGGGCACTCACGGTGTCCACGGCAACCCCCTCAAGCCCGACGATGTCAAGCACGTCAAGTCCCTCTTCGGTTTCGACCCCGAGAAGTTCTTCGTTGTACCCCAGGAGGTGTACGACTTGTACCACGAGCACGCCGCCGCTGGTGCCGCTGCTGAGCAGGAGTGGAACACCCTCTTCGAGAAGTACGGAAAGGAGTACCCCGATCTTCACAAGGACTTGGCCCGTCGTTTGAGGGGCGACCTCCCCGAGGGCTGGGAGAAAAAGCTTCCCGTCTACACCACCAGCGACCCCGCCATTGCTTCCAGAAAGCTCTCCGAGGCCGTTCTCGAGGCCATCCACGACGCTGTTCCCGAGCTGCTCTCTGGATCTGCTGACTTGACTGGCTCCAACAACACCATCTGGAAGGGTGCTGTCGACTTCCAGCCCCCCAGCACCGGCCTCGGTGACTGGTCTGGCCGTTACCTCAGGTACGGTGTCCGCGAGCACGGTATGGGTGCCATCATGAACGGTCTTGCCGCATACGGCACTGTCATCCCCGCCGCCGGTACTTTCTTGAACTTCGTCTCCTACGCCGCCGGTGCCATCCGTCTCTCCGCCCTCTCTCACGCGCGTGTCATCTGGATCGCTACCCACGACTCCATCGGTCTTGGTGAGGATGGCCCCACCCATCAGCCCATCGAGACCCTCGCTCACTTCCGTGCCCTCCCCAACGCCATGGTCTGGCGCCCTGCCGACGGAAACGAGACCTCTGCTGCCTACTACATGGCTCTCACCTCCAGGGAGACCCCCTCCATCATTGCCCTCACCCGCCAAAACCTCCCTCAATTGTCGTGCTCGACTCTCGAGCGTGCCATCAAGGGTGGATACGTCGCTCTCGAGGACAAGGATGCTCAGATCACCCTTGTCTCCACCGGTTCCGAGGTTTGCATCGCCCTCGAGGCCGTCGAGACCCTCAAGGCCCAGGGCATCAAGGCCCGTGTTGTCTCCATGCCCTGCACGGAGGTCTTCGACGCCCAGTCCAAGGAGTACAAGCTCTCCGTCATCCCCGATGGCATTCCCTCTCTCTCCATTGAGGTCATGACCACTCTCGGATGGGAGAAGTACTCTCACGAGCAGTTCGGTCTCAACAGGTTCGGTGCTTCCGGTCCTTACAAGGATGTCTACAAGGTATGTACACACCGTCCTCGGTATTCTCGCTCGCAATTGCTAATGTGTCGATCTACAGAAATTCGAGTTCACTCCTGAGGGCATCGCCAAGCGCGCCGCCGCCACCGTCGACTTCTGGAAGGATGTCAAGCCCATCCGTTCCCCCGTCAACCGTGCCTTCCAGCAGCTCATCTAGATTACGTATACCATTGCAAGGGGAGAAAAATCGGACACTTTGGGATAGCTTTTTATCGGGGATTCATTGGGAATTATATCTCCAAACGCCGGGCGTTTTTTAATCAAAGAGTTTAGTGGAACGAATATCAAGTGTTCAACATCATCTGTTGAATAACTGAATGATATAAATGAAATACGAATTAAATGTTATAGAAACTTTCCATCAGCATGTTTTGTTTTGAATTTTTGATATGGTGACTTCCTATGGAATAAGACAATCAGTTCTCACCCACGCTTCAATTGCATTCGTGGTTCCCGTATAGCTTTCCTCGCTCTGCATAGTGTATGTCTTTTTGCGGATGGCCCTCGAGACGAGACGCACCCTCGACTCTTTCTCGCTTATTGCTCGTCCACCGTGTCGAACGCGCGACGCCCCCAATCGCACCGCAACTGCAATCGCTTTAGTATAAATACATTGATTGATAGGGCCGTTGTTCAAATTTCTTACAGTGCATGACTAAAATGGTTTAACGATTGTCTGATGGGAAGATGTAACACATTCTATCGAGACTACTTTTCTTTTTTATTTGTTTGTATTTGATATAGTTAGTTGTGTTAAATATTACTACATTAGGATACGCCACTAATAAGTGTAATGTTCCAGACATATATTTATTGTCGATGGATGTTTTCGTTTTGAGCTTTGTTTTCCACTTTTTGCGAAATGATTTCATGTGGTAAGTGACAGATGACAATGTCCCATCAGCTGGGCTGTGATATACTTCGAGATCCTGATCTTCACTTCTCCTCTTTTCCTTTGACTTGACTGCAAGGCAAGCAACGAAGAGGCATGATTCTGCCTCAGGGTCGGACTGTCCACACGCACAATCTACCAACATCATTACTGAATGCAAAGCCCCAGGAGAGGCGTATGAACATCAATCGATGCTCTAAGTACGTTAGCCCAGCCAGGTCCATAGCGACCAGTTGGTCCGCGGTGCGGCCCAACAATTGCTCCCACGCATCGGCCGATAGTATCAGCTTGCCGCTTGCTAGGTTGCCCGTCTCGTCGATGATGGGTCCCAGGATCTTTGGGTTGACTCTGAGATTCATACTTTGCTTGCACTGCTGGCAGTCGGCGACAATGGCGTTGGCGTACAGCGGGATCCCGCAGCACTCTGTGCTCATGAGCATCCTGCGCTTGAAGTAGGTGACGATGTTGAGCTGGGTGATGAGCGCAGAGATCCAACCCGTGAATGTCGAGGTGGGGTTTGCACGAGCCCATTCGTCGACGTCCGCCAGGGAGAAGAGGATCTGGAGAGCGGACGATTCGGCGTCGTCGCATAGTCCGGATGGAAAGGTGGGATTGATGTGCTCCTTCTTCATGAGCCGTTGTGCGAAGCAACGGAGCCAATTGACGTCGGCTAGGTCGGGATCTATGTCGAGGCGGGTGCTGGCGTTCATGCTGAGCTTCGCGATGCTGTCGATTCGCCAGCCTGGACTGGAGATGAGGAGAACGGTCTGGGATGGCTGCCAGCGGGAGGTGGAATGGCAGGCTGCGCCGTAGAGTGTCAACGATACTTCCGCGGTATCGTCGAATAGTCTGAGACCTACGACTTCGCAGGGTGAGCCGTTCTTGCCGGTGAATCGCTTGCGCACCCCGATGCTTTTGATGCATGCTATGACTTTGCAGTCTTCGATGTCGTAGGCACCGTTGGTGAAATCTTTCAGTGTCACTAGGCCTGGGAGCACTTGACTGTCCTTGCAGCCATATGGCCTCTTACACATGAGTCCATCATCACTGTTGTCATGGAACATTATATGACATTTCCGCTCGCGCTCCGGGAAGATTGAGGCATAGAGAGGTGCACAGCTCGCACTGGGAGTGAGAGGACTTCCTTGACTATGTGACAGGTGGAATGCGTATACAGTCACGAGTTGACCCATGTGCACCTGATACTCCGTGGATGCGTACCAGAGACCGACCTGGGAGGTACATCAATCAATTACTCGAAAGGTTCAAGTAGGAAGGCATATCTTACCAATATACATCCAGTGTCGTCGCCCACTAAGATTTTCAAGCAGCCTTTCGCTGCTCTCTGGTTCTTGCTGTTCCTTACCGAGTCGTAGATGTTGACGACTCGCCCCATGAAGGTGACAAACCGAGGCCCCGGCTGTAATTGACCAATATCGAAGTCGATGTAGTCTTCGGTTGGGGTCCACTGTGCTGATGGGGGTGCTTGGTTGATGGCGTTGGCGATTTCCTCAGCAGTGAAGCCATCCCCAGCTGCTGATTTAGATGGCGACGAACTGTAGTAAGATTGAATTGATGGAGTAGATAGTGGCATATTGTGAATGAAGATAAAAAGTTGGGTGATGGAGAATGGAGGTTGGACTTGACAATGTTGATATCTTTTTGTGGTCGACATTGGCGGTGAGGAAGGAGCGATGGGTGGTTCGCATTTTCGCGCCATACAGCAGAGCGAACTCAGGAAACACGTTCATAAAAGGAATAAAATAATGGGGCCCCTTTTGTAGTATCATGGTCTTTCGTATATGTGAAAAGATGGGTGAAAGATTTGGAGTGCTCTATATCCAAAGCGTTGCACCAGGAAAGACTTCAACTATGAACAGCCTCTTCTCGTGAGGTGTTCAAGTACGCAAAGTATATCCAGACCTATACTTGACTATGAAAACCGTATACTCTAGATCATTTAGCAAGTAGGTGTGTCAATTGCGAATGTCGAATTATATAGTGCAGAATGTTATCTAGATTGAATTAAGCAGTTTAGTTCTTCTCCAAAGACATATGTATCTATCTACCGGAAAGTTTTACCTTAAGAGGAAACATGTAAATGACGTACGAGCCATGAAGGTACAAGTCACAGAAGTACCCGGGTGCCCTTGACAATGCGAGCGAATGATTTGCGTCTAGGTGGTTCTTGCTCTCCGGACCCATACATATATCTTCTCGAGTTTAATAATAAAAAAGGGAAGCATGTGAGACAGTTTATGCAGTCGATACATAAAGCCATTGATGTAGTCTAGCTTTCAGTTCTTCTGAAAAGTCTCCACTTGACTACATGTGGAGTTCACTGCCCGTAAGTCAAGGGTTGTGTTGGCACGCTTGAAAATTGTGACTGCTTCTCGTGAGGACAAAAGGGTATATATTTCCACTCATCTCAAGACATTCTTGCGCTTTATTCTAAGAATCCCGGCATTTTTCTTTTCGTCCCCCATTCAAAAAATAAACAAAGAAACAGAAGAAGCGACTTTGACCTGTCAAACGCCATTGGAACTCCATCGTTAATGCAGTCGGTTTTCTCCCGAACAGCCTCTCGGGCGGGGACAAAAAGCACAAACTTTTCTTCTCTATTCCTCCATGGCATCGACCTCTGTCACTGACTCGGTCGCGGTGGAATAGTATGCCTTCATCTCGATCTTGAAGTCCGCCATGGCGACGCCAAATTGCTTCAGAAGCGCGGTCTGGTTGCTGTTCAGCGTCTGGCCCTCCTTGCACACCGTGTAGTCCGCGTCGAGCGTAACCTTGCCCTTGACGAGCCTCGTGGGCATTCCCCACTTCCTGATGGTGGTTTCTAAGCTGTGAGGGAGAGGGACATCGTCTTCCGCGGGCAGCTCGCCGCCTCGCGAGTACACGACGCCGGCTGGGACGGTGAAGGTCTGGGTTGCTTGGATGCCGGCGCGAGCGTAGTCGGTCTCGGAATAGCCGGCGAAGTACTCGAGGACCTCCTTGGGGTCGCGGTTGGTGAAGAAGAGGCCAACGTTGCCGTTGAGGTAGGAAGAGAGCTGGGAGAGGTTGGTGAGATGCTCGTCCGCAGGTGTCTGGCCGAGGGCTTTCGCCATGACTTTGGTCTTGCCGAAAAAGAGACTGGTGGTCACAATGAGTATTCAATTTCCCTTTCTAATGTATACATTGAGCAGGTAAACATACCGGCTGTCCGAGAATTCAGCCCGCACACCCTTCAGGTACGAGTTGCGCATGTTCTCTACCGAGAACACAAAAATGTGCTGGAAGTTGTCCGCGGCTTCCTGGACATTGGCGAAGAGCTTTTGCGACAGCTCCTTGCCCTTCTTGTCCGTCTTGGACATATGCACAATCTTCGCGCGCTTTGACTTAGGCATCTTGGAGGTGGTATGGGTGGTATTGGATGTTGGATTGGGATTTTGTTGCGTTGCGCTTCACAATAGAAAAAAAGTTCGAAAACCAACTTGAGCGCGCGGGGAATTTTTCCCACGACTCGCCGACTTCTTGGCACTTAGCTCGGTTCGACCCAACGAGGAACAACCGACCGACCAGCAGTGACGCCAATTGGTGGCCAGGTTCTCGTTCTATCAAAGTTGCCCACCATCGACCAGTTTCCACTTACCGGCGGAGAATGTTGCGCGCGCGACGAAGAGGAAGACATGTTGAACTTTATGGAGCATGTGCAGAGTGCATTCTATGAAGCTTCTCATTGGAATGTGGACAATTCGTACGGGGCGCTGAACGCAAGTGCGCGTGGTACGTCTAAAACCTGATTGCTAAATGGACTCAATGACTGACACCGACGACAGCATTGCTCGACTTCCACCCGCCGAAAGGGTTGAGATTGCAGCTATCCTCTCTTGCCGCGCCGAACTTCGCAACGTCGTATACCCTCGGAAATGTTGGTGTTGTGGATGGTTCTGTGTCATACCTGTACACTTCCTTACCGTTGAGCAGAAAGTTCAAGAGTGCTGAGCTTGACCTGCACCATGTCATACGGGGATATAGACAGTTGCAGGAGCTGAGGAAACCAGACGAAAGCTGGTGGTGGGAAATATGGCACGGCGGCGAGCGTGTCGATCGCAGAGGTATGTCTACCTAGGTACAATTCCACCCCCGCCAATTGTATACTCATCATGGTTGCAGACACCTTGCTCTATGGCCGCATCTTCTTGCCCCAATCGACATTGGAAGCCCTGTATCTACGCCGCCTGTCGCCCACCCGACAACTGAAAGTGACTGCGGTGAGCGATTCAACACTCAACAATGGAGGCACCATTCTCGCACTGCTGCAGAACGACTACGGCAAATACAGCACAGAATACTTGTACAGTACGGATTCGGCCCTGATGGGTATACGAGGCCTCTACAATTTCGGACCGGACCCCAGACTTGAGCCCACTGAGCCAACGACAGCTCAGGAATTGTCCGAACCCATCCACGGTCGCTTCAGCGCAGGGGCAGAGCTGTATTATGGCCTATTGAACAAGAGCGGCGGGATCAGCACCGGCTTACGGTTTGCAACTCTACCAAACCACGCCGGTTTCCCGTACACAATGACCCTGACAATGAACCCCCTTATGGGTAATCTTTCCTCCACCTATTCCGTCAAGGCAGGCCAACACGTCGCCCTATGCTCCCGCTTCGACTTCAATTTCTACTCCTATGAAAGCGACCTGCAGCTCGGCTGTGAACTGTGGCGACGCCGGAGCAACACCGACGTGGAATGGGCGACTAAGAAATTACGGCCTGGCTGGGAGCGTCCTACTGTGGCGCCTGATGATGACGTCTCCGGCATACTCAAGGCGCGCGTAGACCAGAACTGGCGAATTGGAGTGCTATGGGAGGGAAGGATCAAGGAACTTTTGCTCACCATCGGTGCGAGTCTCGACCTCAAGAAGAGGGAACAGATATTCCGGGCCGTTGGTATCGAGCTGCAGTATTCCTCGTGAACGAAAACCGCAAACGCACTGCGGGGATGCGTGCAGGCCGCCTTATGCCTCAACAATCTGCACGCTTGTCTCGACCTTCCTCCACGTCGAGGACGGGACCAGCACAATGTGCTCGTGCCGTCGCGGCAGCAGCATGTTGAGGATCATTCTCCTCTTTTGCGTTTCCAAGCACGACTGAGAATTGGACATCAAAGCAAAGCTGCATCTTTGACATTGCATGTTGCTTCCGAGTTGTGTGACGCTGAAACATTATGTGGAGATCCAAGCTTGCCGGTCAGTCACGCTTGGGGCCGTTTTGGGGCCATCACAATGCACATTGCGCCATACTGCAGTGGCATGTTCCAGAATCCAAATCGGGAGGGAGCATGATGGAAACCGAAGGACTAGCTATAATAGAGGCATGATTTTTGAAGCTACAACCCTGTGTAGAAGGACGAGGAGACGGTGGAAGCCAACGTCGAAGCCGACCAGCAGTTGACAAATCGAGGATCGAGCGTTGGAACACCCTCTTTGGCATGTGGTGGTAAGGTTCTGGGTGGTAGTTGTCGAATCGCCAACGCGACCATACACAATGGTGCGGTACCTGACGCGAGCCTTGCAATAGCCCGAGAGCTGTAAAGTGCAGGGAACGCTTGTCAACGTGTTGACAGCCTGCAGGGCGAATAGAGCTGTGCTGCCTCCAGGTTATTATACCGGCTGTAGTGCCGGCATCGGCCAGTGGATACACAAAATATACAATGTCCACGCGCTACTGAGCTGTTGCTTTTTATTCTTGCACAAGCTGAAGCATGTACGGAGTGCGCGGAGTAATGATCAAAAGTATAGAGGAAAATAGAGACACTAGGATGCAGTATGCTGATGTGCCTGATTTAGCAAGTGTGTGAAGGATTTGGGAGTGAGCAGATCATTGGGCCATACGAAGCGGGAGGTCGGATTCGCGGCGCTTGGTGGCCTCTCGTTTCGGCTCATCCGAGCGATCTTCAACGAGGGGTCGTTGGGCACTGTTCACCTCACCGATGCTCACGTCACGATACCCGCCCATCGCCCGACTCGCACTAGGTATCTAGAACTCTAGGTACACCTATTGGTGTTCTTTTTTCGTGACGGGCATTCTGCACCGCGTCGTATCATACCGTATCGTATTCCAACGACTGGCAGGATGTGAACCACACCCTGGCGGCCAAGGTTGCTCAGGTCGCCGTGACAAGACGCGTTTGAACGATGGGAGGTAGTTACAGGTAACACAGAGTGCTCGTAGGTACGGAGTAGTTTGGTCCTTTGTCAGGACGCCGCCTGCGAAGGAATTCGCCAGTGAATCATCGCTCCTTGCCGGTGTTGTTCCACACACCGCACCACGCCCACGTTTTGAGCAAACAGCGGCATGAGCTCGATCTCACAGCAGCACAAAGCGGTTAGGGAGACCCCCCGCGCTGGTACATGTACGAGCATCGATGGGCACGTATCGTGTAGTGGGCATTGTTAGCCTCTGCTTGCGATTGATCTTGGAAATTCCCCACCATCATCGACGGCGGTGAGGAGAGAGCACATGCTGGCAGCAGCTGGCTAAAGAGCGAGCTTTCTCGAACGACGATGTACAAGAGGCATTTCATGCGTGAATCTCTTCAGACCACCAAGGCGGTGGTGCGGCAAGGCTGCTTCCAGCACACTCTGTCTAGTATCACTAGGCTGCTTCTGACAGGCTGACGGCAAGCGTCCAACGGGCGAGGATGTACCCTGGCTTCCCTGACAGACAGAACCAGGCTAGGGACGTAGGGCAGGGCAGGGCGAGAGGGGGTGAGAATTGTATCCAACGACGTTCCCGGGAGGTCTCCTGAGTCTTACACAGTACCGGTAGAAGCAGATGCTGAAGTCTTGACACGGCATCGATGCACCACACGCACACGGTCCACAGTATTCCGTAGAACACAACACAGCACAACATAACACACAACTCCCCCACTGCTGGAGGCGACCACTCACGAGAGAGTGGGAGTCGTCCGAGTCTGAGCCGTCCCCTAGCCTGGTCTGGCTGGCGCATCCTCATCCACACCCATCCATGATCGATCCATCCATCCCCTTCTCGCTCTTCAGCTCCTGGGGGACCATCATTGAAGCGAGTGACGAGGATGTTGGAGGGTGGACCGGGAAAGGAAATGGTGTGTGATGCTGGAGAATGTAGTTGAGTACGTACCTAGACACCAGGGCACTCCGTAGAGGTAGGACTCAGGAGAGTACAATAGTGAGGAGTGGTCGGTTTCGTGTTAGTCCGAGGGGAGAGTTTTAGGAGAGCGATGGATGCATCATGTCATGTTCTGTTGTGCTCGGCGTGAAGTTAGGTAGGTAGGGTGTGGTAGGAGGTAGGCAAATATTCCGTGTTCTCCGTATCTATACATGTTCTGATTGAATTGCAGAACGGAAGAGAGAAATGCAAGAGAGAATAGTAAAAAGACTATTCTGGAGATTTTTCTGACTATTGAGCATGGGTATGCTGGTGACGCGGGTTCAAAAATAGTTGGGGAAGAAGCTTTGAAAAAGAGGAGAGAGGAGGAGAGAGTGAAGAGAAGACGAAGGAGAAAACTGACTAGGGGCGACTTGCTAGGTCATCTAGTGCATGGAGAGTATACCTAGTGGTTGGCGTGTGCACCCTGTGCCTGCCTTGTACCTGGCTAACACCGGGGCTAACCCAGCTAGACCCAACTAAACAACTACAGCCTGCAGGTCGAGGTACCGTACTGTGGAATACTGTCCCATGCCTAGATATACCTGCCCAGCAACACTACACAGTGCAAGTCAACAGTAGTGAGTGTGCACCTGTACGGAGTAGGCCGTCGACGTCTACCGTACCAACATCCAGTAGCGGCCGCGCCTACCTACACACTACAGACTACTCCCCTGCCAACCTGCCCTGCTTCCCTGCTGAGTCTTTCTCCCCTGCCCATTCACACACTGCACACCTCCTTCCCTGCAACTGTCCTGCACCTGCCCTGTCTTCTGCTACTGCACCGCACCTTCCCCCAAAATAAGCACAGACCATCTCACACCCACACCCACCACACACACACACTCGCACACACTCACCCAGGTCTGGCGCCCTTTCCCCTGGATGTAAGCCTGCCTTCTAATCTTGCTCGATTCCCCTTCTCACTACTCACCCCCCCTTCCACCCATCTTCATTCATCACCTCAATTCCTACCTGGTTACTGTATTGCTTCGACCTCAACGGCCGCGCGATCTTTGCCACCTTTCTCTCTCTCTCTCTTTTTTTCTCGTCTTCTGCGAAGAGCCTCACTCCTTCGGCCCTCGCCCACATTCATTTCCAAACAGTCACTCCTTAGAAACTTACCAACTCTACATCCCCCCCATTTTCCCTTCCGCTCCTTCGGACGCTGCAGCATCGCTCTTGGACGATCCTACTTCTTCAACAACCAACTTCAATCTTCCACCTTACCCAACCCTTCAACCTCTGCTCCTCGGTCAGCAGATCACTTCTTTCCTTTACATCTCGACAAACGACGCCTGGACGGTGCGATTCACCCTCGAGTCTCCTACAGACATCACCTATCGATATACCTGCCTATATACCAACCCCAGGTCTAAATCGTCTGACCATCACTCTCCGATCCGGAAACCCTTCGTCGAGACCCATCTACCACTATCTACTTTCATATCTCAGGCCATCCATCACGCCTCATTGCACTTGACGATTTATTTACGAACAACCGATAGACACCGGCGAGAAACACCCCTTTCTGGCCTTCCATCACACCAGCCCGACCGCTCCCAGAGCACCCTCGATATATCCAACCACTCCCCACTGCATCCACATCTTCAAAATGCTCAAGATAGAAGAGACCCCCCAGTCTACTACGACTCCCTCGCCACCTGCCATGGCCACAACCCCAACCCAGGGCTCGGCTGCTCGCCGCCCCCCGCGCAAGAGCACCCTAACCCAGCAGCAAAAGAACCAGAAGAGGCAGCGTGCCACCCAGGACCAGCTCGTGACTCTCGAGGTTGAGTTCAACAAGAATCCCACCCCCACAGCCGTCGTTCGCGAGAGGATAGCACAAGACATCAATATGACCGAGCGTTCGGTGCAAATCTGGTTCCAGAACAGGTACAGCTTGCCCATGATTGTTGCCGTTTCGGAACTAACCACTTCTCAGACGTGCCAAGATAAAGAACATTGCCAAAAAGAGTATCGAGAATGGCGATGATTGCAATGACATCCCCGAATCGATGCGCCGTTATCTTCAATTGCAAGCTATGGAGTCCGGCAAGTCCTTGGGCGGCAGCCTATTGGGTCGCGCCGGCGGTTCCATGACCCCATATGGCAGCGGCATGCTTCTCAATACTGACACAAGCTCCTCCAAAGTTGGTGAGTTTCCACGCCGTATCAAACATGCTGACGCACGAGGAGTTCCAGCTAACCTCCAACCAGTCATTCACCACTTCGCATGCCGCTCCCTGAGCATTGGCTCATGGCGACGAGTCGGCCAGAGTGCCATGGATCTTGTCATCTTCTACTCACCCGAGAAATGCTGCGTTACGTACTACATCAACAACGACTCGGCAGGCTACAAGATCGAGTATCCCTTTGCTTACATCAAGAACATCACCCTGGAGAATGGAGACATGACGACCAACGCCGAGGGAGCCTCGCAACGCCCAGGAGGCCTTGTCGTGGAACTTAACCGCCCACCCAACTTCTTCATGGACTCTTCTGGATCCGGAGGCTTCTTCCAGTGTGGTGACTTCACAGAGGATCAACAAGCCTCGCACACGATGATTCATCATCTCGGCGGTCACCCCAAGGTTCTCAGTGGCCAATTGGCGAAGCTGGTTTCGTTGGAATCGTTCCAAAACCGACATAACATCTACGACCACAACGTTATCGCCGCGTCGGCGCCAGTCTCGCCCATCAACCATCGTCCCGCCTCGCAACCGAACCATCTTGTCCACCCGAACATGGGAATGTTCCAAGAAGGTCCATTTGCTCCCGGTGGTCTCCATGCTCGCGGTCACAAACGCCAAAGGAGTCGATCCGTTCCGGTTGCTGTCGATTTCTCTATGCTTCGAAATCCTATGCCTTCATTCTTGATGCCACCCGAGCCATCGCCTTACATTCCCAACCCGGAGATCTTTGCACCTATTCCACAGAGCGCTGGACCTATCGGGCCCAATCTGAGTATCGATACCTCGGCCGGATACGGCATGGAATACCGACAGTATCCTATGTCGGCCACCACAGCCAACTCTCCTTCTGAGTATGGAACACCGGCTTTCTTTACTTCTGGCCCACCGACAGACAACATCCCTGCATCGAATTTCGGACAGCAGTACAACATCCCTCCACCTTACATCCACACTCCAATGGGCCCACCACCTCACTCGGCAGCAGCAGTTTCTCCCATGCCTCACATGGGCCATGCTGATCCAGTGATTGCCAACCAGTCCCCACCTCTTTCCTCTTTTGGCCGTGATGGCTCCGTCGATGGGTATTCCATGCCCCACGATCATGGAGTTTCCGATGAGGCAATGCAGTTGACCGATCTCTACGCGAAGCAGACCCTAAATCTTCCCTTCCGATCACCGTTGGAAGAGAGCGTAGACGACCTCGACATGCAAAACCTGGTGACCTTCGGCACGCTCGATCCAGCGAGCTTGTCACCCGAGAGCCATCACATGCAGTGATGTCGCATAGCGATGGATTCAGATGTTACTGAACGCATCTGATTCCCACCTCACCTTCGCGAATGTACTTGCGGGTCGGTGAACTTGGTGCGCGCTTGTTGAGCCTTGGAAAAGGCTTCGACCGCGCTGCCCTCGACTTCACTGATCGCTTTCGATACTTAATGCAATCACAGTATCTCTTCTCTACATATCTTGTTCCGAAAGCTCGACATATTGCATCTTCATCATCCCATACCCTTTTTCTCAACAACTTCTTCTTGGTACTCGTACTTAATTCGACGCCATACTCGCCTATTACGCAGATTGAACGACCACAAACAAGGGACCGGGATATTCTAAGGCGTTGCAAAAGGTCGATGGAACGGCTTTGGTTCTTCAGATGGACTGGCGGACTGGTGGATCCTGCGCCCCCCGTAGGGTTGTCTGACGGTGTTTCTCTGGAGGTTGAATCTGTCGCTGCCGTCGAGCAAAAAAACACGCTCGGCGGACAGTCTGTTCCTGTGTCTACCTTTCTGGTTTCTTTACTTTTTTCTCCTATGTTGTTCTTTTTTTTTATCTGTGAAGTTCTTTTTCGGGCATGTCTGGCACTATTTTCTCATTTGTGGTTTCCTATGTCGCTTTGTGAGAAGGTGCAGAAGGAGAAGGAGATGGAGGAGATTATGAAGCCTAGGGCGGAGGTTCTTATCGCCCGCTGTGCGGACATCACGCTTTCTTTGCATCCGGGTCATTCATCAATCGACAACAGAGATAACATTCACATAATACTTTGCTTTGCATGATGGTGACTCGATTAGGTGATGAAATGAGGGGTTGAAGAAAGGTACCTGACTTATGTTTCCCCAATACCAAGAAGCATCAAGCCTGTCCAGATCGGACGAACGATCACGGCGATTGGAGTCATGATTATTGATTACAAAAGAGGCGAGCTTGGAGGCAGGCATAAAGAAAAAAGGGCCTATATTATTTAGTGTCGCGGAGCAAGGAGAATACTCGAGTCAAACCATGTCATTTTTCTTAGTTCCGGTTCCGATCGATCACCACAGCTTTTTTTTTTTGCTTGGTAGGGAGTGGGTTTACAGACAATCACGCTAGTGCCTACTTGTAGGTTGATGGGAATTTTTTTCTTTCGATTTATCCCGCTCGTACGAGCGCGTCCGAAGGAGCCCCCAGTTGCAAATAGCAGCAGCAGCATGTTGCATGCGCCCATCCTTCCCTTCCGCATCCTTCCTTCCTGCTAACCCTACAAAGTATTCTCTGTGTGCCTTTGCTCGCTATTCTTCCCTCCCCACAAGTGACAAGGCGTTATTGAGCGCAGCGCCCTCCCGCCATCCTCCGTCCGCTGTCCGCCTCCGCCGCCTATACCAGGACCGGGGACTGGAGCTGGAGCTGGACAGGGGGAGAGCGACAAGGGGGAGGGGGGATCGAGAGCTTTGATATTGTATTCGAGCCTTGTGCCTGCCTGTGTTACGTGTAGTTCAGGAGTTGTCAGATGTCTTGACAAGGACAATAACCGGGAATCTGGAACGGAGATCGCCTTTTTACGCGTGTGCTTGTTCGTGCTTGAATTCCTCACGACTCACGAGCAATAGTTGTAACTCGTATGATATATGATGTACATATGGAGGTACGAGGTACGAGGGCCGAAGAGTACGTGTATCGGTGATTTGGTATCTGATGATTTGTGTTCTGTTTGTTGACAGGCACGATGGAGAGCGTTTAATCAGATAACCCTCTGTTCGTTTACTTTCATGTTTGGACAGACTATGGTGATCTGTGGAAATGGAAGTATGGACATCTGGGGATGTACGAATGAATTGCTCCATACGCATGGTTCCCTCAGACATCAACGTCTTCCCCTGAGACAGTAGCCTACTCAAAACAAAACGGCAGCGTGTAACTACTCCGTACCTAGGTCCCATGTGTTCCTTTTTTTTTCGCCACAGCCGTTACGACTCTCCATGTACGAGTATTATTTCTCCTGGTTCTATTCCCCTGTTGGCAGGTTTTCTGTGCCTGTCGATCACTTGTCGCGCGTGGGAGTTCTAGGCCTCCAGGGTTTATGGTTCCGGGGGTTGTGATTGGATGGTCTTGGTGGGCTTTGGTTTTGGGTTGAGAGTGGGCCTTTGGGTTAAGGGGAGGGGAGAGGAAGTAGAAGATGGGTACTTGTAGGGTTGGATAGGGTAGTATGGAATGTTAATTGATGGAAGGAGGAGGCACAGGGAAGGTGGGTTCAATGTTATGTACCGAAGTTGGATAGCTGGATGAGAGTGAGTTCGATGGTTGTTAATTGACGTATTGCAACTCGTAGTAGGCGAGCGGCGATATAGAGTAGCGACGAATTATCAAGCTACAATACTGACGATACTACGATGGCATCAAGCTACAAGTGGGTTGTCCCTGTTTTGCTCCCCAGATACGGATCATGATCAGGCACGGAAGGCGTTTGGAATTGAATCGTGATAGATACGATTCGATGCTGCCTAGGTCATTACTTGTATGACATCAATTCCGCGCTCCTAGGTACAACTTTACACAGCACTGTCCTTTCTTCTGCAGGTACGATTACAGTACGGAGCAGAAACACTCCGGAAACGAGAATTGTTCGTTGTATTGGGACTAGGCGTGCGGGTGGGGATGTTGAGTGATGGAGACTGACGATGGAAGGAAGAAAGGGCAAGGCTAGACTACCTAAGGCGCTGTCAGGCTTACAGGCGCCAACGGGATCACGGAGGCATACGGAGCATTAACTTGATCATTATTGAATGGAAAATGGGAAAGCGGGAAGGGAAGGGAGGGGGTTGAGGAGTCGTTCACCAGGGGTTGGGTGTGAGGTGGGTTTTGAGTGGAGTTCATCTTTTTCCGGATTCGAGGATGGGGTGATCAGTAATGCATGACGGGAAAAGCTTCTTTGCTTCCCATTTCTCTTTTTGATAGAAAAATAGCGATAAATGATAGTTGATCACACATACACTTTACCTATGTGAGGCAGTGGGAGAGACTTCAATTAACTATCAATTGATCGTTTGCGGGGAGCTGGGTGTGAGCTTATTTATACTTACTTCGATTGGCCTGTGTACAAATACAGACCTAGGTCTATACTTTGTCATGATTCCTGTACATGTACGAACTCCCGAGTAAGTTACAAGGCCATGGAGGGGTTTTGGGCTTTGAGAATTCGTACATGCTCAGATATGACGACATCAGAGAATAAAGTGTGTCTAGCCCTAGGTAATTGTGTAGGCCGGTAAGGAAGAAAGTCTGGTTCCGCCGTTGAAATTTTGACGTTTAGACGGCGCCAAACGGCCAATGCAGAATGTTAGGGCATCTTTGTTCGCCTAACACTCTGCTTGTACCAGGTAAATACTTGTATGAGGAACAGCAATCACGCTTGTTGGGGGAGGGATCCAAGCAGAGAGCGAGGTCAGGTTAGGCACTTGGGCCTGGATAGCTACTCCATGGAGCAGTGTGAAATGAAATCAACAAATGCCTCTCTACGGAGTACTGTGTACTCTCTTACCTAGAGCTCTCCATGTCTCATAATCATAAGTTATGGCCATTAGCTATCTCGGAGGTCGGGCAAGCCCCTGAGCCGAAGCCGATGTTCACCATGACCGCACGGACTCGACTTTGTTCGCACATCCGCGCTCCTTGGGCGTATCGACAGCGTATTTTGCGCATCGTACAAGTTACTATGGCAATGCATCAACAGGAGCCATTGATAAGTTAATTAATAGTTGTATTTCGCGCATCGTCTCAACTTATACAAGGCTACAAGCCATGTACGAGTATGAGAATGTAAGGTATAGACTATAACTAGTTAGTAAGTAAGTAACCATTACAGGTACATGTAGTAAGCAGCGGCGGATGACGGATGGTGGACAGTCCAAGTGCAGTCCTTAACTCCCAAGTGTGCAATTTTACCAACCAACCATTGATAATTTCCATCTTCTAAGTTCTCCCCCATAACTAATTAAAATAAGACCATCGCGCGACCTCCCTCCCCTTTTGTCTCCTCCTTTGCTTTCTGTCTGCTCTGTTCGCTTTGCACGGCTGCTCTGCTCTCACGGTTGGCTTGTTTACTCAAGCTTCACCTACTCCCCCGTCCTCCGTCCTCCGTCCGCCTACTACCTACTATCTATCCACCGCCCGACCGACACACTTCCTTCGGGACTCAGGCGTATCCGCATATCTAGTCTTTAATCAATTAATATCCCCTACGTCGCATCCTGTCGGGCCTCTTCGTGGGCGTTGAATTCTTTACTTCGTTGACGCCTATATTACCGAGAATAATCATCGTCGGTCGAACTTTGCTTGGCGGCTCAGGGATCTTCTCTCCTCCTTCAAAGCCGCCTCGCTCCTGCGCCACGAAACGACACGAAAGGTAGCAGCGTGTTCAATTCCTTCGACATCACAAACAGCTCCTCGAGCGAACCGAGAAGGGACAGAAAGGTCGTGCAAGAATCCGTCAATCCGCATACGCTGCGTTACGTTGCGTTCCGAATAGAAAGGTAGGTCAACCAATTTGTTCTTTGATTTCCCCCCCTTCCAGCCTCACTCAGTGCATGCGCCGTGTACTCCCCGGAAACCAACAACGCTCGGTCACCGCAACAAACAGTCCCATCCACCCTCTCTTCCTACACAATACAGCATCTCCCTCGGTTCTAGTCTGTTCAGTTATCGCTATCATACTTTTCCAACTTGGAGAGATGCAATAGTGTACCCTCGAATCGTATTTACCTTATCCATTTTCATTTTGTAGCTGCTGCAGCTGGTGGCTGCTCATCCCGCGTCGTCCGCACCCCTACCCTCCCATCCGGCACCTCCGGCCATTACTACAAACACCACACCACAGTACTAACTCTCCCAAGCTCCCCAAGCTCTACTCTTCCTATTCACTCCCGCGCGACATCATACTTTCGAGCTTCATCGCACTGCCTCTTCCGCGCGTCATTCGTCGACATCGCCTCGAATTGACGACTTCGCCCTCGAGTCGATCTGCCAAGCTCCCCTTTTCGTAATATTCTCCTTAGAGATAGACAGGGGACGTTGACATTTTGTTGCACACTTCGCCCGACCCTCTGCAACTACCTTCACACCTCCTATAGCTACAGCAACCTGTGCCATGCCCAAAAACAGGCTCACACAATTGTTCGGCGGATCACCAAAGGCAAGGAGCGAGGCTCTACAAGCAGCCCTCATTGCCCAGCAACAGGCCCTACACAATTCGCCATCACCGCCCTCCATTACCCTCACCAACGCAACCGGCGAGAAGATGCCCACACTCTACCAGGCTCCGTCTGCCGAGGAGTCGCGGAGGATTGCGAGAGCGCATGCACAATTCGGTCCATTGGGCTCCCAGTCGCATCGATATGTCAGTCAATTCGATGGCGAGTTCTCCGAGCCCATTGAGGATGAACCTCCATACTATTTCCTCCTTACCACATACATCAGCTACCTCATCCTCATCGTCTTCGGCCATGTGCGAGATTTCTTCGGCAAGCGATTCAGACGGGAGCACTACAGCCATCTGGCGGAGAGAGATGGCTATGCACCCCTCAATTCCGACTTTGATAATTTCTATACCCGACGATTGAAGATGCGAATTAACGATTGTTTCTCTCGCCCGACCACCGGCGTGCCGGGTCGCTTTATCACTGTCCTAGATCGCAAATCGGACGATGGCAACTACAATTTCAGCATGCTCGGAACGACCACGGAGACACTCAACCTCAGCTCATACAACTACCTCGGATTTGCTCAGTCTGACGGTCCTTGCGCCGATGCTGCCGAGAACGCCATCAGGAAAAACGGAATCGCCATGGCCAGCCCTCGCTCAGATACCGGAACATCCGAACTTACCGTCGAAGTCGAGGACCTCATCGCCGATTTCGTTGGCAAGCCTGCGTCCATGGTGTTCTCGATGGGCTTCGTCACCAACGCGACTGCTTTCCCCGCCCTGGTTGGAAAGGGCTGCCTCATGCTTTCAGACGAGTTGAACCACTCTTCCATCCGCTTTGGAGCTCGTCTTTCCGGTGCCGTCATTCAGATGTTCAAACACAACGACATGCGCGATCTCGAGCGCATCCTGCGCCAGGCCATTGCCCAAGGACAGCCCCGTACACACCGGCCCTGGAAGAAGATCTTGGTCACCGTAGAGGGTCTGTACTCCATGGAGGGAACCATGTGCAACCTTCCCGCTCTCATCGAACTCAAGAAGAAGTACAAGTTCCATCTGTTCATCGATGAGGCCCACTCTGTTGGCGGTCTTGGTCCCCACGGTCGTGGTGTTTGTGACTACTTCGGCATCGACCCATCTGAAGTCGATATTCTCATGGGAACCCTTACGAAGTCCTTCGGTGCTAACGGAGGCTACATCGCCGCTGATAAGGACATCATCGACAAGCTTCGAACACAAAATGCCGCCATGCTCTTTGCCGAATCCCCAGCTCCCCCAGTGCTTGTCCAAATTGCCTCCTCGTTGCGTCTAATTAACGGCGAAGTCGTCGTCGGAGAGGGTGAGGAGCGATTGCAACGACTTGCCTTCAACTCCAGGTATCTACGACTCGGCCTGAAGAGACTAGGATTCATTGTCTATGGTCACGATGACTCTCCAATTATCCCTGTCATGCTTTACAACCCTGCCAAGATGCCGGCTTTCTCACATGAAATGCTTAAGCGCAAGATCTCGGTCGTTGTTGTTGGCTACCCCGCTACTCCCCTCGTCTCATCCCGTGCACGATTCTGTGTATCTGCTGCACATACTAAGGATGATCTGGACCGCATGCTAGCTGCTTGCGACGAGGTGGGCGACCTTCTTCAGCTCAAGTTTAGCAGCGGCGTCGCTGGCGGCGCCGACCCCGACGCGTTGGCCTTGACAGAGAAGAGTGACCTCAAGGTCGTCAAGCCACCTCGCTGGCGCCTGGAGGACGTCCTGAAGAGGGGCACGGAGGACATCCAGTTCCCGCTCAGATAGGTGGACTCTCAAGCACGTGATTAGGCGTTTGGGCGCAGGACGCGGGGCTTCCGCCCAGAAAGTGAGGCGAGCATATAGGCGAGGGAGTGAGACAACTTCGAAGGACAGAACGCATTTCCTGATTTTCCAGCATTATACGGGAGTTCTAATTTAGAGGCTACACACGGCATCCCGGGACGCAACTAATTACTTTGCAACCTTGCCTGCTCGGATCCCGCGGCTTCACACCTCTGAGATATCTGGAGGATGATGATGATGATAGCTACTGCTTTTGCCGTGCTCACACATCTGCCGCATTGTTGCGAAGAAGCCCTCGCATTCTTGGAGCCTAACCCAAATGGCACGCGATGTCAAGGGTAGGATTTCCATCTTTCTTAGGAAAAGATTTGGCATATTTTGTACGATTACCCGCTTCATACCCTCGCTGTACTAAAGAACTATTATTTTCTTCTTCATTTCCACAACTTCGCCTTTCATTCTGTGTCCGTGAGATCGGATCAACACATTATATTCACTTTGACGAGCATTGAAGCTCATACTTCTCTCATGGTGTGTCGGCGAGCTGCTTGGTAGATCCTAGGCTGATATGCCTCTTCTTCTTCCTCTTCTCACCTGCCTACAAGATGGTACCTCCTACTCACCTATCTCATCACGGACATCACATCGCAACCGACAAACTCTTCCTCTCCCTTACCACTCAGAGGAGGGGAGTCTCACCAGGCACGCCTTCTTCACACCCGATCCTTTCCTATGTATATTCTCCCCTTTCTTTCTTCCTAACCCCCCTTCTTTTCTTTTTCTTCGCTGCTACAGCAATGACGGGAGAAGCGTACGGTTAATTTCTAATGACGATGATTGGAAAGAGAGGACGTACATCACGATGTGTGTGTGTGGCTCCTACTCGTTGGGAATGCAATGATATGGCATGGCATGACGTGCTGTGATAAATTGGATAACTGGTGCCTTGTGTGGCCTTTCCCCTTCCCCTCACATGAGGAGGGGTGTGGTGGATGTTCTACCCGTTCTTGTATATGACATATAGGGAGAGATAGAGTGTGAATACATGCCATGCCATGGATTGATCAATTGACTGATTGAGTGAGTGTCTGAGAGGTGTTGAGATTAGATAAGGTAGTGGCTGTGATAATGTGTATGCGTATGTGTGTGTATGTGTGTAGCACACACCAAGCAAGAGGGAAAGAGCAAGAACGAAAGGAAGGATAGACAGTAAGTTCGCGAGTAAATGGACAAGACAAAGAAGATCCCTCCAAATCCAAAAAAAAAGGTGGGGATTGGAAATGCTCTGGTATAATGCTAAGACACGATCTAAGTCTTGAAGCCGCCAGTCAGTCACACTTTCAGACAAGGGTGTTCAAACAAACACACATGTAGCGGCCCGAAACAGTCTCTCGCCCGGTCTGACTTCACAGGAGCGTGTGTAACACATGGAAAAGGGACGGATATCCGCGTCCGAGACGAGAGGGCGCATGGCGCAACGGGATCTATCTGCATCTGGGTGGCGGGTCTTGCCTTAGGGTGCTCAGCGGGAAGGGCCGATGATGGGAATGGGTGTGGGGAGAGGAGGGGAAGTACGGCTGAATGACGATACGGTAGATACTGAATGATCGCCCAAGTCACACAGACAATTAACTCATGCGAGTGCATTTAACACTGTGGAGAAGGGCGTTTGAAATGATTGATGATGCCGGGTGAAAGGGAAAGGGCAGGTAGGGTCGATCAAAGACAGTCCGGGAGAAAGATGGTCGGTGACACATAGACGCAGTAACTAATCGCTAATCAAAAAAAAAGAAGCGTTTATCGTGTCTACGCTGTGGAGGACGTTGCAGATGAATGCCAATTGGGTATGTTCTTGGTTCATCCCTCAAGATCATTTCCTTTCCCCAAACGGCATCACAACCTCCGCGTGTGAGCTCGACAAAGCAGCTTTGAAGATGATGATCAATTCGATACTGATGATCGTTCAAGGAAGCTGCATGAGTGGTAACCCATCTTCCCATCTGCTTACAGCCAGCTGTGAGTCGTGTAGTCTTGTACAGTGGTAAGGCACACCCCCAGCAGAATATGCACCGGTGAAACATTCAGGTAGCCGAGAGTACGGAGTACAAGTGTGGCAGCTTAGGGCTATCTGTCACCTCAAACATCGTTGTGCTGTTTGTAACCAAACTATCTAGATATAGCTGGGCGGGCTTGGGTTAGGCCCTTGTGTTACGGATACTGGGGGTTGTCGTTTGCTTTTTTTGTACAACCTTCCCCCACAGCTCCCCGTTGATTACGGTGGCAACGGCGTGGTTTCTGGGGTAGTATGCCTGTAAAGTGTAGAAAGCAGCACTGCTGATCTGTTTTGGGGAAATGTTTCGTGTGATGTTGTCTTAAGACTCGTAAATATATATGCCGTGTCTGTCGAAGATGCAAAAGATGGGTCATATGCCCGAGCAGCGGTGACCCTGTTGGGGGAATACTAGGAGCCTGGAAATCCTGTTTGAATGCCCCAAGAAGGGCGTTTCAAAGAAACAACTGGTGTCACGGCTTCGGCTCTGATGTATTAGCGATAGTTACCAGGTGGGTCCCGCCGTCCGGTGGAGGACAGGCAGTAGTGGTATCAAGGTTGTGGCTAGGATTGGGAAGATTGGACCAATAAAGGCAGCTGCCGATTCGGGAACCCTTCGTCATGGTCAATTTCTATTTTGAAGTGTCGAATAGGAAGCGCGAGTTGTCATAAGGCTGAGGATTCCAAATGACTGTTGGCTGGCTGCATTCGATGTACGCCCCATTTGTCCGCCCACTTCCGGTGGAAAGGGCATCTCCCTCTTTATCTGGCCCAAATCAAGGTTTCTTGGTGGTCAATATTCATACGACCATTCTAATGATGAGATTAGACTAGTGGAGGATTCATGGCTGCAGCTCACGCTTATCGAATACCCGTGGACAACAATGTGAACATTCACGCCCAACTACGGTATGATTCATTGCAAGCTGATGTGCAGTAAAAGTCCAAGATTTTGGAGGACAGTCCTGCTGATACGTGTCAACAGTCCTCTGTCTTGTTGTCGGGCTCACAGTGGCGGTGATCCCACAAGGCTGAGGACAGGCTATACAGCCACAGGTGACTGGTGTTTTTGAGGACGATCCCAAATGCCCCTGGGAGGACATAAAGAGTTATTGTCCTCGGTGTTGCTGTCGCAAATAATTACACAACCTGACTGTTGCATGAGTTGTATCTGGTGGTTGCGTTGGCCAGATGATGGAATCGCTGGCCGATTGCTACGTCTCGTAATTCCAACAATGAAATTCCGTAGCAGTGGTCTTACAACATGTCGCCGATCGTTGTCGCACCCTTGTAGTATGCAGCTGAGCCATCTTGCATCGTAAAGAGCCAAAACTGTGAAGATGCGACATGCTGGATGTCATAGACATTTACCTGATAGTGTGATGCGCGAGCCGGTTGACGGTCTGTGCACCATGAATCTCGTCTAACTATGTGAACTGGAGTTTGCAGGCGTTCATTCTATCGTCACATCCAATCCAATGCCCTTCTCACAAGCCTACGAATTCATACTGTAGGTCCGCCATAGTGCTTCCCGCTTATCGTGTATTCCTACTCTACACCGGTCGAAGGCTCGATCGCCGCGTGGCCCGGTGCCAACCAAAAGCAATGGTACGAGGTAATCAGGCTGTACTCCAAGACGGGACCTGCTATTGCATACATTCTGCCGCCCGCTCCGCGATATCTGCGAATAGTATCGTCCGGTCACTACACAGAGCCTCAAAGCAACCCATAGTTATGGTTACGTTGCTAACTCGTGCAGGCAGGCTGACAGTCTGCATAGCTGGATGGTCCTCCCATCTGACACTGAGTGGCTGCGTCCGGTGAAAGGCTCCCAGCCAATGCAAATGCGGGGCTTTGAAAGCCCTAGCATTGTAACCAATGGAACGTTCTTGTGCCTCACATTCTTGATTTTTCGACTGACGCATTCATCTTCGATGTCGCCAGGCATGTCGGTATTCTTGTGTTTTACCAGAGACTCTATGTGCGACTTTGACGTGGGCGGAGGTCGACATGCGTATTTCTGTGTGAAACCTCAAGCACTTGGCCGCATTCTGTATATATTCGAACAGCCGTCTTCAGTCTGCCTCGTCTACTAATTTGAAATACCAGCTTATCAACACTTCACTCTTACTTAGTCTGCCTGTAGCGACATTTAGGAGGACGATTTTGATTGATTTGCCCATGCTTTCTATCAAACATTCGTGCCCCACATAACACTGCCTCAAGATTCTATTCTGCCAGTATGAGTGCTTCACATTTCAATGCCCAATATGCTGGCAACGACTACTTTGCCACACAACATGGCGGTGCACCTCGCCATATGTCTCATCAGTCTATGGGACAGCCAAGATACAATCATGGAGGTATAGGTTCGCAAAACCAGGGTAACCATCACAATCGCAGACTTGTACAGTGGGTAATCAAGAGATCGAACAAGGAAGAGTCTTGGATGGATATCGATGCTGTACAATGGTCGTACTCTACACAAACCCTCCAGGAGGAATTGGACCGATTAAGGCGAAAAGACATCACTGTCCAGCGCAGCTTCGAGAAAATGAGCACGAAAGCTAAATCACGTGTGGATCATCTTATTAGAGAACAGAACGAACAGCTCTGGAAGGTGGACCCCTCATTGAACTGGACAATCGCGGGACTCGAGCTCCACTGGAACATGGACGAGAAGGTGACTTTGATGGGTCATCGCCGCAACATCCTAAAGCGCATCGACATATTCTTGGAGACTGAGATTCGGCCACAATATCAGAATCTTCTCTCGCAAATGGGTGCAAACATGAACAATTATGATCGACCCAACAATGTACGCACAGGAAATAGCAATAATATGCCCTCAACACAGCAGCCTCGTGTGCAGCCGTTCAACAACAGCCACAACAACAGCCATCATCAACCGTATCACGGACCCTCCATGAGGCCAGAAATGGATGACTTCGAGTTCGACGAAGACTTTATACAGCAACCTTTCCGAAACAATCAGAGACCAGGTGGTGAAATGGGCATGAACCAGCACATGAACCAACCGCCGATGCGTGGACAAGGCCAATCTGGTAACTCTCAGCCGAATAGAAATCAGTTTGATTCCAGAGATGCGCGTCCCCCTCCCCCTCCTCCCCCTGTGCCCATCCCACAGAAAGCACCCCAGCCCATGCCTAAAGTGGAACAATTCCCTTCGCAAATGCCACCACCTCCATCCCAAGGCCAGCCACGACCGCAGCCAGTGCCTCAACAGGGACAGGGGAATCGTCCTCCAACTCAAAATTTCCCAAATCCCAATGAGAAACTCGTACCAGTACCGGTTCAAGGATCTCAAAGACCCCAAGGACCTCAAGGGATCAATGGACCTCAAGGATTTAATGGGCCTCAAGGATTTAATGGGCCTCAAGGATTTAATGGGCCCCAAGGATTCAATGGACCTCAACCGTTCAATGGACCCCAAGGGTCACTAGGACATCAAGGAACCCAAGGTGCGTTTGGACCTGATCAAATGCGTCGCCCTCTCACGGAGCCAATTCATCCCGAGATCCTGAAGCATCAAAAAGCCAAGCCAAAGCGGGACCATAGGGGAATTCCTTCGGACGACGACTTGGACGACATGTATGAAGATTGCGGGTCAGCAAGTGGCCTAGATGACGAGTCAATATCTGATGGAGTTCTCATCACTCGAGGTCGATCTCGCAGCTTGCGACGAAGGAAGAGCAATGCTAGAGATCCTTTATATTCGCACCCGCTCAAGAATATGTCTCCGCATATTTCCCAAAACAGTATACCCGTGCTGCCAATGAATCAATTTGGTGTTCAAGAAGGCAAAGACAAGCCAATTCATCCTTCAGCGCAGAACATCTACATACAAATTCCGTCACTGAAGGCGGAGCGAAGTCGGTCCCGCGATCGTGTTCGCTCCCCAAGTACATCAAGCAAATTCTCCCACAGAAGTAAACGCCACGAGCACGAAAAACAATATCATCGGTCGAGTCGATCATCTGTCAATTCGCCGAGAAACTCGTATAAAAGTTTTGACGGCCTTCACTCTGCTTCTACCTCTCATGGATCATCTTCAGGGGGCAGTGTACTCTACAGCAGCGACGATGATTCAGCAAGATCTTCGATGAACAGTGCGACGTTTTCGGAGCCTCAACCTTCCCATCGGTCACGAGAGCAGCGATACTCACGCTCCGATATGGACAGCCATCGCCGCCGGTCATCCCACCACGAATCTCAACGAGCTTCATCCGAACATGTTCATCACGAACATCCATCGCGCCATCTCCACGCACGCCAATCACCAAACGACCATCCTCACAAACAAGTAAAGCCGATAATTCACAACCCCGTCATGTCACCGCAGCCTGCACCTCACTTTGTCAACCAGCATGCTCCCATGACGTCGCCTTCCATCCGGCCTCAAAGCGCGATGCGCCGCTACAGCACCCACTCTGCGAGGCCTAACCAAGTTCCTATTCAACTCCAACGTGCACATACATTTTCTCCATCGCATTCTGACCTCCCATACGTGAATGCTCCAGGCTTGGCTCAAGGCGACGCCTTGGATCTACACGAGGTTGCTGAAGCAGTCGATTTGATTCAAACGAAGAATGCTATTGAGAAGCTGCGACAAGCCAAGCAGATGCCGAACCTGCAACGTGCGAACACCATGGGAGCAAGCAGACCTTACACGGTAGAAGAGGATGAGTGGGCAGAAGATCCACATTTTGTCCCGAGGCAGGGAGTTCCGATGATGCCTGTGAACCATATCCCCGCTTGGTAGTAATCGCTTATTTGGTATTATTATTTCTAGTTTGCTTCCTGTAGCACATTTTAAACGCGGTTTCGTGCGCCGTTGTATGAATATATGCATCGGATTTCATTTGGAGTCTGTGCAAAGTCTTTGATCTCAACCCAAGTAGCAATGATATTCTCAAAGATCTGCACACTGCTGTTCTAAGTAATCTAAATGAATGCTAAAATACAATTAAGATTTCGTCCAATCTTCCATTACCAGGGACATTGAGCCTTATTGAAGGATAAGTTAAGTTCTAAGAGCGGTCTGTTGTGGGGTCGCCAATGCATTGTACTGATTGAAAACAATACTCACCGGGACATTAAATACCGAACATGGTCGATACTTCATATAACGGGCTCGACGTGCTCCGGTAGAATATCCAAACCCTGGCTTGAGCCATAAGATCGCCATCACTTGCCGGGTACGTGACTTCGTATCCATCTGGGAAAATCCAAGGGTATGCCTTATTTCCATCGATTGCTGGTCTTTTTAAATCCGCCACGACCTCACTAGATTCCATTGTAGTCCAAATTTCTGTTGGGTTGTATCTCTTCACGAACTGTATACATCATGAAGGCTCTTTCCGGTTTACTAGTCGTGCTTTCCAGTCTGCCGATCATCTGGGCACACTGGAATTACGATCGATTGATCGTGAACGGCGCAATCGTAGACACGACACCCTATCAGTACGTTCGTCGCACGGACAACTCCAACACGCCTCTTCAGAATGTGAACTCGACGGACATGCGTTGCAACTCGGGAGCCGACTCGGGTACAGATCTCGGAACGCAGACCTACACCGTCAAAGCCGGAGATGAGCTTGGTTTTGCCGTGAAAGACACGTTCGGCCACCCGGGCCCACAGCAGGTGTACATTTCGAAGGCGCCTGGACTGGCAGCGGAGTACGACGGTAGTGGAGATTGGGCGAAGATCTACACTCTGAGCTACAGCCTCAACAGCTCGTACGGCGCAGTTGATGGCAAGTTGAAGTGGGCCACACACCGAGCGAGGACCTTTAGGTTCAAGCTGCCGGAATCGACTCCACCAGGCGAGTACCTTCTACGCTCTGAAGGGCTCGCACTTCATGCTGCCCACAAGCCTGATAAGTCACAATTTTACATTGCTTGTAAGTAGATTGCATCAGATAAAAGTTTCTGGCGTGGGAGAACGAACACAGACGATAGACTGATACACTCCACTAGGCGCACAAATCAAAGTTGAGGGCACTGGTGACGGGACTCCAGGTCCAACCATCAAGTTCCCAGGCGGATATCAATGGAATTCTACAGGTGTTTTGATACCCCAGTTCTGGAGTCTAATCGAGAATTACACTTCTGCTGGTCCGCCTCTGTGGCCCGAAGGGACAAAGGAGGAACACGTACTTGTAGGAACTGTGAAAACGTCGGATGATTGAAGGGTAAATCGCAGCGTCCGAGATGTTCTTCAGCGGTGAATAGTAATATCGAGAGTGAGTATCCATAAACTAGTTTGATGGTATCGCTCAAATTGGATTCATCGTATTGACCTGGTGTGGAAGCCAATGAATAAGATAGATCATGAAATATTTTCACTATTGTACCGTTCCACTGTTTTTAAGATTCGTCGTGTATAACCTTGGTGTCTTGTTCTTCAAAGTGAGCAATACTCCGTATCTGTTAAATGCGCTCAATTGACATTGACGTCTCGTTACGTTCAACATTCAACACGGCTATTACGGTCCATCAGAAAGCGCCACCAGCGCACTAATTAGAAATGCTTCGGCTGGTCTTTACTCAATTTGGAAAGTTGTTTTCGGTCTAATTGTCCCCCTTCTTCTCCTCTTTCCTCCGCATTTACCATGACAGTCCATGTGCTTATACAACCGTCTACTTGACCTCGCTACATTTATCGAAGATGCCCGTACAACGCATCTTTACCTAGGTACTTATTGATGACAAGTCAGAAGTGTACTCTACTGTTGTAAATTTCCATTCCCCCCTTTGTCTGCTGTACACACGTGCTCCCCGTACCTGACGATGCACAAGCCTCATGCCATTCATGATCCGCGCGCTAGGACGATTCATGAGATTACACGAGGCTGACATGGGGGGCACGGGGGCTGAAAATAGCGCCGCGCTGTAGCCTGTACCTAGGTCAGGCGAACAATCTGGGCAAAGACTTTTTAACATCTTACCTACAATGACATTGTGGACATCAGGACGCGTGTTCATCATCGTCCTGGAGTATCTGGTAGTCTTTATTTGAGCATGGAGAATGAAGATGGCGCAAGGCCGATCAGGAACCCGGAACAAGCTCATAGACGGCCTGGAGTCGAGCACGGCGCGAGTCAAACCGAAAGAGCTGGAGTCGCGGAAGTCGAGTCCAAATCAGCATCCTTAATCTTCATTAACCACGAGGACAAGCGATTTGTCTTCCCCTTGGACAGTGCCAAAACTTGGGAGGTGAGCTTCAATTTATTCCCTGTGCCAAAGTACAACGCGCTATGCCGCGCATAGAATACGAGATTGAGATACATCATCAATGCCGCTCTAATCTAACGTGTCTCAGTCGTTCAAACTTCTTCTCGCGCAAATATACTCACGTGCAGATCATGATATCAGAGACGCAGTATCGTCAAACAACTTCGATATACTTAACATCGATAATGAGATAATCCTTCCAACAGTTTGGGAAAGCGTCGTCAAATATCACCTGCCTCAAGAGCAGAAACATGGTTCTATTTGTCACACCGTCAAGATAGCGTTTTGGCATTTGTAGGTACCTTGCATCAGCTACTTGATTGATGCAAGCTTACTGAGTTTACAAATATAGAAATTCACAGTCTGTGGAGGATGAGACCAGACCTTATGTGGCTTCACGGCCTGCTGAAGCACCCAAACTACACGATACAGATGCGGAGAGAGAAGCGACATACAGGCCGAGAGGTCGTGTCAATTTGTTTAGAGATCTCCCAGAACGTTTTGGAAGAGCACGATCAGAAGAAAGGTCACGGTCTAGGAAGTCGCTGGGGATAAGAAGAGTACCTTCCACCTCTGATGATATCGACATTCGGCGTGAGATTCGACATGACCGCCGACGAAGCCGTTCGGTCTCTCCAACTCCAAGATACATATATCGGGAGTCCGATGACGAAGGCAACAGTGGTAGCGGTGACGAAGACGAAGACGAAGAGTCTTCTACTGATGACTCCAGCACCGATCTCAACAATGCTCCTCGACGTACACAACTGCCACCTCAGCCACGTAATGTTGGAACCTTGTCCGATTGTGATGGAAACAGGTTGATTTGGCTTATCGATACATCCAAAGTCAAGTTCTCTAAAACGACTAGTACTTCAAACGCCACGAGCAGCGGTGCAGAAACATCCAAACGATCTTTTAATATGAAAACCGATAACCTTCGGATCATCAAAGCAGTTCAGTCGTTCTCTGATGCACGAATGGCCATTCAAGTCCATACTCTCCCCGGGCCCGAAAACCCGTCTGTTTCACCAAGCATCAGCATTCGTTGGCATCATCTTTACGCAGAGACTCTGGACTTCGGACAATTTAAGCAAGCCTGTTTGGATTTTCCAGGGTTATGCAGTCGGAAAAAGATCCTTATAGCTGACCTTCTGAAAAAGATCGAGAAAGAAAAAACCAAAGCTGGTGAACAAGGACTATTTATCGAACCTGGAACAGTGCTGCGAGCTGATGAGAAATGTCAACAAGACTCATCGTCTGTCATATTCTCCTGCGTACCGCACTATGACGTGCGCGACCGGACGAAGAATGGGCTAACAAACGCAGACCGTTTGTTTCGCCCATCCAGTCTCATGCAGGCGTATTATCCATACCAGCCTGTAGAAGAAAGAGACTCCGAACAAGCTTTCAGGAAATTCAGAGGCGGTTCCTCACCGCAAATTGTCTATGTTCCCAGCACCTGGATCATGAATATTGACGCTCACGCGGTCGTAACATGTGGGTACAACCCTTTATCTGAAGACTTCGTGAAATCGATTGAAATCGTGGAAGAAGTCATCAAACCCAGCGTGGAGAGCCACGATTCCAAGGGATCCGCTTTGAACTCGATTACGAACATTCGACTTCGGGATTGGGAGGGCCGTGATCTGCTGTTCACTCCTAAAGAATGCGAAAGCTATTTCGAGTTTGAACAAAAGCTTAGGGAGATGAAGTATCCGGTACCTGTGACTGACGTCAAGGACCTTCGTCTCGCCTGTGCTAGTCAAGATAGCCAAAAGGCTGTATTACCCCAAGAGTGGACAGATATTCTGAAGGCACATAAGGGATATTTTCTAGATCTCACAATGCTGGACGAACAAAAAGTGGCAGATAGGAAAGCAGATAACATAGAGCTTGGTAGCAGGAACATCACGAGGATTGGTGAAGATCTAAAGGAAGTACAATCAGACACATTGGGGGTTCTGCCTTTCTTATATTGGCCAAACGGACCCATCACGGCACAAGAGACCTCCACAACCGGCTTTGGATACGACACCACTACAGGCGGAACTGCAGCCCGGCAATCTACATTTATTCCCCCGCACGTAAAACATGCAATGTATTGTCTCGAGCAAGTGGAAAAGACGATGATGGCTGAGATTTTAGGGGAATGGGATGCAGAGTCCCCAGTGGAGAAGTCATTCACCTCTACTAAGTACTACGAAGAGCTTCCAGAGTCAACCGTGGAGGATGTGCGACAAACTCTTATTTCGCTGCTACAACATCGCACTTCTCTTGGGATCGGGTCAAACAACCTTTCATTGCACCAAAAGATCGTCGAAGAGCACTACTCGAAACTCGCCAATTCTGTTGCAACCTTGACAGAGATACTGTATGAAACTTTGAAGCTCTTCACCTCAGATGTCGATAAGAGTACCATGCTCCGAAAGCTGTGGGGATCGGTACAAAAGATGTACTCTGTAGTCCAACGGATTCAGCAACGCTGTACCACTCCGAAAACCAGAACCTCCGGTCAATCTGGTCGTGATGCATATGTGGTTCGCACACAAAGTTCGATTCAGCAAGGCAAATTCGTTCCACTTCCGGATGACGAGGATGTGAAAAATAGTATCAGAAATTGCCGGACCTGCAAAGCACATACCAAATATTCAGATCGGGAAGCTGCAATTAGCCATCTTCACGATCATCTAAAAAGCCAAACAAACCCCAAAGCCAAAACCAATGTCGACGACTGGGTCATTGGCACACAAGAGAAGGAAAACGAGGAGACCAACGCGGGACACCTAGCCATACTGGACACTTCCATCAAGCAGGCTCGCGTGCTTTTGTCAGAACTGCAACAGTTAGTTGGAGGGGTTAAGAATGCTGACAGCCAACTTTCTAAGATTTATACCTTCCCACACGAGCTTCTGAAAAGTCTACACAGAACCAGCGTCTTTTACTTTGCTGCCGAAAGATCTCTATACTTCACAGAGTCAATGAACTCTCGCGGGACCCGAACCCTATCTCGTAGAGACAAACCATACGCAAAAATGGGCCTGAAGGTTATAGAACGGTTTGGTGAAAGCGCCAAATCTTCCATTCTATTAGCTCGTCGAGATCTTTGTAGTATGGCCCGGTCACCAGCCCCTGAACATGTATCGCAACGGCTGTCCCTAGGTCCACTCTATATCTGCAGCTGGTTTATCCGACGCCTTCTCGTGCAGCCCGCGATTGATGGATTGACCGTTGCAGATATATACCGGGATTACATTTCCACTCTGCAGTTTGAAGTCAATCATAGCCCCAGTAAGCGTCTGCTTCGCTCCATCAAGCTCGTGCAAGAAGAGCTTACGGCGCTGCAACGAGTAAACGCTTGGCAGAAGAAGCTCATCCAGTCATACGACAAAGTTCTTAACGATAGGACATATCAATTCGAAATTCTCGAACGAGAAGGAATGTTCCCATACGAGCGTCAGGTTCTGGACTCATGCCTTGATAATTTACAGGATACTCTTGAAGATTACAACGAACTCTACCGTCGCTGCGATCCTATGAGCGAAAGTACGAAACAATGGTCGGAAATCAATGAGGAGAACAACGGCAAAGCCATCATGGTTTTCACCATCGTAACCGTCATTTTCCTTCCTCTCTCTTTCGTGACATCGTACCTTGGCATGAATACCTCGGACATCCGTGACATGGAGAACAAGCAGTCTCTCTTCTGGGAGATATCTCTGCCGCTCACGGTAGTGACGATGGGCGTCATGCTCTTCATAGCCTACAATGGTGAAGAGCTCCGCACCTTGATATCTACTGCGTACCGCCGTCTACTCGGTAAGCCCGACCTAAGACCCGCACCCGGTGGCATCGGCGTCGCGCAGCGCAAACTTGCCCTGAAGTACCGCCCTCAGGCCGGCTCGGATTCGAATCTCGATTACCGTTCTCTAGCAGACGAAGCGGAGTTCTCTCCTACTCCCACCGTATGGGACGACCTGACCCGCAACCAAATCGCCAATTACGAGGACTATACCAAAACCACCGCAGCCACCTCGATGAGATGGGCGCCCCCGCCTCCTCTTCCACCTCCCCTGCCACCTCCACCTGCACTCGAAGTGCCGCCGTATAGAACAGTGGCCCGAGAGGATCCGGATGACCCCGAATGGTTGGACCTACGCGCCCGAGCCGCTCCCGCAGCGATCTACGAAACCCCCCGGCATCAGCGGCGTTACCAGCAGTCGGGCATGGCGGATGACTGGCGAGCGAGACGAGCCCGGACAGAGCTTCAAGACCCCCTGTTGCCAGTTGATACCACTATGCGATACCAACCCGTCGTATTCGACGAGTCACGTGTGATGCACACGACCGCCGCGGCGCAACAGACGAAAGGGTATGACTGGGTGAAGAAGAGGAAGCATAGGAGGCATGTTTATAGGAGGGAGCCCGGTTCGTCGGTGTGAAAAGTGAAATGTTGACTGCTAGGGTGGTAGTGCGGAAGGGAGGTTTTGTGGTCGATTTTCGCGGGAGAAGTTGCTTTAAATGGCGGTGGATGTACTAGGATTTCGGTCCTCCCTTTTTGGCAGGCACAGTACAGACAATGATTTGCATTGACTACAGGATGTTTTTGGTGCGAATATTGGGAAAGCATCGTTTGGCATGTGTTATAAAAATATTCATGTAGCATTAGCACACATAGCACACAGGATATCATTCAAAGCATAGCATAGCAAAGCATTTGTAGCATTTACAACGCCCATCTACACAGTCCTCAGAAACAAATGCTAGGCCGGTTGATATTTAGTGCTGTCATTTATGATGATGATTATTGTTTGGGATTTGCTTTTTTTTTAAGAGACTACTACTCATACATTAAAACTATATGGAATCTCCCTTGTCCCCCTCGAAGAGAAAGAAGAGGAGGAAAAACAAAGTATTACTATTCGGTTCCCAATCCACTTTGATTGGGTTCTCCGATCCAGAAAGGAAAGGGGATATGGACGAAGAGAGGTGCATCATTGCCTTGGTCTGCTTTCAATCCTAACAGTTCCAGCTTTTCAATTTTTCTTCTGAATTCCAAAAAGGTTCGAATTTCCAGTCCGCTTCCGCAAGACCGGAAACCGGGCGAATGAGCCGGGGGGTCCAGCAGAGCCCAGGTGTACGCAATGACAACTCCTCCACACAGTGGGATAAGACAAGACAAATGAGAAAAGAGACAAAGGCCAAGGTGGTATCGATCTTTTGGTATGCCAACAACACCGGCTTTCTCGCTCGCGGAATGGAAACAAAGAGTAAAGGCGAGCGAGGGGGTAATAGTAGCACGGGAGAATGTTCGTTAGGAGTCGTTACAAAGTCATGAGATTGTTGTTGAACGGGAAGGAAATTGAGGATACTTCGAGACAGAGGAGATACACGCTAAGGAAATTGCAGCAAGGTCGACATGGATAATGATGATTATGGCGAAGGCAAGAGTGTTCCGGCACTGGCTTTGGGACCGTAGGGTATAAGGCTGGCGGGTCAATTGGATGTTGGACACCGGCAGTACATGGTAGTGAATATCGAAAAAGGTGTTGTTTGGGATATGATATTACTCGTAGGTTCGATTTGTTGTAACGGTGTGATGTGTCGGCGAAGGGACAAATGAAAGGGGTATGAGCATATACGTGGATCAACAGAGGTAGTCGGTGTAATTGGATGGTGATGTGTCAAGGGGTTATCGGTTGGCGTGCCCAGACCAAGGTGTCTAAGCGGCGGCCGTGCTTTGGCGAAAGCTTCGAGTTCCAATAAAGTGGATCGGGGCTTTAGACCGTCAATCATTTTGAAACCTGTGCCTGTTGGAGAACCGATGCCGGTATTGTTGTTGGGAGCGATTTCTGTTGGCCCATTGTACCAGGAGTAGAATGCGAATTTGGCCCTGAGGGTTACGCATTGCCTGAACTCGATGCTGCCTGCAGCACCCTCTGGTTTTCCGCCTCCCTTCTCTTCACGAGTAGGCTCTTGAAGGCACCTAACCATTTGGCTAAACTGTCCTCATCGCTAGCGCAAAAGCGGAAGTTCTTCTCTTCGGAAATGATCTGCATGCAGTATTTTTTGCTCTTGCTGGCAGGATCAATGTCGACAGCATCGATGATGCTTGAGAATGGGAGGATGAGATTCGCAGAGTACTCCTCTGAATTCTTGTAAAGTCCAAGGGTTTTCTGTCGCAGTACAACCCATACTTTCTTCCATTGGCGGACTCCTCCTTTGGATTTAAGAACATATAGCCACCCGTGATACACAACTCGCTCATCGTCTGGGGTCGCCCCTACGTTGCTGACTTGGCTCGTGTTGCGGTTCTGCTCCATGGGCCGGCGAAGCGAAGTGGAAGAGCGCTGGAAAGGTGGTTGGACGGGACCTCCTGCGGTATCTGAGAAATCGGAAAAGGAGCCATGTTCGTTGCCCGAGTATGCGAGGGTATGCGATGGGCGGCGTGCGCTGTGCATCGTCTCTGGATTTATGGAAGATGAAGGGCGTGGCTCTGCTTCCGAGGAGCTTGAGCCAATGTTTTCCCTGCGTGCGTTCCTGTCGAGACCTGAGAAAGTGGTCTTGTGTACGCCTGGGCTCAGCAAGATGAGTTCCTCCTCATCTGCATCAATGCGTGCTTCTGCCCGTATCAAGTCCACCCATTCCTGTGCATCCTTCTCGGTCGGAGCGCTCAGATGGTAGTTACGCGCGGGCGAAAAGAGTCCAAAAACATGCTGCATCTTCTTCTTCGAATCCTTCTGGCGTGCGACAGCGGTGAGGTCAGATAGGTTGATCTGGTGGCGCAACTTAGTCTCGTCCTTGTCCTTGTATATCGAGAGTAGATTCGGGCGGAGAACGAGGTGAACAGACTTCCATTGCTAGAGATGATTGATTAGTAAATGAACTGGGTTGAACGAGGACGAAGAACTGCGTGGGAGCGAGGGCGCAAACCTACCTTCGTTTTGCGTGTGCGCTTCACGACGGTGCCGGCTTTGACGACACGATCGAACTCGTAGCTACCATTCTGGTTGACGGGAGACATCATGTGGACATGATCTGGTCTAACAGTCTCGAGCTGTGAGGTCGGTGGTTGTATTTTCATGGGACTAGAGCGTGGGTTCATGGCCTGCGAGGGAGGGTTGGTGCGAATGATCTCCGCCATTGTTGGTGTATCGAGCGTGAATGCGGCATGCAAGGCGCAATTGAAGGGAGGGTGAGGTCGTCGGAGAGGTCCACGAAGGTACGAGGAACGCTGGCTAAGTGCTGAGAGCGATGGAGGGAGGTGGAGGAGGCTGGCGACAGCGACGGCGACAGCGACAGCGACAGCGAGGTGGGGAGTGTTGTGTTGTTGTTTAGATGATGTGTATGTGTATGTGGGTAGGGGACCGCGGACGGTGGAAGGTGGGTGGGTATTGTTATGTATGGAGGGAGTACTGCGGGAGTGCTGTGTATATATTATTTTAGCCTGTCCTGCTGCCCTGGTATATCAACAACAGCAACCACAGCGACGACCAACAACAGCAACGACGGCAGGCAAAGACAGGGGCAGCAACGGAGCAGCCACAGGGATAGATGGGCGAAAGCGACGAAACAAGGACCGGGACGATGCGACAGGCGATAGGCAACGGACAAATGCGATGAGACGAAGAGCTGAGTAGAGAGGACTGCGAGTGCGAGATGTGCAGGGCGGGCGGCAGACTCCAGAGTCCAGAGTAAGGGCAGGGGTGGGTTTAGGTGTAGATCACAATCATGAATGGATCTATTGTATCTATTCAAGCGAACGATAGATGGATGGAGGGCATTGCAATAATAAATATTTATGGTAAGAATAATGATAATAATGACAACGGCAATGATCATACACTATAATGAATGGTGTGCATAAGCCTCGATTCACACGTACACCTCTTTACACAATGCAATCGATACCTTTGGTAGGCACTCACGCGCCTTTGACAGGAGCTAGATCTCGAAAGAATTAGTCGGGAGTGGATGTCACCGGCCCACATGATTGATGTCTCGAATGGATGCCAGAGACAGCCTACAGGTGTGGATGAATGGGCATGCGATGGACGTACCACGCAGCTATGAAACAGGTCCAGGCCGAGTCTTGGTTTATTATCTGCAATCCCTACACAGTAGTACAAAGGGAAATATTACCTGTATAGTTCAACATGGAAAATGAATACTTCGTGATCAAATCCATTTTGGGCTATGACGGTGATGACCATGCAAGTAATGTAGGAGGAGTAATTAGTGTATGTTCGTTGTATGACGACGACGGAGGCAACGGGTTTCTGGTGTCTTAGGTAGGCACCTAGTGCTGAGTTCACTCAATGGCTGACGGTAGTTGGATTGGTACGTACACACATTGAATGGAGATATCCACTCGTATCTACTCCGTACTGTGTATGCAATAATTACCCACATGTGTCTTTCAAGTACTTGTATGGCTGTACTTCATGGGAACTATAATTATATTGATGTTTATACGCTTTGTTGCAGAATCAAGAGTTAGTCATCAAGTATCTAGATCTAGATTGGTTACATTGTAGCTGTGTTATTTATGTAATTAATTTAGAGCTACCCAAGGCTGTGTCGAACGCTGTCGTTTCTCCTACTGGCTGGTTGGGCGGTTGGCCCATCTATCATAACGTCCACTACTTCTATAAAGCCCACCAACACCTCAAACCCTCACAATTCTATTTCTGTCTGTTCGCCTGTTTCCAAGATCCCACTTGCAATCTTACTGCTAGGACACCTATTTCTAGTTGCAGAAACGAGCCTTCCTCGATAGCCACTTAAGAGAGACCCCCCTTCAACTCTGCAGGCGCGCGCAAGCGCACCTCACCTGACTTCGTCCCCCCAAAATCCGTTTGCAACAGCTACATAATTTAAATAATATCCAAGTTCCTTCACATACGACCATTGGACTATGAAAACAGGGCTTCCCGTTCGCTCAGCCATACTTAAGCATAGTACCGGCGGACTAGTAGTTGAGTGGGTGACCATCAGCGAATCCCCGCTGTTGTATGTTTTTTGGCAATTTTTTTGCGCCCACGATGTGCAGTGTTCAGCACTGTTTTTTTTACGAATGGCAGGTTGGATTACAGTGGAAGCTGTCCTCAAGACCACCTTTACTCGCGATCGAAGACTGATTTAGAAGATACGATCTGCGGGTCTTAGGGTCATGTTGATCCTTCTCACCACCGCGGCTAGCGGTATGCGATACGTGCCGTCTGGATCGCGATATAAATCAAAACTTTCCAGTATTTGCTGCTGCTGCGACTTCTTATAGAACCTGATGAATTCCTTCAGTTTCGGCAGATCGATTGATCGTTCCCCACTTATCCAGTTACGCGGACTGGAAGATCTTGAAGTGTCTGAGCCAGTGTCGTCGTCGTTGTCGTTGTCGTCGTCTTCTACCTCTTCTCCTTCTTCGTTGTCAGACTCGGCGAATGCGTCGTCAACATTGTAGTTGATAGTGTTCTTAGAAGTGTTTAAACTCGATGAAAAAGCAGATTTGCTGTTGTCATCGGCCCTGTAGCTTGCATTTTCTACGAATCTTCCAGACAGTCCATTAAGTCCCGGTCTCGGAGCTCCTAAGGGCACTTTATCAGGATTATCAGTGTGATTGCCTTCTGTGCTGGCACTGTCGGTACACTGGGCGGCTTCATTACTGCGCGATCGATATCGTCTTCCCCGGTCGTAATCGGCCAATCTCAACTCCTCAAGCGAGAAATCCTGATAAGGAGACAGACAAGTGATGGTCTGGTATAGTGCTGAGTTGTCATCAGTCTCTGTGTACGCCGAGAATGGCGTGCCTGCAGTACCAACGTTGGCACCATGATCACGAGAGACGCTTTGGAGGCTGGCCGATTCGAAGGCAGTCGTCAGATCGCACACGTCTGTGTCCCTGCTAGCTGGCAAAGAGGTGATTTTGCTAGGATTGCCCAGCGCCATGCCAAATGACGGTTTAGAACACTCGGGAGATCCACCTGGAACGCTATTGTTATTGGTACCAGAATCGTCGAATGCTGGCTTGGACGATGACACGCATGCTGTTGCTGGTGACGACCGGAAGCTTGACGCCGATAGTTGTTGCCCTCGTTGCCAAAGGGCGTCATCGATGGCTCCTTTTGGCCCAAAAGGACCATCTCTGGTGCGGACATTGTCTAATTCCGATCCGCTCGTGTCCGATCCGGATCCTCGAGCAACGCATGTGCCAATGATACCGAAGGGTCTTCCAGTCTTGATCGCTATTTGAGTCCCGAAACTAACGCGTGGGTTGAAGAGACCGGCTCGACTACTGGTCGCTCGGCCATATAGCCCAGGAGTTCTTGTTGTGCTCTCAACACTGAAAACATCATCCCCAAGCCCATGGCTGACATCATTCTTGCTGCTCGAGGGTTCTATAGCTTGGCTGCTGTTCCGTGGAGATGTGCCATCAAGACAGCTCGACTGTGTCGCTGTGTCGATCAGTGCAAGCGTGTTGTCCTTCACCGGGGTTATCGGTTCACCGAGAGCTTGAGAAATGATAGGAGTCGCTTGAGAGGGATGCCTTGATGGAGTTGACAAGTTGTTTTCAGCGTCGGTTACTGGATGATGTACTTGGCTCGAAGGATGTTCCAAATCGGCTTGACCACTTGTGCTTAGATTTGCAGAGACTTGTAAGACGGCAGCTTGTAACTTTGGCTTTAATAGTCGTGAGGACCACGTGTGCATGTTTCTGATGATAGCACGCAACGAAGCAACTCCCCATGTCAGTGTTACTGACGTAGACCAGATACAGACCATGCGCTGCCGAGTATTAGCATTAGAATTAAACGTGGATGAGCTGTTCTAACCTGTCTTGAAGATGCAAAGCGCGTCGACTTTTGCTGGTATGCGAGCCAAACCTTGACGACAGGCCCAACACATGTGAAAGCAACAACAGGGGGCGGCTGTAACGGACAGTTGTTATACAGCTTATCGAACAGTTGCGCCTGTATATCAAGGGCTGCAGCTGCAGCATTAGCTGCTTGAGAGTAACATCTGGCAATAGCATCGTCATTAGGAGCTGATACGTCTTTCTTTATTTCAACGATGGCCCAAGGGAAACACGATCGGTCGGAACTCTTCCATCCCGTTCTGGCAGGAGTGTCTAACGATTTTCTGAGGGCTGTTGTTGGAGCGCAAGCCACACCCTGCTCCACGAGCTTTCTGAGTGATTGAAGGGAGAGTGATTGAGTGAGTTCATCTCGTGAAAACCCTCTACACCTCTCTGGTGTTGAAGTCTGAATTGGAAATGCGTAAGTCAAATCTGGCTTAGGCTGCGTCCGATCTGGTGCAAAAAGACTGGGCCTGGCGACATTGCCAAACTCATTCCATCGGACATTTTCGTAGCTGTGCCCAGATGTTAGCTTTGCTGCATTCTTCGGAAAGGAAGGATTAATGTAATTTACAATGACCAAGCGTCTAATGTGGAACTTTCTAAACGTCAGCTTCTAGCCATGAAGACAAAGTATAAACTATGTCAGGTCGAAGAGGTAAAGGAACTTACCTGAAGTTAGGATGCTCGCGTGCCTCGTCACTAAACAGTTTGAATATCTCGCTTCTCCAAAAGAAGGTCCATTCACTCTCCGAGTCCATTAATATTTCTTGTGCACGTTCTGCTATTCGCTCACAGAACCTGAGGTTGTCGTGAGAAGCCGATTGTTGTAGCATACGCTCATGGTGTTTCCCGCGAACGAGAGCAGCACAAGGGGGATGCAGACACCAATCTGGACCAATGTCCACGCTTCCAAATTCGGCGAGCTCTTCGCGCAGGGTGGCATCACAATCTTCTGGTAATATCTTCTCCATACACAACAGCCCATCGCGTACTGCATCGACATGGTCTGGCAGAGAGTGAGTAGCTGACTGGGTGTTCTCATGATTGCCTTGGTAAACATTTGGTTCGTAGTAGATTCCATGGCGCATAAGGTTGTCCCGGCTGATGTCTTTGTCCATAATGAGATCAATATGATTTGGAAATGGCGAAGACGATGTGCTTGATACATACATGCGCGTTGGTCGCCATTTAGTCTCTTTCTACCCCAGGCCTGGCGAATCCCGCTACATGGCCAGTGCTGCGGCGAGGCCAAAGGTGCATGCTTTGTATCAGATGAACTGAGGCTGAACCTCAAAAAGGTTATACTTTGAATATGAAGATACTGCATATCAGTCGAGCTTGACGCCCTCGCGTTTCGCTGAACGGAAACACGGCAAATTGCGCACCGTGCGCTCCTACAGGATCAGCCATATGGTTCTTTCGTACCTTGTCGTCCTTCAAGTGTTTCATCATTCAAGTGTTTCAAAGCAAGCCATCTTGCTCACCATGATGGATGAGGCAGGTCAGAATGAACACGACTGCTCGAGTGTCGTTGATATCATCTCATTTGAAGAAGATCGGCCCCCGCATCCTCGAGTGCCTGCCTAACCACTAACCTCAATCTGCTTATTACAGTCTCTGAAGTCTGAATACGCAGAGAATAAGTTGCATCTGATGAATAATCCCCATGAAACGGTCCTGTCCTGTCACAAATTGGCTCGGCGGCTGGCTCCCGAACTCAATGGGGTGGTGACAAGAAGCAGTTTTTCGGATGGGTTAGCCGACTCTTCACAGCAATCTGGATCTACAGGGCAAGTGCTCGCTTCAACACAAGGGGATAGAAGTTGCAGGGTTCCTTCGAAGAATTTTGTGACTTTAAGCAGGCATATCTAGGTGTCGCATGTCTCATGAGGCTCGGTGAGCCCTGGAGAGCTGCGGAAACGACAGGCTCAGGGCGGCCAATTGCTCCAGCTTGCAACGAAGCTCTACAAGCAGCAGCAAAAGGTGATTATATCCAATTGGAAAAGAGGATCCTTCAAGGAAAAGTTGACGCGAATGCAGTGGATCCCAAACTCCCCAGGACGGCTGCGATAGAATTAGCATAATGCACCTTACAGAATCCAGTCTCATAGCTCTAAAGGGCTCCTTATTGTTCTTAGTAGGAATCTAATAGAGTGATTACTATTACAAGTAGAGTACAGTTAATATTAACCCATACTGTAGAGACAGGTAGAAGGAATTATTACTACCTGTAGGTAGATATGTATGTGCAAGCTCCTTTTGAGGCTGTTTACAACTTTCGAACTATTTTGTATAGGTATATATCGTTCAGGCCCTAGTATTTTCATCAATTTAAATACTATAACCTTTAATATGTATAGCCAAGTATAACTTAGGCCAGGTATCTACAGTTAATTTTCTACTATAACTATGTCCCCAAGTATGCTTTATAAAGTTGTGAACCATGTCTGTCCCATTCAAAAGTGTCACAGTCCTTGATTACACCAGCCGAGATTGAGACCACAATATCCCTTTATAGAACTCCCCATATCAATGTCTAGAGCACTAACAGAAGGATTCGAAACTGAAACATATGACGGATTGGCGGTGCAATTTATGGACTGTTTAGAAGTAAACAGAGCAGTTGTGGATTGACTCAAACAAAACCTGAAATGAATAAATACAATCAGTCAACCATAGTAGAAATGCAATGGTACAGTAGAAAGACAAGGTGTATTGTATGAGAGTTTGGTATAGTGCAGCTAGAAAGTCGTCAAGCGTAAACTGGTGTCCAGCCGAAAATGGAAAAGAAAAATGATAATACAAGAAAACCCATCTATCCATCGTCTAGTTCAAGCTCATCTTCCAGTTATTTCCCCCCGTCATACCGTAACTCCCACTGACCGTCTTCTCGTCCTTGACCTCCGCACAATTCGTCTCCTGCACCTTCGGCTTGGCCTTCGCCCTCGCCGCCTCCGCACTCCTAACCTCGCCGGCGATCCTCTCCACGATCCTCTTCAACGCGGGTGGATTCGCGCCCTTGATGGTGTCGATGGGCTTGCCGTCCTTGAACACGATGAACGTGGGGATGCTCTGGATGGCGTAGGGCCGGGCGACCTCCTGCTGCTCGTCGACGTTGATCTTCACGAAGGCGAGTTTGCCGGGGATGCTGTTGGCTGCGGAGAGGGTTTCGTAGATGGGCGCGATCTGCTTGCAGGGCGGGCACCATGTTGCGTAGAAGTCGGCGACGAGGTACTCGTGGCCTGTGAGGAGGGTGCGGAAGTGTAGTTGGGAGGAGATTTCCGAGGGCATGGTTGCGCGATGTGTTCTTTTTGGTTTTTGGTCTTTGGGATTGAGAGATTTGAGGTTGTGGGGATGACAGTTAGACTGATTCGGTGGTTTTGTAGTTGTGCCTTTAGTTCGGTATTTCTTAGTCCGTAAGGTCGTGGCAATTGGATCTTTATGAACCTTGAGTTATGTCTGGGTGATTGATGTAATTTGTTGATAGTAAAATAAGTATCTTCAAGACAATGCAGCCCTTCAGCCTTCCTTATATACAAGACCCAAAACTCCCCGCGCCTTTTGACAAAAAAACGAATAACTAATTAATGGCGCCATCGTGGAATCTTCCACGCGCTACTGTGCTGTACTGTACTCTACCGCACCTGTAATCTACCCCCAACTAACCCTTTGGTCTCGGCCGGCTTGCGTTTGTCATCTGCCCTACCAGCGGCCTACCGTAGTCACATAACCACATAACCGCACCTTTTCTAATACTCGTAAAGTAAAAAACTGGAATTACGAGGTCGCAGCACCGCCACGCTTACCGATGGATTGTAATGTGTACTCGTGCTGAAAATTAGGGCTAGGTCTCGGGCCTTTTTGGAGTGTATTTGATTTGCATTTCTCAACATTGGATAATCGATTAAGCAAGCGGACAGGCCAATTGGGGCTAAGATGTTCACGCGACGGGTACATACATGACATCATTCCACGTGGTTTCGAGTGTCGTGTCGTGTGGGTTTCTCCGCGTTTGTGGTATGTCTAGTACGAGTACAATACACGCATGTCGTCATAGTCAATGTTTATACGAACTGAAGTCGTTCATTGTGCGAATTCCTTAGGCTGTGTGGGGTGGGGTAGTTCCCATCCGCACTTGTTCGAGGACCCTGAAAATCGCTCTTGTTACACCAAAACGTTTTTCCCCACTGTCCATCTGTCAGGCTCTAGAAACAGAATAAAAACCAGAGAATGAATTGAATTAGTACATGAGCAAAATCACACATGCAGTGGACTGAATGCTTCACGAGATTATCATTAGGAAAGGGGTCTTTTCTGTGTCATAGACTGCATCATCATCATTTTATTACCACTATTACAACCGACTTTTGATTTTGATTGGTATCGTACAGCATTGACATGATCCTCACCACCACCACCATTACCACCTCACGTATGTATCATCTTCCCGACTTTCTCTCAGACCCCTCGACAATCATCCCGCACCTCGCGCAGAACGTACCCACGACGAGGTTCCCGCCCGACCCCTTGATTGGCTTCGTCTTGAACTCCACATTCCCGCAGTGCTCGCAGTGCAACTCGCGGCCGTGCCCTTCCTCGTTCTCGCTGTTCTCGGCGCTGAGCTCGCTGCTGAGCTGGCTGACGACGCTCGCTCGGGCCGTAAGTTCCGGTCGCTGGTCGGCGGCGTCGGAGGGGGAGAGCTTTCCAGCGGCGGCTCGCTGGCGCATCATGCCGTTGTTGTTCCAGAAGGCCCAGGATTGGCCATTGAAGATCTGGAGCGGGTTGGAGAGCGTTTCTTGGCGGTTGAGGTCGATGGGTTTGACGGGGTCGAAGTGCGTGGCCGTGGCGGATAGGGGAGTTGTGGGTGATTGGAGGGCGTTGTCGTGTTCGTTGTCGTTGAGGATTACTTGCGGTGGTGGTGCGTGTGCTGTGCGATCGATTGATCCAGATGTTTTGGGTGACTCCGAAGAGCCGTCTCCTTTTGATGCCCCTAGTGCTGGTGACTCGTGAGGCCGTGTCTGCGATGAGATGCTCATACGGTGGGATTTACGTGGTGATACGCTTCGATGGTGGCTTCTTCGTGGGGTACCGATGGACATGGCGTCGAAACTACCGTGAGAGATATCTTGCCGCCACGACATGATCCGGTCATTTGGTGGTTGTGTAGTGATGCTGTCTCTTCGTGATCGACCTGTTCGGTGTGATAGGATGCTGCTTGGTCGCAGCGAATTCGCCTTCTTCGAGAAGACAGATGCATTGTCCCAGTTCTCAATGGAGCGTAGTCTCTTGTGGTATGCACAGTCTTGCCGGAATACCTTCAGAGCACCTGTGTAGTCTGCTGTGACGATGATATTACCATCTAAATGAGCAGATCGTGCAAGGTAGGCTGGGCTCTCGGCCGCTCGTTTGAACGTGTCAGTCTGAGCAGACAATGGTGGCTGCGCCGAATCGACTTCGGTTGGCGCTTTGGACGAATACACCGACGTGGTCTTGGAGATAAGAGTGACGGGTGGAGGGTTGCAAAGGTCGAAGATAGGGTCCTCGGATGCGCTGAGGAGCTGCCTCGTCTTCAGCGGCGCCATCGTAGCACATGTAGTGATCGAATTGTGTGCTTCGAACATCTCCACCGGACGCTGATTCTTCTTCTCGCCCTCTGGTAAACTCGTCGACCAAATGTACGCCTTGCGATCCTCGCTGCCGCAAATGATATGGCCTGTATCATCCGCGACGCGTGCCTTAATCTGACTACAGTTATTCTCGTGGCCACGGAATTTCATCTCCAAGGCCTTGTCTCGAAGATTGTAGAGTCGCAAACGTGAGTCGTTGCTCGAAATCAATAGCTTCACCTCCCCCTTCTCCTTTCCGGGAGGCCAATGCAGAGCTTGTATCCCGGTGATCTTGCTTCCTTTTGCATTCTGTCCTCGTGTCGACTTAACATGCATTTGCGCTTGGAACTTCAATCCCTCTGTATCGTAGAACATACAGATGCCCCCGAGCGTGCCGGCGATGCAGGTCTTTCCGTCGGGAGTAAAGGCCACAGAGGTGACCATATCATTGCACTGCGTCCAGAATGCTACACTCTTGTCGGGAATGCTCCATAATCGCAATTTGGTATCCAACGAACCGGCTAGAAAGAACCTGTCGTCCCGGGGATGGAATTGGACCGAGGGAACGAAATCGGCGTGTTTGAAGGTACACAGATTCTCGTTCCGTGAAGTGTGCCACAGTCGTACTGTCTTGTCCATGGAGGAGGATAACAAGAAATTGTTCTGCGGATGATCAGCTCAATTTGTCCATCCATCACATAAATCCCAAACTGTCAACTCACCTTGCTCCAACTCAGGTCCAAAATGGCACCCGCATGGCCCTGATATTCTCTGAACGTTTTCTGCTGGAAGACCGGGGTACTCAGATGCGTGGAAGCATCCGACGTAGATCCACCAGACTCGTCGTTCTCATGGGCCCTCCTTTCCTCCGCCGTCGCAATCACGGCCCACACGCGGACGATTCGATCCTGGCCGCCAGCGGCAAGATACTTCCCATCCTTGCTGAACTCCACCGCCCAAATCGGATTGCTCTTCGCGGCGGCCCCAGACTGCGGTGCAGGATTGGCTCCGGCCTCTGGCGGCGCTTTCTTGTCCGCGCCTGCTCTCAATTCTTGCGCGAGGAACAGCCTGTCGAACTCTTTCTGTTTCTTGAACTTGGACCTCACCTTGATATACGTCGGAGGCTGCTGGTGCTTGGGACGGAAACCCACGTTGTCGACCGTATGGCTGAATAGCTGGGCGTCCATGCCTTCTTGCCTGGGCTCGCCGATCTCAGATGCATCCTCGCCAACGCCGTCGTCAGTCCCTTTTCTCTTGTTGACGCCAATGAAGCGACTGAGGAACGATACGCCCTTCCTAAACAGCAAATCAGCAAAATCAAACTAAAGAACCCCCATCAACAAGACAGAGTCAGCCTCGGCAGAATTTAAACTCCGCCACGCAAGTAGTAGCATAACGTGACGACGCATGCACCACCGCACAGTTGAGGGCGTATCTATACGCAGGCCAACCAACCATACGCAGACATATACGGTGGGGAAGGGAGCACCACCGCCCACTCGCTGCTACACACCGGTGCCGTACATGCTGCGTATACGGTGACCCCGACCTCGCGTATAATACGCTTTGGATTCGCGCTAAACGACCACCCCCCGGCGGTGCTCCCCCAAAACACAACAAATCAGAGACTGAGGAAATTGAAACTCGTTCCACTCACTTCTTCTCGTTCTTATCCTTCGATCCGCCATCTCTGTCCCTCGCCGAATCTGGCGGGTGTTTCGAGTCCGAGGGTCTCGAGCCGTCGTTTGGAGACGCGGTGGGCGATTGGCCCGACGCAGCAGCGGCAGCAGCAGCTGCTGCGTTATCCGCCTGGATGCGCAGCTTTTGCGCCGTGAGAGACGTATTCGTACGTTGCAGGATTTGCTATACGCCGGGCGAAGAACCCATACTTGTCAGATTATAGATTACCCCATGTGATGCATTCTTCTTTTGTCTTTTTACCAATTGAGAGAGTGAGAGAGAAAAAGGAAAATAACCTAGACACACACAACGCAACGACTGTTTATGTCTGCCTTGCGTGGCCGGCGGGGGGCTTGCCTGGTTTTGGTACATACTTGCGAGAGCGGATCCATCGTATTTTGAGTCTGCAACTCATCGTCCCCATAATTACTGCTGCCTCCTGCACCGCCATTCGGCTGTAGCTGCTGCTGTTGCTCGGGGCTCGCATTGTTATTGCTCAGGTTCGTCGCGGAGTAGGATGACGAGGTCGTGGAGATGGGGCTTCGTAGCTTGGCCGCAAGCTTCCCGCTATTCGACGTCGATTGTTGTAGTCCTAAAACATCTAATCGTCAATCACAACCAAATCCATATATCACCACGCAAGTCCCCTCCCTTCTCCTTCCTCATCCAAACAACACACACAACGCGAGAGCAAGAAAGAAAAACGGTCCCAACATACCCTCACTCTTCGCACTCTTCCCCGTATCCAGCCTTTCCAACGACCGCGCAGCGTCCCTGCTACCTGCTCCTGCTGCTGTGTCCGTCGTCACCCGTATACTGGGCATAACCTGCGCCGCCATGCCCCCGTGGTCATGTGGTGATCGCGCGTGTGAAGTGTGTGTATGTGTATGATTGGCCGTGTGTCGCCGTCGTGTGTCTTATAAGACTAGGTAACTTATGAATGTGTCGGGGAATGATATGAAATCGAGTGCGCTGCGCGCGTGCGCGAGAGAGCAGGTCGGAAACCAAATCAAGTCAATTCGATCGATTCGTCCAATTCATTCGATTCGCGGGAGGGAGGTTCGTCTCTTCGTCTCGTCGGTGAAGGATAAGGTCGACCGTTCGCGGCGCACCCACGCGCAACGCAGGGTCGCACGAGAGCGAGAGTAGAGAGCTGGTGGTACAGAAAACGCAGTCTTCCCCCACTCCAACGGGTAATTTCCTCCTCCGTCTTTTTATCCAGATAATCGCAATGATAAGATAAACGGTAATCCAAGGTCGGTAGGTACTGGTTGCGGTGTTATCGTCGCTGTCGCTGTTTCGTTGCGGTGTGAGCGAGTGAGTGTGAGTTACGGGATTCCGCGGAAGGTCTGGACTGCGCTGCAACCGCACTTTTTTGTTATGGGGAAGTTTTTATCGATAAGTTTCCAGAAGAGGCGATAAGCCACCTATTTCTCTCTCTTCGATGTCTCTCGCTCGGAATTATCGTTGAGGTGAGGAAGAGTGGTGCATCAATAATGTCATCATTATTGCTTCCAATCCCAACGCCCTGCCCTCCAGTAATACCGAAATCAGCAAAGGCCAATAGTGTACATAATTGCCATGTAAGCAGGAGAGAAGCCCCGGACATTAGGATTCTGGAAATCCCCCAAACCAAACAAAATAACCAGGGACCCAGTACCCAGTAGTAAGGGATTCTCCGATCGTCCGTCGTCCGTCACAAGCTCGTCATCGACGTCATCCATCCACTACCATACGGATCCAACGATCCACCCCATCCTCCGCCTAATAAACTCACACGAGCAGAAAATAAAATGTTCCCCATAACGATAGGAATACCCCGATGTTTCAAGAGCAAAACACCATAGGAACAGGATGTCAGCCTCCCGCTCCACCCGATAAAATAAAAGATCTTACCGGCGCAGGTTGTTCGAGAAAAGTTTGAAATTTTTTCTTCCTATTGAGAAATAGATGCCATTTTAGGCAACAATGTCGTGCAACTTGAGGCTCTTCCTGCATGTGCTGGCTCGGTCGCATTGTCGGCTGCTTGGTCGAAAGGCTTGTCTCTACCACTTGTGGAGGGCCCATCGACGTATAGGGTGGTACAATTTCTCAAAAGATATCTCAATAAGTAGCGTTACACTTGATATTCCTCGTTTCCAGTGAAACGCCTCGAGTCTATCACTCGCGATGGAAGCCTCCTGGCGAGAGCATGCAATCATCTAGAGACTTCACCATCAGGAGCCCACACTCACAGGATCACAAAGCTAAAGAGTTGGTAGTTGAAGAGTAGATAGATATATTCATTATGCTATGGAAACCGTTGACACATACCACCGCCGCTGTGCGACACATTCGTCCTATCCCAACCCGTCCCAGTCCATTCCATCCATCCAACCGTCCATCCATTTCGCTCGCCCCGGTGACAAGTGGAAATGCCTGTTTTAACGCCAAAGTATCCAAAGTGACATACATATTTTAGAGAGAAGAGGTATCAAAAAAGAGGAGTAGGCAGCAAAAAAAGAGTTGAGTGGTTAACCCCAACTCGACCGACAATGCCATGCCCATGCCATGTCAGACTCCGGCAATGCAAAAAAGTAAATAGTGAAAATGAAAATGCGCGACCAGTAAAAGGGAAAAGCACATTGGCCTGCCCTGCTCTGCCCTGTACCGACGGGATATATAAGAATAAAGGAATTCAAACAAAGACGATGACACGTCTAGAAGTCCTCGTCGAAGCAGAAATCGCCAGACTTGTTGGCCTCCTCGCCAGGAGAGGTGGCACCCTCCTCAGCCTTCTTGGTGCTGGCCATGACACCGGCCTTCTGGTAGTCACCGACACGCTTCTCGAAGAAGTTGGTCTTGCCGGCGAGGGAGATGTTCTCCATGAAGTCGAAGGGGTTGGTGGCGTTGTAGTACTTGGGGTTGCCGAGAGACAACAACAGACGGTCAGCAACGAACTCAATGTACTGGCACATGAGGTTGGCGTTCATGCCGAGGAGGGCGCAGGGGAGAGCCTCAGTCAAGAACTCCTGCTCAATGGCGACAGCCTCAGTGATGATGGCCTCAACGGCCTTCTTGTCGGGGCGGTTGTTGAGGAGAGAGAACAAGAGGCAGGCAAAGTCAGTGTGCATACCCTCGTCACGAGAGATGAGCTCGTTGGAGAAGGTAAGACCAGGCATGAGTCCACGCTTCTTCAACCAGAAGATGGAGGCGAAGGAACCACTGAAGAAGATACCCTCGACAGCAGCGAAAGCAATGAGACGGTTGGCGAAGGTGGAGTTCTTGTCAGAGATCCACCTCAATGCCCAGTCGGCCTTCTTGCGGATGCATGGGACTAATCGACGTGTTAGCAATGAGAACAGCTAAGAGTCATACTAATTCGGTCAACTTACTGTTGTCAATGGCGTTGAAGAGGTACTGGCGCTGCTTGGGCTCGCTGATGTATGTGTCGATCAAGAGAGAGTAAGTCTCGGAGTGGATGTTCTCCATCATGATCTGGAAACCGTAGAAGCATCGCGCCTCGGGGATCTGAACCTCTCCGCTGAATCGCTCGACCAAGTTCTCGTTGACGATACCATCGGAGGCGGCGAAAAAGGCAAGGACGTGGGAGATGAAGAAGCGCTCGTCATCGTTGAGACGCTTGTTCCAGTCGTGAAGATCCTTGGAGAGATCAATCTCCTCGGCGGTCCAGAAAGAGGCCTCAGCCTTCTTGTACATTTGCCAGACCTATGACGATATACATGTCAGTGTTCGTTCATCCTCACGCGTGGTCACGTTTTGTAGAGCTGTCGGACGGGTATGACGCGTCGACTTACATCATGGTACTTGATGGGGAAGAGCACGAAGCGGTGGGGGTTCTCTTGAAGGAGGGGCTCGTCGGCCTCCTCGGGTCTGATTGTGGATGCGGTGGTGGGCTTCTTGTCGGTGACCTCCTCGACATCATCCAGATCTGGGATGCCGACGATGGGCCTGTAGACGTTCTCCTTGTCTTCCGACGCGAAGTTGAGCTTCTTTGCTGGCGAGTCTGACATCTTGAGTGTCTCAATGGCGGAAGCAGCCTATACAATGTTAGTACAGACGCGAAAAAGTGTACCCATTGGGTGGTACTTTGGGAGTCACCCGTGGCGAACAAACCTTTTTAGAGGGAGTGAGTTGAATTGCAGACATTGTTTCTGTGTGGATGTGTGAGGTATGAAAAAGGCGTGCACTTTGTTCGATAGACTGCTGCTCGAGTAGAAGAACAATTGGCAAATATACACAGAGAGTAGAGGGCAAAAGTGGTGAAGATGGTGTTTGTGATGTGAGAAGTATCGTGGAGACGCGTTCCATTCTTTAAATGCGCATGACCACGTGACTTGGCGAACGGGCGTTGCTGCTAGCGGGGCCCGAGTAGAAGCTATGACGTTCTGCACTTCGAGAACCACCTTTTCCCACGAAACCTCGACACCACCGCATCCCCCTACAAAATCTTCGAATCGTCACGTATGGAGATTATACAATTCGCTCCGGGCTCTTCAATGATACCAATATTTTGCTTTCTTTTCTCCATTGTAGGCCTTCCAGAGCAGTTGTGAAGGTATCCCCAACCACTCAACGCGACATGCAAACAGTCCGTGCAGGGAGACGCGACCTGCCTCGTCGCGCTCCCATTTGACACACAAAGACCCACCCACAACATCCAACAAGGAGAAAAGCCCCAAGACCCAGCCCGATCAATCCGCATGCAATACTCCATACAGCCGCCATCCATGATCCCATTCCCCACGCCTACGCAAGTAATCCGGCCGCTCCAGCAAGTCAGAAACGCCCCCCAGCGCCGTCGCGGCTGATCCAGCTCGTGCTCGGTCGTCGTAAAGGAACCCACTCTTGATTGACAATTGCTTGGGAATCAGCCTATCTTCCTTGTCAATCAGAGAAAAAAAACGCGTCCGGCGCGTCAAGCAGTCAAACATCAAGTGGCCTGGCTGGGTTTCGATCTGATTAGATCAAATCTTCTTTCCCTTCGCCCCCCCTCCATGCCAGTAGTTAATAGTCTATGCTTGCCTTGAATATCTAAAGGGGGAATTGGGTTGCTCGTTCCACTATTAGCTTGCATTATTCTCTTCGTCACACAAAACATGCAAGGCACAGCTCTGTGCATAAGGTCTTATGCTTATCATACATACATAGTAGGTCCCTGCTTCTGTTTTATTTCGGGTTGGTGGGTGGAACGGTGGCGGGTGAGCACGCGCGTGTTGGTTTGTCCTTGTTACCGCGGCGCGGCCGGTGTATCAAAACATCCCACCTTCACGCTTTCGTAGCCTCGTTTCGACTCGCGTCGTCCGTGGTGACTTTGTTCCTTGTCGTTACTTGGTTGAAAGGGTAAATTGGTGATCAGGATGGCAATTATGGACCGTCTTTCTTTCAATGCCTGTGTATCCTCTCCATTCGTTTGTGATACATTGATTGATTGGGTGACTGGTTATGGTGAGATTATGAGCATCCACCCACGCCCCTCCCATGCGTCTATCTCAAAACTTTAATACTTTTCTCCTTGTCTCCTTCGTTTCTTTTCTTCCTCCATCTGCACGCACACACACGCCTGGAAATGCACGGCATAACTGACTAGATAATACTGAATGCTATCCAAAAGGAGAATGAAAACGCCCATCCATGCATGCTGCTGTCTTTTCGTCTATCCGAACCGAAATGCACTGACTGTCTGTGACCGACCCCACCGCCCCAAAACAAAGATCCACCCCCGTTGCTGGGGGCAATGAGGGGAGTATTGTTGATGAAGAGGGGAAACGGAAGCCCTTTTTCTTATAGTCCTGCCAAATAGTCTGGCACCATGGTGAATTTGCCCTTGATACGTCCCAAGGATGCGCCTTCGCCTCCGTCTTCGGGAACCACGCGCTCCTCCTCCGGCACGATGGTGATGGAAGATAGTTCCTCGAAGAAATGGGTGATTCGCCCGGGATTCAGCTCGAATGTCGTGCCGCCCCAGGTTGACGATGCGAGGCCAGACGCGTGCAGTCGGATCGTGCCCACCACGCCGGAATGCTCGAACATTGACTTCTCTTCCTCCTTGGCCGGATCCGCCTTGATCGTCGATGATGATGCCTTTCTGGCCGCCGCGGTGGTCTTGGTCGTTGCGGGCTCTGGCTCCACAACGATCGGCTCTGGTTTGAAGCCAAAGGGCAATACGTCTGGGGTGGTTGGTGGGAATTGGAAGATATACGGATTGTTGTCTCGAACGCTCAGCTTTGGCTCGGCGGGTTTGTCTCCATCTTGCATCGCGACATCCCCGTTCGCATCGACTTCTGTAGCCGTATTCTTCTCTGGGCCAAGTTCTGCCAATAAACCTTCGCGATCCAGGAGGTAACGGTGCCATTCTTGAGCGTCCTCCTTGGTCTGGATGATGGGTTTCTTCAAAGCTTTCCTCTTGATCTTGGGTCGCTTCTTCGCGTCCACCTTGTCCACAGGCTGCTTGCCAGCCGCCTTGTCTGATGGATCTGAGAGGCCCGCTGGTACAGCATCTGGCATGTCCTCGTCGTCGCTTATGGGTTCTGACTTGATTTGCGGCGAAGACTCGTCATTGTCCTGCCACATGCCCTTGTACGGTTTGCGAACCTCCGTGATCTCTACGTCCTTGCTCTTTGCCTTGCCCTTGCGATGAGCGGCCTCTCCTGGCTCCAACTTCACCCCCGCCGTCCCCGATGCGTGAGACTGCCGTCGCGCTTCAGCAGCAGCTTCGAGGCCGAGCCCCTCCTCGTCCTTCTTACTATCCGGCTCGTTGTGATCCTTTCGCGAGATACGGACGGGGAGTCCGGAGATGGTGTGGCCGAGCTGTGATCGTGACTTGCGCTCGGATGAACCTTGACCCTCCTCGTCCGAGGATATCTCGATAAGCATCTGATCGATATCCCTCCTGGGAATGTTGGCATCCTCGTCATCGTCCGAGGACCCATCGTCGCCATGTTCACCACCACCACCACCGCCGCCGCCTCCTCCGCCGCCCGATCCACCTGAGCGCCCACCCTCACCATCTTCTCGCTTGACGCGTGTTGCTCGTGAGCCGGATGCGAAGTCGCGAGCCGATTTTCTCCTGTCTGTTCTCCATATTAGCCACCAGCGCATCCCATGCAGAACCTTCCCAGTGCTCAATCACTCACCCTGCGCAACACTCCCAAGTGAAAACGGCCCACTGGGAACTCCACTGAACCCTCCTCGTCCCGGCCTGTTCGCATTGAACTTCCTCCGGTTCTGCTCGTCGTGCCTCTTCTCCCGCTCTTTGATCTTCTTCTCGTCCTCCACCTCCTTAAGGCGTGCCTTGTCGCGATCCTTGCCCACCTTCTCCAGCGCTTCTCGCTCCGTCTTGCTGCGGCGGCCGGTGAAGGTCGGGTTGAAACTGGGTTTCTTCCCGCGGGTGCTACCCCGCCGCGCGGGCGAGGCGGATCGCGACGAAGGCGTCGACGTTCGGAGCGAATCGAGGCGGGAGTCGGTGGGTCCTGAACCTCCTTCAATGGTCGCGGAAACTCCAGATTGGCCGGCGGAGGAGCCTTCCTGAGCTTCGTTCGCCGCGGCGGCCGCATTGCTGGTTCCGTCGAGTGCTTCAGTCTTCACTTCTGGTGGGGCGGTCGCAGTCGCATCTCCTGCTGCTGCGGAGGATGCTGCAACGGCTGAACCTCCTCGGGATGTGCCCCTTCCACGGCCACCCCGTCCCCTGGCTTTTGGTGGCATGGTGGCGCAGATGTGTGTGAGCTCGAAACTTTTGTGTTGGTATGCTGTGAGTGTTGTATCAGTGCGAGTGAGTTGAGAAAAATGATATCGATAGCGGCTAAACTTCGGCGGGTTGTGGGGGAAGGAGCTATGGGTGAGCTACGGCGATGCACGTAATTGTAAGCAACAGTTTCACTGAAGTACATTTCACCGAAGAACAGTTCACTGAAGTCTGAGGTGCGCGTGCTTATTTCGCATCGTGATCGTTTCCCATTCAAAATTGAAACTAGACGTTTAGGAGACTCGAACAACCCACCGATCCAACAATCCCTACCGCATCATAGCTCGATTTCAATCTCACAAAGCTGTTCCCGAAAGTAAAAGTGGTGGTAATGCTGCCTATAGAAAGTCCTGGCTCCAGCCCATGCTACGCTAGAAATAATATAACATAAAGTCCTGCTCCAAAGAACGCCGAGTTCCAGCAGATCATGCATTGCATTGCATGACCACACAAACGGTTATGGTAGAAGTAAAAGGCATTAGTTGAACAGCAAAGGGAAGTAAGAAAGCGAATTATCCGGAAACGGTGGGTATAATGGTGAGTCTCTCGATCTAGCCGTCAATGAGGGTCTTTGTTGGTGTCTTTCCCAATATCTCAAGGCATCGGCGAGCGAGATTGACGACCTCGCCTTCGCCGTCCTCGTTATCTTCGTCGTCCGATTCAACGTTTCGTTCGGCGATGTCGGTGACCATGCGGACGATGTCGTTAGATTTGGCGATGCGTTCCAGTAGTTCAGAGTCCTCGGATTCGAGTAGTTGTAGCAGAGTCCAGATGGCGATGTGCTGGAAAGTAGGGTCTCCGCTCGCTAGGAAACGACGGAGATATCCGTGGATTCCCCCGGCTGGCTCAGTCCAGTTCTGTATGAAGATGGTGTAGTCGCCAACTATTGATAGTTAATATATATTCTCTATGAAGGGAGGTTAAAAACGTACCTTTAGACGAGAGGTTTCCTAGCGCTGCGGCGCTGTTGCCCTGAACCTCGATGCTATCCGACTCCGTGAGCGGGATGAGGACATCGAAAACTCCAAGGTTGAGAAGATGTGGTTTCAACTCGTCACTCAGAGCAAGAACTGCAATGGCGGCTGTCATCTCTGACTGTACGGGAAGGCGGACGTTGAGCACCAGCTGCTTGCACTTCTGCACAGCACCAGCCTCCAATACAAGTTGCTTGTTCTTGTCCGAGCTGGCCGCCAAATTCCGTAGAGTGGAAATGGCATGGCACTGGATCTCATCGTTGTCGGTCGATCCAAGTAGGTCCACGAGAGGACGGAGGAATCCAGCGTCGATGATGGGAGATTCGTTTGCGGGATGTATGGAAATGTTTCGTATGCATGCTACGGCGGAGAGAATAAGAGGGAGGTAGGAAGATTGTAAAAGTCGGAGGAGAGATGGGAGGCCTCGAGCGCGAACTATGTCTAACTGGTATCGTTCATCGGACGCAAGGTTGCGGAGGGCGAGAGCAGCCTGGCACTGGACTTTTGGCGAGGACGAATCCATAAGGTGGACCAGGGATTGCACGAGGCGGCCCTCTGTTTGTGCAAGTTTCGCTCGGTTGCTGGCGTCTACGGCGATATTGCTGAGAGCGGTGGTACAGTAATATTGAACATCTACGTCGGAAGAGGTGAGCAACTGGACGAGTACGGGAATGGCGCCTGCGTTGACAAGCTGTTGGCGATTGTCGTCTGCAGAAACAGTTAGCAAGGTCTGTTGCGTCTAGGTTGTGCGACGTGTGCCAATTTACCAGAGTGCGTCATATTCAGAAGAGCGCCCGTTGCGTTCCTTTGCACACGCATGTCCTTTGATTTGGCGAGCCTTGTGAGCGGCTGCAGCGCCCCCGACCTCGCTATCCTAGCCTTGTTATCTTCGTGAGTCGCAAGGTTGGTTATGCATCCAACGGCATTGCACTGGACTTCGACGTTGGGCGAGTTCATCTGTTTGATAAGTGGAGCAAGTCCACCCAGTGTGACGATTGAGACCTTGTTCTCCGCTTGGATGAATCAGTACGACAGAGTGTATTGTGAGTGGGCGGCTATACGTACTGTTGACGGCAAGGTTTCCGAGTGCAGCACTCGCGGCGCGCTGCACCTCGATATCCGGGTTTTGGAGAAGGAAAAGGATAGGTTCCAGCGTGTCTCGATCGACCTCCCGAACATCTACGGACGAATAATATTAGTACTGGTCGGTGATGATAATGTGGGAGGCGTCCTAGGTACCTCGCTCTGTGATCTCGGCGAAGGTCAAGCTTGCGGACCGTTGCAAATCGATATTGTCCGAATATACAAGAGTACTTAATGCGCGAAGAGGCTCTCCGGAGAAGAAGTCGGTCTCGGCTCGCTGATGAGGTTTATGTTAGTCAACGAGTCCGTGAAGGATGTAGAAGGAGGGATGCGGTGGGATGCGGTGGGATGCGGTGATGCGGGATGCGTACGTTTTCCAGGAAGCCCAGCAGGTCGGCGACAGCCTCCCGTTCGCTGTCTGCCAACACGGGGTCATAGATGTTATCCTTCGAGCGGCCTATAGAAGGGGAGTGTCAGTGAGTTGGCAAGGTGGAGGTCGAGTATGGTGCATAGCTTACCGCCGCAGCAAGAAGCGAAGAGCTTCGAGCAGACTGTGGAGAGACCCATTGGCGGCAGACGTCAGGCCGTATCGGCCACCCGGGGACGAGGAGGAGGTGTGATGGGCGACGATGAGCAGCGACGGCTAAAGCTAAGAGCGACGATGATGGTTGATGATTATGGTGATGATGATGATGATGATGGCGATGGGAAGGTTGGAGGCCGAGTCACGAGGGAAGTCGGGAGGGAGGGGGGTGGGAGTATGGATGATGTCGAAAGAGTCTGATCGCGAGAAGGATGCGATGCCTCGTTGTCGTGGAGAAACAACGACGAGTTGACTCGAGGACCAGACCAACAGTAACAGTGGTTAGTAGGTAGGCAAGTGAGTAGGACTTGACTGGAACTTGACTGAACTTGAGTTTGGCCTTTGGGAAAGGGAAGGCAAAGCCTGTGCCCTGAACTGCAACTGGCCAGTGCATGTGAAGCTCGACCAAGATGGTTAGTCCCCGGAAGGAGGTTGCTCTGCTTCGCTATGCTTTGCTTTGTGCACCGGCGGTTGCTCTCAGTTTGTGCCCAAGGACATACTCATCGTACACACAATATCCATATTATACAAGATAGATAGATTCATATCTTCTCTTCACACGATAACCACACTTTGACACCTTATCGACGACCCACCGTTCGGATCGCATTTAGAAATCGGCTATGTGTCCATTGGGTGCTACTGTGTAGTTCCGTGATGTCATGAGCGCCCATCACACTCACTCACGCGCCCAAGTCATCTCGAACCGACCGGCGGGTACGCCATCAACCTCTACAGCTATGGTGGTGCCCTTTTCGCCTCTCTTTCATCATTGATGCTACTCGTATTATTCTTACTCGAGAGGAGGAACAATGCCGTTGTCCCACTGAGCCGATCGACTAATTGATCTAACGAGCCAGGGTCTCTTTTCAGTGAGTTGACCCGCCCGGCGAGCGTGTCTAATGGCTACTGGTCGCCCACTTGGGCGTGCTTGGGCGGGTCTTAGTGTTGGTCCTGCAGGGCGCCCACTTGTAACAGCCTCGTTTTCTGGACGTAGAGAGGTGGTGTTTGTTCTGTCAAATGCACCTACGAGTAGTAAACATATCTATGTCCTCCAAGGCTAGAAGGGTATAAATATGGACAGAGTACAAAGTACTCTGTATGTGTGCTGTTCTGTGTATATCCACACTGTACTCCGTAAAGGACGGCACGTCTCATCCCATTTACATCCTTTGGTGCATCCACGAGCGCATGGGCGACGAGCATTAATTACTGCCAATTACCCTTTCCAATCTCCTCACCTGTGTATCCCCAGACCCACGCCTGTGCAACTCGCTCAGACATTCGCTGTACAACGTCAAGGTAGGTACTTGTAGGCACGGAGTACTCCGTACATGCACATACAACAATAGGCGATGTGCGCGCACAGAGAAAAAAAGAGAGGGGGGCATTTTGCCAATTTCGCGCGTTGGATGGGATGTTCCATGGAGTCGCCACTCCGTTTTGGCAAATTTGTCGGATCATCAAGATTCATCGGGTAATGAATAGGGGAGGGCGAGCGCGCGTCCGTCAGGCCATGGACGCCAGAGGATGGGATTGAGTGTGGTGATTGTTAGATGTTGTTTAGTATTGACCTCAGTTTGGTGCAATTGTTTATTCGAGGTAACTTGATGAACACAGTACTTTCCACAGCTGCAAAGAATGGTGGCAAAGTAAGTAGTCTCCGTTTGCTGTGTACTTGGGATCCGTTTACAAACGGGAATTACCATCGGATTGCACGTGCGACGAATTAAAACCGGAAGGAAGCCAGAGAGACTTTGGACTGGTGGACTGGTGGACTGGTGGACTGGTGGACTGGCAGAGTTTGTTGGACACAGAGACTGGGAAATGGAGCATCCTGATTGGTTACTTAGTCGCAGTCAGTGGCAGACGGGCAGTAGTGGAAGTTGGCTGAGTGGGGAACAAAACGCAGGGCCACGACTTGCATGGGTTTGCCGCCATCGTGCATCTTTGCATAGACTACAACTACCTCATCAACAGTACTAATACTGTAGGGTCCCTAGGGCTGCGATGAGAGTCACGGAGGAATAAGGATTAAGGAGTAGGTTCTTTTACATAGGTAAGTTGAACAATGAATCAATGAATCACAGGGTTGGAAGAATTAACGTATGGATTGTCAGGATGCCAAACGAAACGCGGGGTTGACTCCGTACGACTCACCAGCCAGTGACAGTAATTACTCGTATTCCATGTCTACCTAGGTACGAGTACCTCTTAGTCTTGACTCTTCACTTGGAGTTATCACATTGTTGTGTACTCGCAGTACAGAGTAGTTCGCCATAATTGCCATTAGTACCCTCGAGTACTTGTGAATCATCATCATCATCGTTGTCCTGTCCATTATCCTACTGTTCCGGTACTCGTAAGCTCCATGGAGCAAGGATACGTCACCCGTGTCACCCGTCCAGCCTCAACCGCCCAGTCGAGGGTTCATGTTCGAGGGCATTACCTCTTCTCCGACCCTGATAGGCTATTCTTCTTGTCTATCCTACTCCAATAATCCTTCTCTCCTAAAGTAATTATACGGAAGACTAACACTGTAACAACCTAGTCACTCTTGCTAGTCAGATGGATTGATGGAAGAATGGGATTAATGCTTCCGCCTGGTCAACCTTCAAGCGAACGGATCCCACCCCATTCACGTGCGTGTGTAGACGGATCGCCAACGGACTAAATCAATATTCATTCAAGCGTGGGGTCTCTTGTCGATGCCTACGCCTACGCCTACGCCTACGCCTACGCCTACGCCTTCGCCTGCCTACCGGTAACTAATGCCCGCTTTCGCCTCTCGGAATCGTCCAATTCAATTAAACCCTTTCCAATTTCTCTACCAAACCACTAACTACCCAGTACCTCGTTACTCTCCGTCGGTCATTCATCCCCTCCCCCGTCGCTATTCATTCACCTCTGATTCGATCGACTCTCCCACCAGAGTGAATCCATCTTGTCAATCCATTACTACAACCTCCACCCTCTATTCTATTCTCTACACTCTGCACCCTACACCTGCCCACTCTCCAACGATCTTCCCCATCCTCTCCCGCTCCACCTTCCCAACCCTACCTATTCCTACAAAAGGTCAACTGAGCCGCCTTCCTACTAATTCCAACCCTTTCGCACTCCTCTCCACCTTCATCTTCACCTTCCATTCACCAACATCATCCCCAGCAGTCCACCATCTCCATTCAACACTTCTTCCAACGAACCACCAAACACTCCGACCATCCCCGCATCTGCTACCTTCAAAGGCTCCCCACGCTGTCAGAGCAACCTCCGACATTCGTCAGACATTCCACCCACAGCCAAATCATCTCTCCCTTCCTCTCAATATTGGCCGAGCGCTTCTCTTAGGCGCGGCTGTACGACAGCCCTCCGCCGGCGCGACTGTAGCCTACACAGACGACTTCTGATAGTTCATATTCTCCTCCTGCTTCTTCATTCCCAACTCTTTCAGTCCCTTTGTGTCGTCGTCCTCTGCCGCTCTGTCATTGTTCCGCTTCCGGAATTACCCTTAGCTTTCCTACCCTGCACGTCTGTCCCCACGTCCAAGCAACCTCACCCCACCCAACCCGCGGGTCGCTACAAAATTCCCTGACTGCGCTGCGCTCTTCCTCTCACCATCATCATTGCTGCTACCACTCTCTCACCACGTTTCGGAGCCCCAAGGTCTGCTCTCACATTGTGATACTCACCCCCTTGCTGTTTCTATGGCCCCATTAGCGGGATCCTCACATTCTTTCCAGAAACTCAAGCTCGATACTACTGCGTCGCATAAACCCGTCAAGTCGACTTTCGCCTCCATCAGTCGCAACGACCAGCACGCGCCGCCGCAGCAGCGACAGCCGCAACAGGCCGAACCGCACAATGGGCCAGATTCCTCACTCTTGAGTGCCTCTGACTTCATCGGTTCCAAGTCGCCAATCTATCCTCCAAGCTTCAACTCGCTATACGGATCGGACCGCTCAACCAGTTACTTCGCCGCTTCGCACAATTCAGTCTCGTCTCACAGGGGCGACCAGAATGGCGAAGCCAAGCTCGATGACATCGAAACCCGCTTCCGGAACCGAACGACATCCATAAGTTTCGACAATGCCGTTACGCTTGACAGCGGAAATCGTCTAAGCGTCGAAGAGCCGCTTCCGAAATTCTCTAGTTCACGCGCCGCGTCCGACGATGAAGACGATGCCCGCTCCTCCGACCAGGACTATATCGAGATTCCGGCCAAAGAACGGCGGCATCCCATGCATCGTTTGTATGGCCAGTCTCCCTTCGCTGTGCTGCCGCGCACTGCTTCCAATTATGTCAAAGATGCCCCATTCCATGACCAGGATCATGTTGCTTCCCTCACCTCTGATGCAACCGCATCTCCGGTGATGGACGAGGTCCGCACCCCGCCAGAGACCCCGTCTGAGTACATGCTCTCTCCGATCCCTGCGACCTCTCCCATCGAGTTCCCGCCATTTGGAATGCCCCGACGACAGCCTCCGGCACGCACACGGAGTTACCGTTCCGAGATGGACGGGGAGGCCAATGGAAGTTTGCGCAAAACTAGTCGCCGCTCCTCGACCCGCTCTGGTCGGTCTCTGTCTTCCATGTCGCCAGCAGCGTCGTTTCTGTCCCGTTACAAGGTTACCGATGCTCCTCTGAAGCCGAGCGAACCAGACGACGAAGGTCAGGGCATCGGCTACCAAAATGAATACATCATTGGCAAGCAAATCGGCTATGGCGGCTTCAGCGTCGTTAAAGAGGTCAGCACAATCGAGAACGGGGTCAGAGTCGTGCATGCCGTCAAGATCGTGCGCAAGCAACTCAAGAACAAGTCAGAGGTGGACAATGAGCAGATTCAGACCCAGTTTGATCACGAGGTGGGCATTTGGCGGTTCCTGAGGCATCCTTACATATTGCCACTGCTCTGTGTGTACAACACGGATTTCGCGACTTTCTGCATCACGAAATTGAACAAGGGCGGAACCCTTCACGACCTGATTCGGGATATTCGCCGAAAGAATCTGAAGGGTCTCCCAACACATTTGGCAAAACGGTACACATGTCAACTAGCATCAGCCCTTCGTTATTTGCATAACGATGTCCTTGTGGTCCACCGAGACGTCAAGTTGGAAAACTGCCTTCTGGATATGACCGTTCCTAATGCCGAGAAGGATGGTGGGGATGTTTTGCTATGTGACTTTGGAATGGCTGACTTCTTCGTGAGCGACCAACGAGACGGGCCGGAACCGCATTCTACTGGTGACAATCAGAATATTGGACCGGCGGACACAAGCACATCGATCCAAGGGAGTCTTCAGTACGCCGCACCCGAACTTTTCGGCGCTACGGGGTCCGTATTTTCACCAGCGGCAGATATTTGGGCTTTCGGTGTTGTGGTGTACGCGCTGCTGACCGCAAGACTACCTTTCAACGAGGGGTTGGACGCGAAAACGATAGTGAGAATCCAGAAGGGAGAGTGGGATGCAGAAGCCGTTCGCCAGGCCGAAGCTCTGCAAGACGGTGGAGTGGAAGAAGCAATGGAGTTGCTTACCGGATGTTTGACTGTGGATCCGGACAAACGCTGGACCATTAATGACGTCCTTTCTTGTTCGTGGCTGGCAGGATGCTCACATATATACGAAGATGTGACACGATCCTGGCTCGCTGGTTCATAGACGATACGATACCCCTTACGAATGCAGCGATAGGTTTTTACAGCTTTGGGTGGGTCGGATTGGTTATTGATACCCCTTCTCTGCTCGATATCTCTGCGTTCTTTTTACTGGGTTCAGCAGCATTTGCACATCCGCGTTGTTTTTTTTTTTTTATCTTCTTTTTGGGTTTTTGGGCTCTCGGTTTTGGGTTTTCTTTACATGGGTTTTCCACTCCAGGTTTTTTGAGGATACCCCGCTCTATCTTCCCGGCATGAGTTCCACATGGAGTTGTCTTGTTGTTTGCTTCGGTTCCAAGGTATTGCGACTTACAGACTCAGCTCTGATTTTTGTCAGCTGTCAGCACGGGAAGGCCTCACGGGGTTTTCTATTCTTATTACTACCCTGTCCTAGTTTGGGCGATAAAATGGATTTTATATGATCGCATAACATACACGTCGAATGTTGTCCCAATCCTTATACGAGTAACATGTATAGCGTTCCTTGTTAACTACCAGTATGCGCCTCCATTCTGCCTCCGTATGTACCGAATTATCATACTCCATTTTAAGCTCTCTGTCCCACGGTGAGGCATTCCCCATACGACTAACGTCCAGTGCTAGAGGCTACCTTTCGCCTGAAGACATGAAGCCAGTCGTTACCCCACACGATTGTTGATTGGCCGAGGCAGAATTACCACAAGCAGATCTAGCGTCTGGTCGGATAATTACAAGCAATATCAACGTCCCATCGCCCGGCTTTCAACGTCGATTGCCATAACCAAATATCCATACATGCCGCAAAAGCCTTATTAACCGTCGTTAGAAGACCTACTGATTGGCCAAGATGTTTCAATCTACGTATGCACACGCTTTCAATCTTGAAGCTCCAGAAACGTGGCTTCGTGGTGGGAGCATTTTGTACAAGTACATCATCAATGCAGACCTACACAGCACTGGTCTCTATTGAAGCATTGAGTCTGTTCCTCCTTCTGTAGCGTATAGTCCGCATGCTCTGACGTCTACTTCTAAAAGAGAGCCTCTTGAATGCCACATAGACACAAATAGATCACATCCACAAGATGCCACTCTCCAACTCTCCCATCCAGTCCTTACCACGCACTCTTCTCTCCCTCCTCGCCCTCAATCTTCTCTCCTCACCAGCACATGCCGGCTTCATCCTCTACGGCCATAGCACCGCCATCCCCAACATCCTGACCCTCCCCGTCGCCCAAACATGTCCCGTGAGCGTTGACGGCCTGACGTCCACCAACTTCCCCTGGACACACAACCCGACCTGCATAGGACAGTACTGCGTATACAGCAGCTCACGCTTCGCCAACGACCGCGGCATAAGCCTCATCGCCACACCGGAGCTCGCAACATCCTACCTCCTTGAATCCTTCTCCCACGACGACCAATCCGACGACCTCCACGGCGACACCACCCCCGACTACGTCGCCGACGACACACCGGACAAGGGCATCGGACTCTTCGCGCGGCGCGCAATCCCCGCAGGGAAAACCATCATGGTCAAGCATCCCGTCATCCTGCTCCCGAAAGAGCTCGCCGACGGCGACAGAGACGTCACGGAGCAGCGGGCGCGGCTGCTCGAGATCGCGATCAGGCAGCTTCCGAGGAAGACGACGGAGATGCTGAAGGGGCTTTCGACGAACATGGGGGGTTTGCGGCTGGACGATTTGGTGAGGACGAATGCGATGGGCGTGGTGTTGGGGAATGGGGGTGGGGAGGGGACGGGGTATCTGGGTGTTGTGCCTGAGGCGGCGAGGATTAATCATGCGTGTCGGCCTAAGTGAGTTTCTCCTTATTCTTCTTTGTTTGATCTCGTGTTGGTTTATGATGGTTTGTTGTCTTGCCTCGACACCAGTTGGAAATCAAAACCACGAAGAAGAGCCCAAACTAACAAAGTGAGCAACACAGCGCATACTACCGCTTCAACGACTACACCCTCACCCTCTCCGTCTTCACCCTCCGCCCCATTTCCCCCTCGGAAGAACTAACCTTCACCTACGGCTTCTCTCTCCACCCCTCCACCCTCCGGCAATCCGCCCTCCGCACCCAATGGGGCTTCACCTGCACCTGCGCCCTCTGCACCTCGCCCTCCTCCACCGTCTCCGCCTCCGACGCCCGCATCACCGAAATCGCAGAGCTCAAGCGCGGCCTGCCGTCCGGTCACTCCTCCATCCCTCAACTCATCGTGCTCCTCCCGTCACTGATATCCCTCCTCGACGAAGAGGGGATTATCACGGAAGTCCCGATGTACGCGGAGATACTCGCGTACGCGTGGAGCGCGCTCGGCAGCGAAGAGCGCGCGACGAAGTGGGCGGTGAGAGCACACGAGGGGTGGAAGGTCGTGGCCGGAGAGGACAGTTGGGAGGCGAGGAGGACGGGGGAGTTGAGGGCGGATGTGCGGGGGCATCCGAGTTGGAAGAGTTGGGATGGCGAGAAGGAGGGGTTTGAGGGGAGTGTGGCGGAGGAGGAGGAGAGGTTTAGAGAGAGGTTTGGGTATGGGTTTGATGGGCCGGAGGATGGGGGTGAGGGTCATGAGCATGATCATCATCACGATCATGGGCATGAACATGGGCATGGGCAGGCAGAAGGACATGTGCATGAGCATGGCCACCACCATGAAGATGAGTATGGCCATAGTCACAGCCATTAGGATTGGGGCTATTTCCGGTTGGGAAAAGTTTAGCATAGTTTTACGTCTTAGTGTTTCTGGTTTGAACATTTACATGTGCATATACGATACGTTGTTTCTATGAGAGATGTTTCTTGTATGTGAATCACCACTATTTGCAGGTATATTAGATGACAACCCATCTATGAAAAATCCAAGAAATTAACGAAAATATGTATGAGTATCATTGGAAATTTAATAAAAAAAAAGTCTGAGTTCTGAATGAAAACTAAATCCCTGAATATGAGTAGATAGGTGTTCACAAATGACGAAGTTCATGAATCATCTGTTTCTCTCTTTATTTTCCTAATCATCGGCCATGTACCAACCTCATCTAGACGAGCAGTTTGGTTGAGGAAAGAAATAATGACAGTGTGTGTTTTAACATACAGTAAATAGTTTTGCTATTATTTGGGTGTATTCTTGACAACTCTCAATACAGTGAAAAGATAAAAGTTCCTTCTGAAAGGTCAAAAATAGATCAGTATGAAATAATATACAAAATAGGATACAAACAGAAGTTACTATATCTACGTTGTGCAGGTCCGATTGAGCGGATAGGAGTAATGGACTGATTGCAAAGGTGTTTATTTTCTTAACTCTTACATTAGAGGTTTGGAAGTAGCTTTCTAGAAGGCCTTAGAGAGGTCTCAGTCATATGAATAAGTACGTGAAACTGTGCAAAACAGCACTTAAAATCGTTTTATGTACGTTTCTTTCGTCGAATCAATGGAGTAGACATGAATGATGATATCATACAACTAAAGGAAATACGACAACCAAGTGCAACCAGACAAGGCCAAAAAGCAGCATTGCTAAAAATCAACTCCCTTGGTTTCCCAATATGGTCTGCTTGATATGATTCAACGCACTCCCAGCCCTCAACCATCTCAACTGGCCCTCACTGAAGCTATGCTGCAATGCCGCACGCCATACCTCTCCGGCCTCAGTCTCCACCTGTAACGTGACTTCCTTCCCAGGTTTCATCTCGCCCTCCTCGACGCCGAGCAAAGTCACCCGATCGCCCGAACGTATTCTATCATAGTCCCCAGCCTCGACGAACGTCAACGGAAGCATGCCCTGCTTCTTAAGATTCGTCTCATGGATCCTCGCAAACGACCTCGCAATGACCGCCACGCCGCCCAAAAACCTCGGCTCGAGCGCCGCGTGCTCTCTTGACGAGCCCTCGCCGTAGTTCCAGTCGCCGATGATGCACCACTTCACTCCACGGCCCCTGAGGTCCCGCGCGACCTCGTGGATGAGGTCGACGTGCGAGTCGAGCGGGTGGATGGTGTGGCCGAGGTGTTTCGAGTCGGAGGGTAGGAAGGCGTTGGACGCGGCGAGCAGCATATTGTTGCTGATGTTCTCGAGGTGGCCGCGGTACTTGTACCATGGGCCTGCGGGCGAGATGTGGTCGGTCGTGCATTTTCCCTTGACCTTGACGAGGATGGGCATGGAGTTCGTGGACCCTGGGACCCAGGGCTGGAAGGGGTCGAGGAGTTGGAGGCGGTCGGATTTGGGGTCGATGGTGACGGAGAGGTGGGATGCGTTTTGCACGGGGGCTTGGTAGAGGTCTTCTCCTGTCGTGAAGGCGGTAGGAAGTTCCACGCTTGTTGGCGCGGTGAAGCGGAGTTCCTGTGATGAACCGGCGACGGGAATGGAGTCGGTGACAGGGTTGAAATCGATACGGCCAGCGTATGCGAATGCAGTCACCATCTCTGGCGATGTAACGAAGGAACATGTCTCCGGGTTGCCATCGTGTCGGGCGACAAAGTTGCGGTTGAAGCTGGAGACGACTGTGTTTCTTTCCCGCCCCTTTACGTCGACATCGGTGCGATCCCATTGTCCAACGCAGGGCCCGCAGGTGGTGCTTAGGACAACAGCACCGGCATCGCGTATTGTTTGTAGTATGCCCTCGGCTTCGGCTGTGGCTCTGATATCTTCGCTTCCGGGTGACACCATGAAAGAAGTCTTCACATGGGGGAGTCCAGCCGAATGAGCTTGTTGTATGAGTTGGGAAGTCTTGAGGAGATCTTCGTATGAGGAGTTCGTGCAGCTGCCAACCATGGCATGGCTGACTTCAACCGGCCAGTCGGATTTTGAAACGGCTTCCTTGAGCTGGGATAGCGGATGCGAGAGATCTGGAGTGAAGGGACCGTTTATATGCGGCTCTAATGTATCAAGATCGATCTCGATAACCTCGTCGTAGTGGTTCTCAGATCCTTCATCTGCAGTCAGGAGAACATCCTTATATCCGCTCGCCAGTCTTGCAATGTCCGCACGTTTCGTTGCTGTTAGATATCTCGACATAGACTCAGAGTATGGGAAGATGCAAGAAGTCGAGCCAATCTCAGCGGACATGTTGCAGACGGTAGCCATTGCTGTCGCGCCTAGTGTCTGAGTGCCAGGGCCGAAGAATTCAATTACTCTGCCCTTGCCTCCAGACACAGTCAGGATTCCAGCAAGCTTACAGATTATGTCCTTTGTCGACGCCCAGCCATTGAGGGATCCAGTGAGACGCACCCCGACCACTTTGGGGCACATGAGTTCCCAGGGCATGCCAGCCATCGCGTCCACGGCATCAGAGCCACCAACGCCGATGCCCAACATCCCCATACCTCCTGCATTCGGCGTATGCGAGTCCGTTCCAATAATCAACCCTCCAGGGAATGCGTAGTTCTCGAAGATAGTTGTGTGGATGATGCCAGCCCCAGGTTTCCACCAGCCGATCCCGTACTTTTTGGCGGCACTGCTCAGAAAAGCGTAAACCTCGCGGTGCTCATGGCGTCCGCGCTTTAGATCTTCCTCTGCTCCATCCCGTGAAACCACTAAATGATCGCTATGCACTGTAGTAGGAATCTGGACTTTCGGAAGGCCTGCGCTGATGAATTGTAGAAGTGCCATGGTCGCCGTTGCATCGTGACAAGCAACCCGGTCTGGTCGGAGGTGGAGGAGCGTTTCTCCCCGCCGTATCTCGTCCAATGCCCATGAGTGTTCTGGTGATGTATATAGATGACTATACAGGATCTTCTCCGTCAGTGTCAGGGGTCGCCTTGAACCTGATTTGACAGTCTCGAGCTGGGCAATCTGGCGATCGTAGTCGAGGGGGGTGTCGAGATTCAATGGGCTAATTGGCACACGAGGAGCAAATGTTGCGAGGCTCCTCGCGTTTCGAATTGACTTGTATTTGCAAGTTTGCGAAAATGTTGCCCTTAGGGCACGGAGTCTGTTCGATTGCATGGTAGGCAAGCGTGGGGAGAAACCGGCAGCAGCACACAAGCACAGAACGACATAGTCTCCTTATGTAATATGAGCATGTTGATTGACGAAGTTGTTTATGGCGATTTGCCGCGACTTCGGAACACTACATACACTTGTGCAATAACAATGAACCGCCACCGGAGTGGAGCGAAGTAGGTTCGGGCTGCTCCGGTGCGCGTGGTCACGTGCTAGTCCACTTCATCCTACTGACTAGTGGTGGTAAGTTTCGCGACGTCACTTAAGCTCTGGCTTGCTCTGTAGATACTTCTGCGTGTTGTAAGAATATTTCCGCGTGATCAATACAGCAATGTCGTCGGCGATTCCAACAGTTAAACAACCAGTACTTGCGGCGCTTCGTCGCTTCACCACTTGTGATGTGAGTTTTCAGTATACATAGTTTGATCCGAATTATCTTTCTCTCGACAGTTGCTGATATTACGGCAGATTGGAGACGCTCTAGTGCGGTTGAACGTCCGACATGGTGGCTATCTTTCCGGCTTGAAGATGTTCTCACCCCAGATGGGCATAGGCCCTTTCAAAATATTTGGCCCAGCGTACACCGTTCGTATGGTCCCAGCAAATGATACAACTTCGCCCAAACCATCCAAGCATTTCGCTGATGCAATCCCGTCGGGTAGTGTTGTGTTTGTATCCCAGCCAAGCGGCTTTATCAGTGCTTGTTGGGGTGGTTTGATGAGTACACGCGCACTCAAGGCAGGAGCAGCTGGAGTAGTCATCGACGGGAGCTTCCGAGACATAAATGAGCATAGAGATTTGGGCATAGGCCTGTTTGCTCGTCGTATCAGTATCCTCGGCTCGAACACTTTCACTCGCTCATCTGAGCTCAACGTCCCCGTCTCATATCAAATTGAGGAGCTCAAGGATGAGAACATTAATATCAGACCTGGAGATCTGATCATGGGGGATGCGGATGGTGTGGTGGCAATTCCTCCAGAGGTAGCTGAGGAGTGTGCAAAGCTCTGTGATTCTAGGTGGAACATCGATGAAGCCACACGGAAATGTCTCGAAGAGGGAGATGAAATTGGACCAACTATTTTGAGGCTGCGCCAGTAATAGTGCGTTTAGAAAGGATTCCATGCTGTATCTTCGTTCATAAATTCGGCAATGAAAGCATCTACTGTGGAGTCTGGCGCTCCGATATTTGCATCGAAAAATAATTCAGAGAAATGATGCGTGTTGTTCGAGAATGCGTGATTATCGAGCATAGTCCATTCAGTAGTCGGGAAATCGCCCGTCGAATGCGAGAATTGGTTCATGTTGAGATCATCGTCGTGTATGGTGGTGTGGGCTGCTTCAAAAGTAGACACGGCGTCCAAGTTGGCAGGTGGTGGAACCAGGGGGCCTTCTGCCGTGGCTGGATCTATTGGGTTATGGCTTAACGTATGCGGCCGTTGTGTTTGCTGCGTGAAACCTTGATTTCCTCTGCCTTGTTGTTGGGAACAATCCATCCTTTTCAATAGAGCGTCCATCGCTCTCCCAAAGCTTTCTTTTCCTTTCTTCACAGACGGCCACCATTCCCCGCCGACACTCAAAAGATTTGTGCACGTCCTTAGGTCTTTGATGGCTTCCGTTACTGGAACAGTTGCCCGCACCAGCGTAGATGTCCACAGGCAATATATCATAGTCGCACCTGATGAAAAAATACCCTGCACGCTTCTCCAGCTCTGATAATAACTATCAGCATGATAAAGATCGTTATATGTATTGAGACGCCACGCAGCGCATTGATAGCATGTCAATAGAGATTCTTGGCTTGGTTCAGGGATAGCCTGAGATGGTTGATGTAATAAGATCATGGCTGCGAAATATTGGCTTGTTAACTTGAGTTCGTAATTCCGGTACGCAAGTCGATCTTCCTCGAATTCGGGGACTAATTTTTCAGCCATAGCTAAGGTGTGGCGACGCCAATCATCAAGCTTTGTTCGTATGCTTGCTTGCGAAGAACTATGGTCACTAGGCCAGACGTAGGCGTTAACTCGAGATGGGAGGTGGTAGAAGAGTAGCTTGATTTCCGAAATGATAGGGTCCAACTTGAACCGGTGAAGGGCGAAAGCCAATCCTCCAGCGATAGACATCTCCGGGGCAAAGGCCTTGTCTTGTATGCTCGCAGCATCAAGTTGGACGTCTTCAAGAGTTGGCAGTTGAAGATCAAACGTCTCGTCCCTGATTCCAAGTGGACGACCCTGTAGGGCAGCGATCGAGCTGTCATTAGATTAGCGGATGTATTCGATCGATTTTTGTCTCTTTAGAAAATATCTGAACAGTTTGAGTAAAGGGATGATATGATCTACTTACCGATCCAAATGATAAACACTGAAGAAGGCCATAGAGCGCGCAAGGCGGGCGGCTTTTGACAACTTTGCATCCTCGCTCGGAGTCCGATGGAGGCCAAGGTCAACGCAGTGAGCCATTGCTACATATGTTAGCGTCCAAATGTTCAACTCTGCGGGCCCTTGAAGACTGTAAACTGCAAGGAGCAATGTAGCTTGGAGGCTGGCCATCGATGTGTGAGAAAAGCAGTGTTGGCCGGCAGACATTGCTACTCGGTAGAACTGGTTAGGGGCGAAATCGAAAGACTTTTGGCGTGTTCGTACTGTCGCGGCAATAGCAAATATCATGAACACGTGGAAGGTCGCGGTAAAGATGGATACTGGAGTGCAATTGCTACCCCTAAAAACTTCGTACTCTCCATTGTATGTGAATGGCGGCAGGGAATCAACCCAACCATTGTAGCCTACATCAGCCGAAACATCTGATGCTGCACAGTGGTATAAAGCCTCAACTGCATTCACGACTGACTCCACATGGAGGAAAGGGTGGTCGATGTGAATATTTCGAAAGTAGACCTCCAACAGCACGCGAGCGTCCTCTTCCAGGGGCAAACTTCTACGAAGGGAATCGTACAAGACCCGATAGGATTCTTTGACGCGTCTGATATGTGCAATCGGTCCCGTTTTTCCAGGGCTGGTTTGTGATGGAAGGCTGGGTGTCCTACTCCCTCTTGTAAGAGTGGGTGTCTCAGGAGAGCCAACACCGATTAGTGAAGTAAATAGGCGTCCAGAGGAGGTACCAAGGTAATGTGTCTGTCGAGAGTCTGAGTTCAAAGTGAGCAGACCCAAGTCTAGTGCAACTGAGCGTGCTTCATCGGCGAAGGTATCCTCGGCCGGTGGTGGTTCAATAGTAGAAGAGAAGGTTCTCTTGGTTGGAGGAGCAGAGAACTCCGGCGAGGGTGACGGTCCTTTCTGCTGAGTGGCAGTGGCCATGCCACCTAAAAAACTGAAGTCAACCCGTGGGCCGTCGTGTATATTGAACTCAGGCGACAGCCTCCTGACTTGGTCCTCAAGCCATTCGATGCGAGCGCGAGCATTTGCCGCAAAATCACGGGGGATTGAAACAGCATTGTTGCGACCGTCCACATCTATACAAGGTTCTCCAGCTTTCTGACAGTTTCCACACGCGGGAACACCTCCATCGCACTGAAATCATGATCAGCTTTGCAACAGGACTGACAGAACGACCTGAGTACCTTAATCCTCTTAGATCGGCATCTTCGGCAAGCTATGCGAACCTTAGTATTCATGGTGACTTGTACAGATTATCCCATGGCTATTTTTGTGAGTTTCTGGCCCAAGGAGTTGTTTGAGAGGAAGATATCAAATACTGGCAGGTGGATGGTGAGAGGTGGAAAGGTGCAAGATGCTGGTTCAAACTGGTGCCAAAATACGCGGGCGCGCTAGATTGAGCGGGGTTTGCTAGGTTCGATTCGACTTCGGTCTACTTACTGAATCCTTACTGCTCTTCACCCACTCACCACTCCCATGTTTGCAATAACAATGGCTTTTAAAATCATCTGATTATAATTCTCTGTATCTTTTGTTCTATTTACAGTCACAACGCAACGCTCTCCTTTCTACTTTCTGCTGATAGTCCTCCGAGCGTCTGCGTTAATTGAACGACTTTCTCATATACCGTGAAAGATATTGCTCCAGATACCTGCATATAATCAGTACTATCCAATCTCGGATTTGACGATTTCAACTTACACTCAAACGGACAAGCCGCGGGGTAGTCCCTTTCCAGAGAAGACGAAAACCTCCATCTTGCACCAACTGTTTTGCGCAATCCCACGATCCATTATACATTTTCTGTCCTTCAAGGCCCTGCAGTTGTGTTTTGACATTGTCGAAAGGCATAGTACAATACACTGTGATGATACCAGCCATGGCGCCAGCGGCTACACTTGTTGAACTTCCTAGTATGGGCCGTAAAGTACTCGATAGGAAGTCGTAGCTTGTAAAGCGTACCATCGCATTACTAGATTGCTTCAGTGTTACCGGACATACGCCTCTGAAAAAGCTCAGTGGCCCTTCCGCGGCCATGATGGACTTGATAGCATGTCCAGAGGAGCGATATAACTGTTTTCCAGCGCGATCATCTATCAGCCTTGTCTTCAGATTTTCTCCTGGTGTCAACACCAAAACACTTTCCGCAATACCCGCACACATGCCGGCTGCGAGACTTCCGGATACTGTAGTCTTTCCCTTCACGCCTTTCGGCATGTACCCGCGCGCAAAGTCGAAAGTGAGGAATCGGATTCCCGACTTAGAGGCATTCGAGACGCAGAAAGCCGCTCCTCCGGTATATAGGCGTCCGATGCCATCGTTTCGTATTGTCGATATCAAGATTTGTAATGGAGATCTCGCATTTGTAGGGCCGCGTAAGAGCTGCTGTCGCGTCTTTACATATTCTGTAGGATACTGCCATCGTTAACACACTGTGTGCCCTCTCCCGAGGCTACTTACCGTCACCATCGATTCGAAACCCCCAGCAGCAGCTCCAGCTAAGACGGACTGCAGAGGCGTCACATCATTCTTGCGCGTGGGAGACATTCTCAATTAGTTCTGAAGTGGGACCAAGAGCTGCTGCTCACCGCGGCCCATACATAGTCGCAAGATGAAGCGTTCGTCACGTGGCTATATGGATATCACCTACTATGTCAATTGAGGTCATCATGCTGAGATACCAAATCTCTTCTCTGGATAGCTCCAGATCTCGCACATAGAGCTTATTGTGCCATCCCTGTCATATGCCCCCAGATGGTTCGCAAAGCGGGCGCGCTAATATCGGCTCGGAGCACTACGAACTGAGTCGCGTAGCAGGCACGGAGTGCTCCGGGGCGCACCAGGAGCTCCACTACCCTCACCGATTACCGAGTAGGATTAGCTCCATCATGTCTCAAATCAGTGTTAACTGGGACATATGCGAGTATCCATCTCAGTAACTGAGGTGTATTGTTTCGTTATTCTCGTATCTCACCACGTACAAAATGTCTACCAAAATCCAAACTCAGACTGTCACTTCGACGCCAAGCTTGAATAAGAGTGTCTTGATCACTGCAAAAGAAGTAGTCTCGAAGCATAAATCTGGTCCCCTGTTCCCTAACGGCGGATGGGATGTACATCATCACATATTTGAACGTAGGTAAAAGCCTTTGAAGTCAAGTCCAATACTGACATTATTCCAGCGGAACGATTCAAATACGCACCCGACCGACACCTAACACCACCTGCGGCATCTATCCACCAATTCCTCGATTTCAAAGCACGACTTGGTCTCACAAACTCTGTGCTGACCCATGGTCTTTCCTATGGTGACGATTGTACCTCGTTGAAAACCTTCGTCTCTGAATTGGACACTTCGCGAACATCTGCCATCAGTGTCATTGACCCGTCCACGGCCACCCCTGAAGAGCTTGATTCAATGCAAGCGGCAGGCATACGAGGAATACGAGTGAACTTGTATAAGTATGGAGCTATGCACGATGTTGAACTTCAGAAATTGGCCCTTCGTGAGCATGCAGCTGTACTGAAGAAACAGTGTCCGGGATGGAGCATGGCGTTTACACATATCCATCCTGAGTTTTGGGGAGAATTAACCCCAACAGTGCAAAGCATCGCAGCTGCTGGAATACCCATGGTGACAGATCACTTCGCACTTTTGAAGGGAGCAAGCATGTTGCCAGAGAAACACAGCTCAAATATCGAAGACCAGCCAGGTTTTCAAGACATTATGTCGCTTGTACGATCGGGAGCGTTGTATGTCAAAATCAGCGCGCCATACCGGGTCAGTGAAATGGCACCACAATACGAGGACCTCAAGCCACTCGTCCAGGCGTTGGTCAAGGCAAATCCCAGAAGGGTGCTGTGGGGGAGTGACTGGCCACATACGCCAAGAATGAAAGTCAGAAGTCACGAAGAAGCTCTCAAAGAGACACCCTTTTTAGAAGTGGACGACGAATCTTGGCTAAGGAGCCTAAAGGGTTGGGTTTCTGAGGATGAGTGGGATATGATAATGGTCCAGAACCCCAGGGACTTGTACACTAAAGTGTAAAGATAATATTGAATTAGTATACAAATACTGAGAGGGACTTTTGAATGAAGTAATGTATGGTTTTACTACTGCCAAAGTGAGACTTTCATTCCTTAAACTGGCATCGAAAAGGTCAAGTGTGCTCTACGGACATGATGCTTCAGTTGTTAGTCGAGATAGATTAAGGAGACACAACTTGCTACAGTGCAATTCCAATTTCTTCGAATCACGTTTTGTCTATGTACTTGGGGTAATAATCAATTAAATTATCCTCAACTTGATAGATACAAGCTTGGAAAACAGCACAATCTCCTTCTTTCATCTGTGTTCTGAGCGCATTAAACCTAGCATACCTCAGGGAGCAATCACCAGTCCCGTGCTAACTCTTCTTTCACGCCATTGACATGCCAAACTCCACCCCTTCCGACAATCCACAATTCATTTTTACCAAAAGCCACACTGACAGCAACGTTTTCGCCTCCACCAACTCGGATTGTACCCAATGTAAGGCCATCAACTGGATCTATGACATCGACACCATCACCTGCACCTGCGAATAGATACCCATTCTTGCTCGCTCTGATACCATCATAGAACCACGCGATTGGATTGTTAAGAAACCGAGCGTTTTTCAGTACGCCTCCTTCTGCAGCATCGTATGCGAAGAGTGCTCTGTCGCCGAGAGGATTCTTCCGCGACACGGGCTTGAATTCCGAAAAGCCTGTATCTGGAAGATACACAGTGTGCACGGACGGATCTGCTTGCGAGCGTGACACCGCAATGCCGTTTGTATTCCCTGTCGTGATGTGTACGGGTCTGGGGCGCATTGTTGTGCTATTGACAAAGTAGATTGTAGGGTTTGTCGGATTGCTAAACTCAATCAAATCACGACCCTGTGTTGTCATGTTAGGAAGAGCTCAGATGATAATCAAAGTGTGCGGTGCTCATGAGGAAGACGAACAAATGCAGACTTAGAGTCTGTGAGCCAAAAGTTCCCATCACTGTCGATGTCCAAATCGTTGAAACCGAGGAATGGTTGGCCGTGATAATTGTTCAGGATGGTTTCATGCCTCCACGTATTTGGATCGATGCGCACAAGTTGACCAGTTTCTACGTCTTCGTAGCCGTCTGTGACTACGTACATCTGTGAGTCGTATATCACACAACCGTGGGCGTTGTACGTCGGAGGGTCAGTCTTAATCTTCTGAAGACTATTGTTGCGTGTATTGAGCAAGTATTGCCAGTCATGAGTCCCATTGTCGCCTCCTGGCGGACCCCACTCTGCAAAGAAAAGGTTTCCAGTAGCCTGGTCGAAGCATGGAGCTTCATGCGTCTGATACGCGAGTTCTTGCACATGGTCGATTGTTGCATCGGGACCGATCAAATGAAAGAAACGCTGATCATATGCTACAAAATCTGTTTCGTTCAGTTGAGAAAAACTGCAATCCTTGTCAGTTACTTGTATGTACTGGGTTAAGGAACGTTATCAGGGCTGAAGGACAATCCGTTGAGGGACACAATGACTCAGGGAGGTCACTTACGCTTCCCTAACAATCGGATCAGATGCATCACCCTCGTGTGGAGCTTGGAGTGCGGTCCGATTGAAAGATCCCGGAATGACCGCAACAGCAGGCGACTCATATGATACCCATGCCCATTTGGCATGACTGGATTGAAATTCCGTTGGGAGACTGCTAAGATACTGACTTAAAGCCAAACAATGGTGTGCTAAGAGCAACGATGATACGGCGTATGATCGCATTGTGTCTCAAGCTAAAATTCTATGAGAGATGAACCACGGCATAAAGTACAGAATAAAGTGCTGTGCCGATAATTGTCACTGTCTTATATTCTCCACTATCACATTTGATTTTGAAGTGCCCGGTTATCTTGTGCCTATATTGTGCCGCGAGTGCCGGGGATGAATCCCAATATTGCAATAACTCTGCAGATTGTAAAGCAGAACCTGTTCATTATACTCCCACTTCCCGTGCATGTGGGTAACTAGACATGGGGTAATTCGGGGACCCCTCACGATGCAATGCTAGACTGAGGTGCTAATTGAGCATGCATCTGTGGAGTGCAGTAGCTTTCATTAGCGGAGGTATTTCGAGTACCTTGTACAATTCCATCACAAAGTTACGGCGTACTCCAGGTGAAGGAAACTGGAATATCAGATAGTTGGTACACGGAACCGAGATAGCACCCAGGGGTCAAGATGTGGTAGTGTCGAGAAAGGTGGGTCCGGAGCAGCCCGTGGCCAATCAGCATGACCTATTTTGCCATGACGCATGGTCCAGCCTTTCACGACCACGACGCCAGGACTGCCCTCAACCCTGAAAGTTACGTCCAATTGCATATTTTGGATATCATGGAGTGCTCCGAGGACCCCGCGTTCAGAACTTTACCCCAGACTCTCTTTTCAGGTCGTCGGTGTGGAGAGTAATGAGGACAAGAGCGAGCGCTACTCCTGGGACGACACTTATAGACCAAATGACCAGAGTAGAAAAGGGACTCATCATCGCCGACACGAGTTTTCCCCAGAGTCCGGATCAAAACACTGAGTTCGACACGGAAAAGGAGTAACCAGATTCATCATGACGGTTTCTATCAAAGAAGACGCCTATCTCGACGAGAAGAAGACTATCGCCGATACGGAGAAGGTCGAGCAGGTGACCCAAGAGTATGATGAGGATACTAGAGCCCTCGAGAAACGGCTTGTACGGAAACTCGACATGACCCTGATGCCGGTGGTCTGGGTTTTGTACTTTTTCAACTACATGGATCGTAACAATATCGCGTTGGTCGCCTCCCTTAGCAAAGTCAGGCCATAAACTAATTCTATCATACAGTCAAGCAAAATTGAACAGCTTCGAAAAAGACCTTGGCCTGAAGGGCAATCAATTCAACGTCGCCGTCTCGATTTTAAATGTTGGGTATGTACTGATATGTCCTTCAACGTATTATGCGAAGGGACTTTAACTAACTAGAACTTCCTAGTTATGTTCTCATGCAACTCCCCTCCAACATGATCCTCACGAAAGTTCGACCTTCCATCTATATTCCGGCCTGTGCAATGCTATGGTCTTGTGTCTCAGCTGCGACATCGGGTGTGCACAATTACGGTGGGCTCATTGGTGTTCGATTTGTACTTGGTATCGTCGAAGCTCCTTTCTGGCCTGGTGCATTCTACATGCTCAGCTCATGGTACACTCGAAAAGAACTTGCCTTGAGAACCGCTGTACTATACAGTGGTTTGGTACTCGCTACGGCATTCTCCGGCCTGGTCGCTGCTGGTGTATTTGCAGGTCTCGATGGCGTTCGGGGTCTTGCTGGTTGGAAATGGCTGTTCATTATCGAAGGTGCTGCAAGTTTCTTTGCTGCCATCGTCTCCATGTTCATCCTTCCCGACTTTCCCGAGAGCACTAGCGGCAGCGGTAGATGGCTGTTCAACGAGGCAGAGAAAAAGCTAGCAGTAGATCGCATTGCAAGAGACAGGGTGTCTGCTCCTCAGGTTGACGAAAGCATCATGCATGGCCTGAAGCTCGCTGTTTCGGACTACCGAACGTGGGTTTTCGTAAGTTCCACCCAAATTTGCACCATCAGGTCAAGGGAATTGCAAAACTAATGAAGCAATAGTCTCTGATGCTTTGTGCGAATCATTCCGCCTACGGCTTCAACAACTTCTTCCCTTCGATTGTCAAAGGCTTCAATTTGGGTTCCCGCACCATCACCCTCGTCTGTACTGCACCGCCTTACCTCGTAGGAACAGTGGTTTCCTTTGCCATTGCCTTCTCCAGCGATCGTAACAAGGAGCGTGGTTTCCACATCTCCGTACCACTTTGCGTCGCCGCTGCCGGATTCATCATTACCGTTTCCACGCTCAACGTACCCGCCCGGTATTTTGCCTCCTTTCTATACATCGGCGGATGTTTCGGTTCAAATGCTATTGTTTATACATGGGCTGCATCGACATTGAACCAGACCCCGGCGAAACGAGCGTGCGCAACAGCCATTGTCAACATCATGAGCCAAATGGGAAATATCTATAGCCCATATTTCTTCAGACCACAGGATGCACCGCGTTACATCCCAGCTATGTTACTGATGATGTCATTCTCCATCATTAGTATCGTCACCTGCATGGTTATGAAGACGTTGCTCCGCAAGGCAAACAACAATCTCCTCAAGAAGGAGGAGGAAACCGGTATTAAAGCAGTATTGTACCCGCTATGATTGGTTCAACGGGCTATGTGGAAAAGGAAACTGAATTGGGAAACTCGTATTCGTCTTCTATCAAGCATGGAGAAATGGAGAATGGAGAACAGGAGAAGGCTGAGAATTTGTTTCGAAGATAGGATGTGGTACTAGTTCATGTTAACAGTTATCATCGCGCGACGATTGAATTTTGGATTTACATCGAAATTACGATAGATAAACACCAACTTCTCTGTGAAATCTTTTGTTACCTACCTCACAATGCTCACTTTTATCTTGAACTAAGGTGTGAGATCATCGTCGTTGACTTGTGCAACAATAACGAACAACAAACCATACACCCATGGGCAAAAGTCTCAAGTAGTATGGCTCTCTACCGACCACATGGACGCTACTAGTCGGCTAGAGAAACCCCAACCCTTGGTTGTGGAGTGCAATCCACGTGGCGTTGGTCTGCAAGTTGGTAACTTTCCAGCCGCGCGGTAACTGGTTAAATTCGCGCTCTGTGAGACGCAGGCGAAAGGATGTGATCACTCGTACGACAAACTTAATCGCGACTGGATTCAGCGTTAGCTTGAATGAGGATGAAGATGTTGAACAGCTAGATGAGAGATTTCTTTCTTTTTTCTCAAAAAATTTAGCACCAAGGTTTTGAATTGTTAACGAGATGAAAGTGAATGGAGCGATTTTTATATTTATGCAACCAATGTGATGGCCTAAAATATGTTCTTGGGACTTTTTAACAAGAGGGCTGAGTAGTTATATCATGAAAAGCTGAAATTGTTTCTCTATCGAATCTTATAACTGGACCTAAAAAGCTTCAATTGAAGCCACTATTCTTGATTAATTGGCAACCGTTGTCATCAGTCCATTACCTTTCCATGGTCTCTCTGGCTCCGAATTCTGCCTAGTAATCGTTCGCTTTCCTCTCTAGTAGCACAACGAATTCTGAAACTCTTGATTGCCAGTCGGGGAAGTGCGTTCATGTAAATTATATATTGATATTTACACTTGAGAATATAGTATAATTATTGGATTCAACTGACAAGAAATTCTACAGCATCTAACCCCTCTTCCTGATGATATCAGCTGCCTTCTCACCGACACCATACATGGTGGACTGAATGTGCTGGGACGGAACAAGAGGCAAGATCGATGCGTCAACAATAGAGAGCTGCTTGACGCCATAGAACAGAAGTTCGTCAGAGACGCAGCCGCCCATATCCTGCAAAGGAATTCGTTACTTGATGTTCTACAGCAAAAGGGGAAAATATGAGAAGATTGAACGTACCTCAGGCATCATGGCGCAGGAGCCACTAGGATGGGACAATGTAGGCCAGATGCTTCCAAGCTCGACCATCTTGTTGATGAGCTCCTCATCGGTGGTGTATTGAGCACCAGGAGAGGTCTCGACGGGAGAGAACTTCTTGAGTTCAGGCCTCGCCCAAACAGTTCGGATGTAGCGAACACATGCTGCCATGACAGACTTATCGATAGGGTTGGTCAGAGCATTGTAAAGAATCTTTGGTGGGCCCTGTGGGTTTGCAGGGTTGATGCTGATGACACCTCGAGAGAGAGGCTTCTGAATGCTGACAAGAACACCAGATCCGGCAGCAGGGACCGGGTATTCGACGATACCAGCCTTGTCGTTCTGGTACAAGCCGGCGAGAACCTTGCGCTGGGCGTCAACTCCCTTGAGGAGCTTTTTGCTGTTCTGGTACAGGGCAGGAAGATGCTGCGCGCTCTTGAGCTTCTTGATCTGGTCTGCAAGGTTACGGTAGTTCTGAGGAGCCACTTGAGGGAGAGGGATGAATGCAAGAGCGTTTCCGCGAGCCTGGGTCAAGGGACCAGTCTTGTTAGCGGTGTACTCTGCCCAAGCCGAAGCATTGAAAGCAGGGTCAGTGGCAAGAGAAGTTGGGTTTGGCTTGCTCATGTTAGAGATGCTGAAGCCGAGGAATGTGTAAGGATGGTCTTGGAAGTTGGCACCAACTCCATCGTGTGCGAGCTTGACCTTGATGCCGGCAGCCTCGAGGGTGGACTTCGGCCCGATACCACTCAGCTGGAGAAGCTTGACAGTGTTGACAGAGCCAGCAGCAAGAACAACTTCCTTCTTAGCATAGACGGTCTTTGTTGCGCCAGTGACCTTGTTAGTAATCTTAACACCACGAGCAGTGAGCTTCTTGCCGGTGTCAAAAACGAGCTCGTTGGCAACAGTCTCCAACAAAAGGTTTAGGTTGGAACGGCTGGCGACAGGGTCGTAGTATGAGTTACGGGCGTGGCTTCGCTCACCGGTGTGTGGGTTCATGGTGTTGGGGAACCAAGATGCACCGTAAGCCTCGCCATTGTTGCCGTCAAGGGGCCTATGGGCACCCGCACCCTTGAAGGCGGCGAAGTAGTCCTTGATGTCAGGGTATTGGAAATCGGAGACACCAATCTTAAGGGGTCCATTTCCATAGCTTCAGAAATCGAGTCAGCAAAGCGTTCTCTACCAGACTCTCAGTGATGAACTTACGCCTTGGGGTCCCATGTGATGTTGAACTCCTTGGTAGTGGACGCCGGAGCAGGAATGTACTCGGTACCCTTCTTGAAGAAAGGCAACATGCCATTCCAGCCCCAGCCCTTGTTGCCCAAGGCTTCCCAGGCATTGTAATCCGCGGCAGAACCACGGTCATATACCATTCCATTGACAACGGAACCTCCACCAAGAACTTCCGCAACGCGAACGTTCCAGGTCTTGTTGGCAAGTTGGGTCTCAGGCTCAGAAACATAGTTCGGCCAGAGGAGTGAGGTGTTCAGAGCATATGTGGCGCCATAGGGCATGCGAATGTTTGGGTTGTCATCAGCCCGTCCAGCTTCGATGACCAAAACGGACTCTAAGTTTACCAATGTTAGTCAACGTTACCATTGAACCGATGGTTGAAACTATAGCTGGACTCACTCTTCTTGTCTTCCGACAGACGATTAGCAACAATTAGTCCAGTAATTCCTCCACCAACAATCACGTAATCGTACGTATCCTTGGCCGCCTGGAGCTCTTCACGGGAGACGACATCCTGGCTGGGAAGTGCCGTGGTCAACCCCAAGAGCTGAACAAAAAAAGTAAAACGAGTGGATGGCCGCATCTTCGACTATGATATTACGCTAGATATTCACACTAGAAAGGAAGGACAAAAGTCAAAGAGGCAGTCACAGAACCCTATGCGGCCGGATCACAGGCACGTTATAAACATGCGTTTCGACGCGGCAATTGCGCCTCTCGACATGCACGACTCGTCGCCTATCTGAATTGGAACCATAATGTCGGCACTTGAGCTCAAGTCGTCAAGCTTCAATATTATTCGAAGGGGCGAGAAGCAAGCGCAGGGTCGGCTACTTGGACAAGTCGAGTAGCGTTCGTGACAAGGATCCTGCACAGCAATTTCCAGGAGTAACGCTGCAGCAACGCGGCTCGGTTCGGCACAAAATCACCCTTCCCCGTGGGATTAAAAATGGTGAATGCCCAATACGAACCTCCCCGGCGCCGGACACTGGTGGCGTCGTTGCTGGCACCGGAAATTTATTATTCTCCTGAAGGGGTACGCGGCGATCATTGCAAGACTCTGTGTACCGTCTCCCAGTCGTGTCTCCGGATGAAAAACTCAATGGGAGAAAGATTGAAGATGATGGCGATGCGTTTGAAATTCACTCTGATTGTATTCAAACAGGGCTATTTACGCTAATGGAAAATCTTGTATATCGTATACTACAAGAGGTGCAGCATTCAAAATTCTGATCGTCGGTCTGTATGTTTGAACGCCCTGCAGTGGACGAGCATATTCATGATTGGGCGATCAAAGTGGTAGGGGGTCTCCAGGGCTACATGTAGTTAGCCGGGTTCCTGGGCGTACGCGGTCATCATGCACGAAGGGTCACCAACAATGGTCGATCTACAGAACTCTTATTGATGTTGTATAGACGAGGCGTGCTCTTGGTACAGCCATGCCATCAACAATGTTCTAGAGGCCGAAATACGACCGATTTGCAAAACTCTTCGTATTCCAAGTAAGAATCACTTAGCGAGAGAGTCCAGCGTGCTAATTATTAATATTGCACGGAGGACTCCGTTGATAACAATGAATGTCATCTTTGCATACATGGTATAATTGATAAATTAGATCAGATTATGTCCGGAGATTCGGAACAGCGCATCGTTTTTGCAAGTCAGTTATTGTGCACTTGTCTAGCAAGTCAGTCCGCTCGTTCCGGCCCGTTCCTAAACCCGTTAAATAGACGAACGAAAGTCTGGATGTTCATGATTCAGAACAATTGCCTGATATCTTGTGCTTCAATAGTACCCCGCCACGCCACATTCCAGGGCAAAGAGATGGAAGGGTTTTTGGCTGCAATTTTGCAGTTCTAATGCTGGTCAACTCTGCTGTCAGTTCGTCCTCTAAATTTGGGCTCACGCACGGTTGTCAGGGATTGGTACAAGAAATGGTCTTAGAAAGCGGCACAGTTGCTTGGCATGCATGCCTCCAAAGGTAATGGCAATCTTATCACCCGTGTCCAAGGAAAAAAGGTCCTTCAACGGAGAATTAGTCGGAAGCATGGGGGATCTCCTGCCGTACCAGCCCACAGAGTCTTGCATCTCAGAGCAGGAAAATTCATACATTATGGGATGTTAGAGATGGAAGAAGACTGTTCAAAGACTTTCAGTCGACACATGCATGCTGTCATTCACGTAAATCAGCATGTTGAGCAGGAAGAAATTGAAGCCGGTCAAATTGCTTGAGCTCTTATGGCTCTGTAAGCCTAATGCTTACTGCTAAAGGAAAGCAAGGCTGCAGATCTTTTCCCATGGCCAATTAGCAAGATGAAGGAGGTCAGGCCGAACACGGGGGGAGGGGAGCCCTGGATTCTCCAAGGATTGGGTTGAGCATGCTCCGTGAATTGAACGATGTGCAGCACACAGCGCAATAACCTGTCCGTGCAGACACGGAATCACGAAACCAGACCATCCTTAACTGTGTCCGTTTCCGTCAACTAACTACTACACAGTACACTGGTCCGGACGTTCCTCGAACATCTGGCTCAGTCATGAACCAACGTTTTTTCTATGGAGAGGCAGATACCAAGTTGGAAGGTAGCGTCGGTCGAAATCCGATCGTTCATTTCAATTTTGATATCATGGTTATATTACAAGATCCGATAGCGAGCCAACTTATGTTAGTAGTGACGTGATACAAACAATGTTGTCAGTAATGGGAGGAGCCCAGTGAGCTATTCAGGTGCAACCGCCAGTGTATACCATGCTGGGCATAATGAGGATGCGATTGCATGACAGACAAAAAAAGCAATACAAAAATCAGAGTGTTTCGCCCATTCCAGATTTGTCCAGGTTGGCCGAGTAAAATCCCAATGTTATGGTAACTTTGGAGGCGATGGGACCGTTCTCCTTCCCCGGCGGTCGGAGGCTTCTAGCGCAATACAGCTTTTGATTTCTGCGATTGTGAGACAGCAGTGATTGGTATATGCTAGGGCAAGGCTTCGAACGAGCCGTTCGTGTAACCATGCGTGGTCCTGGTAGTCAGTCACAGTGCAGCCAACTTTGGTCCCCTGGATCCCACGCCCAGATTCTAGGACAGCCACTGACGAATGAACTGTGTTCCTGTTTCCGAGATGCTTCTCTCGCGGTGTGATTTCTTCTCGGCCCACAGAATCTACCCACGCAGGATTCAAACCCAAATCATACATGGTGACTTGACTAACAACGGCAATGTGGCGTGTAAATCCCCCTTGGATATCAATGGCTAGATTGAGATCTCAGACATTTTCTTGACGTCCCCCTGTACAGCTCTGTGCTGCGAACCAAGTTCTCGCATGGCGGGCCGGGAAGCAGTTGCGCCATCTCTCGAAAGGAAGGTGATCATACTAACGTTGAAGGGAGAGATCTGAGGATACATGAGGAAGGCATTCTGCTCATCATCGTCCTGTGCACTCGAACCTCGCCTTGGAATAGGTCCCACCAGCCGTGATGTCGGATTCACCGCAGGAGTGGCCGAACCGCAAGCATGAAATCATTTGGTCTACAGTGACTGTCTGCATCCTTGCTACTCTGATTTTGATATGGAGAATTGTCTATGGGGTGATGAAGAAGCGCAAGCTTCTGGTTTGCGATTACCTCTTGATAATCGCTGCGGTATGTACGTTAAAACTGATTGATGGTAAACTTTCTCACGCTCATCGCAGATTATGAACATTTCCACGGTTGGACTCCGATTCAAGACGACTGATTTGGCATTGGGAAGACACATCTTGGACCCAAGCATCGAAAAACCTAAGGACATCTTCGCCTACATGTACTATTTGTACTGCAGTCAGGTCGTAAATCTGATTGCCATGGCTGTACTCAAGTACTCTATTTGCTCGTATCTCCTGGTGTTGAAATTCTCCAAGGTTTACACTGTGATCGTCTGGCTGTCGATTCTGATGGTCACGGTTTTCAACCTTCTCCTGCCATTCTTCGGAAACGTCAGTTGTACGCCTTTCGAGAAAAATTGGAACAAGGCGTTGCCGGGAAAGTGCTGGTACAAGGGAAACCAGGGCATTACATACATGCAAGGCGTCTCGAATTGCGTCACCGACGTTGTGTATGTCGTGGCTCCGATCATCTACCTTCGCACTGTTCAGCTACCGCGTCGCACACAATGGGGATTGCGATGTGTTTTCCTTCTAGGTCTGGTGTAAGTATTCAGTCAACACTGTTCAGTTCGTTGCTAAGCTACAATCAGGGCGACCGCATGTTCAGTTATGAAAACCATCGAACTCAGCGCTTTGAGAAAGACAAAGGATCCAACATGGGACGGTGTAAACTTGACGATATGGAGTGCTACGGAACTCTCTGTCGGCATCCTCATTTCCAGTCTCCCTCCCTTGCGCGCCCAATTCGACCGTCTCTTTCGCCGCATTCTTCCCTCAACCATTATGTCCAAGTCAAAGACACCCGGAGGCGGCAGTATACCACTCTACAATCTGAGCAAGCACCAATACAGCAAACCAATGGGACGCTCAGAAGACCAGGACGACGGAAGCAGTGAGCGGCATATCCTACCAGAGAATCATACTGAGGGGGTTATCATGAAGACAGTGGAACACGAAGTGACAACTACGGAACTCGACCCGAGGAAGGACGATCCATTTCGAAATGGCAGCCCCGACAACAAATTCTTGAAATGATATAGCTAGGGCGTATTATGTTGAAGAGAGTGCGGTTGTGAACGGCGTGTTGCGAGCTTTTCAAAATTTGTTGACCTTCGGGCATGCTTCATTGACGGCAACTGGATTGTTTGAATAAAGCGCTCTTTTGTTGTTGTTTATTTTTTAAAAAATTTGTAGAATCAAACTCATTCATTTGCGTACTAGCGACTATAGATCGACGCAGAAACGAATATCAATGCAGTCTTTGTGTTGGGCTGACTCTATCTAGAGCTTGACCACCTGAACCCATTTCCGTACAACCAAGGTCAAGATCGCAATATTTCCAGTCAGAAGCAGTAGCTTGTTCCTTTGTGGCTGAGTAACAAGGACCGAAACGAATCCCGAGCAGCGCCGGCTTCAATATTAAGTTTCTATATCCCCCTTAGGGGAATTCTAATGTTAAAAGGATCCTCAGCAGAACGAGGCCAGAAAAGGCGAAAGGCCAGCCAATCTTGGTAGCACCCAGCTGGTTCTCATATTGGCGTGGGTATCGCACATAGCTGTTTGAATTGTTCTCGCGCCCTCGTAGTGGCTCGACCGAAAGTGACAGCTGTCAGTCGCATTTGTGGCTTCTGATAGCATGCAGTGCACGCTTTGATATCCGTGTTGCTCGCGAAGAATCACGAAGTTGCCACTGAGTCAAGAGCCATCCAACTATTTTCCCTGATACTTGGTGGGAACTTCCGCCTTCATTGGTATCTGTGAGAGAAAGGCCGAATCACGCCGTCCGTGCAGTCAGTCAAGGTTTACCCCTGATTCCCTCGGTGAACATTGGCCCTCGACAGCGTGATCGATGCTTCTAGCTTTCAACCCACGCCTGGTTCGCGGGTCAATATTGTCTTTCGGTGCTTTCGAGATCATCTTGCAAGCGAGGCTGTCTGGTCGGTGCACAGCGCAGGCACTGTGCGTCTCAATGCCTCGGCGAGTACAAAATTGAAGGTGTTGTACTTTGTACCATCAGAACTGCCCTTGGCAACCATACAGCTGTCTGTTTTTGTTGAATAGATACCATTTATTTCACTACGATCTGCATCGATACTACTCTTAAACGTCTTTATTGTGTCCCCATGTGCTACGAGAAATGATCAACTCGGGTGTAACTGGATGTGTGGTAGGGAAGCGTCGGATTCCCCCTTGATACCCTCATTACGATGCGTTATTGAGTGTACGTTATCGATTACAATGTCAAATCAAGAACAAGAAAACAAGGATATCACTAGCGACAATCTCCAGAAAATGGAACTGACCGGCCGTTGGGCCTAGATTGACATCAATGGCAAGGATGCAATGACACTTTCGTAACAATGTTCGTTCCAAGACAGAACTTACACCCTTTGATGACGCGGTCAACGTATTCGAGTCGTGCCAATCTAATAGGGTAACCTACAAGCTGATACCAAACTTTAATATCGAACGCAAGTGGCGAGCACAGAGTTGCCTTGACGTATCTCAAGGAATCAGGGGCTTCTCCGGCACTTGTCCGCTTCAGATATCTAGGACGAGTACAGCCCCATCCTTCATCGCCGTTGAAATCAGATGAGCCTACGGAGTACACAGTATTAGAAGCAATCAATAGCTAGCTATATCAGAAACTTCATGGGATTCTGACGTGGCTGTGTACACTAGAGATACGCTGAGCAGTTTCCGCTTTCGTGACAATTTCGCTACTACTTATGCCATAGGTCAACTTCATAAGGTTCGAGATGGTTGACATACTTTACCCCTTGCTCTCTTCAATTCTGTGGTATAAGAACATGTTTTTACTCCTTCAGTGAAGGATAAGGTCCGCTACTTCCAACCTTTCTACGTTTTGATCGACTCTGGGTCATAACCTACGTGCACACTGCAAGATATAACAGGTTACCAGGTTGATTCATTACGACGGTTGTTCATTATTTCATTCCCGTTCATGTTTACTGATTCTTGACCAAGACGCATACCAGGCTGCAAACAGGAGTCTACGTACTCATTTCCAACAGAATGCGTGTATGGAGAAATTCCCAAATACATGCGCGAATAACTTCAACCCACCAAGTACCTTGGGAGAACTACAGTACTAGGAAGTTTTCTTTCTACACAAGATTATACATTTAGATCTAAATAGTAGTTGATTTTCCAATATCTCGAAAATTGACTTCTAATTTAAACAATACTGAAGGTAGCCATGATATTTTTACCACAGAAATTAGGTTTTGATTCTCGTTTTTTAGAATGCCGCAAAACAAGCAGATCATTTCAAAGGAAACAAGACGATGTGTTACAATAATAGTTCTTGACTCTATTCGGATTGAAATTCTGACAGAATTCTCAACCTAATTCGGCGTAACATCCATCCGATATAGTGAAGGTGCACGGACTCGTTTGAGGCGATTTCGCACGTGCCCCGCCACTACGTCGTGAACTTCGTGGTTAGTCGCGAACCTTCCATCCACGTCAGCAGTTGCCTATCGAGCTCGAAGACGGCCATAAGTAATTTTTCTACAGCATTCATCTCTGATTAATTTTGATAGATGCATCCGGGCCCCTAGAAATCATTCAATATGGAGGTGCAGCTTTACGTATATGACCTATCGAAGGTATGTGTGCCGTGGACAAGTATTGTGTTTTCAATACCCTAAACAGAACACAGGGTCTGGCTCGATCCATGTCCCAGCAATTTCTTGGGACGCAAATAGACGCCGTTTATCACACCTCTCTTGTCTTTGATGGTATCGAGTACTTTTATGGACAAGGCATCCAAACCTGCGCAGCTGGCTCTACGCACCATGGAAAACCTATGGAAGTGATCCGTATGGGAGAAACAGCTTTACCCATGGAAATTATTCTGGAATATTTGGAATCATTGAAAGAAGTATACACTGCCGAGGCGTATGATCTGTTCCTCCACAATTGTAATAACTTCTCCAACGATTTTGCAATGTTCCTCGTCGGCAAAGGCATTCCAGAGCACATTACCTCCTTGCCACAAACGGTGCTGAACACCCCTTTTGGCCAGATGCTGCGACCTCAAATCGACGCCGCCATGAGGCCAATTACGCAGGCTCCTGTTGCTCAACAGGCATCCGCACCAACACGCCCTTACGGAACCAATGGAACTGCATCGCAGACGGGTGGCGCACCTCAGCTTACCCCAGAGGCAAAGATCACTGGTGCAGTGAACAATGTGACGGCTTTGCGTGATATAGAGCGTCTTCTGCAGTCAGCTACAGATCGTTGCGCCATCATCTTCTTCACGAGCTCCACCTGCGCTCCTTGCAAATTGGTGTATCAGCCTTATGATGATCTTGCGGCTGAGTCTGGTGATAAATGTGTTTTCATCAAGATCGATCTCAACTACGCTGAAAAGGCTGTCGGAGTGCGGTTCTCCAGTGTTCGGGCAACTCCAACGTTCGTCACATTCCTACGTGGCCAGCAACGTGATGTATGGAGCGGTGCAGATCCAAACCAGCTGCGCAATAATGTGGAACTGTTGCTTACAGCGGCGTTCCCGCCACACCCGCATCTATCAAGAAATGTACCTACATTAATCCGACAAAGCCAGCGTCCTATTTCATTCACCAAAGTTCCTCCTCTTGAGAAGCTAGTCGCAAAGATGGGAGACGTAGGGAAGGACCCTGCCGTATCTGCAATTGTTTCCTTCATCGACGCAAGGCAAAGATTCGGTGCTATGGAAGCCCCCTTGACGAACTTACCTCAATTCGCCGAGTTTCTAAGGAAAAGTATTACGACTCTTCCCCCTGATCTTTTGTTTGTATCTCTGGACCTACTTCGTGTCACTCTTACGGATATTCGAGTCGCTGGCTTCTTCGCTGAAGAGCACGCTGGTGCTACAGGCACGCCAGCGACTGTCGCAGCTCTACTAAATCATGTCAACGGCCTCGGTGCCTCTGCACCATACCCCCTCCGTCTTACAACCCTCCACCTTTGTTGCAACTTGTTCAATTCATCGCTCTTCATCCCGCATCTGCTTTCTCCTCCACTTTCGTCAACGTTGGTACAAATCCTCACCACCGCCCTTCTTGACGAAAAGCACCCTGCACTGCGGGCATCAGCACTCTCCTTAGCCATGAACATCTCATCTTCGAACCACAAGATCCGTATGAAGAAGCACAGCGCCAATGCTTCGCCTTCGCTTCCGAGCGAAGTGGAACTCGATGATTCGGAGCAAGTCGAACTACTCGCTTCCTTACTCGAAATTCTCTCAACTGAAGGAGCGGAATTTTCCGAGACTCAGAAGATGGCTTTGATCAGTACGGGTTGGTTAGTATACTGTGCGGATATGGACGGCGAACTGAGAGATCTTTGGAAGGTCATGGATGCTGCGGGCACCGTAGGAAAGATCCAAGGAAAGACCGGAGAAGATAGATTACTTGTCAGGGAAGTGAAGAGCCTCCTTGAAATATAGAATCAATGAGCTAGAATACATTGGAAATCGCTGTGAGCACAGATGATTCGGTTCAGTCAATAGAGTTATTAGAGAATATACACGTTGTTGTACCATCAAAGGTTTAGATAATATGTAAGTTAATATAGACTGTACTCAAAACGCTGTGAGATCAAAACTAATATTCTGGGGCTATAGAACGGAAGGCTTACGTGAATAGTATACTTTTAATGGTGTGGCACTTCTGCGATGGAGTTGTGTCAAGACATTGATATAAATCACCTATCTACCAAATGGTCGCATGTGAGTTACTGGCCTAAAACCCCTTGGCTGAAATGGTTTGTGGCCAATAAAAACTGTGAATGCGGGCTTTTGAATGATGAATGAGTGTAAGGGAATATATTGATGACTGACTACCTAGATACACTCTGGCCGAACTTACTCCTCGCAACCTAAAACCTCCAATTAGTATATGGACTGCTGATTATTTTTCGTGAACACTCACAATAGCTCTGAAACGCTTTCCAAAGATGTAGGCCGGAATTGTCAGGAAGCATACTCCCAAATTGATAAGCGTGATCGCATCGAACACACCTCTCGGCCCAACACTCGCATACCATCCATTGGCATAAGTCGTCGCCAGAAAAGTGAACACTGCTTTCGTGAAATTGATCGTAACAAAAGCTTGATTCGCATCCTTTGGATGACAGTCGATGACATAGGTGAGCGAAGCTTGCGATGCAAAGGGTACGGAAAGTGAGTGTATGGACATGAATACAATCGGCCAGACCAGAGGTGCTTGGTTTTGAACACTCATTCCAAAGCCCAGAAATCCTGCGGTTGCGAGAGGCGTCGCGATCATCATCAAGGTGAGTCGGAATTCAGGTTCGAAGATACCGTTGTTGCGACGGGCCATGAATTTTGCAACTGCATCTGCCATCCAACCTGAAAGTGGAGACCCAATGAGGTTCACTACGAGTAGAGGCAAGTTGGTCAACCCAATTTGTGCTGGACCTAAATTGTATGGTGGCGCCGAGAATGCAGTGACGGAGAGAACAGATATCGTCAGGAGCCACGTGAAGTAGGATCCGTAGACGACTGTCGAGAAAAGGACCGCAGGGTACGCGATAAGTGGTACAGGTTTCCAGGCTCCTTTCCAGAAAGAATCGCCCGAGAGTCGACCGCGAAAGAGACGTAGCTGTGAGCGATAGGCCTCTTTCTCATCCGTATTTACGGACCAGAAAGAGCCCTTTTCTTCGATTTCCACGGATGTCCCGCGGGGTCCATTGTAAGTTGTTTCAACGACTACGAAGTATAGAAACAACAGGATAGGAATGAATATCAAGGCTGAAATACCGAATGTTGCCTCGAACGATATGTTCTCAATGATTGCGCCAGAGATTGTTTGACTGTTTCTGTGGTAAGTACTAGTTGCCCCAGATAACCAAGGTGGCATACCCAAGAAGTACTCCTGAAGCAAGCATGCAACCCCAAATACTCAATCGAGTACCGCGCTGGTGGACAAAGAACAGATCAGAAACTGTTGAGGTGACGAGGGTTTCCAAAGGGGCCGAAGCCATTCCTTGGAGCACGCGCATGACGGCTAAGGAAGGGAAGGACTATTTTAGTGTGAGAAACAGAAGAGTCTTCAGTATAAGATCCATTTACCACGGAGAAAAACCCCCAAACGTTCGTTGCCAACAGAATGACGGTCGATATTACGAAGAAGGGCCGTTTCCCCCAGATGTTCGCGCCTGAGGCTGTGAAAAACGTCGTAAACCCTATCCAAAAGGCAAGGAACCCAATCAGGAGGCTCGAAGCCATGTCCAAACTGACATGATACTTTGCTGCAACCACGTGAAGACCAGGCGTAACCATTGGACCAAGTCTGGCATCTATTTAGTCCTGAGCCTGGCATTGGTCTGGGAGACTCACGCTGTTGTAACTCCAGAACTGAACGCCAGGATTACCATGATGGACTCCTTCCAAGCTCGCGACCTATAGGCTTAGTCCGATTGCATATATTCAACTCAGGCTTTCTCACCAATTGAGAGGATCATTGGGACTATCGGAGGGTTGGGGTTGCAAGATGATATTGCCATCACGCTTGAGCAATTCGTTGTCAGCTTTTGTAATGTCGAGATCTTTTTAGATAAAACGTTTTATCAGCCATACTCTTAGAAATTAGAGACGATTGTACCAAGCTTACCTGCAGCGTCGTTCCCACCAATTGTAGCTGTACCTGGCGGTGTCGCCATATGCGCATCTTGGAGAATTCCCCAACCCATTTTACGGGAAGTACGGATGATAAAGCTGCCTGCAGCCAAAAAAGAAAGAAGAATAGACAATCAAAACAAACCACTAAAGGACAAAAATCAATAGAATGCAGTAAAAAGTTCAGATAGAGAGGCCAGCTCTGATTTTCTCTGAGCGCTCTCGACGTCTATAACTGTTCTCGAAAATCAAGCCAAGCAGAACAAACCAGGTCTGCCTGCGTGCCTCGAAACGCGACTGAAGATTTTGACACCGACATAATGCCATAACAAGGCTACGCAATTGTGTTCTATGCTATTCTTCAACATCACTTGAGGATTCAACTGCCGTGAGCCTGTTGAAAGCCGATATCCGTGCTCTCTGTGACACTCAAACCAGCATTCGTTTCATACCCGCAAACGCCCTGGACGATCGAACGATATTGTGCAATTCGTACATGAAGATTATTAACAATCATAGAATTGTATGACGCGGCCTAAGGTTGATAATGTTGTATTTCAGATGGTCATTAGCGCGGCCAAGGTCAGTGAAGTCTCTGATAGTGTGCATTTCCCACTGCTCAAACCGCCATATTGTTTCTGACGCATGAGTCCATACTTTGTGGAAACTCTGGAAGCTTTGAAAGAATGCGATTGACGCCAAAATTGAGAGGCATCGGGATGTGGGGTGGCCTGGTTTGTACGATGAACAGATGAAACAACACATCCCCGTCGACAATCCCCTTAAGCATTATGCACAAGCTTCAGGTGTCGTTTCGACTGTGATACAGATTTCGACCGACTGGCCGAGCTTATATACTATGTGAAAGTCGCTTATGTGAGCTCTACTTGGCAGGCGGAAACCAGTATTGACGGAACGGTCATGCGTTGACGAGGAGCTCTTCTTTCTCAGAATATGAGCACTGGACAGAAATAATCGATCGAAGACTTAGAAAAATTTAATGCTGTGAACATTGTTATTGTGCGGTTAATATGATGTACAGTCATCTTTCGATATTGTTCTCTACTCATATATGGTGGTCAACAGACCGCAGACATTGTTGATTGCGGACAAGTACGACTCCATAGCACCCGCAGCTCGCTCGTTGTACTATATGGACCTACTGTGCAGTTTCATCTCAGAACAATATCTCTTTCAATACCGCTCGGATAGTGCATTGGTGGAGGTCTCATCTCGCCTTCTGTTCCGCCTGTTCAGGGAGCTGCGTGGTGAATGCGAACCAGACCCTAATGCGATCGGCTCACAACTTTGCGCTGTCCACAAATATGTTTTGTAAACCTTCCTTGAGATTGTTTGCCATGCCCTGCTTGCCCGGCTTCCTGCTTTCGCGATCTACGAAGACGTGTACGAACTCCCCGACGGCCTTCACATCTGCATGTCCACGCTCGAAGACGCCAATTTCATAGGTCACGGAACTCTTGCCAAGTTTCACAACCCGTAAGGCGAGGTCGACAACGGCTGGAAACTCAATAGGGGCGAAGTAGTCGCAATGCGAGTGCACCACAAGGCCGATCTGGGACGATGTAGGAGGATGGAGAGAGCAATGTTTGATGAGGTAGGTGTTTACTACGGAATCGAATCTACACGCGAGGAATTAGATTTGGTCAGGGGGAAAAAGCCCTGTTCCGTCTTACAGAAAGTAATATATACTGTTGTTCAGGTGGTGATACATGTCATTGTCGCTCCTAGGCGTTCGCTATTAGCAATTGGAGGAGAGTCGAGTTGATCGGGGTACAAGCTACCATCGCGTCCTGTATTCCAGTTCAAACTTATAGTCCGACCGCTTGCGAGTCTTGAGCGCGTCGGGTGCCATCTTCGCTCGCAATTCCTCATGATCAAGTACAAATGATGGAGGGAGAGTGGAGAGCTATATGGTCGTCATTGGAGCTAATCGGGGGCTCGGCTAAACGACGGCCGAGGTTCACGAAAAAGACCCTGAAGATGCAGGAAATCAAACAGATTGTCCCGCTTCTACTTCATAATTCCACGGGATCTCTCGCTATCATTCTGCCACATTGGCGCCTTCTCCCCGGATCCTCGCCTACCTTGCGAGCAAAGGACGGTTGCCCGTTTCTTCCAACGCAACCATGGCTCTCGTGCCTTCGCCCCCTAAAGACAAATACCCCCCCGCAGCGCCTGATAGATTTCCTTTCGTCGAACCCCCGCCAGTTGTCATAACGCCTTGCGATCCTTGGCCCCCGCCTTATTACCTCGAAGATGGCCTGCGTAAAGTGAAACCGTACCATTTTACCTACAATACTTTCTGCAAGGAACGATGGCGTGGACGGGAGATTTTAGATATCTTTGCTAGCGAATTTCGGGACAGGCCTACTGAGTACTATAAAAAGGCAATCTTAGAAGGCAGGGTTGTTTTGAACGGAAAACAAGTGCCCGGTCTTGATACGATTGTGAAGAACGGTGATGTTATTTCGCACACACTGCATCGACACGAACCGCCCGTATCGTCAAAGGCAATTGGAATCGTACACGAAGATGATGATCTTATCGTCATTGACAAGCCGGCTGGTATGCCGGTACATCCTGCAGGGCGTTACAATTTCAATTCTATCATCGAACTCATGAGGGCAGATCGTGGTTACAGTTGGAATCCTCTACCCTGCAACAGGTTGGATAGGCTCACGAGTGGTATCATGTTCATCGGGAAGCATAAACAAGCTGCTGAAGATATGAGCGCTCAGATTCGTGGCAGGACAGTTAAGAAGGAATACATTACAAGAGTCGTGGGCGAATTCCCAGAAGGGGAGATCGTGTGCGAGAAACCTATCCTCCAGATCAGTCCTAAATTGGGTCTTAACCGTGTGCGAGCAAACGGCAAGGAAGCAAAAACTGTGTTTAAGAGACTGGCATATTATCCACCCAAGGATGACAAGTCGGAATATGCCAACGAGAATTTCGAGCAAACCAGCTCGCAGGAGAGTCTAGCTTGGCAAAAGCTTCGTGGCTATTCTATTGTCCGATGCTTTCCCATAACCGGTCGAACCCATCAACTACGCGTACATCTCCAGTATCTGGGTCATCCCATTTCCAACGATCCCATCTACGCTAATCAGCGCGTTTTTGGACCGTCCCTTGGGCGTGCGCATTCGGAGGACGAAAATGAAGAGGATATTATGACACGTCTCAACCGCATGGGCAAGGAGGAAGTCGCGGATGCCGTTGCGTATCATGATGAAATGGTTGATCAGTACAACAAGCGCAAGGCAGAGAAGATGACGGGCGAGACCTGCGAAGTTTGTGATACGCCATTATTCAGCGATCCTGGAGCCCACGAATTAGGTATATACCTACACGCGAGAAGGTACCGCTGCGAAGAAGGTAAATGGGACTACGAGACTGGGCTACCAGACTGGGCCCTTCCTCCCCCAGGCGCAGACGCAGATGCCCCTACAGAGCCTACTGCAGAGTCAGATCCTTTGGCTGTCGATCTTCAGAAGCTCGGATTGGAGGACGGTGACGAGAAAAATGCAACTTCCTCGGCTGAGCCAGTAAAGAAAAGTGCTTGATTGGCGGCTTCAGATTAGCCATAGGTTGCAGCAGCGATTGGCTCACAAAATGGTAACAAGGCAGATGTTGACTTTGCAAGCAATATTGGTATCAATTGTATGCCAAATCGCTACTACCAATTACTGCTCTAGAACTTGAGCTCAACTGCTGCGCCTTTGTTCTCGCCACTTCGTAGGCCGGCCTCGAGGAGCTCCAGATCCTTCAGTGCCTCTTCGGGACTCTGTTCAGAGTTTGCCTCTCCCTTGACTAGGCCCTCAGCCCATGCCTTGACTTCCTGCTTAACACCATTACCCTCATCGGGGAACTCTTGGACCTCTTCCTGTCCATCCTTTTTCACTACTACCTTCCCTCGAGTGACTGTCACTGTGCCTTTCTCAGCGGCAACAGCGTATTCAGAGCCCGTAAAAGTCGTTCCAAAGGATACATCAAAAGTTCCTGACGATCCGTTCTTTAAGAGAATAGTAGCCTGCAGTGTATCAACTGGGGGGAGATGTTCCTGCAATTGTGTGCTGAATGCAGCAATCTTAACGGGCTTCGCGGCGTCTCCGAGTAGGAGACGTGTTGCAGCAATGAAATGAACACCGCCGTCTAGTAAGAAACCACCTTGGTATTCTGGCTTTTTGCGCCAGGCGGTCTCGAAGTACTTCGTTCCAGCCTTGACAAATGCGGAGACTCTAGTTCGGAATCCAAGGACTCTGCCGAGCTGTGCGACCTGCGACGCACCGTATACATACGAGTCTATGTACCGGAAGTTTTCCGCGATGGAGAAGGTCGGGCCCCCGGTCTTCTTGATGTTACTGTTGTACCAGTTCACGAGTTCAACAGCGGTGGCAACATCCTTGGCAATTGGCTTCTCCGCTAGGACGTGTTTCCCTGCGCTCAATGCCTTCTTGATGAACTCGGGCTGAACAAGGATTGGCAGACTGGTAGATGGTTAGCAATAAATCTACTTGAACAGGATAAATTCCTCATGAATCCAACACCCTCAACTGCTCGTGATGTGTACAAGCTCTATATAAACGTCGTTTGCAAATAACCCCAATCAGATCTAAAGAGACAACTTACGCGATCACGACAGCAGCAATGTCCGTCCTTTCAAGCAACTTATCAAAAGTTCGCCCCTCTTGATCTTCGCTATACAGCTCTACATCGCTCAGGCCCTCCGAGAGTCCTTTGGCAGACGCAAGCGATCGCGAATACACAGCTTTGAGAGTGAGCAATGGCGTTGACCGGATAGCGGGCAGATGCTCTTCCTTCGCGAAAATGCCTAGAAACCACGTTAGCCAGATGCAATTGAAGTATAATCAGGTTTCATTAATGCCGTAAGAAATGGGAATGGTTTCGCCATACCGGAGCCGATTAGAGCTACGCCTGTAGACATGATGATTCCCGTTGATTGTCGATGAAAGAAGTTGAGGAAAGATCTGATTGTAATCCAGTACTGTGATGATGGTATTCGTTGCGATCACTAAACACTCTGATGTCACCAGCGTCTCCGTGCTATTAGGCAGATTATCAAATCTTCAAGGACCGCCTAGCACCGAAGGACGTTAGATTGAATGGAGAGATATGCCTCGGATGAATTGAATGACTCACGAAGTATCAATGTTTTGAATGACTTGTTGGATGTTATACAGATGGTGCAAATCAATGGACAGTATGATGCAATGAGGTGGAGGGGCATCTTTAATACAGCTACCCCTCCGCGGCCTCTCTAAAAGTGGACATGCTCGCCTCAATTTACTCCGTTCAATTGATAACCACGCACGAACACGAGGTTGGATAAAGCCGCGAATCCGAAGTATGCGCTAAGCTAGGAATAGTCATAATAGCAGTTTCGGGTGGATCTAATAAGAAAACCCTTGTTTTGATGCTCAATTACATGATACGCATTGGAATTGCTAAGAAATAAAAATTTCTCTTTCAAGCATAAATTTAAACATGTGATTGAAGAAAATTATATTACCATTACAGAAAATTCAAGACAGCTACAGGAACTTCAGCTTTTCCTTTGTAAGCGAGTGATTAGTATATGAACGAAAGCAATGATCATCCCAACACCCCCCAGTGCAGCCGCAAAGAAGAAAGCGGCTCTCGCACCTGCAAGTCGAAGGACATGTGTTTCCTCGCTATGGTCGCTCAAAGGTGCTGGATTTCCCTTGGATGGTGACCAACCTCTCTGGCTTGCTTCATGCTCTATATAATAGCGATCGATTGTCCCGGCAACTCCCAGCCCACAGGATATACTGTAGTTGACCATGGTACTGACGAGGGAAGCCGCAATGCCCTGTTTCTCTCTTGGTAAGGCCGAAGAAAGGAGGATGTTTGCTGCCGGATATGACAGATTCATCGCGCCCGGCATGATAAGGATAGAGATGAAGGTCTGTGTCCAATACGTTTGATGGAGCGGCATTGTGGCCAGGAGTATCGCTCCAATCGTGAAACAAGCCATGGCCAAAAACATAACACAGCTTACTCTCAGACGCTTTAGAAGCCAAATGGTGGAAAAGGCAAAAAATACCCCAGTGAGAGCGACGGGCGAAGTCTCGGCAGATGTGAGCAGTGCAGAGTGGCCGCGTAGATGTTGAAGAAATAGGTAGAGATAGTATGCCCATATGCCGTGGGATGCCCAACCAGCGACGATACATGCCAGAGCGAAGATTGCATCTCTATGGAGCCCTCTAATAGGTACGAGGGGATACTCGGTCGCGTATAGTTCGACGAGGATGAAAGCGAAGAGCGCAAGAATTCCGAGTCCGAGTAATGAGCCAATATAAGGGTCCTGCCAGCCGACGAGTGGGGCTTGATTGAGTGCGAAGTTGATAGAGACCAATCCAAAAACGCCCGTTATTGCACCCCAATAATCAAAATTTGGTCGCTGGGGAACATCTACCATATCACCTTCCAGTTTATCGTCCGGGAGGATGGTGATTGCCAGGGCGGTTACCAACAAGCATACTATGGCAAGTATCCAGAAGCTCCATGGCCACCAAACAAGGTCAGCAATTAGAGCAGAAAAGACAGCTCCTGTTGCGGCACCTGTTGGACTTGCAGCACCAAAACAAGCGAATCCCATGTTTCGTTTCTGTCCAATTGGAAGTGTACGCCCGATCATAGCAACAGCATTGGGAACTATCAATGCGGGTCCTAAAACGTATGAGAGACAAATTCCATAATTTGTGGAATCCTAGCGTACCAATTCCTTGAAACGCACGACATATGCTGAACATGATGTTCCCAGAGAGGTAACTGAAACCTGTGATGAGCGACCACAAGGCAAACCAGAGCCATCCAATGATATAGATTCGTTTGTGACCATACATATCTCCTAGACGACCTATCTCGTCGAATTAATATGTGTGCTTTCAGATGTTGAGGCCATATCAATGCTACCGAAGAAACACGACAAATGTTAGACAATATCCGAAAGTATTGCCGTTATTAAGTGTTTCACTGTAGAGTACCTGAAATCACTTGGATATTGTGTAGTCGCGCGAATGGCTGCAAGAAATGGTATCGCAAGATTGAACTTACCAGCGGGTAGAATGAACGTGCCAACACTCATACTAAAAGATGCCGAGAACCAACTCAGTGTCCCGTAATCCTGAAGGTGAAAATAATTTGATAAGACCATGACTGGCGCAACTGTCTGGTTCAGTGCGCATAATGAGAGGAATTGCGCAATGCAGGTAATGAAGATGAAGGCCAACTCGCGTGTGCTACTCATGGGTAGCTGGGGATGTTGAGCACGGCCGATGGGTACTAAGGAGAGTTCTGATGGCAGACTCGAGTCGCTAATTGGAACATCCTTTGGGGTTGTCTTCTCAGTGATTAAGCCTACCGGGTATCTTGTGCCGAATGAATTTGGGGCTGGAACAGCGGCGAGAATGCCTTCAGGAGTCTCATCGTGCAGTGATGTCGAAGCCATTAGTAGTTGAATTAGCTTAAACGCAAGGCATTCATTTGGTCATTTTCCCACAAGGAATTCGAGCAGGATGTTAGCTATACAATACTCGGGCGGAGGACTGATAAGCGTTGTTCGTCACTACAATCTGGGAACTTGCTCATAGAAGTAATAACAAGAAAAACCCGCCGGAAAGGGCCTATTGATGGGAGGAGCAATTAGTCGTTACTGGTGTTCTCACTGTACTATTCCTGATTCAATAGGGCTGAATTTCGTAGCAACACGTTAGAATCCATGGTCGTCATAATCGAATCGAAAGATACGGGCATTTATTAGTGATACTGCGATGGCGCAACCGTCAAGAAGCAACGGTCCCCTCTGACTCTGTCAAATATCTGTTTTATGTTTCCTTTTGGCTTTGAGATCGAAGGAAAAGTTGTCATCAAGCTGTAAAAATGTATGCACAACCATATGCGACCAAGCCTGCAGCGTGATGCTCAGGTCAAAAAGCCGCTTTCATGATCGTTTCCGGTCAATCGAGCAATAATAGACAAGGTAGGGACCATCCCAGCGCAGTATATTGACAAGGGAGTGTGAATCACGCGCGATCCTTATGATGTAGCAAATGTCCGGAATGCGGACGTGGGCCAAATCAAACAAAGCATTTATCATTCCAGCATAGCGGTAATTACCCCATGTAGAATTTGTTCACACCACTCTAAAAATTGGCCAATCACCCTGGGCGATGGATACCTACTTGGGCACTCAGGTAGCTACGGTGTGAGGTCCGCTGTGAGTCTTTCTTTCGCTAGTCTGTTCGGTATGTCGTTCAAACCGAGCTAATCATTCACCTTCATTAACTCAATTTCAGCGATAACCTCAAACCGCAGGAGACATCTTCTACATCGCCAGTTGAATGATCAGGGAATCTTCAAACAAATCAACACATTGTACGACATCACGTGATATCCATCATCCCATTACAATGCAGCCTAACTAACGTCCAAATAACCTCTCATCTCTGTCATAGACCAAGTGCAGAATATATCAGCTTTAAATGCACCTCAATATCATTAGCTCCGAGAAAACGGAGTCTGACAGGTACGGACTTCCTAAACGTCGAAGTCCCACCTTAAAGGATCAAGTATAAATC